GGGCGGCATCTTGGCTACACGCCACGCTCCGCGTCTCCATCAATGGTGTGAACTATCCAATCGAGATGGCCACAGAGCGAGAAGACACAAGCTCCTCCAGCATCACACATACGGGAACTGGAATCAGAGCCATGTGCCATCTTCCTCACCTTGGCACCTGGGTCGATCTCTCCTGCTTCAGTGTCCTATCTTATTTCGAACACTTGCGGGAAGCCAGTGAAGGAGGTACAGGAGAGAAGCTGAGAATCGTAACTGCGCCAATGCCCTGCAAGATCCTCTCGGTACTCAAAAAGGATGGCGACAGCGTCAAAGCAGGAGAGAAATTGATCGTTGTGGAATCTATGAAAATGGAGATCAGCATTAACGCGGCAGTTGATGGCACGTTTCAGTCAAAGGTACAGGAACAGGACGCCGTGAATGAAGGAACGACGCTTTGTATTGTGGAATAGATTTCAGCAAAGTGGATCTGGTGAGATCGATGCGCTCTACAACTCATGATTTCCATCGCTCCAAGCACCAGCACTGAGTCGCGATACGAATTTCCAATGGCATCGAGTCGACACGTACTTTGAGATTGTTCAATCTACACATCGGACCGAGGGTGGTCGTCGTGCTGCGCTGGCCCCGCCCGCGCTGGCCCCGCCCGCGCTGGCCACGGAGCCCTCTCGCACGCCGCCCCAAATGGCCGCGGAGGGAATGTGTCGTGCCATGCTCCCTGCCAGCATTTTCCCGAAAGGTACATTTGCTGTGCAGAAACAGGCAGGCTCACAGGCCACCTGGTCGCCGGGGATGTGNTTTGGTACGTCAGAAGTCTAGAAGCTCTGCGCATCTGCCTCCTATCGCACCTTTCATTGCATAAATGACTTCCGCGTGTCATCATAGCTCTCAGGCGATCGCAGCGCTTGGACCGATGCCACATTGACACCTGAATGTGGGACGGGCAACTGATTGGAGGCTTTGAGTGATATTCATGCACATCTCTACAGCCGAGCCAAAACACTATGTGCCGCTGCGCCCTCAACGCCTGGAATCTTGACGACCTCCAAGCACATACCGACAATATCCCTCGTATCCCGAGGATCAATAACTCCGTCATCATGTAGCGCGGAGCTCGTCCTATACGGATCACAGTCTCTCAGCACAGTCTGCTTCAAGACTTCCGTTTGCTTTGTTACTGCGTCTTGATCGAGCACTTTGCCCTTCGACTTGGCACTGTTCGCTTCGATATTTTGCATCACTCCAGCGAGTTGATCTGGACCCATTACGCTGCATCGACCGGTCGGCCAAGTGAACATGAAGCGTGGCTTGTAGCTTCGTCCGCACATGGCATAGTTGCCTGCTCCATAAGAGGCGCCCAATATGATGGAGATGTGGGGGACCTTGGAACAGCTCACAGCCGAGACCATCTGTGCTCCTTTCTTGATAATGGCAGAATGTTCGGCTTTGGTTCCGACCATGAATCCAGTGACATTGTGCAGGAAGAGTATTGGCAGGTTTCTGCGACAAAGTCAGCTTCGAGCGAACTTCAATCTATCCTGGGCACTAGGACTGCACATACGACTGATTGCAAAGGCGAATAAATTGTGCGCCTTTGGAAGCCTCGTCTCCATTGATGACAGGAATTCTGTTGGCTACGATCCCAACATTGTGGCCCATTATTTGCGCATAGGCGGTGATGAGATTTGAGCCAAAGCTCGGCTTGAACATGGATATTCGCGAATCATCGACAATTCTGATCAGTACCTCCGTCATATCGAATGGTTTGCGGATGTCTGGATCTACCAGAGACAACAATTCTTCCGGAGGATACCGCGGAGGCAAGGGACCATCGATCGTCGAGAGATCGGAGAAAGGTTCCGGCAATGTGAGCATCCACTCTCGAGCTTTTCGTATGGCATCGAACCTGGCAGAACAAGTGTCAGCTTGTATGCAAAGCCGCAATTCAGCGACATGCTCACTCATCAACCGCGATCTGATCAGCCAGCCCAGTGAGCCTCGCATGCGTTTCCGCCCCACCAAGAGTTTCGGCATCTACGATCTCGCCTGTGGCCATCTTGACGAGTGGAGGACCACCCAGAAAAACTTGTGCTTGGCCCTTGACGAATATAGTGTAGTCTGACATGGCCGGTTGGTAAGCACCGCCCGCAGTTGAGGATCCGAAGACGATAGAGCAAGACTGTTGCCCATTCTGGCTTCGTTGAGAGAGGTCGCGAAATAGCTGACCACCCTTGTGGAAGATATCGAATTGATGAGGAAGGAATACACCTGCCTACGGTCATTGCTGATCAGTCCCTATGCTTTTCAAGCGATTCAAGCAAATGGGTCAACGTACAGATTGCACGAGTGCTACGATGGGCAAATTGTTCTCATTTGCAATTTCGGTCACTCGATTTTGCTTCGGTACTGTCATTCCTAATTAGTCGCGCCTTGACAACCCTTCGATGATCCACAACCTCACCAGTGAGTTTACTCCATGAGCCGCCATTCTGGGTTGGAATATGGGAGATGATGAGAGCAGGTCGCCCGCTGGAGAACAAAACTTCAGCCTGAGATCGAAGAGTCTGATCAACAATTATGATCTGGAGCATACCAAACACTGCCAATGCCAGAAATGAGGTTGCCACAAGGCGGAATGTCTTCTTGATCCCACCCAGCAAAAGGACAGAGCTCCAGAAATGGCGAGTCGGGATCTAGGAGAAGCGCTATTCGATCTCGAGCTACCATCAATTCTAAGTCAGCTCGCCGTCGATCGTGTAAATTCACTTCGCAACGTGTGAGACCGACCAAGAAGCTGCCCTCTTTGTTGATGCCTGAGGAGATACTGTTGCCCTCCCTCTGTGACGGAGTCGATCAATGCTCTCTCAAATTTCAAAAGCAGATCCTCCCATGCTGCACGATTCGCTTGGAATTGCGGCCCGCCAAGATTTACTTCTGAAGAGATGACAGGATACGAATTTGTTGAGGCCATGGAGACAATGGGGCTGCAAGACAGTTGGAGCGTCGTCTACATCACAGTATGCCTACCTCTGCAGAGGCATAGTGCTGGCATGGCACTAGGAAGAACCGTGTTCTGGGCAGGGTTCACGGAAGTGGGGACGGACACGGCTCGCACGGGCCACACATATGCCCGGCACGGTGAGTCCTGCAGGCGGGTGCCGCAGCGATGTGTGGTCAGTGGTCAGCTCTGCAGCCGCACACTTTGAGTAGTGGAGGTGCCGGGTAGATCAGTTGTGCAAGAAAGCTCATCGACATGTTGGTCAGCGTCCTTCGATTAATCCATTGCTACAACGATCAGCCATCCTTGTGCTGGCCCTTGTGAGCGTTGCAAAGTGTTCATCGAACTATGGCACCCGAACTATCCATACTGAATGGACCGACTGATCAACCGCTCTGGACCATCACGCTCGGATCACTCATCGATTTTCAAGCTCGAGCACATGGTGATCGTACAGCGCTCGTTGTGCCTTGGCAGAATGTACGACGATCATACAACGACCTTGCCACTCGCAGCAAAATCATTGCAAAAGCTTTGCTTCAATCCGGGCTTCGATATGGCGACTGCATCGGTATCATGGCCGGGAACTGCTCAGAATATATCGAAGTGTTCCTTGGCGCAGCACGGATAGGTGTCACATCAGTTGTGCTCAACAGCAATTATACGCCGACAGAGCTATGCAATGCAATCTCGTTTAGTGGTCAGTCAATCGCAATTGGAGCTTGTACAAGACATCCTCATATCTGACTTGAAAGTGACTAGACATCAAGCAGCTCTTCATTGCACGTTTTCCAGGACCCAAGCTTAATTTCACGGCACACATTGAACGTGTTTCGTCAACCAACAAGAACTTAAAAATCGTTGTCTTCGATGATGAGGAGTACGCTCAGCGCAAAGGCCTACCTGTGCAGCACTTCGACACGTTCTACGCAAAGGGACAGGCCAGCGACATCAGTGACACGGATATGATGCACAAACAAGCACTTGTCCGTCCCGCCGATACGTTGAATCTGCAATTCACATCAGGTACATATCATTGCACTGGTGAGGTAACGATCAGATCACGGACTGAAATTCGAAAGGCACTACCGGAGCTCCAAAAGCTGCAATGCTCTCGCACGCGTACGTCCTCACTGTTGCCGAATAACTCTCTCATGATTCTGTAGCTGACCACCGAGCCAGGAACCTGATCAACAACGCCAACCTCCTAGGCGACCGCATCAGATTGACAGAAACCGACATCATCTGTTGCCCACCACCACTCTTCCACTGCTTCGGCCTCGTAATGGGCTTCCTCTGCGCTTTCACCCGCGGAAGCAGCATCGTCTATCCCTCCCAACAATTCGACGCAGCCCTCGTGCTAAAAGCCATCGAAATTGAACGCTGTTCCTTTCTGCATGGCGTTCCTACGATGTTCACCGCACAGCTGGACGAGAATACCAAACGAAATTACGACCTCAAATCTTTGAAAGTAGCACTAGCAGCAGGCTCTCAAGTCCCGCAGAAATTGGTCAATCGTTTAGAAAAAGAGATGGGGATCTCAAGAGTGTTGATTGCATATGGTATGACTGAGACTTCTCCTGTTACATTTTGTGCGAGGTCAGATGATACGATTGAGCAAAGGTTGAGTACAGTGGGTACTTTGCTTCCTCACACTGGTGTCAAAGTGGTGGATCTTGACGGGAGAGTTGTACCCCATGGGATCGCTGGAGAGATTTGCACGAGTGGCTATGCACTGCAGAAAGGCTACTTGAAAGATATCAAGAAAACGGATGAGGTGATGGAAACAGACGCGAGTGGCATATGCTGGATGCATACGGGTGATCAAGGTGTCCTGGATAAGGACGGATATCTGAGAATAACAGGAAGGATCAAAGATTTGATCATCAGAGGTAAAGTCTGCACTGCTCTTCTAAACATATATCAGAATACATTTGCTAAATCATGCTCAGGCGGCGAGAACATCGTTCCCGCAGAAATCGAAGAGCGCCTCCTCGCACATCCTAGCATAGTCGAAGCAGCAGTCGTCGGTGTACCTCACGAAAAATATGGAGAAGCCGTGGCATGCTTCTTACGGCAAGCAGAGCAGAATCAGCGACCGACTGGAGCAGAACTTGCGGCGTGGGTTCGTGAGACTCTGGGGAGACACAAAACACCTGAGTATGTGTGGTGGGTAGGGGACAATGGAGTCGGCGATGACTTTCCTAAGACTGCCAGTGGAAAGCATCAGAAGCACATTCTGCGCAGTATCGGGACAGAGATTATCAAGGGAAGGTCGCGTGTACGGCCGAGACTGTAGTTTACAATCTGCCATGCTTGGTGAAGGGCACTTCATGGCAGAATGAGTGACCATATGTTGCATTGCATTTTCACGCCTTATGGGTCCTCGTACGGTGAGGAATGAAACAGTATTGATAGTTCAAGCGAGAGATTGTATTCAGCAAGTCTCAGTCTACAATCGTGGCTTCGCCTTCGCCTTCGCCTTCGACAACGTATACGCATCCCAGTCGACATCTTTCATGCCCTTCTGAAACTGTGCCAGCCCATGAGCCGACTCACTCTTGTGGCCCATCATTTCAGTGAAAATATTCTTCACCCCTCTGACATGCACCTCGTCTCCTGCATGCTTCCAACCCAATCTCACAAGCTCTTTGCTCAAAGTCGAAGCTCTTGGTGCACACGCTTGCAATTGACCCAGGTACTTGTCGATTGCCGAGCTAGGCTGCTCGTTCGCTGGTATGATTTCTGCGATCACGCCAAGTTGTAAGAGCTCCTGCGCAGAGACTGGACGTGCGGAAAGCATCATCTCGCGAGAGAAAGAGATTCCCAACTCCCGGACGACATATTTGGAAATAGTAGCAGGAGCCAGACCGAGTCGGACTTCGCTGAGTCTGAGACTAGCATTCGCGGCCATCAAGCGGATATCGCAAACCAAAGCAAGTCCTACACCGCCGCCAAACGCAGGGCCCTGGATGCAGGCAATCGTGACTTGTGGTGCGTTGTCGATAGCTTCGAAGAGACGCATTAATCGATCATACTGTGCGTCCGAGGCAGAAGTGCCCTCTTGTGCTACTGGCGAGTTGTCACGACTCAGGTCCATTCCAGTGCAGAAGTATTTACCATTCGCCGTGATGACGATGCGAGTGATGGAGCGGTCGGCAGCCGCATCCTCGAACACTTGCGTGAGACGTGAGATCATCGACGCATTCAAAGCATTGCCATTACGCGGTCTTTTCAGAACCAACTTCAAGTTCGGACCTTGCCTGTACAGCTCGAGATCTCCAGAATCAGGCTGTAGTGTCCAGGGCAGAGGGGGTTTAGCAGTTATTACTGTTGCGCCAGCACGTTGCTCAGCAGTCTGCGCTTTGCTATAAAGGGCCGCTCCCGCTCGACTGGAATTCGGTATGCCGAGTTGCTCGGTGATCCACACGCCAGTGTCAACCAGCTTTGAAAGGTCGACACCGGTCGAGATGCCTGCCCGCTCCAGAGTGTACACGAGATCCTCCGTTGCTAGATTGCCTTTGGCGCCGGGAGCATATGGGCAACCTCCCAGCCCGCCAACGCTGCTGTCGAAGACGCGCATTCCACAGTGGTAGGCAGCCCACATGTTCGCTATGGCTTGCCCATATGTATCGTGAAAGTGACCTGCCAGCTTCTCGATGGGGATGCCAGCATCGATCAGAGAGTGTGTCAGGGCTTTCGTTTCCGTTGGCACTCCGACGCCGATCGTGTCGCCCAAGCTGATCTCGTAGCAGCCCATGTCGAGCAGCTGGTGCACACAGTTCAGTACTGCAGTGTGAGGCGTTGGGCCATCGAATGGGCAGGCGAATACGCATGAGATGTATCTGCATTTCTAGTCAGCGATCCAATGTGGTGCAAATTGTATTGAATATGCCAAATTTCGGAGAGGTGATCCGTCTGTTTTCTACTCACCCACGAACTTCGAGTCCATTGGTGCGAGCCTTCTCTGTAACAGCTCGAGCGCGATCCAACCCTTCTTGCACGCTGCATCTGATATTGGCTCTACTGAAGCCTTCTGAGGCGCTGACAAAGACAGCAACCTCTTTGACACTGTGACGCAGCGCCACATCCAACCCCTTGAGATTAGGGATCAGAATGGGCGTGCGAAGGTGCGGATTCGACAGGAGCTTCTGAACGTTTGCATTGGCCAGTATGGTCTCGCAATCGGCGAGTTGGGGAACTGCTCGAGGGCTCACCACTGAAGTGACTTCGATTCGCTGCAGACCTGCATCGTGGAGCCTTTCAATAAGGGCCAACTTGGTGCTTGACGGTATGGAAGGCTTGACGTTTTGCAGGCCATCTCGAGGGCCGAGTTCAACGATGCGTACACTTGCCATCTGATCATGCCATCGAATCGATAGCAGGAAGCGAGGCTTGTGCACAGGACGGAACGTCGTGTCTGCGGTTGGCGCACATCGATCCTGCACCCGGCAGTCCTGTGAATACTGGCCGGGTGGTGGGACGGGTGTTGCACGGCTTCGAGCCGGGTCTTGGAAGGACGGACCGGCCAAGCTCATCCAGGCGGGCCAGATCAGTAATCATGGAGTGACTTCGTTCTATGCCGGTTTCCGAGACACCGTGTCAATCGGGCGCGAAAGCCTTCGCGATTGCCCCAGAGTCGCGTGGGTCGGCCTCCACGATGCGCAGCGAGCAGCGCTCTCAGCAGGAGGTACGAGGCGGCCAGTCGGAAGGAGGAATAATGGCGACAGCGATGCCAACACTTCTGGCAGTCAGGCGAGCGCGCGTCGAGCGGGGCCGATATCCTTGCAGTGGAAGCCTTCTCCAGCCGCCAGCTCATAGCCAGCGAAATGATGAAAGGTGTTTGGTTGGTGGGCCATCAAAAATTGCGCCCGCTGAGCCCCCGAAGGAGATCAGATCCAGTCAGTCGCCGCGCTGTGCAATGCAGGACCTTCTGAATGGCTCTGCTATTCGTGTGCAGCAGATGCCCGAACAAGGTAAGTATGAAGAAAGGAAGAAGATTGGATCGCGAGGTAGAAGGGAATTTATTGTGCTAGCGCGGTGCGGGTATGAGTCAGCAGCCGCGCGCGCAGTTGCCCCGGACGACAGCATCAACACGATGACGGGCAGCCGCGCTTACTTCGAGGGTTCACATCGCGAGGCCGCTGGATCACGACGTTGCAAACGCACTTACTTCGCTACAATTGCGTTCAACGCAACTGATTATTGCATCAGTATCATCTACCAACATCCTCAGTCGCTGCAGCATCACACATTTCCAGAGCCATGCCTGGCCGGGCGGGCTCCGACGGGCCGACCGTCTCATTGTCGTGTATGCCAGCTTCCAGCATGATAGACGCAATGAGATACGATACTAACACCGCTTCCAGTCGCGAACAATTTCTGGGGCAAGGAAGACGCCGGCGTCGACCCTCTCCTTCAGCGCATGCACAATGCCAAAGTCACCAGCGACGAATTGAAGGCCTTCTACACCGCCCGATCCGCCATCGAAGATGAATACGCCAAAAAGCTGCTCAATCTGGCGAGGAAGCCATTGGGATCCGTCGAGACGGGCACACTACGAATGTCATTGGATGTGGTGCGAGGAGAGACTGAGTCCATGGGAAAGGCACATCAGCACATTTCGCAGCAAATGAAGGGAGAGCTCGAGGAACCACTCGTTGCATTCAACGGAGGAATCAAGGAGCGAAGGAAGATCATCCAGACCGGAATCGAGAAGTTGCTGAAGACGAAGAATCAGCAGACAGCACAGGTCAACAAGACGCGCGATCGCTTTGAGCAGGACTGCCTCAAGATCAAGGGCTACTTGGCTCAAGGCCACATGGTGATGGGCCAGGAAGAGCGCAAGAACAAGGCTAAGCTCGAGAAGACACAAGTCCAAATGTCGACTAATAGCACCGAGTACGAGCAGGCCGTCAAGATTCTGGAAGAGACCACTGGCCGCTGGAATCGCGAGTGGAAAGCAGCATGCGACAAGTTCCAGGATCTGGAGGAAGAGCGATTGGATTACTTCAAGAGCAGCTTGTGGTCATTCGCCAACATTACATCGACCGTGTGCGTAAGCGATGACCAATCTTGTGAGAAGATGCGCCTTTCCCTCGAGGACTGTGAAGTGGAGAAGGACATTGTCAGCTTCATCAAGGACTTTGGCACTGGTCAGGAAATTCCAGATCCGCCAAAGTACATCAACTTTTGCCGAGGCGACCTGGACGATGTGATCTCGAATCACGATTCAGACGATGGCAATTATGCCGTGGCTCAATTCCAGCGCACGATGAATCCGACGTTCAGATCAGCATCACCACAACCAAGCACCTTCGAATCACATCACGATCCAGATTCGAGCTTGCGTGAGGAGATGGGAATTCCAAAAGCCCGCACCACTTCCGTTCAACTCGATGATTCTTTCACAGCGCAAGCACGAAGCTCGCATGGCAGCGCAGCGGCAATACCGCCACCACTCGCATCCAGCAATGTCTCATCGGTGGCATCGAACCCCTACGCAGACGCACCACAGATTCCGCATAACCCATATCCTACAGATGGCATGACTCAGTTCTGCCGACCTGGAATGGGACCTCCTTCAGAGCGCAGCACAATTCCATCACCAATGAGACCTGGAAGTCGCGAGAGCCAGGGTGACCACAGTGATTACTCTGCACCAACGTCGTTCTCTAGCATGGAACCACCCAGTGGTGCAGCATCGCCGACCAAGGGCTATAATTACAACGGATCCAACATTTCCGGCGTGTCCAGTATGTCTGGAGGCCCGCCAGAGGAAAAGTCCATCCAGAAGAAGAAGAGCGGTTTCTTTAACAGTCCTTTCAAGCGAAGAGCCAGCACAAAACGCAAGGATGAACCTCAATCTGCAGCTCCTACGCCGACGAATCGTAACACTTGGACTCCTGCGAACATGCGCAAGACTGAGAGTGCGAACAGTAGCCCAACAAAGCCATTCGGGCACAGCAGAACCAACACTTGGGCCAATAAACAGCCCTCGGTCAGTCCCGACCCAGACGTCGACCCTCGCGCGGACTACCAGCTTGGCATCGGAAACAACGTCTTCGATGTAGCTCATCCTAACAAGAAGCCACCGGCTAGGGGCGCTACGGAAGGCGACCATGACCCAATTGCACAAGCTCTGGCAGAACTGAAGGGTGTCACGAAACAAGCCTCTACAAGACAATCAGCAGATCGACACTATGGTATGTCCACTCCAGCACCTGGTACGGAGGCGGCAGATCGTACTGTCCCTGCGCCTTTTGCCAGCAAAGGAGCTCGCGCAACGCCTCCACCAGGCTACACTCCCGCAAGCACACTCGGTGCTCCTCCGCCAGCTCATACAAAGCGAGAGATGCAAAAGACCGCGGAACAGTATGGCACCCAGAAGCGTAACATGTTCAACGCAGCTCCTCCGCGACCTGGTAGTAGCATGGGTCAAACAGCACGTGCACCATCTCCGGGTCCTATACCGCGAAGTACAAGCCCTCGCCCATTCCATAACAATGATCAGCGAACACAGCAGCCATACCGCGCCGCATCACCAAACCCTTACGGGGCGCCTCGGGCAGCATCGCCAAATCCTTACGGCGGCCCGGCGCCTGCAGCAGCAAGGCCTCGAGCACAATCGAATAGCCCAGTCAAGTCCCAGTACGCTGGAAACTCAGGCCAATTCTCAAGAGGCGGCTCTCCAGGCTACCAGGTTCCTCCTCGCGCTACATCTCCAAACCCAGCATACAGTCGACCCGGGACCAGCGCAGGGCGACCAGGTAGTAGCCGAAGCAATGACCCGTACGGCGGTGGAGCCATGGTTCTCGCTCCTGCCGGTCAAGACCCTGGCTATGGCTCTCAACGTGGCGGCCGGCCTCAAAGCCAATACTATCCTGATCAGAGCGGTGGAGCTAATCAAGTTTCATCTCGCGTTCGAAGTCAGAGTCAAGGCACGCAGAGACAAGTCACAAAGGATGGAAGGCCGATCATGCATTATTGTAAGTTCAAACACTGTCCCTTTCCCTCGAGATCGGGCTGCGACTGACTATTCCCTAGCTCGAGCAATGTACATGTACCAAGCCGCCATTCCCGAGGAGTTGTCCTTCGCCAAAGGAGATATTCTAGCCGTGACGAGACACCAGGACGACGGATGGTGGGAGGCGGAAGTTAATGGACGATTGGGACTGGTCCCAAGTAATTATTTGAAGAACGTCTAGGAGCGAGACGATAATATTGCACTGCAGCGGATCAAGAGCAAAAGGGCTGGTGGTGGCGGCTGCGGGGGTGGTGCTGGGCCTAGCAACTGGAAGAAAGAGAACATTCGACCTGGGACAAGCCGGGAATCGCCTCGGGAAGAGAGGTGGAGAGGTGATGATTATGAGGTTGGAATGCTTTTGTGATGACTTTGGAACGTTTTGCTGGGAAATGCTTTCTTTTCTGGCTGGATGGATGATTGATGCGTGTGTTTCTGTCTTCTTCGTTTTTGGGCGTCGGGAGACGCTTACAGTGTGTGTGTACACAGACAGCTTCGGTCGCTCGCTTTGTTGTACGTACAGAGATGATTGATTCCGCTAGTGCGATGTTTGGGAAGGGAGAGGGAATATACGAATGTACAGCGAAAGGGTTCACTTCTTAATGGCTCGCCTTTTCTCACCTCAGCCCGGTCCGAGTAGACTTCGAAATGCAAAAGGATGAAATCAATCGTGGAAATTCATTCTGGGTATCTAGGCTGCTGTTTTGCCATTAATACGTGACGTGACCGGTTTCATTTCATTGTGCTGTTGTGCCCGTTCCTTGTCTTTAACCATTCAGTCTGGACCTGCTCAGGAATCATGTATAGTCGCGCCCTCCTCACACGCTGTTCGTCTCCAATGGCCATAAGGTGAGTGCGTCTTCGTCGAGTGTTGTCGCAATGCCGGCGTCCATCTCAATCTTTTCTCTTCTCACTTCCCATATCGGATTCTGTTCTTGGTAACGGTACTTGTGCGGGATCAGGCTGATTGAGTGTCTTTTCAATCTTGGCCTCGGCCGCCGCAGCAGCAGCTTTCTCGTCCTCTTCGCTGTCCGAAGACTCAGAGACTTCGATATCACCTTCGCCGTCTTGTTCGAGGATCTGGCTGCTGCTGGCCGGTTCGTTTGCCAAGCGGACTTCTTTGCCGCGTTTGTGGCAGTACCAGAATACGAACATGAGGACTAAGTGAAGTGTGTTAGTCAGTGATTGCGTGAGGTGAAAGTGAGGTTGAGAAACAACTTACTGAATACTGCGAGTGAGAGGACGACGTTCGTCGTTGATGCTAGGAATGGGAAACGCGTGGTGAGGAAGTTGACAGTGTTTCGAAGCATTGTCGCCACGACACCTTCTTTGCTCATGAGTTTCTTCAGTCCAGGTATTGTGCGTTTCTTTTTCTCTTGTGGTTTACTCGAAGTGGGCGTCGATGAGCCTTCAGCCGCTTGCTTAGTTTTCAAGTCCGCGCCAGGCTTTTCACTCGCAGCTGCCATGATCTCCGGCGCAAGTGAGGTGCCGATCTTGGCAGGCAGGCTCTTCACGAGTGTTTGTACGAAAGGTGGCATGGTCTTGAATTGCTTCTCGAGAGTAGGACCAGCATCTCGCATCAGCTTGTCCATGTCATCGTATGCTGTAGGTACGCCGTTGATGGTATCTTTGAGGACCTGGGCGAAGCGATCGTAGATCTTCTGGGTTTCTTGGTTGAATGCGAAAACACGGTTATTGATTGCGGACATGTTCAGATTGTCGAGCAGGACGGATACTTCCTTTTCTTGTTTCTCTTTTGTCTTCTCCTCGTTGATAGTACCATCTTCGTTGTAGACTGGTTCGGGCTTCGCATCCTTGTCTTTGGAATGCCATGTCCATGATTCAGGCCAACTTGGGAGGGAGTTCGAGAGCACAAGATTCGATGCATATTCGCCCCATGTTCGCTGGTTGCTGTCTTCTGTCTTTGTCTCTTGCTCGGCTGGTTTCGCACTGCTCCGGGCGTCTTCTTTCTTCGCAGGTTGAAGTTTGGCAGGGAGATACGATGCCCATGTCTTTTTCTCTTGTGTGCTGACTGTGCCCTTCTCGTCGTCGAGCTTCACTGCCGAGTTCCAGCCTCGCGTTGCTTCTTCTGCCTCCTCTTGACTGGGTAGTTCGAAGCTCTTTCGGTTCGACTTCTCTTTCGACGCATCGGTTGACTTAGGCTGGGTTTCGGGTACAACTACGTTCCCCTTTGCTGCCTTGGCTTCTGCGGACGACGCATCCTTGACTTCGCCTTCGTCTGTGACTTTCGCGACATCGGCAGGCCGAGGAGGGAGATCTGGTTTCGGTCCTTCATCCTGGGATAGGTGACGTTCCAGGAACTTCTCGTCTTCATCGTTGAGCACCGGCTGAGTAGGATTCGTCTTTTTGAGTTCTTCCTGGTTCTTCTTCGCCCTAGCAAAGGATGGCAGCGTGAAGTAGGAGGACATGATGCGTGTTGTAGGGGATTTATGAAAGGAAGAATGAACGGAGCGTTACTGCCTACCTTTTGCAACTTTTGGAGCACCGCCACTATCAGCATACAACCCACTTCCGCAGCTCACCAGAGCTCTGTGTGTGCTGGGTGGCACACCTCGGAGTCAACCATACGTCACTGGCGTCTGTGAAGTTGGTGCGATGCAGCCAGGATCTGGGAGGCAGCGGTCCAAGATTCGCGTGGCTTGGCATTCCAGCAGACCTCACCTCGCCCTGCCCATTGCTCTCCTGCCATCAATGACACGATGAGGATTGCTTCCAAAGCTTGTCTGCAGATGGCTTTTCTTCTCACATGCTGTGCTCTCGATGACAATCCCTCGAGCCGCCGTCACAGGGCTTCAGCCCGGATCCTGTGACGAATATTGCGCTCGAAGACGAAACTACGGCCACTGCCAGAATCGGGCTCGCATATGACCACCAGCGATAGTAGGGGGAAGCACGGCAGTCTCTGCGTGGACTTTGTGTCGGCATGTGACAAGAGCGCACATTGAACACGATGAAAGCCAGATATGCTCAACGAGAAGCACAAGGCTTCCGGTCGTCTTGGAACCAACTCTGCTACCCGCTGAGCTGTGGTCACTATATCGTAGGTCATCAGGTATAGGGTATATTGGAGCAGGGCCTCCGCTGTCCTCGCGCTCCCACAATCATGTTCTAAGAGCACATGATGTTTTGGCGTTGGGCATCAAACTGGGATCTCTTCGGCCACATACTATACCGTGTCTACCGAGAGCAGTTTCGGTCACGCCCAATACGGTTCTTGCCAGGCTCCGGGAATCGTGGATCAGCAATTGTTCTGCTCAGCACATCCGGCCGCTGCGTTCTGCTTCAGATGCCAAGAGACCATCTACCAGCGACTGTGCCGTACGGCAGTGGCGCCGGAATCCGTCTGACTGCACATTGATGGGCGCACTGGTCGATGGTAGGCAGGCACGACTGCCACCCGAATTCAAGGGGGTCCAACATAGAATCACTGTGTGCACGTGCCAATGAGTAAGTCATTCACTCGCGCCAGCCCCACTTTTGTGGCTTGTCCCTGGCCTGTCTCTTTTCGGCGGCCGCACACCACGCCAACAACCCCTACCAACCAACAAAAATTCAGGAAGTGATCATTGGAGAAAGCACTTTGAAGCTGCGAAGATCTTCCCAAAGGCACACGCCTGCACATTACCACCTCACTCCAAGCATCTCCGCGCGCCGTCGCCGACTGTGCCATCCGATAGACACCGTCCTTCCTAACTTCCGCGACAACACTTCGGAGACACACCACAATACCAGCACTCGCGCCCAACAACGACGCCCACCATGTCGCTGGACATGTTTTGGGGCGGTGCCCCGCAGCCGATCAACACACGTAAGTCTCTGATTTTCTTGGCAACTTCATGCTCGCTCGAGTCTTAAACCTGCGGCATTGGAATCACGTTTTTCTCGAGCGACAGCACTGACTGTGATTACAGCACATGAAGCACTTGCCCAACTCAGAGCTAACGAGTTCGCACTTGAGGAGGACAACGAACCGGGTCATGTAAGTGTTTCTCCTTGATTCCGCCGACATCCATGCCTATCAGGGTGGATACGAGTCAAAACAGGCAATGAAAAGCTGACAGAGCGACCATAGCTGTCGGACGAAGAGCCCGTCCCGCAAGAACCCCCGACTGGCGACACCGAAGCAGTCAACGAAGAAGAGTCGCGCGGCAAGCTTCGAGTTCTGGGGGGAGTTGCTGCCATTTCCAAGCGTATCAACGCCGACTACGATTCCGATGACGCCCGCATCATCGAGTTGAAGCAGCAGTCCTACAGCGACGAATATGTGGCAGCCAAGTTGACGGAAGAAGGCCGTATTCGGTATGTGCCAAAGACGGTCGGCAGTCGCTGGTTGCGTCTGCGTAAGGTGCTTGAGAAGCGCGAGGACGAGCGACTCGATGATGAGCTGAGCGACTGGCACGTTGGAGAGGTGAGTATCTCTGAAAATCTCGACTTTTACCACGCCAAGCTGACTCCAACCAGGACGAAGAGCTCAACAACATCAAGACAGAAGTGGACAAGAAGTTCGAAGTCCAATTCCAGCGTCTTCGCGATAGGATGTGGAGTGAGGTCTCGATCTACCTCGCCGAGAAGACGGTCAAGCGCAAGTACACGGCCAATGCATGCCAAGAGCGATATGAGGCTCTGAAGAATGGTACTGCTCTTCTTCCGATCGAACTCGATGATGACCAGGAAGGCCGTCGTCTGCTCCGCGAGGAGCGAATCATCGCGGCCCAAGCTCGTCGTGATGCCATTGAACAGGAGAAGAAGGATCTCGAAGCTGCACGTGAAGCTCGTATAGAAGAGAAGAAGCAGTTGAAGATCGATGAGGCGAAGCGTAGACAAATGGAGATCAAGAAGCGCCAAGATGCTGCCGCCGAGCGTCGCCGTCAGAAGCAGGAGAAGCAGAACATGGTGGTGCAAGCTCGTGAGGCTCGCGAGCAGTATCTCGAACTCATTCGCCTTGAGCGTGATTGGGAGTTGGAGAAGATTCGCGTTGAGCGGGAGATCTTCAAGGAGATAACAGGCAAGAATCTCTTCGGCAAGGCTGCGACGGCTCGTGATCGCTCAAACAAGCGCAAGTCTGGCGTCACTCTAGACTGGGAATCTGACGAAGAAGACTTGGACGATATGGAGGACTCCGCCAGCGATGCCGACGATGAAGAAGATCTCGAGCGTACCGACGCTGGTGCCAACTTCGCGCCGAAGCGTCCCAAGAAGACTCCCAGCAAGAAGCGCTCCCAGCCAGCTCGTAGAGCAAGCTCAAAGCGTACTAGACTGACTGAGGCCGAGTTTGAGGGGTCCGCCAACGAGGATGAGACCACTGCCCATGAACCAGGTTCTTCTAAGGTCCGCGTCACCAAGGCTACTCTGCTCAACCCACGTTCCATTCTCAACAACGGCGAACTCAAAGCCATCATTCGGCGTCGCGACATCACTCCAGGCTGGCAGGAAAACGAGACTCATGCCGAAGTTGTCGCACGTCTTCAGCACATCGACGAGTCTCTGAACGTCAACCAGCTTCGCGCTCTCTGCAAGCAGGAGTTTCTCTCCCCATCCGGCAAGAAAGAGGAACTCATTCGTCGTCTGGCCGGTCACGATGCTGAGCGTAGCTTCGCTGGCCAGTCTTTGGATATCGCGAGTCACGATGTGGAGTTCATGCTGACGTACGACGGTTACCACGGTGAGTTCAGAAAGTATCTGGACGAGGCTGTTCAGGAAGCTCGGGACAGAGGCGAGGAGGTTGTGGGCCTCGATGATGAGGACGACGAAGATGCGATGGAGGAGTGAGGTACGAGATTGTGGCATGAGTGGAGATCAATGTGGCTGGGGGTGTTTTCATGTTCTGTACACTACTGTTTGACGAGCCACAGCTGTTTTCTGCCAAAGACGATGATGCTGAGGCATCAGAAACTCGGATGTGTCGTCTGGCGGATTTGGAGGTTCAACTGAGAGCGCGAGCACTCATAGTGTGTCTCCTTTCGATAAAAAAGCTGTGATAGTGGCTCAAAAAGTTTTGTTTCGAATAGCTCCATCTTGAGGTCACTGACTAGGCCGCCATGTGTCCAGCCGGGCTAGGCGCAGCTCTTGCAGAATACCGGAAGTGTTCGAGCCATCTCGGGACGTTCGACCTGCGTTTCGGTGAAAATGCCGCCGCGTAGGTGGAGCAGAAAGCTCAGACGCCTGAACTCGCCGACTTTCCACAAGTCGGCTGGTGACTATGCGATTCAGCGTTCATACGCAGTCCAACTACTATACACCTAGCAATGGAGCGATCGTATCATGTAGATTGTTGAAGACCCTTCAGTAGTTCTCTCGACTGCTAGTTGCAGCTGACTTACAGAAGATGGTGAGATGGTACCTGGCACCATCTGCACAGCCATGTCAGCGACAGGGGTGGCCATGCTGATCTGACTGCATGTCTCAATGGCAAAGGGCAAACATTGATGTCGCAAGTACACGAATGCCCTGGGACTGATATCAGCATAGGCAGAAGCCAAGCAGGGCCGCGTTTTTGGCGGGAGGTGAAGACGGGTGAACGTGGGGGAAGCGACGCTCCGGTTGCCCTTGTGGTCGGTGCGATGACGTCCGATTTTGCCCCCGCTAGACTAGAGGCTGGAGATGGCACGACATAACCGGGACACACAACACCTGGTCATCTACACGAGCCGCTACTCTTTTATCTTTCTTAGCTTGCAACTACTGACCCCCTACAACGGCTTTCGCTTCCTCCACTTTTGACGCATTTCGAAGCGAATCCGACAGGTTCTGCGACGACGACTTCTCCGCGATACTTGAATCGCATCGGTGACGAGGGTTTGAAACACGAGGTAGAGCCTGAACAGTACTCGATACCAGAATGTCAGAAGAGGCGTCTGCAGTTCCGCCTGCGCAGAAGGCATCATGGACGGGATTCTTGAAGGTGGGAGCGTACAACGTCCATACTCATTCTCTCCTAACACGCAGTAGCAACTTGCTTCGTTCAACGGCGACCTCTCCTCGATGACCGCTCCTCCCTGGATTGTCAGTGATACATCTTTGACCGAATTCTCGGCATACTGGAGTGAGATGCCCCGCCTGTTGGTTGCGCCTGCACAAGAGAAGGACAAACAAAAGCGCATGGTTCTCGTACTCAAGTGGTTTCTCAGTACACTGAAACAGCAATATGCCAGTCGCAACGAGAAGCTTGGTTCGGAGAAAAAGCCTATCAACCCATTTCTGGGCGAGCTGTTCTTGGGCAAGTGGACAGACGAGACCGGCGAGACGCAGCTAGTCTCCGAGCAGGTGTCACACCACCCACCAGTGACCGCATACAGTATCTGGAATAACCAGCACGGCGTTCGCCTGCAAGGCTACAATGCGCAGAAAGCTAGCTTCTCCACGACGATTCACCTCAAGCAGGTTGGACACGCGCTTCTGCACCTCGACGCATTCGACGAGGACTATCTCATTACGCTGCCCGCGCTGCACATCGAAGGCTTGCTGAAGGGGTCACCATTTGTGGAATTGAACAAGAGCAGCTATATCGTATCATCATCTGGCTACACTGCACGGATTGACTATTCGGGTGCTGGGTGGGTATCTGGCAAGAAGAACTCGCTCTCGGCAATTGTATACCCGCATGGCAAAGAGAAGGACAAGAAGAGCGTCTTGTACAAAGCTGAGGGCAGCTGGACAGACGAATTCGTCATCAAAGATGCCGACAAGAATGTTGTTCAACAGTACAACGCGAAGAAGGAACCCAAGACGCAGCTACAGGTGGCGGACATCAAAGACCAGGACCCTCTAGAGACACGGAGAGCGTGGCAGAAGGTTGCCGCGGCCATTCAAAAGGGTGACATGAATACTACACACGCTGAGAAGACCAAGATTGAGGAGTTTCAGCGAGCGACTCGCAAGAAGGAACAAGCGGAAGGGAAAGAATGGCAACGCATCTTTTTCTCGCGAGCAGACAAGCTTCCAGTGTTCGACAAGCTCATCAAAGAAGTGCCCTACGGCGGTATTGAACAGGATCAGACTGGTGGCATCTGGGTGTTTGACCAGGAGAAGGCAAAGAATGCGAAGCCGCCGTTCAGCCCACTCAGCGAGGAATTGAAGAACGGTTTGTAGGCTGGTTGCTTAGGAGGCAAAGAAGGTCGAGGTCTGTGCAGCTGCACGTATTCAACAGGGTTGTACATTACATAGCGAGCATGGAGTAAGACACGCATGCTACGACGCATACGAACACGAGGCGCAGGTAGCATTGGGTCACTAGTCCTGAGAGAATGAGTATCAAAGCATCTTCCAGCTGTGACTTTCCACGATGCTGAAATCGAAGGAGCGGGGATGGTAGTATTTTGTGCAACAACGCGAGACCGAGTGATTTTTCTTGGCTGTGACGATCGATGTAGCTTTAGTTTGAGCAAACCACCCGAATTATTTACTGCCTTCCCTGATGTAGCAGCGACGATTTCGCTCTTTCTATGCGTGTGTTGTGAGATGAACGAACACACTCCGTCGCACAGTCTCAGATCAACAAACTCGCAGGCGACACGACGAACAGGCATTCGAACGCAGCAATCGGAGCGGTACACTTCAGACGAGCTAGGATCTCGCGGCGGCTTGACCTCGATTATCACCAACCTGAGCAACGCTTCCAGCAACCCAGCCTCGCCGCAGTTCTTACAGGAGCATAGCCAGTCTCATTTACGATCACCTCCTCCTCCGACGTACCTCACTCTCAACGACCTCGCCGCCATCGCAAGACGCCGCGTCACCAGCCGGCAGTCATCGACCTCGTCCGTGTCCACGACCGCATCACACCCTACCAGTGGCCGCGCTCGCAACAGCGCCGCTTCTGGCTATCATCACTTAGCTGCTGGTGACGCAGGCTTGTCATCGAGCGGCGGAAGTGTTGGTGCGGTGGGCATTTCACGTCTCGGGAGACCTCCGCAATCGACAGTCGCATCCCCGGCATCGTCGACCGGTACACACGGCGCGGGCAGCTCGTCTGGACAACTGAACAGCTTGCTCTTGACGCAGCTGAACATACTGCTGAGCACCTTGAAAGGAGAGGCAGACAGGACAAAGTGGACAGCACAATTGGACAAAATCCGGAAGCTCGTCAGCGACAGTGGGATGGAGTTATTCACGACATATTTTCGACGATTGCTGCAGAGCAATGCGTCCACAGTCATTTCTAGCACACCTCGCGCTCCCGAAAACGCCGGCAACTATGAACTACTGATCGAAGAAGTGCAGAAGCTGGTTAAGGAGCCGCGGCAAGCACAGCAGATCGCAGAAGCCCTCGACACCAACGAGGGGGACGTGTTCCGAGACTTTGAACTGCAGGCTTTCCTCGACCACTTCGCATTGGACCCCGTCGCGCGCGTCGCACTGCTGCAACCGCTGCGAACAGTGTCAATCCCGAGTTTGCGACAAAAAGGTACGTTGTCGATCTGCACATGCACAACAACACTGGAATAGCTTCGATGCAGCATCCCGCATGCTGGGTTGGGTGGTTCAAGCGTTGCCAAGGTTCCCGAGCTAACACCTTGATACAGCGGACTCGCTTTTGACCGCGACCTTCCCTCTATTCCTCCAGACCCTCGCCGCCCAACCGCTCCACGCCGCCGACGCCGACGTCGACCCCGCGCCATCAGTACTAGCATCGATTATCGAGCGAGTCATCCACGATCCGCGCGGTCTCAGCGACGAACTCCGCGAAAACCTCTTCTACGCGGTGCGCATCTACTATCGCACCCGCGGCTTGCGCACGCCATATGCAGTCGAGTCGGCGATGCTGCTGGACGAGCTGCTGCAATCGCAGCAAGACTCGCGTCTTGTGAAGCGCTTGCAGCATGAAGGGCCGCAAGCGACCGCGAGCCTCGAGGCCTGCAAGGAGGTGCTGGCAGGAGCAGAAACACGCGACTTCTCCTACTCGCAGATCGCAAATGTGCTCCTGTACATGGTCCTCGTGCAAAATGGCGACGCGTACAATCCCTCCGTCTTCGTCGAGGCTGTCCGTCAGCACCGCGCCGGAGCGCGGATAGACTGGACTGATGTGGTCACGGGCTTCGACAAGGAGGGTCTGCGAGTGTCAAAAAAGCAATTTCTGCTGCTGTACAATGCGCTGCTCCCGCTGGCGAGGGAGTACGCCAACTTCGACATCCAGCTACTCTGGGGCGGTAATTGGCACTGCCAGGAGACACAGTTGAGCTTCGTGGTGGCCTTTCTGTCCATGACGCCGGAAGAACTGGATGTCATGCAAATACCGAATCTGAGGCAGGCATTCGAGTTGACGAGCTTCGCAACGGCATCTGACAAGATCCGCGCTTTCGCAGAGAAGGCTATCAAGCATCCGCTGGTATCACTGGACGCTACAGAAGCTCTCTTCACCATGATCTTCCGGTCACAGGAAACGTACAATATGGCTCAACAGCTTGGTATTCCTGACAATATCATCAACCAGAATATGACGACTTTCGTTTGCGCCGCATCGAATGTGCCGAAGCCGTGGGGGCCTTTGCAAGAGCAAGCGCTGAAGCAGCTATTCTTTCCATTCTTGATGAAACAGCATGGAAACTACGATTTTGTCATGCACGCTCTGTGGCAGCACGATAAGCATTGGGTGGCTACTCGACTCATCGAGTGGTACAACACAGATCCGAACCTTCTCGGCCTGGTGTACGACCACGCTCTCGAACACGGCTGGCTCGAGCTCCTCTTCACCCTACCCAGTAGCTTCGCGGTGGACCTTGCTGCGTACGCGCACGGGAAGGGCCAATGTAACCTCGTTGACTGGGCTCGGAATCACATCAGTGGCATGGGTCCACCACAATTCGCTGCGGCAATGACGGATTTCCTACAGTCCAAGATGCAGGACGAGACCGTGGTGCAGCGCGACCAGGTCGCTCCAACAACGCCGCCACTGACTCTGAAGACCATACATGCCTTGCTTGGGCTCATCAGTGATGCTCTATATGAGGACCAGAAGACTGAACTCTTCCGTCATTGCTTGCAACTGTATCCCAGACTATTCAACTATGGCGAGGATGATGCACGCGACGCAGTCATCGATGCCAACAGTGGGCGCGGCCATTCGTTGCCGGAACAGGCGACGCAAGAGATGGAAGAGCGCTACAAGCAGATGTACGGCGGGCAAACCACTCCTGACAGCCTCGTGACTGAGCTCAGGCGGCTGAAGGCATCTGACAACCCCTCAGAACAAGAGCTCTTCGCTGCCATGCTGTTCGGTCTGTTCGAGGAGTACAATTGCTTCGGAGAATACCCTAATGAAGCTCTTGCGACGACGGCTGTGTTATTCGGTGGATTGGTGTCTCACAAGGTTGTGTCGGGCATTGCAGAACAACAAGCCATTTTTATGATCTTGGATGCCGTGACGCAGTCTAGCACTGAGGACCCGATGTATCGCTTTGGCTTGCAAGCTCTGATCCATGTTCTTCCCCGCCTGAAGGAATGGCCTCCTCTGGCGGAACGCATCCTGCGTATCCCCAGTCTTCGTGGGACGAGTGCCATGGAAGCTGCGGAGACCGTGCTCAAGGAGGCTCAACCACAGTCGGCTGGATTGAACGGCGAAGCCACCAATGGACTCACCAACGGCGTACTGGACGATGAGGAATTCGAGGTTGTCGCGCCTGCCTTTACCGCCATCCAGGTCGACCCGCCGAACCCGAACATCGCATACGAAGACCCGAACGAGGATATCTCCGACAAAGTCACCTTCGTCCTAAACAACGTCTCGAAAAGGAATCTGGATGAGAAGTTCAAGGAGATTGAGAGTGCGCTCGAGGAGAAATACATCCAATGGTTTGCCCATTATCTTGTTGATGAGCTCGCCAAATCTCAGCCAAACTTCCAAAGCCTGTATCTTCAAATTCTGGAGAATTTCAACAAGAAGTTGCTCTGGGCTGAAGTGCTTCGCGAGACATATTTGAGTTGTCAGAAGATGCTCAATGCGCAAGCCACAATGGAGAACCAGCATGAACGAGCGACTCTCAAGAATCTGGCAGGCTGGCTCGGACAAATAACACTTGCACGCAATCAGCCCATTCTGCATCGCAATCTGTCGTTCAAGGACTTACTGCTTGAGGCTCACGATAACGAAAGACTACTCGTGGCCATTCCATTCACATGCAAGACGCTCGTTCAAGCCGCGCACTCCAAGGTCTTCAAGCCGCCGAATCCGTGGATTGTTGAGCTATTGGGCCTACTCAGCGAACTCTACCACGGCTCATCGCTCAAGCTGAACATGAAGTTCGAGATCGAAATGCTGTGTCGAGAGCTCAGTATGGACATCAAATCCATCGAGCCGCTCGATATCATTCGATCGAGGCCTACGTTGGACCAAAACAACATGCTCACGAATTACATTCCAGAAGGTCCGGATGCCTTTGGGGAGATGACTTTGATGGGGCTGTCCAAGCGTGGCCCCAACGAACGCTTCTCGCCTGAAGCTGTTATCTCTCAAGTGCCGGATCTTGGACATATGCTGCAAATCCCACAGGCCGTTGGCACGACCACTCCTGCTCAGATGAAGGCCATCTTTGTCAATGCAGCACAACAGGCTATTTACGAGATAATAGCTCCGGTGGTCGAGCGTTCTGTAACCATTGCTAGCATTTCTACTGCAGAACTGATACAGAAGGATTTCGTCACCGAGGCTGATGTGGAGAAGATGCGCAATGCGGCTCACACGATGGTGAAGTCGTTGTCCGGGAGTCTCGCTCTTGTCACATGCAAAGAGCCTCTGCGGATGAGCATCACCAACAACATCCGTCTCTTGGCCGGACGATCCTTGCCCGAACAGTTGCCGGAAGGTCAAATCTTGATGTTCGTAAACGACAACATCGACACAGTCTGTCGACTTGTGGAACAAGCAGCAGAAGATCATTCCCTGGCGGAGATTGATTTGCAACTGCAGGAAGCCTTGACGGAGCGACAGCAACATCTTGATCAGCGGCCGAATGAGTCGTTCTCCCATGTACCAGTTAGTCGATGGTCGACTCTCATCCCAGAACCCTACAGACAGGATCAAAATGGATTGAACAGGCAGCAACTGGCACTCTATGAGGATTTCGGTCGACAAGCTCGCATCACACCAGCAGCTCATGCCGGGTCTGCCTCGCAGGATGGCACGCGTGCAATGACAGATGTGCTCGGCGATAGCTACCTCCCGAACATGCCAACTCCCGCTGAGGCGCCTGCGATGCCTCATCCAGGTCAGGCACAGCGTATTCCCGGCATGCAAGGCGGACTACCACGCGCCAACGGCTACCTTGATCCTGCGAGTCTCAATGATCGTATCATCACATTGATGTCTGAGCTTCAACAAGCGTCGCGAGAGGCACCCGAAGAACATATCAGCGAGATCGGCGAAGGTGCCACCATCCGGCGCGTGTACGGACAACTACTAGTCTTGATCGAAAGTGCTCCACAACCTGAGACTACAGTGCAAGCGTGCGCGAGCCACTGCCTCGGATTGATCTATGGCGAAGCTCAAAAGCGACTGGAAATCGAAGTTCTCGCTCGTTTCCTCACCCAGCTGTGCCGAATGTCGCAACAGGCCTGCCGACAGATTACTATGACGATTGCTACCGTCGAGGACGACAGAATTTTCAACGCGCCAGCCACCATCGCTCTCCAAGGTGAAAGCTTGCTTGACGTCCAGCACATCGATTCATTGATTAGCAAGGCGCTCAAGCAGAGGCGCCCCGTCGCTTTGTCATTCTTCAAGGAGATTGTAGAAGAACTACTCCTGGGCGAGGAAGCGGTAGCTCATCGTGCTGAGTTCTCATCATCGTATGAGGCACTTGCCCAGTGGCTGAACAGCCTGTCGAGTCCAGAAGGCTCGCCCCAGTCGTTCCCGCAAGAGGCACTGATTGGCAGAGAGATCATGCGCATACTGCAAGGCTCGTCGAACTACACCAATGGCTTGCCGAGTCCAGAGACTGATCCTAAGCACGCCGATCAACAAGAGTACCTCTTTGAGGAGTGGATCAAGCTGCAGCGCGTGGGCGCAGAGAATCATCGCTATCTGGCGTTCATCTCACAACTGCACGAAAAAGGCATCCTTGCCGACCCGGAGAGCAACCTCAATTTCCTCCGTACGTGCCTGCGGTATTCAATCGAGCACTTTGAGGTTGTCAGCAGCAGGCCTTACGGCACTATTGACATCGCCTATATCGCCGTCGACGCTCTGGCCAAGCTGGTAACCATGTTGGTGCTGTTCCAGGCTCCTGCCGACGCTGACCGACCCGTCAACAAGGCGAAGAACCTCGAAGGTTTCATTCGCTTGGCGGTGCTGGTTATGAACGATGCCCACAACAAGCATGGTGAGCGCTTCAACAGCCGCTTCTATTTCAGGTTGTTTTCTGCTGTCTTGTGTGAGATTGACGCACACAAAGCGCAAGTGACGCCCGAACAGGAGGTCGAATTCAACAGAGTCATCGCCACAACTCTGCAAGTGCTGCAGCCACGATTTTTCCCTGGATTCCTTCACGCATGGATCGCTCTTCTGAGCCATCGTCTCCTCGTGCCGGCTTTCCTGGTGAATGGTCGGAACAACGGAGGATGGAATCAATTCACAAAGCTGCTGGCGGTCTTGTTCCAGAACTTAGACGACATCTTCTCGTCTACAGAGTTATCTGCAGTAGCACCGGACTTTTATCGCGCGGTGGTTAAGTTCATGATGATTCTGCACCACGACTTCCCGGATTACCTGGTCGAGAACCACATGCAGCTGAATGCTATCATCCCAGCTCACTGCGGCCAGCTGCAGAACATTGTAACCAGCGCGGCTCCACAATCTCAGTCATCGCAGCCAAATCCTTTTGCGCCTGGCCTGAAGATCAATAGACTTGACCAGGTCCGCATTGCTCCATCGGTCTTCTCTGATGTTGACAACGTACTCGAAGAGGCTGGTGTGAAAGCTGCCATGGAGCGTGTCTGCCAGTCAAACGAGCTGAGCGAGCAGAACTTCGCCTTCCTGCAAGCTGTTGTGGACCGTGCGGATGGCCAAATTAGCCCGATTCTGATCAACGCACTGGTCCTTGAGGTTGGCATCAATGCTACTTCAGTGTCATCGGCGTTCTCGTCTGTCACTGCTGCAGCGCGCCTCCTTACTCGTCTGCTTCAAGAAAGCGGCCCACGAGCACGCTACCATCTCATCCTGGCAATGACGAACCAGCTTCGCTACGTCAACTCGCACACGCATTACTTCTCTACTGCTCTACAGCACATCTTTAGCACGAGCCAACAAGATCTGCAAGAGCAGATTCTGCGAGTCATTTGCGAGCGTATGATGCATGACCGTCCTCATCCTTGGGGACTTCTAGTGTTGTTGCTAGAGATGATCAAGAATCCGAACTACAACCTGCTTGAGCAATCTTGGGTCAGAGCTGCGCCACAGGTCGAGCAGCTTCTCGTGACTCTGACCCACCCGAATCAACCGCTTAGCAGCAGTCCCTTTAGTGGACGCTTGCCGATCGGTGCTCGCAACTAGGCATCGGCACCTGCTCGACGCAGAGAGATGGCGGCAGATGGTGGAAGAACGTAGGAGAGGACGGCGAGCCCTTCAATTTGGCAAGAAGGGGAGATTTCCCGTCGTTTCGGTTGTATGTGTGTAAAGAAATGACTCGCTGTACTATCACTTTTTGAAAAGAATTCATGCATGCCTTGGCATCTGGGAACACGGGCGTTTCGAAAGAGACAGATGGGAAGGCTTACAGTGAAAAAGTTCGTGACTGGTTGTTGCATGGCTCGGGCTGGACTGATGAGAGATGATGATTATGTAGAATAGTGCATAGTTGTTAATGAATGCATGCATGAGTTGGTCGTAATGATTTGTTTGCATGGAGCCTAGCAGCATCGTGCCGTCCGTCGGGCTCTCTATTCTTTCCGTCACGCACCACGAGCATTGACTCCGCTATCTAGCGCAGCCTCGGTGGACGCATCAGTGTCAGTCGGTGCTCATGGGCGCCCGTCATTCCTCGCGAAATACACCGCCCAGCCCGAGCTTCCCGGCTTGCGGATTATCCCTCAGCCTGTTGAAGACCGTGGCACGCAGCGTATCGTCGCTCTCAAGGATCTTCTGCAGCAAGCTTGAGTGCTGCTTCATTATCACCCAGTAGTAGTCGACGATCTGCGTTGTGATCAAGCTGAGAATATTCTGGTGTGCATCGGTCATTGGCTTTGGAAGGTCCGAGGCACATCGTGCCAGGATGATGATTCCGAAGGGAGTAAGTGGATACAAAGCACCCAGCTTCTTGTAGATAAGCTCTTGGAGAGGCTCATCTCCGATCTTTACCGCTGTCACGAACGCCTTGCCTAGCGCTTCAGCATGGAGGAATTTTCTCTGTGGCTTCTGATCGAGTCTGGAGATTTGGGGGTCTTCCTCTGGATCGTTGACGAGTCTTGGGCCGATTTCGCCGGTACTGTAATATTCTCGGACAGCAGCGATATCGCTAGCAGCTAGATTTGTTTCGCCAGCGCGGTCGTCTTTTTCCAGATTCAGTTCAGTTGCGCCATCATCATCACATGCTCGGACTGCGAGGTAGTGACATTTTGAGATCAAGCTTCGCTTGACGATGAGCCAGTTCGGGTCGCCGTGTGGGAACACGATGCGGCATTCCTGTGGTCCAGGTTCTGTCGACGAGGTTGTGGTGGGTTCGCCGATGGACTCGCTTGGCTTCTCGATAGATTGATAGACCTTTCTGGAAAATGTATCGATGTCCGATCTTCGAGAAGATGTTGGTGCTGGTGCTGAAGATTGGAAAGGACCGGAAACGAAAGCCTTGTTCTCATCCTCGTGAGAAATATCGATTGTTTCCATTACGGAATCATGTCGACTCTTGCTGAGACCAGCTCTCGCGGCATACCTTGGGCTTTGAGGTTGACGACTAGAGCTACCTACGTCAACTCTCTGCCGTTTTGGGGGTGGTGAGGGCTGCTCTAAGTGGCCTTCGCGCCGGCCATGGAGACTGTCATTCGGCACGCGATATGTCTGCTGGATAGGGTGGCGCTTTCGACGTAACTCCATTTCGATCTTGCGCGCTTCAGACTGGTTCTTGATGTAATTTGCCCAGAATCTGTCATCTTCGAAGGCCTGTAAGTCTCGGAACGCTCTTCGCCGCTGCTTTTCCTCGATGATCTCTGGACCATCACCAGGCTGAATTTCAGGGTCTACGAAGGCTTTGAGACCCTTCAAGTAATCTATGTGGGGTTCAGCAGGCTTAAGCAGCTCATTGTGGATGAAAATGCTGCAGAAAATGGTTAGGAAGTGGTAGGAAAATGCGGGAGTAAGCTGCTCACTATCTGTATCGACCCAGCTGAATCACAGGTATATGAGCTTGCTCTCTGCGTATAGCAAGGAATTTCGCCGGAGCGACCTCATCGGAACAGATCACAACTGGCCAAGGGATCCCCTTGATGGAGGCGATGCAGTTGGTTCCCGGGGGGATCGGCGGTTTGCTTGAGGGCATTCTGCTGGTGGACGTCTTGTTGGAAAATTTCCTTGTGTCGGTTGCACTTGATGAGTTCACAGGAGAATCACATGCGTTGTTGATGTTGTTTGCAAGTTCCTGTCTGACTGAATGGCACAGGTCAAGGACTAGCTCCTAGGACTGAGTGAATTGGACATCAAGTGAGCTCAGATGATAATGCAACTCCACATCTTTGACCTGCTCATGCTGTGCTCACCTGCACACAGGTATGCATAGGTGGCTGACACAATCACAGACCTACCTTACCTACCTCACCTGTCGAGAACTCCAATGAACGCCAAAGATCGGATGTCAGCCCGGCGGGCTCTGCATCGTACTTGATGTTCGGAGCAGGAACGTTTCGAATAGAGCAACTCCAAGTGCATTTCCTGAAATTGATTCCTTGACTATATGTAATACGATGAGTTAGGTGTTGTTTAACGGCATTTCCGGAGCTCTGTGTTTCTGCAGGTTGAAGGAGGAACTCAAGTGAAGTGAGCAAGAAAGAACGAACCACATGCCGCCAAGCCCTACAAGGGTCCGATTTAAGCTTAAACCCTAACCCCGAAAGCTGTCTGTGGACACGTTCCGCGAGCTTCACCAACATCGTTCCTCCAATTTCTCGCGACAAGCCCGGCAACAAATTCCCCAAACGCAACTGCTAGACGGTTTTCCTCCCACAGTCGCCGCCATGTTCGGTGCCGTCGGCAATATGCAGCCCCGGCAGGTGGCCGCCCAAGTCCTCAACTTCGCCCTCGTTCTCAGCACCGCGTTCATGCTCTGGAAAGGCCTCTCGGTATTCACAGATTCCTCGTCGCCGATCGTCGTGGTTCTGTCAGGATCTATGGAGCCGGCATTTCAAAGAGGAGATTTGCTGTTCTTGTGGAATAGAGGGATGGAGACGCAGGTGGGAGAGGTTGTGGTGTACAATGTGCGAGGAAAAGATATTCCAATTGTGCATAGAGTTGTGAGGAGATTTGGAGGAGGGTGAGTTGTCAATGCTTGAGACGTACTGTACCGGACAGAATGTTGGATGCTAATCTGCTGGGTTTACCATAGACCGAAGCCTCTACAACTCCTAACGAAAGGCGACAACAACGCTGCGGACGACACGGAGCTCTATGCGCGTGGGCAAAGTTATCTCGACAGGAGTAAGGATGTTGTTGGCAGCGTGGTGGGATATGTGCCTTTTGTGGGATACGTGACGATCCTGCTGAGCGAATACCCATGGCTCAAGACGGCCATGTTGGTATTTATGGCTTTGACGGTGGTACTGCAAAGAGAATAAGAGCGAGGGTAGTCATGGAGTATGCTGGTCATCATTGGCTCTGGATCTTTAGGATTCGAACTTTGGTCAGGAAGCCCAAGATAGGACGATTGACCGAATTGCTACCCCTTCGTCTGTCGACCTGTTCACGCTGTACGGATTATGCAACTCGAGACGACGCCAACCGCCTCATTAAAAGACAACGAAGCTTGCGCTACGATGAACCTCTCCAAAGAGCGAGTGGGCACAGCATTTGCATGTCGAGCGATTGATACTGCTTGCTATACAAAGCTGCCAATATTACTTGCTCAGTCAGCCTTGTCAAAAGTCGGCTGGCATATGTGTATCATTATCCCAAGCCTGCGCATGATATGTCCTCCGTGGTCCCGCAGTACCTATACCGCGCATCAACAATGTTCCGCCTCTTCAAGCATGTGCATTGAACGGCCAGGCCACGTCCAAATTGTGACTGTGAAACTTACACCAAGTCTGATGAGCCGTGTTTCCGACCTTCTTAATCTCCTGCCACAGCCATCAGTATACGCTCGACAATCCCAATCTTCTGTCTAGGACTCACCTTATGACTGGCCAAGCACATCCAACAGAATTCAAACTTGCACTTCTTGCATCGCATATGATCACATCCGTCAATTTTCTGTATCCTCCATCCGCAGTTCGCCCCTGGACACTTTTTACTAACAGTATCCAGCATGGCCTCGGTCGCACGCTCTTCGTCTTTCGCCTTCGCCCCTGAGGTTCGATACTCGTACTGCTCACACGTCTCACCCGTATGCCAGGCGACTTTGTGTGTCAGGCACTGCTTGTATCCGCAGCCGACACAATCCATGAACGTTCCGGACGCATTTTCAACGTTCAGTTGCCCAGAATTGCAAGTGGTGGACAGACACCATGCGAATTCGTCGAGTGCTGAGAGGGCGTTCCGCGTTAGCATCTTTTCGTACGAATCAAAAGTCTCCGGTGTCGAGTGTGCCAAAATGTCATCGTAGTCGAGTTTGCAAGGGCATTCCGGGCATTTCAGATCTTCGGTCCCCTTTGTTTCGAATTCCGCGGCCAGCCAGCTGTGCATACATTCTACGCAGGTGTGGTTTTCGTGCTCGCACGATAGGGTTGTAGGTCGCGCGGGAAACTCGGCGGGAGGCTTTTCGTCACCGCAGCAGACACAGCCTCGTGGTCGATTGCGTTCTGCCTCTTCGGCGGCGACACGCGCTTCCTCTTCTCTCTGCAGTTCAAGAGCCTGCAGGCGATCGAGTTCCTCTTGCCGGATGCGTTGCAGTTCTTTCTCTTTGCGAAGTGCGATAGCTTTCATCCGGTTGTCCCATTCTTGCTGTCGTTGCTCGATTTCAAGTTGTAACGCGGCTTCGAGGGCTAGTACTTCAGCCATATCGTCCTGTGGATTCTCAGGCTGGTGAGAACCACCAGCCATGGGACTCATGGATGCTCTGCTCTGAGCAGTGTGCCACGTATGATTATCATCGTCTTCCAGCCCTATGCCGCTGTCGACGGGACTCGCGGAGAGTCTTTTGCTCAACTCCATAACGTATCGAATATGCTGCTGATCGAACTCAGACCAATCTCCCTTTGCAATCGCTGGCTGCTTTCCCTTTTCCCTGGGAACCGGTTTCCTCGGGACAGCAATATCCTGAGCAGCTCGATCTTCCTGCGCCGAGATTGTTGCTTCGTGCAGATTGACATTGTCGATCTCCGGTATGTGGCTAGCTGCGAGACCGACGGACTCGCGGCTCTGCACCGACGAGTCTGCTTCCACTGCTTGTTTGCTACCGCCGAACACAGAGAATCGTGACTTGCTACCGAAAGCCTTCGACGCGAATGATTTCTTCTTCGGCTTGACCGGTACGCGTTCCTCTCTCCAGCCATACATGCCGACCGGAATCCTCACAATCTTGTACTCCTGTTCTGCAGGCTCACTCGCAACGCTGTCCGATTTCATCGAGTCGCATTTCTTGAGCTTTGCTGGTGGCACCGATGGTCCAGGCGCTACGTCGATAATGTCCTCGTCCTCTTCATGTTTTTGGAGCTTCTGTTGTGGCAAAGACGGGCCAGGTATTGGTTCAATGAGATCGTCTGAGCTATCACGTTTCTTGAGCTTCGCTGCTGGCCGTTTGAGAGAGAAATTGCCTTCAACCACATCAGGCAAGGAAGGCTCATCGAGGTTAATGCTGCTTTGATTTCGTCGGTGGAGCCTCGCGTTGGACCGCTTCAATAGTCCAAAATCATCATGATCGAATTCTTGTATTCCGATTTTTGGCGGCTTGTTGCTCTTCGTTAGCTGTGCTTGGACTTTGTCGCGAAATCCTTTCATGGTGGGTGTGAAGCTGCTGCCACGCAACGATTGTCTGCGGCAGCTGTGTCGGTGTGCAAACGCTGTATCATCTAAGTGCGCAATTGTGTAAGATACAGATTCAACGAAGAGGATAGGATGAAGTACAGTCTGGCAGGGACAAAAGCCACGGCTGTCATGACTGTGCCCAGTGGAGTGAACAGCCTCGTTCAGAAGCATAGCCGCTGCCATCGAAAACAAGCGAAGACAAACCTGTGCTGTGCACGGCTGCCTCAGTACAGCGGGAGCCAGGAAAGTCTAACGACATAGACGTATAGGATGACTTGGCTTGGACTTATAATACCATATGGCTGTGCTGGCATAGGCCCGCGTGGATCATGCGAGCGCCTGCAGGCCCGCGCTGTGCCCCAGTCTCCGCATAGCCGATATATGAATGCTATCATTGGTACCATACGGGCGGCCGCGAGGTGCACCATGTGGGAGGCGATTGCTCCGAGATGGTGGAACGGTCTTCTAGGATGCCGAAGCATAGTCATGCAAGCACCCGTTTCATCGTCGCACAAATGGTGAGGCCACACTGCAGGAGATGAACCATCATGTTTCCTAATTCGACGTCCTTCAGGCAACCTCGCAGTTGTGTTCGGGAATCGCGCTGCAGGTTTGTTTGGTTGTGGTGTCGAACGGCTGGCTGCGCAGCCTTCGGTTGAGGCGGAGTCAAATCCTCCAGGCGGCCTCTGCCACGATCACGAGTCTCGTTGGCAGAATGTGCCTTGGACGAGCTAGTCTTGTTGGTCTTCACATGGAAGGCAATACGACGGTCTCCAGATGCCGGTCGCTTTGAGTCATGTCGCTTCTCGCCGACGTCCTGCTTTCACTGGAGAGAGGCCTCTCTGTTGCGCGCGCGCTGTCAGAAGCAAGTGTTCGCATTCACCGACGCGTCTGATCGCGCGGTGTCCACGTGCAATGCAGTGCGCAGGTCGCGTGGAGGATAACAGGTCTGAAAGACAAGACATACTGCGGGAGATCATGTAGCAAACACTTTCGATGATAGAGGTGCAGTTGCATGAGGCTGGCAAGGATGATCGGATGATCGTTGTCTTGGCAAGGCTGCTGGCTGCAAGCACGACCTTGCAGGAACTCTATGTGTACTATCCTCGCCATGCAGCGCATCGACAATACTTATGATTACTTGATCTCACTCCAGCCTTTATTGTCCTTGCCTCCATTCACCATTGCGCTGTCTCCCTTCACGGCGCCTGAACGTGCATCCTGGCAAGCTCTTCTAAAAACCAGCATGAATCTCCAAACATCCTCAAAATTGTTGTATAGAGGAGCAGGTGCAACGCGAATCACGTCTGGCTTCCGCTCATCAAGCACAACGCCGTCGTGTTCAAGGACTTCCATCACAGCATCGAGCATACCAGGTCGAAGCATGACCGACAACTGTGCTCCACGCTCCCCCGGATTTCGTGATGTGATGACGTGGAACAACGCCTGACCAAATTGCTGTGCTTGGTCTTGCGCCAACAAATCCAGCAATTGCTCAAGGTAGGCCGTGAGCTTCAGGCTCTTGTTGCGAAGCTCGGCCATCGAAGTCTGCTTGACGACATCCAGACTTGCACGAAGACCGATTGTGTCCGCGACTGAAGTGTTTGATACTTGGAAGCCTGCCGCACCTGATATTGGCTCGAACCTGTTTGCCATGACGAACCGACTGGACTTCGAAGAACCCCACCAGCCCGCCAGTCTTGGTCGATAGTGGAACTGGTCGTCCCGGGCTGTGACTTCGCCATGTCTCTCATGCACGAAAGCGCCGCCTATGCTACCCGGGCCTGAGTTCAAGTATTTGTATGTACACCAGCAGGCGAAGTCGACGTCCCATTCATGCAGCTGCAAAGGCACATTGCCTGCAGCATGAGCTAGATCCCACCCAATGGTGACACCTTTTGAATGTGCGTGCGCCGTGATAGTTTTGATGTCAAGCAACTGACCAGTGTAGTACTGTATTCCCGGGAGCAGGATCAATGCCAGCTCGTCTGCATACTGGTCAATTGTCGAGAGGATGTGCTGGGTCGGCAGGAGTAGTGAGTCCCCTGATGGCGGTTCCAGTAAGATCATCGACTCCCGCGGGTCGTACCCGTTCAAGCGAATCTGAGACTCGACTGCAAAATGATCGCTAGGAAACGCTTTCCCCTCAATCAGAATCTTGTTCTTCGCTTTCGTCGGCCTGTAGAAGCTGCACATAAGAAAATGCAAGTTTGCGGTCAAGGTTTGCATAACTGCGACTTCTTCCGTCTTCGCACCCACGACCGTAGCCATGTCTGCACGCACATCATCATCGACATGAAGCCACGGTGCTAAACGTGTGTCTGAGATCTCTTTGAAATGACCAAATACCCCCTTCTGAGCCCAGGTTGACAAGTATTCCTCGAAGTACTCTCGGGTGAGAGTCGGCTGGAGCCCAAGAGAGTTGCCGCAGAGATATGTACATGGCTCATCGTCCATCTCGTCTGGCTGTGCGGTGATGGTCTTTCGGGCTAGATCTGCTCTGCTCGGTATGACGAACATATCACGGAATCTCGCCAATGGATCTTGTGCATCTTGCGCCTGAGCATAGGCCTGCGTGAAGATCTCGGCTTGATCCATGATAGCAACAACGATTCTGATGGAGACCGTTTCCCAGGCGTCTCCTGATCTTGACAGTCCGATGCTGCACTGCACGTGTTACAGCGTTGCTGATCACTGCAAACAGAGAAGCACGTGAAGTGGATGGTCTTGTGATCTGCCTACCTCAGCCGGCGAAATTAACGTGCCTGTGGCCCAGCAACACAACCTGCCGTGTGACTTGACTGGGCGATGGCACTTGAGTCTGCCTTTGGTGTTGGTACAAAGTAGTGTTCTGCGTTCAACAAGAACAGATGCAAGAAAGGAAGAATCCGTGGCGAACGCGCACTGCGACAACCTGAGGCAACTTTGTCGGCTTCGTCATCTGCGCCGTGACGAGCAGCCGGTCCTCGATCGCGAACCTGGGCAGCAACGCAACCTAGAATCTCTTCCCCGAACATCAACACGACCGGCAGTCTTATAGCGACTTGTAGTCGCGCCAGCAGGAGGGGTCGTCGCTGGCGCGAGGCATGTCTATATCCGTCTACATCGGACATACTGGCCAGTGTCTGCGACTCGACCCCAGCGTCAACAGCACCCTCGAAGCTGTGCGGTCATGGATCGCGTCGCAGACCAGCATCCAGACGCGCGCTCAGATCTTGCTCACTGCCCAGGGCAAGCAGGTCCGCACGCAGACTCTGCTGACCGAGAATGAGTTCTTCGTGTTCGACTCGAGCTGGCTGAATGGGAAGAAGGCCATCAGTCCCGCGAAGGAGTCCATAGACAGCTTCGGGAACGACGACGACTTCAACCCAGGACCCGCCCCGGATACCATCACCAACACGAACGACTTGGCATCATGGCAGCACTTGTTTAAGATCAGGAGAATATGGGCAGCAAGTCTGCTCGAAGGCTGCGGCTCGCAGTCGAAGCAGGCCCAGCGATTACAGGAAAGCAAAGCCATAATCGAGCGCAGCTTGGGGGTGGCCGTAGCTAGTCTGCAGCATCATATCAAAAACGCCGAGAAACAATATGCGAACGTAGAATCATGGGCTACCGAGCAGCTGCAAGAGCAGCAGACGCACACGGGCAGGTGGGAGCAGGACCTGGAAAGCCTACGCAGCATACCCGCCAGACCCGAGTTCACACGCTTCGTGCAACCTATGTCATCTGTAACAGGCTCGCGACGATACTCTCAGCAACACATTGCGACTTTGCAAGGCTATGTGGACATCGTGACTGTCAAGCAGGCAGCCACGACGTCCAAGTCCACGGTCTCTGTTCTCAACAAGCAGCTAGACAGCATACGGGAGGAGTTGGATGCTGCTTCAGCCACCAGCGATGAGCTTCTCCACGCCGTAGATCGAATCAACTCTCGTTCCACTCTTGACGACAGTACTTCAGACCCAGCTCAACTGCTCGAGGAGATCGACATGGTTGTCAGCAAGATGGCCTCCGACCTCGAGCACGTCCAATCCCTAGCCAAAACGCCGCAGTCGTGCGCACAGGCTTCCAAAATGGCCCTCCTCCACACACGAAATTACTTGCCGAACCTTAACGATTATTGCTTGGAGATGAACGAGCTTGTGCAAAAAGCAAGGCGGGAAAGAGATAGTGCCGCTGAGATTGCACTGGAGCATATGCGGACACTTTCGGCAATCGAGTCGCAGCTCGCAAAAATATACCAGGCTATCAGAGAGGTTGACCTGCCTGAAGAATATCACCAGGCCCTCACGACGTTGAGCGTTGTAGGGCGACTGCCCTCGGTATATGGTCATCTTCTGGTGGAGTCCGTCAGACGGCGAGAATGGGTCGCGAAGATGAAGCGAGACTCAGCCACATTACAAGAAGAAGTGGCGCTGTACCAGGAAGAAGAGGAGAAGCGGCGAAAGAAATGGATGCGCAACGTCGATGATCTGGTTTCACCCGATGCGCTGCAGAGCCGTGTACTGGGAATAGAGCTCAACTTGCAGAATGAAGGCGGCAGCTGGCCTATGGTTACACGAGAAGAGCTGGCAGAATATCTGAAAGTACTGCTCGACGTGGTCGGGCCGGGTCCGGTCACAGAAGAAATCGACCAGGCCATTAAGGACCTTGACAAGCTCACTCGTAAGCAGATCAAACACGCCAAAGCATTCAAGAATGGCAGCATGCATGAGGCTGCTTTTGGTGACACATCACTCTTTCTTCGAGGCGACGATTCGAACAAGGCACTCCAGAGCGCCAATACGCGCCTTGAAGAAGAGCTCAAGGCACAGAAGAGTCGTGTGCGCAAGCTGGAAGACTTGCTGCATCGATCGACCCAGCTCAACACGAGAGTGACGACTGGCGATATCTTTACACCCACGAGCGATGGCGCAATGTCACAACGCGTGGCCACGCCAACAATACCAGTCGGCACTCCTCAGCCATCCGACGATTTCTCTCGCCATAGCTCTCTCAGTAAACGCCGACCCTCTTTTGCGCAAGCACAAAGTGCTGAAGAGAAACGATTGGCCAAGCGGGTTGTTGACCTCGAGGCAGAACTGCAAGCACACAAGGATGAAGCAGCGACGAGGAAGGACTCGGATGCAGAAACTCAAAAGCAAGTCGAAGACGCTATCACCACTAAGAAAGACCTGATGGCGAACATGGACGCACAGCAACGAGAATTTGCGGTGGAGAGACGAAACCTCGAACGCGAGTTGACTGAAGCGAAAGAGAAACTGGAAGAGGCCGAAAACGAAGTCGAGAGGCTGCTAGGCTCTCGAGATGGCGTGGATGAGGAGATCTCGAGACTCAAAGAAGACGCCGCTGGACATGCCGCACGCGCAGCGACTGAGCACGATGCCCGCAACAACCTTGAACGTAAATTCGAGCAAGCTGAGACAGCCCGCAAGCAAGTCGAAGAAGAGCTCCAAAAGCTGCGGGCAGCTGAGGAGCAAAGGCGTGAAGCTGACGCCGAGCATCTGCAGACTTTGGCAACGGCGCACGCTCATCTTTCGCCTGACGCTGAAACGCCGACTGGCCTTCTCGGACTGGCGACGACTCTCGAGGACCTCGCGAGGAGATCAGCAGCCCACGCGAAAGACCTTGAGGAAGCAATTGCGTTTGCACGAAGCGAGAACCAGTCGCTCTTGGCAAATAATGAGCGCCAAAAGACGGAACTCGCAACGGCTGCCGAAAAGCAAGCCGAGATTGAAGAGGAGATACGCCAAACTCAAGAGAAGCTGTCAGCCGGAGAGGCGAAGGCTCAATCACTCGAACAGCAATTGGCTGAAGAGCAAGCACAGCTTCAGTCCTTACGCGAGAAGTTTGCGGAGGGCGAGACGGGATCAGAAGTGCTCCGCCAGCGTGTCACAGAGGAAGGAGAGCGCGTTGCTAAGCTACGAACTGAGCTAGCAGAAGCGAAGTCTCTCAACAACAGTCTGGATGTGGAGATTTTGCGCATGCAGAAAAAGCAGAAAGCCTACCATGCTAGCGCAGAAGCGACAACCGATCGCCTACAGAAGCGAGCTGATCGTGCAAAGGAAGTGTCACAAAAGCTCTACTCCCAAAATCTCCGACTTGTTCGCCTGCTCGAACGACTTGGGCTGGTAGTGACTTACGAGGGGAACAAGATGGCCGTGGAGCGCGCTTCGAAGATGGCTGCCAGCACCACAATGATCGATCCTTCCATGCAGATGAGTCGTCAAGCCTCAATGACCTCGCCACCACCCACTCGCAAATCTTCTGGAGAGGATGATGAGCCGGCGAATGACCTCAAAATGCTTCACTGGCCGGATGCTCAAACCGTGGACGAGGAGAGTGCTCAATATGAAGCGTTCCTAAGCAGCCTTTCCCGATTCGATCTTGACGTGTTCGCTGATGCGGTCACGAAGCGTGTCAAGGACTTCGAATACACGGCAAAGAAGTATAGCAAGGAGGCTAAAGAGTCCACGAAGCGCGCCGATGCGTACAAGGAGCGTGCACTCAAGCTGAGGACCGAAGCTCATTCCAAGATCGCGGTCCGAGATTTCAAAGAAGGGGACCTCGCTCTGTTCTTGCCAACAAGGGGTGGTCAAGTCAAGGGCGCATGGGCTGCGTTCAACATTGGATGCCCGCACTACTTCCTGGCGGAGCGCGAAGGCATGCGTCTCGGCACGAGAGACTTCATCGTGGCGCGTATCCAGAAGGTAGAGCAGAAGATTGTTGACTTGAGCAGCCAACGTGCCGCCGCGCAAATCTCTGCCGATGGTCGCAGCTTGGGTGAAGCCAGTGATGCCGCTTCATCCATGCAGGTCGAAGATGACAACCCCTTCGACCTTTCGGACGGTCTGACGTGGTGGATGGTACATGCCACTGAAGAGCGTGGTGCCGGTGCAGCGCCCACGACGCCAGGCCTTGGTAAGTCCACGGTCAGCACAGCAAATGTCGACGCCAAAGGCAGCATTCGCATCAAGCGTAGCAGCAAGAGTGATGATGCGAGCAAGCACTTGAATAAGAGTCTCGACTCTCGCCGCTCTAGCTCGACATCGAAGAAGAATGTCGCTGCTGGATCAACAGCCGCTACCGGCAGTGCTTCAGCCACGCCCCAAGCGAACACGCCGCGACAGCGTACAGACAGCCAGGCTTCGTCCTTGAACAATCCTATGCTACCAACACAGCACCAGCAGCAACCTCGTCCTCTCCCCGCGCCAGCCGGAACAGGTTTGGGTATCGGCAGCAACAATCCTGAACCTCAGCCTCATGAACAGGTGCGCCAAGACCTACTCTGGGGACCATGAATACCGTCGTTTGGCATGGCTCCCCTTTCATCCTCGCATTTCTAACATGAACACATCTTCTAACACTGTATCGCAGATCCGCAAGCTGTCCACCGCGACTGACAGCACCAGTCGACCTCTCTCACCACCTGAGAGTGGCACAAGAGCTGGGCCTACGATCTCAGTACGTCGACCATCGGCTTCACCGAGCAAAGCACCCCAACAGCAACAACAGCATCCCCGCCCGGAACGTCCTGAATCTCCTAGTAAGAGTGTCCGATCATTGCAACGACATTTGGAGACTGCTGCTGGGCCATCGACTACCCCAGTCAAACCTTCGCCGGCTAAGAAATCCGGCTGGGAGAGTCTATGGAGCGCAGAATTTTCTGTGGAGAGCCCGAGTAAGGAAAAGAAGAAATGGGATTGGCATTGAAAGACTTGGCGGCGATTTACCCTATCATGATGTGTCACTCTGCTGCATACTAGGCCCTGGCACGCGATGCAAGGACACGAAACTTTGCTCGAAACAACAGATTACTGCAATTACGGTGTACTCCTGAGGACCAGGATATGAGAAAGCTTTCTCTTTGGGAAGCCGGGGGGAAGCAGGAAACTTGTATATGCTTATGCAGTCGACTGCTCATATGAGGTGGCACGAGATAGGTCGGACAAGCCAACAGCATTTCACTCGGCAGAAATTGATGAAGCGCAATGTAGTACTTGGCGCATGAATGTAGCTTGAGACAGCAAAGAAGTACTAGGAGCAGGACCCAACGCTGTACAGCTATTCATGAAAGCACGCATTACGAAACTGTGCATGCAGCTTTGATCCCTTTCGGTTCACTCACGTATCGCAAAGAGCTCAATTGACGAAAGCAAGCATTGGAAAGTGGAGAGTATCAGACAAAGTGGTCATTCTTCTGTCGTCGTTGGAATTCTTCATCATCTCGCTATATCATTCATGCTTCGCTTTTGCAATCACACTACATCTACACGTTTGAAAAGAGTCATCATCGCTTCATGCATATCTCACACGCCGCCCTCTATGTCCCTGACTTGGGTATCTTCTTTGCCAGTAAGACCAGCTTACGTCTTGACATCTGGCTCAGTGCGGCCAACATACTCTTGCAACTTGAGCAAGTCTGTGGCAAGCTTGACGTTGTCCTTGAGGTACTCCTGAGCATCCAAGCCGTACTTGCTCTTGTCGTTCTCGTGCTTCTCAATGTACAGACGGATGGTGGCACCCGAGCTGCCAGTTCCTGAAAGACGGACAACAATGCGGCTGCCGTCGTCGAACTTGACGTAGATACCCTGGTTCTTGCTCACGCTTCCGTCAAGGTCGGTATAGCTGAAGTCATCGGCCTCGACGACCTTGCGGCCGTAGATGTCGCTACCGATGAAGCTGTCCTTCTTGGTTGTGATGAGCTCCTTCACGTGTGCGACGACTTTGTTGGCGCCTTCACTCTCGACGCCTTCATAGTCGTATCGTGTGAAGAAAGTGCGGCCGTAGATGTTCCAGAAGTCGTGCTGGATGCTGTTGATGGAAGGTGTGCTGCCGGTCTGCTCACCAACGCCAGCAATGATGTTGAGCCAGGCAACGATCGCCCACAACCCATCCTTCTCACGAATGTGGTTGGAGCCAGTGCCGAAAGACTCCTCGCCGCAGATGTTCATCTTGTCTGAGTCGAAAAGACCGCAGAAGAACTTCCAACCAGTTGGAACTTCGTAGCTCTTCAGGCCCTTCTTCTTGGCAACAAGGTCGACAGCGCCAGAAGTAGGCATGGATCGTGCCAAACCGTAGACGCCTTGCTTCTTGAAGTAGGGGATCAGATCGGCGTAGTGTGCAATGATGGCGAGCGAGTCACCGGGTGACACAAAGGAGTTGGCACCGTAAATCATGTTGCGGTCACCATCACCGTCTGATGCAGCACCGAAGTGGATGCCCTCCTTGTCGACGCGGTCGACCAGCGACTTGGCGTAGACGAGGTTGGGGTCTGGGTGGTGTCCGCCAAAGTCTGGCTTTGGCACGCAGTTTTGTGTGCTGCCCTTCTGTCCAAGCTCTTTCTCGAAGACGTCAACACCATAGTTGCCTGTCACGCCGCTCAGACCGTCGAAGAGGATCTTGAAGTCTGGGTTGTTCTTGAGGAACTTCTTGATCAGGTCGAAGTCGAAGATGTCCTTGAGCATCTTCACATAGTCCTCGGTGCTGTGCACGATCTCAACCTCGAGTGGGCCGTAGGTCTTGGTGCCGATGGTGCTCAGATCGATGTCGGGGATGTCTGCGATCTTGTACTCAGAAAGAGTCTTTGATGTCTCGTAGATCTTGTTTGTGACGCTCTCGGGTGCAGGAGCTCCATTGGTCAAGTTGTACTTGATGCCGAAGTCCTCCTCTGGACCACCGGGGTTGTGTGACGCGGTGAGCAGAATGCCACCAGTGGCCTTCTTGACGCGGATGAGGTGTGATGCGGCAGGTGTAGACAAGATGCCATTCTGGCCGATTAACAGCTTCTTCACGCCGTACGCAGCTCCAATCTTTGCGATGAGCTGGGTGACTTCGGGGTTCCAGTAACGTCCGTCACCACCGACAACGAGGAAGGCATCTTGAGCACCTTCGGGGATGGAGAGGATGATGGAAGCGACGAAGTTCTCTGAGTAGTTTTGTTGCTGGAAAACCTTGACCTTCTTACGCAGGCCGGAGGTTCCTGGCTGTGGCAGAGTCAGTGTGCTGCCAATGGGCGGTCAAGTGGGGGCAGTTGACGGCGCACCTTTTGGTCGCCAAATGGCTTGGTCTGAACAGTCTTGACGCTCATGATGGCTGTGTCAGTCTTGAGCAAATGTGTATGAAAGAGGTGAAGTCGATCAATGGTGGAAGGAGAAAGAGGGTGTGTTTATAAAAGAAATCGCGGTGGATGAATTGTCGATCATGCCTGCCCGCTGTTTGCCCCGCCAAAAGTTCACTTCAGCACCTTGAGGCAGGGTCAGCTCAGTTCAACGCACGATGATGAGAGCTCCGGAGCCTGTTCCTCGCCACGCCACTCCACTCCACTCGGCCTTTCATGACCAATCACTGTTGCCGCCCAGACGACCTGTTGAGAGACGAGATCGGCCCTGTCAGTTGAGACTCTGTCTTTCGCTCATCCACCACACTCGAATATGGAAGTGTGCCATACCCGCTGCATGAACCCGACGTATTTCCACGCGCTTCGAACAAGCGTATCGCAGGCAGTCGACGATCCACTTCAGAAGTGTATAGCATGCGTGCATGGGCATATGGCGCTGATTCGGAAAGCTACATATATGCAGACGTGACGTGGAACACCACACAGACCGCCAGGCATCTTTTGTGCCATGCAGACAGTCGCCCAAAAATTCACTGCTTCAGCAATCACTTGGCCAGCAATCACTGCTCTGGTTCGTGCTAGTGGGTAGCAGCAGCTACCTGCAGTGGCAATGGGTGTGAGCATATGTCAGTTCATAGCTTCTGACCAGATCTTCGCCGAGTCGAACGTATAGAAACACCCAGAGAATCCCGATGTTCATGAAGCGCAATAGAGCGTTGTCCATTTGTCTCTCAAACCATCAAGGCTAGCATCTTTTACGGAAGCTGATTTTTCCTTCACACTCTCTTCCCAGTATCTCAAGCCGCAATATCAAAACTCGTCCCACACCCACAACTACTCTTCGCCCCCGGTATCCCCGTGACCTTAAACTGACTCCCAATCAATTCCATCGTATAGTCCACGCTACTCCCATTCAGTAGTTCCAGACTCGGCTCGTCCATGACCACTTTCGCTTTGTATCCGTCTCCCTCCCCTTCACTTCCTCCTATCCGCTCCTCGTTCTCAAACACCACGTCTTCTTCCTGATCGATGTCTTTGACGTCTATAAGACTCATGAGATATTGAAAGCCATGACAACCTCCACTTTCCACGCTGACGCGTAAGGCTGTGTTCGGATTGGAGTCTTTGGAGGCGATATTTTGAAGACGGTGGGCGGCGCGAGGAGTGATATTTATGGTCATGGGTTGGCCAGAGGAGTCCTGTTTGGCGTTGAGGATCGCTTTCGCGGGTCCGCGATGCTGTCGAGTGGTGGAGAAGTGGTGTTTTTGAGTCAGGTGAGACGTTCGCGCATTGTGCGAATGGGTTCGCGGTAGTTCATAGCCACGACTGTGCGCGTGTGTTGTTCGACAGGCTTGTGATTGCTGCCATGATGGGGCGAGGAAATCAAGGTATAGTGGCGCTGCGGCGTGGAACCTTCGCTGTGAGGAAGTGGATCTAGTTGTGCGGAACGCGCTTCGTGAGGATGATCGTAGTGCTCGTGCGCACGTTCGCGACATGCTAGGAGAAGCCATGGTGATGCTGTAGACTTCTTGTTTGCGGGTGGCTACGCCTCTTTGACACAGAACGCATCATGGTAGAACTATTGGTAAGCCGAGGCGCAGATGCCGATTTTCGGGCCGAGACGGCCCGGGGGCAACGTCCTTTCTACTCTCTACAATGACTTGATGCTTGTAGCAGCCATTTCAGCAGCCTCGCGGATGACTTGGATACACTATGACTCTCTGCTCCAAACATCTTGGCATCAAGTGCCATACTTTTCACAAGATGAGGCTTCTCTCTTCGCATCTGAGGCTCTTATACCTAGAAGCCTGAAGACAAAGCCCTCGTCCTGAAAAATATACGAACCCAGAGAGGCCAGCGCTGGACGTGGACTAATGAAGCATGCCCAGCCTGTTCAGCGAGTCAGCGACACATTGAACATGAACGCGTTCTAATCCCCACGTAGACATTGTGGAGACCTGTTTCCAGGCTTTTCAATTTTCCCAGTGCAGTAAAGATGGACATTCGGCCACTGATAGACCGAATCTTCTCTGGGCTACACTGCACTCGTGGGGCACGACTACAGGTTTACCAATCTAGGCGACTTTGATGTTACCAGCTCCTCATTTAGTGGACCTAGCTGCGCCATTGTGAATGTTCGATCGCACGACCGGCTATTCTCCAACACAGCAGAAGCATTCATGCGTCCTCCGGCAAAGACAAGTCCGATAGATCGTCAACCAGGTGGTCTCGCATGATGGCAGTGGGGCCGAAGCGGGAAGTCCACTGGAGAAAGATGAGATGTCAATCTTTTGGGATGCGGTGGCACCCATATAAGATGCAGCTATGCTGCGGAGTTTCGTGATGGTCGGCATTGACTTCACGCGTGGCTGTCTTTGGCCTCTTTCCTTCTGGCCTGGTCGAGCAAGATGCGGCACTTTTATCTGATTTCGGCTGTTGTGGCTCTGACCAACACTCTTGGTGTCGATGCCGCACAGAAAACAACAAGTCTGACCAATGGTATGTCGCATGTACCGCAACTGTCGGCGCAAGAAGCATTGTTCTAGAGAGATAAGGCTAACTCAAACAATAGCCGCACAAGACTTGTTCGATTGGTCCATGACTGTGAATGATCTTCGCTTCGATCAGTCATACAAATACATCAGGAATCCAGACAAAGGTCCCTGGAGTACGCGCTTCACTGCGTGGTACGTTGCTGGTCTGCTGTACCGCAACAATGGCAGCGACTGCGAAAATGCCAAGGCTGCAATCGAGAACATGTTTGTACAGTCTACGGGAGGCGTCCACGCTGGAATATGTCGCTGAACTACGTCAGAATCTCCTGCCAATATTCCGACTCGACTTACTACGATACTGCATGGTACGGCACATTCAAGCTGTCCCCAGATCAGCCAGACCCGACACCTGACTCCGATCTCTACCCTCCCAAGATCTATGTACGTTGTCTAAGGTCACATTCCCATGTCAAGTCTAACATTCTGGTGATCAGGGCACATATGACCCCAACTGGCGAGAGTTTATCGGCTCGCAACTCGTTCAAGTCGTCGAGGAATTCTCCCCAATCATTGGCGACGAGCTCGTGAATAGGATCGAAGACTCTCTGGAGATTGCCGCCGTCGGCTCCATGCGCCGAAATGGCTCTTTTCCGGAAGGCGACAATTTGACCCCAGCGTACACCAACCCTGCCGTCATGCGAGCCTGGTATGTCGGCTGGATCGGAGCTCGGCGTAACAACCAAACGTTCATAGACTATGCCAATGAGCAGGGAACGCTGATAGCTGATCTGTTCTTCTATAATGGGAGCAATGTCGTGTCCGAATACCTGTCTCCGACATATTATGGCATGGACGTATGGGCTCTGGCTGGGAGTATTAAGTATGGGGCGAAGAATGCGGTCCTTACCACGAGAGCAAGACCAATGTTGAAGTATTTCTTCGACGATCTTGCGGATCATTACAATCCGTATCTGACGAACATGGTCGGACCATACGATCGAGCATACTCCAGAGACTTGACGACCAATTCTGCAGTGATCAATTACGTCTGGTGGGGACTCTATGGCTACGGTGTCGGACCACAATCAAACAAGCAAGAAGCGGATCTGCTCTACGATGTGGCACAAGGCGCAGCGCTAGCCCTCATCATGGACACTGCAGCAGAACACATCTCTTCATCTACCTCCGCGAAGCTGACCGCAACCGGTCCTTGGGAGGGCTCCCGCCTCATCACCAAGCAGATCTACGAAGATACCGATTCGGACGGCGAGGCTAGAATCTCAACATCCTGGATCTCCTCTCCTCTCATGATCGGAGGCCAAGTCGTAAATGAGACCGTGAATCGCGGCGAACAGTATGTTCCTGCACTTGTTCAATGGGCCGGAGACAAGAATCACAATCCCCATCCTTACATGACATTTTTCTCCCTCTACCCCACGGCTTCGACCATCTCAGCGATCGCCGGGCCGAACACACTGGAGATCTCGTACCCAAATACCACGCAGGACGGAACCAACATCTTCACTTTCGCGCTAGCGCAGGTGCCACCGAGTTGGACGCTTGAGAAACGGAAGACAATCACCGGGTTCTCAGATCTGCCATGTTTGAATGTGACAGTGGACGCGCCAGAATTGGAGCCATTGCCTGTGATCTATGGAGCTACTCTGGAGCGCAATATATTCTACAATATTTCTTACTTGGTCAAAGAAGACTTTGAGGGCATTCCGTCGATGAAGTTTGAGTTTGAATATACTTGCTAATCAGGATGTTGGCGAGCTGTAGCAGATAGATATACATCAATAGATGGTCTGTGTGAATTGAAATCCCGAGAATTGTCATCGCCATCAGATGCTTTTGCCTAATCATTCGAAGCTCTAAACCAGAGCTCAATCAAAGTTAGTTGCGATCTGGTTTCAAATCCAACAATCAGCAATCAAATCTTATGCTGTGACGTCAATTCAGGGCTAGTCGATTCCGGCAATATTCGGGTGGAGCTACACTTCCTTCCTCACGGCATACCACTTTGACAACTCTAGCATCAAACGATTCGATCCACTTTCTGCTGAGGTTGTACGAAAAGAAGCGCAGATAGTAGCGCTATTCACTTGCTTCCGCAATTTCACTGCTTACGCATCACTCATCGAGGTCACAACTCTTGCCGATTCGCCATGTCTCGTAATGGAGACAAGACTTTCCATGTTGCCATAGTAGGTAAGTGTGCTCACTCCTGAATCACTCGATATCAGACTAACACGCTTTCCAGGTGCAGGCATCGCCGGCCTGGCACTAGCGATGGCTCTGCACAAGAAGGGCATTTCCTTCACGTTATACGAAGAAGCAAAGGAGTACTCCGTTGTAGGGTAGGCCTCGGTTTGCGCTCACCGATGTCGAATGCCATCACGAAAATGCCTGCTGATTGATGGTACTCAAGCGCGGGCATCGGATTCGGACCTAATGGCATGCGCACCATGGACCTTATTGAACCAGGCTTCAGACCACTGTACGAAAAGGTCTGTGTGGGGAACAAGGGTGCGGATGCGCAGCATATCTTCTTTGAGGGCATGCTCATTCAAAGTGGTCTTGGTATGGCACAATTCTTCTCTCCATCCCGGGAGCGCTTCGCTAAGAAATTTGCTTACTTCAGGTCCTAGGTCGTGACAAGCCATGGTACGGCAAGTCAGGATGGGGGCACCCGGATTATGTTCGCAAGTCTGTCAGTACACTCCGCCGAAAACTACTAAAGAAATCACACCATGCTGATAGCTTCAGGCACACCGCAAGACTCTACTGGATACGATGACGAACTTCATCCCGATCGAGAACGTAAAATTCAACAAGCGTCTAGTCAACGCCGAAGAGCAGTCGGACGGCGTATTAATGACATTTGCAGACGGAACCACCGCTTTAGCCACAATTCTTGCTGCTGCTGATGGCATCCAAAGTGCACTAAGAGAGCATGTGCTACACGATCAGCACCCCGATGAGGTAGCACCGGTGTACGCTGGCTCTTACTGCTACCGAGCCGTGATACCGATCTCGGAAGCCCGTGAGGTACTTGGTGATCTCACGGATGTCGCAAAATTCTACTTCGGACACAATCGCAGCGTTGTGACATATCGAATCAGCGGCGGTGAGGTAAGTCGCCTCCTATTCTCAAATCCATGAGCCGCATTCTAATTGAACACCAACAGGAGTTCAATTTCCTCCATTGCGTTGCCGACTCTGAAGGCTCGTGGAAGTCGAAAGACACCGTCACCGAGAAGACTACTCACGAAGATATGATGAGAGATTTCGAGGATGCAGAGATTGACGATCGTGTTCGTCAACTCTTGAGCAAAGCAAGCCCGATCAAATGGGGACTTTTCCATCATCAACATACTTCAACATATTTCCGCGACCGAGTGGTTCTGATCGGCGACAGTGCTCACGCAAGTCTTCCATTCCAGGCAGCAGGCGCTTCTCAAGGCTTGGAGGATGCTTTAGTGCTCTCGAATGTGCTTGCAGAGCTTGCTCAGTCATCTGAGCGTGGCGGAGACCACACGCCGCAGATTCGTGCCGGTCTGAGTGCGTACGATTCTGTAAGGCGTCCTCGAGCACAGAAGCAACTGGAGCAAGCTGCTGAGGTTGGCCGCATGATTTTCTTCCAACACGAAGAGGCAGGATCAGACATGAACAAAATTCTTCCGAAGCTGCAGAATGGTTGGTTCGATTGGCTCTGGTTTCACGACGTCAGTGAGGATGTGCAAAAAGCGTTGAAACTGATGCGGGGTGAGTGAAGTGGCAAGATTGGTCTCGCAGGGAACTGTCCAGATATTCGTACGCTTCTGCGTTTTGCGTTCACGATTATTGCACCGATTGAACGACAGTAAGGTATGCTCCACTTGTTGGTTGAGATCAACCGTGCCGATCTTTGCTCCATTCACCGAAATGGTCGATGACGTCGCGCGTGGGAGCTGTCTGCCCAGCTTGCCAGCTCAGCTCATGGAAGAGCATCCGCCCAGAATTACAATATTGGACCAAGAGACACAGACTGGAGGCCACATTTTACTGATAGACGACAACTTTACGCAAGCGACTCTACACCTTCAATATTGATCATGGCAGACCGAAGTAACAGCATGATCGCGAATGAGGAAGCTATCGACGAGAATGGTTTTACGGTCGACACCAGCGACGGAGCTGAGGCATATCTGGCATACCAAGCAAGAGAGCTAAAACTCGAAAGCGGAATCGATGTATTAGTCGTCAACAGCGTGATATTCCACGACAAGAAGATTCTCCTGATCCGCCTTGTCGATACAATCAAGTCTTGGGGTGGCCGAATAGGGACACCAGTATTTCGCATTATACAACCAGGAGACCACGGCCTGGATGTTATATTGAACTCCTCAATCGACAAGCAAATCCCGGAAGCAGATGACATCTCTGTTGCGGAATTTTCCAGAGTTGCAGCTCGAACTCAAGTTGGTTTGGATCCAAGCGAATTTAGAAACAGTAAAGCTGCGACTGCTCTACTCACGGCAGTGACTCCTGGTGGTCTCAAAGATACGACATGGCTACGAGCAAGTTTGTTTTGGACTGTAGGAGAAGAGACTACGCCCACTGTTCCGAAAGGGTCTGTGGCCACGGAAGCATGGTGGGCTTCTCGTGCTGAAGTGGAACAACTTAGCGAGGACGACTTCTTCTTTGGTCTGAAAGACGATATCGTGCAGGCTTTTGATCTGCGGAAGGTGTATTAGGCATGCCTGTGGTGGCTCACTATAAAGCTGGCACCTACAAGGCCACGATTCACGGCACACGCAGCCATGCGGGCTTGAAGCTGGATGTAAAGTCACGTTAAGTGTGTCGCGGTGGACACTGGAGTCCGTCAAGACCAAGAGCTACCGTTGAGGGCCACGTCCAATTCCTGGATTACAGCACATCTGCCAGCAAACATGCTGAAATATGAGAAGACTGCGTCTCAATATACCGCGCACCAAGCCACGTTCATAGGTGTAGTATAATTCTTGCCATTCGGAATGACTTGTCTTGTCTAAAGCTCTAACGTGGATTCGACACGTGCTATACAACTTGGAGTAAGCAGCTAGATCATTCCAGACCTGCTTCGACACGCTTGCGGTGGCTGACCTGCCGCAATCTCTCGGTCTCTTTCGAAGTCATTGATAGATAAAATTCAACTCCGATGATGTGAACAACAATAGAAAGCCAGAGCTGGAACACAGTTAGTCGACACTCTTTCAGTATCCAACGTCGAAGTTGACTCACCATAGCTCCAAAGGGTTGTGTGTGGCTCGTGCCAAACTGCTCAGGACGTTCGAGCGAGTGGACTGCCTTGACCGCCACGTAGAGGTCACGGATGATGCTTCCGTCTGGCATAACGCATGTCGGGTATTCTGAGCCCGGGAAAGGCATGCCCAATTGGCTGTAGAGAAAATCGATCTCATTACAGGTCCAGACTCCGTACCACCCACCAATTCGAATGATTATCGGAGAGGCTATGAACTCCGTGATGCGGCTTGTGATGATCGTTCCCATGTAGAACCAGGTCCTGAGCATCCAGGCGCGGTGTTGATCGACACGCTTCCTCCGGATGTTCCACCAGGCCAGAAAAACCGAGACGGTGGTGATGATAACCAGAAACGCTTCAGCCGTCTGTGTGCTAATCCTTGCACCGCCTCCTTGCTTGTGTGGTATCACTGCTAGTGTTGCCAGAGAACTCAGAAGGCCTAGTAAGATGACGAGATATCCATTGATGCGATGGAAGATCAGAAGCTTCTCTCGGATCTTGGGCACGAATTGCAAGACCACCAGAATACCAGCTGGCAGGATAGCTCCAAGATGGATGATCATTCCGATTCGCTCACGGCCACTTTGAAAGTAGTACCACTGCCCTACAACAAGTGCGAAATCGTTTTTGAACGTCCCATCGTAATCGTAGTGTTGTAGGCGGGAGAGCGAGAACCCGAGCATACCTCCGCCAAAGATGACCCCTGTGTACCTTCATGTCAGCATTTTCACTGTAAAGCGGCCAGGACGTGTGACAGGGACATCATACATAGTGGAAAGTTGTACGAGCGGAAGAAGCCGAAGAAGCCATTGTAGACAGCACGATATCTTCTTGTATGGTTGCCCACATGCTCTTCCGTCGATGCCTTCTCGCCAGTCACTGTTGTCGAAGTATTTTGAGGGCCGTCGACACCAGACGAGCTCGATGCCTTCGAGCCAGGTTCAAGAATCGCCATGGTTAGCTCGTTTCTGTTGCCTTCGTTGAAGCGGCAGGAAAGCCACGAAGTGAAAGGCCTGTCACAATATTTCGGCTTTATGAAAAGCCTGCAGGGAACGAGACGTGGTCAACTCTGTGCCCGACATAGTTTCAACGCCCCGTGTCAACGACTGCTTCGTCAGAACGTATGAATTACTGCATCACGCTCATCGCAGATGCGGAAACATCGAGCTCTGATGACCGTGGCTCAGGGTGCACATTAAGTTATGCCAACCTCCCGAGCCAAGCCACGGAACGTTGGCGACCTTGCCTAGTTGTTCTTAGCTCCAGCGATTATCAGAGACTCTTTCTCAAACATGTGAAGGAGTTGACGATTGCTAAGCCATGTTGAAAGGCAGCGGACCGCCGCTGAAGGAAGTACCTCTCTTGGTCTGGCGGAAAGGAAGCTTTGATCTGCAAGCTATGTTGTCACTGTGCACTCGAGAAGAAAGTCAGCTCACGTTGAAGTAATATCACAGCACAAGGATGTTCTCAAGTATTGCTCGACGCATCTGATACTCTTTTGCTTGATCCCAGAGATTGTTGTGTAATTGCTGTGCCCCCAAAATGTCTCAGACTTACGATCAACATCCTCAGGAGGGGAAGGACGACAAGGACGAGAAGACTGATGCTCCTTCGACCCGAAGTGACATTGAAGAAGGTCCACGAAGCATCGATGAGGCTGAAGCTGGTTCTCCAACAAAAGAGCGTAAAGCTGGCGACGGGAAATTCGAGAGGGATATTCATGGAATATGGTGGATTCTCGCAATCTTCTCCATCCTTTCATGTGTATTCTGTTTCGCGACAGACGCAACTCTGGTACCATGATTGCACATTGGCGTAGAGAGACATTCTGACGCGTCTTGCAGGTTGCCGACATCCAGCCAGATATCATCAGAGACCTAGGCGAGTTCGCAAAATTTCCGTGGCTCGCAACAGCCTATGCGCTTCCTGGTGTCGTTCTGGTGCTGGTGCAATCCAAGCTTCACTCGCTCTTCAATATCAAATGGCTCTACTTGTGGAACTTCCTCATTTTTGAGCTTGGAAGTGGCATCGCAGGTGGAGCACCGACCATGAATGCTATGATTGTCGGTCGAGCAATTGCCGGAATTGGAGGATGTGGAGTATACATTGGTTCTTTGACCTTCTTCAGCGTCATCACCACTGAAAAGGAGAGANCATTTTACATCTCCCTCATCACTCCAGTCTGGGGCGTCGGTACAGTCTTGCGGCCTTTGGTACGTTTTGCGCATTCGGGTCTGTCTTGTGCTGACGGAGATTGTGTAGATTGGCGGTGGATTCGCAGAAAGTCCAGTGTAAGTCTTGAAGTTCAAGAGCGGCCAAATCTCGTAGCTGACGTCTGTACAGCGGGTGGAGGTGGGGATTCTATATGAATCTCTTCCTCATCATTATCGTGGTTCCAGTCATTATCTGGACACTACCTTCCATGACAGCAGAGAAGACTCTCACAGCGCGTCAAAAGTGGGCCAAAATCGACTGGCTCGCACTCACTTTGTTCGCCGGATGGTGCACAGCAGGCTTCATGATCATCGTCTTTGGAGGCAGCTTGTATGCCTGGAGCTCGACGTCGATGATCATCCTTTACGCCATCTTCGGAGCTTTGACGCCTGCACTGTGGCTGTCGCACAAGTATCATCCTTTTGTCAAAGTCGAAGATCGAATGTACCCATCCCACATGCTTCGAAACTGGAAGCTTGGGGTCTTGCAGTATTCCATCTTCTCGGCACCTGCGGCGGTCTACATTGCCATCGTAAGTACACAACAAATGTGCCGCAAAGTTGAAGATCTTAAGAATCGTCGAGACTGACCTGTACAGTTTTATGTGCCGCTGTTCTTCCAGTTCGCCAGGGATGAGTCCCCAGTGGAGGCAGCGACCAAACTCCTTCCGTTTGTGATAATGATCGCATTCATCTCCATGATGAACGGTTTCCTGATGTCAAAACTTGGATACTATATGCCCTGGTTGCTTGCCGGATCTATCCTGGCCACCATTGGAGGCGGTCTGATGTATACCGTGGACTACTTCACCTCCACATCTTACATCTACGGGTACACGATTATTCTGGGATTGGGCGGCGGCTGCTTCCTCCTGACTGCTTTCGGCTGTGTATCTGCTGTGGTCCCGGATCCAGATGATGTCTTCAATGCGATCGGTGTCTTGAGCGTTGCTCAATGCATTGGCATCACATTGTTCCCGGCCCTCGCTGGATGTGTCTTTCAGAACACAGGCATTAGTTTGCTGAGATCCATCGTGCCACCGGATGTCCCCGGCGACCTCAACTCGATCCTCGCAGGCTCGTACAGCGATGTCTATCAAAGCTTCGACACCGCGTTGCAAGATCAGGTTACGGGAGCGATTGTCGAAGCTATGAGCAACTTGTACCTGATGACCGTCGTAGCGTGCGGCCCACTTGTCCTGTTGGCTCCATTTTTAGGTGTACGTACCGCCTTCTACGTCCTTGATTTCGAAGTGCTGACCATCTTGCAGTTTGGCCGAGTTGCGGCGGAGTAGAATCCACTCGCACCAAAGGCAGGAAGTATAGACGTTTCGACAACACTCGACCTTTCTAAGAATGTGTAGTGTTGATTGGAGGAGTCTGAAACCAGCATAATGACTGAAGCGTGTTATGGCTTGACCTGGCCTCAACGCGATGACTTTAATGATAAGAAATTTGTGTATGAATCTTGACAATCCAAATTCTTATTTTGCCGCGTTTCGAGATTGACCATGATCACGAGCTCGAAGATGTGCAGTGTTGTAGGCATGGAATACGATGAGCAGGTGACACTTTTCGCAGAACTTGCCCATCTGCTAGACAGCAGTGTCGATTTGCGATGCGGTTCCTTCGGTGATGTCGCAATGATCTTCAATGTAGACTTGCGCGTAACACCGCGAAGATGCAGCGTGTGCTTCGGTGTCTTGGCAGATGCCAAAGAGGAGAGTCCGATGTTGTGCCATGTTACCGCAAAGTCAACGGGCTGGACAGCTGCGAACGAAATACATCATCGATGCCGTGTAGGCATACGATAGCGATGATATTACTGCAAACTCGTCCCAGAGCAGCGAGTGCTGTGCTGTCTCGATAACTCTTCTTGTTTGATCAACTTTCTCGATTTGGACAACATGGTGAACCAACATCCTCTGTCAGCAGCTGCTTTGCTTTCAGTCAAAGGCTGGGTTGTGCTAGGTCAGTAAAACTCAGTTACCATACTTGATCCTCATTAACGTGAGCAGTGTAAGCGTGTTTCAACTGCGCAGTGATCAAAGCGAAATCATCGTTGACGAAGCTGATGGCAACCAGAACCGGAGGTGGCACGGGCATCGGATTGAGTGCGTGATTCTGAATTTCCTCGTAGAAGATGGAACAGCTAATCGGGAAGCAGTGTTGACACAGGCTTTTGCAACCAATGGCGCCAAAGTCTACATCACCGGTCGCCGGACGGAGGTTCTCGAGACCACCGCAAAAGTCCATGGATCCGCTGAGAAGCTCGGCGAGCAGGGTGGAAGCATTGTTCCTCTCCAGATGGACACCACCGACAAGAAGAGCATTTCAGCTGCGGTGGAGCTCATCACCAAGAATGAGGGTTATTTGAACGTGTATGTGAATGATGATTCACCTTGGCGACGAGCATTGCTGACCTCAGGATAGGCTGGTCAATAATGCTGGTGTATGGACCACAAAGCCAAGTGTGGAGCCAGATGCAGGACCAGAGCAATTTGGCAAAGCCATGTTCGATGAGAACCCAGATGACTGGCAGCGTGGTATGTTCAGTCAGCTGATGGTGCGAAACATTTTGACTTACCATATTACGCAGCATTTCTCACCAATGCTACATCTCTTTATTTTGTGACGGCAGCATTCTTGCCGCTGCTTGCAAAGTCTGCTGATAGTCCCATCAGACGTGGCGGAAGCGTCATTAACAATACTTCCAACAGCGGACTTTTGAGAATGTGAGATCTTATGATCCCGTGTTGATGGCTGGCAAGCTAACGGAGATTCCACTCACAGGTCAGAGGGAGGCCAGCTGGCCTACAACGTAAGATACCAACTCGTCATGTCGATTCGCACAAAGTACGTTGCTGACAGAAATCCACAGGTTAGTAAAGCTGCGGCGGTGCATGTCACTCGTCAGATGGCCTATGACCTTAGTCACAAAGCCATCAATGTCCGCGTCAATCAGATTGCCCCAGGTGCGTACTCCTTCGGAAATCGATGAAGGGAAGCTGATCTCAGCCATAGGCTGGTTTCCAACCGAAATGACAACCGGTGGCTCTGACGCTGCAAACATGAGCGCTCCACAGGAAGATGGAGAATTCCAGAAAGAGATGGAGACCATCGGAGCCAGAGTGCCTCCAGGACGCATGGGCAATGCACAAGATCTCGCCAGCGTAAGTTGCTTCCCTGAGCATTTGCACGAGCTTTCGATCAGCTGACCACGATGAAGGCTGTCTTAACGTTGGCGACGAACGACTATATGTGGGGTACCATAACCGTGGTCGATGGTGGCATTACACAGAGTATGCCAGGTAACATGTGATTGCCTTAGAGAATCCGCAGATAGCAACGTATTGATTGTGATTGTCGGCTTGATCGATTTCTCCAAGCTCCTTCATGTGGTCCTGACAAATTACTCCGTCGGGATGATCTCACCAAACACTCTGAATTGCTGTTTTAGGTGATTGATGGCGCGGCGGAGCAATCACGATGTCCGTTTCGTACGCCACATACGCGTAAGAGTTGGTCCGAAAGCGAGCAATATGGCGGGAGGTTTTGCGGCCTCTTGGCCTCTTGGCTTTGGTGCTCCTTGTCTATGCTTCTCAACGTACCGACTGCTGATCTTGTCGGACAGCTTTGATCGATATACGATGATCGACGAGCGCGAGAATGCTGGTTTTCGTGTGCAGCGAGTTGACGCGGGAGAAAGCCTTCGGTTCATCGAGAGATCGGGATCAGCACGCTTCAATCGCGAACGATTTCTCGCGTGTCGCCATGCATCGGGCACTTGCCAGCCACGTTGTCATGTGCTATGATCTCAGCGATAGACAACGCTGCCTGTTTAAGAAACTCGAGTAGGCCTTGTTCGTGGAGGAAGCATACTGCATCAGGTGGTAGACACAACTCCTTGTCCCACCATCGCTTATCCTCTTTTTTCTCCATTATCCCCACACAATTCTTTCAAGATGCTCGGCTTGCAGATTGATAGCGGCCCGAACCCGCCTAGCGATGATATTGTTGCTAATGGCGGTGGTAGTGGTGCAGCAGAAGATACTGCCACATCCCATAACAGCAGTTCTCAACAAAAACAACATGTTAAAGGTGTCGAACCATCGATCCCAGTTGCCATCTGCGGCATGGCCTTGCGTGCACCAGGAGGTGCCGCTTCACCCGAAGAGTTCTGGGACTTCCTGATCAACAAGGGCGATGGAAGAACCAAAGTCCCCAAATCAAGATATAATGTCGACGCATATTACTCGCCTGAAAAGAAGGCTGGCGCCATTGCATCAGAATACGGCTACTTCCTCGGAGAGGACGTGAGCCTGGGCGCCCTGGATACATCGCGCTTTACCTTGAGCCGCACAGAACTGGAGTTCGCAGACCCGCAGCAGAGATTGATGCTCGAGGTCGTCCGCGAAGCTTTTGACGATGCAGGAGAAGTCAACTACAAAGGAGCCCGGATAGGCTGCTATCTCGGAAATATGGGCGAGGACTGGGGTGAATTAATGAACCGGAATCCTCTATCGCACGGAGCAAACAGAATCGACGGTTACAATGACTGGATGCTCGGAAACAGGATCTCTTACGAATTTGGACTGACAGGCCCCAGTCTCACAATTCGAACAGCTTGTTCCTCGTCGCTCGTCGGCTTGAATGAAGCCTGCGCAGCCATGCAGAGAGGAGCCAGCGAGGGTGCAATAGTGGCGGGCAGCACAATCATCATGGCGCCCGGAACCACGCAGTCCATGAGTGAGAAGGGCATCCTTGGTCCAGATGGTTCGTGCAAAACCTTCTCAGCTGATGCCAATGGATATGCTCGTGGTGAAGCCATTGTAGCACTCTATGTTAAGCCCTTGGAGGCAGCCATCCGGGATGGCAACCCAGTTCGAGCAGTCATTCGCTCAGCATTGTCAAACTCAGATGGCAAGACACAAGGCATTACGAATCCAAATCCGGCAATGCACGAGGCGTTGATTCGCAAAGCATACGAGCTCGCCGGGCTGAATCCCAAGGACACCGCTTTCTTCGAATGTCATGGCACTGGTACAGCTGTCGGTGACCCTCTGGAGACCGGTGCTGTGGCAAATGTCTTCGGAGACGATGGCATCCACATCACCAGCATCAAGCCCAATATCGGGCATACTGAAGGTGCTTCCGGCCTGATGTCCTTAATCAAGGCGGTAAAGTCGCTCGAGCACAAGACTATACCACCTAACATCAAGTTTACCACGCCAAACCCGAAGATTCCATTCAAAGAGCGAAAGTTGACGGTTCCCGTGGAGCCAACTCCATTTCCAGAAGACCGAGCAGAGCGAGTGAGCGTCAACTCCTTTGGTCTTGGTGGCTCCAATGCTCATGTCATTGTCGACTCCGCCCGAAGCTTCGGCATCACGAACGAGCCTCAACGTGAGCAAGCTCCATCGGAAATGCAGCTGCTTTTGTTCTCCGTCGGTTCCTCGGCGTCTTTGAAGACAGTGATCAGCGACTATGAAGACCTTCTTGTGAAACAGCCAGAGCTGCTCGATAGAGTCGACGACATGGCATACACATTGGCAAACCGCAGAGAGCATCTTCCATATCGTGCGTTCAAGGTCGTCGGCCAGATAGAAAGTCCAGCATCGGTTGGCAAGAAGACCTCAGCTAAAGCTCCAGAGCTTGTCATGTGCTTCACTGGACAGGGCGCACAATGGCCTCGCATGGGCCACGATCTGATGCAGCGCGACGACCTTCCATACCAGAAGACGATCAGAGCTCTTGACGAGTATCTCCAAGCTCTGCCTGAGCCTCCGAAGTGGACACTCGAAAAGGAGCTCTAGCGGACTGGCCGTACTTCGAATGTGCAGAAGGCAGAATTCTCACAGCCATTGTGCACTGCCGTACAGATTGCTCTGGTCGATTTGCTCCGATCGGTTGGTGTGAAGCCAGCAGCTGTTGTGGGACATAGCAGCGGCGAGCTCGGGGCTGCCTATGCTGCTGGAGCTCTCACAGCCCAGGAGGCCATTATCGGCGCCTACCAACGTGGACGAGCGGCGACTCTGCAAGACCGCAAGGGTGCCATGGCCGCGGTCGGACTGGGCTGGGCAGAGGTCGAGCAGTACTTGAGTCCACCACATTGCATCGTCGCCTGCGAGAACTCCCCAAAAAGTGTCACGATCTCCGGCGATGCAGATGCTGTTCAAGAGACTATCAATCGCATCAAGGAGGACAACCCAGATATCACGGCCCGTCTTCTCAAGGTCGAGAAAGCTTATCATTCGTACCACATGGCCGAGATTGGAGATAAGTATCTCGACAAGATTGCTGACCACGTCGGTGGCAAAGCTCCTGAGCTTCCGTTCTTCTCCAGCGTCACAGGGAGCGGAGAGCCCGAGCAAAGCCCACTGGATGCTTCGTACTGGGTGCGAAATTTGGCGAGCCCCGTGCTGTTCAGCCGCGCAGTTGCTGGGCTCTTGAAGCACATCGATAATCCAGTCTTCCTGGAGGTCGGACCACATGGCGCTCTTGCAGGACCTGCTAGGCAGATTTTTGCCCAAGAAGGTGCTTCTCCACCATATCTCTCCGCCATGGTTCGCAACGAGAACTGCGTCGAGAAGTACCTCGCCGCCATTGGTTCGCTCTTCGAGAACAACATTCCCGTTGACTTCAAGACCATGTTCCCCGGAGAGAAAGCAATGTCAGGCCTTCCTCGCTATCCATGGAATCATGAGCAAGAGTACTGGTACGAATCGAGAATGTCGAAGGAGTGGCGCTGGCCAGCGTATCCAAAACACGAGCTGCTCGGACGCAGATTTCTTGAGACGACCGATTTCAACCCAAGTTTCCGTAACTTGGTAAGCATTGCGGAGGCCCCGTGGCTGCGCGATCACATGATCGACGGCACTGTCATTCTCCCTGCTGCAGGCTATGCTGCAATGGCAGGAGAGGCAGCGAGGCAGCTGAGCGGCAAGAATGATGCCTATAGCCTCAAGCACGTCGTCCTCAACCAGGCTCTTGTGCTTACCGAAGATGCTGAGATCGAAGTTGTCACATCGCTCCATCGTCATCGTCTCAGCGACGCAGAGGATAGCGAGTGGTGGGAGTTCACCATCGCCTCACACAATGGCACGAATTGGGTCAAGCACTGCAACGGGCAGGTCACTGCCAAGGAGGTAGAGGCGGCTTCCGTGCAGCTTGAGGCAGAATCTCTGCCGCGCAAGATCTCGAAGACCAAGATGTATGACAGTCTTGCAGGCGCGGGCATGGAGTACGGCCCCGAGTTCCAGCTTCTGGAGAGCATCGAGACAGATACTGTTGCTCGCAAGGCCACTGCCACTCTTGGTGATCATGAAGGAGGCGGTGACGATGACTACCACTTGCACCCAACGGTCATTGATGCCGCTCTTCAGTTCGGCCTCATTGCATCTGTGCAAGGCAAAGTCAACTCAGGCAACCTGAGTGCGATGCCGACGCTTCTGGAGGATGTCACCATCGTCAGAGCGGACACTGATGCCGCTGACGTGAAGGTCGTCGCAGACACAGACGTGATGCCCGGCTCTGGAGAGATCCAAGGTGCCTTCCAAGTAATCGCAGATGGAAAGGCGGTTATGGATTTGCCGAAGGCGCACTTCACACCTGTGAGCACCAACCAGAAGAAGAGCGAGCATCAGCTGCCCGTGACCGCTCGTGTCGAGTGGCGCCAGCACATTGACTTCCAGAATCTTGAAGACCTTGTCGAACGTCAGGTCGACCGCAATGTTTACACTCCGGCTCTCGACAGCATGGGCAAACTTTGCATCGAATACATCCAGCGACATGTCCAAGGACTGGAACAGAAGTCAGAGGATCCGACAGTGAGTGCTTACACAGCATGGATCGGTCCACAATTCGAAATCATCGGCAAAGACTCGCCTATGCTCAAAGATTCTGGTGCGGATTCTGATGCGCTGCCTCGCATCGAAGAAGCGTACAAGAAGCTGGAGGGTACTCCAGTTGCCGGATGCGCCGCTGCTTTGTACAAGGTCGCATCGAACATTGACAACTTGTTGACCAGCAAAGTGACCGGGTACGAGCTTTTGGGCGCTGATGATACCCTGATGAGCATGTTCCAACAGGGAAGCACCATCGACACAAGCAAGCTCGTTCAAAGCATTGCCCATGCTCAGCCAAACTTGCGGGTTTTGGAGGTTGGAGCCATCAGCGGCGATTCCACTGCAGCACTTCTTGCGCTTCTACAACTGCTGATCGCCAAGCCTATGTACTCCAAGTACACAGTGACCAGCCACTCGTCTTCCTCGTTCGGCGATCTCAAGAAGCGCTTCGCTGACAAGCCAAACATGGAGTACCGCGTCCTTGATATTGAGCAGGAGCTCGAGGGCCAAGGTTTCGCTGATGATCAGTACGATCTGATCATTGCAACGAATACTCTGCATGGCGGCAAGAGCCTCCAGCAAGGTCTTGCTAACTGCAAGAAGCTTCTTGCTCCAAGTGGTAGATTGGTGATCTCGGAGATCACCTCCGATTCGAAGTGGGTCAACGTTGCTTGTGGCCTCTTCGAGGACTGGTGGAACGGCCAGTCTGACGAGCGAGAGCAAGAGCCTTACGCTACGCCAGATCGATGGCAGTCCGAGCTCGAGAAAGCGGACCTCAAGCTGGACTTCACGACCCTCGATGGTGATGAGCCAAACCAGCTCAGTGCGCTGTATGTGGCGCAACCAAACGTTCGAACTGAGTCAGGCAAGGCAGTCACCATCCTTGAATATGCCTCGACAGAGCGTGGCGACGCATTGGCTGGGCTACTTGCTAAGCATGGTTGGAAGGTCGACAGGAGCAACCTTGGTACTGCACTCCCAGCATCGCAGGACATCATTGCGTTGCTGGAAGAGGAAGAGCCATTCCTGGAAAGCCCATCGGAGGAGCATTTCAAGGCATTCCAGGCAATGCTTGCTGGCCTTGGAGACTCTGGACTCTTCTGGGTGACTAAGCTCAGTCAGATCAACTGTACCAACCCGAGATTCGCGCAAATCATTGGTGCCTCTCGCTCCATCCGCAATGAGGAGTTGCTTTCGTTCGCAATGTGCGAAGTCGACGATCTTGGTGCCTCAATGGACAAGGTTGTGCAGGCTTTCGCCAGGTTCCAAGCAAGACCAGAGAGCAACGACCTCCGACCAGACCTGGAATACGCCATCACAGACGGTGGCATTTACGTGCCTAGAGTGTATCCATTCGAGCTCGTCGACGAGCCAATCCCTGATGGCGAAGCAGATGCACGCATGTCTTGGACCATCGACTCTCCTGGTCGACTCGGATCGCTGCACTGGGATACCGGCATCCGGGAGGAGCTCGACAGCAGCAATGCCGTTGAGATAAAGGTGATGGCAGCGGGCGTGAGCTCTGCGGTAAGTAAATCTGATCCGTTGACAAGTGAGCTCTGCTAACATCGACATTTCTGCTAGGACGTTGCACAGATCATGGGCCACGCTCCATATCCAGCCGGAGGACTGGGCACTGATGCAAGTGGTATTATTTCCCGGGTCGGCTCAGCCGTCAAGGACTTCGCAGTTGGAGATCGCGTCATGTGCCTCGGTGCTGGCACCATCGGATCGTACGTGGTCACATCGAGCACACTCTGCGAGAAGCTGCCAAGCCATATGACTTGGGAGCAGGCAGCTGGTCTACCCACAGCATACTGTACAGCAGCCGCAGCGCTAGATGGACTGAAGCCTGGACAAAGCGTGCTCATTCACAATGCTTCACATGAGGTTGCGCAAGCGGCTGCGTTCCTGGCCATCGCTATGGGTGCAGAAGTCTATGCGACAACAACCAACGCCGATCACCTCGCCACAGCAGTCCGCATCCCTCGCGAGCGTATCTTCAACAGCGAAGACTCTAGCTTTGTGCAGGATGTCATGCGCGAGACGAACGACAAGGGCGTCGATCTCGTCTTGAATTCATTGACGGGTGCTCTGCTGCATTATTCCTGGAAATGTGTTGCTGAATTTGGCAAGATGGTGGAGCTTGGCAGCCAGGACATTCTTGCCTCTGCTCAATTGGACATGAGCTCGTTCCTCGGCGGACGAAGCTTCACCGGAGTGTTCCTTGATGCGATGATCGCCACAAAGCCGGAGGAAGTGAACAGGTAGGCGAACACTCTGTCTTACACCGAGCGTGATTTTACTAACAGGCAACCAGGCTCCTGCAAACAGTTGCTCAATTGCTTGAAAAAGAGCGCATCGCACCACTGATGCCATGCAACGCATTCGGCATGTCTGATGTGCAGAAAGCCGTCAAAGCGGTCCAAGATGAGAAGCATGTTGGACAGAGCGTGCTTAGGATCCGTGATCCAAAGGGCAACCTCCAGGTCGAATCTGCCCCAGTCCGTGCCGCAGACGAGAGAGTTCTCAAGCTGGATTCTTCAGCTTCCTACTTACTTGCTGGAGGACTTGGTGGCATTGGCAGCGTCATCGCTCGTCACCTGGTAGAGCATGGAGCTCGACGCATTGTTTCGCTGTCCAGAAATCCTGGTTCCAGGGAAGAAGAAAAGGCCGTCATCCACGAGCTCGAAAGCATGGGCGGCTGCGAGGTCAAACTCGTGGCAGGCAATATGATCAAACAAGAGGACATCGTTCGTGCCGTGAGAGAATCTACGAACTTGAAAGGTGTGGTGCACTCCCCTATGCTTGTCGCCGACGAGGGCTTCAAGAACATGTCCTTGGAACAGTGGCACCGAGCTTCGGACCCCAAGGTCAAGGGTGCATGGTATCTCCACGAGGCGGTGATCGAGGCAGGCTTTGATCTCGACTTCTTCCTCTTCTTGTCCTCGATGTCTGGTCTGAATGGACAACCCGGACAGGCCAACTACTCCGGCGCTAATACTTTCTTGGACGCTTTCGTCCAATATCGCAACGACCTCGGCCTTGCTGCATCTTCGATAGACATTGGTGCAGTGGCAGACATGGGGTTTGCCGCGCGCGACGATGCTCTGCTCAAGAGGCTGTTGACTAACGGCTACTCTGGGTGTACCGAAGCAGAAATCCTTGACGCTGTCACTGCAGCAATCCAGCTGCCACCAGCCAGCAAAGCGGCCAATACCAGCGCGGGAGGAAGTGGCTACGCCTTCAACAACACGTTCGCGACTGGCTATTCCTCTGCGCTAATAAGGAACGAGCGCCAAGAAGTGAATGGATGCCTCAGGCATCAAGTAAATGAGTCGCGTTTCGTGACAGCTATAGCGACTTTTATACTAGCGAGATCTCATCCAGAGTCCCGATCGTGGTGGAAGACAGATCTCCGCATGGCTGTATGGCACAATATTGGGGCCGGTGACGAGAAGAGCGATGACGGAAACAACCTGAAGGCGTTCATCGCCAGAGCGAAAGCGGAGCCAGAGCTTCTCAAGGCACCCGACACTGCTGGCTATCTGGCCATGGAGATCGGTCGTCAACTCATGGCGTTGCTGTTGCAAGAAGAGGACGAGATCGACATCTCATTGCCAGTGGACCAGCTTGGTCTGGACAGTCTGGTTGGTATCGAATTGCGAAACTGGTGGAAGCAAACGTTTGGCTTCGATATCTCAGTGCTCCAACTCTTGGGTATGGGAACCTTGGAGTCGCTCGGCAAAGCAGCTGCAGAGGGTATGGAGAAGGCTTTGAATGGGTAAGCGATGAGTGTAGAAATCGTTTGGGCTGGCGTCTGGTCGTGGGCTGCAGTTTGGCCTCTTGATAGTGTAATTGGTGTTTGGCGTTGTAGACAATGCATTTCATCACTGTACTCCTCGAGCATATTCATCTCTTACTGCCTCTGCTGTCCGCGTCGCCATGAATACGCCTGCAAGCCCGTCGCCGCGCCCGAAGCTGCTGCACTCTGCACGCGCTTTCGGGTGGAGCGTTCTTCGAATGTTGGTCGTAAAGCTGGCTGCCCTTGACATGAGCTAGCGGAGGAGAATGTGACGCTGCGAGACCTTCGCTTGACAATGTTGTCGTAGACGTCAGTCCAGGCATCGGAAGGCACAGCTAAGATGGCGCGAGCTGGTGCAGTTACGCGTCTACCATTCGAGACGCGTCCACGCTGGAGAAGTGACGACTGTGAACATTCGTGCGATACTCGGAGATAAAAGTGGTGGAACGCCAAGATAGAACTGTAGGAGTGGCCGTCATCATGGATACGACACGAACTGTACTCTCTTCTGACCTCACTTCATTGCACTCTGACCCTACACTGTCCTCATCTTCACTGTCATCTACAGGTACTGGCTCCAGTCTTCGCTCTCAAAGAATCGCTCCAGCGGAGTTGTCTTGATTCCCAGCTCTTGCGGCGTCTTCACCTTGGGATTTCCGCCCGTGTATCCATGCTCTGGGACAAAGTGGAACCACTCAAACACCTCGTCTTCAAAACCCTCCGGCAGCAGTGGCTTGAGCTCTTCCTCCGTCAGCGCTTTAGCCGAGGCCTTGACTCCGAGCTGTGAACATGTTAGCGATGAGCAGTATAATACGCATTTCTGGATCTGGAGGCATCTGCAGCTTCCCCGACGAGGCCCGAGGATGAGCGCCACGATCGCTTTGCAAGGGCGAGATGGAAGTCATCCGGCGAGTTTGGATGGTACTCACCACACGACCCCATTTCTCGGCATACTCATCTTTGGTCAAGATCTCACTGGAGAACTTCGTCAGCTCCACTAGTCAGGAGACGCAATGCGATGCACACGAACCTCGCGCCAAGCACATCCGTATCAGGAGGATGATGGCGAACCAAGGGTTCTACAAATACTCCGGAATCTTGAGTAGACCAAAGTTCAGGAATCGTCTTGTGTTGGCCAGAAGATTTGAGCTTCACGAAATAATAGCCACTGCCGTCGGCTTCCTTATAAGGTGCGAAAATTGACTGGTCCCGGACATTCTCCTGGTACGCTCCCATATTCACAGTGCTCATGCGCTTGCTCAGCTCTGTAACATTTTCTCGGATATGATCCTCAACAGCTGCCTTGGAGTCGAACTGGCAAGCATTGGTGTACCTTCCGCCACTGATCTTGTTGATCGCTGTCAACGTCGACCAGACAAAGTGCTCTAGGACCGAGAGGACTGCTGGATCTGATGCCGCTGATACCAAACTCAACCCTTGCTTGATCTCGAGCTCACGAGCATACTCGTTGATCGTAAGGCCCTGCTCAGCAGCCTTCTTCTTCAAGTCTTCGCTTTCGGAAACTCGGGTCCAGACAGAGGTATAATCAGTAACTGCAAAGATTGCATGAGCCCCTTCGAAAGCTTTACGTAGCGATTGTGTATCATCATAGTCGCCTTGCGCAAGCTCCACGCCTTTTTCGGCCAACTTCTTCGCCTTGGGCGAATCTGGATTGCGGGTTATGCCCCGAATTCGCCAGTCTTTATGTGGCAGGAAATGCCTGGCCACTGAACCTCCCTGTCACTCGGTAACTGAAATTAGCACCACACAACTGGAACATCAGGAGAAACCGACGTACTTGTGTTCCCGTAACGCCCGCAATCACTATCAGCTTCTGAGACATCTTGTTCCTGAGCAATATTGACACCGGTGAAGACATGAAAATCAACCTCGAAGTGCAGAAAGATTAGTCTCTGGATGGAGTCTGGAAGTTCGAACAGCTGAGCTTAACCAACTCCCTGACGTTACGCTTCCCCAGAGCAGCTACAGAATGGTACGCGCACCTCGAGACGCGTATCTGTCAAATGACGTCGATTCCAGCACTCCTGCAACAATTGACTCCAGAAGGATGGCGTACTCTAACGCAGTATAAGATTTCGGTATCTTGGCGGGACTTGGCTGCTGGAAGCCGAGTGAGTGGTGAAGATCCCGCAAATCTTGTCCAGCCTACGTGGAGTTGCCGAAGGATCAACAAAACTTCACATGCATGCCTCTCAACCCGAATCGACCACAATTGCGACGGGCTGTCTTCGATCAATGGCAAATGTGTTCATCTATCGTTTGCCATCGCCGCCTTGGCTAAGTCTGGATTCGGAAATAGCCACTGTCCCTCGCTGCACGTTGGTCTTAGGGCTCAGCGATCTGAGTTCTGCGCAACGTGGACAAGCTTGGAATGGTGCATTGGCTCCTGTCTCCCCACGTGCTAGTGAACTCGCTGCCTGCAAGACGATGAAAGCTGATCAACGAAAACCGACATGGGACGCTGCAGGTACTAGAGCAGCCACACTCGCTTGCAATAACTTTTTCGTTGGGCAAGATGTGCTCATGGCGCTGGCTACCGCCGATTCCAACATCTGCAGAGTTGCGAGGCTGCACGCCGAACGCTAACAATGTTGACTCTGATGAGATTCCAAGACGAAGAAATCGATTACATCGACGATGGCCACTTTTTCGTGTTACCTACTTGTATAAACATGCATGTCGATTAGAATGTGCCGTAGGTTTATCACAAGCCGTCGACTCTCTGAAGACCTCTCGACACTCTCTGCGCCCCCACGACATTTGGCGTGCCCGTACCCTTCACGAATTTTGCAGAGCTGAGAACTCAACTCTCTTACGCTACCACTCATTCGCCCCTTTGGCTCAACTTTGCACTCTCTCATCCAATGCCGCTCCCTTCAGGTGAACGAGAGCGCGACAGCTGCTCATCATGTGCAGCCTCAAAGGTCCGCTGCCCTCGACAGAGGCCTGCATGCTCCAGATGTACCGAGCGGGGCATGTCCTGCGTATATCTGTAGACCCGCAAAACTGGACGCAAGAATCGTGTCCAAAGCCAGGACGAAACTGCCAAAGGCACATCAACACCAACTCTTCTCAATGACTTGTCCATACCCACAACTGGAGTCACCACTGGTGACCCTCGGGTCCCGAGCTTCCCCAGTCAGGCTGAGCTGAACATCAACAACCCGGCATTCTGGAATGCTGCGGCAGGCTCGAGCCTAACTGGCCAGCACTATCCGAACTCTTTCGACATGGTCACGATGGATCTCGACGAATTTCTGGCAGCATCACCGGTCACCACATTTCTAAATGGGTCACCTCTACCTGAAAGTGCCACAGGACAGGACTTTTTCTCATATTCTTCGCGCTTGAATCAACCATTTGGGCAAAATTCCATGTCGAATCAACATCTGGGCTCATGTTCATCGGTGGCGTCTAGCGCGGGAGAGCCATTGTCAAGACAGGACTCTCATGTGGCACCAAAGACATTCTCGGCAGGTGGACCTCGATCCAACGAGTCGGACAGCCTTCAAACCGCACTGCAGCTCATGGCTGATCTGTCCCTACGAGATAAAGCCGCTCGCGCTTCGATACTGTCAACATCTGCGATCCAAGACATGCTGAAATGCAACCAAGAGGCGATCAATACCATATCGCAAATCGTTTGCTCATTGTCTAGCAATGATGGATACGTGGTCGTGCTACTCAGCCTCAGCATATCGAAAATTCTCAACAGCTACGCAGCCGCGGCGCGCAGCATTTGCACAAACGACAATGGCAGCACAAGTCCTCACTTGTTGAATGAGAACAGCAGAAGCAGCAGTAATGATTCCAATGTCACCAAGGCTGAGCAATACCCCTCACCGGCCGCAACTTGGTCTAGCCCTCCGACCCGCCACGCATCAATAAGCGATGTGATCAAAGTCAAGGAAGCCAATGCCATGCTGGCTCAACAAATATTGTGCGAGTTGTATCAAGTGCAAGCCTTAATCACACAGCTCGGCGACCGAGGATGGGCACCTCGGAATCAAAAAACGAAGAGATGCTTGCGCAGATCGACCCGGAGTCTGGTTGTGCGACCGATCCGTTCTCACAGGCTGTGATGCTCCGCGTAGACAAGGAACTACGGCAGCGCTTGGCGGCATTGTCACTCAACCTGACCGAGGGCATCAAGCAGTACTGGAGTATGTCCATGTGAGGCTGAGGAGGGTCTCGCATTCGCGTTCATGTAGCCAAGTACAGGGAGTCTACCACAAATCAAGCTAATCGACCGGTGCGCAGTTCGCTCCGAACCTTCTGCACGGAGCTGACGCCCTCGGTCTGTTGCTCCTTCAAGCCACAATATTCCAAACACCTCATCAGTTCCGCAGCAGCTAGCCATTTTGGCCACGTGTAGACTGTATGGAGCTCAACGTATCCTTCAGCTCTGGCGGCTTACGCCATGCCATTGTGGATTCCGCGGAACGAGTTCATATGCGCCAGGCTGTGCTAATAGGTTCCCTTCTATTGTGCTGCACTTGCCTATTGTGGTTGTCAGCTGTTCTGCACTCAGCCAGCATGGAGCTGAACTAACTTCCAAGACCACCATACACTTCTCTGGGTTGGTGTCACATGCAAATTGGCTTCGGACCTTCACGGTTCCTTTGGACCAATTGCTCATGCATGCGCCATCTGGCTGGAGCCGCAAGCTCGTTCTGGTGCAGAGACATAACTCGTGTGGCCATGAGAGCACCACCTTGGCGTGCTACTCAATGCCACTTCCGGCTACGAGAAGCGAGAATTGCTATTGCGCCAAGGAGCGGGCTCCCAGGCACTGCAGTCTACGAAAGTCTATTGCCCAGAGTTCAACACCTTGACCCCGTTGGTTCCCACGTCGCCATTCGAAACGCCCTCGCTATTCTCCTTCAGAAGATCGTGTGCAAGCTGTGCAGCCGCTGGCAAGCGGTTCTTGTTGCCACTCGCCTCGATCTCCATCATCTCCTCCGCCCAAGTACAGATGGAATCCACTAGCTTCTGAACTTCCTCCTTCGTATTGTGCGCATGCAAGAAGATCCGGACACGGTCCTCGCCGCGAGCCACGACGGGGAACACAATGGGCGTTCCGTTGATCCCGTCTCGCACCAGGTGGAACGACAAATAATGTGCATGCTTCGGCTTGCACCAGATGGGAACGATGTGCGTGATCGGAGCACCATCTTTCCATTCTTCATCTTCGTGGACTGGCATACGAAGCAGACCCTTCTTGTGGGCCTTCTTGTACGTGGGATGAGACGTGAGAGTGTCCAAGTAGAACACAGTCAAGTCGTGCAAATACTCGCGGGACTGCAGTGGCAACATTAGCTCAAGAAAGCTTTCTCTCCATCAAATCGCACGCCATCCCGAAGGATTCACGAAGGACGTCCCGCGGCTGCACATACCTTCTGGGCCTCGGGAGTACGAAGGACGCGGAATCCTGCTCGGCCGGCTGCAAGAAGCGGGAAAGACGGCGCCACCGAGCAAATCATCACCTTGGCTTGGTTGATGAGAAGAGCGCGGACGGTGTTGTTGGACAGGATGCAAGCTAGCAGACCAGCGTCAGACCACCGAGAATGCGAATGCGCAGGAGCAGGATGGAATGCCTATTTTCGGACTTACCACCGGATGCAGCCAATGCTTTGCCTAGTGTGATCATACGAATGGCCACCTCGTCCTCTAGACCTTGCTCCTTCACGAAACCAAGGCCGCCTGCGAAAGCGAGAAGGTCAAATGGTCAGCCCACGCGGTCTAGGCCGATAAAGAGTGTCTCGGAAATTCTCACCTTCTGGGCCCATGCAGCCAAAGCTGTGTGCCTCATCAACGACGAACTGTGCGTTGCCATTTGGGAAAATGTCCGAGCAAGGCCAAGCAGTCAGCACGGTCCCTGGAATGGCTTTCACAATTCGACTCTACCTTTGGCAGCATCAATCATCTCTCCCAATGGACAGATGTCGCCATCCATGGAGTAGTAGCTCTCCACGCCAATGATAACGCATCGTTTGCCCTGCTTGACGAGAGGAACATTCTCCTTGATGTCCTCCAGAATTTCGATGAAATGGTCGAGATCATTATGACGGAAAGGACCCTGGTCGAGTGCCATGGCGACTTTCATGCCCGCGAGAGCAGTAGCATGCATCAATTCGTCGTAGACGATGACGTCTCCTGAGCGCGGAACGGTGGACCAAATAGCTTGGTTCGCAGTCCATCCGGAGTGGACGACGAGGGCCGACTCGACACCAATCATCTCCGCAATTTCTTTCTCGAACTTGTCTTGATAGTTGGAGGTTCCATCGCAAAGGCGAGAGCCGCCAGCGGTGATGTGGAAATTTGGATGAGCTTCGAGCTCCTTCAGAAATTCCTTTCTGAGGATACCATTATGTCCGAGTCCCAACACATCGCAGGTCGAGAAATCGATGGTATGGCTGGGCAGATGAAGTGGAAGTCCACCCAGTGTCTTGCGGGAAAGGTCAAGTTCTTCCTCCGTGTTCTTGTAGAATATTGACTTGGTTGATGGGCCTTTCAGCTTCTGGGCTGCTGCCCACTCGGCTCTCCAAGTGGCGCCATGGTCTTCAGCCTTGTCGTCAATGATTGTTCCTGGCATCTTTATTGAAGATTATGATTGAGTCTGAGAGGTACTGTTCGAAGAAATTTCGTTCGTGTGTAGCTAACAAAGTATGTTCCAGGTGTGCTAATATTTCAGCCCGGTCGACCTCAGCCATGTCCGCCGCCACCACCTGATCCTGCTCGACTATTTGCCATCTATCCTGATGTCATGATCTTCCGTCGGGTCGTTCTGAAGCTCATCTTTGTGATCTCAATGTCATCGTCGGACGCATTTTGCAAATGCCAAGATATCACCAACGGTCCCTTGGCCATATGCATGGTCGGAGTCTTGGCTCGGGACGGCCTCAATGCCATATCCTGCTCAGAGCAGACCCGAGCACTAGGATATATGTCTTGATCGAGACTGCTTTTTGCGATCGTCCTGCTTCGATCATCGTACCAGGCGGGAGGAGCGAGGTCGCCATGTGGGTGAAGTATACGCTGCACGATGCAGTCACAACGTGGTTGACAGGCGTGACAGAAGTTTATGGATTATGTACCGTCTGCGCTGATCGAACTGTATCGTGCAGACGTTGAGCGAGGCACTTAGTCGACGCCAGAGTCGTTTACCTAGTTCGTGCTTTGTCGAACGAAGAGGTCGATCTGGCATGAAATTATTGCAGTTGCCTTAGGCTTGACGCCAGCTGTCTTAAGAGCACGGGAAACTCCATGGACTACTGATCGTAGGCAGAATACTGTGGAAGGGAATCGAGTATTGATTTGTTGTGCTTGCGAATGATGACGCGCTCTATGCGATACCTCCTTCTAGTCTATTCTTCCGATCTGGTCACGAACAACAGGCAAGTCCAGGGGCAATGCGAGACTCTGACGCTCGTGTAAGTTGGGTCAGGTCTAGGAGTCCGGCGTCTCCATACCAGTGATGACTACTGCACCTGCAAATGCGCAGGTTGAGTCGTCAATTTGAGTGTGTTTTTTGCCCATCAGTGGATAGATGCTTCGCTCGCCATTCATGTTCAAGCATGCCGAATTGCACGTCATCCCAGAAGCGTCCATTGTACCACATGGCTTCTCTGGCTCTCCCTTCAAGCTGGAACCCGAGTCTCCCATATAACCGCACGGCGCCTCCATTCCATTCAAATGCAGAAATCGCGACCCGATGCACTCCTGCAATCTGGAAAGCCCATTCTAGGACCCAGTTTATGGCCTCGCTACCATAGCCTTTGCCTTGATATTCCGGGAGGATGTCAATGCCAATAGTCGTATTTCGATGATGGGCCAGATATGAGGGGATCGGACTTAAGTGTATATCTCCAATAGGAATGGGCTTCGACTCGGGCGTTGGAGCGGGTAGACATATTACGACTCCAAGAAGTGCTTTGCTTGCAAGATGTTCCATGTATCGTTTCACATCTTCGCGGGATTGTGGTGACGCTAGTCTTGCGTTCGAGTTGCGAAAGCCAATCGGATCTTGCTGAATTGTGAGGAAGAAGTCTTCGTCTTCGTTGGGCTCGACTGCCCGGTAGATCAGGCGTGCTGAGTGAAAAGGATTCATCGTGGCCATCGTTTAGAGATCTAGAATAGCGAGAGTGAAATAGAAAATCGCAAGTATACTCATATCACTGAGTTGACCTAAGAAATTTTGGAGGAGATACGGTGAGCGCCTGCCAATCCTGGTCACCGGCAGGATCACAAAGTTTCGTTCAGCTGAAAGTGCATTTGCTACTGAGTCATAGTATGTACGCGCGCTCACAATGTGCTCGCGCCAGCAATACAAATTACCTAAAGCATCCGCTTGACTAAAGAGAAAATGATATTTGCGAGCACTGAGCGTAGTTGTAGTTGAACAACGGTTGTGCCTCAGGCGCCTGAATTTTTAGAGTTTGCTTAGTCACGCTAGCTCGATATGAGACAATCCAAATCCTCACTTCTGAACCGAACAACATCAGCGACGTGCTCAAGTGCTGAGCACGCGCTGCACCACTGAGGACACAGGCGGTATACCGGATCGCTGTCGAGATCAAGACTAATTGTGCGCTGTTGCGCAGGCCACTCGCGCGTACAAGAGAATCCCAAACTCAGCACCGCACTGAATTTGCCCATCGATTCACCAGCACGGACAAGTTTTCTGGCCAGCCATCATGTTTCGCGGCGGCCGCGGCGGTGGTCGCGCTGGCGGAGCAGGTCGTATTGGAGCCAAAGACTTCGAGATTGAGGCGGACCTCGAAGATGAGATTACCGCCTACCAGAACGAAATTGGCGATGGCGACGACGAGTGGACCAAGACGCTGTACCCGGTGCGTACACGCATCTGCAGCCAGAGACTTTGCGCTCAGGAGTCCAACAATCGACTGACATCAGGCAGGAAATGAAAGTCTACCTTGCACCGCCACCCACTGACCGCGAGAAGAAGCTGGTCAGCTACTTTCGTCAGCACCGCAATGCCATGCGCAATGGGCCTTTCTTCATGGACGGACCAACAAGCGGCAAGCGAAACGCCGCCGAGTTTAACGCTTTCGAGGACGTGCCGTCGTATGCAAATAAGCGCATCAGGAGAACTGGTGGAATGCCGAACTTGAAGAAATTGCCAATCGGTGCGTCACGCGCTTGCAGACTTCGATGTCCCTACTATACTGACTTGCACGTGCAGTGAAGGAGCTTCTACCTCGAGAGTTGTGGGATGTCATCAGTGATGGAGAGGAAAAGGAAGATGGCGAGGCACCGAAGAAGAACCTGAATTTCCTCAAGAAGAAGCGACTCGACAAGCTTGCCCAGTTCGACGACGACGTCGATGAGACAGCCGACAAGGACGACGACGATGAGATGAACGAAAATGAGGATGGCGGCGAAGACGATGTCGAGGAGCTGCGTGACGACGATTTCTCGGAAGACGATGACGACCTTGGGAATGACTACAACGCCGAGCAGTACTTCGACAACGGAGACGATATCGACGACGAGGGAGATGGTGACGGCGGTGGAGAAGATGCATGGTAATACCTGGAGCGGTTTCTTCTCATCTCTGGATCCGATCTGGCATTTCTCTTCTTTCTGTTTCTGCACTACCATCTTATACCCCATACCGCGAACATTGTGGAAAGGACAATAGTGGAAGAATGCACGCAAACGGGATTCGATCCCGCATGACAAGACTCTGCCAGGCCAGAAGTCATGAACGCGCTTTCGAGCTTCAGTGGTGCAGAGCACATATGAGCCAAGCAACTCACTACACGCAGCAGATGGCCAACTCAGATCATCAACGAAATATCTGGTTTTCACGTCCTCCTCTAGCTCCCTATCAATATGCCTAGATCTCCGTTTTTCCGAACAATATGTTACCGCAAAGGTGCCATGGACTGGACTAATACGAGATCAGTGCTCCAACTCCCGCAGTGACCGGAAGCGTGTCAGTGGAAGAACCAGAAGACGAAAGCGACGAGGACCCAGAAGTGCCAATTGACGAGAACGAACTCCCTCCTTTCGACGAGGCAGAGCTCGATGAAGAGTTCACTCCGATTGATGAAAGCGAATATACCGGCTGGTATTCCAGTCTTCAATGGAAGCACAGTGGTCAAGATCCATTCTCAGCTAGAGATCGTGCTTCTGCTGCCGCCGATTACCTCCTTCGCAGACGGCTGGAGCTTGAGGGCAAGCACATTATGAAGCCTCTAGGCGGCGCATACGCTGGGAACAAAATACTCAAGGCACAAATGCTTGAGAGATCTCAGAAGAGGGATCGCGTGAGTGCCGCTTTGGCCGGATCGAGTGTGATTGCCGTCAACAGAGCACCGAACAGGAGGAAGCCGCAAGGTCCTTCGCGCATGCCTCGTAGATGAGCATGATCTGTACAGTGTAGGCTGAGCTTGTGTATCAGTGTGAGAAAAGCGTGGCGGCAAACGATTTGAAGGATACCACTCAATGCTGAGAATGATGTACCCAAAGGGATGGCGTGGCGGAACGGATTGTTGGGCAAGGCGTTATTGAGACGGCGCGCCGATGGGGATGATGTACGCGGAGAATTGGTGTGGCGGAGCAAAGTGCTCGACTGAGGACGCATGTTCGACATTTCATGTTCTCTGTACACCCCTCAGCAGCCGCTGTTGGATGAGCTTCGCGACGAAACTCAGGATACCACGCTCGAAGCAGCTTGCAATGCGCGTACATAATACACATGTTCAATAGGCCTCGCATCGAACAACACTAATTTAAACACACCATGAGCTCCGACTCGCAGCACAATTGCACGACCACTGTTCAAACACAGAATGAAAATCAGCATCGCACCCGACACAAACTTACATCATCACACGCCACACATCATTTCTTTCTCACTACAAAACTACTACCCACCCTAAACCTTAAACGCTCTAACCAAAAAATTCGGCCTCTCCCCCGCCGCATACTTCGCCCTCAGCTCTTCCATATTCTTCGCATCATTCGCCGCAATAATCTCTTCACCCGTAACAGGATAATCCATCGTCGATTCCAGGTGCGGGAAGAAATAGTTGAAACCGTAGTAGAACACTCCTGCTGCGAAGAAAGAGTAGACGTAGCCGATTGCGAAGCTGCGAATTCCAAATATCAGCAAAGCGCGTTCAGAGAATCAGAGTGTAGTGAGTGAGGAAGGATAGGAGAGGGGAAGTGGACGTACAGATGTTGACCCCCAATCGAAACTCCAGTGCGACCACCGCCCGCTCGCTGAATATTATCCGCAAAGCCCGGAAGTGGTGGAATACAGCCGATGAAGAATGCTGCGACGGCGCGCCAGTTTGAGGCGAATTTGGGTGAGTAGCGGTATATGCCGTGGAAGTTGTACATGTCTGGGACTGAGACATTTCTGTTGCGGACGAGATAATAGCTAAGGCGAAGTCAGTCTCCTGGAAAATCGTACTATGAAGGGGCTCTTGGACGTACTCAGCAATCAGGATCGAAGTCATCGGTCCCAAGAAGATGGTATAGCCACTGAGGAAAGCGAGAAACTTGGCGGCAGATGCCAGGATTTTCCACTGCGATACTGTCAGTAAAGCTCGTAACAATCATGGCAAAGCTTGAACATACCGGGACGAAAGCCCAGCTACCAATGATCGCAGCAAGAATTTGACCACGTCGAATATTGATATATTTCGGCGCGAAAGCCATGAGATCATTCGCGGCGCTGATCGAGTTGGCTGAGATGTTGATTCCCAAGGTGACAATGATGAGACCAATGGCGGCGAACGCGGCAGCAGCGCGTCCACCTGAGGAGCCAGAGGCCATCCAAAGATCGAGGATCTCAACAGGGTTCCAGATGACTCTGCCTATATGGCAACAGTCTTATCAGCATCTTGATCGGGGACAACGGAGAAGAATTGGGTCTTACCGTAAGCAGTCTCAGCGGCGGCCGCAGTGAAGATTCCCAATAAGCCCACGATGGTGAAGATGACAGGGACGACGATAACCTGAACGTTTTGTGCGCTTGGCTTGTTCGCATAACGCGAGAAATCGGCGATGTTCAGACCCAAGGTGGCATAATTGCCGAGGACACCATTGAGGTCTGGGTAGTAAGGTCAGCGGCAGAACTGAATTTTGATCGATTCGAAAAGATACTCACTGGAAAAGAACGCCCATGCCAAAGCAGAGCCTCCAACAGTGTTGCCTCTCGTAACGACCTCGGAGTTATAGATTGTGCCACCGGCTCTTCGCAACGTGTCGCCGAAGATGGCGAAGAAGACGATTGGAGCGATGATACTCTTGAAGCCGAAGAAGTATTGGATCTGACGAGTTCTGGGTCAGCCATCGGTTGCCGCCTCGGAGAAAATGGACTCACCTTCGTGTACGGGATGCAGAGGAACGGCAGCTGGATCAAGAAATAGATGAAGAACGCGATCATTCCAGATGTCGAAATGCCTTGATCTTCAGGTATGGTATTCTCGATGTTCGCGAAACTAGGCCAGATCGCAGTCAATAGAACTGCCGTACATTGTCCGCCGACTGTAGTTTGCACACTGCGATGGCATCAGTATCTCATCGGCAGTTGGTATTGCTTGCCAGACATACCCAAGCCAGACAATGGCCAGAACACAACGTGACAGCACGACGAAGTAGCTGAAGTAGTAGCCAAAGGGCATACGTGCTAGTACCGGGAAAGGTGTGTGAAGCTGTGCATGTCAGTGTCATTCCAGACTTGAGGTGAGCTGGAAGTCCGTACAGTCGCACCAATCCTGCCATTGATAGTGATCACGATACCCATGATCGCGTTACCCAGGACACAAGCGCCGATGGCTAGCTTCCAGCTGAGGCCTACAGCAATCATGGAAGATGCTGCGCATTCAACATTAGTATCTTCACATCCTGATCCGTATATCATTGGAAGAGCCGAATGCCTTACCAACTTGCCAATTCGACACGGCCCACGCATCAGCCATCCAATACGCAACGTAGGCAGCCCATGTCCAAGTGCGTTTCGATGGAGGAATGGGGTCGAAGTCGGCATTGGAAGCGCTTTTCGTCGTCGCGAAACTGCTCTCTTCTTGACGAACTGTGAGACTGAATCCAGGAAGTCTGTTGCGTAGTGTTCCTACGTGGCCGACCTCGGGTTCATTCGCGGAATGAGGTGGTGAGCTCGCCTTGACCTCATAGAAGGGGGCTTTCTCGCCAGAATCCATGTTGGCGACGAAAGTACTTGTCTGGTGAATGTCGAAACTAGGTATCAGATTATAGTGCGATATATGTGCTACGACACACGACTGCGTCCACACCTAGTGGTGATAAGTTCATGCAGGGCCGTGGCAAAGGCGTTCGAGAAGATCGCTGGCAAGGCTGATTTTCGGGCTAGAGATTGGTTGATGAACGTCTTCAATCAGCGCTGGATAAGGGCTGGACTGCTGGAAGGTATAGATAACGACCTCGTGGCCAATCCTTGCCAAGTGAGCACACGAGCACACTAGCAATATGCGGGCAGCCATTTTCCACGAGGGAAGCACATCGTGGGGTCGCTGTGGAGTGTGTGATGTGCGATCGCCCGTGGAGGGTGGCAGCATGCTCCGCGGTACAGCAGGACGCAGGAAGCACCAGCAGTGGATTGACGGCGTGGACGGTCATGGTGCAGCTGTGTGTCGTACAGAGGTGGGGACTTGTTGTTACTCGATGGGAACTGCCAACCTCACAAGCCACGAGGCGCGCGCGATAAGGCCTGCGGCGATATAGCTATGACCTACCAATCGGCGAGGCCTGAGAACCGGCTTCTCGACACAATGGAAGAGCCGCGTGCATTTTGAGTTTTTTGGACCTGGAAACCTCGTGGCTGGCCATCGTCAAAGTTCGCCAGCTTCAGCTGGTCCTTCTGGGGTTGATCTAGGATCATGTTTTGCAGCACGAGATGGTCTTCATGTTGGTGAGTGTCTGCGAGGAGCATCTCCTCGGCTCCTGCTGTTTGGGTTAAGGTTGTCTCGGCTCGGAGAAACATGACGCCGCAATATGGCAAGAGGCACTCGAGACTTCGCCCGCGTTGACGCTTCTGGCTCGTCAACAAGTCAACAAGTAAATCTCGTCAGCCTGTCACAGGCAGATTCTCGTCCATCTGAATCCGCATGAGGCCTTTCACCTTTTGACCAGCCTGAAGAAACACGCTGAACTTCTGCGGTCAGTGCTGCCCGATGTATGCAGCAACCGCGCTGCATTGCTGAGCATGAGCTAGTCGTCATCACTGTCTCGTTGCGGTGATAAGTCTGCAGCCCGGCAGCCCAATGGACAGTTCGTTTGATGCCGGGACTCGCGCATGATCAACGATAGCATTGAGAATGAGAAGCAGTGTTCGGAGTCGTGGCTCTGGCCCGGATTCCGACGTCGGCGAATGCAAGAAGGAAGAAAGCCCAGCTGCCTTTTCTTCCTAGTCGCTTCCTGGTTTCACGCACGCAACATCTCTGTTCAAATCTACAGCCCGGAAGAGTGGCAGGAGCTATGAGACAACCCACGCTCTGACAGCGACAGCGAAGTACCTGGACTCAAAACCACCAACTCGCAGCCTTTTAGGCTAGACATATCTCGGATGAACATTTTCATAAGAACACGTCTGGGTCAGCAGTCAGCCGATACATCTCGCTGTTGGAGAATCGAGACATCTGCAATTGATGTGAAACTCGTAGCTGAAGCACTACGGGATCTTAGAGAGCGGAAGATCGGAGCCTTGACAGCCGTCATGTTCGTACTTGTGAAACGGCCGTAAACTGTGCGAAAAGACTCGCCGGTGTGCTCGATCCTTTTCGAGATCGTATTTTCGACCGAGTATCCCGCGGTGTCTTGTACAGAACTCACTAAAAGCGCGCAGCGGGTCTGAGGCACTTCCGGCACCTGATGGAGCACTGCTTCAGTGCATGTTGCGAGTGTACCACTGCATCTCGTGTGGAATAATGATACGCTATGGCGACCCAACCACGAATCTCCATCTCGTGCGAATAGCAGAGCAATTGCGTCACATCGTGGAGACCGCCTGCGAATGTTGACTACAAATAAGCTTACTGTTGATCAGTCTCTGGATCGAGTACAACGAGCAACAGCTTCACATCGAGCAAGAAGGCTGACGCGACAAGCATAATGGTTGCTCATGTGCTTGCTGCGCATACAAATAAAACATAAGCATAAGGCCTGCTGTTCTTCACAGGATTCGAAACCTGTTCACGGAAAGAGGCGGACATGCAACTCAGGCTTCGCTGTGCGGTGATACGTGCATTCTCTGCCAGCACGTATCGTATGACAACCATGGCTATGGTTCTAGAATGCAGCAGACTATGTTGCGGTGTTTTCATCGTCCCTATTCTTTCCCAGGGAGAGCGGATTGCTTTCGGCCGCCGTTTGCCGCCGAGTTCGTACGTGGGCGTGATGCCATACTGTTCTCAAACACACTGCAGAGTCGAATCTAAGTTCAGTTTATCCATATTGGGGTCTTGCAAGACTGTAACAGATATGCGGTGCGTGTAGGCTCGTGTAGCACATGCTGTTGCTGGTGTACTGCTTGGAAAGCGCGGCAGTGGGACTGAGTCGATCGGGATTTTGGTGATCCGAGAAGGCTGACCGCGAGATCCGCGTCTCACGACAGCACTAAACCACTCGCGGCCATGGGCAGCACGCTACTCCGCGATTCTTGACGAGGTCTTGTGCGGGTTGGCAGTCGTGCTGTGCAAGTCTTATGTAGCAGTGGGACGTCCTCCTTCTGCCTTTGTCAGCGCTCCTCTGCCACGCGGCCACTTGACATGCCCTTTGTTGTATCATGACGACGAGACCCGTTGAGCCGTCGCACAAAACCAGGCACCGCCACGCGCTCCTCTGACGCCGTACCTGTCACAGGTTGGCGCTCGCGACACCACCCGCCCCAGCATGCACTTCGCACCATGGCAGGCATTGCTGCTGCTTTCCGCCGCTTCCGCGCAGACGCTGACACCGCTCGACACTGCCCAGAACTCCACCTTCCATCGTGACGGCATCCTCTTGGGCATCTGGAACCAGCAGCAATCGGGCCAGTCGGCGCCTCCTGCCGCCGTCTTCCCAGTGAATCCGCTGACACAAGCGGCAGCAGAGAGCATTACAGTACGTGTTCACTCATCCTCATCCCCACTAGTTCTTGGTTTCGCGCGGCGAGTGAGGCATTGCTGATCAAGGATCATTCCTGCGCTTATAGTCTACCGCCCTCTCTGGTGATATCATCCTCGCGAACAATCAGAACTCTCTTACCATTAGGACTGACTCGATCGCGCTCATATCCTGCGATCCATCGACCAGCAACCTCGGACCGGAAGAAGTATTCAATGCTGCGAGAGCCCAGAATGCCACTGCCGTAGTCTTATACTCCACTTCTGCTCAGACTTGCAACGGAAGCGACTTTGGCACTTACCAGAACATCTTCACACTCGAAAGCTCGGATAACTCGAAAGAGATGTTGTCGGTCGCTGGGGACACACAGGCCTGGGCCGTCTTGGGCACCAGACAGGCCCTTAACAATGGCACGTCGGGGGGGTCGAACTCCAATAACAACTCCAATCCTTCGAATCCACTAGGACCGTCGCCGAGTACTGCTGTAGCCATGATCATCCTCTACTCAATCACCGGCGTCATCACCGCACTATTTCTCTGCATCATCATCACGGGAGCCATTCGAGCCCATCGACATCCAGAACGATACGGACCACGCAATGTTATTGGTCGCACGCGACAGACTCGTGCACGAGGCCTTGCGAGAGCCATGCTCGACTCCCTGCCTATCGTCAAAGTGGGCGATCGAACAGGTGGAGAGCAGACTGTCGCAAAGCCGACGGATATTGAACTCGAGAACGGGCAGCAGCACGGTCCAGTGGAATACGTAGGCGATCAGACGACGACTGCTCGAGACACAACGGATGCCACAGGCAACGGGGCTGGAAACAGCACAACACCGGAGATGACGTCTGGCACCGCTACTGCTGCAGGTGGCATTGCGCCTGCTGACAACACAACGGAACGCAGCGCTTCTGCGACACCTGATGAAAGCTCGAACCAAGGTTGCAGTATATGTACCGAAGACTTTGAAGTTGGAGAAGATCAACGAGTATTGCCATGCGACCATCGCTTCCATCCTGCTTGCATCGATCCTTGGTTGTTGAACGTTAGCGGGACATGTCCGCTTTGTCGAATCGACTTGCGACCTCCAGAGGCCGCTGAAGACGCCGAGGTAGACGAACACGGAAATCCAATCGCTCAAGATGCCAACCGAGAAGGACTCGCGCCGCCTTTGGAGAACGGCGAGGGTAGTCGCGGAGCGAGAGTGCGTAGGAGCATCATGTTGGGTATCCTTGGCGTGGCGAGACCGGAGCGCATGTCACGCGAAGAACGTGTTGCAGCGCTGCGCAGGTATCGAGAGAATGCTGCCGCGACAGCTGAAGCACAGAGACAAGCTTCTGTCACGAGTGGGACGCAAGCCGAGGAGGAGACCAGCAGACGACGAAGATATCGTGATCTCTTCAGGATCCGAACACGACGTACTGGAGAGCCGGAAACCGTAACGGAAGAACCTGCACGAGAGAATGCTGCGAATGCTTCGACGTCGAATGAAGCACGAAGTACTTGATTTGATTTAATTTGAGCGTGGCGTTCAGGCGATTCATGGACGAAATTTGCCAAAGACTGTGCATATGGGTGGCGTGCGATTTTGGAAAGACCGAATTTATGTGTATGATGTGACGGACGAAATTTGTTGCATATGTGCATAGAATGGGAGGAAACGAACGAACGGAAAAGGGAAAGTGTGGTTGATAGCCCACTCAATTGCAATGTCTTTTGCAGATGTGGCCCGCGTACGATATGCAGAATGGTGAACAAGCAGTCGGATGCGTACGCAGATACTGACTGCATCGCAGACTTTCGCTGCGCTTACGACCTCCCACACCTCCTTCCCTCCAACCTCTCTACTTATTCCTCCTCCTCAACCTCCACCTCCACCAACTCCGCCAAAACCCTCTTCCCATCAACATTTTTCACGATCGTCGTAACTAAACTCGTCTTTTTAGTCGTCTTCCCCGACGCCACCTCCTTCGAAGTAAAAACGGTCTTATGAACCACCGCCCCTCCGATTCCATCTGGTGCAATCCAATGAATTAATTCTTCATTACTATTCAAAGTAGTAGAAAAGCTTGATCGAACCCATTGGACGCCGGCTTTTAGGCCGTTGATGTCGTGGGTCGTGTGGTTGATTCTATGAAGTGTGAGGATTTGGAATTGAACGAGGGAGATGGTGGTGGATGGGAAAGAGGGATGGAGGCGTACTTTACTGTGAAATTTGGATCGACGGTTTCGGAGAGGGTTTGGGAAGAGAGGTTGTCGTCGGGTTGGAAGAAGACGAGTTGGTTCCAGTTTTCGACCCATTGGGCTAGGGGAAGGGTGGAGGATAGGGAGGTGGACATTTTGGGGAATTGAGTGGAAGATTGATTGGTTGGGAGATGAGAATGTCTGAGGCTAGAATGATGAGGGAGAAATTCGAAGGCGCTCTGATCTCAGCTCTTATACAGCTTCAACGACGGTAGGTTACGGAAAATCAGTCTGAAGACAATCTAGGTGGAAGCATCATGCTTGCCATGGCCGGGCGGAGTTCCGCTCCATCACCTTGTTGACTGCGGAGTTCCGCAGTCTAGTCTACTCCGCTTACTGTCGTCGAAAATATATTATACGAGAGATTTAGATACGCGCCGACTTAACCGATGTCTTAGACAAAAATGAGGAATGCCGTAAGCAAGTTTGTTTACCGCAGAAGAGCAGAACATGTCACGAATGTTACTCTGACAAAATGCGTATCTACAGATTCTGGAATGGCATTTGGTAGATGATGCTCAATAGTCAGCTAGGCGACCGATGCTAGGTTTTCCACCAAGTCTGAGCAGAGTAACCCTCAGACTGTCGGTATTGACTGTCTCACAGCATAAGAATTTAATCTCCACAGCTTGATAGATGTGTCTCCCACGAGATAGTTGTCTTCACGATCCGATATTACCTCTTTGTTCTTCGACGAGCACTACCAGAGGCTGGAAGACACCTCCTAAGCCACTGACTTTATCAAGATTAATCAGGTATATATGCAACCACTGCATGCTTCCCCTTCCTTCTAAGTGCTACACCTCCAACACACTCTTTTGATTCCATCTATACGCATCACAGAAACATTCTATACACATATTCGAACCCGGTCCAATCTCATATCTAATACACTCGAGGTAAGAGAATACATTGTCCACTGGAGTGGCTTACTGACTGCACGACAGCCCCGGATGCTTTTCCCGAAAGGAAGTAACTCGACTCTAGCAATATGCGAGATCCAAACCTCACACACCCCATTCACCCACTGTTCCAGAGAATGCCGCATATCAATCCAGAAGCCTTCCGCATGTACTGTCACTGGATGTCGATTGGCATCGCTACTGCTTGTTGGGGAAGAAGGCTCTGCCATTCTTCCATTCGGTTTCCGTTGTGGGAGACTCTCCTGACAAAGCCGAACGCAAAAACAATGGTGTTGCGGGACAAAGACTGATGTCTTTATTCGCTGGATGCACAATGTGCTTGTACTCTTTGTCTGGTCAAACAATGCATCAGGAAGAGAAGGACATTGTGTGATATATATTGCCCCCACATGCCCGGTATGGTTTCAGGACATCAACACACACTCAAACATTCTCACGAGACAACTGGAACTTGCAATCTTGCTGGTCAAGATCAATAACAACATCTTTCAACAACCCGAAAGTAACAAAAAACATACTCAACAATGTCCTCGTCACCAAGGAACGTCAAGCATGGCAACAAGCCAGGTGAGCTGAAGCAAGCATGGTTGCAGCAAGTCGCTCAACGCGTGAATCTGACTAGTGAGCAGATCCTGAGCGGCGAATCGAAGAACATAGCCTGGGGCAACCTGCTACAGCTTCTGGAGAAATTCGACTCCAGTGAGATTGTGGAGAGAGCGAACCGCAATCGCGATGCTGACGACGAGCTGACGGAGCAGTTGCTCCGCAACAGGTGTTGCGTGGCTGTCGAAAGCTGGTCGAAGATCTCCGGAACCCACACGGCTATTCGACTCGAGTTCATTCTCAACGATCGACGTGTCAGGAATGGACTGAAGCCGCTTGTACCATCGTGGTTCCCGAACAGTGCCTCTGTGACACAGAGAGAAAGTCTCACACAGAGGCTGAGGAACCACTTGGTGGAGAAGAGACAGGCCGACCCTACTCTCGTTAACCCCGACCAGTCGGCGCCATGGGATCCAGTCGATGTGAACAAGCCGAAGTTCACATTCAAGAGCAAGACGCGATGGTTCGATCCCACAATCTATGACAGAACACCGCTCCAGATCAGCACCCTTCGAGAAGCGAAGCGCCCAAAGTGCCAGTCGCAGCAAGGAGAGTCGACGCGATCGGAGAGCTCACTGCCGAGCAATGCTCGTCCACGAATGATGCCTTCGAGGACCGCCTCTGCTGCTCGATCCGGTGTGGTCAAGGGAGAGACAGAGCCACCACTAACGCCTTTCATGGCTACGTTGGCCGGAATCTCGAAGAAGCGGCCGGAGTCGACGAAGCGCAAGCACGAAGAGCTTGAGGAGGGAGAGATCCGAGAGTAAGGAGATTCCTCGGCCATAGTGTTCCTCAGCTCGAGATCACAGAGCTATTCTGCCACTTAATCGAATAATATTGCATTGCATTGAACGCACTTCCTGTCACTCTTCTCAACTGTACTTTGTGATCTTCAGCCCTTGTTATAAGTTCTTGAACTCACTGTTACAAGGCCTCAAATTGCTCTAATGCCTCATCATCAAATGGCTTGCTGTTGATGTAGGGTTGTGAGCGCCTCGAATGAGCATCGTGACTACTGCCTCGTGTGGACTTGCACTTGAGAAGTCCATGCGCAACACGCGGTCCCGCTGCTGCGCCTGACGCAAAAGCATGGGCAGTAAGTGGCCGGACGTTGTTTATTGCGCACTGCATGGTCAGATCTCAATGCAAAGGGCAAGTACTGCCACGCAGTCCATGTGTAGAGGTCTCGCCGCCCCAACGCGTGTGGACCATTCTTGCCATGCTATGGAGGTCGCTCCAGATCTGGCCTCGTCGATGGTGCGTGTCTAAATTGAGATCTTGCACGGGGAGCGGTGATGTGGCGGTCGGCGTAGATCAATTTGCCGCTCTTTCGCCAGACGTGAAGTTTGACTTGCGAACAGGGGCTCCCAACAAGCCAACAAGAGCTATTCGTATGCTGCCAAGAGCGCCCGATGTGTCAAGTATGCAGGTCCCGCGGCATTTGGGGTGAAGCGTGGAGCGCCACCAGAGTACTTCGCGACGGCCTGCAGCGATGCGCGACGCAGGAGCGGCGTGACAGCGTTCTTTGTTGCGGTGTTGACGGACGATGAAAGTGCTTTGTGTTGACCAGACACGAGGTTCGAATCTTTTTTGGCAGGCGGGCCGCTCGGGGACGACAGGGATGTTTCGCTTGGCCGCGCTAGGAGGCCGACACGTCGACTCAAGACGAGGAATGCGCCTTCCTCGCCCCAACCGCGCACCGATCATGAAACAGCGTTGTGCGCGCGCGCAAAAGTGCAGGCGCGAAGGTGCACGTCGCACCAGCGATCGTCGGCGTTCGGCGGGCATGGCCTGCGCTTCTTCTATACATGTATACAATCTCACTTCTAACTTCTTGCCCCTTCTCTGACCCACCATCTTCACCTTTCTCACATTCACAGTCTGTCCATACCTACGAGTATGAATTCCTGTGCAGTCCTCTGGTAGTAACTCCGCAGAACACAGTAATCACGAATACGCGCGATCATCGCTCGCGACCCATCAGCAGCAGTTTCCATCCTCATCCGATCATCCGACCAACATCATGGCCACAAACAACACCACTGCCGCTGTCGACATGGCTGCAAAGACAGAACCGACTGTGAACGTCGAGAAGGGAGCCCCGAAGGAGGGTAGTATTCCGACATCCTCCCATGGCTCCTCCACCGCCCACCAAGTCGAGGAGGGCTTCGTGCCACAGCCCATGTACCACGTACCTACCTACCACTCGGTCGACATTGAGGACTACTTTCGAGGTCCGCGCGATATCAACCGGCACTCGAAATGGCCGCAGTTCATGCGCTTGCATGGCTCGATCGCGCCAAAGATGATTCTGCCTCTCACCTTCCTGGCAGCTTGGGCAAGTCTGATTACATGCATCCACCAGCTGGTCCATACTCTCGCCGTCGATTCGGTTCTCCTGACCGTCCTGGGTTTTGTGGTCGGTTTGGCGCTTTCGTTCCGCTCTACCACTGCGTACGAGAGATTCATCGAGGGTCGCAAGTACTGGGCGCAGCTCATGCTCAACGGTCGTAGCTTGGCGCGATTGATCTGGGTGCACACGTCTGAGTATGTTTTTTGTGGCGCTAGGTTGTTGCAACCACTGACCGTGTCACAGACGACACGCACAATCCGAAGAGCTCGGGAAATATGATCTCCTAGCCAAGGTCTCCGCCCTCCAGCTCATCAACGCCTTTGCCGTTGCTCTGAAGCATCGTTTGCGATTCGAACCCTCCATCGACTATCCCGATCTCGGGCCTCTTGTGGGCAGTCTTCATGTGCTTGCCGCAGACGCCGATCAGACCATGCTGCATCAGCGCCGTATGTCGAAACTGAAGTCAGCTGGCCAGTTCCTAGGTGTCCCCATGGCCGAGTCAAATCCACGAAAGCTTATCAAGCGCTCCAAGGACAATCTGGGCAACACACCTCTGGAGATCCTCACCTATTTGTCTGCATACGTCGAGAGTACTATTCACAACGGCACACTCACCATCGGAGGTCTCCAGTCGCAAGCGATAACACAGCTGTTCAACCTTAGTGACGTCCTGGCTGGCTGCGAGCGCGTTGTCAACACGCCACTCCCAGTAGCATACAGCATTTCCATTGCACAGATCACATGGGCGTATGTCCTCATGTTGCCGTTCCAGCTTGCGAACAAGCTCGAGTGGGTCGCGATTCCAGCAACTATCATCGCCGGCTACATCATTCTCGGACTTGCACAAATTGGTCGCGAGCTGGAAAATCCTTTTGGCATGGATGTGAACGACTTGCCTCTGGACTCCTTCTGCCACGAGCTGGCCAACGATATCGATGCTTTGACTGCTCTGCCGCCACCAAACGACACCACACAATGGATGCAGAGCGCACAATCGAGACCACTCTGGCCAATGAGCAACATGGAGTTCAAGGCACTGGAGAGCCGAAGCGTGGAAGACATCCGGGCTGCGCTCCGAGCCAAGGCTGCGAGTCGCGATGTGAAGAAGGACCGAATGGCGACGTTCTATCAAAGTGACGCGTTGACAAACGAGGGTTAACGAGCGGAGAAACGACTGTAACAAATCAACTTTTCATAAAAGTCTAGCGTTCTGGCATGGCGATGGTTGGACATGCAAAGTCCTGGGCAATACAGATTCAACCAGGCACAAAATCTCAGCACTTTTCAAGCTTTACGTTCCAAGCTTGCCCACTGCCACTCAGATGATGCTCCTATTGCAGTGATATTGACAAACCCCCATCCACCGTAACTTGCGCTCCACTAACGAACTTACTCAAATCACTAGCCAGAAACACCGCCGTCCCCGCCATATCCTCCGGCTCCGCGACCCTTCCCAACGGCGTTCGATTCTCAAGATACTTCAATTTCTCCGCATTTGCAAGGTCGCCCGCAGCTAATTGCGTTCTCGTCGTCCCGGGAAGAAGAGCATTACAGCGTATACCGAATTTCCCTAAAGCACAGGCTTGCGATTGCATCATACTTAATACTGCGGCTTTGGTGGGTGTGTAATGGACTTGTTGGGCTCCACCGAGGTGGGCGGAAATTGAGGAGATTCCGATTATACTTCCGCCCGTGTTCTGTTGTACCATTTGGTTTGCGGCGGCTTGGGTGGAGAGGAATGTGCCAAGGATGTTGGTGTGGAGGTGGGAGGAGAGGGTTTCTTCGTCGAGGCTGGAAGGAGCGTCAGCGGAAGGAAGGGGATGGGGATTGTAGGTGGTGGTTGAAGGGTTGATTGATTGACTTACGTTAGGAAGTCGCGAAATTGACTGACTCCGGCGTTTGCGACGAAGATGTTTAGTTGGCCGAATTTTTCGACTGTGGCGTTTACGAGTGTCGTGCCGGTTTCCTTGAGGCCAATATCACCGGATATGCCTAGCAGTTTCGATTTATCTGGGACTTCTTGCTGCAGGCTTTCGAAGTGCTGTTGGGAGGATGCATCGCCGAGATGGTTGACTGTGACGGAAGCACCTTGTCTGAGAAATTCGATGGCGATGGCTCGACCGATTCCTGTGACGCCTCCGGTTATGGCTGCGACCTTGCCTGCGAGGAGTTGGGACATGATGGCTTTGAGGTTATTTTGTTAGAGAGTGGACAAACGACCAGAAAGAATATGGGATGACGGGCGGACAGAAATGGCAAGCCGAAGCTATGTACCTCCCCCAGCAATATCGGCTCGGCGATTGAATCTGGAGACTGGTGGGTATCGTGGGGCTACGAACGACTGCTGCTGCTGCAGAGCTGCATGTGCCATGTGCTGTCCAACGACGAAGCTGAAAGCAGCACCTCCTCACGCAATGCGTGTGATAAGCTGGCCGAGGTCGTCAAGGTCTTCCTCATGCCTCTTGACGGCAGCACATCACTGCATTCCCTACGAACAGACTATTTGTAACCTTGGACATGCTCACTCACAGTAGATCTGCTTCTCGCGCCATCAGCAAGCGATTTCCAGGCATCTGGCGTCTTTCACAATCTTCTCAATATCACGTCAAAACATTCAAGCTCAACACTGGCGCAGAAATCCCATGCATCGGTCTAGGCACATTTCAAGATCCCGAACAGCAGGAAGACGCTGTGGCAAGTGCTCTGAAACTAGGCTATCGGCATATTGACACAGCCAGAGTGTACTACTCTATCCACCATTCCTCGCCAACTTAATCTCCGCTAACAGATAACCAGCTACGACACCGAAAAGCAAGTCGGCGCCGGAATTCGCAAAAGTGGCATAAAACGTGAAGAAATATTTCTAACGACTAAACTCTGGTCCAACTCACATCATCCCGACGATGTTGAGCCAGCACTTGATGAGTCTCTCGAAGACTTGCGAACAGACTATGTAGATTTATTCCTTATGCATTATCCTGCGACTTTCAAACGCGGGAAAGCCAGGTTTCCTCGCGAGGATGCTTCGGGAGAAATGCTCATGGGTGAAACGACTTATATTGATGCTTGGCTGGCGATGGAGAAACTCTTGGGTACAGGGAAAGTGAAAGCGATTGGCATGTCGAATTTCAGTCGAGGTGAGATGGAGAATGTGTTGGAGAAGGGCAACGTCGTAAGATTGGCCAGCGAGAATGAATTGTCAGGTTTTGCTGACACAGAGCGAAGGTCCCTGCTGTCCACCAAATGGAGCTCCATCCCTATCTCGCCCAACACGACTTCACCGCTTGGCACAAACAGCACAATATTCAGCTCATCCAGTTCAGTCCTTTCGCCAACCAGAATACGTTCTATAAGCACGGACAGAATATGCCGAAGTTGTTGCAAGACCCGATTCTGCAGGATATTGGCAATAACTATGGAAGATCTGCTGCGCAGGTCGCTTTGAACTGGGGAATCTGCAAAGGTCGTTGTGTGATTCCAAAGAGTACCATTGTAGAAGAACAAGAAGAGAACATGCGCAGTGTGGAATTTGAGTTGAGTGAAGAGGATATCAGGAGGATCGATGCCATGGATCGGAAGTTGAGGTTCAATCATAAGGGACTGAATTATGGGTGGAAGTTGTACAGTGATCTCGAAGGTGTGGACTGAGAAATGTGCTTCGGCTTTCTTGGTAGAGAGCTGCTTGGTCGCTTCTGAGCTGGAGCTAGTGATAGCTCCATCCTGATGCGGATACCGTAGGGCGTCTTTCAGTACATTTCGAAAACAACGAGCTGAACACCACCAGCTGAGAGTATATCAGCAGCTTTCGCAACCCACGTGGCATTTTACAAAAGTGAATCAAGATCCCTCAACCCACTCCCGCAAGTATGACAGACCTCACCCTCCACCAAACCACTCGTTCCGGGAACTGCTACAAAATTTCCCTCGCCGCATCTCTAGTCGGCATCAAAATCGACAGAATCATCAATTACGACACGCTCAAAGGCGAAACACGATCCGAACATTTCCTCTCCGAAATCAACGGCAACGGCAAAGTCCCAGTCCTTCAAATCGGGCCTCATACTTTCATGCCAGAAAGCAACGCAGCAATGTACTACATCGCCGACAAGAGCCATCTGATCCCGACAGACCGACTACTACACGCACAGATGCTGCAATGGATGTTTTTCGAGCAGTACACGCACGAGCCGGCCATTGCGACCCTACGGTTTTGGGTTGCGATCAAAGGGTTGGAGAATTGTACAATTGACGAGAAGAATGCAATGAATGGGAAAATGGTGGCTGGTTGGCATGCTTTGGATATTATGGAGATGCATTTGATGAGAGGTGGAAGGAAGTGGTTTGTTGGCGATGGGGTTACGCTGGCGGATTTGGCGTTGTTTGCTTATACGCATGTTGCGCATGAGTCGACGTTTTTTGATTTGATGGATTGGCCGAATGTCCGAGACTGGTGTGAGCGAGTTAAGGGTCTCAATGGATTCGTGAGTATGGTGTAGACAGAGTGGAAGAAGGCATGTTGGAGGAGTTCTCGTTGTCGTGTCAAGTTCGTGTCAGAGCCGAGCCGAATCAGCCGGACCGACATGACTAAGCAAGCTGTCCGCCCCCCAGGTTCCTTCCGTGACCGCGCCGCTACTCGGTCGATGCACACTGCACCTCTCTCCGCAGATCCAGCACCATCTTGTATCTAGTGACCGAAGAACACAGGTCCTAATAAGTTGAACCTTCTACGGCCACTGGATAGCACACACGCCTTAACGCCGAGCTGGACCCTATATGGCAGCTTCCGGTGAGACTTCAGCACACCGATCTTTCGTCCTCCGCCTTCCAAGATGGCCATGGCTGTCAGCGAAGCAGCGCAACGAGTCGGACAAATCGCCGAGGTGGTAGTTTCCCTTGTCGAACATCTCGACACGATTGACTTGGCCAGAGCACAGCGAGTGTCTCGAACGTGGCGATACGAGATCAATAGATCGCCAATATGCCAACAGAAATTGTTCAAGTCTCCCATCCCACTACACGAAGAAATAGCGTACGATGACTGTCCCGATCCGTTAGGCTCGGTGGTATTCCTCGAGGAGATGGACAATCTCCCATGCCAGTACGACGATTTCCTCCCGAATGCCATAGTCGTATCTGTGCATCCTATTATAGAGGTGCATCGAAAGCCCGGTGCATATATGAGTGGGAAAGTCAACCTCGAAAGACTTTCCGCTCCGTTGACTGGGGCTTCAGGCGAAATCTTTCTCACCCAACCTCCACAAGCGGAGGCGATACTCACAGTGGTTTATGTTTTCGATGAAGGACCTTACCTGGGCGCTCCCGTAGCTGTGGTGTATGACACACGCATCGAACGACAAGACTACGTTCGTCTCCGCGATCTGAAGCGCGAGTTGGATGACAACTTCCGAAGCTCTCAGGACTCAGACTTCTGGGAATGGCTTCCGTGGCGTTACGAGGGCGTATTTGCCGACAAGGAAGAGCCTCCGATAAAACTCGACGACTACATCACGAGCTATGGATGGCCCCGAAGGGAAAGTGCGGAAGTCTCCTTCCAAGGCTGCGTAGACGAGGGCGACATTCGCGTTGTACAGCTTCGTAAACAGCCTCCACGTCCTGACCCCAGAAGTGGCGAGGTTGGTAGCAAAGGGCTGATTCGCTATCTCTCATCTGCAGAACAATTTGCGTTACGTTGATATTTTATAAGAGGTTGCTGCTCTATTTCATTGGCTCAAGGGCGCCCTCGCGAAGCATCTGGAATTCTGGCACCTCTTTGACGAGCGGCTGGTAACCACCGAGATCCTTCGCGCTGACCCAGTTGCCATGCACCTGTAAAATTGTTAGCTACTCGGACCGTAGAGGTATGCGTGAGCAAGACAAACCTGAGCCTTCATATGCATGGGCAGCTGAACGAGAGCAACCTCCTCTTCGAAGGACCTCGTATCCAGCACGACTATGTCGCAGCGATTTGCCTTTACCCGCTCGATCAACGCCACGACCCAACCATCTGCCTCCTCAGCAGCATCATGCCGTGGAATGAAGATCGGTTCCTGAATATTCGAATCGTCACCTGCATAATACCACTTCGTCTCTCCAGTCTTATTATGCACCATAGCGAGACCGTTCAGTCCAAGATAGATATTATCGGCCCCACTGGAATTCCTCGGAATGAACACATTCAACATCACATAATTGTACTCGCGACCCATCAGGCGCTCGTCAATTCGCGGAAACTCTGCCGGACAATCCAGCACGACTTTCGGATCCTCCATTTTTGATCCTGCTGGAGCCTTTGCATCGATATGCCAGCGAACGAATTGAGCTTTGGCATCTGGCGCTGGCAATGTACCGTCGTCTGCCGGGAAGAATGGAAATGCGTTATCGTGAACGAGAGACGACTCGGCCCAGATCTTGGAAGGATCATTCGGGTCTTCCCATGCTCCAGCTGTGTGGATGGCCATGGCATTGCGCCACTCATAGTGTCTTACTTCACCAGGAGCCCAGCCAGCTGGAGGCGATGTGTGATTTCGAGGCACAACAATGATCGTGCACGGCCGCGAGTAATCCCAAGCATAGTGGTGTCCGCCACGCTTCATACGCTCCACATTGGCCTCAAATGGCCAGATGAAGAGCAGCAGCCAGGATTTTGTGATCGCGCAGTCGTGGATGATGCCGGGGGTTGGCCAAGGCTGATGGAACCAGAAGACATTCTTGATTAGCCCTGAACGATCAATAGTGTAGGATACGATATCTGTTGTGGCAAGGCCTTTTGCCTCATAGCCGTATACGACTAGTTCGTCGGTGTTGGGATCGTATTTGGGATGTGCGGAGAAAGTCTTTGCGTTGATTTGGCCAAAGGGATCGTATCCTATCGTCTCCATAGTCTGTGGATCGACATGGTATGGCAGAGCACTCTCCTTTAGAGCTAATAGCTTACCAGCCCACAGGACTAGATTCGTGTTCGCTGTCGAATCAACAGCTGCCCTGTTGAACGTCAGCTGTGCGTACCGATAGAAATAGAGTGCAAACGCACCTGACGCAAACATTGTGAGAATATGGGTTGCGATATAAACCGAACAGCGCTTTGCCCGCCCGCCTCTCCAGCATAAATCGCTGAGTCTTCACATATTTTGTCTTCATGTCGACTTTCCCATCATGGAACCGGAAAGCAGACATATTCCCATCGCCGTCCAGTGGCACATTCCCTTCGACCGGAGGCACGAAAGGGTCCACCATGACTCTGTAGAATGTGCCGTCGATTTCTTTTGGGATTTCTCCATGCACTACGAGGTCCGCAACCTCGCCCTCAACTCGAAATGGGACATTGGAGCCATAGAGATCGACAGCTATCGGCCATTTGCTCTTGAGCTCTTTCTTGTGCGTGCTTGAGGCGTTATTTGATTGAGGTTTTAGGTCGAGTGGCTCCTCGATTTTGTGATCATTGGGTGAGTCGGCACGAGTTGTTGCTACAGCTGCTGCCATTTCGAAAATCGGAGGACAAGTTCGATGATTCGAGAATTGGTAGAAATGTTTATCTTGCGAAGCGGGTCATAATGCCAGCGACGACGACTCAGACCTATATGAGCGTTCTCTCGCACCTGACACCGACAGGCTTCCCCTCGAGAACAGGCACATGGCATATCGGCAGTCGCATTTCAGCATCTTCGGCTGTTCCGATTATTATTCAAGCATTCTGATTTCTGCCGTTCTGACTGTTCCCCGGCGCTCCGCAAACCGCCATCCCGAACCGTTTCGTGTAAGCACACAGTGTTTAGCCTGCGATTGGAGCGGTCTGTATCGGAATATGTTTAGCCCTTGAAACGGCAGCATCACATGTTTTCGGCAGTTGTCTTGGAGATGCAGGCACGATAGTGTTTGCGTGGAGAAGTAAGCGTGTGTCCAGGGTATGCTGGTCAACTCCACAGTCGACAAAATCTCTCACCGAACTTCAGTTGTAGTTCTGCTTGACTCCACATTCATGTCTCTGTGGACAGCTCGAAGGAACTGTCGTCCATCTTTACTTGAAAGAGGCATTGGCAGTCTCATTTGGTCAGAGTGTCGGAAGACTTCGGCTTCGCTGACAGAGTCCGCAGATCGGTGAATTGCTCGACGAGAGCGACCAGAGCAAGCGCGATCCAGAAGCCCAAGATCTTTGCCAAGGAACAGGCATGAAGTCGTATCTCCGACCCCATGGAGAAGAATTAGATCTTCGGAGTTGGGCTGCTATAGCCCCAAGCATCCATCTCCTGCCCATCACCATATCGATATGTGGCGGTGCCAAAGTGTGCCCAGCCAAGTCGCTCATATAGCCTCGCAGCTGCGATATCCTTGGCCAGCGCATAGAGGACCAGTCGCATGCCCCTCTCTGCACCCCATGCCACGGCAGCTTGAACCAGCTTCGCGACAACTCCTGATCCGCGACTGTCAGGATCAACAAACAGTCGTTCTAGAACTGCTATTGCATCATCCTGATGTGTTTTGCGCCAAAGTGCAGCAGACAGATCACTAGTCTTAGCTTTCCCTATAGCAACATGGCCGACTATCTTGCTATCAATGACTGCAACCCACGCTGAGGTAATGTCCTGATTGCTGAGAAAGGATTCAGCGTGGGCGGTGCCTTGAACGGGATACCCATCTTGATTGTAGACTCGTTCCAGAACTTTCACGCAGGCAGGAAGATCTTTGTGTTCGCGACGCCGGATCTTCACTCGCGGTTGGTGGTTGTTGGCCTCGCTGGCTTGGCACATTTTGCCGCAACCAGAAGCCCAGACCGAGTGGCGGCAGCACGGTCCGGGGCGGAGAAGCAGAATCTTGTTGTTTCAAGAGTCAGGATGAAACGCTGCGTGAACTCTATTGCGGACCTGGCCGGATGGAAGATTTCCCAAGAGAGCACGCGGCATGCGAGCTCCTCGTGGCGGTCGAGAATTTGTGACCACACCTCCCAAGTGCCGAGAATGATGATGCAAACAATGCAGGTTGCCCGACAGCTTTCTGGTGCTGAGCCCCCGCGCCTGCATCCGACTTTGGCCCCTTTGACTCCGAAGTCAAGTCTAACCACTTATGCTGCTTACGTACATGCACGACCGCTGATCAAATGTATTGGGTTACGATTGCGAGAGTCGTTTGTCCAGACCCCAGCAATTCCAGTTCGCTGTTGGGACCTGTTGTGCACTGCACACTTCGGCAATCTCTTGGCCATATAAATGTTATGTCGTCGTCATGTTGTTTCGAGAGCCAGTGTCATCGGAATGGCTACTCACGACCATGCTATTCATTTCGTTTCTCTAGGGATGGTGATCCTAGATGACATACATTTTTCGAATGGACGTGCTGAGAGTAATGTGCTTGGAGGCTCATGTGCTTTCAGCACACTTGGAGCATGCATGGTAGCTGATGAAGATACCCAACAGGTTGGGTGTTTTGTCTTGGGCGGTGACGACTTTCCTGATGATGCCGAAGTCCAATTGCAGAGCTGGAATGTCAGCCTGAAGATTGACAAAGTACCTAAGCGCAAGTCAATGAGAGGCAAGTTACAATATCACGATGACAGTTTTCACAGTAAGTTCAGCTTTGTCGTCGCTTGTCGTGTCTGCTGCTGAATACATCTGTAGACAAAACGTTCGGATATACGACTCCAGTGCTGCAGCCAACTCCTGGCGACTTGCCTCAGCCTTTGCTCCATTCGATGGCATTTCACTTCCTATCCAGCCCCGAGAGACTCAAACAGCACATCACCGAACTGCTCGACCTCAGAAAAGCGCAGGGCATCACAGCAAGACCACTGCTCATTTGGGAACCCTTGCCCGCGCTCTGCAGGCCTAACGATCTAGCTGCTCACGTGGAAGCGAGCAAGCTGGTCGACATATTCTCGCCAAATCATCTGGAGCTGGCAGCATTATGCGGTCGATTGCAATCCGAGGTGGATCAAGCGAAGCCGGAGGTCGGCCGACAGCATATCCAGAGCTGTGTTGCCGCCTACCTGAACGATGAGGCTGCCGACGCACACCTCGAGCAGCTGTGCATCGTGCGCGCTGGCGAATATGGCGCGTTGATTGCCACTCGCTCGTTGAATGCAGCGGGTGCTGTCCAGATCGATATGACCTGGGTGGATGCATTTTATGCTGCGGCTGACCGGAAGCGCGTGGTGGATCCGACAGGGGCTGGGAATGCATTCCTCGGCGCTTTAGCGATGGAGCTGCTGCAGAACGACGGAGATGCGGTCGAAGCGGCTGCGAAAGCGAGCGTGGCGAGCAGCTTCGTGGTCGAGCAGGTGGGCTTGCCGGTGCTCAGCCGAGACGCTACATCTGGTACTCTGCTGTGGAATAACGTGTCCTTGAAGGAGCGGCTGGACGAGTATGAGAAGTAGACGTGTTCGGGTTAATGTTTTTGCGTGCAGGTATATGCAACACTGCGTAATGTAACAGATAGCAGCTGTGGACCGGAATGACAGCAAGCAGCGGTAATTCTTAATATAATTCCAGGAACCAACCTTTTCGTCCCACGTTTCCATGGGAATGGTAGAGCACTGCAGCTGTAGCGCTTTTCAGTAACTTCCTGATTCAGCAAAGATTAGCAGCACATGCCAGAGGCAACGACTTCACTGCTCTGCATCATATACGTGAGCACGGAACGATTCAATTTCGCTCAATACACGAGCGATTGCCGGTCGTTGTGCAAGATGCTGTAGCTTGAGCTCCTGTGCGCGATCAGGATGGACAGCTGAGACCCACTGGCATGTGGGATGCATTGTGCGGCTGAATAGACTAGGATCTGTATTACTACTGGAGAGAAGGGCTCGAGAGGCCGTCAGCACGAACACAGCCGCGCTGACTTCAGGATGCGCTGCAATGCCTGTCTCACCAACGAGTATTGATCTTCTCTGCTACCCTCATCTGTGCTGCTCATCTCAAATGATCAGGCATGCCGTTTTTCAGCAGGCTGTGCGAGGCTGCGAGCAGCAAACAAGACGACGTTGACTTTCTTGAGGCGACCGGAGGATTTGAGGCTGTTGCCACGTTCTTGAGGTGGATTCGTGGAACCAGAGGAGAAGAAGAAGGTCCGAGAAGAGATCCCGAAGAAGCAGTTCTCCAAAGGCGTTAGAACTCCTTCCAAGAGTTTCAAGCATCGAAGCATTCCGAAGCAGTGGCTTCAGCCCAGGCAGCGGCGGCAAGTGCAGCCAATGCAGCGAGCGGCAGTGTAGCGAGCGCCATTACTGCTGGCGGTGCGCATTCCATGCCATTCTCAGAACAGTGCAAGTCTGACCCTCCCTTCAGTGAGTGCCACTTCAACGACGACGAGCATAGCACCAGACACGGCCACGGCAGGGACCGCAATTCCCTCAATCGACATCGCTACTGCCACCATGTCTTCAACAGCTAGTAGTGAGACTGCAAGCGCCGACGAGCGGTCCGCTTCCCCCGATGGTTCCGGAGGGCTCAGTGAAGCCAGCAAGATTGGCCTCGGAGTCGGACTTGGAGTAGGGATACCACTGCTCTTCGCTGCAGTCGTGTTGCTGTGCATCATACAGCGCAGAAGAAGAGGCAACAAGCAGATGACTGCCAAGTATTCCCGTCAGGCGCAATCGGACCTCTCCATGGTCGAACAATCGCAATCAGTACACCCAAAGGCTGGTCGTGCTCTCGATGCTCCACTGGCGGGAGGCCTGCCGCCTCCAGGGCAGCGAGAGACCGCTGATCACAGCGGCGAATACGATGAGGTTCCGCCAGCACATCAGCTCCATCGAATGTCGCCAATGCACCGTCTGGCCAGATTCCAAAAGAAGCTATCGAGCCTGCATCTTGGAGCCGAGACCAAGCTGTCGCACCATTAACAATTCTAATTCCCGGGCAGGAGAGAAGATCTGATGTCTCGCATGAAGCCTTGCCTTCGTCCTCGCATTCGCCCACGTCTCCAGTGTCGCCAATCTCAGTCGTGTCGCAAGTAAGCTCTCGCCCATCGTCTTTAAAGGCTTTGTAGATTTCGTGGTAGAAAGTAGTTAGCTAAACCGAAGGACCTTGACAATAGCACATCGGTATAGCCTCTATGTGATCGTCTTCCGGTATGCCAAAAAGAGCAGGGTATCTTCGCGTATGCTCAAAATTGAACGCCCAATCGTACTCGTACACCTGTACACTGCAACCACTGCAGCCTAGTATTCATGCTTTTGTATTCTTACAAGCATCTCCCAACAATAGGAATCATCCTGTACATCTCGTTGTACTCTCTTGCAACCCAGCCCGCTGCCTCGCCTCCACGAGCGACCACGCCGAAGCTGCCTGCCATCCATAATCCAGTGACGGCAGCAGCAACAGCATTGATAATATACCACCTTCTCTTCTTCCTCAACTCCCTCTTTGCTCCCGTATCTGTAACTTGGTCCGGCGTCCAGCCAAAGTATTTCGCATATCCCCAGGTCATATGGAAACAGCCCACACTCAGCAGCGCCGCAAACCCAGCAAAGGACACGATCGGATGCTTCGCAAACGCGTGGCTCACGTATGCTAGATCCACATTGCCGCCTCCAGATTTGTATGCGCGTGGTATGGCTCGATTGAGCACAATGTGACCTAGTGCAAGTGGCACGAAGATATATCCCAACCTACTGGTACCCGAGACCTTTGGCCAGAACTTCGTGAAGAAGCTGGCTTTGTTCTCTTGACTGTATGCGTCTCCATATCTTTTCGCGTTCTGATTCCTTCTGATGACTCGAATTGCTACGCCGGATAGGATATGACCCCACAGTGGTAACGCGACCATCAAGGGCTCAACTCCGGGCGATTGGTAGTACGGCCTCGTGAGGAGGAGGTACGGCTCTGAGGCTGGAACGCTCTGAGTGAGAAGCGGTACTATTGACGTGTTGGTGATGTGCATCGTCGCGAAAGCCGTAAACACGTAGGATGAATATTTCTGCACTCGTTGGAGATACCATATTGCCGAGTGTTGCGACAGGCCTAGCCCGGTTGTGCTGCTTCGTGGAAGACGTGATTTCTCGTCGGTGGAGGCATCGTTCAGCGAGATCGTGTCTGTTGGTATCGGCTCGAGTTCGTGTAGCCCAGATTCGAGCTTCTCCAGCTCGCTGAGGTCGTCCATTGCGGTAGATGGACGAGTGTTGGCGATGATGGTGCTGCTCTTCACATGCGAGACCACGCCAATAGAATTGAGACAAGGTGTATAAGCGGGCGGAGCTGGGCCCGCTCCGTGGGTCGAGTCTGCCCGGTGAATACATCCTGTTCCACTTTCCATATCATCGCGTCAAAGAGTCAAGCAAGACTTGTTTTTGTGGATATCAGTTGGATCTAACTGAATTGAGATACCTCACGAGGTCTATCGCGCAACTGCGACCAACATGGCGCCAGTAGGACACTCGCAAAGAACAACCCAAGACACATCACTAACAATCGTCCCAGCGCGGCCATACTCTACCCGAGGCGGCAACAGAATCAGCAAGAGAAGCACGCAAAGCGTTCTTTTGCGAACTATGCCAGAAGGGCTACGCGCGAATGCCCGAATTTGAAGCCCACGAGAATTCCTACGACCATCAGCACCGCAAGCGACTCAAAGAAATGCGAAACCTTACCAAAGATCCTTCTGCTGCTGCTCGCCAACGTGCCGCAGAGGAGAAGGCCAACGCAGAATCTGGACTGAAGTCCATCTCACTCGCTGGTGCTGGCGCCTCGACAGCTTCAAGTGGCAAGAAGAAGCCAGTCTTCAAGTCGACATTGCAGTCGAAAGATGCTCCTGCGGCGCCTGTGAAACTGGTTGATGATGTAGTAGACGATGCCACAGATCCCAGTGCTGCCGTACGGAACGGCTGGTCTGATCGAGCCTACAAGCCAGGCCACTTTCCTCAAGGCACGCCACGACTTTCGCTGGAAGAAGTAGAAAAGAAAACGCAAGATTTGCTGGAGCAAATCAGGCAAGGCGGTCAGCAGAGACAGTGGCTATCCGAGCGACCCGACGAGTATGAGAGGCACTGGCAAGAGAGCATGGTCGGCACACAGCAGCCCTCTTGAACTACTTAGGCACTCTATTTGGCAACTCGTTCCCGGCCATTCCTGTGCTAATGGTACTTGACCGCTCTAACTGTATCCATGGCCACTTGGGCGCCGATGCCAGCAAAGAACCTTGATTGCCAGACCAGTCGATTGGATCCAGTCGAAAGAATTACCTGAATGGCCACACTCTACATCAGCTTTTGAATGCTTCGAGCCGGCCTTCTTGATCGTCAGCCGATCGACGCCCGGTGCTCACCCGCAAGAGAAATCCTCAGAGGGGTTGCCATGAGCTGAATGCAAGGAGTTGCAGCTCCTTCAGGTGGACGCAACTTGAACATCTGGCACTGGTGCCCATGACCGAACACAGCTGCCCAAACAATAGACCGCTCCTGGCCCCCATCAGTCATCAGCACAGCTGAAATGTCCAATAGAGCCGCAATACCGCTCGACTCTACTATCGACTTCGCAAGCCACACCTTGGCAACCTCGTATAAGGACACTTCGTGTCACCACACCTGTCAAGCTTCTCCTCAAGCTTGACCAGATCAGTGCCCTCTCACTGCAGATGGCGCAGGTCATGAGTTGAGGTTATAGCTCCAGTCCAGCCAGCCACGGAGATGTTCAGAGCACGATAGCAAATGGATGTTGATGCCACCAGGTGCAAGCGAGGCACAAGCAGGGCGAGCCTAATAGACCGCAGGAATAGGTAGAGTCGGCTACTTGTGAACAGACCGGTCAAGATTGTATATATGGAGCTATAAAGTGCAGACACTCAAAGCTCTAAAGGCTGGCCCATCATCGTTCTTATCTCATACAAGCGCAAACAACATTCGCCTCCTACTTCCACAAAACCTCAACATGAAGTCTTCCATTCTCTTCCTCACCAGCGCTCTGCTCGCAACTGTATCCTTCGCGCTCCCATCATCCGATAATGTCAGTCCTGAGCACAGACCGAACATAATGATCCGACATTATCAACCTACTCACATCTCTTCTCCCCTCCCAGGCACTAGACAAACGCTCCTGCGTCCCCTGCCCAGCATATTGCTGCGCCAACAGATGTAAAGCACCTTTCAATCGGAGCTGTGCGGGTTCGACAGTAAGTCCTCATTCCGCGTGAGAAACCAGCATCGTGTGGACATGCGTAAGGGAGTAGTTACAGGCAATAGAATTCTGACACATCCATCTGTGACTGCAGTGCATCACCAACGCGGCGGGCTATTCATCCTGTCAATGCGTCTGTCGAGAATGAGGTACCAGTCAGAAGTACATGGAAGCAATAAGGTCATTTCGAGCAGAATCAGCAAACAATCGTCGGGTACAAACGGCGCAAGAAACGCAAGATAGCAACGACACATGAACGGAAACGAAATACAATGTTTCAGGGTCGCATAGTGTTGCATTTCATTCGTTCTACATCGTTGTTGTCGACGCTGTGCGTAGTTTGCAGTAGCAGTACTTCCAGCAGTACAGGTTCTCGCCCGGCCCAAGTATCTAACACCCAGACCTGACCTGACCGCCAGCCACCCAGCCAGCCCGTAGGCGTCGGCGGCAGAGAGAAAACAATCGCGATGAAAAACAATGCCAGTGATGCAGTTCCTGTCCATGCCTCAGAAATCCCGCCAATTCAGTGAAGGCAATGCCCAAAGGCTGAGCTGCCAAACGCGCAAAGCGCCTGAATCTCAATCACTCTTTCTGATCCATTTCTCCATCCTGAAACACCTGTGAAGCGCCATCGCTAGAGCCCATCCATTCTAGTAGTCTCGTACACGATCAAAGCCAGTCGAGAGAGAACAGCCAAGTGCGGTGTGAGAAATTCAGAAGTGAAAAGTCGTGCAAAAATGCAAAAGCGCCATCCGTGGGTATCCCTTTGTCGTGTGAAAGAATTTTGCGCCATCTGTAACCGTGTTGTGATGCAAGGTATTAATGTATCGAACAGGTTGTAGTCGATCATTGAGGCCGTCAGAATTGCATGCGACGAAGCTGGTCGGCTACCTAGGCTCGAGACGGGTTCGTACGCGTGCTGCTGCGAGGGCACTTGACTTTTCCGTCGCCGGCAGCGTCAGCGACAGCCCCACGCTTCGTGCCAGCCTTGGTGCGCTGCCAGCTGTCGAATGGGCTACGCTTGCTGCGGCGGTCGCTGCTAGCGGCAGTGGGTGAAGTGTTACCAGCAGAAACTGGCTCCTCACTGCCTTCGACGATCGGAGTGAGCTGAGGCTCGTTGCGCGTGTTGCGGGCGCGGCCTGGTGTTGATGGCACGGCGGTGTCCGAAGTATGGTCTTCAAAGACCGGAAAGTCATTGATGGTGACCTTCTTCTTGCGTGAGCTGCGCTGCGGAGTAGGCAAGATGGGCTCAGCTGGTGCTTCATCATCGGCCTCGAGCGTTTCCTCGAAGCTTGGCACATCATCAAAGCGTGACTGTCTTGTGGTGCGAGCGGTAGTCGGGGGGCTGATCATTGGCTTGCGCTTCGACTTGCTCTGCTTGACCGGAGTGGCATGCACGGCTGGGCCGGCGAAAGACACACCAGAGTCATGCTCTTGTGACTCGGTCATCGTGGTGCGCTGGTCTGGCATGTCGACGTCTGTTTCTGCCTCCTCGTCGGTGTAGCTTGTCTGGCTTGCCTGTGGCCACAGCAGACGAGGTTCGATGTTGCTGCGAGTCAAGCCACGATGAGCAGAGTGGCCAATTGCACGCTTGAGCTGCTGCTGTTCGCGAGAGGAGGCACCGGCATCCTCGACGCCCTCAACATCTGCGAATTTGCGGAAGCATTTCTTACCACGGCTGCAAACGAGTCAGTACGAGTCACAGAAGGTCGGATACAGCACTTACTACATGAAAAACATGCCCTCTCCGCGGTTGACAGCTGCCTGCATGCGCGCTTCCTCGACCAACTCATCAACGGTCTTGCGTGGGCGCTGGCGCGGTGGACTCGGAGAATCCCAGTCGCCACCACCACGGTTTTGGTAGACTGGCTCTGAGACGGTAGTAGTGCGACCACGTGGGACATCGCGAAAGACGTTGTCGTCTGACGAGTCATCCTCTGGAACTCTGGCCTGGACTTCGGTGTAGATTTGAATGTCGGACTTGGCGCTCTTGTTCGGACGGCCAATGTCGAGACCGTCGTCGTCGTCCAGGCGGATGAACTTGTTCTTGCGAGCGATGCGCGGAGTCGGCATACTGTCGTTTGGATTCTCTGGTTGAAAGTGCAAGGCACGTGGCGAATACTGGATACTTGAGGCACGCGCACGCTTCTGTGCTGGAGTCAAAGACGGAGTCTTAGATGGAGTTGGCAACATGTCGGAAGCAGTGGCATCTGAGAAAAGAAGTTAGTATTGTGGATGAACATCCTATTGTCCTATTGTTGAGGGGAAATTACCGTTGTCGCCGGATCGTGCCGACTTGCTTCCGCCGTGCATCTGCGGGCGAGCAGGTGGTGCAGGTGATGCAGGCGGGGATGCAGGCTTGTATGGGTGCAGGCCGTTGTAGGCGTCGCCGTGCAGTGGCGTTGGTGGGGTGCGTGGGCGGGTGAACCGCTGTGGCGGGGTGGAAGGAGCGTCCATCTTCGCGCAGCTGGTGAACGGGCGCTGTCGAGCAGCCAGCGGCGGTGGGCGGAGGGGCGCGAGGCGCGGGCGGTGAGCTGTGCAAACGGTCAGGTCTTTGCTCCTCCAATGCTCACGTTGCGATGGTGAACACAGCGACGTAGTCTTGAGCCAGATGGCAGAGAGACTTACGGCAAACGCACTCTCACGTGGCAGCGTAGGAGTGGTTTTCAGTGTATGGTAAAGGAAGAGAAAGCTCGCAAGCTGGAAACGAAGATAATTCCAATGGCTCCAAGGCCCACTCCCGGCTGCTCCCTATAGGCGTGCGATGTGCTGACTGTTGCGGTCGGGGCCCCGGACTGTACGTACGCCGGCTTGCCGAGTCCTGCTGCACTTGGAGGAAGTGAAGCTGCGCCGTTGAGGATGGCGGTCGGCCTTGCAGAATGCGCCGGCGAGGATATCTCGGTCGCGAATCGTTCCGGTGCGGTCAGGATAGCGGGATCGTAGTATCGTGCTTGAGATCTATGCGATGCGATGCTCGTGAGCGGCGTTGGCGTTGGAATAGTGTCGGATGTAGTGGCGCGCCTGGTGTAGAATCTCACGTCGTGAAGCTGGAGTTGAAGTCGAAGTCGCTTCCAGCCACCAAAGGCAGGTGCGACCCACACCCCAGGATGCGCGCGGCAGCTGCAGGGATTTTAGCGCGCCAAACACGCGACTGAGGATGAAACCAAAACACGTCAACCCGCAGCCACCAGTAAACAATTCAGGCCGCAAGGACGAGGCCAGGGCGTCAGGAGGCCGAAAGACGCGAAATACTTTCATTTCAACCGCCCAAGGTGTACCACTGCCTGCCCAGCATGTCCCGACGGCCTGGCACTTCGGACACGCCCAATTTCGCCAAATTGTCACTGGACGACGCCGATGAGGACCTGTTCGCAAGTCCGGAAAGCGGTGCAACAACGCAGAAGCATACTCCTGGCTCGGCGACATCCTCTACGCAGCGCGCGCAGGCTACGCGCCCACAAACGAAGCAGGAGATCGAAGATGCGCGAAATGCGCAGCTCCGAGCCGAGCTGGAAAAAATCCGCGAAGTCAATCGTGTGATTGAAGGAGTGACAACGAGCTTGACCAAAGCCAAGGATAACATGGAGAATGTGCACAAGACTGTGAGCAATGCGTCAACGCTACTCGCGACCTGGACGAGGATTTTGAGCCAAACAGAGCACAACCAACGAGTGATTCTGAATCCCAACTTTCAAGGCGCTTCGCAGGATCTCGAAGATATTGAGAATGATGAAGTGCGGCGGCAGCAGGAGATCGAGAGACGCGCTTTTGAGCAGCAGAGGAGGCAAGAGGAGGCGCAGCGGAAGGCAGAGGAGGAAGAACGGAGAAAAGCTGCCGCGGAGGCTACGCGAACGAGAGCGGGATTAAATAGGACGAGGAGTACGAGAGGGACAACGAGCTCAACGAGAGGACAGGCTGCTGCGCGGGGGAGAGGCTTGACTGCTGCGACACGGGGCACTTCGAGTTATGGCAGAGTGTCTAGCGCAACGAGAGGACGAGGTCGCGGACTGGGTTGAGAGAGCAAAAGGATATGGATGATGAAGGAAACATGTCAAAGATGAAGGAGACCAGGCGAACAGCCAACGATTGATCTCAAGAAGACACTACCATCTTCCGTGCTCCACAGCACTGGCGGCAATGCTCAAAATCACGCGTACCTGACGGGATATGCCATAGACGCGGTGGCCGTGTCCGGAGACTCACTGCCGCTATACGTACGGCATCATGCCAACCGACCTTTATATTGCAGACACATCGATGTACAGCAATTGCACAGCGGGACAAAGTCGAACACTAGCGAGCGGGTTATAAGCTGTAAAAGTTCCAAGGCAGCGGAGACAGATACATGTCAGGAGAAGTCTCACTAGAGACCTTGTGCATTCATGATCATCATCTACACTTTACATTCGAGCGGCTTTGCGCTTCGCCTCAAATTCATGCCCTCATGCCGTACCTAGTATCGTTCTTGCTCCACGACCAATTTCCTTCAGCAAGTGATCTAGCTGTGTTTCGTCTTCTCCTCCGCAGCCTTATCCAAAGGTCCACCTGGGTTCGATCCCAAATTCTTCAATTGATCTTTGCTCTGCTCGGCAGCTTGCTGACCAGGTTGGTTCTGGCCCTGGTTGTTGACATCTCCAGCTGGGACATCCTTCTGCTGTGCGCCAGATTGACGCTCTGGGTCTGGGGACTGACGGCCTTGGTTTGGTGCAGACATGATTGAAGTGGATGTGTGGTTCGTGTCGTCTGGAAGAAATGTTAGGAACGATACGTTGAATCGTTGAGACCGATGGGACGAACTTGGGTTGGGTTTGGATTGAAGCTAGAGAGAACGTTAGTTCGGAGGTTCACTTGGAAATATGATCACAGACTTACATGTTCAATTGGTATTTGATCGAGCTTGAGAGATTGTTGTTGTGAGAGTTTAAAAAGTGTTGTTGTGAAGGAGGGGCAATGATGTGAGAGCAGGAAGTGTCAGTTGCATGTGCGTCGCTGCCCCACTGTTTCTGATCACAGCAATGACGAAACATGACGAACGAAAGGAGCACCTGTGCACATTCGACATCATGTCGACGCTGAGTGATGGCTGACACTGGCAATATCACCTATCTTCATCGCTGATTCGTTGAAAATACATATTCCGAATGTCGTTCTTTCACTACAAGTTCGGGTGGATGTTCCTGCCCTGCACATTCGACAACTCTCCCTTCAATGCGCTCAGCGATGGCGAGAAGAAGTACTCTCCACCTCTGGGAACCACAAATCTGTTGATTCCAGGCAAGTTCAATTCACGGCTTGCGTCCTGTGGGAACAGCCCTTTCATGGGAACATTTGGCTTGTCATTCGTCTGGCCCATTACTGCATCAACGCCGGCTCCACCGAAGCGGAATCTGTCATTGTTCGCCCATAGTCGTTGAATGAACTCGAAACCTTGGCCTAGATTGCTCTGATAGCATGCAAAGAGCAGTCCACGTTCGGCGTCAGGATTCTCGCTGATCTCCGGTCCATAAGGTATGCCGCGACGTAGGATACGATGTGGGTTCACGCTTTCACGTCCATTGCCAGGTTGATCTCCTCTTGGATTCGTCTTCCGAATGTGAGCGCCCAGTGGGCAGACCATTCTGTCACCAGACTGAATCGTGAACTGACTCTGCGAATTGAGACCTGGAGGATCGAACTCAAACAGATTGTTGCGCATAACATCTTTGCCAATGTTGGTATCGTCAAAGTCGGCTTGCAGGTTGACCGGACAGCCACTCTTCCAACGACCGATGAGTCGTGCTCCAAGCTGATTGGCGAAGGTCCCAAGTTGATTCGAAGACTGCACAAGGAAACGATCCCAATCCTGCACATTCTGCTTCAGCTTTCTAAAGCAGAGGAAACTTCCATCGAGCATCCAATCGGGGTGAGCGCTAACGTTGGAATCTCCAGGGCGTCCGCACAATATGACACCCTGAGGGATGACATCCTGGCCGGGAGGCACGAACTTCTCCTCCTCAGTCAGGTTGGGAAGGTCACCAACAACAGGTTGAGACACGCCATCGAGATATCCAAAGTGCTCATGGCCGTGCTGAGCTCCCGGTCTGACCTTACCGTCAACCTTGAACGCGAGGCGCACCGAGTTACCGAATAGAGCAGTTATGCGGTCAAGTTTCTGTTTGACGAGCCCAGTGGTGGTGCCAGCAACGAGCAAGACACCATCAACTTGCTTGTTGAGCCAGTCAGAGTCCCAGTCTGGAGTTTGTCCGTTGCCACCTTGCTTGATCGGATCTTGCAGACCGGATACAGCTGCAGATTTCATGCCTGTCTCGAAAATGGAGTCCCCTGTATTGGTTTGCAAGCCCGTGACGCTGGCAATCTACATCATGTGAGCGACTGGCTACTTTTACAGAGTAAGGACACAAACCTTCTGTAGTCCCGTGAAGCTGAACGAAATGTTTGCACCAATGGTAGGTACTCTTCCAGAAGGCGAGTTGCCCTCCCTGGTCTTGAAGTCTTTGATGTTGCGGCGAGTATCGAGAACGTTTTGCGTATGAGAGATCTCCTCGGTGGCCACTTGGCGGAGTTTCTGGCAGAACGATCGGCTGTCTGCAATGGTGAAGAACCAGAAGGTCTCCACTTCTTTGTTCAGTCCATTCAGGAGGATGTCTCCCTGAACATTGCTCAGATCTGTGAGGTTCGAGGCCATCTTGTGAAATTCTGAGGACCGATAGGCTATGGTCTAGGTCAACAATCTCAGGAATATCCTTGTGTTCTTATATCTGCCTCATATCGGCCCGCTCTGATGCTCTATTACTCCATTGCTTACTCCAAGGTGACATGTTCGCATTCAGCTCGCGTGCGACCTACAGTGCTTCACAACCTGGTCCACAATACGAGTTCACAAGCATATTGTTTGCGAGCTGAGGCCTCGTCTCGGCAAGTTGTCTGACAATCCTTCGCCATAGGCAGCCAAGAAGCTCTCCTGACCTCCAGTTCTACGCCTCTTGTGCTTCAGCCCTCTCGCGTGTCAGACCGGCCGCAGATCCAGAAGCATGCACATCGATAATATGTGCTGCAGGTGCAGCTGTGGTCAGACTCTTGAGAGCCATGCGATTCACCCGCAGCAGCTGAAAAGGCCTCGATTTCACCGCCATGCACAGCTGTCGAAGCCATTCTCAAGCCCATTCATATCTTTGACCGGTCCCGGGCCGCTTAGACTTCCACGGTATTCTTGCAATGTCGACTGGCTGATGCCTCGCGAGCAGTGGTCTCATAGCCGCTGTTTCTAGAGGTTTCTCAGTGCGATTGGGCTCAGGGAAGTTGGTCTTCGGCATCAGACATCTGTCCGGATCACTGAAGATCAATTAAAAGCTCTGCTGTGCAACATTGTGCAGTGCAGGTACAGCCCCAGTCCTCTCCCCGTCAAATAATACTTCTCGGAGGAATCTTCCAGCTATGCTGACATAACGTAAGCATCGTGCAGAAAAGAGGCTTGCACAGCGCTGCTCCCATGAGTGTCCAAGATCCATGGCACGCATCCTTGAGATCGCACATAATATTTCTGTTCTTTCCGTTCATCGCGATGCAGTCGCGTGACCTGACAGACGGAAAAGGATGTTACAGAGTGCTCGCAAGATTGTGGATGATGGCGCCAATGCTCCGCTTCCGAGATTTGCAGCTTGGCTGAGGTCAACAAGCAAAAGAAGCATTGCCGCTTGGCTACGTCAAGTGTTTTCTCCCAGCCTGGGCTCGATGCTCCATCGCGCCGCATCTCATGGCAATTTCAATATTCAAGACGAATGGAACACAAATCACAAGATGAGCACGCTCGAGGAAGGTGTCGTTGGTTCGCGACGGCAACCCGGCAGACTTTCCCTCCGGCTTCGTCAGGGATCGCCCTTTCTCTGTGCGCAAGCACGGGGAAAGCTCCACCTCCATGTGATACCCTATACCCCTCTCCGCAGTTTCGACTGGCGATCTCCTCCAGTTAAGGTTCGTGCGATGCAATCCGACAGCCAGCCGCAGTCGTCGTGCTTCAATGTACAGCCTGAACGGCAATGTCCCTGCGCTACAGGATTTCATACATGTTTCTTTCTTTCTTGCGGTCTATTTCTTCTTGCTGAGCCTCATTCTTCCATCAACGTGTGGCAGCTGATGAAACAGGCAAGATGAAGTTCATGAATGGAGATAAAGAGAAAAAAGGCCACCAGGCCGCCGATTTCGAGAAACAGGTCGAGATTTTACAGCAGCAACAAGCAGACGGAACGTTCGTCCCACCGACTTCAGAAGAAGAACAGAAAGTCATCAGAAAACTGGACTGGAGGTTACTGCCCTTGGTGTTTGTACTCTATTCGCTCGCAGGTACGTTCAAAAAACAAGTGCCCTCAAATCTCACATTGACACTCTTCTCCAGTACTCGACCGCTCGAACCTTGGCAATGCCAGACTCGCAGGAATGGAGGAAGACATCGACATTTCCGGCAACAGATACCAGCTTCTTGGAACCATCTTCTACATCGCGTACATCTTGTCGCAATGGACGCTAATCGGCTGGAAACAATTCAAACCCAGCCAATTTTGTGCCTTCACGGTTATGTTCTGGGGCTTCGTAGCAACGATTCAAGCTGCGGCGTTCAACTGGGGAGGTCTCATGGCTTGCCGCTTCTTTTTGGGTGTATCTGAAGCAATGTTCGGACCAGGAGTTCCTCTCTATCTGACATACTTCTATCCTCGAGAGATGGTCGGCTTCCGACATGGAGTATTCGTCAGCGGAGCGGCAATGGCGAACGCTTACGGCGGAGCTCTGGCATATGGAATCAGTCAAATCCGTGGATCTATCGCGCCTTGGAGAATCCTTTTCTTGATTGAGGGCTTGCCTACCTTGGCCGTCGCAGTCGTCGCGTGGTTCTGCCTACCGGACAGCATCAGCACTGCCCCGTTCTTGAACGACAGAGAGAAGCAAGTCGCGCTTCACTTTGTGGCTCGCAACCAGAAACTCGACGTTGGAAACGAACGAGGTGTTCGATTCAAGGAGATGTTCGAAGCCTTCAAAGATCCCAAGTCGCTTCTTCCAGGACTGATGTACTTTGGCTGGTGAGTCCACTCAATTCACAAATCTTCCCTCAACATCTTCCACTAATATCACACATCACAGCAACGTCTCCTTCGCCTCCCTCCCACTCTTCCTCCCAACAATCATCAGCGAAATGGGCAGCTTCTCTCGCATCCAGTCCAACGGACTCAGTGCCCCACCATACATCTTCTGCTTCTTCGTCATCATCCTTTTCTGCTTTCTCTCCGACCGCTTCAAAGTTCGGGGACCCTTCGTCTGCCTCGCAGCCACGATCGCTGCAATCGGCTTCATCATCAACGCAACTACAACCTCCACCGGTCCTCGCTACTTCTCCACCTTCTTATCTGTTTGCATATTTGCCTCGGTCGCGCTTCTTCTGGCCTGGACAGCAAATATCCATACCACGGAATCGAAGCGCGGAGGAGGTTATGTCATTTTGGCGACAATCGGACAGTGCGGACCTTTACTCGGCACGAATATCTTTCCGGAGTCGGATAAGCCGTTCTACAGAACGGGCTTGTGGACGAGTGCGGCGATGTGCTTAATGGTCGCGGTACTGTCTGTCATACTGTCGCTCTGGATCATCTACGAGAACAGGAAGATGGCGCGAGAAGGTGTGCCGGAGAACCAGGAGTTCGAAGAAACGAGTTTGGGTGTACAGGGCGAGGGTCAGCAGCAACGAAGACAGAGAATCGTGTGGTAGAGTAATACGACAGCAATATGTTGTGTGTACGAAAACGTGCAATGAAAGAATTCATGATTGATGAAGTGATCGTGTATGTTCAATTGGGTATCAATCTTGTATCATAAAGCCATATATTGCCAACATCTGCATCTTCCCATTCTCATTCCCTCCGATAATGAATAATCCAAACATCCAACCGAAACGCGAGGCCTTTTCAGACTTGATCGATCATAGCCGTTGATATCGTGGTTGTCGTTCATCGTCGAGTAGTGATAGAACGGTATCGACCGGAACGCCGAGGTGATGCAGTGTCGTTCATCTTGTCATGATGGCGGATAATCTAGCAAGAGCAAGAGCCTGCTGCGCACTGTGAAGAAGAATCAGCATCTCAACTACATCCTCAAACTTGCTCATAACAGTCATGTTGGACTCACCTTGCAGTCGGCACCGCAAGAGCAAGAGGAGTTTCCGCAGCCACCCATATTGATTGTTGTGATTTGGTAGATTGGTGAGGTGTGTAGGTGGTGTTGTAGTTGTGTCTGATCTTGTCGTGGTTTGTATCTTCTCAAAGGTGGGTAGGATGCGGGGCCTATATACCCATGACAGTCAGGGTCCTCACGTGAATGCGAGACTTTCGCGGTGGGAAGCATCGCTTGTCGGAACACGATGAGCCAGTCGCACAAAGACCTCACCCGCCGGCGTCGACCCACACCTTTTGCCAGCGCACCAATCATCTGACCCTCGATCCTGCAACATATGCCGGCCACGGCACGCTGCGTGGGTACACATCGTTGGCAAGAGCGCGGCATGCGCCAGGGAACATCGTCCTTCGTCAGTGGCAGTCTGATCGATAGGCGGTGGTAGCCTCGGTCATGCCAATCATCCGTCATACCTTGGGGCATCCAGATCTTTCCACGAGTGGGAGGCTCGACTGGGCATCGCGGCTATACGTGGACAGTCACGGGATGTCCAAGATCATTCGGAGTGCCCTCGAGCCTCCGATGCGCGCAATCTGCTGGGATCAGAGCTATGCAGCTTGGCTCCGTACAAGCTGCTGCCTTTCCTCGATTGGACAAGTGACCGAATCGTGGGTACGCACAAGTCGCTCAACGGAAATGGTCGGGCCTAGGTCTGAAGTTGAGCGAGTACGAGAAAAAAAAGTGTCGGTGGAGGGAGACATGTAAAGTGGAGGAACAGAGTGTCTTCAAGTATTGTTCAGGCCTGGTCATCAAGGTCGCCCGTACAGCGATTGACCGATGCCTTCTGCTCAATTCGCGGTGAAGATCAGCTTACGCTGTTCTAGTACCACTCTAGAGTGCTTCTGCTCAATGATTCCAAGAATTGTTCCTGGCCGCAAGGTACAGTGGCCACTACCATCGCAGATGCACAATGCCGGCAGTGGGAATCCTAGACGTGCAGGCTGCGCGGCCGAAGCCCCTCAAGCCATTCGCGTGGCATATGGTCCGTTGTGGTATGGTGGCTCGTGAACGGTGTAGGGCTCTGTTCTCGATTATTAGTCAAGCATTTCCCTCGAGCGTGGCAACGTGGGATAGTGCTGTCTCTTCCTTTGCCACAGGCGATCTCAGTGAGGCTAGATCGCATGTAATGGACGGCTGACCATGGTGCTAGCAGACAGTGTGTGACATGATGCAGCAAGAGATTGACGTCGCAGATGCAGGCACATCGTCGCGGCAGGCCCAGTGGTCATGCTCCTGCCTCCTTAGATTACCACGTGGCACTTTGGGAAGTTGCCCAACTACATGAGAGCGGAAGTCCGTTCGGGCAAACTAGCATATTCGAAACCAGAAAGGAGTCATTCGACGCGTATAGCATTACTCCATGCAATCATCTATCGTAGATCTGGCGGACCCTCTGCAGACTTCCTCGCCATCTTTACCCCCTTCACAGCAACCTTCACGCTTGTCTTCGCGACCCACCAGCTGCCTTTGATTCCCAATCCCACGAGACCAAACACCGCCCTCGTAAAACCTGGAAACTCTTCTTTCTCCTCTTTGATTGGTGGCTGCACGGCAACCATCTCCTTGATCTCCTTCTTCTCTTTCCTTCGAGCGAGGAAGTTGGTCTTGCTCGACGCTGTCGAGCTCACTGACGAGCGACGAGAAGGTTTTGTCGCGTTCGAAGACTTCTTCTTGTCTTTGCTGGCGCCGGCGACGGGATGCTGGACAGGAGGTGCAGCGAAGGTTATTTGCTCCCGTACCAAAGCTTCGTTCTCAATGACGGCTACTACCAGGAGAGCAGAGACGACGGTGTCAACTACAAATCTGGAGTCAAGCGCCAAGAGGCCGGGAAGATCAAGCACGCAAGCATCGTGTGAGAAGTCGAGGAACGCCAAATTTAGAGTGTCGGCGCTGACTGCGGCTGGGGTAGCTGAAGGATGATGAAAGGAGATCTTTGCAGCTGCACCTCCAGTACTCCGATGAGACTTGGTCACAGTGATGGCACAGACGCCAAGCTGGGGATGCTTGAGATCATAATGTGCTTCAACGGTACTTGACAGTGCGTCTCGTTTCCGTGATTTGTTGATGAGGTCGCAAGCATACTCTTGATGCGCTTCGGCCACTGCGTCTTGGGCCAATCTTGCTGCTTCGGCAGATTGAGCGCTTGGATCAAAGGTCGCGATATTGCGTGCTCGTGGCGAGTCTGCGACGGCTTCGATCGCGGCCATTGCTGCGGTCTGCGGGAAGATGGTCGTGACTTCAAGGTCCTTGGCTCTGGGATCCTCGCTCTTTTCCGGAAGTACAAGTTCTGACACTGGCGAAGAGCAGGGAGCCGTCGGGCAATGCTTGCGAAGAGCGTAGCGCTTGGGAGACGTCCCAGATGTGCTTTGACGCATCATTGAGTACATCAGGTCTTCGTGGGATGTGCCGACTGCGAGTTTGATCGATGGATCAGATGTCGCCTGATAGAGATTATATTGGACTTTACGTCCGTCACATGGGTACGACTCGATAGAGGCCTTCCACAGTGCTTCCAGATCGGCATGGCCGGCTGCAGGAATGTGCTCGTAGCCGTCTACCAAGCCCACAGCTGAGTCGTAACGCTTCAGCTCCTGACGCTGTATGGGACTTCCGATGCTGCTCGCCACAGGACTGTGATAGGCTGGCGGCGATTGTGCTCGAGCTGTGGGATAGTATGACTGATGGTCTAGAGGTCGACTGGGGTCATACTGTGGGAATATGGAACGCATCGGTGGAGCGAAGCCAGGGCTCCGCGCTGGACTGTCGGTCCTGGTAGGTGCATTGTAGTCCTGTTTCGGTGATGTGGATTGGAAGCGAGTCTTCTCTGGTAAAGGAGATACAGCATCTTTCTCGTCGATAGGTGTAATCAATTCGTCTGCAGCACGAGTCGTGACTTGTGTGGAGATATTGGCTGGCTGAAGCCTCTGTCGTTGCGAGGCGGAAGACAGGCTTCTTCGCGGTGGTGTGGTGGAGCCGAAGTGCATGTTGCGTGGTAGTTCTGAAAGTTTGTCTTCCTGGGCAATATGCTCACCGACGAAGTCAGGTCCTTCTATGATGGGGCTCGACCTGCGCCGTGTACGGCTCGTTCGTCGTATTGGTCCCAGATGCGTAGTGGAGGGGGAAGTCGCGGACGACATGGGTGACGGGATGCTTTTGGGCGTGGCAACCGACGGATCGCAAAACAGGGAGTGCTGGAAGGTTTCTGATGCAGCTTGGATCTTGGGAGTCGTAGATTTCGCACCAACGACTTGAAAGGCAACGCCCTTGAGGTTCAGTTCGCCGTCCGCATTTGGTGTCTTGTTGTTCCTCTTCATAGAGCTTTTTCGTGGCAGACCAGCTGCTGAAGATGGGAACAGTGTCAAATGAGTGGGTGCCATGGTACCAGACCTGAGCAGGAAATCAAAGCAACGAACAGTAGGAAATGACCTAAGAGACTGCGGGTCCGCGACAGAGAATGACCAGGACAAGAGAATAGACTATGCGAAGTAGTGACACCGACTTACCATATATCACCCAGCTCGTAACGCCGGCCCAGCATTGTCACATTGGTTCTGGGGTCGAGCATCGCGAAGACTGCACAGAATCAATAGCGGCTCCAGGGAAGAATTAAGTGCTTTCGCGCCGAGCTTGCCACCAGGTGAAGTCGCGGTCAAGGGCTAGTCTGCGCCGAGATCTCAGAAATGAGCCTATGGTATGCTGTGCCGCACGAATGCAGCACATTGCCAAGATGCAGGTATGGCAAGGCGAGGTGTGAAGTGTAAGCGCCGGCCAGTTACGCGCCCAAGACCACCCGTGATATGAAGTACGCGCCTGGGTTTTATTGGTTCCCGCCTCCGCATCGTACTGTCGCATGATTCAATCTGAGACGCTTTGTCCAGGGCCTGGTCGTCGCTCTATCGTGTCGTCCACGAAGGCTGCTCTTTCGGATGCTTGCTCGCCGTTATGGTGGTCTCGAGGCTTGCTCGCGGGATCGCCACGTGCGCTTGCGTATGTTTTGGGACATGTCGGTGAAATCTGATGATGAATTGGGCATTCCAATGGCGTCTGGATGCATGTGCGGATGTTTGTCGAAGCCAATTGTGCACAAAGTGAGCAATGTCTGGGAGTTTGCCGGAGTGAGCTGCGCACAGGCACGCGAAGCTGCGAAGCTCGACGTCGATCTTGTGACCTCATGCGGTGACACGCTTTCGCACAACCACGATACGCACACCTAATTGGTAATGTCGAAAACCACCATGGCCCGGTAGCGACGCAGCCGACATATCATGGTCTCCTTCTGGCCCTTCAAAGGCGGCTCCAGCGACGCCGCCGCCTTCGAGAAGGAGCTCAGCCAGCTGTCCACCAAGATCAATAAGGCCACCACACAAAACGAGCAATTTCAGCAGAGACGCAGGCGCTATAAAGTGCTGTGGACACTTTACACCTCCTTCACTTATATCCTGATCACTGCTATCCTGACATTAGTCACTGGCTGGGACAAATGGGGCGCTGTCGAATACTCCGCCATCGCTGGCAGTCCACTGCTCATCTACGCCGTACGAACAGGTCTTGATGCCTTCTACAACTACCGCATTGCGAACTCGCAGAAATACCTGAATGATCTGAACAAGCAAAGAGATGAGGCAATCAAGAGACTGAAGGCAGCGACAAAATATGACAGCACACAACAGCTTCTGGAAAAGTACGGCGGGTCACCGCCTGCAAAGAAGCAAGTAGTCCCCGAGGCGAAGGGCAAGAGGCAGTCTGAGGGCGGACCAGGTAATCGAACACATACACCGCAGGCCAGGACCGGCTTTGCACCACCGCCGACCGCGAACATTCCAAGCCGACAGCCACCTCCAGGTGTTCAGCACTCAGCACCACAAAACGCGCTAGGCTCTGCGCCGCATCTACCAAATCGACCGCCTACACAACCTGCACCTGAGCAAAGTGGGCCTGGCGAAGAATTTGCGCCAAACGCATTTAGCCCGAATAACTTCAGCCGACCGCCTGCGCTTCGCCAGCCACCACAATATATCACAGAGGGACCGAAATGGTATGATCGAATCATGGATGTCGTGCTAGGAGAAGATGAAACGCAAGCAAAGAACAGAATAGCATTGATCTGCCAAAATTGCAGGTTAGTCAATGGTCAAGCACCGCCAGGAGCAAGGACATTGGAAGACATTGGGAAGTGGAGGTGCAGTTCATGCCACACCCTGAATGGCGTCGAGAGCGAAGAGAAGAAGATCCTCAAGCAGATCACAGGCGAGCCGTCTTCACCCGCGAGCCCTGGTCCGGTACCTGAACCGAAAGCGGATGAAGTCGGGGAGGAGTTCGCTGAGAACGCGGAGTCAGAAGACGATGAAGCTGAGGAGGTGGACGATACAACTCCTGCAGCATCAACGCGGAGCAAGGCGCGACAGAGGAAGAAGGCTTGATGCGTGCAGTCGTGAATGTTTTGGACGCCTGGACAAAAGCGCCTAGTATCGTACAAAATCATCATCATTATCACATCACCTCGCTTCGATGCACTCAGCTACAGCTTACTGCCTCCCCGCCTCCTGTTCCACGCTAACAATGCGTCCACTCCTGCCTGTGCGACCTCCGTATCTTGAGCTGGTGTACCCGTGCTCACTCCAATGGCGCCGACAACTTGTCCATCGATCTCGATAGGCAGACCTCCTCCAATCAATGTGAACCTCCCACCATTGGAGTTGTGAATTCCGTAGCCAGGACCTCCAGGCAAGAAGTTCTTCGTGGTTGTTGTGTAAGTTGAGGTTGGGACACGATGCCCTGCGGCGGTGAATGCTTTATTGATGGAAATGTCGACGGATGTGAGTTTCGCGTTGGGCATGCGGGTGAAGTGGAGGAGGTACAGTGAGTTGTCGACGAGGGCGATATTGAAGTCTTTGAACTAATGTCAGAACATATGAAAATAGGATCGGTTGCTAGGGGTATATGTACCTATTCCCATTGACTTCGCCTTCTCTTGGGCTGCTTGTGAGGCTACGAGCGCTGCCTCAAGCGAGAGCTGGGGAACTGAACGTGTTGCCATTGTGTTCTACTTGTCTTGCTACAATTTCAAGAACCTTCTTGAGAAAACGAGCGATGATATGGCAGTCTTATGTGCATCAAAGGTTGAGACTGCTTGCATGAACTGAAAGCACCTACCTTCGCCTAAACACGGCCGGTAGCATCGACTAGACGTGTGATCTTTGAGGAAGCTCGACGCTGACGTCGTTCGAGCCTCGGCGCATGGGGAAGCTGCACGGGTATTGCGGAGGGCCGGAGGGCACCCCGGACAGCAGACGCACGCTATTCTTCTGAAGAGTGCACAACCTATGGAAGTCCAGCAGAGGCATGCACGACGCTGCTGCAGGATGCGAGCAATATGGAACAATGGAAGGAGTGGCCTGAGATGACGCGCGAACAAAGCTGCCCATGTGTATTTCGAAATTGAACCAGGCCCATTCATCCTTCTACAGACGAGCAACAACTATCGACGCCAGCACAGCCATTACCACTCCCGCACGCGTCTGCGCTGAGGTCGCCGACAACGTCCTTGGCTCTCCTCCCTTCTCTGATCCGACATATGGATAACCCGTGACAGAGTACATCTCCGACTCGATCCCGGCCCCAGCGGTAGAGTTTGTGTTGTGCAAGAGGGCCTCGAACGCGAATTCCTTCCCATCAGGAAGCTCAACTTGTGTGCTCTGCAAAGCTTCCGACACGTTCGCAGGCCGCCATGTCAAGCTGCCGTCGGCAATTGAGATGTTCTCTGCGAGGGTGTATGCGAAGCTAGTGGAGCCATCCGTTACGGCTTTCAATCGAATGTCTACTTCATTGTATGGTTGATCGCCTGTGTCCCAGCGGATATCGATGCTGGGTGCGGAGAGATTGAGAGGTGCTGATGTGTCTGGAGCTGTGAAGGTGAAGCCCTCGATGCCAGCAATGAGGAGGAGTGTCGCGAGCTTGGTGGCTGATTTCATTTTCGTTCTTTCGTTGATGTGGATTTGGCTCTGGCAACTTCGTTCCTTGGTGTTGGTATTGTTGAATTTTTCTTTTTGGAGTTCGATGTGGAGCAGGCGTTTGCTATCAGGATGGGATGCATCACACTATTAATGGGAACCAACAACAGACGTCACGGGTCGCCCATCTCCAGCTGAAGGATTCATAGCGCAACTCTAACGGTATAGACGCGAGCCACGATCATACCACAGCCACTCTTTCTTGGCGAAGGAATGGCACTGAGAGGGCGGCTGTGTCTTCACTGACAGCAAACGGGGCCCTGTTATGCGTCTCTGAGCGAAAGCCTGCAGCCAAAGTCGACTGCGCCTTGGTGATTTCACCATTCTGTCTGCTCAATCTCTGAGCCAGCGAGATCTGCTTCTCTGCTTGACAAGGCCTCAGACTCAGCTGGAACCCTGCGTAGATAAATCCACTCGCTCCAACTCGCCGCTCTCCCTCGCCCACATGGCAACAAGCTTCGAGTCGGACTCCTCAGCGAAATCAAACAAGTCTCCATAAGCACAAAATACTTTCAACTCATGCAAGCCCTTCAGATGTAACCAGAAGTTCGATCGTTCGATCATATGTATCAACATCGCAGCGCACAGGCTGCAGACATTAATTCGAATCCGAAGAACCTCAAGTTTGAACATTCGCGCCAGCCATAACCTCACCCATTGCTCGTGTCCTGTTAGGTCGAAGGGGAGTTCTTTCACCCCAAGTTGCAATGTGACTGTCGTGGCATGCAGAGATTCAGGAATCTGAATGGGATCATCGAAGAGAAAGGCGTGAGTGTCGGTTAACCTCAGCTCTGGAAGCTCTTCAACACGGTCCATCGCTTCGTCATAGAATTGGCGAGAGATGGCTGTGTTTCGAGGCACTAAGGCGTAAGTCGATGCGCGGAGAGCAGTCTTGGTGTCGAATTCTGTGGTTCGCTTTTCTTTCATTTCGTCGTAGATCATGTCTCGTAGTTCTCGTGGTAGGGCGAAGAACGAGAATATGTTCATGTTGCTCTCCGTGAAAGCGACAATGGCGCTTGAAGGGTCCTCATCGGTGGAGATCTGGGCACAATGCTTCTTGCTTGATCGTCCAGATTCGATTTCGTCCCCTTCGTCAGCACTCGACTGGAGGTTAGCGATATCGCGCTTCTTCCCAGTAGACATAGTCAGTGCCGTGCTCTGGTCTTCGGAAATGCTCGATGCCGAAGGTCTTGCGTTGTAGGCTCAGGAAATGGAAGTAAAGCTGCAAACAGAGTGCAGAAAGTGAATGTCAGGAGGCCACATTCAAGTCGAGAACAAAGACACAATGTTTCACTTGTCTCGCCTACCTTGTCCCGAAGGCCAGAGGAAGACCTGAAGTCAGACGTGTCTTCCGATTCCGATCTACCTATTCGTCGCGCCATATTGAAAGGCGCGCATGTCTCTGACGCACACACATCCAACATAAGAACCATGAAGACCAACGGCACTGTTCCAACGAATCCATGCAATCTCCTCTGTCCAACCCGTCATGATCAGCTGTAAGGGTCTTGAAGGCAAGTTGAACACAGGCGCCAGGATGTAGAAGCCGTGGAAGAAATGTAAACGAGAAGCGAGTTCCACGAAAGTGATCGTTTTATGGCCATCTATGTATTTCTGCGTGCGGCGAAGAGGGTATCCTGGTTTCCCATCCGTAATTTTCAAAGCCGTTTATCCTCGTCATGCAGAAGTCTGGAATAAGAGAATAAGAAGAAACTGGAGGAGCGGAGCTGAAGAGCGCTTCCATCGACCCCTTCAAGAGAAGCAGCGCGCTGCCTGTCAAATTCAAAAGTGCGCCGGAGGTGCCATCTCTTGACAACCGGCTCTGGTGATGTTTCGCAGCAGACATACGTGTGCAGCCTCTTTCGCCGTCGCCCTTTGACCTATCGCAGATGCGATGGTTGAGTAGAATGCCCAGGAGATCCCATCAAAGTCAGACTTGGCGTAAGGTTTGTGCGAGTGCCTCGCTGGATATGCTCCGTGATGGACTTGGGATGTCGCCTAAGGCCATAATTTCCAGGACCTCGCTGAGAATGAGCACATTTTGCAACCCATCATCATTCAAATCTGGTCAAAAATCGTGCCGAAGGACGATCACGGTGGTGGCGCAGTCACAAATCTTCGTCTATGTTGTCATCATCTTTCGGCGCGTTTAGTTTGACCTCTGGAGTTGATGTTGCTTTCGGATGCTCTGCATCTGTGGGTGCGCTAAGAGAAGTGGAGGGCAAGAATCCAGCTTCGCTCGTGAACATGCCATTGTTAAGCCCAGGCATACTGGCTCGTTGTCGCTTGAATGGACTAGCGACAGCATCTGATCCGTCGTTTGCAGGAGGAGCAAGGCCATTTGGAGGTGTGCCAGCGTTGGCAGCGACGGAGTTGATTGATTGTGGTGTTCCAGCATCTGTCGATTCTTCACTCTTGACATGTGGTGGCTTGCGCAATGCGCTCGGGTCACCGACCGGGTCTACAGAATGCTGCCGCTTGAGCTGTATCATACATGTCAGCATCCTTGCTACTGGTCCAGATCGACAGTAGACTTACCTTGATTTTCTGCACACCCTCAGCAACTTCGTTAGTGCGCTTGGCATCCTCCGGCGAAAGGTGAGTGCTTCCATTCTCCTGCTTGCCGTCAATGTCGTCGTTACCATCTGGCAATCGCTCGTCCTCCTCGTCATCTGCATCGCTGTCCATTGCGTCGACATCCTTTTCCTTGCCTTTGCGCTTGGCTGTGGTGGAGTCTCGGTACCCTGAGAAACCCTTCGTGCCCTGCGATTTGAGAGGGCCCAGCTTAGAGAAATCCGTGACCGAGGACTTCCTACGTCGACTCGATTGCGGAGTTCGCTCTGAGGCTGGCGTTGACAAGATACCCATCTTTCTAAGCTGTTTCTCGCCACGATAGAAGAACGTGAACACCGCATAAGGTGACTCTGGGGGGTCGAGCCCTGTCACAGTCTGAGTGCTGATGGTCTTTGGGTCCAGTGTCTTTGGCTTTGCAAAGCTCGTTGTGTGATCCACGTCTTCGCCCCCTCCTGCATCCCCACCGGCTTCCATGTCGTCGTCGTGAGCATCGAACTGCGGAGAATATTCACCTCGCTTGATTTCACCACTCGCGAGCACTCGGAACAGGGCGACCTTGATTTGGCCTGCTGCTTCGGGCTCTGGAGGGTCATCCTCTGAGTCAGAATTTGAGGAGAAGAGGCCATCGTCGTCTTGCATGTCTTCGACCGAACCGTCCTCGCCGCCATATCGTAGAACGCCATTGCGTCTCATGATATTGGGTTTCACGTCCTCGTCATCGCTGCCCTTCTCCTCTTTCCTCTTCTGTCGCTTCTTCTCCAATCTCTTCTGCCGACGCTCTATTCGCTCTTTCTTTGCCTGGTCGGTGCCCTCCAGATCCAAGCCATTGAGCCACCGCTCTAATCCAACTTCTCTGAACAGAAATTCGCGCTCGGCAAGGCCGCCACCCTCTGACTCTGGTACGCTCACCCAGCGACTGTTGACCCACGTCTCTTCCCCTCTCCTCAGCAGCGTTGCTACTTCCTCCTTCGCACGCCCATCGAAGTAGATATACGCGGCTATGGTCTCGTTGGGATTGTCTGTTCGCGGGACGTATGGCGGCACGCTCGCTTGGTATTTGCCTCTCTCGCTCCCCTCGCCTGGTAGGTTCCCCACTATGCGTGGCCGCGGATAGGGATCCTCGATCGTGGGCTTCGGAGTCGAGTACGGCACATTGAGCCCTGGTGTGAGGAGAGTGATGCTGATCGCGAAGGTGGACTGCTCCGGCTTGCCTGATGTCGAGCCAGAGGGGACTTTGGCGGGGGGCACGGGGATGTATGTGGTGATGCGCGATTGACGAGTCTGCTTCTGAATCGAGTGCTCGGCAATGGGGCCGTCAGCAGTGTGTATGCTGACCGCAAGGCCTTTGAAGCAAGGCATCTTGCGGTCGGTGGTGGAGCTCGAGGCTCAAGCGGACGTGTAGCAGAGGGCGGTGGTGGTGGGAGGTCTGTTTCTCCTCCGCCGCTCCTTTCAGCCGCTGCGGTCTGGCGACGAGGTGTGTCTGCTGGAGGACTGTCGCTCTGCACCGACGTTGCTGGTCAGCCCAAGTCGTGTCTGGTCAACACGTGCCCGCGTGCGAGTGTTGTTCGTGGCCGACGGGCGAGTGTGTGTCGCGTCCAATCACCGCGCCAAAAAGAAGCTTTCCAGTTCGACGTCTCCGCAGGCGAAAGCGGTCAAGATGGCTCGGTCCTCTGCGCGGGGCCGCGTGCACGCCGTCAGCGGACAAAGAAAAGGGACAGCAGTAGTGGACTCTCGACGCGTACTGCAAGGCTAGATGTGCTCTACAAGAGGGGATTTATGCAAGACGGACACGCGGAGTCACTGTCGCGCAGTGAAGTGGGATCCGCAGCCAGACGCGACGTCACTGGGAACATGCCTGATCACTGATGCTTCACTTGCGCTGAAAGTAGTGCCGGTTTCAACACGCGCCTCGAGGCGTGATGTAGTGGTACACGACTATCGACTGTTCTCGCTGGAAACTATCGCGACAGCCTCTTCTCAAGAACGTGCTGTTCGCCACAAGATTGCTCATTCCTCCGCCCTGGCATCGCCTATTACTACGTTCAACTCGTCAATCTTCGACTCTGCTGTGTACTGCAACGCTTGCGTATTCCGCTTTGGTCGCAGTAACGTCCTCTGCACGATCGGATAGAAGTAAGCGCCCTTTTGTAATCGGACATTGTGAGCATCTCCATCACCGTCGTGTAGTGCAAGAGCCACAGAGTTGTTGTATGTGTTGTGTCTGTCACCAGCCTGTTCCTTCGTCTCGTACGTTCGTATCCTCTTGTACTTGAAGCACTTCACGCCCTCACCATTGTCGTTAGTGTAAAGGGTATCCTCATCCTTTTCAGGATCGTTGACATCCAGCCTTCTCTTGATGCCACGAATAGCGTCTACGTTTGTAGGGAGATAGTAGTCGTAGTCGTACTCGCGAATTGGCTCAGGTTTCGAAGAATTTGACTCGTGCCATTCTCGTAGCTTCTCCTGATACTGCTCTTCTGCGCTCTCATCGGCGACGGGTCGCATGAGCGCAGTATCGAGACGTTCGTCGTATTTGTCGCGGATTTCTGAGGGGTTTGCGTTGTATTTCATGATCATGTAGAATCCTACTGAAGGAATTGCGTCTGGATCTGGCAGGATCGGATACGAATCGAGAAGCTTAAGGTCGGCATTGCTGGGGTGCTTGGGATTTGACCATGCCTTGAGCTCGGCATCGGCTACCTGTGCACCACGCAGATTCTCGGTGCTGTCTTCTCCCTTGTACGCATCTTTGGGGTATGCAATGTCGAAGCCCTTCACAATGTGTCGCATGATGTTGATCGGATCATCTTTGTTTGCGGACGGTTTCCGCCTCTTGTTGTCGTTCCGCAGCTTAACCAGATCTTTCGATGTGGAAGATGTGAAATGTTGTGCTTGTTGCGACGAGCTATATTCTGTTCTCCGCAAGAAGGAGACGGCTCCCTGTGATGCATTTGCTTTGCCGAGCTGGTTTAGTGGTTTGAGTAGCGCTCGGTCTGCAGGATGTATTTGTTCTCGAGCATTGGGCCGCGATGAGATGGCTATGCGGCATTAGCAAAAGTTATCCCTCGCACCGGAATGCGCATCCTACCTTCTTCCTTTCCTTCGAAAATACCGGGTATACCAATCAGATCTATCGGCATGCCCAGCTCTGCATCTGCCTCGATATTCAGCGGCTGGTCTCGCGCGAGCCGCGACGAGTAGCCAGCGCTCGTGTATTGTCCACTCGACAGTCCTGTTCCGGGTATATCGAGAAGCTTCGGTGGGTTTGGAGGCGGAGGCAGCGCATTGCTGTAGCGGATTCGCGCGATGTAGTCCTGGTGCACGACCTTCTCGCCGGGTCTTCCAGAAGACATGGTGTGCGGGGATTGGCGAAGTTGGTGAAGCGTGCGCGTCCAGCGATGGGCGATTGTTCGAACGTGGATGCGGAGGAAGACGCGCGCTGGAAAGAGCGACGGGGAAACGTATTTCCGACTGTCAATGGAGCGAACGCCACAGGCAAGAGCACACGGCACGTCACACGCATCTTCTCAGTCTGGGTTCACCTCACTAACGCCGCGTTAGCTTCCGACTGAATCGTGTCCACCACAGCAGCAATTCCACGGCCACAGCTACCAGCAGACGTCCAGAGCCAGCTGGAAGCTCTCGACTACCCCACGAAACACCATGTTGACGCGGAGTGCGTGATTCGCCGTTGCACGTGCTGAGCCACAGCGCTCTTCCTGGTGAGGCGCCTCGAGCTCACCAAAGCACATACCTGGCCCACGTGTCGCCGGCCATGGATGGGAGCGCAGCGTTTTCCTCGGCGTCTGCTGCCACACAACAGCTCGCTGCCAAAGCCAGCGCCTTTGCTCCCGACAGCAGCGTCGTTGTTAACTCCCCGGCCGGCACTCCCGCGTCTGCTCGGTCCATCTTGAGTATGCTTGGAGGCTTACTTTTGGGCATTTTCACTGTCGTGCCGAGCATCCTCTACTGGACTATCTCATTCGTGACTTACACGCTACCAACATGGCTCTTCTCGTTCTTGTCGACCAGTCTGACCTTCACGATGAACATGACGACGCTCCTGCTGCTCTTGGTCGCCGTAGCCTCCACGCTGAGCTGGTTCGTGCGGTACAGGTTCATGAACATGTACTCTCGCCTGCCGCCCGAACCACAACGCAAAGAGCCGCAGATCGAGATCTTCCCAGATTCGCAGGAGACAGACTCAAAGCCGGGCCTAGCAAATTACTTCGATGAGTTCCTGAGTGCTATCAAAGTCTTCGGCTATCTGGAGAGGCCTGTCTTCCACGAGCTCACGAGGACCATGCAGACCAGGAAACTGATCGCTGGCGAGACCCTTCTACTTGAGGAAGAAAAAGGCTTCTGCTTGGTGGTTGATGGCCTCGTCCAAATTTTTGTCAAGTCCAATCGTGGACAAGACAGCGAGTCTGCAAGTGAGCTTGGCATGGCAGATGAAGATCAAGTCGAAGATCGAGCTGGGGAACACGGAAACTACCAATTGCTCACTGAAGTCAAGAACGGGGCACCCATGTCTTCTCTATTTTCAATTCTTGCCCTGTTTACAGAGAATGTGAAGCTAAGGTTCGACGAAGATGAAGCACTGAATACCAGCGACTCGAGTGGCAACCTCAAAAGTCAACTTCGCATGAATCAGCAAAATGATCGCGGAACGCCCGATTCAGGCACGGAAAATGGTACGCAATGGACGGCAGGTGGCTCGTCACGACCTGTTTCGAGGCAAAGGGCTTCCTCTACGGTCCAGCTTAGTGGTTACCCCTATTCGTCGAGAGATCCACCACCACTTACCTTGGACGGCAGTGGCAGCACAGATGATGGTCCCCAACAACGATCCAGTCGCAGAGCAAGTTACATTCACGCCGAGCATCCTCGGGCCAGAAAAAGGAGAAAGGCCTCTGCTCATCCAGATATTGTTGCTCGGGCTACAGTTGATACCACAATCGCAATCATTCCCGCCAGTGCTTTCCACCGGATTACGAGGATTTACCCCAAAGCCACAGCGCACATTGTGCAAGTCATCTTGACCAGATTGCAACGTGTCACACTAGCCACAGCAAGCTCGTATCTGGGGCTGACCAGTGAAGTGCTTCGAACCGAACGCCTGATGGATCGCTACACGAACTACGACTTGCCCGATTTCCTAAGAGGCGAAGCGTTGTCAAGACTGAAAGACAAGTTTCGGAGAGACCTGGAGCGGGTAGAGCCAGAGGATCTCACGAAAGGAATTGCCTTGCACAACCCGCGAATCACGCAGCGGAGGCGCGCGAGCAGCTCCTTGCATAGAGACGTAGCGATGCGAGCACGCATGAGTGCTCAGAACGGTACTCTGAACTCGGCAGAAGTTGGCGGCGAGCGTGGTGGCATGAGTGCCGGCGATCTACTCACCAACATTCACACACAGCGATCGCCTGGTCGTGCTAGAGGCGAACGGGGCAGCTTCTCTCAACCTTATTCGACCCCACGAACTAATGGAGATGTGGAAACATCAGTCAAGAGTCAGGCGCGGGAGCACTTCTCTCCACGTCTGAACCCGCGCGCTACGCTACATCGACAAGAGTCAATAGACGAGGATGCGATATTCCGTGAGTCAATCATGGACTGTATGGCGAAGGCCATTGGTCTTACCAACTCGAAAGACGGCATCAAGAGATCAGAGTCTGTGGCTCAATCGCCAAGGATGATGTCTTTCGACAGGAGAAGCCAGAGTGCGGTTTTCAACAACAATGCTTTCGGATTCATGGACCCTTATGACGGCTCGCAAGACGATGGTGAGTCAGTTGCTTCCGCATCTGCTTTCAGCATCGGCGGATCTGCAAACATCATGGAAGATCTGAGGAATGAGGTTGAAATTGTTTACTTTCCTCAAGGCTCAGTGTTGGTGGAGGAGGGCGAACGCAACCCTGGAATATACTATGTCATTGACGGCTTCTTGGATGTCAGTGCTTCTGTGGAAGAAGAGGGACATTCGAATGTCCTTGGTACTCTCGCTCAGCCAGGTGGCCCTGAATTGCCGAAGCTACAAGGAACAAAATCATCACAATCCAACAAGAGATCGTCTTCGGTCGGTGTTTCTGAGCATCACAGACGCCGAAAGTCCGGCAGAGTGCACAAGAGCCTCCATCTGATCAAGCCCGGTGGTCTCGCTGGCTACTTAGGCACAGTGTCGTCTTATCGATCGTTGATCAATGTCACTGCTAAAACGGATGTCTATGTCGGATTCCTGCCACGGATGGCCATTGAGAGGATCGTAGAGCGGCATCCGATCGTCCTGTTGACAATGGCAAAACGAATGACCAGCCTGCTACCACGTCTTATTCAGCACATCGACTTTGCACTAGAGTGGGTGCAGGTGAACGCTGGACAGTCGATCTACAATCAAGGCGAGGAAAGTGACGCAATTTACATTGTGCTGAATGGCCGCCTTCGCGCGATCCAGGAAATCGACGATAACAAGATGAAGGTCATCGGTGAATACGGCCAAGGTGATAGTGTCGGAGAGCTGGAAGTGTTGACCGAGTCGACCAGACCAGGTACACTGCACGCGATCCGAGATACTGAGCTTGCGAAATTCCCCAAGACACTCTTCAACAGTCTGGCCCAAGAGCATCCCGGCATCACAATCAAAGTGTCAAAGATCATAGCGTCCCGCATGCGGGCGCTGATTGAAAACCCGATGAACGAGCATGAGAGCTACAACAAACTTGCTGTCGAGAGACCAAATCTGACAACCACGTCCAATCTTCGCACTGTAGCCGTGATACCATGCACGGCCGGCGTACCTGTGGTGGAGTTCAGCAACAAGCTGCAGGCTGCCTTGAATCAAATCGGTACGCCCAATGGCGTTTCTGTATTGAATCAAGGCTCCATCTTAAATCACCTCGGGCGGCATGCGTTTAGCAAGATGGGCAAGTTGAAGCTGACGCAGTATCTAGCCGATCTGGAAGAGAAATATGGCATAGTTATCTATGTCGCGGATACCAGCGTCAAGTCGCCATGGACACAAACTTGCATCAGCCAAGCTGATTGCATCTATCTTGTTGGTCTTGCCGAAGGGTCGCCGGCCATTGGGGAATATGAGCGATTCTTGCTCACGACCAAGACCACGGCACGCAAAGAGCTTATCCTGCTCCACAGCGAGCGCTACTGCCCGTCCGGCACGACCAGAGCTTGGCTCCGAAACAGATCATGGATCAACGGCTCTCACCATCATGTGCAGATGGCTTACCGAGCTGCACCCGAACCAGTCCATCCTCACACTGCTGGCAAGCGTTTGGGGAACGCCATCAAGCAACGCGTACAAGTGATCCAAGCTGAGATTCACAAGTATACGTCGCGGAAAGTGAGACAGACCCCTCTGTTCTCCGCTGAGACGCCTTTCAAGGGCGATTTCCACCGCCTAGCGCGTCGGCTATGTGGCAAGTCAGTTGGGCTCGTCCTTGGTGGAGGCGGCGCTCGTGGTCTTGCCCACGTTGGCGTGATCCGTGCCCTGGAGGAGGCTGGTCTACCAATCGACATCATCGGCGGCACCTCTATCGGAGCTTTCGTGGGAGCCGTTTACGCCCAGGATGCAGATGTCGTTCCCATGTATGGTCGGGTCAAGAAATTCGCAGGGAGGATGGGAAGTATGTGGCGATTCGCTTTGGACGTCACGTACCCCTCAGCCTCGTATACAACGGGACATGAATTCAACCGCGGCATCTTCAAGACTTTTGGCGACAGCCAAATCGAGGACTTCTGGTTGGAGTACTATTGTAATAGCACAAACATTTCGAAGAGCAGACCGGAGATTCACACCAGTGGGTACGTCTGGCGGTACGTGCGCGCCAGCATGTCGCTAGCAGGATTGCTGCCCCCGCTCTGTGATGAAGGTGCAATGCTGCTCGACGGAGGCTACACGGACAATCTCACCGTTTCGCATATGAAGGCTCTGGGCGCAGATCAGATCTTTGCGGTCGATGTTGGCTCACTCGACGATGATACACCTCAAGCATACGGCGATTCTTTGTCTGGATTCTGGGCTTCGCTCAATCGATGGAACCCTTTCAGCTCATATCCTAATCCGCCAACGCTCAGTGAGATCCAAGCACGCTTGGCGTATGTATCCAGCGTTGATAATCTCGAACGTGCAAAGAACATACCTGGCTGCAGGTACATGCGGCCCCCAATCGAGACGTACGGTACACTGGATTTCGGAAAGTTCGATGAGATTTACCAAGTCGGCTATCAATTTGGGAAAAAGTTCTTAGCCGACCTCAGAGAAGAGGGTGTGCTGCCTGGCTTGGAAGCTGTGAGCGAAGAAGAGCGGAACTTGAGGAGGACGATGGCGCCGAGAAGAGCAAGTATTTGAGATTAGCGACAGAGCTGAAGCTGTTTACTGGAGGAAGGCTGCTGCAACAATACCGACGATACCCACACATTATCGATATACAGGCATTATTACCGCATGGATCTTTTGCTTCATTCATCCTTCTTCCTCTGCATACCCATCTTTCTTAATTCCCCAGTCCAGTCCCCATGTGTTCACGTGTTAGATATATTGACTTGATGCAGGCAATGGAAAAGCGGTCTCGCCCAATTCAAGCTTCTGTTGCCCATATTGATCCTGGTCTGTTTGCCTCGATCCAACAGTGAGGAACCTTGTCACTCTATCGAGCCGAGATTGCCTGCCGACCGGCTGGCAGCAGGCTCGACGAGAAATGGTGAATGTCAACAAGCCCAACGATTTTTTCGAACAAGCCGTGAAATTGATGAAGAACGAATATTTTCTCGCCCGAAAACAGTCCCGGGCTTGCATTCCACAGCTGCCGAAGCTGTGGTGGCTTCAGCCTTGTGGGAGGAAGAGGAGACGCTTCGGCTGTTCGGAAAATATGGAGAGCAGTCCGGCTGTTTTGACGCACGATTGCGCCATGTGACTTTTTCGGAAGAACTCCGATTTGTACGTCGGATGTAACAAGAGGCTTGAACCTCCACCGAGCCGTGTCATGGTAGTCAACGGCATGACGAAGGCCGGCTCATGAGCTAGCAGATCTGTTATGGCTTCACTTCGTCCCTTGCAACTGTTTACATGCTTCAAACTCATTCATCTTCCGAGGAATTGCCCCATCTATATAACAACAGCACCTTCACTGACAAGAGCACAACACAACGATACCAAGTCTACATCAAAACGACCCGAAAGTGGCGTCTGAAATCAAACATCGCTCCGCAAAATGACCAACAAGAAGAACTTCGAGATCGCCGTCGTAGGCGGAGGTAAGCAAGACCCACCGGCACCACGTAAAAAGTCTCAAACCACCAAAGCCCGCACGATCACCTCATCCATCTCACCAAACATCCACTACCACCACCACTAACTCTCCCCCAGGCATCTCCGGCCTAACCCTAGGCATCGCCCTCCACAGCCGCAACATCCCCGTAACAATCTACGAACAAGCCTCCCACTTCGCAGAAATCGGCGCCGGAGTCTCCCTCACCAGCAATGCCGTGCAAGCCATGAAACACTGCAACCAAGGCATCTACGAAGCCTTCGAACGCGTCCGAACCAAAAACCTCTGGCCCTCAAAAGAAAAAGTCTGGTTCGATTACCACGATGGCTATCATCATAAATCCAACCCAAAAGAAACTCACGCTTTTACCATTTCGAATTCTCTCGGTCAAGCGGGTGTGCATCGAGCGCATTATTTGGATCAGTTGGTGAAATTGTTTCCAGAGGAGAGGGCGGTTTTTGGGAAGAGGTTGGAGAGTTTGGAGAGGGAGGGTGAGAAAGATGGTGGGAAATGGGTTTTGAAATTTCATGATGGGAGTGAGGCGAAAGCTGATGCGGTGGTGGGGTGTGATGGGATCAAATCGAGTGTGAGGAAGATGTTGTATGGGAAAGATGATCCGAGGAGTTATCCGACTTATACGCATAAGTATGCTTATCGGGCGCTGGCGGATATGGAGCAGGCGGTGGAGGCGGTTGGGGAGGAGAAGGCGAAGAATTCTTGTATGCATGTGAGTTGACATGATCTACCCTTCCCCGTCCAGCTCTCACGCAAAACAGAGAGATAAAGATTTTGTTACTGACAGTTATCATTTAGATGGGCCCAGGAGGCCACATGCTCACCTTCCCAGTCCAACACGGCAAAATCCTCAACATAGTCGCCTTCAAAACCACAACCTCCGACTGGCCCGACTACAACCGTCTCACGCGCCCCGCAACCCGCGAAGACGCCCTCAAAGACTTCGCCGACTACGGCCACGACGTAATCAGCCTCCTCAAACTCTGCAAACCCAACCTCGACATTTGGGCGATTTTCCACCTTGGCGACAATCCTCTCCCTTACTTCGCCAAAAACACAATCTGCCTCATCGGCGACGCCGCACACGCTACTTCACCGCACCATGGCGCCGGAGCGGGAATGTGTATTGAAGATTCTGCAGTTCTGGCGGATCTTTTGGCGGATGAGAATGTGAGGACGCAGCAGGATATTGAAGCTGCGTTTGAGGTTTTTGATGAGCAGAGACGGGAGCGAGGGCATTTTCTCGTGCAGACGAGTCAGCATATTGGGAATTGTTATGAGTGGCTCGCGGAGGGTGTGGGAGAGGATTTCAAGAAGATTGAATGTGAGATTAATTCGAGGAATGCGAAGTTGCAGGATGTTGATGTGGAGGCGATGTGTCGGAGGGCGAAGGAGCAGTTACAGGTGAAGTTGACTTCGAGCCCATGAGGGGAGGAAATTGTATGTGGGATTGGGAAAGTTCTCTTTCGAAGGTGGGCTGGTGTGCGGCGTGCATTTGAGGCGCTCCATTCCGCCTTTCACGAATATCGAATGAAGTCTTTGGTATATGTGGTTTCGAACAGCTCTTGTAAGCAATATTTGTTCATGATAGCTGTTGTATGTATTATCGGTCACTGAACAAATGTCACTGGTCCATATGCTATGGTCGAGCTCCGTAGCTCGAGTATTTTCTGCCAATACAACGCATTGTCCTAGGCAATTTGACGCCCCGTGGGGTATGCTATTCTTGCATACAAAATATTGAATCACTGCTGTCCCGAGCCGATCCCTGCAGTTTTGTAAGCACAGAGCGAACCGGATGCCAGGAGCAACATGGCTGGAAGCAGATCAGAGAGCCGCCTTCTCGTTGTTCATCGGTGCACTTGCAGGACTGGGATTGGTATGTAGTTGCCAATATTGTTGGCCTTGTAGAAGCGTCTGGGCCGTATATTGTTGGAATGCTTATCGGCAATCCTTCACTTCTGGGCTGAACTCGGCTGAACTCGTGTGCTGCTTGCCTGATATGCGCCTTGCTTTCGTTTCACAATTCTTCGGAGACAACTTTTACTTTTATGAATATGCAGAAGAGGATGTTCCAAGTTTTTGGGACAGATCAGAATTCATTGTCGTCGCTCAAATGGTCCAGGCGTGGGTGAGAAGCCATGGATCTCTCGTTCTGGCGCAAACTTCATCCGTACAGCTGGGGAATCTCTAGCCAATCCAGGTTGACCAGCTGCTGTCCATACCAAGCATCCGAGATGTTATCGGTGCTGAAGAGGTCTGCATCGTCGAGGTTCACAGCGGGATACATGCTCGCTGCGGCTGGAGTTGTGCCATTCACTGTGGGAGGCAACTGCAAGGTAGGATCAAGTGATGTATTAATCCTCTGAGCCGGTGCTAAAACAAGTCAGTTACTGACTGGATGATCGTCCCCCCGCGCATGGACTTGCCTTGCATGTGTGAAGGCTGCAAAATCTGCGCTTTCAATGACTTGAGGATTTTGATAGCTTGTTCCGCCGAGTGAATCTGGTGTTCGTAATGCTCAAGGATAACTAGACACCGCAGCCAAGCCGATTCCCTATGATCCCCGTCGAGTCGCGAATGCAGATCGTTGACCTTCCAGGAAGCGAGCAGTGTCATGGCGGCAGAGAATGTGACTGGAATCAGTCAGCTGAATGGCTTCGTCTCGAGACAAGAAAAAGCTTACAATACACGGAGTGCCAGCCTGAGCTTCGGTACAGTGTGTGGATGTTGTCGTGGATCACATCAACAAGTTGACAGGCAGTTGTAACACAGCGCCCACAACAAGTGCGTATCACATCGTCATCGAGCGAGAATTTGGTCGAAGGTCTGTAGCCTCGACTAGTGGCGGCCAGCAGAATCGGTCTCAGAGAAAGCAATCGTACGTATAGGAAGCTGTGTCTCACTTTTAGTCTTTGTTATACAACGATCCGGTGGAGTGCCATACCGACTGTACAAGACCTGTTGTTGCAGCTGTACATGGTCCTCATTGCCAGGCGTGGTGGTATTGGTGAAGATGCGTAGATATTGAGGCACGTTCTCTGCAAAATCATCCAACTTGCGATTGAGACTCAAGACCGGCTCGACCAGATCGGCGGTTTCTGCGCAACTGCTTGGAGTCTTGTGGAAGCCGCTCTGCCGGTAGAACCGCTTGAGAATCTCCTCCAGTAATTCAAGCAAAGGAGAAGACGAAACAAACAAACCAAGACGACAAGGAACGTTGTCGGCTTGCTTTCCAATTCCTCTCTCTGCCAGAAATTCGTCGTCAATGAGCGCCGGAATGGGGACATCGATTTGCTTGTCGATCATGCTGGGACGACCAAAAGTCATGGACAATAGTCGATCAAGATGGATACATGTGTGCCAGATTCGGAGACGCATTTGTTGTTCGACTTGCGATGTTGACTGTCTGAAAGATTGATCAACGTGCAAGCCCAGGCTCTGTGCCATCCTGATGGCCAGCCCCACCGAATTCCAGCATCGACGAGCGTGTTGAGTAGATTGGAGATAGACGCCGGTGAGTACCAGCATCTGCACCACTGATATCGAGGTGGAATCGAGAATGTCATAGGCGTAGAATTGTCGAGCGCGCTGGAAGAAGTCCTCAGCTACGGATGACTTCTGGGTCACATCTACCAGGGCGCTGAACTTGCACCCAATGGCGAAGACGAGATTGAGAGACGAAGTGAAGGTTGCTTCCTCGACCTCCGAGTCGGTACCTCTGCTGCCTTCGTGTTCATCGTCGGTCCATAATGCTTCATACTTTCGGAGGAACGAGGGTCTATGGAGCACGGGGAATAGTGGATGTATGAATTCCCAATAACAGTTCAAGAAGTTGTCCGCTAGTCGCCTATGGAGTGTCAGCTCGTTATTGGTTCCGTTCAGAGAATGTCCGCACCTCTTAGGCAATACTGCAAGTCCTTCCGTTCGAGGTAATTGACGATCCGGGATTGGCGCAGACGGCCGTGGCTTCACATCGGGATCTGTGAGGCTGCGGTCTACAGGCGTGGCAGTTCCAGACTGGTTGGGCATTACATGTCGCAGGAAGGCTACAGTTGAGGATGGGCCATACATGGACCCATCATTGCCATCGGCCAGAGTCGCGAGGCCATCTGCGCGGGCGGTGCGCCAGCCTGGCGGGTAGTGACTGGCACCAGGCGGAGCGCTCGCAGTGCCAGCGCTTGGATGCAGTCCACTGATGGGCGTCACCGGCGGGCGAGGGATGCTCTGCTGATGGGTGTCGTCTCGCGGGTGGCCCAGGTCAGAAAGTGCTTGAGCAGCCGCATGGTTTCGATCCGAGTCGGCTCCTCGGAATGGAGGCTGCGCGTGCTGAGACGAGCCTGGTGCGCCTTGCACTCCCGAAGTGCGCGGCCGGCGCTGTCGTCGGACGTCTATATGCGAAACCACTCCATCAGTTTGTCGCTCTCTGGATCATCCTGCTCTCGCTCAGCGTCCCAACGTCCGGCTTACAGTCAAAATTGCACGTGTTGGCTACACCTCTGGTCTCGCAGGCGCGACAGATGGGCTGGCGTCCATCGCAGCGCGTCTTCCGATCTCGACATGGCCCGCACGCCTAGTTAGCTGCTGTTAGTCTCGCTGCCGTGGTGTTGTCGTGCTCACACGAAGCACGCGACGGCAGAACTAGCTCTACGCACCTGCGACACGCGCTGCCTCTTCTGCGGCGGCTGCCCATCGGACGGAGTCGCGTCGTCGGCGTGGAAAACAGGCTGCGGCGGCGGAGCGGCCTGGTCTTGACTCTCCATACCGCGACGCGACGGTTCTATTGTAACAACTCCGGCATCCGCCTGCTTCCCTGGGACACAAGCACACTGCTCGTTTTCGCCGACCACACGAGAGCTGCGGAGACTCGGAGGCTGGAGATCGCCCTTCCGTCACCCGCCGAACCTTATTCCGTGTGGAAAGCACACATGGAACTCGCGACAATTCTCACCATTGCTCGACTTTTATTCACGGTTGCGACATGTGCACTCTGTACGCCGATGAGCCACCGTGGAGGGCCTGATTGCTGGCGACGACATTGTACACGGAACGGACATCGGAAGCGTCCCCAGCGGCAAGCGTCTTCACGGCCTGGCTCGGCACGAAGTCTCCGCGATGACGACCGCGAGATTGCACGCTCCGCATTTGCAGAGCATTGATTCTCGAGTGTCTAGACCGCCATGACTCTGACAATGAAGAGAACACACACTTGCCTACAACCCACGTTGAGATGACCGACAGACTATCACTACTGCTTGGGCAACCAGAGCAAGCCATGTACATCATCGGCAGCGGTGCAGCATCTTCACAAAAACGCCGCTCAGAGACAAATGCTCCTTCTCCACGCACATCCTAGGTCAAAATCCATCTCTGATCCACCAAGATGCCAGGCAAAGCAAACTTCTCCTATGACTATTGGCGTAGGAGCCATGAACGCTACTGGAATGTCAGTGGCAAAGGCAGGGTATGCGAAGAGCATGCACAGAATTGCCAGGTGTACGCAGACTCCGTCCGGCGACGTGGTCAGGAAACGGCAACGATGACCGTGTGAGGCGCAAAATCCGGCAGGCAAGACAGGGAGGCTCGTGTCTGCCGTTGCTCCACGTGATGACGATGGGGTTGGAGGCTGATCGCATTGCATAGGATTCGAGCATGGCACCCTGGTCATAGCCGACGATCCCAGTAAGCAGGAATGGGACGACACGAAAGTAGTGTGCAATTGTCTTTTGACATTCGAAAGTCAGAAGAAGTCGACATTCATTCTGTCTATTGCCAACGACACCATCCTGAAAGCTACTCACGCAGGCTGAGAGCATCTGTGTTGCCCCGCGACTGGTCCACAGGGGCTGTACTGCATGGCCCGGCCGCCATGTCAACGCATCACCTTGTGTTAATCATCGTAGTACTCCTCTTCAGCCTCTTCGAGCTCCTCTCTGGCTTCCTCGATGTCGCTACTGCTCGCGCTCGAATCGTGGAGAGCCTCCTGGTAGTCGCGCTCGGCCGCTCTGAGATCTGCAGCTTCTTCCGAGTTTCCTGGTGGATAAGCACCGTAGCCTGGATCAGCTCCGTAGCCTGCAGCACCATAGCCTGGGTCGGCACCATAAGCGGCCGGTGCGGCAGCGGCGGGTGCAGCGGCAGCAGGGGCAGCAGCATATGATGTGTGCTTCTCATCGTCGCTGTCATCGTGACTGGCGATGAGGGCACCAGCTACACCACCAACTGCCACACCAGCACCGGCGGCGAGCAGCATGTTCGTCTTGTCGCTGCTCTTATCCTTCTTCTCCTTCTTATCCTTGTCGCCCTTCACGGCCTCATCGGCATGAGAGAAGTACTGCTGGGCATTTTGCTGGTGCTGGTATTCGTTCTGGCCAGGAGCGGATGGCTGAGCACCGCCGTACTGAATAAATGTCAGGACCGATCATATGAGGTCAGGAAATCAGGTTCATTCGGAACAGAGTCCTCCTTTCAATCCGATCGCGTTGGAGGCTATAGCACTCACCTGATTGTAGAAGCTGCCGGCCTCACCACCTGGGCCACGCTCGCCTTGGTAACCGGGTGATGGAGCACCTGGGTGTCCGTACTGCTGCTGCGGCGGCTGGCCGTATCCGTAGCCGCCTGGAGGTGGCGGTGAAGCGTATCCACCAGCTGGCGGCGGTGGGGCTCCGTAGTGCTGAGGAGGGGGTTGAGGTGGGTCCCACTGCGTGCGGCCAGTAGCCTATCAAAGGTATCAGTACGTGGAATTGTGGATTGCAATCACGCTCGACATTGGGAGACCAGCGTGACTGTCCTCGCAAACAGCAGGTTCCAATGCGAGAGCACGAATGGTGAAGTTGACTGACCTGCTCTACGTAGTACCAGCGCTGTGAGTTCTGGTCGAACTGCGCCATCCATCCTGGCGGAAGCGGAGGCTGACCTGGTGGACTTGAGTGTTGTGGAGGCGGCGCTGGATATTGTCCCTGCTGCGAGTGTTGTCCTGGTGGCTGGCCATAGGCAGGCTGTTGGTGCTGATAGCCAGACTGGGAGTGGTCGTTGAAGTCGCGCGTTGACTGAGACTCAATGGTCAGCTCGATGCCACAAACAATAACTTGCGCTGGGAACAGCTTTTCGCACTCACCTCGTCGGCCTTGCTCTCTTTGCCCTCTTTGCTCTCCTCCTTTGGCGGCTTATCATCCTTGGACTTCTCTTTATCGTCGAAGAGCTCTTTGAATTCCTCTGTAAGCTTCTTTAGGAACGACATGATGCTTGACGTTCAGTTGGTGCCTGCGGGATGGGCTGTTGTTGACAAGAATGTTCGCGGGAAGTTCAGGAAGGAAGGAGCAGTTATTATCAGAAACGCGGCGGCAGTCAACAGCTGCGGGGCACACAAACTTATCGATTAGCAAGCTTGTCTGCACAACAGAAGTGAGGCCGGCCTGTTAATAAGCCCCTTGTGCAACGGCTTGCATGCGCTGTTCATGCCGCCAAGACATCAATGTGGTCTAACCGCAGGTCTGTGGAAGCTGAGAGCGAGCAAATGGCGCGAATGATCTCCCTACACGAACAAGCCAGCTGCATCGTCGCTGTTAGCGAGCGCGCGCTTAGACCATTCCAGTCCATGCATATTCTGAGCGGGAATTCTGATCATGCGAGAATCCGTGCAACTTTTCCATTTCTCATTCCCTCTCCTTCAAAAAGAAGTTCAGTCCAAAGGTGACAAGTCTGCAGAAAGTGTATGCAACCAAGACCTTGAGCTTTCGGACAGGCTACAGAGATATGAAGCATATATATATTTCGCGTTAGTAGCAAATCTTGTTCCCATAGTGAAGTCGTCGTAATGCCAAATGCCGAGCCGAGAAGTGAGAGACTTGGCATGCGGTCTGGGAAAGAGCGCTAAGCTGGATTTGGATGCCCGTACGAGCGCATTGAATTTTGTGGAACGTGCAATGTGCTCCACTCTACACCGAACATCTCGTGGCCAGTGGACGGCATAGTAGTAGTGAGACTCGAAGAGGATATCGAAATGGAAGGGACTGACGACTCTCATACAGCGAGAATACATTCGATGCCTATCTGTCGACTAGTCGACTGCCGGAAAGCAAAATGGAAACCATAATCAACACAATACACCCCTCACGTGGACCCGAGTGCTTCTTCCATCCTCGTATCTCCGTCTTCTGACGCGAACCCAAGGCACTATGTCTCCCGAAGCGAGATAGGCGTATCATGGAAGATGCGACGAGAGAGCAAAAGTTGTCGCTGTTTGCGAGTTCCCGTTCTGCTGTCCAGGCCAGCCAGTCTGGGCACCTCTTATGGAGGCTTGGCCGATTGAAGCATACCTTCGAGTGGCTCTGCAGGAACGGCAGTCCTTCTCACTTGCCTCACAACATACCCTTGTCAAGGCAAGAACACTCTTGACGACTACTTATATTCGGCGATCAGGCATTCCCGTCAATTGCGTGGACCAGACTTCTGACTAAAGATTTTCCAGAGCAGTTCGGGATAGATTTTCTCCCGATCATTCGTACTTTGAGGAAGGTAGGTCAGAGTAGTGCCTAGCTCCGGGGCAACATTAGGAACTCTTCCGGAGAGAAAGTATTCGACATATTCAGCGCATACTTCAAGGAGGTATTCGATCGCGTAAAGTCGCCGTTCATTGTCACTCAAGGCGAACTCTGGTATGACTGGCTGCATGAAGAAGCTGATAACGTTGAGTTCATCTCGATCGCTCCCAATTTTCACTTCGAAAAGGAGCGACCGCACCATATAGCTGTGCGGATTGACCCCGTCTCAAACGAGATTACAGCAATCGTGTCAATATGGCAGCACTTGCATTCGGCTGGGAGTTTGGGCGGCTAGTGTCGCTCAGTTACAGCCATTCAAGATCTGGGTATGGACATCGGGCGTGCTATTTTGGGCAAGGAACGTGGTTACTGGACGTCCACAGAGTCAAGGCGGGCATTTCTGGACGAGCGGACCACATACACTGGTGTGGCACCATTTCAGAAGCGGTACGGAATCAATCTTGGAGCATAGGTGGATGCGTTTTAGCATTGCTGTTTTATTGTGTTTTATGATGGCGGGCAAGGAACGTAGATTCTGAACATGTGCAGAGAGCTCAGACGAGTAGGTTTGAAAGAGCTAGCGAATGCAGACGTGTTCCAGCTTCAATCGCGCCTGGACGATACAACAGCAGAGCAGCTTGTAGCGGAAGACTGTGCTTTCTGAATGGAGATGGGGCTTAGCATTGAAGTGTATCATTGCTTCTGCTGGAAGGTACCCGAGCGTGCTCCCAATTCGGCAGGCAGTAAATGATGCGGCACTTCCTTTGAACCAAAAGATGTAGAGTCACAGACCTCACAATGTTGACAAAAGTTCAAGATCAATATTCCTCTTGCGAGCCACGGTCGTTCTGAGACATTACCTGAAGAAGTCGATTGAGTAAGCCGATACTACATTGCTCGATTGAGCAGAGGCCAAAGCTGTGCTAATTGTTAGTGACGATGAATCTGCGGCTTCTTTGCATGAGAGAGAACTGAGAAATGCGTATGATCGAGCAAGACAAGCAGTAGTATAGTATCTACATACATCGCTGCTATGCCAAGCTCTATGGCACCAATTTTCCGACGGTCTATTATTTACAGTATTTACATCAAAACCAATCCTTCGCTATGCAATCGTGATCATCTCGAGACTGTCGAAAGACACGAAGCATCCAGCTATCCAGAAGAGTGCTGATTGAGACATCAAGCGTTCCAAAAGAAGGTCGGACGAGGTCCAGCGATCCAGAGAAAAGACTGACGAAGCATCCAGTGATCCAAAGAAATGCTGACGAAGCAACCAGAGATCCAGAGACGTGCTGATGAATCGATGGTTGTGAACGGTAACGAGGTCGCTTAGTTGAAGTTGACTGGGATACATGGCAGGCCAGCGTCGAGGACGGTGCCGTCCTAGGAGATTTGTTAGCTGAGATGTGATAGCCCTTATTGATGTGAGATACTTACGGAGCTCTGGTCCAATGGGCAGCAGAAGGTGTTGCCAGCATTGCAAGAGTTTCCGATGGCAGCTGCAATGACAGGAACCTGGATGGAGCAGGAGCCAGCGACAACAGCGGTGATCAGATCGCTGTCACCGGCAGTGTTGCAGCAAGACACGGCGTTGCCAGCACCGCACTGGGAGCTGACAGCTGCCTGAGGCATAGCTGCAACGACGGCCACGGAGGCGAGGATGGTGAAGATGGTGGAGTACTGCATTTTGGTGGTGGATTGGTTGTTTTTGGCGAGCTAAAAGCTTCTTGAAGATTTTTTGAGGGATTAAGTGATTGACTGTGGTGAGTTAATTAGATTGTTGGTGCTGATGAGAAAATCTGAGAAGCGGGAAAGATGAGTGCTCTTATACCTCTCGAGCTCAGTAGCCAGCACACCTGTTGTCGCCTCTGCTCCGTGTTCCCTTGCACGTGCATTCGCTGTCCTGTAGCAACGCTCGGTGAAGGATCATGATCAGCGCTCGATTCTCTGGTAGACTGTTGCCATACGCAATGAGAGCGTTGGAATTTGGTCTCACTTCCTGCAGGTTACACACCGACATCAATTTCGATGCCTGCAGATGCATTGTATGCCCTCGATCCAAGATCCAACTGCACTCATGTCCAGTAAACAGCCTCACAGGCCAGCATGAAGCATGTGTCCTGCGTGGTCGGTACCCTTCGGTCGTAAGTGGATCTTGCGTGCCTGAAAGCATGATCGGCACCGAGTCGAGGCTGTGCTTGAGATGAGGTCCGAACTTGAAAGTGTAGTTTCTTTTTCATATTGGATGCTAGAAGTTACACATGCAAGTTACACAAACTTTCCGAGTCTCAGTTTTACTTTTGAACGTCTTCTGCGCATCGCGAGTGTAAGGTCTTCAAGCTGCTTTGCAATGTGAATCTGCGCGCTCGGCGGAGAGCTTGACCGCTACAGGCACTCGGTCACCAAGCCCGGCTCTGCCAGTCACCTGGGGACAACAACCGCCGTGCGCTCGCCATCGCGCATATCCAGCTGGAAGGACCGTTGGGTACCATGTGATTCTCGATGGTCGGTGTGGAACACGTTTGTCAGTGATGGAGATGATGTTCTGGTTCCCCCTTCCTACCTGTGGTTGTGAAAATTTAGCGCACGCGGGCCGGGCGGCGTGCCAAGCGGAGCTACCAACCCATGGCAGTCACTGCAGAGCTCGTATTCCTATCATTCCCTCTACCGCTGGTTGCAAGCCTCTCCGCAACCCAACCGTTTGATGACATCGGCCTGCTGAAGAAAGCAATCACCGCCTTGGGACATCCGCTGTCCTTTCCGGATAGCCCAGCTTCCTCCGTCCATCCAATGGCCCCTGCTCTCCCTGTAGATCAGACCGACTTGGGAAAGACAACAAAGATCTTTGCCAGCGTTGACTATGAGGATGGATACGTCCAACCGCTGTTACTCTCCGTCCTCAACGCAAAATTGCCATCCGATCTACTGGTCCTGATCAACGATGTTTCGGAACTGCCACACTCAGATTGCAAATTTCTGCAATGGCGGCAGTACGAGAGCATCGACTTTGATCACTTAATGCAAAATTCTACGTCCAGCACGGCAAACAGTTACATCATCAGGAAAGCACTCATTCGGAAGCACTATCTGTCCTCTACCGTCAATCACTGGCTCACGAAGCATCCGGACTCCTTGCTCAAGCAGCATGTACAGCCTAGCGTGGAGTTCGAAGTCGACTATGCTCAGTTCCTTGACGATGCTCTGCTCGAAGCATATGAGCTGAAGGAAAGCTGGGCTCGCAACGAATCCCGCGATGAGGAGGACTCCGAACGTGAGTGGTGGATTCTTAAGCCCGGCATGAGTGATCGTGGTCAAGGCATCAGGTTATTCAGCTCTGAAGAGGAGCTTACGAGCATCTTTGAAGAGTGGGATCCGGCTTCGGACGATGAGGACGACGATGTTTACTCAAGTCCCGGTGATAAAGAGCTTGATGACGGTGATGAGGACGGCAACGGAGTCATGGCTTCACAGCTGAGGCACTTCATCGCCCAGCCTTACGTTGCTTCACCGCTCTTGATGCCCGCTACACATCCTTCCGGCGGTCGTAAGTTTCATGTTCGGACATATGTCCTGGCGGTAGGTGCTCTGCAAATCTATGTGTACAAGCCGATGCTCGCTCTCTTTGCCGGAGAGACTTATCGTGCACCATCTGCTTCATCAAGTCCAAACGAAGACCTCTCATCTCACCTTACCAACACCTGTCTACAAGATGGTACAAGAGAAGGTAGCGTGCACCCTTTCTGGTCCCTGCCAGATGCCATCGAGGGCACGCTGGACAACAATTGGAAGAACGATGTGTACAAGCAAATCTGCTCAGTTACAAGCGAGGTCTTTGAAGCCGCAGCACGAAGCATGACCATTCATTTCCAGCCTTTGCCCAACGCCTTTGAAGTGTTTGGACTCGACTTTCTCGTCGACGCAAATGGCATCGCGTGGCTTCTGGAAGTGAACGCCTTTCCGGACTTCGCTCAAACTGGCACAGAGCTGCAGAACCTAATTCGTGGACTGGTCGAAGGCGTAGTAGATACCGCCATCAAGCCTTTCTTCGACATATCAGATGGCAGGAGCGAGACAGTGGCTGAAAACATGACGAAAGTGCTTGATATTGACCTTGGTAGAAGATGAAGGCCATCTACTTTATTACGCTGCGGCACCTAAACAAGATCTAACAAGTCCTTCCTACGATTTCGGTCTCGCCGTCAACGATTGACATCCCTCTCATAGACGAACCTCCGCGCCGAGGTGTATCTGTCTGTTGGCACTCCGTTCAGGCATCCTCCACTCGAAGGTCATCATCTTTCCAACGCCTGTTCACCACATACTCGCCGAAGTCCCAGCTGTCCTCACCAATTCGCACTTGCATTTCCTCCGCAAGCTCGTCGAGCCACGACGCATCCGCAGAACGCGCGCGTGCGAACGGAGAGCAGGGCAGGGAGTAACTGGGCTCCCGATCAATCTTCATCACGAAAGAGCGGAGACCAAGTTTGCGCGCCTCGAGCAACACATCTCGAATCCCCGACTTAAATATCGATTTGTTGATCAGTACGACCTCGCTGGCGTAACATTCGCCCGGGTACGACACCAGTAGGATGTTGTTGAGCTTGATCTCGCGAAGCTTTGATCGGCCTGCATACTTTTTCAGCCACTGCAGGAATTTCGTTGCGCTAATGCGTCCCTGATAGAAGCTTTCAGCGTTCAGCTCGATCGTGTGAAGTTCTTCATAGCGCTCGTTCTGCAGGAAGTGGTCGACCGCTCTCGGGCTCGGGGCTAGTGAGAAGCTATGGGTGGATCTCTCGACGACCATCTTCAGCTTTTCCAGTTGTGTTGCAGCCAGCGCGATATTTGCCCATGCGTCTGCGCACTCTTTTCGGTAGAGAGATCCGTCTGTCATGCATCGCAGCCCAATGTCGAGAGTCCTTACGCTGGACATGATCGAAGGTCTGCCAGGGCCAACAACCAACGGAGTCAGGACTTCGGATACTGCCTTCAGCGAGTAATCCGCTGGGTAGTCCAGCGTGACCACGTTCGGGCGCAGCTCGGCTCGCTGTGCGGCATCGAAGAACACTGCACCGAGCATCTGACAAGTCCCTGCCTCCAGCGTGCGCTGAGCAGCCTCGAAGGGGGCGCCCTCGCGTGAGGCGGAAAGTCCTAACCGCAATCGTGCTTCGACATGCGTATCGCTACACCACAGACTGCTTGCATTGAGGCCTTCGACTTTCGCGACTGTCGCCGCTGTCAGATGGCTGAGACTCGACAACTGGGCCAGGTCCGGTGCCAGGAAGTAATCAGCGAACACAGCGAAGCTCCCCTCTGTATGCTCCTTGTGCATGGCCTTGTACAGCCTGTAGCTGCGATCCTCTTCTTCCCAGGTGAGCTGGACATGGTGTTCGTAACCGACTTCAGCTAGATATTCAGCTTTATGCAAACGAGGCTTGAAAATAGTGTTGGGTATGTACACGACGGTCCGAACTCGCCGCCTGTAGAAGGGGCTCGAAAGGAGTCGATGGAATTTGCAAATGGAATGTTCGTTGGGCGAGAGATAGATGGTCTTGAGGATTGGCCCAACAAGGTCTGCCACGATGTCTTCCTGGGCTTTGCTGAAAACTGTTCGCAGTTTCACACGGTCTTGGAATGAAAGCTCCTCTGCAATTTGGCGGAGCAACTCGAGTGGCAAGTTCGTAAACAGATCGCGTCCATTGGTTGGTGTCGACATGGTTATGGGAGTGCGCAAGGCGCGCAGCACAGGTCCCGTCCGGGCCACGACGTTCGTTGTTCTGATGACTGGACTCGAGGAGTAGCAGTCGTGAGAATCCCGGTCCGGTTCGTTGAGGTCACAAGTGGTCACAGCCAAAGCCGACAAGAAACATTTGAGAAGGGAAAGCGGAGGAAGAAGGTGAACGAAATCATTCACGTGCTCTCCTGGGTCATCCTACTCACCCTCTTTCCCGTGAAATGCTCACCTCAGGCCTCACGTACTTCTCCAGCTTTCGACCTGGATCCAGGGATTATTTGGATCAAAAACAGCGAGATCATCCGGGAGAATATTGGTCGACAATCGTCGTAGCATATCTGACCCTCGTCTTGGTTCCAACGACAGTGATCGATCTTATTCTTGCATCTGTTCGACTCGATCATCGCCTATGGGCAGGTAATTCTCATCTAACCCACAACCATGAGACCCTCCCATCTTTGTCGCGCTTTGCTTCCCTCATTCCCATAGAAATCGGGATCAGCTCCAGTCCAATCAGCTTCCGACAACTCAGGCATTGCGTGTCCATCTGCGCGAGAGCTGGGTCCTGTACGAGCTTTTTGTGCCTGATTACGTCGGCGGAAGAATAACAGAATGCCCACTACCAGAAGTAAAGCGCCTAGCGAAGCGCCAACACCAATTCCAGCTTTTGCTCCTGTTGATAGCGAGGGACCTGGAGGGTCGGGCGTGGAAGTTCCGGCACTTGTAGAGGCAGGTGTGGAGTGAACACTCGCGCCTGGCGAGACTGTATTCGAGTTCGTGGAGCTGGCGCTTGCTGATGAGGTGACTCCGGTGAGACTGGCGAAAACAGTTTCATACCTTGATTCTTGCCTCACTTTAAACCCCCTAACCCCTTGCGCAATATAGTCTGTAACCGAAATACTTCCACCGTCTACGCTGAGAGTTGCGCTTCCGGTGCGGGCACAGTAAACTCGTTCGCCGCCGAAAATTGTGTCCAGGCTCCAAGACCTAAGACTTTAGTCAGTGCGTGCTCGGTGTACGTATGTGGTGCACACTCATACGAGGGGCAGCAGACGGCGGTAGTAGCCCCGTTGGTGATTTTTGCACTGACTGTCGTGAAGCCGTTTGGGCAGTATCCGGGCTCGAACCAGCCACCATAATAAGGCGGTTCAAAGATAGCACTCAAACCTCCTTCTGGGTAGCAGGAGCTTGTGTATCCGTGTCGCAGCGTTGAGAATGTTATGCCAGGGGTCCCGATGACGGTCGAGTCAGTAGTATCGTTGCTCCCATCAGCGATGGAATATGTGGACCCAAAACAGTCCGCAGCAGGCGAAAAGGGAGTTGTCAGAGCCGTCACGAAGATTGTCGACGGGGGATACCTGTTCATGGTCAACGACTATGCTGCTAGGCTATGTCTGCGGCAGGAAATTGGTTCTGTCAGGCCATGGAATTGCTTTTGTACATCGAAGGCGCAAGGCTGAGACGTGGAAACTCACCAGGCTGAGGCGAAGGACTCCTGCATGATTTCAGCTCCGGCGTCAAAACGCAGCGAATCGTTGCCTGGCATGGAGACGCAGGTCCAGAAAGCTGTGGTGGCGGACTTTGTGTAGCAAAGGTCGTGTCACTTAGGCTCATACCTGTGGCAGCCTTCGTAGCGTAGCGACTTCCCGTCCCATCCCGCAACTCTGACTGCTCTTCGGCGTACAACCGCAGAGGTCTTCATATCATAATCTTCATAACAAAACACTCTAGGAATATGTACATATATACAATGTCGCCCTCCTTGATGCTTGCTGCTCCCTTCCCACCATCGCTAATGCATGCCACCCACAATGCCATTATCGTATTGACTGCCGTTGCTTCCATGCGTTCGAATTACCACGACTCTCTGCACTCTCAAAAAGCACAACTTTTTTCTCGTAATCGTTTTACCGTCCTTATGGGCATCGCCCTCTATTCAGACATCTGCACAAGAGCATCGCTCGGACGCATCTCCTTGATCTTAGGAACGCACTCAAATTCAATCCCAAACACCTACAAAGCATCCCTATTCCTTCCTCTGCGGAAGTAATCATAACTCGTATCTTCTTCATTAGTGTCATAACCCGGTGTGTCTCCAGGTACTTGGCCGTAGCGCACTTGTCCTCCGTAGCCTAGGTCGCCAGCAGGTGTGCTGGCGCCCATTTGAGCAGAATGCTGCACCAGACCTTCCCGGCTTTGGTTACGAGACATTGCTGGGTGGCCAAAAGAGGGACGGCCCATTGGCGACTCGCCTCGTAGGTTTGAAGGAGTCTGATGGTAGCCAGCAGGCATGGCGTAACCGGCTTCTGCGCCAGGCACTCTTGTTCGTGATGTATCACGAGAGTGGCTACCGCTGCGATCGTGGTAATAGTCGGAGTTGCCAGAAGCTTCCCGGGAATGGCCATAGTCAGAATCCCAATCGCCAACTCGGGTCAAACCTGTCGCGATGGAGCTCGGGGTGCCTGGTCGGATCATATCCCCAGCACGGCCGTAAAGTTCTCCATCTCCACCGGCTTCGTCTCGAAACTCAGGTCGGTTCTTGTAATGTTCGAAATCCATATTATTTTCGTCGACAACTTCCCAGCCCAGGCTGTTCCTGTCCTGTTTCCTCTTGCCTGGTTTCATTACGCTCATGCTGTCCATGTTGATATCGCTGTATCCGCCCATTTGGACGGGCTCATCGACAGACGTGCGACCCTTGTAGATCTGCTTCAACATGTTTTGACTCTTGGACGACACCATCGGTGTCATCAGTGGCTTGTACAGCACAGGGTGTCCGAAGCGAACGCCCACTCTGTCGCCTTTACGCTTCTTGCCATCACTGAGAACGCCTTCATTCGCTTGCAGGCCACGTCCAGTCGCGTAGTAGTGGATGTCGTCGTCGAAAGTCCTTTTACAGTATATTTTGAAGCCCATGAGGAGCAGCGGCAGTGGAGCCAAAGCCGCCAGCATTGGCCAATTCGTCTTGATGAAGCTAACGCCCACAAGGGTCAATGCCACAATAATGTTTCCAAAGAGAGTCATGAATAGAAGGCGATTGAACAACGAGCGCCAAAACATGCCGCCAGACTCGTACTTGGTGATGAAGACATACATGAGTAGGTATTTCTTCATGTATGAGTCGATCCAGAAGTATAGTGCAGCCACGGGGAGAATCAGTGGCTGCAGAACAGCGAAGGTGAGGCCCACGGTGGCATAGAAGAGGAAATAGTTGTAGTATGCGGCGTAGTCGAAAGCTTGCGGAGCAGAGAGCTCAATCAAAGCTCGTGGGGTGGGCGACAGGAACCGTCTGGAGTAAGAGCCCCAGATCAGAGTCCACAACTGACTGAGATCGACCGCCGCACCAAGATTTCGCTGCAGCATCCAGGAGATCCAGTACGTGGAGACCTGGCAAAGCCCGATCACGATCTTCTTGAATGGGTCCACTTCCGCGTAGGACTCGCCCTTGATAATGGCGACCACCAATTGCCAGACCGAAGCGAAAAGCGAAAAGACGATCAAGTTGTTGAACATGAAGAAGCTGTAGAGATTGCGAAACACGTGTCGTTCTCTGCTTGTCTTGGTGATGTCTCCAGCTTTGATGCAAAACTTCCGGAATATCGAGGGCAGGTAGAAGTAAAATGCAGTAGTGATAGCTGGAGCTGCCACACCTTGCACGATGGCCCACCAGGTTCGATGTGCTTGCAAGCTCCTCTGAAACGCAGGCCAAAGTCTGCCCAGGTTGTTCAAGTTGGACAAGAAAATGGCAATCATGAGATTAGGCACGACCCAAATGAGTGTCAAGAGCACGATCCACATGCCATTGACAAAGTCGCGCCGCTTTCGCTGGGCTTGCAACATGTTCATGTTCTTCCAGATGATCGCATTCGGTTTGGGTGCAAGGTGAATGAACGCACCTTGATGCTTCTTGTCACCCGCGGCATAGGCCACGCTATGTGCAGAGGAGATCTGTTCGTAGGATGCAAATCCATAAGACATGGCGTTTCGTCTGTCCACACCGGAGCGCACTTCCTTGATCTCAGTTTCCAGGCTTCTGATTCTTTCCGTCAAGTATTCAATGGCGTCCACTTTCTGGCCCTTCGCGTAGCTGCCAAAAGACCTGTCCTCCTTGTGCGGTTTGCACGTCGGTCGTGTTGCAGGCAGTCGATCCGGATTCTTCAAGTACTTGGCCAAATGCTCCTCCAGTTCACGAACACATTTCTCATGCTGCTCCACCAAATCCGGCAAATCCTTGACATTCCTCGCGATCGAAGTCTTGGGCATGTCCGGTGTTGCCTTGACCTGATCCGTAATCCTTGCAATGCCCTCGTCCGACCTCATGTCTTTCGGGATGTCCGTCAACATCAACGTACGGGCATGCAAACTTCGTTGGTAATCCTCGCTCTCGAAATATTGCCTTCTCATCCTAGTAATGGCTCTGTAATTTCTCCATAGAAAATAGCATATGACCAGATCGAATATCCACGCGACAGCAACATATGCCCAGAGACTTTGGTTTCCAGTCATGTACTGTGGTGTCAAGAGATAGAAAACACCCGTACTCCAGCCGTTCTCCTTCAAGAGCTTATTCGACGCCGCCACATTGACCGGGATGAGAATGCCACAGCCGATCGCGGCCAGTATTGTGAAGATGGCCCTCAGCATGCGATTTACTCGCATGAATACAGCCGCATCGATACCCACAGTCCTAATCAATTCTGGCTCTTTCGTCTGCATGAGTGGCTTCACCCAGCCAAACAGTCCCTTGCCAATGGGCGGAGGCATATGTTTCGAATCGGCATATTTCGCTCGTGTGGCGTAGACGACGCTGTTGTACGGGCGGAGGAAGCAGAATAGCAGTCCCAAGACTGCAGTCAGAACGATCGATGTAATGAGCGAGGCCAAGGCGGATTCTCCTGCGAGCTAGAGAGAGAGGACGATCAGATCGGCATTCCATGTGCATCACTTCCGTGCTACTTTCACGTGAAGAAGTTGACTTACCGCTGCTGCAAATGGATCTGACAGGAGATCCAAGAAGTCCTGTCCAGCATCGCGCGTGTCCATGTTTGGGCTCGCCATGGTGTCAGAAAGTGTGGAACTTTCTGCTGCTGCGGCGGCCCAGCGCGAGATATGTCGAGTGTACCGCAACGTCCTATCCTCGGAACAAAGAACCACAAAGGTGTGATTTGTGCCGCCTTATCCTGTATCTTGTCCTCCTCTCAACGTATACGACGTAACGACTGTGGGTAAGGCGGTCCAAAAGATGCTGAGAAGGGCAAAATGCTGAGAGAATAGTACGGCGGAGGAGCTCTGCAGCGAAAGATGAACTCCAGGAACGAGAGTTTGGAAGAGGAAACAAGGAAATGCCTGCTCGATTGCCTCGGCCGGGGGTGATCACGAGCTTCCAACGAGTGAAGCTATCCGGTTCTTGGAAAGGTCTTGGGTGCTTGCGCAAGAGAAGAAATCGGACGGAAAGAAGAGTAGTTAGGTAGTAGGACCCTGAAACAGGAAAAGTGTGGTGGTGTCGTCAGAAGACTGCATGCCAGAAATACGAGGTGCCGCTTGTCACTCCCAACCGATGCACAAAAGCATTGGGGAATCCATGCTCCACCCACGCACACTCAAAGCTCCAGCAAACCAGCTTTGGAAGTCCCTGTGACAGCAGCGTTTGGCGTTCTAGAACGGCACACGATCGATTTCTGCGCTGTGACGGCAACAGTGAAAAGACGACACGCGTCGGCACACTGCTGTCCGATCAACGCCGCGGACAGTCGGCTTTTGCCCTTCTCGCTTTGTCTACCGCATTCTGTTTCTATTCTTGCAAACATGCGCTTAGAAATGCAATATTTCGCGCCAAAAGTTCCACAGCGCGAACTAGAAGTCCTGGCTGACACCTTCTATTCGCCGATCACGCTGAAATTCGAAGCGCTCCACCAGCAACCTGATTTTGGGAGGGAAACCCTTGTGGAGCGCTGGCTGCGCGTGTGAAGAAGAGGATCTGGTGTTCTGTGGATCTCTCCACCATTTGCCATGCAACGCCATGAGCGCGTACAAAAGAAGTGTCTTCGCGCGCGCCCGTGGCTCGGCGCATTGAGAGTTTGCCAGGTCGGGCGAAAGCTGCCGAGCCATGCAGTTTGCATCGGCGCCGAGACGATCTGGTTGGCGGCAGCATTCACACTGATGATGACGGTCACAGAACCCATCTGCAAGGACATATAGATGAGACGGCGTTGCAAGTCCAAAGTGTTCCCATCGCGAACGAAGCAATTCAAGATTGGATTTTTTCAGATCATACTAAGTACTGCATTCTCAGTCCGATGTCCAATGGTTGGATAGATCGTTTTGCCATCTGGCTCATATGGCATCGAAAGAGTGGCAGACAGCGAGATGCTGCGTGATTGGGCCACGCAGGTCCATTGCTGTCCGACCGTCCGTTCAGTGTTCCGCGAAGTACTGCGGACTCAACAGCCACCTCCGGCATTGATCACACACGCAGAGAGAGATTGGAAAGCCTCAAAAGTCTGGCATCACAAATGAAATTGCTCGCACCCTTTCCTGAGAGCACGCTTATAGTACACACAAGCCATCTGCTGAGAAGCTGGCTTTTGAGTTCGGTATCGCCGAACTCTTGGTATCATTGATCCCCCCATCCCATCGAGCAAGTGAAACGCCGCATGTCTTGACTGAGAAGCACTCGAGTCCAGTCGAAGTGCATAGATGCAGCGCGGAACCCTCATTATGCTTGCAGTCAAAGAAAGCAGAGTTGTCTACTCCTCTTCCTCCTCGGAAGCATCGCCACCCTAGGACTGGTCAGCACTGTTTCGTCAATTGAGAGCAGAAAGCTTACGGCAGTATAGGCAGCCTTCTCCTCCTCGTAGCGCTTCTTGTCGGCGGCAGCCTTGGCCTCGTATGGGGCCTTCTGCTTCTCGTTCAAGGCCTTCCACCTCTCACCGAGGATCTTGCCAACCTCGCCTGTGGTGGAAGTCAGTCAAACGCGCGTTGTGAAGCCCTCTGGGGAGGGACCACTCACCGAACTTGATGCCTGGGTTCTCGTCGCGAACCTTGTCACGGGTGTCGTTGGCGAAGAACATGTACGCGGACAGACCACGCTTTGGCATGTTTGGGTCTGGTGGCGACGCGTCAGTATTGGGCTCTCGCGCTGCGCAATCGCAAAAAGTGAGGTGAGACGTACCCTTCTTCTTCTTGCCGCCGTCGGCCTTGCCAGCGGCCTTCTTGGAGCCGCGGGTGGTGGTCTTCTCCTTAGGCATGATGAAGTTGGTGTGTTGGTGCTTCAGAGGTGTCAGCAGGCGTTGCGATTTTGGCGACCGTGAAGTGAGCAAGTTCACGCGACCAGGAAACAAGTGTCGAAAGTGATGCGCGGCAGAAGTTGATATTTGCGCGTGTTTTGGTCGAGCTTTGCTGCGGTGTTGTGGTGAGGGCCTCTGCAAGCTGAAAGCTGCCGGGCGCAACAACACAACACAACAAAGTCGCGACTTGCGCCTGAAAGTGACGCGAAGGTGCTGGGATGAACTTACTTCGACGCTTAATCGATGTGGAGATGATTGAGGTGGTGGTGTTGCGACTGTGGTCGAGGCGCGTTAGCTGATGAAGAGATAAATGCTGGTTGTCGACAATGAATGCAACGCGACTGCGCGGTGGATATCGAATGGAGAAGGCATGATTGCGCTGCCAAACAACGTCTCATTGACGGCAGTCGCAATGGAGACGCGTCAAAAGGCGCGGCGGTGTTGTTGCAATGGTGGAGGGGTCGGCGCCAGAATGGTGGTGATACTCACAGCGAATCTCTGTATGGCGACGCGAAGTGCTGTGAAGTGCGCTGAGAGGAGGACAGTGAGAGCTTTCGCAGAAGAGACAGGCGTGGGCACAGCAAAAACTATGAGCGCCGGCCGCGACCAGCTCGTTCCTGCCCCCTCTGTGCTCAGAAATACGCCGGAGCGAAGTCGCGCAGCGGAGTGACTAGCGCCTGACACCACAACAACATCATTGCTGCATTCCACGCGTTCGCAGTGGTGATGCACTCAGGCGCTGTTGATGGAATACCATCTGCATTCATCTCTACATCTATTGTTGACTCCCTCACTACAACGTTCTCAGTGTTGCGCGCAGTTGGCATTGTCGCGTACACGCGCGACTTGCATCACTCCGGGCACGACAGCAGGCCGCGCCCGCATGTAGCCCGTCACCCACAGCCCTCCTGCAGCTGACAACACAGCTCCGTCCACTCCAGTTCCCTTCCCGCACGCGCACCCTCTGCTTCTGCCTTCATCTCCACAACAACGCGCGCCAATTCGCAGCTCCAGCGCGACAGGCCATTGCAACATCTATCATGTCCTGCGCGCATCTCTCGGCCTTACTCTCTCCCGCCTGCCCGCCTGACTCTGGCCAGCGCGCAGCCAGACGCAGCCTCCGCTGGAAGTGCAGCCGTTCAAGCCACTAGCGCTGCTTCCTGACCGACCGACTGCGCAACTCCCGTCGAGTCTCACTACTACCGATTTGCTCTGCCAAATGCGTCGGGGAATCCTCACTTCTTTGTTTGCAACTCGAACCCTGCGCAAAGGCTCTCAATCGACAAGCATGGCGAACGGATTCTTCGCCAAACCAGCACCGTCTGCCTGCTTCTGGTGCGCCTTCTTCGCCCGTTTCCGCGATTTGGCCTGCTTGCGGTCACCTTGATCCTCGTGTTCCTCCTCGACAAACGACAAGAACAATACCCTCAATGCTTCTCGCCACATCTGCTGCTCGTGTCTGCGATCTGAGCCTTCTCCATCGTTGAAGAACACCGCAATGCGCGGCAGGCTTTGCAGATGTCGTCGCAGTGTCGCTTGCGCCCCATCACTCGTTGCCACATCAGCAAGCAGTTGCTGAAGCATTCGAAACGAATAGTACGCTGCTTGGTACTGTGCTGCTAGATGCAGCACCTGCCACTTGCGTGGCTCTCTATTGAGCACGATATGTACAGCCTCGTCTGCTGTCGGCATTGAAACTCCCTCGCTGCGGAAATGAGCCACCACATGCTGAAGAATCAGATATCGCCATGCATCATCCCGACGCAGGCGAAGCTCAAGCGCAGTCTCCTCGAGCGTGCTACTGACACTTGTTGCAAGCCGCGATGTAGCAGAGGCAAGCTCGTCGCCAGTCAGCAAATCCAGTAGTGTCGCCGATATTCTCGCCCCACTTCTTCTGTACTCCTGCACATTGGTGTCCTGCTGACTCTGCAGTAGTATCGAATAGCCAAGCAGACGGATGTCGAGTCCGACGCCCAATGCTGTCGCTCGAGTCGGATCGTCCATCACGAAGGGCAAATAGGCCCTTATTGGTCCAGTAGTCTCACCTCGAGCATGCGATTTCGCCTGGTGGAACAACTCTGATATTCGGGAATCGCGAGCCGTCAACGCCTTCTTCAAGTCGGGATCTTGACGCACACGAGCTAGCATCTGTACCTCTTCAACGGTCTCAAATTGCCGAGCGAATGCTTTGAACTCGTCGCGATCGTCCAGGTCGGCGCCCGTGGAGAGCCGCGAAGCCTTTTCCAGGCTGCAATAATAGTCTATCGACATGAAAAACGCAGGCTTGATTAGGCTCGATCCGGACAACGATTTTCTTCGCTCGATGATCTCCGTAGGCCGATACTCATCACCTTGCAAAACCATCATCCCGCCGACTTCAGCCTCCGAGAGATCACGAAACGGCACCACTCTCGTGCGTTTGCACGCCTCGTACACGATCAAATCTGCATCATCAGAGAATATCGTGATCTTCGAATCATCGTCCTCGGGAATAGCTTGTGCAGCAGCAACGCAATAGGGGTCTGCTTCGCCAGGAACCACGTACGTTAGGTTCGCGTACTGTGTACTGCGGACGAGCTCTTCGACTACAGCAAACACCAAGAAAGGAGGTGGCGGTAAGCTCTTCTTGGCAGAGCCACTCAGAGACGATAGACTTGTGCCTGAGGACTGCTTGAAAGCTTGAAGTCGCGCAATGTAGTTCTGTAGACGATCGATTCGGACATCTTTTTTGGCTGCTGGAAGCGCTCCGTCGAAGAAGATAGAGTCTCTGTACCCGTGATCCTCTTTGGTTAGGTATCGGGCGTAGACACGATATATCAAAGTTTTTCAAAAACTCACTTACATTTTGAATCCATACTCTATCAATTTATCCAGCCACGCGATCGTTGCTTTTGCGCAAGAGTCATATGTTATTGCCGAACTTGTGGTTGTTGTCGACGATGAAGACGAGGACGAATCGCAAAGATTGTAGTAAATATAATGTGTCAGACCCGGTCCGTCAATTATGGCAATGTTCTTCTGCGGCGGAGTTTGCTGTTGCTGGCCAGCCGACGATGATGATTTCGTTATGGTTCCCAGCGTGGTTTTCGTCGCGTAGTCTCTCATGCGGAGACCGAAACGCTGAATTCCCATATTCGGCGCAGAAATCAGTGGGCGAGTCTGGCGCCGTGGACTTTTCGCATGAGGGCAGTGTGGGCGGGCAAGGGATATATACTTTTGTTGTGTGTGGGGAAAGATCATAGACTCTCCTCTCGTCAGATGGAAAGTTCAAAAGTAGAAGTTCTTGGCAAAAGGCTAATCTTGGGGTGTGACTACATTTAGTTTTAGTGCAGGACATGGACATGTAGAATGCAAGGCTGACGACCATGGACTGATATGTTGTAGTTTCGACTGTGATATGATAGTTTCGAGGTATCTGGGAGTTCGCAAACTGCTACAGTCCAACATCTACAACTTTGACCTCGTCATGCCTTGCACGCCTCTCACTTTCCGCCCACCAAGCTGCTTGTCTTCTACACCGTGTTTCCTGAACAGCTCTGCAGCACGCTTCTCCTGCTTCTGAATCAACTCGATGCATTCCTTGGCTCTCGCTCTGTTTTCTCTCCTGCCCATTTGGTTCAAGTGCACCTCGTCTGGTCCGTCTGCGATTCTGATCGTTCGGATGTGTGCCCACATGTTGGCGAGAGGAGTGTCTTGACACACACCCATCGCGCCGTGTGCTTGGACTGCGCGGTCGATAACTGTGCAGGCCATAGTCGGGACAAGAATCTTCGCTTGCGCGATCTCGACCAGTGCGGCTTTGGCGTCACCTTGATCAATCTTGATCGCGGCGTTGAGGACGACGAGGCGAGCTGCGTCAATTTCGATGCGGGATTTGGCAACCCATTCGAGGAGAACACCGTGCTCGCGGAGGGGCTTGCCGAAAGGAATTTTGCGGTCGTCGTTGAGACGGGCGATCATCCATTCGAGTGCAACTTCTGCAGAGCCGATTGATCGCATAGCGTGGTGGATGCGGCCTGGTCCAAGTCGACCTTGCATGATTTCATTGCCTTTGCCGAAGCCGAGAACGAGGTTCGATAATGGCACGCGAACATTGTTGAAGGAGATGTGGCCGTGTCCATGTGGCGCACTGTTCAGATGTTAGTGGAAGTTACAGGCACAGAGCAGCGATGAGGGAAACATACTCATCATATCCGTACACACTCAGCATGCGGTGGATGACCAATCCCTTTGTGTCGCTCGGCACCAGCACCATGCTCTGGCGACCATATCTGTCCTGGTTGTTGGGATCGCTAAGACCCATGACGATAAAGATCTTGCAACGATCATCGCCGGCACCTGAGCTCCACCACTTGCTTCCATTCAAGACAAGCTCGTTACCCTCCTTGCGGATGCTCAAGCTGATGTTGCTGCCATCACTGCTGGCCTTGTCTGGTTCTGTCATCAAGAAACCTGACCTGATTTCACCAGCCAACAAAGGTGTCAACCACTTCTTCTTCTGCTCTGCCGAACCATATCTAGCAATCACTTCCATATTGCCAGTATCAGGTGCAGCGCAATTACATGCTTCGGAAGCGATCTTGCTTCGTCCGAGCAGCTCGGCCATCAATCCATATTCGACATTTGTAAACCCTCCAGCTCCTCCATAAGTGTCATATTCGCTGAGATTTGCATAATGGTTCTTGGGCAGGAACATGTTCCACAGGCCCAGCTTACGAGCTTGTTGCTTCAAATCGTCGAGGATCGAAGGGTGTCCATCCCAGCGGTCATCACCGGTACCGACCTGAGCGGCGTAGACCTGATCGGCTGGTATACATTCTTCATTGACCCACTTCTCAATGGTGTCGAGGAACTTGGCGGCTCGCTCGCTCACGAATGGCCTGGCGATGGGAGGGACGCGGCCGGATGCCGAGGGACGTGGACCGGCATTGGAGGTGGGAAGAGGCGGTGCGTTCGACATGTTGGAGATTGTGTGATATCGTGATTCCGAATTGATCTATTCGGGATCTGTCTCGAATGCTCTAGTAGAAGTGTCAATTATTCACTTGCATGCAGTCTCACACCTCGGGCAATGTTGCCGTGGCTACGAAGAGGGGTAGGTGTCGACGCGAGCAGGATTGACGCGTCGAGTCAATGAGTGCTACATTGTAACTGCAGCATTCGAATGTCTGAGGAAAATAGCAAAACAGTACTTGATGGCTGTACGCGTCACTCCTAGTCAGTTGCAGGTGTCGAGGAGATGGTCGTGGGCAGTGGACGTGGAAGAGAAGGAGCGGGAGCGAATGGCAGCTTCTTGGCACCATCTCCTCTGGCTTTCGCCTTCGTAGCGCCGGGCACTCTTGGTGATGAACAAACACACTTCATCTTTACGACATTTCCAGCTTTTGACGAAGAGAGATGCCTGGACAGGGAAAGCCTCGAGCTTCAAGAGCCAGCGGTCGATGCAGCGCGGCAGCATCAACCGTGCGGTGCAGCACTTTCCAGCCACTGCGATCTTTCACTCATAGGTCGAGGCTCACCACGAGGGCTTTATAATAGTGAAGACATATAGTACGTAAGGCCGTTCCGAGAAATCAATATTGTCCAAGTGGAGTCCGAATGAGTCTTGTCTTCTCGGCATGTCAGAGCTGGCATAACGACATGGCCTGCTTTGAAGCTTGGATTCTGCAGACGTGCTCATTCAAGAGGCACAGACTGGCTGCCTCCTGGACTCAACTTTCACTTCCACGAAACGGGACACAATCCACGTCTATTCACATGTGACACATGGCGGTGGCGTGGATTCATCACCGCGGACAAAGTTGACTAGCGAAGCAGATACATCGTGGCATGGACCTCTCGCCCCTCGAGCCATGCGGCCAGTCTTTCCCTTCCTCGCGAGAGATGCGAGCTTCTCAAAGACTTCGCGGTCTCTAGTTTCAACGAGGCGCGTTTCTTCGACATCTCAACCACCACCTGAACACGAAACGCTATTTCGCTATGATCGAGCACGATGGATCTGGAATGAGGAGCAGCAACTCGCTCGCCGCTACCGGAAATTCCAGGTTGACGAGCTGAAGAAAGTTGCTATTGGCACTGTTAATGCGCGCTCCTGTGTCTCGATCGAGAAAATATTCGATGGCGCTCAGAATCGTGTGCTTCAATTGAATATGGATAATGGCCGAAGCGTGGTTGCATGCATTCCGTACACTTTCGCCGGTCCTGCGAGGCTCACGACTTTGTCGGAGATCGCGACTATGGCATTTGTGAGTGGCATTCCTTACAGTCAATCTTCGCTTCCGCTGATGAGATTCAGGCGCGAGACATCCTGAATATCCCAGTGCCCGAAGTCCTAGCTTGGAGTGGAAACGCGAGAAATCCTGTTGGCTCTGAGTTCATCATCATGGAAGATCTCGAGGCTGCTGGAGCGAAGCAGCTCGCATATGCTTGGGATTATGAATTGAAGCTGCCAGCCAAGATTAGGATCGCTAAGGACTTTGTCGATATCCAAGCCAGATTGTTGTCCACCACATTCAAGCAGTACGTTGGTCCAATGTTGTCCAAACTCGGGAGCTGACACACTTTCAGTTACGGAGCATTGTACTTTAAGGTCCACGCTCCTCCTGGCAGCGTTCCCGCGGTTATCGATGGTCCTCATCCAGATTCCGTTAAGAGCATGGTCAAGGACCGATTCATGATCGGGCCAGTTACTAATCCCTCCTTTTGGCGAGGAGAAAGAGATACCCTGCCTGCATCTCGTGGGCCTTGTGAGTGTTCGAGATGCGTTCAAGAGGAAGGTAGGCTAACCCTCGACACAGGGCAGACACCGCAGGAATACCTGGAAGCCATCGTGGACAGAGAGATTGCCTGGCTCAATCGGTGGAAACCGCCAACGGAGAAGCGGCACCCAGCCATGCCAGCTTTCAAAGGAACCAGACGCATATCCACCTTGGACGAGGCCTCTTCTCAGATTGATACGTACGAACGCTTTCGCAAGATGATTCCTTTTCTGCCACCCGGGCCGCCGGAATGGTCACAATCCGTCCTAAACCACTGCAAACTCGACACAGGGGACTTGTATGTCAAAGACGACCAACTCTTTTCCGTAGCAGACTGGCAGAATAGCTGGGCTGGTCCTCTGTTCTATACTACGGCTCTGCCTAGTTTTCTCAAACTCACTGGCGAGGAACTGCACAAATTACCCGAAAATTATGCGGAGCTCAGTGACGAAGAACAGACGAAGACTCGGTCCGCCTACGACAGCACTGCGGTGTTCAAGCACTTTGCTATAGACGCTTGCGAGAAGACGGAGGTACTGGTGGACATTTGGGACCATATACTTTCGAAAGCGAATTTCAACATTCTGCCGCATCTTGTAGATGCTGGCGCCGACTTCAATGCGCACACACTTCGAAATTGGTTGATGCGGTACATCCGACACTGGGACTGGGTTGCGCCAGATGCGGAGTGCCCTGTGGAGATGAGCGACGAGGAATACTCCAAGACCATGGACAGAGACTTCGCGGAGGAATTCAATGGCTGGCAAGACTTTTGGGAGAAACCTGAGAAGGGAGGCAACTTCAAGAGGGATGGTTGGGTTGTGGAGGAGTGCTACGATGATGTTCTCGAGCTCTTCCGCGAATTGCGGCGGAAGTTACTGGGAGACGAAGAGGAAAGTGCGGAAAAGAAGGCAGAGTATGAAGAGGCTACGAGATGGGTGCTTGAGAAGAAGCTTTCGACTGAAGTGTAAGCTGGTGAGAAAGGGCTGGGAGAATGTATTCTGGAATCTCGACTCAGTGATTCACTAGGCGACTCGCTGCCCCATGAATGTACAATGAGACCATGGCATACATTGAATCCGTGGGCGATCTGAGATTCTTCTATGGTAGTAGTACAAAAGGTGTGGCGGCATTGTGCTTGGCCTGGCGCCATCATTAGCGACGATATGATTCACGGACGCCAAGGTTTGTGATGAATTTCTTCCGTCCATTTAATCTTGAAATGGGCACGCCATCGGAGGTGATGTTGGTGTTGTTCTTTGTGCGACCTTACGGACTGCTCCTGCTCCTGCTTGGCAAATTTTGTCCCCCAATGCCAAGCATTCCTGAGCCTCGGCAAGCTTTTGCACAGCAATCCTTGGACATCTGTTCCAAGACCTTCGACAGTATCAACACATCCTAATAACTTCACACCTGTTGTTGGAGAAGAGGACAAATGGAAGATTTTCTCCCATACCAACAGCGGTGGCAACTCTTCGGCGCTGGCAAAAGGTTTGCAGAGATCTGCTCTTCACACCCCAGAGGATGCGAGCACGCCATTCCCATAGGCCGACTTTTATGTAACCCTTTGTGCTTCTGCTGCTACGTTGCCCATGCACGCAGTTTTTAGATTAACTCTATTCTTCAGCTCTGTTCCAGACTTCACTCCACGCCGCCCCAGTTCATACTTTTGATCCACTTACCACATTTCTACCCAGAACTATCAACATCGACAACAGCACCAGGACCCAGTCACAGCAAGAGAAAGACTTCCACCGGCTCTGGTGTGCCACATGCCACCAACCCAAGACACCACCGCAAAATGGCATCCTCAAATCTAGAGAAGAACTTCGCGACAAACAACATCACCATCTCCGACGACGAACAACAACCCACCTCTTCAAAATCCCACAAAACCTACACCTCCCACCAAGATGACTCCACCCTCCCACCAACCTCCCCCCTCACCCCCCAACTCGCCCGCAAACTCTCCGCCCGCCAAGTCCAAATGATCGCCATAGCAGGCACAATCGGCACAGGCCTCTTCCTCGGAACCGGCAACAGTCTCACACGCGGCGGCCCGGGCAGCATGCTAATCTCCTACGCAATCGTAGGCTTCATCGTCTTCGTCACAATGCTCTCACTGGGCGAAATGGCAGCCTACACTCCCATCGCAGGGAGTTTTTGTACGTTTGCGGGGAGATATGTGGATGAGGCGTTTGGATTTAGTTTGACGTGGAATTATTGGTTTAATGATGCGGTTTCGACGGCGTCGGATCTTGTGGCTTTGCAGTTGTTGTTGAAGTATTGGACGACGGAGATGCCCGGGTGGGCGTTGAGTCTTATTTTCTTATTTGTGTTGATTGGGTTGAATATTGTGTCGGTGAGGGCTTATGGTGAGATGGAGTATTGGTTGAGTTTGTTGAAGGTGGCGACGATTGTGGTGTTTATTATTTTGGGGATTGCGGTGAATTGTGGGGCGAATACTGATAAAGAGTATATTGGTGGGAGGTATTTCTTGCAAGGAGATGCGCCGTTTGTGAATGGGATTGGAGGATTTGCTTCGGTGTTCGTGACGGCGGCGTTTGCGTATGGTGGGACGGAGAGTATTGCGATTACTGCTGGAGAGACGAAGAATCCGGCGAAGACGCTGCCGAGGGTTATTCGCAATGTCTTCTGGCGTGAGTATATCAGCTCAACAGATCAGCAAAGACGTGCTAACGATCAACAGGCATCCTCATCTTTTACATCCTCTCCGTCCTGATCATTGGCCTTAACGTCCCATACACATACCCGGACCTCGCTACCAGGGACGCCCACACCAGTCCGTTCACCGTCGTCTTCCAGATGGCAGGCAGCAAAGTCGCAGGCTCCTTCATCAACGCCGTTGTCATGACCTCTGTCATCTCAGCCGGAAATCACGCACTCTTCGCTGGTGCCCGTCTGATGTACTCGCTTGCAGTCAATCGACACGCACCTCAATTCATGGGCCAACTGAACAGACACCAGGTTCCTTGGGTCGCTGTCCTTCTGACCTCGGCCATCTCAGGACTCTGCTTCGGAGCCTCATATATTGGCGCCGGACAGCTCTGGACCTGGCTCCAAAATATCGTGGGAGTGAGCAACCAACTATCCTGGATCGCCATCGGATTCGCCTCTCTTCGCTTCCGAGCCGGACTGCGAAAGCAGGGACTCGAGCACCTGCTCCCATTCAAGAACTGGACATATCCATACGGACCAATCTTGAGCGTCGTACTGAACTCATTCTTGGTTCTGGTACAAGGCTGGACTTGCTTCTCTCCAAAGTTCAAGCCCGTCGATTTCGTGTCATTCTACATTCAGCTACCAATCCTCGCCGGAATGTTCGTGGTCTGGAAGTTAGTGAAAAAGACGAAGTGGGTGAAATTAGAAGAGATGGATCTCGTCTCAGATCGCTACGACACGAACCTCACATTGGAGGAGCGTGAGAAAGCGCTAAATGAGGCAAGCATGTCGAACTGGAAGGAGGCAAAAGGAGCGAAGGAAAAGTCGCTTGCGATAGGACAGTGGCTGTTTCTTTGATAGCCGTTTCGTATGCGCAATATGGTATTTATCTCAGTCTGGTTTCTGCATACCATCTTTTGTGTTTCTTCCACTCCTAGCCTCCAGCTCTTTCAGCACACAGGACAGTTCCGTCAATGCACCAGAAGTCGGAGGAATCTCCGCCGCGATGGAATGAGGCGTCTTTGGTCCACGGAAGCAGATGTGCGGAAGACTGTGACTTCCGGTCATTTGCACAAAACCACCTGTCGGCGGCGGTCGTGTACTGCTGTACTGCGCCAACTTTGTTGATCGTGATGCACTCACGCGTGCACCTTGGCGAACACGATCGGCTTGGCGTGAAAGTACTTTCGAGCTCATAAAGGTACGCTATGCAAGCTTATATTGAGCGAGCTTCGCCTGCATGCAGCAGCGGCCTGCATCACCTTTCGTGCATGAGAGCTGCGGGCGCAAGGGTTGTATCCTTCGACAAGATGAAAAGGCTTTTCAGCCAGGTCTTGTTCGAACCACTGGCAGCTTCATCTGAATCCATTCGTAGATTGCTGTACGATCGATGTGTCGTCGTCCAGAAGGGCTCTGCCACTGCATCCAAGCGGGGACAGTGCTGGCTGCATTCCAAGATTTGCGGAGATGGCTTCGAGACCGATACTGCTTGAAGGCGAATCGCGCGCCTACGAGAAATCCAAGCACAAGAGACAATTTGACAACGGTCATGAGATATGACGACTCTGCTGTTGCTGATCCAGCCTCGATGGGCTCCGAGTATCGTAGCAGATTGTGGTCCTTGTCTAAAGCTGCCACTCGGAGTCTGGTGAAAGCCTTCTCAGTAGAGATGTGAGAAAGGTCAAACGTGCTTTCGAATCCAATTTTGGGGAGCACATCGAGCGCTTCAAATACGTTCTGTGATTCGGCCGATTCTTCGTCCTTGCTGCGAAGGTCCTCCGTAGAGGAAGCGCTGTCGTCACGAATGCCTTCCAGCGACCAGTAGGCGACCTCCGTTGCTCCATTCCAGCTGACAGAGATGATGTCTCCTTGGATGTTGACCTGTGGCGGCTCGTGAGGTATGCCGTGCCAATCGAAAGCTTTGGTAGTGCGATAGGATTTCATACGCTCGAAGGAGTAGTACCAGGAGGCTCCAAGATGCGTTTCGCAGAGCAGTTCACCAGTGTTGGAATACTCAGAATACGCTGCTGCCGAACCCCAACCTACGAGATAGTTGTTCGTCTCCGGGAGAAGCTGCACCGAGCCTTGAGACGATGCAAGGATGCCTTGCGCCGATTTCATAGAGTGCACCAGTTTTGCGGTCTTCTTTTGAAGATCTAGCTGAATGACGAGAGCTCGACTTTGAGAAGCATCACTGTGAAGAGGACCGGCTTTGCTGTTGTCGAACAGCGTCATGATGCCCTCGTCCTCGGAAATCCATCGGGCGTCATGCTGCCACTTGAAATTTGTCGCTTGTCCATCTGAAAGGTCCTCGAATTGATTGTCGCGTCCGCCGAGAATCCACAGGATCTCTCCAGCCGGGCTGACACACAGGACGTGATGGAAGTGCCGTGAGGATATGATGTAATTGCCTTTGGAATCCTTGTCGACGCTATTGAGATGGTAAAAGTCGAATGGAATACTTTCCCAGTATCCGCCAAATGGATTCGTCATGTAGGTGTCGACGGGATCGAAGTGCTCGGCCGCGCTCCACTGAAATAGTAGCTCGTTCGTCTCGATGTCGATTTCCTGAAATAGGTTGTCCACGATCCAGCCATTAGCACCTCGCCACATACCCATTCCTGTAAGGTCTGCATTGGTCGTGTTGTACACCGTCACAAGAGCAGTGCCAGCATCGGTGATCTTGAATTCGTGCAAGTCGCCCCACAGTCCATCACCAGCAGCCTCGACCATTTTCACGACCTTGTACGTTTCATCCAGCATGAAGTAGACGCCTTTGCCAGAGGTTGCAGCCTTCTCGCCTGACCACAAGGTCAAGTAGTCTTGGCCTTTGTAGCGTTGAACTTTCAAGTTTGCAGCGGCTCCATAATCGTCAGATCTCCAGATCAACCCTCCTTGCGCGTCTAACATCATAGGTCCAGATTTATCGACCGAGGGCCCATTTGGTGTAAGCAGGACTACTCCTGAATCGCAGCTATCGTGCCATTGGACGTGTCTCGCCTGCGGTCCTCCCAGGTGGAACGAAGCATATCGGTGTAGAGGAAAGGCCCCAAAGACACCAAGGTCGAAGAAGAATGGGTCCAGGCTCGGGACCAGAAATGCGATGATGGGGAAGACATATTGATGTATGAAGTAGAATCCCAGCGGCACCAAAAGTGCCACGAGTGTCCACTTCACGGCATTCCGAACAAAGTTCGACCGGCGGGCCGACACCATGCTATTGTTAGAGAAGAATGCAGAGAGTCTTGCGGCTCCTCATAACAGAAGAGAGGAAGCAGAAAGGGAAGTATATGATGAGAGTAGATAGAGACACAAAAACAACATACAAACCGCAAGCGGAGCCACGTCCTGTCCAGAGCTCTCGGCCGTGGCCACGCGCACATGGGCACCTACCTTGGCCAGTGGGAGAGAGTCTTGTCCACTCTGCCAAGGCAGTGGCTCCGCTGGGCGAAGACATGCCGCCTCTCAGCGCTCTTGCTGTGGTGGGGAGTCCTTGCGACTACCGATGTGAGGGACGTCGACCACCCACGGTCATTACGCAGGGAGGCGCAGTGCGGTTTGTTCCCAGGCCTGCTGCCGCCGGTTTGTCGCAAGAGAAATCCACTTTCCAGGAGAGCCAAAAACCGGACCCGCAGGCAGGGCGCCCAGATATTGAAAGGCGAAGTTGGGTGTTTGACTAGTTCCGCGTGGTGATGCGATGCAAGTGGCGCTGAATGCAGGGCTCGGCCAGCATGCGAGATTCAGCATCCACACCACTCCACTTTCGCTTTCACTCTCCACGCCCAGCCAGCAGCAGAGATAAGGCAGAGGCGCGGCCGGAAGTGGGCCACGACTTCCCTTCGATTCAGCCAGCTTCCCGACCCGAGTTGCTGCTGCTATCGGAGATGTCGTTCCCGTCGCGTTCCTTCGTTTTCGTATATCCGCGTTTACGCGGAGCCCATGCTTAAGCGAACACTCGGCACCGCGCGCGACTGGCCGAGCAGACAGTTCACCTTCTTGTTTGAGCTTCTCCGTGTCTCCATCTTCAGCACGCGTTGTCGCGTCCTCCTCGCCTGCTGCCCGCGAGATTTGTTGTTGTCTTGCGAGAAGAGATCAGGGTGCTGCCAACCGCCAAGGCACACTCCCCAGCAGTCGTCGCAAGCCGGTGCGCCTCCGAACCAATGACGAGTGCCGATTCTTCCATGTGGTCGAGAAAGTGCCAACGCGGTCCCATCGGTCCATCGCTATGCCTTTGCGAGTGGGTGGACAGAGGCTTGCGTATGGCGTATGGCGTATTGAGCGGAACTGCATGTGCGTATGCCTAGGCGCCTGCGTATTCAACAAGGTCGGCCGCACCTTGTCCGATGTCCTGTTTGCCACCGTGAACACGACGTGCTCGGAGAGATCCTGTCACCAGCAGCAGCGAGAGAGACGCGTCGTTTTCATATGGGCCAGAGGACGTTGCAGAGTTGAGTGCCCAGAGATCATCCGCTCCCTAGGTTGTGGACTTCAGCTTCCTGCCGCGTGTCTGCAGCTTGCAGCGCCCAGTTCCCTGCCATTTTCAAACAGAGTCTCGGACGAGTGCGGACTGAGGTGAGTATGAAGGAAGCACAAGCAGCGGATGCAAATTCGAAAGAATGGAAAGAGCACGAGGCTGTGTGAAATTAGGCTGCATCTCGCCATACTGTCCGCGCAACGCGTGCTAGCTGCGCGCTCCATTGGCTGCCTGACCGCGGCTTGCGAGGACCGGTGTAAGTGGCATACGAGAAGCTGACTTCACCTTTCACTGCAGATGACCAGACATACAATCGAGTAATGCGTTCAACGTGATACTCAGCAACACACTAATCTACACCATGCGCAAGCACGAAGTCGAAATCAGCTCACTCTTCAGCCTGACTCACACACTTCTTCAAGAATCCAAATCAAATCTCACTAGATCCCTACCTTAGTAGTAAACAGAATCGGATTATCTTGGACGACTCCGACCTTATACTTCCGATCCGCCTCCTGGTATCCTTCATCATCCAACATCTTTCCAAAATGCCAAATGCTCGGATATCCCACAAGCAAAACATCACGCCAGGACCCCGCCGCTTCGTCTTCCCTTCGAGTGCTCCAATCCGTCCCTCCTGCTCCCGTGAGCGATTGAAGTAATGGCTGACCTCCACGTTTTGAACCTGTCGACTTCTGGAAGGTCTCAGCGTAAGGGCGATACTTCTCACGTTGTCCGGGCAGATAGGCAAGAAGATTCAGCATTGCGACAGGTTCATCGGGGTGAGCCTTGCCGAAATCGCGGATGAAATCTTTGAGAATCACCGGTCTCGTGGTGTCCGCGTTACTCCCGAGCGAATATGATTCTAGCGAGAGGGAGAGTTCGAGATCTTTTGGCCCGATCGCTGCATCGAGACCTGAATGGTCGGAAGGACTCCAGCCTGCGGGAAGCGGAGGTACCACTTTGTCGGCATTTCCAGCTTTCGCTGTTGTAAGCGCTGAGATTTGGTCGTCCGTGACATCGGTGGTGATCGACCAGACTCTCTCCGTGGCATTCTCTACACTGGTGGGGAGTCGGCTCTCCGATACGACAAGGTAATCCCATCGCACGATCTCTGAATGGTCCTGATACAGAGCATTGCGCGAGAGCTCAGGAGGATCCATCCAGTGGTGGGTTTTGCCAACCCAGAATGGTCACTCATTAGAGGGAAGCCCAGAAAGGGAAGACAAGAAGCTTGCGCCAGGATAAGAGTTGCTCAGTGAGGCGAGAGTGAATGTTGTAGGCGCCATCGCAGAATGTAGAATCGTGAAGTGTCAATGCTGTTGCTCGAGGCAGTTGTGCAAAATCGTCAATGGACCTGCATTCTATACAGTAAAATAGCAAACACATCAGACGGGCTGATTTGCGGAGACGGACGATGTAGCAACCCCTACGGACGTACTGATCACTAAACTATTCATCTTGGCACGACTTTCGACGACCATTGTATGTGGCATACATTACAAATATCACCTTTACAGGAGTTGACTTCACCTGTCATGGTAGTAGATGAGGCGTGATATGTAATCAGGCACTGTGATCAAGGCGATGCTGAACAATCTACTACGCTACGCCATTGGCAGTCAAAAAGTCAAAATCAGCTCCCTCTTCAGCCTGATTCACACACTTCTCATACAGACCTCTATACCCTCTCTGCCTCTTCACTATTCTTTTTCCCTTGCCCTCTGGCCCAGTCTCTACGTTTATAGCGGCTTTCCTCTCTTCGATTCTCCTCTGCATCTCCTCCTCACTGATCTCAACTTGCAATAACCTCTGTTCCAAACTCACCCGAATCACGTCCCCGTCTCTTACAACCCCAAATGGCGAGTCAACAATTGCTGACTCCGGTGAGATGTGCAAGATGATAGTGCCACCCGCTGTACCAGACATCCTCCCATCGGATAATCGGAGCATGTCAGTGACGCCTTTGAGCTTGCGCGGAATAGGAATGACGCCGGCTTCTGGCATACCAGGATTCCCAATTGGTCCAATGCCTTTGAGCACGAGCACAGAGTCTTCTGTTACTTGCAGATCTTCACTGTCGATCCGGCGAGACAGGTCGGCAGTGTTTTCAAAGACGACTGCTGGACCAGAGCTCTCGAGGAGTGTGCGGACCTTCGAGGCGGAAGCCTTGAGGACTGCGCCGTTTGGTGCGAGGTTGCCGTAGAGGACTGCGAGGGCTGAGCTGGGGTAAAGAGGGTTCGAGAGTGGACGTACCAGTTCTGTGGAGTATGGGAAGGGCTTGAACGGAGTCGCGTCAAGGATCTCTCCGAGAGTCTTGCCCGTGATTGTTTTGGCCTCGAGGTGTAACAGTGGTCGCAGGGTATGCAATAGTGCAAGCATCCCACCGGCATTGTGGAAGTCGTTCATGTAGTTGTCTCCGCTTGGCTTGAGATCCACGAGTAGCGGCGTTTTGCGTCCGATGTCGTCGAAAGTCTTCAACGTGATTTGTCCCACAAGATCTGGATGTCGATTTATGATTGCCATGAGGTGCACTACAGCATTGGTGGAGCCTCCGATGGCTTGCAGCACGGTGATCGCGTTGAGAAATGACTCCTTTGTCAGAACTGTTTGTGGTCTTCGCAAGTCGAGATTCGCCGCCACAGATACGGCGATTGCGCCTGTCTCCTCTGCTACACGCATTCGAGCTGCAGAGACAGCTGGCGCAGTCGCTCCGGCTAATGGCATGAGACCGAGAGCCGCCGTCACGCAGGCTATTGTGCTAGATCATGTCAGTATGCTCTACCGTCGATCCATTTGGAAGCGCTTACCTCGCAGTGCCCATCACACCGCAGGTCCCCACCTACAACAGAGTTAGTCAAAACTTGAGTGACGCTCAGGGCATTGCTCACGGTAGGCGCCAGCTCGTCATTGATCCCACTAATATCCTCAATGTCCATGTCTCCGCGCCTGTATGCAGCCCATGACGATCGGCAGTCGGTACATGCACCTACTCTCTGTCCTCGAAAAGAGCCTGGCATCATGGGTCCAGTGGCCAAAGATATGACAGGCTCATTCGCGGAAATGCTTCCCATCAACTGCGCAGGTATCGTCTTGTCACAACCACCGATCATGACACCTGATAGAGCGTCAGCTATAGTAGAGCTCATAATTCACTCATTGGTTCTCACAAGCGTCCAGTGGCTGAGCTTTAATCATCTCCTCCGTATCCATAGACATCAAATTCCTCAGGAACATAGAAGTGGGCGCTGCGAACGACTCATGTAGCGAGATGGTCGGAAAGTCAATAGCCAGACCTCCATGAAGCTGGATGCCTCTCTTTACAGCTTCGATAAGCTGAGGCACATTTGCATGACATGGATTGAAGCCAGATCCGGTATTGATGATACCGATGATGGGTCTTGAAAGTGCATCTTCGCCATAGCCTGCGGCTTTGATAAAGACTTTGCGGAGGAAGAGAGAGAAGTGAGTGTCGCCGTAGCTGATTGTATGGAGCAAGTTGTAAGTCAGTGGAACTGTTGAGTGCGTGAGACACTATGTTGTACCTGGTCAAGCCACTTCGGAGACCGCTGCTGGTGTCGATGGGTGTGTTCAGGTCGAAGTCTTTCAGCTCGTTTGTGATGCCGTCCATCGCGGCAAGTTACTGCAGTATGTTGTCAAATAATGTGACGCGCACATTGCACCATTCAGAGCTCAGGCATTAGTACAAGCTGCTGTTGCATCCGGTCGGATATCGTGGCATTGTGAACCGAGAAGTGGAGCTCTGTCCCAGAGCTTGCATGATGAGCCTCCACTGCTGCATCTGCATGCAGAAGAAGAGACGCCATTCATGTTTGGTGCTCGTGAAGTGCAATCACTGGATGCAGCAGAATCTTTGATGGAAGAGAACACTTCGCGCCTTCTTCCGTACGATCCAAGTTGTCGAGCCTGAGGCCACAAAGCGGGAGCTGCCGTCATCGATGACTTGGCATCTCTGTGTGAGCTTCCTCCCTCCTCCACTCTCCTGGCCATATGCAAGTAATAGATCTGGAACGTCATCATGTCGGCGCACCGTCTGAAATTCTGCTATGTGCTTGTGTCACATCCCCCTGAAGCGATATGTGATCCTTGCGTGCCGCTAGGCGGCAAGCCAGGCATCACCGGCTACAAAATTTCATGAATGACCAAGCAGCAATTGCCAACGTCCTTCTGTGCCACCTTCTCTCCTCTCTGCGACCTCATGGACTATCAAAAATCACGGTCTCCAATTCGATTAGATGAATTGCCGGATTTGATACTACGAAACATATGCCACCAACTGGGCGACTGCCGGCAGTTTGCAGTGGTGTCTCGAAACTGCTTGGACCCGGCGAGAGCCAGCATATTTGCCACGATCAGCATCAAGGCCAGCATTGCCATTGGTGTGCATCATCAGTTGGCGGAATGGAAAAAACGACTTCAGCAACTGCAATGTCTTGCTCACGTTAGAACATTGCGTTTACAGACCGGCTATGAGCGGCCGGTGGAAGCTTTCGACGACTACGGTGATCATCTCAACAAGCAGTGGCGGCATCGCGCAGACGTTTATAGCCATTTGCGTGGACTATCAGACGAAAGAGCGGATTGGCAAGACTTAATCGAATTCATCGCTCAGCTGCCTGGGTTGAAGGACTTCGTATATGCTGGCGGTGTTCCGATCTGCATTGAACTCTTCCAGGCGCTTGAAGGTCGGCGATGTCGTTTGCACATGAAGACATTTTGTCTGTCAAGCCTGCTGTATTACCCGCACGAGCAGGAACATACCATAGAGAGGACTGAATTGCAAATGGCTACCTCTCCGCAGCTGTATGGTGTCAAACTCAATGAGTACGATGAGCTGGGAAACTATGGTCATTTTGACTTCCGCTTAGAAGGCCTCCTTGACATGGCCAAAGGTTTGGCACCTGGCTTGCGTGAGGTCAGCGTGAAGCGGGACAAGCCCAGCGACTCGAGCGACTTGAAGCAACTCCGAACAAAGGCTCGGCGGCAGTGGCAAGGAACAGAGCTCGGAACATTGCCCAGTTGGTCGAAAGGCAGCCTGAGCGTTCTCGAACTTGCTGGCAAAGGATCTACGACTCTTGAAGCGCTGCAAGTCTGGCACGGGGTTACGGACTTTTCAAAATTGCAGGAACTCAAATTACATGGTCCTGTTAAATCAGAGACTGTGACTTGGATGCTCGAATGTTGTAATCTGAACTCACTACGGCACCTGGTGCTTCATCTGGAGACGCGAGATCCAGAATGTAAAGCTGCTCTGGAACTGTTCGAGAGTATTCGCCCACTGAAAGAGCTTAAGCTCGTGGCGCATATCGACCAAAAGCTTTTGCTGGCGGTCCTCAAGCGGCACGGTCCTACTCTACAGAGCCTCATCATCGTTCCCAGCGTGGAGTCAAGAGTCAGCTGCGAAATGCTGGCCGACCTGATCGCTGATCACTGCCCGGTCCTAGAAAAGCTCACTATGCCCATGCGCCGCAGTCAAGGGGATGCCAAGGAAGTGGCAATGTACCAAAGATTCCGCCGTCTCACATGCTTAGAAGAATTGTACTTAGTGCTAAGATGTGACGGTGAGGACAGCCATGACATCACGGATCGCAACACGACTATCAAGAAAGTCCTCATTGACCACGGCATTGATCCCGCACTGGCTACTTCTATTTTCAAGGTCATCACCAATGCCGACATCACACCCACTGCTCCATTACGGCGTCTGGAGATCCGCCCTGAAAGCGCGCAGCTGGCCAAAGTGGATTTGGGTTGTTCAAGAGATGAAGATGAGGTGTTCATAGAAACGGAGATCATCCATGGCTTGGGTGACGTTTGTCACACCATAGCAGGGCACTGGGTATGCCTGAAAGATGCTTGGAATGGCACATTGTACGTGGAAAGCGCCGGAGATGAAGAGATGTCAATTGACGCCATCCGTGGAGAGGTTGGCGCCGCCTTCTACGAGTTATGGCCAATGCCAAAGAAGTATAAAAAGTATTGGTCTGAGAACTGGACCAGTTTCCCACTTGAGACGTGAAAGTGTTCGGGTAGGGCACAAGGAGATGATTATGTCTCCTTTCATGATCCATAGCTGCAACATATAATAGCATACTTGACTTTCCCAAAGCAACCGGCGGGAGGAAATGGAACGTCCGGCGACAGACTTTCACTTGTTCTTCACCCGCGGGAAGGCGTCATTTCAACCTGATTTCATCAAATTTTCGCGCCTTTTTAAGCAAGCCTCCCCAACTCTAATGCTCAAGAGCGAAGCTCACGCGCCTCTTTCGCGTCATGACTTAACAACCACACACCCCACACATCGAATCAAACGATGAGTGCAAACGAACTACAAGCGCTCCTGCGCTTTCTATCACAAGATGCAAAAGTACCATTGGCCACAGCCATAAGCAAAGCCAAGACACTCCAAACCAGCAACCTCGACTCAGTAGACAAACTCGCCAAAGCCAAACCAGCAGAACTCAAGCCCATATTCGAAGACGAAAAACTCATCAAGCAAATCATCGCTGCAGCTAAACGCGTATCAAAGAAACGAGCAGCTGGGGATGACGCTGCGGCGACTTCTACGCCACCAAAGAAGAAAGCGAAGAATGAAAGTCTATTCAGCGAAGAACCTCTCGCGCCAGCAGATCTTGAGGAATCGTTGAAGCTGCCATATAGTGAGCTGGGCGCGTTGGAATTGCAAGATGTGGTCCTGCATACGAATCGCGCGCCACTTGTCCTTGCATTTCTGGTGATTCTGTTGAAGCATACTATGCCCGAGCAGCCGCTTTCGAGCAGATTGAGCTTGGCGCAGGCGTACGTGAGTGTGACGAGTCGGTCGAGAGCCGTATATCTGGGCATCGAAAGTGGGAAGAGTGCAGAAGAAGAAGGCTTTGGTGAAGGGCAGCCGGTGGTGACTGTCGCGGGGAAGGAGATTAAGGTGCTGAAAAGATGGGGTTATGAGTGGAAGTCTGAGGTGAAAGAGGAGCAGGAGACGAGCGAGAAGGCGATCAAGACTGAGGAGGATGTCGAAACAGAGCCTGTGGTAGAAGAAATGCCGCCACTTTGGGCACTCGATCTCGAAGCACTGAAGAAGACTGGCAGTGGCAAGCAGCCCGCTGCTACACAAGCTGGGAATCACAGCGGCCTTCCTATCTACACTCCGCAATCCGCTCGAGCTTATCTCCTCAAGTCATTTGACTCGCCGCCAAGCAGCGACGAAGCAGCTTCGAAGAAGCCATCGGCAGCAGCTCGAGTGGCACTGAAAGAACGAAATCTTGGGAAGTTGCTGCGAGCACTGGATCTGTTATACGATTCGTGGAGCTCGAAACTCAGCCCAGTCGAGCTAGATCAGCGCACATGGAATTGGTACGTCAAAGTACGCCCACCTGTCGAAGATGGCGTAGCGGGCTGGGGGGAAAAGAACAAGCTGAAACTCGCTGATATTCTGGCCTTGCGTCACGTTCCCGATACGTGAAGTGGAGTTCAAACAGAGCCAGCGCTCAACTTTATGCCTCGAATAACCTCATTTCGAGGGCAGCCACTGCGCCAGCTTATCCAGACTACTGAACCCGACAGCTCTTGAGTGTTGGAAGACCTCAAACAAACTCGCCACAGGCTTTTCATCGAGCCACTCTAGATCCAGCCGTTGTCCGGCAGTCTCTCGATCGATCAATACAGCATTCCAGCCCGCGTTCAGCGCACCAACGACATCCTTCTCATACTCATCGCCAACATACACTTTCCGCCACTCTACCGACTCCCCGTCCTCAGCTCTCAGCAAAGAAGTTTGAAGCACCTCCTCTGCAGCTTCAAAAATCCTCTTATCAGGCTTCTCATGTCCAACATCGTACGACATGACAGAAAAGTCAATATCGTACTGTCCAACTTCGGCCGTAACAGAAGACTTCGCATAATGCCCACCATATCGAAGCGGACTGACTTTCAGCCCGAATGAAGTCAATATATCCGGCACGCGATCATCAGAATTGGTTATCACGCCAATCACGACGCGAGTGTTCTCTGCTTTGTGTGCTTCGCGGAGTTTTCTGATAAGAGGTTGGACATCTTCGAAAAGTGTATAGCCTTCGTCGCGCCAGAAGCGGTGGAGGAGTTTGGACACCATGCCATTGGGTATACTTCGCTCGGGCGGAATGAGAGGTTTGAAAGTGTTTGTGATGATCTGGAAGCAGTAGTCAGCTTTGCTCCCGACTTCTGTGAACGAGAACAGCTTCCGCGTACATTCGTCCACCACTTCTCGGGATTCATGCCATTCGCTTTACCATAATTCGGGTTCTGCTTTAATTCTTTCTTGAACGCTGTCAGACTTCATCAGCGTCTCTTTTCTAGAGGGTTGAGTCATGTTATGCCACAAGGTTTGCTTGCGCACCTGCTTTGAAAGAACTGTTTACGTCCTCATTGGTGAAACCGCTCAAGCCAAATGATCGAGCGACGTCGCCGTATTGTTGTGCAATAGAATGTCTAGGCTTGAACAATGTGCCAAAAGCATCGAAGCAAATGAGGAGATTTCGAGGAGGCATGCTTCAGTGTATCGTGTGCTTATGTCAATTTGCGATGTTTCACGCCTAAGGCGTACAACCCACTCGTGCAATGCCTGACGCTGCTGTACAACTGATCTGTGATCTGCGCGGGAAGAGTTTCACGCGACGTCCGTGATGTTGATGGAGATTCCAGTAGAACTGAGTATGAGAGATGGAAAGTAGCGCTTGTCGGCACAATTCACTTGCATGCCGAGACGCTTTGACCTTCTGGCGGCGGGAGCGTAACTTTGCGATGCGTAGCCTAGTAGCGGACAGCAAAAGGGAAACTGGGAAACACGACTACTCTGCGTTTTCTCTCACGAGCTTGATCCCGCAGCTGCCTCGCTTGTTGAGACAGAGTGCCGTAGCTACGCTGCACAAGACAGAGATACGAGGATCGAAAAAGCATTTGAGTTGTCCGGTTAAAGAAAGAGGGAGCCTCAATCGCGCTTATGCAGAACCCACTCCGGATGCTTTTCAGCAAGCAGCCGACTGATTGCACCATCCGTCAAAATCTGCGATCTTCTGTCTTTGTTCTCCTTCATGACTGCGAAGCATTTGCCAGCAAGTTCGCCAAGCTTCGTGTCCTCACTGGCCTTGAACCACACGATTCTGCTGACCATGCCGCCGTCATAGTGATCGTACCTCGAAGGAAACTCAAGCTCTACCTTACCACCTTGAACAACAATGGACATGTTGCGCCAAGAGCCATGCCGCTTGCCTGCCTGCGTCGCCTGTTTTTGCTTACCTTTGGTAGAATCGTCCACTTCATCATCCTCGTACACATTCGTGGAGCACTCCGCGAAAATGTAAAGGTTCTTCCAGGACTTGTAGTCTTCGAACGTACCCCTGCATTGTCCGCGGTATTGGAAAGGCTGCGTCACTTTGTCGAGGAAGCCGGCCTTGAGGAAATCGATCAGCGCCTTGTTCTGTTCTTCGTCCTCGGTCGTGTCCCACGAGTCGAGGAACATGCACTTGCGAAGCGCCTTCGAGCGGGTAATGGTGTCCTTGAAACTGGTGTTGACGCGTTGGAGACGGAACAAGTCCATCGTGTCGACAAACTCGAGGATCTTCTCGACGAGCTCGGGGAGCGAGAACACTTTCGATCGTGCTTTCATGGAAACCCCGCCAGTTTGTGGGTGTGCAATCTGCGACTGGTGTCAGCTCAAATTGCCTTAAAGATCTTGCTTTCAGCAACCTTGTTGTTGCCCATGTCGAGCAAGTCCGCCGTAGTTGGTTGCGCCATCTTGTCGTTGGCGAGGCGCACTTGTGCCATGACTGCGATCGCGAGGCCGCCTTATGCAATTGTTGGTGGTTTTGATGACTTGTCGAGAGACGTGAAGCAAGTTTGGTTGCACCGCAACCACAAAGTGGAGCTAACAGCGTCAAACAAACACGCCAAGGCTTCACATGCAGATGAAGTGAGCATGGAAGCCAGCACGTCTAAGGCAAACGGCTCTCGCGAGTGCCGCGACAACAACGTTTTTGCCTCGCTTCATGCCGGCGCGACGGCCAGCTCTCAGCGCGCAATGGTCTTGCTGAGCTCGTAGGTATCAGCACCCTGAACAGCATGAATGGCAAGCTGTCAGGGAGAACAAATGCCAGAACTCTCTGCTTCCAGCGATCGAGGACCCTCAGCGGTATCGAATGCCCCCTTGACCACGGATATCTGGCGCGAACGGCGGGCATCGTCGTATCTTCAACAAGACTGGCAATCATCGCTCGTGCGCGTAGTCTTGTCTGTCGACTGGACCCCCAGCATTCATTTATGATTTTGCTTTGTTGCTTGTTGTGTTAGTCCAGCTTCATGCCTTGCGTCAACTTGAGAGGGGACAGAGTGTTGAACTTTGTACCTTCGCTATACTTTCGTGGCGTTGCATCGAGTTCATCTGTATGATGGAGGTGTTGGGCCCAATCTTCAAGTGAGGAGCTGACCTTGAGGCATCGCGCACTCTTTACCCCATGATACCAACCTCCATGCTTTCTTGCAGCTCGTGTCTACAAGGCCCAGGTCTCTGCTCCTCCTCTGAATTCCGCCCAGGAATCAAGCACTACCACATAATGGTCCGGTGCAACAAATCCACTTCGTCGTTCATCTTCAGGAAGAGGCGCCAGGCATGCTGCAACAGGTCATGCAGCGTAGGCTCCTCGATGTGAAGGCAGTCAGATTTCTCCAAGTGTCCGCAGTGCAACGTGACTTGCACGCCCACCTCCTTTGCCGTGACCCTGAGCTTGTTCCATGATAATCCTGCTACTCTGCCCTTCCAAGCTGTGCATTCCGCTGGGACCCACCATCCCGAAGTGCACAGCTTTGCCTGAGCCTTAAACCAGTCCTCACTAACATCCAATTCGATGATAAGTCTTGAATCTGTGTAGCTCATGACAATACGGACCCCCATGAACTCGAGAGGACCTAACTTGCCACGAACCCTCGGCTCCAGAAGCAATTGTTCTACAGCTTCGCAGAGGCCTTCCTGTCTCATTTGCAAAAACATGTGCTGTCGAAGTTTCGGCGATGCGCTCATGGTGTCTTTGAAACAAGCACTGACGCGCTGAAGAACGTGCAGTCCGATCGAATCGAGGTTCAGGAGAATCTGCTCGAGCAACTCTGGAGTGTCGAAGACTTTTTGAGCAGCAATGCCCATCGTTGTTGTGCTTGTAGAATTGATCATGGTGGTGACATTCATTTCTGTTTCAGTGTCGTTGGCCACTCTCTCGCGATCAGACGCTTGGTGGTTGACAGCAGCCATATCCCGCTCCTCTGTCCTGTGTCTCGCGTAATTAGTGACAGGTCTTGTCTTCAAGGTGCTCAAACCGCATCTTACCGTGCGAAGGTTTGTGCAAGTGACTTTTGGTCTTGAAGTTCCTCAGACGACAGAGAAGTTGAATCAACAAGTGTGCAATTGAGAAGCAGGCCGCAGGCAGCGGCGAGAATCCCGCTCTTGCCAATAACGCATCCAAAGCAGACGAGACCGTTGTGAAGTGAAGGAACACCCTCACTTCACATGAGCCAAACTCCCTGCGCACCTCCTCACGCGCTCGCTAGCCGTCTCCGCATCGCCACTGATCAATGTCCGAGTACCGCGCCGCCGGTCTGTGGACCATCCATCACGATTCAACCCGCTCCAGCAATCCCACACAGTTTCCGCCCACATAGTCTCCGGCACATGTCCCAGGGTACAACTCCCATGCATCAAAGGACAAATATGCTCCAGAAGACTCCAGCGAAATGGACTTGCAAGACCGTTCCCGGCGACTTCGTTTGTGCCATTCGGATAGTCCATGGAAACGAACATCGGCCCTTCGCGGCAGTCAGTGTGGCCGATCCGTCGTCCATCGTCTATGATTCGATCAGTAATAGAGTCCAGAACTGGCTAGTGGAAAAGCGTCGTGAGATGTTGTTGCTCACTCGACACGCGGAGCGGCGGTGTAGGCCCAGAAAGGCAAGGAAGCGAAGAAAGAGTGCAGCTTGTGACGACCTCTGGGTCTGAAATCCCGATTCCCGCTAACAACGCATCAAGAGGAACTTATAGCAGTGTTCCTTCACAACTCACTTATTAGTATCTATCGCCAACCCAAATCTTGCCCTAATCCTGCCCATAGTACATGACCCTGCCCAGCCCGCCCAGATGAGCCTTCCCAGCGCGAATCGCCTCGTCTGCCAGATCACCCAGTGTATACTTCCCACCAAAGCGCGCCATAACATCATACCCGCAACAATGCAATTCCAACGCATGCTCCGGATGATATGGCACAAGGAGATTCCTCCAGGATTCGTTCCTCTCGATTGGCGTGGTTCTATCCATCGCTTCGGCAGGAGGATCACTAATCATAACACCTGGCGACTCTTCCGACCAGTATAAGGAGATGTTCATGCTCACGGCAATGGCAGCGGATGGTGTTCCTCGCCCGATAGGCCGCGTATTGGTCCAGAACGGGTACAGGAGATCTTCGATGTTAAAGAAGAAACGCTTGTAGATGTCTACTGCCTCGGAAAACTTCGTCACATGGGTGCGTCGCGCATCCGGCTGTTCAAGGTGCATGGTCCTTCGCAGATCGGGAGAGGTTTGGATGATGGACTGAAAGGTGCTGTTGACCCGTTGAATAACGAAGAGCTGTCGCCAGGCGTTTAATTGGCCCAGCTGGTACAGGATACATTCTGCCAATTCCGGTATCATGAAGACTGTCGTAGCTGCATCTCGGTGCATAGTGGGCTAGTAGTGACGGAAGCTAGGCTGCTAGTAGGCAGTGAAGTAGTTGGGCAGCGATCGGTCGAGATGTCGTGCAGTAGTCGAATAGGTGGGCAGCCCAGGGTAGTGATGGAGTATCTCCAGCTCAGTGATCGAAGATTGAATAGGAATATCACGATCGATGTGAGCAGAAGCGGAGGGTGGTGGAGGCCATTGAAAAAGGGCTGCCGCGGAGGGCAGCACGTGGAAGGTCATCGTGTCCTTGTCAGCGTGCAGGCGTGGTAGCGGAAGGCACAGGTAGCGTTGCGGACATTGCGAGTTGCCGGCATCGGTGCACCCACAGCAGGTGGGAAGACATTCGTGTTTTTCCTTCCCTTAGTCTTCGGCGGTTGCTCGGCTAGAGGACGATAAATGGGTCACACGCGCTGACGAGCGCTACTAAGCAATGGCGCGAAGTCGTTCCTGGATCCCTTTTTTACCCGGTCCCTGATCTTCTGGCAGCCACGCGCGTCCGGAAGTCTTCACCGAAACGATGGTATAGCCATTGTTCCACAAATTATGTCGCTAGAAGCAATCTCTGTCTTCAACGATAATTTCCCTTGCGCCTCCACTCACTTGAGGACGGTGTTTGCACCTCTTGCGGCAAGATACTGCTGCACCTGGGTCGTGTTGAGACTCCGCACGACGGCGTAGATCTCTGCGTTGTAGTAATACAGTCCTGACTTGGGATCTTTGTACTTGGCGGGCAGCCCGGTGATGTCGCAATACTTCTTCTTTGGCTTCAAGCTGGGCGCAGCAGCGATGCTGGTATAGGTAACACTCGGCCCTCCAAAGCCAGCAGGAAGCGGTGTGGGTGCGAGACCGTTGTTCTGCTTCGCGTTCTTATCCAAGACCAGGCGACTGAGATCCTGGCTCGCCTTCTCCGCATTGGGGTTGAGGGAGGGCGTGTTCGTCCCATCGCTGTTTGGGAAGGGTGTGCTCGCGCCCGAGTTCTGCTGGGTGTTGATCAGACTCTGCTGCGCGCGCTGCGCTTCAGACAGGATCTGCTTCAAGTTCTTGTTGCGACGCTGCGGCGGTTTCCAGTTAGGATTGCGGAAGGGCTTGTGGATCTTGTGCATGTCGAGCGTGTCGAGCAGCGCGGCGTGCGTCTCGTCGTTGGAGGCGGTCGTGATGGGCGCCATGGTGAGGGTGGGATTCTCGTCTGCGCCGTTTTCGATGAATGTCTTCGTGAAGTGGTGGTGTTTCCGCAAGCAGGGACAGCGCAGTAGACGAACGGTTCGCTGGTTCCAGGTGCAGCGCAATCGATCGGCATGTCAGCTTCCAACGCCGAACAGTGACCACATGCATCACGAGGGGCACCATACCGCTCAGGCACCGCTTTAACTAACACCCACCAATCTTCTCGCCCGATCACTTTCCTCGTACAACCACACGCCCACCATGAAGATCCTCTACATTGGCGTACGTCCATCGCTCTTCCCACTGTCTCCATACCACGACGCTTCTGACACGAATCCCGATATAGATCCTGCGCAATGAATCCAAGCCCGCCGTCGAACTCGCCGCCGAACGCGACCTCTCCAGCTTCTCCCGCTTCACACGATCTAGCGTCGGCGAGTTCCTCACTGTCTTCGCGAAGACTGTAGCCGAGCGCACCAACCCAGGCCAACGACAAGACGTTGAAGAGCAGTCCTACACCTTCCACTCCTATGCGCGCTCCGAAGGCGTCTGCGGCATCATTATCTCCGACCATGAATACCCTAAGCTCGTAGCCCACCAGCTGCTCTCGAAGATCCTCGACGAGTTCCTGAGCAAATTCCCCAAGTCGGCGTGGGAGAACAGCAATGGCGAAGTGCCGTTCACGCAGTTGAAGGAGTATATCGTCAAGTACCAGGATCCACAGCAAGCGGATAGTATCATGAAGGTGCGATAGCTCGATCCTGCTTTGGCGGAAAGCAGAGGAGAGGAGGAGACACACAGGGCTGACGATAGAATGACAGATCCAAAAAGAGCTCGACGAGACGAAAATCGTGCTACACAAAACCATCGAATCCGTGCTAGAACGAGGCGAGAAAATCGACAGCTTGGTCGCCAAATCCGACGGGCTGAGCGCACAGAGTAAGATGTTCTATACACAAGCCAAGAAGCAGAATAGCTGCTGCGTGGTCATGTAAGAGGAGAAGCAGGATAGAGAGAACAGAACTGGACAGTGGAGGAGGAAGATGATACCTGGCGCCAGAGATAGGCTTTTGCGCCGCAGAGCAAAGAAGACAAGGAGTTCAAGGAGTCTTTTGCTTGGGAACTTTGACCTTGAGGATAAACAAAGTGAGCGAATTTCTTTCCACCTCATACTGAATGATGAAGTTTGAGTATGGCAGTCATGAGATAAGCCTGAGATAGAAGCATTGTGTGCAAGATGCAGAATGGCCACAACTAAGCGCACCTAGACATTTCTTCTAACAGCCAACGATCAAAAAGGTGACACATTTATGCAAAACAGTTGATGCCTGCACAGTGGGTTTGACCTATCTCAAGTGGGACATAAGTCGCGCTTGACTTATAGCCCTCCTGTGAGCGTATCAACCACCAAGCGCCAGGGCATTCCTAACGACTTACTGCTCGAGCCACCAAACCGGCAACAACTGTCAAGAGCATACGCTGTGCAAGCGCTATACGTAGGCTGGTCTTGACACGACTGAGGCAGGAAGATCGCACTCGAGGAGCTGCAGTGACCTTCGAATTGATGACAGATTGCAGAAGTAAAGGGCCCCGGAATACTGTATACCACTGTCCTCGGCCTTCGAATCTACAGCAGTCATTTGCTCCTCGATTCTCATACATCTGTTGCCACAGCAAGCTCATCAGCGACTACACATGATTACGACGCGGCAATGAGCAAAAGTTATTGCAGTTAAGCAAAAAAAGAAACAGTGTCTTCCCACCTCGGTGGAATGAACCGTACCGCACCAAGCTACTCGATGCGTGATCGACTAGTAGCCAAGTATCTGATGGCCATATGTAATATCATGCGCCGTTTTTCTCTGACGACTTATTGACTTCACCACCGACGCGGAAAGAATTGTTGGCTGTCTCAGCCTCTCTTTGTCATATCTAGGCTGAATGAGCTGGCTCTGGATGAGAGAGAATGTAAAGCGAGGGGTGTGAATATCAGCTGTGACAAGAATGGGTGAGAGGAAGAGTAAATGAAAGAAGCTCAAATGCCACATCACCGCCCTTTGGCATTCATGCATAAACCTCTGCCTAGCTATAACATAGATCTCAGCAAGTTTCCGCAGCCATGCTCATGCTCCTTATACTGCGCAAACAGCTCACCGACCAGTCGTTCGTCCCGAGTAGTGTCGACTCGTATTCGTGCTCGCAGTGACAATGCTTTCGTTGCGCTTTGCCTTCTCCTGCACCTTCTCGCCCCCTTCGGCCATGTCCCAGAAGCCGGTTTCCATCTGCAAAAGGTTAGCAACGCCACTTCCACATGCCAGTATCGTTGTCGGGAAGAGACACGGGCTGAAGTGCTCACCTTCGTAGCATGAATGAAAATCTTCACCAGCTCCTCAATCCTCGTCGGACTCTGCTTATGCGCATGTTTCTCGATGAGACCTAGATCGATCAGCCCATGCTCAAATGGTCCCCCTCAGCGAATGCCAAACTCACCACATCCCGTCTTCACAGCAGCCGTATAATCCTCTGCGACATAATTGTCGATCCAGGTCGCATACCGATTCGTCTTCCCCTTTCCATCAGCAGGAAATAAGCGACCCTGCAAAGCTTTCAACCTCTTCGCAATAACCGCATACCCCAACAAACACGGCAATAGCGCGATCTGCAAGGCCAACCAATCCTCGCTCTGGCCCACGTCCAAGACGAATCTCGTGTAAGCCGTACAAGCCTGATGCTCCTCATACTGCAACATCATCTCCTCCGTAACGCCAAATTCTTCGCACTCTTTCACATGCAATGCCGTCTCGCGCTGGATATGCAGGACAATCGCCGCAGCACCAGCGATATCTGGCAATGTCTTCGCCTTATATCCCGCGAGAGCGTTTGCGCGCGCGAATTGGATAAGGTAGAGGTAGTCTTGTATCATGTAATATTTGAAGCGTTCCGGATCGAGGCTCCCGTCGCCGAGCTTTTCTACGAAATCGTGGTGTGTAAATTCGTGCCAGGCGGGTTGGACGTCGAAGCGGTCGAGAAGGTAGTCGATGAAGCCATTGGGTGGAAAAGACACAATTTGGAGGGAGTGGAAGTGGTTGATCGGACCGCTACCCACGCCGAGCTTGAAGGCAGTTTTGATTCCAGTATCGACATAGCGGCAAGCGGCGACGACAGCTTGGGTGATTTCGAGACCGTGAGCGAGGTTGCAGGCGAGAGCAGAGGCGAGGGAGCAGCCAGTGCCGTGGGTGTCTTTGCTCTTGAGGTAGGGAAATTCGATGATGTCCATCGTTTCGCCGCCGAAGAGGATGTTGCAAACAAGTTTCTTCTCGGCCTCGCTGCTTGCTGTCTTGTAGTCTGACGTGAGAGGGAAGTGGCCACCCTTGAGGAGGACATATTTGGGACCAAGGGAGTGGACTTCCGCAGCGAGTCGTTTCAGGTCTTCGAGCCCATCGATGGGAAAGGCTTCTTTGCCAGCTTTGCGGAGTATAAGAGTGGCTTCGGGTATGTTAGGCGTGAGGACTGTGGTCAGCGGCAACAAATCCGAGACCATATTCTTCACGGCCTTTTCTGGAAGCAATTGTGCGCCACTTGTAGAGACCATAACCTGACTTGATTAGAATGCATGAACAACTTGCTTTGAAATGACGGCCATACAGGATCGACGACTGTTCTTGCAACATTGTGCTGCTGTATAGCAGTCGCGACGGCAGCAATGGTCTGCGCCGAAGCGAGCATCCCTACAAGGCTCAGTATCTCTCAACGATAGATGCTGCATGACCAGGCCTCGTGATGCCTACCAGTCTTGAGAACATCAACGCCGATATCATCGATACACGCGTCAATTTGCTTCTGCACGAAGTTTGTTGGAGTCTCATGGATTCCATATACACCTTGCGTATTCTGTGCAGTTAATGCAGTCGTTGCTGTCATTGCATAGCAGCCATGCGCTGACCAGGATCAGCATCAATGCCATGTCCTACGGCCCGAACTGACTTGCCGGCAATCACTTTTTGATCGGCTTCCAGCCCACTGATTCATGGTCAGGCCGAAAGCTCTGCTTCTCAAATCTTGCATCGAACTTACGCTCCTCCTGAGCTGTCCGACCCAGCTACTACCAGCACGCGAGGAATCGTGGTCGCCATAGCCGTTTCTTCGAAGTTGTTTTGTTTAGGCAAGTCATCGTTCCAATTTTGTAAACGTCAATCCGATGTTTGCAGCGGGGCGGCCCGATGACGTTGCAGCATTGGGTGGAGCTCTGCGTAGCATGCCAGCGTGGTACGAATTGGCAAGCAAACACTTGAATCATTGTATATGGCGAGCATGGCTCTTCCGGCCACAGGATATTCACAACGTGTCTGCTGCCGTGAATGCAAACAACGAGTTAAGGGCACACCTTCTAGCAGATTGTGGTCAATAGCCATGACCACAAATTAATGCCAGCCCGACATCGCTCAATGCTAGTCTGAATCATCTGTGTCAAATTCAGGCACATTGGGATCTGTGAATTGTCAGTGTACTGCCTAGTAATCCCAGTCCATGCAACGCACCTCTCAGAAGCTGATACTCGAATCGTCCGTCAATCTGGGATAGTGCATTCCTAATCGTATCCTGACTCTCCTGCGGTATTGCCGTATCTTGGTCTGCGTTATCAACAGCCAAAACCAGACCTCTATTCCCAGGACCGAGCTTTTCAACAAAGCTCATGATGCCTGCTTCTGTGAACGTTGTAATGCCACTGAATGTGATGACCTTCAGGTTCTTGAGCTCTGCCAGGCTGTTGAATACCGCGTCACTGATGCCATAGCCGCCCACGTACAATTCTTCGAGGTTTGGCAGGCTGATGGCGAGCATGCCGATATGGGAATCGCTGAAGTAATCTGAGATACGGAACAAGCTGAGCTCTCGTAGCTCCTTTAGCGATGTGAAGGCGTCGATCAAAGTGTCGATATCGTCTCTTATGACTGGATCTGGGTCTGCCCGTAGTAACAGCCGTTGCAGGCCAGCTTGTTGACTCAAAGCCTGATGAAACTCGCGATGGTCCTTGACCACATACATGCCGCCTTCATTTGCATTGATCTGGAGTTTCTGTAGCTTGATATCTTTGCTCTGTAGGACTGGAAGTAATAGATCCGGAGCAGAAACAAAGTTGGTGAGGCTGACTTCACGCAGGCTGGTGCAATTCCGCAACCACTCGACCATCTCCACATAGACGTCATTCTGTGTCGCTTTGAGATCTAGTGTACCCGTGGATGCGGCGAGTGCCAACGTAGTGATTGATGTACATCCTTGTAGCAAAGCGAGTGCAGGCAAGCCATCCGCAGCGAGGCCCAGTTTCAGCGACTGCAGGCTGTGCCCATGATGGTTGAGGGCCAAGCAGGTCTCTGCACCAATCCGACACGAGCTGATATTCTCGAAGTAAGTCAGAGTATTCTTTTGCATGCCGCTAATGAATGTAGCGATAGCATGATCGGCATCATCGTTGAGTGATGAATATATCCTCAAGCTGCTCAGATTCGGACAGTGTTCGTGCAGCTGCTTTTGCAGATCTTCGTTCGCCAAGGCTTTACCGTCCCAGAGGTCGAGTGACTTCAAATGTGATAATCGAGGAGCCCAGTCGGAGAGCACGCTTGTGAAAATATTTGAATTCGTGGGTTCGGTGAGCGCTTCCAGCATGGGGCTATGCTGTGTGATCTTTGCGCCAATCGCAGTGACAATTTTCTTGATATCCAGGCGAGCTGGTCGGCCTCTTGTAGATGTCGCTTGTACGAAATGGAATTGAGCAAGCTCGCCCGAGAAGAACTTCTTAAAAATCTTGCCGCGGAACTTGTCATCATCGAGAAGATCGCCCAGATCCCGCAGGTCCAGTAGCCTTAGATGTCGACAGTAAGGGTAGAGCGTCTTGCCGAACGCAGAAAGCGTGATCGTGCGCCATAATATCGACCATCTTTGCACTGTCAACTCCTGCTCGGCAAGAGGTAGTCCTTCACCGCCGCCTTTGACTGGTGCTGAATGTGAGATGCTGCCCCAGGTCAGTATTATTTCTCGTTGGTAGGCGATGTGAGACACACCGATACAGAGCAGCGATGGCACCACTGTTGGCAATCTGTGCACTGCTAGTAATACAACTGTAGAGCGTTGGAAAGTCTAGGCGTTCAGCTAGTTCAGCCGAGAGCAGGTGGTACAAATCGACAGGAAGAGATTTGGCAGTAGCGGTGGCCATGGCCGGGAGAATCTGGTTGCAAATATCTTGACAGAGACTTAAAATGACACAGTTCAGCGCTGACTGCCGGGCAACCTCCTAAGGCGCCTTTGTTTGATGGTTTGCATGGGATGATGGAGTTGATGGGGTCTGTTGTGGAAGTGACGTTCTCCACGTCAAGTCGCGTCTGTTTCGCGTCTCGCATCTTCCTTCTTCCGCCAAGACCATCACCTACTCGCGAAGATGCCCGTCCTGACATTCTCGCTATCGCCAGAGGCAACGGAACGCATATTCGAGCTATTGCAATGCCTCGCGAAGTTTGGAGACGCCGTATCCATCGAGGCGAAGAGCGACAAGGTCCGAAAACACCTTCAAAGCTCTCTCGCCTGCTTTCAACGACTGATCACGTGTAGTTCACGTTGACGGCATTGAACTCCTCAAGAACCGCATATGCTTCCTTCGCGCTTGATGCCAGGTCTTTCTTCCTGGAATACGACTTCGACGCGAATAGTCAAGCTAGCGGCGGGGACAGGTTTACCTGCCAGCTCTACAACAAGGTAGCAGGAGTCAGACAAAACATCTGGCTCAATTGACTGATAAGCAGGCCCTCCAAGCTGTTTTCAAGGGACGTGTCGGAGACCCAAGACGTCCGGAGACAGCGATTGAACGCTGCGACGTGAGCATTCACGATGGCGAAGAGAGCGCAGAGTGCCGACTCATTGTCAAGATGCTCTCCAAGCACGGTACATTGAAAGCAGTTCGGAACATTCGAGTCTGCGAGACCTAATTTTGTATAGGAATGACGAGGACGTACAGGTTGACATACGAAGCAGTAGAAGTCATGCACGCGCTTTTCGACAAAGCCGCAGCAACCCAAGGCTTTCGCATCTCGTCCCGCATACTGCGAGAGTATTCGGAACATTTTGGTCCAAAGACAGAGCAACTCGATATTGTAGCGCAGGAGGGCAAAGCGACCTTCACGAGCTTCACGGAGAGATCAGTTGATCAGAAAGGTATGATCAATTCCACGGAGCACTTCTTCGCTGACACGGCCGGCAGGGATGCTCCAGCAACCACTCGAGACTGCCATTGCAATCCATACCGAGGACTTCGAAGACTTCCACATGCAGCAAGATCTGCACATCGTGATCAACGTGAATGATTTTCGAGCCATTGCAATACATGCCGAGACACTTAGAGGTCCCGTAACGGCACGCTTTTCGCAACCGAACCGACCTTTGCAATTCGAATACCAGAACTTCGGTGTGCACAGCGAATTCACCTTGATGACTACAGGAGATCGACGTGGTGGGACTTCTGCTCCTGGCTCGAACGTCAGATACGTTTCAACCCGGACGAACGGCACTTCATCGAGCAGACAGCCTTCAATAGCTTCACTGCAAGGCGGAGGGCCAACTCTGAGTGAGCCACGACCCACGACTCGTCCGAATGCTGCAAAGCCAGTGTCGATCGAAAGCCAACGTCCCACCTTGCGAGATCAAGTCTCTACGATGGGCGCTTCAATGGCAGAGGACGAGGATCCTGATCCAGACAGTCTCTTCGTCCCTGATGTCGTCGCTGACGACCAAGCTTGGGACGCACCGAACTATGAAAATGACGAAGATGAGATGCTCGGCTGGGATGCAAGCAACGACAATTTCACCGCCAGCATGCGTCCGACTATCCGCGATCTCAGCGGCAGAAGCACCGCGCAACAACCTGGCCGAGGGACGTACAATCCTGATGCTTTGAAACCTCGACGCCAAGCAGACCTAGAACGCGGCATAGAACCTACCCAACGACTGTCTCAGGTGAGTATTTTGAGCTTCATCGCGGATCAGAAGCCCTTCTTGGAGAATTGCGGCGCTGACAGGAAGCCAGCTACACGGCATGTTCGAGTGAAACGCTGACTGTCAAGCCTCAGCTCGGCAATCCGTGCCGACGCTGTTTTGTCACAACAAAGCTCGTTGCGCAACCTGCGAATATAGCACTTGCGGTGCCGGACAGCGCTATCTCGTTCCAGCGGCCTTTGACGTCGCCATTCTGGTCGGTCAGTGGGCCGCAATTACCATGCTCGCCCCAACCCCATGCCAGGACTTTACCGTCCTGTGTCAGACCAAGGCAATGTTCACTGCCAGCAGCGATGGCCTCGAGAGGTGGAAGATCGGTTGGAGGGAGCTGTCCATGATCGTTCCTTCCCCAGGCTAAGAGCTTTCCTGAATCCATAAGCACGTAGATCGAGCCCCAAGACGCTGCCACCTGCTTCCACCCAGGAATGCTATCAGGAGCATCTTTCTTCACTCCGAATCGATCACTTCTAGCGAGACCAAGAATCATAAAATCCCCCGCGGATCTGTCTCCGAATAGACAAGTAAAGTCTTTACCGCAGACTGCATCAACGACCTTGAACGGAACATTGTTGATCTTACGAGGCCGCCATACGATCTCTGCTGGTGCCCCGAGCTGACCTTGCCTTGCTCTGCCCCAGCCCCAGACATCTCCACTTGCCAGCACCACTACGATATGTCCCATGCTATTGGCGACCTTGATGATTCGATCAGAATGCGATATGAGCCCCTCGATATTCGCTATGGCTTCTGAGACGGATACCGTGGATCCGAGTCCAAGCTCGCCGGAGGTCCCAGACCCAGATACGTAGCACGCATCTTCCCCCACGGCCAATGTAGCAGACCAAGTTGCCGCGACATGATTTGCGGTGCCATAGTCGTGACTGGTGGATCGTTCCTGGGTCCAGACAGTATGTAGCTCTTTTAGAGAGCTCGCCATGCATCTCCCATCAGTGTTGTCGCCTGCTGCAGCGATTGAGCCATCGTCAAGGAGTGCAATAGTGTGGTTGCCACCAGATGCTAGTTGCTTGATATCCGCCGCAGAACCAGTGATCAACCCTTGACATTCGTGTGGCCACGAAACGTCTTCTACATGGCCTATTCCAAGTTGACCAGATCCATTCGAGCCGAAGGCAAGTAGCTTGTATTCGTGGGAGGAGTCGTCCATGTCTGCAACGAGAATGGGCTCCAAATTGTGATCGGAATTCAAGAAGCGGGCGTCACAAATCTCGGGAACACTTCAGCCATGATCTCCAGTTCCGCAGCGCGCCCAAATGTGATTCACAACATGTCTACCCATGCTGTGAAAGTGATGCACGTAAAGCAGAGTTCACATCGGAAGCAAAAAGCGCCGACATCTCGCGCCAAGCCCACAATCCGTCACGTGCTCGATTTCGCACCTTCCACACCTCGAAAGTTTCGAGACCAAGCACGGATTTGCGCCGACGACGACGACTTCTCACACCCAACGCTCCACCCTCCTTCCTCGACAACACCGACAACATGTCTGCCGTCCAGAGCGTCCAGTGCTTCGGCAAGAAGAAGACCGCCACTGCGGTCGCCCACACCAAGCAGGGCAAGGGCTTGATCAAGGTCAACGGCAAGCCTCTGTCGCTCGTTGAGCCTCAGATCCTCCGCTTCAAGGTCTACGAGCCTCTTCTCATCCTCGGTCTCGACAAGTTCGGTACGTCGAATCTGGCAATTGTTGGTGGAATGGAGAAATGAGCATTGGGAACGTGCAAAATGGAAAACGTGGATGGGATGGATGTTGCGCTGGAAGAGGAGGAAACGCTGCATGAATACCATGGCACGATCTGAGATCGCATGCTAACACTTCTTCTCACAGCCGACGTTGACATCCGCGTCCGCGTCCGTGGTGGTGGTCACACCTCGCAAGTCTACGCCATCCGTCAGGCTATTGCCAAGAGCATCGTATGTCCCACCGAGCCTCCGCAAGTAGGCACTCGGCCGCCGCATCCCAACGGATGACGAGCGAGAGATAAAAAAAACTTTTCCCCACTTCACAGACCATGGCGAGCTGACAATGATGTGTAGATCGCCTACTACCAGAAGTACGTCGACGAGCACAGCAAGAACCAGCTCAAGCAGGCTCTTGTCGCCTACGACCGTACTCTCCTCGTTGCCGACAACAGACGCTGCGAGCCAAAGAAGTTCGGTGGTCCAGGTGCCCGTGCCCGCTACCAGAAGTCTTACCGTTAAGCGGTACGATTTTCATGGAGTTCACGAATCAAAAAAGCGCTGGTGTTTGGTTTTGCTGCTGCATGACTTGGGTTACTTATGGCCCGTGATGCCCTGACGGATACCCATATACGGCTTCTGGGGAGGCTATAGAGTAGTAGTGCCGAAGCTCCATACCATTGAGCTCGAGCAAAAGAATCAAGACAATTCATCCCAGCGATTCTACTTCCTGTGCAGTTCTTCTCACTTGCCAGCGCCAGACTCCTCGCTAAACTCAAAAGCACCCGAAAGCCCTCGTTGCTCGTAACTACAGCCTCCTCTCACGCCATCTCAGTGTCCATTCCACCATCACTGCTTTCCTCATCGTCAACGTCAACAACCTGAGTACCATTACTCCTCCTCTCACTAGCAGACCCCACGCCATTCGTCGATCTCCTCCCACCTCCAGAACCACCACCACCTTGCTCCTTCGCAGCCTCAATCCCCACCTTCGGCGCATCCCTCCACTCCGTCTTACAAGCCGGACAAGTTTCACTATCCCTCTGCGCCCTAAACATCTTCCCCACACACGCCTCATGCAATCGGATATTACACGGCAAATTCGGGCATCTCTGTCCCACCGTCACAATCCCCGCGCAAGCCTTACAGAACTTGATCTTCTGATGTGGTTCCTCCTCATCATCCTCTCCTTCCATATCCCCATTATACGCATCGACAAGCCACTGCTGTAATTCCATAAGCGCGCGTTGTGAAGCCGTATACCAAACCGTTTCACGCCCACTTCGCGATTCAATGACAGTCTTCTCAAACCAGCCTTCTTGAACCATAGACTCGATGGCTTTTTCCGCTTGCGATTGTGTCAAACTAGCATTCTTCGACTGTGTCTGTTGCGTCTCTTCATGTCGTCCTGAATCTCTTCTATCCACATCTCCTCCAGGAGCTTTCGCCAATTTTCCAGCCTGAAACGATGTGATCGCCATAATCTCTTGCCGCGGCGTATTGTATGTGTCGAACATGGTGTCGAGAATGCGCTTGACATATGCTATATCGTCAGGCGAATGCGTCGTGGCCAGTTGGGTGAGGGAATCGCTAGTCGTGTTGACCAAGGCGTAGATTCTTTCGCGGGAAATTTGGTGTAGCGAGTTGCGGATCTCGAAGTCGAAGGGATTGAGCGCGTCGTTGATGCGTTGGATGTAGTCTTCGAATTCTTCTTCTGTGACGTCTTCGGGCAGGTGAGGTCTGTCGGGGTTGATTGCGGTTCGGATGGAGGATATTAGCGGTTTGGCCTCTTCGAATGTGATGGTTTGGCGGGCGAACAGGGCCTGAAGGAAGGCGCGGTGAGTGTGGCCGTAGGCTGCGCCATCTTGCTCGTCGTCAGACATTGTGTGTAGGATGTGGGAGATGCAATAGATGTTCGTGGCATGGACGCGTTTGAATTTCGTGGGCGACGCGTCTCGACCCCGCAAAGCGACCAACGCACTCACTTCGCTTGCGTCCACCACAATGACGATGTGCCTAAGGAGGAGTGCGATGCAGCACGATAACACGAATCCTTCGTCTCGGTAGCGAACGCGGCTGCCTCACCGTTCCTACAAGTAACCTGTGCCCAGAGCGTTTTCATCTTGAATATTCACATACTATCGACATCTCATGTTTAGCCAAGCAGACACAGCAGCCATGACATCCTACCTACCCGGCCTCCCGGACCTTCGCAGAGACAACATCGCGTTGTACACCATTCCAGCCTTCTGGGTACTTCAACTCGACCCTCACCAATGTGCTTTCTAACGTCCACAGCTCATCGCCGTCACACCCCGCTTCTTAAGCATGAGACTCTACGAGAGACAAACGGGCGCCAAATTCGATCCTCGCGCCCCACGCAACTTCACCGTGAGCGTAGCCCATGCCTCGAACTTAGACCAAGATACCAAAGGCTTCATATTGCGGGGCGAAGCGGCCATGCTGAACAGCTTTGAGAACTTTGGCCCATTCACAGCCGCTGTGGTAGCTGGAAGTGCTGCAAAGCTGAATCCCGCGACTCTGAACGGCCTAACGATCGTCTACCTGGGCTCGAGAGTGGTGTATAATTGGGTGTATATGAACAGCACCACAATTGGAATGGGTTATGCCAGGAGCCTGTCATATTTGACCGGACTGGGATGTTTGTTCGCTATGTTCATTCAAGCCGGAACGAAGTTCAAGAATGCTGTGCTGTAAGCTGAGAATAGTCTAGAGCTCGACAGGTTTCGGAAGTTAGTACGAGTACGCAGATTCGATCTTACCGCGCGAAGTTCGCTGCCCGAGCACACTGCATGGCAGCTATGCCCTCGTGCAAGGTCCGCATCATCTCAGCCTTACTTGTGCACAGTATTCACACGCCGTTGTAGAAGCATAGCCTTGAGTGCAAAATGAACGGCCTCCGCAGCTGGACCCTAAGCTTTCTCCAAATCTTGGTTCGAGTGAATCTAAAGCTCATCTGTACCACCAGTATAAGCTTTAATTGACGACACTTCATGGCAGTCTGGAACTTCCACTGACGCAATCTTGATGATATATGAGGTTGTCCAGACGTAGTTGTCTCGAATTCATGAATGGAAGCATTCACAATGTATTCTCCTTTGCCAACGGATCAAGGTGAGCATGTTACCACTCTTATTATGCTGCAGCTGTGCGACCGTGGGCGAGGAGATGTGCGATGACGACGAATTCATTGCTGAGCCGCGATGTGGAGGGCGTTGCTGACATCGGAAAAGTCGCCGAAGGTGTGAGCTCGCTCTCCGTCTGGTCCCGTTCGTTCGACGTTGCAATGGAGCTGTGAGCGGCATCGAGACGCTCATGAGCGACTGGCGCCTCGAGCAGTTATGTGTCGGTAAAGATTTCGAGCTTCCATCCGGAGACATTTCTACGAGGCCTTTGCAAGTCCTGCAGACGGCGGTGCGATTGACAAGACGGACTAGAGGGCCGGGCTGGCGACCCCGGTGGTGTTGGTCGATGGTAGTCTGCGCTTGTTAGCTTGAACTGGCGCTCGCGGTGAATGAAATCGTGCTTCAGGGATAGTGTGGGCCGATGATGGAGCGAGTCGATCTCGAGACCTCAGCTGATGTGTTCTGAGAGAGTGTTGGTATACTCTTTCCACTTTTGAGCATATCGCGGTACGGTCGACGAGGTGCTGGCGGTCTCTGGCATTTGAGGAGTCGCTCGCAACAGTACTGACAACCTTCATGCATCTGAGGTCAGCCAGATGACCAGCATATGAGCAGTCAGGGAGGAAGGATGTGTCATGGGCCGTCATGATAACAACATCCCCAGGCATGCGAGCTGCAAGCTTGTCGGCATCATCGAATCTTGAGCATGCCACGCTGGATCTTCACTTCAAGCCTTGTTCGGGCGCTCCAGACGCCACAAAGGGACTTCCTATACCCACGGCTTTTCGGACTTGCTTGCACAACGACGTGGCAGAATCGCCCCCAACGTGGCTGAACAGCCACTCGCCGGAGATGTCGACATCGAAACCGAGACTCGGATTATGCTTGCAGACTTCGGTATCTAGATTCGCTTCGACGCTCGACAATGCCGGCTCCAGTTTTCGGCAATCCGTGCAGATATGCGTGCAAGATCCGATGTTCTCGAAGACGCCGGTCCGGATGTATCAGACCCAGTCCGCGAACAGACAGCGCGCACCCCGTTCGGCAACATCGTACCGCTAAGCGCGAGCCTTTCGGGCAGCGCATGGGGGTGACCTGGCAAAAGGCAAAGAGCGAAAGAATTATGCTTTCCCTCAAGCGCCGTAGGGCGAGAGTTAGTCTTTGTGGCACGGCCGCCACGAGGAGCAGCCTTGTACGACACGCCAGCGGTTTGGGCGTTGACTCGCATTAGTCTCGAAACACCGAAAATAACGAAGAGATCGCGTGCGCGAACTGGGATCTACTGCCTTGCCGCCCGCAGTAGCTTATATATAAGCATCACGCAACCTGACGACCGTTTCGTTTCGTGCCGAGTCGGGGTCGTTCGTAGTGAGGTACCACCAGTGGTCCCGCGTGGTCGATGGTGAAGAAACGGACGGGGTCGTGTGAGGTTTTAGCGGCGAGGCAGACGAGGCAAGGCGAGGCAAATTTGTTCTAGCATACATTGCTAGCAGTCGCTGCGGAGCCGCATGACGGACAACGTCACCTCCTTCCTCCACGCTCGCAACCAACTTCCGCGGCATCCGTCTTCACAGCATTGGCACATAGTCCCCAATAGCCTAGTCTAGTCTATGGACACGATAGTCTAGGCCACAAACAACAACACTCGAACAGGTTCTCTAGTCCCAGAAACCAGGGCACAGTAGATCAGGGCAACGGCAGCTAAACAGTAAGCGTGGCTCGTCAAGCCTCCTAGTGGGAACGTCGACGCAAGTAGTAGTGTCGTGCAACGACGCCATCAGATCCATCGTAAGCGCCATACTCTATCTCATTCCCGGCACTTGCTCTCACGAACCCACGCTAGTCGCTTCGTTTACTTGCAGCTTCGGCTTCGGCATCCATCTTCCATGGCGCCTCCACCGCGTTGCACTCGGCATACATGGCGTGCAACGGTGCTTGTATCGTGCCCGTTCTTGGACGCCCACCCGGCAGTCGGTACGCCGTCACAAGTACCCGCAAAATAGATACAAGCAACGAGCCTTTAAAGTGCCGGCGTCACTAGGCTGCACAGCATGTGTGCCACTTGCGTCTATAGCGAGCTCCAGATATGAGCTTGTGAAACCAAAGTAGTTTATAAGGTCTGAAGTTTGTCGTGCGTATTTGCTACTGTCACTCCACGCCTCGCAGTTCGTACAAGTCGATACTTGTGCTCTCATGCCATTCCTTCTTCTTCGTTCTCTTCTAACGCTCCTCAGTCGCACAATGCACAAGAAAACATATGCTGAAAGCAAAAGACCTTCATCTAAACCTTTGAAAACCCTTTCCCCGCTGGAGCGACGCCTGGTAACCCGCAAAAGAGACCAGACTTGGTCAAAGAACTTTCTGCCTCCGCAAGCCCAGGAGGGTCGTGTATGGTATCATCAGCCATCGTGAAAGACGGCAATGCAAAAATTTCATCCCCTCGTGCATTGTTGCAATGCAAATGTACAATTCCGGCAACGCCAGTCACCAAGGACAAGTCGTCCACTGCTGCGGCCATGGACAATGCTTACTATGCAGGGCCCCAATCTTCGTATTATGATCCTCCTCGAAGTGTCATCAAGTTAAGAGGTGTTGTTTATCATGCCACTCGTGAGCTGACTACTGCCGCCGATACTGTCGGCGGAGCCTGGGAGATTCGTCGCACAGCAGTCGGTCGTCCGCATACTATGCGCGTTGCTGATAAGCCAGTCCGCCCTGTCCATACGGGCTTTGGGGATAGCCCTGTGTGCCGTACATCTGGCCATTGCTGGCATACTGTGGTGCGCCATCGACTTGTTGCGGTTGCGCATATTGGCTTGGTGTTTGGCCAGCGGCGGGTTGGTAGCCGATTGGGGGCAGTTGAGGTCCACCCATTTGAGGCTGCATCATATGAGCCTGGCCATAACCTGGTTGGCCTTGAGGTTGCGTGGTGTCTTGACCATTGCGGGCGGCTTCCTGGCGTTGGCGCTCTTCTTCGGCCTTGCGGGAGTTCTCTTCCTCCTTCTTCTTAGCCTTCCACTCTTTGCGAATTTCCTTGAACTCTGTGGAGAAACGAGTCAGCGTATGCGGGGAAGACCCGAAGAGTGTGGTATGACTAGCTCGCGCTAAGAAGCAAAACATGGACAAGCTTGACATCTAGCGCCCGCGCGCGACGAATGTCAAACCGCGCGCTCGGGTTCACGAGAAACCACGACGCGACATCGAAGCTTGAACGCGCTTTGCACAAAAACAACGCAGAGTGAGTGTAACGTACCTTCTGGAGTCCTCTTTGTACCGTGCGACTGCATGGTCACGTGCGCGTTGAGATGATTGAGAGTGCCATAGGCTTTCTCGCATCCATTCCACCCACATTTGTACATGCGCTCAATTTCCTCGTAACGCCGTCTCGGTCGCTTGTGCTGTTGCGCACCCGGAATAGGGACGAAGGAATACACAGTCGAAAGCGGATGTCCGCCCTGTGTCACGTTAGGATACACTACGGGATGCGCACCAGCATAGGTACCCACCGCTGGTGGTCGAGGGATTGAGTGCGCTACCATATTGGGCGCAGCGCCTGCAGTGGTCGCTGGCGAATGACCATACATGGCCGCCTGTTGCTGGTAATGACCAGCCCATTCCGGGCGCGCGTAAGACGTCATGGGTTGGTTTCCGTATTGCGGCATATGTTGCTGGTCTTGTGGTGGGTAGGGTGAATAGCTCTGCGGAGGAGGATAGCTCGGGCTCGACTGAGCGATGGAGGGATCTATGGGAACTTCTGCGTCAGATTTGCTGCCATGCGCGTGATCGTTGATTTGGTGCCCTTCGGGCGTAGAAGAAGACGGACTTGAGGTTTGCGCCATGTTGCTGGGCGTGCCTGCTGCGTAGCGGCTTTGCTGCTGGCCTTCGGCGTAGGAGCGCTGAATGTACTCGGGAAAGCTGCCTGAGCGCGCCGACTGTGGGAGGCCGTAGCTCGAGTCGGGCGTAGCGGAGGCGGAGTAGTTGGACGGCTTGTAGTCTTGTTGGCCGGACTGGTATTGCACAGCAGACGCTTGATCTGCAGAAGAGCCTTCAGACTGGTGTCCGTTGTACGAGGCGTATGGTGAGGTCAAACCTGACTGCGGGTACTCGGGCTGTCTACCATCCATTGACTGGGGAGGGTCTTGACGCTGGCCGTGCAGGTGCGATGCTAAGATCGCGCTGAGGGATGTGTCGTTGGTCTGAGTGGGTGGCGTGTCGTAGGCTCTGGACATAGAGCAGTAAGGCTTGGTGCGAGTCCGATGCAATGGCCTCCAAACAAAGCGCGATGACAGCGCGCCGTCGAGTACAAGTGCCCGCAGATGTAGGCCGGAGGAAGGCTGCTTGTTTTGCAGGATGGTAGCGCGCTCCCTCGGTACCTTGTGCGCGGATGTTGTGCAGATGGTGTCCGTCCACCAAGGCCCACCGACGCTTCTAGCGTGTGCCGTTCCAAGACACAAACACAGGCGCGGCCGGGGCAGGAGCCAGGTCGTGTCTCGAAGCTTTCAAGCTTTGCCCGAACCGAATTTCCGGCGCGCAGGCCGCGAGGAGATGCAGTCTAGTCGATAGAGGAAAGGCGGGCGCGATTTGTGATGACAGAAGCTCGTGCTAGATGAAAGGGCTATAGCGCGCTTTGTAGCAGCGTATCGTGGCGTGCACCCTGGAAATAGCGCCGTACACCGGCGCCCGATATGGCTGGGTCAAGCAACACGGTGGGGTAATGGTGCCGTCCGTGACGATCACCTCTGCTAGCTGCCGGAGCCGGAGTTGCAGGAGAGGCAAAGTGCGAGGTGGATTTGACCGCGAACCTGCAGGGGGAGCGTGGGAGCGAAAAGTGGGTAGGCAGAGACACTCTCGCAGGCGAAGATCACACGGCGACCAGGATGTCGCAGCGGAAATAGTGCAAATTGTGCGCGTGCCGAGGACGATTCGCGCTGCCTGATTTGTGCAGGCCTCGAGCAGCTGGTGTCTCGGAGACACGTCGCGGTGCTGTGCTGTGCTGTGATGATGGACAGAGGTGCGCGCGCTCGCCTCCGGGATAGAGTTTGCGAGGAGTTTTCCAAGAGAAGTTGCGTGGAACGCTGCACGCAGCGCACAGGCGTTTTGGGGGGGCTTCGCGCCAGTAATCTGCCGTCCAGTCCGCCGCAGCTGAGGCCGTGAGATGATGACGGCTGTATAGCGGTGCTGAGGACAGGTCGGCTGAACTCCGTGATGGAGAGGGCAGCGCACGCAGAGCAAAGTGGTGTGCGCGGGCCGTCGGTCGTGCAGTGCCAGCGTGGTGCGCACCTGGAGCTCTGCGGGCGTTGTGGGCTCCCAGAGGGCGTGTGCTCGCCGCAGCAGCAGCAGCAGCAGAGCAGAGCCAACAGCAGCGATCGCTCCCACTGCTCGCGCACGAACGGGCCTGTCTGCGATGCTCCTCTCGTGGGCGTGCGCGGTGAAAATGGTGCGTCGGGAGCAGGCGCTAGTCGAGCGAGCTAGAGCCCAAGACGGCAGTTCGACACAGCGCAGCAATCTTAGGAGAGCAGTCGTGGGCTATGGCGATGATTTCCCGCAGCGCCTGCAGCCTGGCGGTGATGAAGAGCGAGCGCGGTTTTTGTCGTGCACGCGTATCGCGACGGAGACAGCTCGGGCTCCGGCAACTTCGTGGACGCTGGCGGCAGCGAGCAGAGCAGAGCAGGCAGAGCAGAGCAGAGACAGCACAGAGCAGGGTGTGCAGTTCGCTGTGGCTGTGTCACGACCAGTGGGCGCGCCTTCTGGCAAATGGCACGCGTTGAGGCTGAAGAGATCTGGCGCTAGGCAAAGGAAGAGCAACGCGTCGGCGAGGGAGAGATGGGAGCTTGACTGGAGCGAGGCAAGTGTGGCACATCGAGGTAAGCAGCACCAGCAGCAGCACAGAGAGAGCGTCGGAAGTTTGGTCCGACTACATCCACCGCCGACCTCCCCCCAGCCGCGCGCGTCGCTGGCTGACTCAAGGAACTTCCCTCGTCACCACCACGCAGCGCGGCATGCATGATGGTGTCTCTGCACCCCCTGCGCGAGAGATCTGTCACGCTGTCGGCTCGGGTCAGCGGCTGCCACAATCATCGTGATTCTCAGCAGCAGCAGCGATACAGCATCGTCGAAGACTCCGGAGGCGGTCAGCGTGCTGGTTGCCGCAGCGCACAGGGGTGCACACAGTCGACGCGTCCGTGAGCGGGTGTCCACATTATCGCCATCTCACCGCGAACAAGGCGAGTTGGGCGAGGGCCAATCGCGCGCGCGCTGCACTGCTGCTTCGTCTGCTGCAAATTACCAGACTGGCAGCTGATCCGGCCGGATAGCACAGCAAAACTGCCGAAATGCTGCGACAGGCCCACGCTACGTAATTGCGCCTTTGCAACCATGTCCTTCCATCGAGGCTATTGGTCCCTGCTCGCCTCCACCATTGCGCATCTCAGCTCGTCGTGTGAGCGTCGGAGCATTACCTGCCTGACCTCATGACCCCGAGAAAAAGCGCACGCGTTGCTCCTGCACGCAAAGAATCGAGATTATCCCGGTCGCAAATGGACGGCGGAGCGGAGCGCAGGGTGAGACACGAGGCTGAATCGCCGCCTCTGCCTCGTCGATGCCGCTGCTCGTCGCTTGCGACATGTCTGCGCGTCTCCCAGCTCGTTTACTACTGTATGCACGCACGAGAACCGCAGTCTTGCAAACACGATGAAAGGCCGGCAGACGCCGCTCCCTGCACCGCGCTTGGGCCAGTCGTGGCCGTGGGTGACAGGTGGGTATGACACATGGGCCTCCGCTCTGCTCCGTCCACAGCGAGAGGTTGCCAGTGGTTGCAGATGGCTGTAACCTCAAACCGAGAAACACGGCACAGATGGAACATCCAGCAGGGTGCTGTTGCGCGCTCCGCCGCCACGCTGACGCCTTGTGCGTCCATGTGAGGGTACGGCATTCGTGGTTGCACAAACGTGGTACCGTTCACCCAGCACCTCGAGCTATATCCCTCTCGTCCTGTCTTCTGACGGCCATGCAGCACCGCCGAACGTAGTAGCGTCGCATAGCGGCAGATCGCGCGCTTTCTTATGTCGACGTCGCTGCTATGGTGGGGTCCTTCGAGGAAGGAAGGCATTGTCCTGAAGCGGTGCAGCGTGAACACCGTGCTCGCCGCCCTCCTCCATGGCCTCGAATCTGGCTGGCTATTCGGACATTGCGCTGCCGCGGCATGGCCGCAGAATTCGTCGCGTACATGCTCATCACAAATCGTCTCCTGCATCGGTTCCATGTCTCCTACTGCACGATCATGGGCGCCCTCGTATAGGCGACATCATCACACCTCAATGCATGGTCAGTGCTTGCTGCGTGGACGACAGGGTTGGCAGTGCAGGTTGGCCGCATGCATTTGCGCCTGATCTCACTGCATCCTGCTGCTGCTCTCCTATTTTTCCTCCCCACATGACCACGAACCGACATTAATCGCTCGCGGCTGCATGTTAGCGAGCGAGCGGCCTGAGTGGTGGGATAATTGCCTGCATGATTGGCTCTCGTGCTTCCGCACGGGAGGAACAGCTCGACTAACGTGGTTGTTTCTGTCAACCTTCCCAACACGCACTCTCGCCTTCTGCCATGCACCTCAACTGCCGTGGCGCCAAACTGTCGGCCTTTGCTCCCTCCTTCGCTCCATCGCTCCGTCTGCTCTGGTGTCTGGAGGAGACTCAGATTGCATTTGCACTGGGTGTGGCGCGAAGCATTCTGCGCTGGGGCGGCAGGTCTATTCTGAGCTACGACACAACCGCATTTACCGTAGGTGTAGGTTCGCATAAGTGACAAACCTCTCCTGCACAGAGTAGCCTCTTCAGGCCGAACTCTGTGAGCGGACCACCAGGCACAAGCCACTCCAATGCAGTTTCCGCGCTTTGGCTGCAGAGTGTATTGAGAGGCTTGCGGCCAGACGCTACAGGCCGTTGCCGGCGTGCCAAATAGACGGGTCAGGTTGGTATCTGCTCACATTGATGATGAGATGCAGTTGGAGGCTGGAGGCTGTCAGGCAATGCACAGGACGTCACGGTCTCCTTCCAGGTGCAGGTGTAGCGACATCATTGCCCAAGGATGGAGCTTGCCGTCTTGGAAGCGCCTCTCTGCCTCACGTCGATTGTCGCCCATGGTTGCCTACGAACAACTGATCTTCAACTGCAGAGCCACATTGCCGCGGAGTTGTGCGTGCACGCCACGATTTGCTACAGGTTCTGTGGTGCTGTCCACGTTCTCCCGGACACAGTCGTCACACCTGGACCTGCTAAGACAATGGAGTCTGCAAGAATAGCACAACCGAAGAAGACAAGCACTGCGCTCGAATGAGCTCGTTCGGTACCAATTGCGACTATGGCCAAGATGCCGATCTGCAGAGGATCTCTCTGTCGGCTGGACATGCTCCATGGCGGACAGCGATTCTTCCCTAGCTGAAGTAAGCGAGTCAAGATGTTTTCCAAGTCCCATCATTGTCGACTCGTTCAAGTACGAAGGCCAGTCTAGGCGAGTTACGGTCGGTGATGTCGATCGTACCAACATCCAAGACGCCCTCCAGTGGGCATGAGCCAAATCTCGCGACAATTCCTAGGTCCGGCACTTGGCTCGGAACCGTTCTTTCACCTCGGAAGCACCATCCCACCGGAGGTGCACCACGAGCTTTTGGTCAACTACTTTCACTACGTGTGGTGTACCATATGGCAGACGCCTCGTGGCGTATGCACCTTGTTTACGAGCGACATGTTTCGGCAGGCGATGAGACATCGTGACGAGCCAGCACAGCTCCTCTGGCATAAACATGTACATACGCCTCTTGCCAACGGAAAATCGTCCGACTTGGCGTACAATCTCATGTGCATGTTCCGCGCCACCAACATCACAATCTACGGGCGTGAGGACCTCAATGCGTGCATCCTGAAAGGAAGCGCTAGGCTTGACGACATGTGAGAAGAGTGTAACACCTTGATTTCAAGGCCTGCCGAACAGCTTGCAGTGGCATCTTGAGACGCAATGAACTACGAGCGGGTCCTCGGGACACAGGAAATGCTATTTCCTATGCGAACGAACTCATCGTATGTCGTATTGCGTGCGATTGACCTTCGCACACGGCGCGGCTTCTGCTGTCTCGCCGACCCATCAGAATGGTAGCACCGAGTATAGAAAATCGTGGTGCTTCATAACCTCGAGCTGGCTCGAATTCGAACCTCAAAGCCTCTGCCCGCACTCCCAGGAGATGACGGAGTTGCTAGTGCAGACTCTCGTTCCCGAGCCGAGACTGGCGTTCTGTGCCGACAACGTTTCGGGGGTACCTCTGGGTGGGCACGGTGCCTGTCCTCTCTCTTGGCTCTTCGTCGTGTGCTCTGCACGCGACCTCCCGCCGCTACCAAGTTACCACTGCACGATCTCCGTTGTGCTTGTCTTGAGACGGCGCGCCGCCGGGTCATCAGGCCACCCACAAGGTCGGGCTCTCGTTGTCTGCACGATATAGCACTCTTCATGATCGGATCATCAGATCAGTGTTCCCAAGAAAAACAACCAAACTTGCGATGAACCTTTCATGAAAGATCGGGTTGCTTTCATTGCCATGGCTCTGCCCGCTTAATGCGGCAACTCGCAACACGAATGCCATGCCCTAACAGAACCACTTTTCGTCTCCAGATCCGGTGCTGCGGACAGACAGGAGCGCATCTTCAGCACGGACGATGGACTTTTTGGTTCACCCTCAGGACATGTGACTGCGAGTCGCGTGTGCATTGCAGACATTGAATGGGTACCATCTCCACTGTCACATCATCGTCGCACAGGAGGTACGAGGCCATCAACGAGAAGTCGTTCTCGCGCCGCCGGAGAAGCATTGAAATTTGCATGAATTGTCATCGCGATGTGTCTTGCCTCCTTCCATATTCGGCACATCCGCTGAGGCCTAGATTCCAGATGGGCGTCACACTATTGTGTTGGAACTTGACCTCAATTGTCGTAGTTCGTCAAACCCACTTTCAACCGCATCTGGTGAGGGACTTCCCGCATGATGAAGCTGAATGCAACAAGGCATACGGCCGTACGACATGAGCGGCAGCAAGACTCTCATCCAAGAGCCGCAAAAGCAACTCTTGCAACGAGGAGGTGGACAACGTGACTAGAGCAGAGCTGTGAAGACGACGCGCAATTCTGGCTCGCGAAATCGGTCTGCATGATACAATAACCTCAGGCACATAGGTTGGACCTCACCGCACCTGATCCCTCTATGCAAGGACACGATCGTGCAGCTCGGAAATCTTGGAGCGGGCGGAAGCAGACGTGCAGCGAGAGCCCACAAACGCAAGTCATACCCATCCACTATATCTCTCACAAGATCTCGCATGTGGAACCAGCTACGCGTGCAGCTCCATACCATGGCTCTCATTGTGCAAACAAGTCCGCCGGGCATGGCATCAACTTCCCGTCTGCAAACATGGCATCCTGCCAATTATTCTGCATGGGCAGAGTACGTGTCTTGGCCTGTTGTGTAACCGATCCATGAACGTCGATCTTCCTCGTCGCGGAGTCAGGTGCGAATTCCTTCCTTAGAGAACTGCTGCGTGGGCGAGCATTTGAGATTCCCAGGTATTTCGAGGGCTCGTAGGAACCAGAGAAGGACATCTATTCCCTCGAACCGCTGCTCGAGACCGCATAGCCCACATGGTGTAAATCTCCAATTTTATCGCAAATGCATCGCTGTAATCGGATGCATGCCATAAGGTAAGGCTGCAGAAAGGCATCGTTGAGTGATGGCGGTGAGAGCTAGCTTCCAGATGTCTGCACAGAGTGTCACTACAAAGTGTATCAGCATGCTAGGCCTGGGTTTCTACCGCACGCGGAGGATGCACAGATGCAGAGCCCTCGCCTCGGACGAAAAGTGCCAATGTCGACTTTGTCTCGTAGTGATATTCTCTTCGTCTTTGTAATTTCTGCTCTGGAAGTTCTCGTCATCACACACGACATCTTGCAATCTAGACCCCATCAGCTCGGCTTGGGAATGTCAGCTGGTCGAAGTCGTGTTGCAAAGACAGCACCATCTACATGCAAAACCCCTCCTCGTATACTGGGACGATTCGAACATGTCTTTGATACACATCACCGTAAAGCAAGAAGCACGTAGAATGTATGCTTGTCCACGCACGTTCACTTCGAACAGTCTTGAAGTCTACGGCTGTGCAATTCACCAAATCTATTACTCTTACGGTAGCGATACCACTTTATATAATCATTCCCCATCTTCTTCTGTTGCAATCAGCCTCAAACTCGCATCCAAACACTGTCCTCGATCTTATCACGTAAATATTGTGAAAGCACACAACAATGTGCCATCCACGTTCATATGTGCAGAAGTCCTTTTGCTCAATTTCTCCCATCTAATCAACGAAATTCCCAAAATATTATCATTCGAATTGTGCAACACAAACTACACCGCGCCGGTTTCCAACGACACGAATAATAAGAGTCTACACCTGGGTTAACTTCATGCTATTCGATCAAGAGTTCTCGCCTCCCAGACTGCTGCAGAAAAAAACCGACATCAGATTTGTCTGATCCCTAACCCTAAGCCCTAGAGTAACCCTAAGCACGTCTCTTTCTCCCTCGCAAGAGTATCTAGATACACACCCAGACGATCAAATGCATGCATACGTAGGCACTCAAATAGAAACCAGAGAAAGACGATCGACCATGTGTGCAGGCAAATTGTACATTTTGAGTTCATTGATGTCAGCTTCAGTGCTTCACTTTCGGATTTCTGCACGGTACAGAGGCCAGCATCTTACCAACCGCCTATTCTATTACCTCCCACGCGCGCGAAAAATAATGCTCCAGGTCAGACAGCCGAAATAAAGTGCAAGACTGTCCTCCATGGTTATGTCTGCACGTCTTGCACACGCTGCAGGACGTTGATATCGTTGAAGACCAGGCTGTCGAGGTCAGGGATGAAGAGAGTGAAAAGACGGGCACAAGCAGCTTCGACACGTTCATTTCTCTCAAAGTACACAGTCAACCAATCTATCTCATAGGCCGCTTCGCTGCACGCAGAGCCTTCGTAGCTCAATCCCAGAGCCGATGCATGGTACAATAAACACCCATTCTTTTGGTCCAGAACGCCTTGTCAACGCACTTTCAGCAGCGGTATCATCCATGCCATTCAAAACAAAAGCCATTTCCCTTGTTGTCCTTTCTACTCGTAACGCCATGCCGGAATGCAGTCAATAAAAGCAAGAGCGCATCTGCTCGAGTTGGTGCATCTACCAGCGGCGGTTGCCACCGAGAGGAGCGTTATTCCCACCGGTCCAGCCGCCACGGCCACCACCGCGACCGCCCCGACCACCGCGCCAGCCACCACCACCGCCACCGCCTCCGTAGCGGACCATCTCCTCGAGACGTGGGTCGATCTGCTGCTTGGCCTCACGAAGGATGTTCACGAGGTCACGAGCCTGCTTTGAGTCTGGAAAATGGTGTTAGCATTGCGTGTGGAGACGGTGTCCAGGACAACTTACTGTCTGTGGTGAACAGGGTGATGGCAATACCCATACGACCGGCACGACCAGTACGACCGATACGGTGCACGTAGTCCTCGGAGTTGTTTGGGTAGTCGTAGTTGAACACGTGAGTGATGTCCTTGACGTCTTTGACGCGCACAAATGTTAGTTCAATGCTGTGGTTGGGAGTGGTGAGTGAAGCGAGCAATAGCAATCCTTTGCCGGATGCGAGATCTGTCTGGTGCGCGATATGCGTCACTCATGGCTACCTTGTCTGGCATAGAACAAGGAGCGTCACGCTCTTGCGCGCACATTTACATCCACAATGTCTTCACAGGGCCGTGCAACATTCTCCTGGTGGGATCCTTGGACGCGCGCAGCTGTGAAACCAACGCAACATTGAAAGACTCATGATCCGATTCTCTACTGGCGACAACAGGGAGCAGAGAAACGGAAGGACACGGCAAAGCAAAACTTTGCCGAGGAAAGTCTCCAAGGATCCGGCGAAGAACAACGAAACACTGACAGCCCTAGACGAGAATGGTTATGTGTGCACGCCGAGCGTACAGAGCGTAGCTTCGACATGACAGACCCCACACGTGTGAGTGGGAGGGGGAAGGGGAAGGGAGAAGGGAGGGACGGGGATGTTTGCAAGCATACCAATACCGCGGGAAGCCACGTCGGTGGCAACCATGATTGGGCTCTTGCCCGTCTTGAACTCGTTGAGCACCCAATCACGCTCATTTTGCTGCTTGTCACCGTGAATGGAGAGGGCGGGCCAGCCATCTTGGCGAAGGAAACGGGTGATGTCGTCGGCGACACGCTTTGTGCTGGTGAAGATCAGAATCTTGTGACCCTTGTCCTCCATGATCTTCTCGAGATGGCGCAACATCTTGTCACGCTTTTCGAAGTCTGAGACGACCTCAACGACTTGAGTGATGCGGGCGTTGGCGTGCAAGTCGTGCGAACCAACGTTGACCTGGATGAAGTTCTGTTGGAAGTCGTTCGCCATCTGGCGAATCTCCTTTGGCCAAGTAGCAGACCACATGCATGTCTGACGGTCTGGGCGAATCTGACCAATGATCTTGCGAATTTGTGGTTCGAAACCCATGTCCAACATACGATCGGCCTCATCAAGGACAAGGTAGGTAACACGGCGGAGGTTGGTCTTGCCGGCCTCGAGCATGTCGATGAGACGACCTGGAGTGGCAATGCAGACCTCGACACCGCGTGCAAGGTCACGGATTTGACCGCCCTTTGGCACACCGCCGTAGACGCATGTGTTGCGAATGCGCGATGATTTTCCAAACTTGCTCACCTCCTCTTGAATCTGAACAGCCAATTCGCGAGTTGGAGCCAGAATAAGGACAATGGGCCCGTCACCTTGGGCGAGGAGCGGCTGTGCGTTGATGTGGACGATGGCGGGTAGTGTGTAGGTGAGGGTCTTTCCGGAACCAGTCTCGGCGATACCAACAACGTCGCGACCAGAAAGAGCCATAGGCCAGCCTTGAGATTGAATGGCGGTTGGGTTGGCAAAGCCTTGGGCCTTGACCTCGTTGATCACGTAGTTGGGGAATCCAGCCTCGTCGAATGTGTGGACTGGCTTTGGAACGTCGCGACCTTGCACGGTGATTTGGTGCTTGCGGCGGAAGTCGTCGACCTCGGCTTGCGAGCGGGCTGCAACATCTGGGTGCTCCTTGTAGAAGGACTTCTCGAACTTGGGCAGAGTGCTCAGATCCCACTGCTGTGTGCGCAGACCGGCGCCAAGGTTGTTCATGCGATCGCCGCCGCCACCACCACCGCCGTAGCCTCCACCGCCGTAGCCATTCGAGCCACCGTTGGAGTAGCCACCACCGCCTCCGCCATAGCCGCCGCCATTTGAGTAGCCGCCGCCGCCTCTGCAGTGAAATGTTAGCGCATGTTTCGATAACACGACATATAATAATAATGAGAAAATGGAGTATACATAGGCCCTCAGTCCGCCTGATTATCGAGCTTACCCGTAGGAGGAGTATGTGCGATCATCGTAGCGGCTCTGAGAGCCATAGTTGTATCCGCTGTCGTACCCATTGGAGTAGCCGTTGCTGCCGCCGTAGCCTCCGCCGCCGCCGCCACGGGAGCCACCGTAACCGCCGCCGCCGTAAGACATGTTGGGGCGCTGAAGGTAGTGACCGTCGAGTGTTTGTGAGTGGAAGAGTCGGCAGTCGACGTGTAGTTCTCAACTGAGTGCGTTGCTTGCGAGAAGCTGAGTTGTTGCACTCGAGATGAGGGGTGTCGAGAGAGGATGTGGGAGAGGGTGGAAGGAAGAAAGGTTGATGCAAAGGCGAGGCAGAAAGGAAATCTGCGACAGATTTTCTTGAGAAAGCGCGCGACGGGCGACGCCGCTCCCTGGGCCAATCAGGGTCCATGAAGTGACGCATCGCTCTTGCCTCCGTCACTTCACTTCACGAAGTGCGGCCGACGGAGGTTCTAGCAAGTGCAGGACAATGCAAGCTGTCAATAAGTGAAGCACTTGAGCAGCTCTGCTCAGATGCGAGAGCGCGCGTAGTCAATTTGTTGCTGCTCGTCAGTTTCAGTGGCGGACAGGCGTCAAGCGGGCAATCGCACGCGGACTTGACATAGGCCAAAAATGCAGCACCGATATTGCAGGCTGTATGGTCCTTGCCTGCACAAGGCACGCAAAGTAAGACGGCATTCGAACTGCTGTTTAAGGCCTCACGCCCTCGATGCCATTCAAGGATGTTTCATTGAAGCGCGGAAGAAACACACTACTGTGAGCGCGAGAAACTGACAGGTCCTGTCATTTCTGTGCTCTGAACTACATCCTCAACAGCGCGCGGCCGTTGGCTGCGTCTGCTGCGTGTTCGCGGCAGCAGATCGAGGAAGGAGCGAAGCAGGGCCGCAATGCCCGTGCACGGCATCGCCCAAAGCCCACTTCAAGCTGATGCTCTCGACCTCTCCATATCCTCAACGGGACTCATTTCAATCACATCACTGGCATCTGATGTACCGCGACCATGAGCATCTCCGCTGAGCTCATTGAGATCTCGCCTGACGGCGATGTGATCCTCGTCTGTGGTGAACAATTTCGAGATGGCCAAGTCAAGAAGCTCAAGGTCAACTCTGCGACTCTTGCCTTGGGTTCACCTGTGATGAAGGCGACGTTCAAGCCGCACTTCAAGGAAGGGACCGATCTGCGCCTCAACGCTGGTAGCTCGCCATTGGAGATCTCGCTTCCCGAAGACGATTCTCTTGCTATGGAGATCATCTGCCACGTCCTACATCTGCGCAACGATGCCGTGGACACGAGCGGGGAATTCTCCTCAGAAGACATTTTGAGAGTTGCGATAGCCACTGACAAGTACACTTGTCAAATCGCTATGATGTTTCCTGCCGAGAAGTGGCTCGACCGTCCCCATAACGACGAGCAAGAGCTCCATGTGTTGTTCACAACGGCATATCTGTTTCGCAACAGCCACGCTTTCTACAAACTCGGGCGAGGGCTCATCAACCACACGTCGTTGTATTCTACAGTTTCGTCGGCATCAGAATACGAGAAGGATCACCTGCTTCCCGTTCTCCGTAAGAGTCGAGACCAGCTTCCTGCCAAGTACAACGTCGAGACTAACGTCAACTACAGATGCTCTAGACTGGAAGCGCCAGGAGATACAAATGCGTGCTCACGCTGCAATCGAAGAAGCCATCGATGCAAGGTCAGACATTCGCAACGACCCGGAAGTATCTCACACTTGCCTCCCTGGCTGCAGCATAGCAGAGATGTGCTTCCACGGATTCATCTTGGGCTTGAAGCGACGGAACTTGTATCCCTTGCAAGCCATCAGAGAATCCACACTACGTCAAGTGTTTGGCCAAATGCAGTCAGTGTACCACAAGCCGCCCAGAGAAGCATTCGCATGCGCTAGTCCCGACTGTATCGGACGCACGAAAAGCCTGGGCCAAGGATGGGTGGGTTGTCTCTCATATCCAGCGGCGCATTTGCAGAGCTCGTACGGGGGACCCTGTCTAACATGTTTCCTCGAGGATGGTTGTGTCTGTCTACAAGGCTGTGATCATTGGGCAGACCCAGAACCACCGAGTTGGAAAAGCCCTTGGACGTTCTTAGAACTTCCTACTGCAGATGTGCCCTCTCCTCCCACCAAGCCACCGACATCTGTATCTGCCATTGCGCAAACTACCACAGGTCATCGAAGAAACTTGTCGCTTCCATGAGAACACCATTGCAGTCAGAAGTCTCATTGCACACTATACCGAGCGAAGCATGGAGGAGTCGCTGCGTCAGCTGTGAGACGGGAGAATTGATGGAGACGGATGTCCTGGCAGGTTTTGAGGTACTGCGGCTCGGATGTCGTCGCCGCCATCAAAATGCTTGTTGTCACACTGAAGGCACATACAACGCGCTGCTAGGTGGCTGGGACAAATCCAGTAGAGTTTGCCCTGTAATCTATACATGATACAACTATCAACCCACCAAATCCCCAGGTGTATCCGCAAACCCATCTGTCTTCCCAAGGCCATTCTCCACTCTCCTCTTGGGCGGCCATGTTCGCACCTGCCCACCGAACCTCAGAACTCTCTGGCTCCGCCCGTGTGATGGGACCGACTTCTGAAAGTTGCGCCTCCCCTCCCTCGGAGGCAACAGCACCTGGCCATCTCCCCTTTCCGCTTTCATTCTCCCCGCACGAGCATCTGTTGTACCAAGCCGATTCTCCGAAGCATGCTTCCGACCAACTCTGAAGTTACTCCCGAACTGCAATTCACCCCTCGAATAATCCACCTTCTTTCTCACTTCCTGCCAATGCTCCTCCGCACCCTTCGGGATCAACTTTCGAACCAGCAATTGATCGATCGCGGATCGCATCGCAGAGTAGACGTCCGTTGCGACTGCATTGTGTTCCGAAGCTACAGATTTCGTTTGTGGATCACTTTTGAAGATCTTCTCCTCCATCTCCAGAACACGGTTCAAGGCTTCGATGATATTTGGGCCATTGTTCGTTTTTTGTGCGAGAGAGATGTACATTTGCAATGTCTGCATGTCGAGCGGGTGGAGTTGTTTCTCCATGTCATTGATGATATCCGTGGCGATGTCGATGATGTTGGGATTATTGCGGTCTCGTGCGCAAATTCTCATGGCCAGGATATAAGTCATGGGGAGGGCCTTGACGCCGACTTCGTCGTGCATGCGCTGCAGGACGTGTGCGGCGCGTACGGAGCTTCGGTTGGTTCGTAAGACGTTCAGCATGTGGTGAAAATTGGCCGGGTCGGGTATGACGCGGTGAGGAGCAGATGTGAGGATATCCCAGTAGCTATTGAGGGCCTTCGGCGTCCGCATAACATCGCAGACTCGAATGAGCATGGCGAGAATGCCGTTTCCTGGGCGAACCCACACCAGTGCTTGCGGACGTTTGGACTTGTCGCTTCGCATGGCGGGCGTCACGGGGTTGAAAGCATGAAAAGATGGCACTGGCGTGAAATCGTGGAGACCTTCTGCTGGCGCAAGTCGGGCTTCTTCGTGGACAGGTTTTTCTACTGGTACGTGCCCTGTACGTCGTTCCTCTGAGCCGATGGGTGCAATCTGACGTTCCAGCCCTGTAGTTTGGTGTATCAGATCCAGCACGTTGTCCCTGTCTTGCATCCGGTTGCTCAATAGAAGCAAGTCTGCCATTGCCACGACCAAGCTCTCGTCAAGCATCAACGCGCCTTCGCGCCATTTGGAGATGACTTCTTGCCATATCCTTCGCCCTTCGTTCACCGCATCTTGTCTCTGTGCCTCCAGCAGGCTCACATCTGCTTCGGCTCCCAGCGCGTTATGCTTTATGGCTTGCAAGATTGTGGTGTAAACCTTGGCGTCTGGGGCGTTTGGTCCCTTCTCAGGTAGTCTGCTTACAATTCCCCATAATGCGTCCATGTCACCAGCAAGAGAGCACGCCCTCAGGGCAGCGCTGGTATGCGAAGTGTTTGGCTTCACTTTGCTTGAAGGGCTGCACATGCCGTGATATATGGACACGATTTTTCCAACTTCTTCCTTGCTCTCGGACAATGCTGTTAAGAGGCGCATGTAGGTATAGCTGTCGGGAAATTGGCCCCTCTTCTTCATTTCGTTGAAGATGGCGATGGCCTTCGCGGGCCGTCCATTGTGCGCATTCCAGGCGACCACATGGTTCCACGACACTATGCAGTTCATGTTCTTGCTCGCCAGTCGACAGAGATCCAATGCCTTGTCAGGCTGCTCACAGCGCAGGACATAATCGACGTGATCGGCAAGTTTGAGGGGGTCCTTGAGGTATTCCAACTCTTTTCGCAACGCCTTTTCGTTCGCAATCACGATCGGCCCTCCTCTTTTCTGCGCGAACTGCTCGACCGTGGGCTTGTCGACGGGCACAAGTCCTGAGAGCGCATCTTTGGACGGCGTTTCGACTTCGACGGCCGTGGCAAGTCGTCTCCGATGCGGTCGCTGGGCCAGGTGAGGCGTTAGTATCAAGGGCCGAGTCGATATCGAGGCGGCATGTCGTCCATCGCCTGCAATGGACCGTAGCACGCGTGATACGCATGCGCTACACTCCAGCATCACGATGTCAGTTCCTTGTGAGCGGATCTGCCTCACTCCCTGTCGAAGTCCGCGCGCCGCCAAAAGTTGGGTATCGATTGTTGCCCTTGACAACCGCGGTCGTGCTCGCGCTGCAAACACTGACTATTCATGCAACTGAACTTTGGCGCGGCGTTTCACTGAACGGCGCAGTCCTTGTATCGTTTGCATAAAGTGGCTGCTGTGACCCGAACTGCCTTCAACATGGAAAACATGAAGCCGACATCACTGTTCGACGTGTTCTTGCGCCTGCGACCGAGCCGACACAACAACGAGCGTTTCCTCGATGTCCAAGAGAGCGCCAGTGAAGATGAGCTTCCGACACACATTACCATCAACCCGCCGACGAACGACACGAGACGGAAAGCGGTGGAGACATTCGAGTTTACCGGCGTGTTCGAGGAAGATGCGCAACAGCGAGATGTCTTCGACAGCACCGGCATAATACCATTGATCGAGGGAGTAATTGGCGAGCCCGGCAAACTTGGCCGAGATGGCCTGCTTGCAACATTGGGTGTCTCTGGGTCGGGAAAGGTGCGAAACATGGGAGAGAATAGATCACACAGACTCTGACACGAAGCAGTCGCATACTATCTTGGGCGACAGATGCCAGCGAGGCTTGACCCAGCTCACCCTGGACGTCCTCTACCGACATCTCGAGCCGTACCTCGCAGAGACGGACACCAGCGTCTTTGCATTCAACTCAATCCAGACTGCAGACCCAGCCGAGTCGCAAATCTACAGAGCAGGCGACTTTCTCGACAGCATTTACGACAACGGAAATGTCAGCCGCATGTCGAGAGCCACCACACCAGCATTTGTACGAGACTCTACTTTGCCAACAGCCATACCAGGCGCCTTCCCCACTCTCAACGAGCAGCATCGGTCAGAAGACACTTCAACCGTCTACGACAGATTGTATCCTGATATCAGCGCATATCAGAAACCCACCTCTCCCCTCCCCCCTTCACCTTCAAAGTTTCATCTTACACGATTCACACGCAGTATCGCAAAGCTTACACAGTCTTTTCATCATCAGGAATCGTCTTTCATGTCCGCACCCAGTTCGAAGCGCTATGCCCCTCGTGTTTCTGAGTTACCCTCTTCCCCCTCCACCGAAGACATTGAGATTGAGATCGATGAAGATGCCGAGTACGCGATTGTTATCAGCATGTACGAAGTTCACAACGACAAGATTTTCGATTTGCTTGCTGCACCCACGCCCGGAAAGTCGCCAGCGAAGCGACGAGCACTCCTATTCAAGGCCACAGAAGGCTCACCCGATCGGAAGCTGGTGGCTGGACTTCGAAAGGTTGTCTGCTCGAACCTTGATGATGCCCTGCTGGTCCTCGAGACTGGCCTCCGAGAGCGCCAAACTGCTGGCACAGGAAGCAATGCTACATCATCACGCAGTCACGGCTTCTTCTGCATGGAGGTCAAGAAGCGTCACCGTGGACATGGCGTACCCGGGCCATGGGCGAGCAGCACGATGACCATTGCTGATCTTGCTGGTAAGTGAAACACATGCATCTTCGCGTTGCCTTCTGACACACAATTCGTAGGATCCGAACGCGCTCGTCAAGCGAAGACTGCGGGCGCCACTCTCGCCGAAGGAGGAGCCATCAACACATCTCTCATGTATCTCGGACAATGCATGCAAATGCAAGTCGAGAATGCGAAGTCAAACGCTCAAGCTCTAGTACCTTTCCGCCAGTGCAAACTCACCGAGCTCCTCTTCAGTGACAGTCTCGCCCCAACTAGCATGAACCACAGATCAAGACAAAAGGCCGTCATGATCGTCACGGCCGACCCTCTCGGTGACTACAACGCCACAAGCCAGATCTTACGATACTCTGCACTCGCAAAGAAGATCGAGAATCCTCGCGTCCCTAGTACGACACAAAGCATCGGTCTCGCGCCTGGCTCACGAAGTGCACCTGGTTCCGGCCGCGTCACACCCTCTGCCCTCACGGAAGATCTCGAAGCCGCGTTGGAACAAATCACTCGCCTACGAGAAGAATTGGAGATCGCTCAAATTCATCTCCAAGAAGAAACGAATCGCCGCATGGAAGCTGAAGCTGCGTGGGCCAATTCCGAACTCCGCATCGATGAGATCGAGGAACAGATCCGCGATGAAGTTTTCTCCGAAATGGAGGCGAAAATGGCGCTCGAGCAGAGAAGGTGGCGTGCCGCGAGAGATGAGGAAATGGATCGGCAGGACGAGCATGTTGATCGGAAATTGGAGATCATGGCGAGGGGGATCTCAGTATACGAGGATGAGGAGGGAGATCTTGAGGATCAGGAGAACATTCCACCACAGAGTCCTAACGTCGATGGGCTTGCGCAACGCGTAGGCTCCTTGGCTTTGAGAGGTACTGGGAGAAAGGTTTCTGGAAAGGAGAATCCAAGGGTTGGTGAGTTGGAGGAGGAGAACGCGAGGTTGAGAGCTCAGCTTGCGAATGTAGAGAGGGAGAAGGGGCTGAGGAGTCCGAGTAAGAAGATGAGAGTGTTGAAGACGAGGAAGTGGGAGGGCAGTGGGATGTCGTTTGATGATGCTTTGTGAGGAAGACATGACCACGACTGTTTCGTAATTTTGCTTGTCATCATACTTTGGGCGCTTATGAGACAGGATGAACAGCACTGCGTCTGAATGGTATTTGTACAGAAGTTGTGACTGCTTGACACATTTGAATGTTACGCTGTGCTCTGTTCAATGGCACTCTAGTCAGCAGCGGCCGTTCCGTACGCTGCTTGAATATGCCTTACTCGCTTTGACGATCCGATGAACCAATATAACGCGCTGCTTCAGTCGTTGGAGCAACCGTCGGTATCATGTAATGCTCAGATCCCGAATGGTGACGATGAACCTTGAGGATGATCACAATCGGCCTTCTTCCAAGTTGCGCCTTCGAGCGCGCATCCCAAACAAAGCTCTGGAATCTCCTTTACAATTTTGTCTGCTCGACTTGTGAATATACCATTGAGTGTAGGGTTGGTGCTGCTCATGCCGCTTGAGCAGAAGCAAGTGTCCGTCCAGCTGCTGTGACCACAGGTCCTAGTACTCAGTTCTACCTGCTGCCAATTGACCGATCTCATCTTGCTCAGCAGAGACTCCAGGGTGTGGTCAGAGGTGGTGTGCATGGGCCATAGCTCAGCACGGCGCAGTGTTCGAAGGAAACCAACAACGTAGTCGAGAGCGCGAGGGCAATTAGAGCCGTGCGTGCTGTCCGTATCACAGTGCATGACCATCATCGTGTCGACAAACTTCGCAATCTTTCCACGTGCGTTCAGGGCCTCGACGTTCATGGCATCTGCGTTCTTGATTAGTACTGCAACGTGGCATAAGTTGTCGTTTTCAAAGCATTACCAAAGAGTTTCTGAAGAACCTCTTGCTCAGGCCGATCACCAACAAGTGTGCATTTGCCATTGTAGCGCAGGATGTGCTCGCGTCCAAGTTCGCCGAACATCAATGGCAAGTGTAGACGAAACGAAGCGCAGATCAAGATGACTCTGACGGCGTCAGAACAATCTTTGCGGAGTTCTTCGACCCAATGCTCTACGATCGGGCCCAGCGCCATCGTGCAACTGTACTTATCGGCGAGCACGGAGATATCCTGCAGCTTGATGGTATCGAGCTGCCTGGGCAGCTTGCTGTGGCGGAAGTGCAGAATGTTGCAGATGATGGTCATGTCTTCGCCGTCGTCATCAGGAAGCGGCAGGTTGAGTGACCCGTGTTTGGACAGCCGCTTGCCCTCTTTGAAGTCAGGACCCAGCATGGTCTTGAATACTGGCGACGCAAGTGAGAGCACTTTCGATGAAACTCGAAGTCGCTTGCTGCGATTCGAATCAGCAACAGGTATTCGACAGGCTCCAGTGCTTTTACTTACGTTTTGTCGGCTGAGCCGCAGACAAGGACGACGTCGCCATCCGGGTCGATGTCCACCACGCTGTCAGCCATGGCGATGCTGTGTGGCGGGTGGTATTGAGGAAGCCAAGTGCAAGTCATCGGCAAGGTGCAGGGCGAAAGCGAGCAAGTGAAGTAGCTGCCGAACGCGACTGCACAACAAACAGGGATCTTGGTCTTGCATGTGCAGGAGCAAACATCTGCACATCAATGTCTCAACGACTTCTTGCTAAAGCGGATTGGAGCTTTTCCGTGCATTCCGTCGCATCTTGCTCTATTACACCCGAACTGTATCTTTGCTCACTGCACACTGCTGCTCATTGAGCGTCTTCACTTGCACAAGGGCACTTCGAATTAGATCAGAGACACCATCAGTATTGGACTCCCAAGCGATGAGTAGCTTTACCTGGTACCGATTCCTGTCAAACTATCGCAGCTCGAGCGCTTCTGGGGCCTCAATTGAGCCGCATGCCATCCCGTCTCTTCTGTAGATTGTGTGGCAAGTGAAGCCTCAAAGGTTCCTCCATGCCGGGGAGCAATGCTGCTAGTCCATCCAATCATCGATTGGGCAGTGCAGTGTACGCCACAAAAGATATGAGGTACGCCAGTCCTTGTAATTTCGTCCGTGTCGGTCATGCGGTAGCTTCAAACCTCCTCATCGTGCTTGCAACCATTCAGCTTGAACATTTTTCCTTCCATCACACAGCCGAGACATATCTTGGGCAACTTCCTCCTAAATGCCTTGCCCCCATCTCTAAATACTTTCTCCCATTCAGACCCGCTCTTGGCATTGCTCATATAGCAATCGTCAGCTGTGCATGGAAAGCGGTTGTCTTTCTCTGGGAGAACGAAAGTCGCCTTCTCCAAGGACTTGATTCGTTGTCCGAGGCCGCAATCATTATGGAATTGCCGATGTGGCGTCAGGAGATTCTTGTCGATAGCATCCGCGAATTTGCACCGATATACTGCCATTGCGATGCAGTCGTCTGCACATGTTGCGTATTCCTCGTTGCCATCATCAACTTCGAAGAATTGACGTTCGATGAAGTCCCAAATATCGTCTTCGATAGAGTAGCGCTCGAATTCCATGGCATCTTCTACGAATTAGTACTGTTCAAATTGCTGTCTTTCTGGTTGTCCACTTACCGATGAGATTCTCCCACAACTCGGAAAGTACGGGGTTTTCCGCATCCTGTTCCTGATAGTTGTCAACATCCACGAAGAAGGATGTGGCGATCTTCGAAAACAGCTCCTGTCGTCGGAAGAGATAAGCGGCAAGTACCGTGCCACGATCCGGTTTGCGGTCTTTCAGCCAGAAATCGGCCAGCGGGGCCAGGGCCTCAATGCAGTCGTACTTGTCGCAAACCTCCGCCACCTTCAGCAAATCTTTGGAGCTCAGCTTCACCATTACGACTTTGTGCTGTAAGTGGAGGGCTCTGCACAATACAGTCATGCCCTTCGAGTCGTCTTCGAGCGGGATTTCCACATAGCCAGTGGCTTTGAATTGTTGGCCTTCCTTGAAATTCGAATGGAGCATCCTGTTGAAGACCGGGGAGCCGAAACGAAGCGCGACTGAGGATACGCGCAGACGGGCGCTGCGAAGGGGATCAGTTATCAGCAACCAGACTCGAGATACTGAGCATGTATCTGCCTGACGTACGAAGATGTCCCGTCTGCGCTGTTGAAGGCAAGTACCACATCGCCCTGCGGGTCGATCTCGGCAATTTGGTGACCAGACATGTTGTGTGGACTGGACTGATAGCGGTTTTCGTGAGTGTGAGGTTGCGAAGTGGAAGTTTCAGGGTTGCAAAGATGAACAGGCCGCCAGCTTTATATGGAAGGTGCAGTTGTGGCACTTGCTGCCATTTGCTGCAAGTGCATTCTTGATGTCTCTGGGGCTCGCCAACCTGCCTGGAACATGCCACATTAGTACATTCAATTCTGGTTCACGCTACATGAGACGCAAGCTCAGACAGTGTTGTTTTGCATGTCTTGTCTGCATGATCTAAGGTCATTGTTCGTGCCTGCCTCAGTTAAAGAAGGACAACCTGCACGCCAAGACCGTGAACCATTCTCACAGTCCTGGCCCCAAAGTTGACTGCCAGTCAGCATAGCTGTGGGACATCGTCTGCTGTGTGCTCGGAGAGCGGTCATGTACCAAGTGATCGAATTGAATCGTGGAAAGGCAGTTCCTCAGGCTTCGCGGTGTGCCAGTTTGAAGCCCTTAGTACCTCCGATGGAAGTGCATGTCTGATCGCTTTTCTGCTTAGTAGCAAAAGGACAAGAATTTCACGACGGCTTCATCAGATGTCTTGTTTGCTACTACTCACGATCCTTCACGCGTGCTGGCGCAATGCGTCGTTCGTTGCAGAATGACAACTTTTTGCAGTCGCCTACCATGGCTCTCCATGCACAGATAGAAGCTTAGCATGCTCTGCAGACGCCCGTATAGCACCGCAAATGTTTCTTGGGCACCGGATAGCTCATCTGCGACGGAACGTTGATGACTGTGCGTTGGGCAGGATGGATGTGCGTGCCAGGGTGCCAATTGGTGGAGTCTGTCAGCTGTCAATCTGCGTTGACGGGCAGAAGCACTTCTGAACGATGCCCAATCGAGGTCAAACCAGCAAAGTGCGCGACGGCCATCACCAGCATAGTTACGATTGTGTGCGCGTGTTCAGGAGAGGCAAAAGCGTGTGATACAGGTGTTACTCCAGGTGATTGCAGGAGAGAGGAGGCTTTGATTGAGCGAGAAGCCAACTGGGCCGAGTTGAAACCTTGCTGGGCCTCAGCCTGACGACGCCAGTGGATCGTGTTCCTCTGCTTGCTCCGCCGTCATTTGTGGTTCCACCGCCGCCTCCGCCCCCGATCTCTTATAGACCTGTGCCTGCCATATCCCGCTGCGTCACCTGTTCCGGATCGGTTACCCGAGTCGTGTCGCAATCAGAAAGGCCGGGCGGTTCGTTGATTGACGGCAAGCGTGAGCTTTGTCCTGATCCTAGCCGACAATCCACCGCGCGACCAACCTGCGACGGGACCATCTGTGCGCTGGCCTGCATAGCGGGGACGCCCATCGCCCACCGACGACGACGACGACGAGCAGGCCGACACCAGACTGGGCGGCAGCGGAAGGCGGCGCTGAGCTGAGGCAGATTCGTGCCCAAAAGCTGCCCGTTTCGCGGTTACAGCACTGTCTGTACCTGGTCGGCGCAGGCGCTAAGCACGTTGCAACTCACGCGCAGTCAACCGCCGCGCTGCATTGCGATCGTTCGCTGGCCGCTTGCACAGTCAGATGGACCTCGCCTCGCCGGCGAGCACGCAACACCACTCGGCCTCTGCCTCCTCCACCACCGCCCACACCCCGACCGAGTCCACGCAGCGATATGATAGCCAGATAGCCGCGCCGCCCTCTTCAGCGAGCAGCAGCCTGCCCGTGCAGCAACCGCCGACGCAGCAGCAACAACAGCCGCACTTCGTGCCCTCAACACCCTCGGCCAAGCAGCAAAAGTACGAAGCCTACCACCAGTCGTCGCCGTCCATCGCCTCGCGGGCGGCGTCGATGAGCATTTCCACGCCCAACTCGCAAGAAGCAGCAACCCGCCAGCGCAACGCGACCGCCATGGACTACAATGGCAGCCAGATGGACGTGGACATGGACGCGGACCCGTTCAACCAACAAAAATACTCTCGCCCGCCCGCCACGAGCAGATTGTCCTCGCAGTACCTACCGACACACGCTCAGGACGATGGTAGCAACCGCGCACGGTACTCGCCAATGAACACTTCACCCACCACATATACGAGTCCGCCGCAACAGCAGAACCTCAGCGCCAATCCGACGCAGTATACGTCATACACACCGCAGCAATCGGCGCGCCAGTCTCCTAACAGGCAGAGTCAGTACGCATCTCCGACACAGCAAGGGAGGTACTACGCCTCTCCTCCCGCGTCAGCGCGCGCACACACAAATCAGCTGCCTCCGCTGCAGTCGACGTTGCAGACGCCCGCATCATACTACCCCCAGTCTGCAACGCAACAGCTGAATGCTGTTTTTGGACAAGAGGCTCCCGAGCCTGAGAAGAGGCCATCGCAATCTGCGCACGGCAAGAATGTGGTGCCTCAGTTTTCTCGAGTCTACAACGCGTCCGATTTGAGCGCGCAGGTCAACACGCAACCACCCTTCAGGAGAGCGAATCCAGAAGGTGGCTTCATTAGTCCACTGCAGGCACTCACCACACATCTCCCGGCCACGTATCGAATATGCAATCCCGCCTTCCAATACGAGTCTTCGCGGAACCCACGGAGAGTGCTGACAAAGCCAAGCAAAGGTGTTAAGAATGATGGGTACGATAATGAGGACAGTGACTACATCTTGTACGTCAACGATATTTTGGGGTCAGAAGAGACGAACCACAAGAACAGGTACCTGATATTGGACGTGCTGGGGCAAGGTACTTTTGGACAAGTCGTAAAATGTCAGAACTTGAAGACACAAGAAGTGGTGGCCGTCAAGGTGGTGAAGAACAAGACAGCGTACTTCAATCAAAGCATGATGGAGGTATCTGTACTGGATCTGCTGAACGGAAGGATGGACAAGAATGACGATCACCACATTCTGCGGCTGAAGGACACCTTTATTCACAGGCAGCATTTGTGCTTGGTGTTCGAACTGCTGTCTGTGAATCTGTACGAGCTGATCAAGCAGAATCAGTTCCGGGGCTTGAGCACAACATTGGTCAGAGTGTTCGCTCAGCAATTACTGAACGGGCTGTGTCTGCTGAGCAAGGCTAAGCTGATACATTGTGATCTGAAACCGGAGAACATTCTGCTGAAGAAGTGAGTCGGCGTGTCCGGAAAGCAAAGTATATGCTAACAGTCTCGCAGCCTAGAGAGCCCCATCATCAAGATCATCGACTTCGGTTCCGCATGCGATGAGCGACAAACCGTGTACACCTACATTCAGTCCCGATTCTATCGATCTCCGGAAGTGCTTCTCGGACTGCCATATTCAGCGGCCATTGACATGTGGTCACTCGGCTGTATTGTTGTTGAGCTGTTCTTGGGACTTCCATTATTCCCGGGTTCTTCGGAGTACAACCAAGTCTCACGGATAACAGAAATGCTGGGACTGCCGCCGACGTGGATGCTGGAAGTTGGCAAGCAGTCAGGAGAGTTCTTCGAAAAAGTGCATGACGAGTTCGGGCGAAGGACTTACAGACTCAAGTCAATGGAGCAATATTCGCGAGAGCATGGAACGAAAGAGCAGCCAAGCAAAAAATACTTCCAGCAAACACGACTACCGGACATCATTCGGGCCTACCCCATGCCAAGGAAGGGCATGAAGCAGAACGAGATGGAACGAGGTACGCCAACTTAAGGTATTGAAGAAATGAAACTTGAGCTGACTTGGAGTAGAAATGGCCAATCGTGAAGCCTTCATTGACTTCGTTCACGGCCTCCTCAACATAAATCCGCTCGAACGATGGACTCCTCAACAGGCACGAACTCATCCCTTCATCACACAACAAAAGTTCACCGGACCTTTCCAGCCAAGGATGGATCTGAAGCCAACATCAAGATCACCGGCACCGGGCGTGCAGCAACAACAGCAAGCTGAGGCTATGTCCAGGCAAAGGCAGCAGCAAGCACAGGCTGCTCAAGTGCAGCAAGCCGCCAACGCTGCATATGCCAATGCCATGCATGGCATGACTCCTGGCTACCCGAACAGTCCTGCCGTTGCGCAACAGCAACATCAACAGGCAATGTATCAAAACATGTATAGTCCGAGCCAGCAAGGAGCGCCGCCACCATATCCTGCCAACCCTCCCGTGCAGACAGCCTATGGACAGCAAGTACCCATGATACAACAACCACCTCCTGCAGCGGGCATGCATCCCTACGCACAGCAGCCTCAGCAGAACTTATATGCGCAAGCCACAACACGTGCCGGGCGGCAAAGGGCGAGCACAATGGATGGCAACGGTAACGTCAACGGCATCCCGTCGGCTCTGCAACGCGTCGTAAGCCACCTGGATCCAAACCAACCGATTCGATTGCAGCCCAGTCCTGCGTATTATCCTCCGCCGCAGGATGGACAACCCGCGAGCGAAATGGGTAGCATTGGATCTCGAAGGCGGACAAGTCGAGCAGGTGGCAACGGCCGCCAAGGCGGGCAAGGGCAGGAGCGCAACTTTGTCCGAATGCTGGAAGATCGAACCTTGGAGGAAGGATGGAATGGAAACAGTGCTCAACCATGGCCGGGCAGCAACGTGTGACGAGTCGGTTATGTGCAGAATGGTACGACGAGATGAATCGACGTTTCGCGAGGACTTCTATTTCAAATTTTACCTCCCGCCGAGGCATCCAAGACAGAACAGAGAGCACAGCAGGCAGGATCCTGATGAACCGCTGTCGAGGCCCATTCTTCTACTGCGTCCAGCTCGGAAACGCGATGAAACCAAGCTATCCTTTGGCGTATCCGGGGCGCGCGGCTTCCATGCGTTGTTATCAATACCGAGCTCTCGTACGATGCTCCGCAACACATCCATTGAATTTGGTCTTTCGTGTTCTTATCCAGAAAAAGGTCAAGGAGGTGGCTATGTCGAAAACGCGGCCACGCACGGGCCCCGAGCAAGTGGATCCATCTGTCTAACCAGGCTATTTCAGATGAGGGCGCAAAAGACCTGGCACTGGCACCAGTGCACCACATACCTCGAGCTATACCTTCTTTCGCGCAGGAGAGGTCACATGTTGGTTGCGGCTGACGTGGAAGGGTGCTGTAACGCTTTTGCTGCTGCTGCTGCTGCTGCTGCCGCTGCTATCATTGGAAGGTTGCGCTGAAGAAGTCTTCCTTCTTGGTAAATCTTGTTATCAATTCACGGACGAGTTCAAAGTATTGCAGCTTCACGCCTTCGGATGAACTGGGACTTTCTGAGTGCATCCGCCGGGCTTTCGTGCACGCACGAGGCCGATGAGGGCAAGAGAGAGTTCGGGCCAAAGAGCATCGTTGGAGCATAGCGTCGAAAATGTGTCCTATATTTAGTTCCCGTTCTTCTCGCGAGCCTTTGAAAGCAAAACTTGGATTTCACGAATGGGCAAGAAAGAACTCAATCAGTGGTGACAGCGAATGCTATTTGATGGTCTTGAAGGCTGATTCTTGTTCTGTTTCTCTGCTTGTATTTGTAGTGCGATGAGGGAATTCTCTCTATCTCTTCTTTACACGCTCAATTGAACTTGTATTTCTATGGTTCGCTGCCACTTGCCTGCTCCGACCACACGCAGTTTACCTCCATGCTTCGTGATCCACTGCTCGACTATGCTGCTCGGCTTCTTCCACAACGGAGTGCGACAGCTAGTGCGCCCTGGCTGTACAAAACTGCCGTGAATTGGCTGCAATGGTTCACGGATGCTTTGGAATGCCTCTCCCCGGTCGTCTTCTGATATGTGAGCAAGTTTCTGCTACCAAGCGTCGTGAGCGAGTCTTGGTCTTACGGCTCTGATCGAATGGGAGGCTGGGTAGCATTTTCTTTGTATGACGATGATCGCACGCTATCGCTATGGTCGTTCAAGGTGCCTTTCTCACAGGCGACTGCGTTCTTGGCGTTGCGAGCGGTGTGGCCTCGACAGGAGCTGTTTTGGAAGTAGCGTTGTGCACGCCGAGCACAGGTGTTGGAATTGGCTTCAAGGGCAAGGCCACGGGTACCTTGGGCAGGACGACTCGTGGTTTTGGTCGAGGAGCAGCTGATGCATCCGCCGATGGTTTGGAACTCGCGTCAGGTGGCTGCGCCTTCGCTTCGATTGAGAGGTTGGAGAGTTTCGTGCTCACTTGTTCCTCCACCGACGGCTTTTCCGCAGCTGGAGCAGTCGCTGGTGCCGCTGCTTGCTTGTTGGCCTGCGTTGGGGGCGGAAGAGCTGCCTTCTTTGCGGCCAGCTTGGCTGCTTGCGCAGCTCTGGCAGCCGCAGCATTCGTTGGCGCTGAAGTTACAGGCGTGACTGTCACTGGCAAAATTTCTGTCTTGAGCTCGCGGTTCTTCTTTGGTTTCGGGTCCGGCGCTGTAGTTCACTCGCGCATCAGCATATGTTGGCCTAACATCGTCAGCCACTCATCGCAACTCACCCTTCTCGTTCTCTTGCACATAGAATCTTCTCAACAACATAATTGCCTCCTCACGGAACAGGCCACCATAGCAAGGAAAGGTCCCGTCGATGCCCGGATCAGAATGCACATTCATGACTCCACCACAGCCTCCAAAGCGATCGTTCAAACAGCCGAAGTAGACCGCACGAATGCCATACTGCCGCAACGCCGATCCGCACATGATACATGGCTCGACAGTCACGTACAGATCCGTCTCGTGCAGGATCGACTGTGGATGCTTCGACATGATCTCAGCGAGGGCGACGAACTCCGCATGGCGAGTTCCCTGCTCGGTCGTATTCGTCAGAAAGTTGATTTTCAAATGCTATCTGTGTGACTTTTGGAAGTACAACTCACGTTCAAACTCGCATTCGTACCATTGATCCCGCGTCCGATGATTTTGCCTTCGTGCACAAAAACGCATCCTACAGGAGTTTCGTCCGATGCGAGCGCGAACTCGGCCATGCCGATGGCTTCGCGCATGAAGCCTTCATGGTATTCGCGATTCGGAATGGGACCGAATACCATTTTTCTTCCGGTCTAAGATCTTCCTGTAGCTATCGGCGGCGGCTGTTGAAAAAAGTACAGCTCTGTGTGCGATTCTTGGTTGTGTGAGAGAACGTGGGCGACGTGCTGTCGACAGTGAAGAGTGGCGCTTGAAATCAAAAGAGAGTGAAAAGACAGATGTCCGTGTTGATGTCGCTGGTGTTGTTCGTGAAAAAGGTAAGAAGCACTTGGGAGTTGAATCGCGAATCCGAGAAGGTGCGAAGCTTCGACCGTTGCGTCAAGTTTTGACAGGTGCGTTCATGCCGCGACTCGACGATGATGGAAGGCGACGACGCGAAAAAGGCAAGTAGCGGGAGAATTTATATGCGGGGGACGTGTCTGGAAATCGAAAAATGGGTTTACAGGGAATCAATCACATGAAGGCCATCATCTGCACGAATAATGGAAATCCCACTGAATACAGTACAACCATGGGATTAAATGTTTGCTCTGTCTGCCTGGAACTCTTTTGCATCTTCATCAAGACGTCGCTGTGTACGCGGTAAAGTATCAATGTCACTAAATCTCCTTCCTTTCCACCTCCACCATCTCTTTCTTCCTACATTCATAGAAATCCGCACTATTCGAGTGCCTTCGACAGGACAAAACTTCTGCCATTCCCCAAAACAAGACTCCGCTTTTTCGTCAGGAGTGTGCAAAAGCTGCTTCGAAATCAAAAAGAAAAATGTGGTCAGATGTTCACCAGCTCCTGCGCTTGCCCTCAACAAAGAAATTTCCCAGAACCAAATTCCCATATCCATTGTGCACTTTGCGTCTGCATGTGGTGCCAGTATGAAGAACCCGTGGAACGCCGAACAACCTTGTAAGTGTTGTCAAAAAGAAATCGCTTGTGAACACGCCTGGCCTGTGCTGTGTGGCCGTCATCAGAAAAAGTAAACAAGAAACGCTAAAGTGGTGAGCTTCGAATGGAGGCCAGCAAGCGGATAAGATCCGCTGCAATCCAGAGGAACAGAGGCTATAGTGGTCCCTCGCCACTCATCCATTGGCAGTGGCAAGCATTCGGCACCCCGCGTGGGAACATCATAGCCCGGTTCTTGCTCGTGATCTCACTCTTGCCGTACTCGGGGTCGTCCTCATCGAGTTGAATTACGATGGGTTTACCGCTGTCAGGATCCGAAACCCAGTTTGCCCGACCATCATCCAGTATTTGATACTGTTGACAATAAGGTGATGGTGCGCCACCAACCCGACGCTCCTCAAGCTTGACGAGGAATGGGAACACCTCCAATGTGCTCCAAAAATCTTGCCCGACGTAGTCGTCGTCTCCTCTTCTCATGTGCGGATCGGCTGATGCTTGGAACAGGCGCCGTTTGGCATCGTCCATGATGGAATTCGTCCAACCGTCAAACTTCGAAGCAGGGCCCGTGTAAGTAGCGGTGGTCATGGGCGCAGATATTGTCTTGGTGATTATCTGATCACCCGGTGGGTACCCAGTGAATGGCGGCCTGCCATCGTACGAACCAGTATCGCTAGTTGTAGGGGGAGGTGTTATTGATGCCGGTGCTGACGGCGGCGACGTCGATGATTTCGTACTGCTGGTGCTGGTCGGTATTGTTGATGTGCTTGTGGTAAGCGATTCCGTTACATAGATGAAGCCTTCAAGCAGTGTCTCGTTCCATACGCAGAACCATGGCTTCTCTCCAGGAGTGGCGAGTTGCTTGCGGCTAGCCCACGCTTCTGGTAGTTTCCAGCCTGGGCTGTACCAACCTCGCTTCATTCTTCGTTTACTGCCACTGCTAGTAGTGAGCGCGGCCTCGGGAACGACGACTACCTTGTCGTAAAATTGTTGGAAGTAGAACGCCGGTCCATTCTGCTTGTCGTCCTGATCCTGGACAGTAAGGAATTGCGCGAATGAGGTGTTCATGTAGCTGAGCTGAGCACCGTATGCGATAGCCGAATCGTATGAAGCGTACTGAAGCACAGCACCAAGACCTTGTGGGCTTGGTCGGACGACCATAGCAAGGGCTGAATTTGGTGCTAGATCGCAGTCCCACGCGACTCTTTGACCCTTGTTGGACAGACAATCGCTCTGCGTTTCCTGGGGAGCGCCGAGTGTCAGGGCATATGTACCCGTAGGCGGAGCGCCAGACGTCGGTGATGCGATGAGACTAGCATCGTATAGCGACGTGACGACGGTGATCGATTGGCTGCTACAATGATTAATGCATATCGCAAAGAAGGCATGAGACCAAGCTTACCTGTTCCGAGCGTGCTCGCCACCAGCAACGAAACCACCAATTACTCCTCCAAGGAGAGCGGCCACGAATACCAAAACGCAGATGACCACGAGGATCCACTGGAAAGCAACGCCTTTGAACTTTCCGAAACCACACATTCTTGTTTTTCGTTTCTCCTTCCATGACTTCTCTTTCCATGTCTTGTGCATGGAAACTTTGTCCAGGTTTTCCGACGAGCTATCTGAATGCATCAGAAGATTTGTTGATGACCTTGATGATGGACGACGCAACGCAGACTCATCAGTCATTGACTGAGGAGCAGGCGTTGGTGATGGTTGTATCATGGTGTGCATCAATGGCATGCTCGGATCTGTCCCAGCCACCGGGGCTCTGCTGAGGAGTGCCGTGGGTGCCGTGGGCATTAGTAGTGGCGCCTTTTCTGGTGCGTCCTCTGGGTATCGTGTATATGGCGGGAGTTGTTCTGTATGCCCGTCTTCGCCAATCAAGTCTTGGTCCTCGCCGTCTGGACCTAATCGTCTCGTGTAGTTTTGTCCCAACCCGGGAAAGCCTACTGTAACCGGGTTCTGCTGCCTTATGCCAAAGTCATCTGTGTCCTCCTCGTCGTCCATGTCCTCAGTGACACCTTGAGGGTACATGGCGTATGGATGAGCGGGGACATTGTTCGAATACGATTGTCGCACAGAAGGAGCGACCACTGTTGATTGTGTTGCGTTGCTCAAAGTTCGCCCCACGGCCGTTTGTGGATAGATCTGGTAAGGATGACTAGGCCCAGCACCGAATCGTGGAGAGTGCGTTGGCGCGAATTGTGATGAAGAGACCGAGGATATTGACCTTCGTACAGCCGCATCGTCCCGTTCAAATTCGAGGCTGAGATTTCGCTGTGCCGGCGCAGGTTCGTCCTCGGGACTGGAGAAGGGGTTCGGGTAGGTTCTCGATTTCCTCGTGGAATTCCTGTTCGAAGATGCACCCATGGTGGGCGTCACATTTCCGGGCGCGTAGTGTGCAGAGACACTGCGAATGGGCTGACCATCTACCTCCTCTTGGCGCGCGTCGGGGACCCCTTCGTCTCTGTCGACATTGGGCCTGAAGCCGTCCGCAATACCGTCCCACGCGAACTCGTCGTCCTCCACCTCGTGCTCGTCACTGAACACATCCGCACGTTCCTGCGTGGGAGTCGCGGAGCCGTCCAGCAGTGACCGTCGTTGTTCTGCCATCCTGGTGACGGTCGCGGGCCAGATGGCCAGCTGCGCCTCCTCACCTCCAAAACAACCTGTTTCCCGTGTGCTGAGTCCGTCTTCGGTCGTCACGGCCCAGCGAAATACGGTGCGTTCAATCCAGTGGCAGCGAGAGTAGAATAGCGAGCGGAATTGGTGGTCGAGGTCGCTGCCGTTGGGGGTGGTGTGTGTCCGGGAGAAGGTGGTGACTTCCAGGCGATCCGACCGAACGGCGCGAAAGCAGTCGGCCAAAGGTCGTGCCAGCCACGATTTCTGCGTTTTGCAAACCCTGCTTCGTCACGGCTTCGACCGTTGTCCGGCTGAACTCTGACGCCTACACCAGCTACAAGCTACATACATACGGCATACTCCTTCCCACGGCCGGCAATGCTGAAGAATATGTTGTACTCTGTGTGCGACAGCACGTTCAGACAGCCTCGTGATCGGTTGTACAGTCCACGCTTGCTTGCAAGCGAAGAGCGCTTCTGCTTCGGCAGTCGCTCCGCCGTGCTGCATCCAATCTGCTACATCATCACGCTCCTAGCGCTCCAGTTCCGTCCACTCGCTCTTCTCAAAACACTTCACCTGCACCCACACGCATCTCGGCCAAGCCCGTGCCATCCAGGACTTGCGGTTCTTTGCACCATACAGGATTGTGCAGCAGCTAGATAGCCTGCTTGCAATGGGAAGAGACTGTTCACGGGAACCGTGCACGGGTGACATCAGAGTCAATTTGTGTGCTGCAGAACAAGTCTGATTGTTTTGCCGATGTTACCACGATATCTACAAACGGCCTTCTTTCGGCTCTAGACGCTCTCTGAAAGAGATCTCTGTCATCTCTCGACCCCACAGCGACATCGCTGCGTTGCGCTCTGGCAGAGCGTATCGATGTCAGTGATACCTCGCTTGGCCTCCTGTCGCCAACTCTCCAAGTGCCATTCACGCGGACCTGGGTCATGCCAAAATGGTATCTAGTATTTCCTCAAACGCCATCAAATGCACTGCTGATTATTATCGTTGCCATTCTCTAGACTGGCAACTCATGCATGGTGCGTCTACTGCTTAATCTCGTATTTCCTGCGGAACATGTCGTCAACCTCCGTGAGGTAATATGTGCCAGGAGCGATCGTGTCAATGCTGCCCTGTGGCTTGTAGTTGCTCTTCAGGTGGGCCTTCTCGCGAAGGTTGCAGAATTCCTCGTATGTCTCTGGGCTAACAACACGACGTCCCTCGAGCTTCGTGTGAAGGTCAATCTTTTCCGCGATCTCCTTGATGCTGCCCCGGACCTTGAGGGAGAACAGTGAAGATGCGAGACCGGAACCGTACGAGAAAATGCCGAGGCGCTTGCCTTGAAGATCGTCCGAGGATACGTTGCTGAGCAGTGACACAAGCGATGCGTATACGGAGGCACAGTACATGTTACCGCATTGTGTTGGGACCTCGGTTGCAGGCTGCACACGGCTCGCGAATCGCTTCTTGGCCAGTGCGACAAAGGTCTTTTCGACAGTCTTGTCGGAAATGGACTGCTCGTATGTGAGGTCCTTGATCTCAGCAGGAACATCCTTGAAGATCTCAGCCTCAGGGTTGGCCAAATAGTCATTGTACAACAATCGCGCATAGCTCTTGGAGACCAACTTGCAGGTCGGGGCGTGGAATGCCATGTAGTCGAATCGGTCAAGAGGTGTCTCCAACTCGTGCACACCATTCGTGTGACCATTTGCCTTGCTCTTGAGCTGCTTCTCACGAGCATTGTAGGCCTTGTAGCAGGCGTCTACTGCTTCAGTGTAGCACTTGATCGAGTAGTGACCGTCCACGAGTGGGTACTCGCTGGTCAAATCGGCCTTGTAGAAGTCGTATGCATGCTTCACGTAGCTGCCACGCTGGCCCGGCTCGAAAGCGATTGGGGCATCTGGTCCAACGAGCATGGCGATGCAGCCAGCTCCTCCCGTGGGTCTGGCATTGCCCTTCTTGTAAAGCGCGATGTCTCCTGCCACGACGATGGCATCCCGTCCGTCCCAGGCAGACGACTCCACCCAAGCAACTGTGTTGAAAAGTGCATTGGTACCTCCGTAACATGCGTTGACAGTGTCCACGCCTTCAATGTTGGTGTTGCCAGATGGCTCAAAGAGCTGCATCAGCACAGTCTTGCATGACTTTGACTTGTCGAGAAGAGTCTCTGTGCCGACTTCGAGTCTGCCAATGGAGTTTGGGTCGATGTTGTACTTCTTCAGAAGCGAGGAAACGGTCGTGAGGGCGAATGAGTAGATGTCTTCTCGGTCGTCACAGAAGCTCATCTTGGTCTGTCCAAGACCAATGGTGTATTTGCCAGCGCTAACGCCATCGAATTTTTCGAGCTCTGCTTGGTCAACGCACTGGGAACAGCTTGTTAGCGATTGGGGCTTCTTGAGAACGACAGTGGGCACTCAGATGCCATTGAAAGTCGCCTGCGGATCTCTAGGCTTCTGAGCCGTCTGCAGCATGTAGCACAGACGCCCATATGCCAGAAACGCTAGAGCAACGCAGTTTGGGTGGTGGACCCCCCAATGCCTCTGCTGCGGCACTGTTTTCGCAGGGTTGATGGGCAACTCACCTGGCTGGGGAAGTAGAGCTCGACGGCCTTGATGCCGACATTCTGAGGTCGTTCGCTCATATTGAGAGTGTTGTGAGTGCTGTGCGGTCGTGTGGCGTGTCGCGTGGGACTGAAGTCGGTGTGGAGAGAGAAGAACAGTCGGATGTTCTGCTCGGCGCGGGGCACAAAGGCGTGATGGTTACGATTGTTCGCGCGCTGTTTCGACTCGGTCACTGGCACGAGGAGAGGCAGGCGAGGAGAATGAGGAGGGAGGAATTGAGAAGAGAAGATCTGCGACGGGCGACGCTCAAGAATTAAAAAAGTCGTCCCATTCGATTGAACCCTAGGCGTTCCTGCAGCATAGGGGTCCTCCCACTAAATTGCTTTGAGGAAAGAGCCGCCGATTGTTTTCTTGTTATCGAACCACCTCAACGTACGATTGTGCCAGCCGTGACCAACGTCACCGCCGCCGTCCATACTTTCGACGCGCCGACAACAACGACGACAGCAACAGAGGCGCATTCCGCTCCGTCATCATCTCAGCCACAACACTGCTGATCATTCCGACATAATTGTTTTGAAGGTGCAGTCACCGCCATGGACACTCCATCTAGAAGACTCTTCAGCGTAGTGCCGACAATATCACGCCTGGCTCTGCAGCCTCTTTGCGATTCTCTCATGCAAATTTGACTTCACGAACACATTGGCGCGGCTGCCCGCTCCGATGTCCTCCTCTCTCTGCTGCTGTCTTCGAATTCTTAGTCGATCACAGTGAGTGGCTGTTAAAGTGGCTGTGCTGTGGCGTACCTCCAGCTTCGCCGCATGATTGGAGGAGAGCCTATCTGCGAAGAATTTACACTGATGCTCATACAAAGGAGTGATCGTGGTCAGGCAATCAGAGCAGCCTCCTCTCAACATTCATCCAAGTCGTCGCATATGTTTCCCAGGAATTTCAGTATGAGGCCTGGGCCCTACCTGACTCAGCAGAGTTACCATTCACAGATTGGTCGGACCTGAAGCAACAACCTTGGTCTCTCCTGACCATCCCATCTTTCAGTCACGATTGCTCTGCATTGCTTGGAGCAGCGGCGCATCTCCAGCACCAGACACGTCGATATTCTCGCCGCCGACGACGCAGAGATTGCGAGCACATCAGCGTCTACAGCCTGAGAAGAAGGTTCTATCTGTGTGGCCGCTGCCTCTCAGGCCTGACGCTGCGTGACAAAACTCCAGCGAATGTTCGCTCATCTCGAAGCACTTGGTCTTTTCTAGGACTTGGTGAAGTTCCAGCGTGCGCGGCTCTTGAGCGTGCTCAGCTCTTGATGTGACGGCTGCGGTGCAGCCGTAGCAGCATCGCATTGGTGCCACGGCAGTATCACTAACCTCTCATCATGCTTTTAGGCCGCTGGGACTTCTCACAGACTAGTGTGTTCCCGCAATCACATCAGACGGGATTGTAAAGGTGCACGTCGTTCAATATTGTAGTTGCGCTGACGTTGCTGGACATTAAAGCTCGCCAGGTCACGACCAGCCCGGCATTACTTCTTCTGTAGAAGGACGATAAAATGCCCCAAATCGATACCACCGGGCTCTAGTCAGCTTTCTACACGCTTGCTTCTAACTGCCATGCTGCGCAACGGAGATTATGTCTCTTGCTCTTGGCATGTTGCTCTTGGCACAAGTCCAGAAGAACAATTATTCAGCTGGCGACCAGTCCGTGGCTACCAATCGGACCGATGCACGCCTGATGCAGCACGATCTAATACACTCGACATAGCGAAGTAGTTGCTAGAGTCACATAGAGGCTGACATCTTGCAGCTGCTGTGGCGATGTCAGCCTCCGCGAAGATCCGGTGCTCACAACTGACCCACGGAGACCCCACATATTCTGCGGGTTACCGCCAGTCCGAACAACAACCCAGAAGATGTCTCGATGCATAGCAAGCATGACTCTGCGGACCTGGTCGCGAGCGTATTGATCGGTCTCACGGTGATGACGAAAGGTTGGCGGACTTGTTACTGTGTCAAGCTTAAGAAGCATATGGCTTGGCATTGAATTGTTCAGGTGTCTCATTGCGCGGACCGGCATCAGCAACGATCCGTCTCACGCCCCTTCGAGAGCTCTCTGCATATCGCGCGCGATGACTGGGAGAGTCGATGGGCTCATGATCAGGTCATCCACATCCTCGCGCACCGTTGACAACATGTCGACCACTCGTGGCAAGCCGACCCTGGACGCTGACAGGCCGCGAAGATCCGTCATCGCAACTCGCCCACACACTCCAACCATGCACGAGGAGGGGCTCCACGATTGCCTATAAGATCGCCGTCTGCGTGTCTGGAGAAGGTTTGTGCTTACTTGTTCCTGAACACTGCCTCGTGGGACCCCAGACAAGATGGCGACTGAGTCGAAATCGTGGGTGCCACGCTTCAACAAGAAGTCGCTCGGCTTCTCATCTTACGTTTACTATGATCAGTTCAACCCAGGCAATGTCGCTTCCACTCATGGACGGAATTCTCTGGTTGATCTTGATTACTCACCATTGAAGCGTATTACCGGCGCCTCTTTTTTCATGGCCTTAATGGTCAGCATGGGTGGTTTCAGTATGTGATATCGATGGCTCTATCAGATATTACGTGGTACTGACAGCATCCAGTTTTCGGTTACGATACTGGGTGAGTGTCGATAAGCGGCTCCCGCTGTACAGGTCGCTAACTCTATGCAGTCAGATCTCTGGGTTTCTCGAGATGGTAAGAAGCTACTCTGCACTATACACGCCGCAAGAAGTGGCAAACTGATGTGGAGAACAGCCGGACTTCAGGGAACGTTTTGCTCAACGACGCGACAATGGCGAGCTGTACTTCAGCAACGTCCGCTCTGGTCTGATCGTTGGCTTACTTTCCATCGGTACCCTGATTGGAGCATTGACTGGTGGACCTCTGGCAGACAGGCTCGGCCGCAGACTGTCAATAAGTTTCTGGTGCTTAATCTTCTCCGTTGGCAACATCGTCCAAATTGCCGCCACCGATAAGTGGTACCAGGTCATGATGGGCCGTTTCGTTATGGGTCTTGGTGTTGGTGGCTTGTCCTTGTTGGTCCCAATGTTCATGGCCGAATCTGGACCTCGACACATCCGAGGTGCACTAATCAGTTGCTATCAGCTGTTCATCACTTTTGGCATTTTCATGGCGGCGTAGGTTTCGTACTCTTGCGATTGCATCATCGAACCGGGCTGACAACATGCTACAGATGCATCAACTACGGCGCGCACGAACACCAGCGAAACAGTGCTGCCTCTTGGCGTATCACTATGGGTATCGGCTTTGTCTGGGCTGTCATCCTTGGCTTTGGCATCTTATTGTTTGACGAGACTCCGAGGTACAATTACCGCCATGGCAAGATCGAAGAAGCAAAGGCGTTCTTACAGAAAGTGTACGGCGCCCCTGCCAACCACTATGTCCTGTATGTCGAGCTCGAAGAGATCGAACAGAAGCTCAGAGCCGAGTCTGCCCAACTCGGTGTCATCCAGGAGTGGGCTGCAATGGTATGCATTCTTTGTACTAAGTGTCTTCTGGACCCCACGCTAATCCTTTCTAGATCCGCGCTCCCAAGATGCTCTACCGCGTTGCCCTCGGAATGGGACTGCAGATGTTCCAGCAATTAACTGGTGCAAATTATTTTTTCTACTACGGAACGACAATCTTTGTCGGTATGCTTATTGCCATGCAATTTGCTTTAAGCATTTTCACTTACAATCTTTTTAGGCACGGGCATCGATAACTCCTTCGTGACACAAATGATCCTGAACGGTATCAACTTCGGAACCACCTTCTACGGCTTATACATCGTTGAGCATTATGGTCGACGCAAGTCGCTCATGGTGGGCAGTGTATGGATGTTCATCATGTTCCTCATCTTCGCCAGTGTTGGTGCGTATCTATAATGAGACTAAGACTATTGCAAACAGCCGCTGACAAAGTACAAGGACACTTTTCTCTCGACCGCGACAATCCGAAAAATACCGAGTCCGCAGCAACAGCTATGATCGTCTTGGCTTCGTTCTTCATCTTTGGATTCGCAACCACTTGGGGACCGGTATGTTTCGATTCTTGACATTCTCAATTGCAGGAGTACTGACGTGGCTATCTGCGTAGATGATCTGGACCATCTGCGGTGAGCTTTACCCAGGTCGCTACCGCGCAAAGGGCATGGCGCTCAGTACAGGTACGTGCATAGAATAGTGGTCCCCTTCATGAATGACACTGATTACCACACAGCCTCGAATTGGCTTTGGAACTTCCTCTTGGCCTTCTTCACCCCATTCATCACTGGTGCGATCGACTTCCGCTATGGTTACGTCTTCGCCGGCTGCAATATCCTCGGCGGCCTCATAATCTACTTCTTCGTCATGGAAGGACAAGGAAGGACACTCGAAGAGATCGACACGATGTATCTATCCGGAGTTATGCCTTGGAAGTCCTCCAAATGGGAAGCCCCTCCACCAGAGGAGATCTCAAGAATCAGGAAAGAAGCTGGAGTCGATTCAGATGGGGTTGCCGAGAATGGACTTGCTGCTGGTGGAAGAGGAAGTGATGAGACTGGTGAAATATCCACGGAGAAGGCCGACAACGGTAACGGCACCAATGATGTGGCCGTGCACAAGGAGACTGGCCACTGAGCGCGAGTCGCTTCCAAGTGGTGCTTTGCTGCTCGCAACGTGGTCGAGGCCGATATTTGGTCGCCCAGACGAACTGCTGATCACCGGAGAAATGACGTGGCATAATGTTCTGCCGCATGACCTATGAGCACTCGACTAATCACTCGCTAATTATCAGATACCAACGCTATAATAACCAGAGAATATTATGCAGGGCTACTCTCGTGGCCTCATGCTACGGAAACTTCGGATGATGCTAGGACGAAAGTGATCTATGAACACGTGCAAGATGGTTCTGACTTCGATTCGATATTACAGTATATTCCAAGCATCGCAGTACCTCACCTCGCGCCTACGATGATCTCGATCAGCATCTCCCTTCAATGCTGCACAGAAAAATCTGCTCTTGGGCACACCATCCACCCACAGACCGTCAAATTTGTCGAAACCAAATTTGGCGTACAACTCTCTTCGCCCACAAACAACCCACCCACTCGCTCCCAACTCTATCAAAACATCTCTCGCTTTCCAAATCAACGCTGGTCCGATTCCTTGCCCTTGCAATTCAGGTCTCACAGCGACAGGTCCAAGTCCATACCAACCTTGACCACCCATGTTTCCGACCTCATCCTTCTCCCCATATCCTATTTCAGTCCCGTGCGAAACAATGCTCACAGGCGACACAGCAACATAACCCACCAAAAATTCATCTTCATCAATATCTTCGCCTTGCTGACTGCTTCCAACCCCGGTCGTAGCAACAAGCGAAACACTGAGCTGCCCCGCATTTCTCAACTTCTCCACGACTTCGAACTCTCGATGTTGGAGATGCGATTTCTTCGCGAAAGCGGCTGAGATAACTTGACGTATAGCTTCGTGATCTTTAGGTCGCTCGGGCCGGATCTTGAACGATGGATTTGATGATGTTCTCCGATGGGCATTTGCGGACGCAAAAGAAGATTGCATTGCCGTCGCAGACGGATGTCTGTGCAGAGCAATAGCAAGAGATGGTCGCTTTGTTGCCTTGTGGAGGATATGACGAGCAAGCATTGGGGGCAAATCGGAGGAGACGGGAGAGTTCTGTGATTGTGTGAGTAGAAAGAAGATCTATCTGTTATGCAAGCTTGATGATGGCTAAAGCTAATGTTGCTAGGGTTATTTTTCTGGCATGGGTTTCAGCAGAATCCCCCAAACAACAGTGTCTGCATGATTTCATAGCCCAGTACCGCAATCTCGTATCCTTTTGTTGCCTTGAATTTGTCTTCGGCGTTTGTCAAGGACTACACGCAGCTTCACGCTGGTAATGATCTCCATTTCCTCAGGAAGCAATTTGTTAGTCTACCAGGGAGTACTAGGTGAAAAGGCTAGAAATGTCAAACATGTCCGGCTGATCGACCACTGTCCCCTCTTTGAGTGCTCTACGATACTCTCTGGATGCTCGCTTTCTCTCTTCTTGCCGCCTTGCTTTCTCAGAACGTGTCCTTGCCTTGTCAACCCAAGCAGTATCCGCTGGAGTTATGTCTAACATTTCGACGCTCGCTATATCTTCGGGCTGTAATCCGTGATTGGCTCTGCAATGCTCATTCGGACGAGCTTGTGCTCTCGCAAAATCGAGTAGGTCCTGGAACGTCAGACCTGTTGTGGACTCGAGCTCCGCTTCGACCTCTATATCATGTGAACAGCGCACAGTATAGCGAAGACGCTTGCATGGTGGCTGGGACAGAAGTGCTCCTTGAAGACGGTTCTTCGACATCCATCTGGCGAATGATCGTGGGGCGAGTGTAAACCAGCCAGAGAGATGGATTTTGTGGGACTCGGGATTGAGCGAATATACAATCGGCTGCCCCTAGATGGTTGTGTTAGCATTTCTTGCCAGTTGACCATTTTTGCCGTGCTGGCATTGAAATGAACTACATGATCGCGATAGTAGTGGGGTGGGGTTGCACTTGAGAATTGAAAGGATGTAACTCACGACATTCTGCAGGGCTGGATGAAGTGTCGATGGCACGAAGGCATTGCAGTACAACCACCAGTCCGGCAAGCGGGAGACCATTCTCAATTTGAGTGTACCATAGAAGAGTTGCAACATCCATTCCGATCTCTCCACGGGCTCGACAAAGCGCTTTTGGCGCAGCACTCTCGATGCTTGGATCACATCGTTCCACAGCCGGCAGACACGCCTGAAGCGGTTAAGGTCGGAGAGGTCTAGATAGACTAGCACTTGTTCGAGAAGTTCGACTATGTTGAACAACTTGGAGGCTGAGCCGCTTGGTTGGCGCAAGTCCGGTTGCGGGCGAGTCGCACCGAATGCTCGATGGGTAGCCGACCTGATTTTGATCATGACTGGAGAAACATGAGCAATCTGCGAATGCATCGTTGCACAGGCACTGACGGTGTATGATCATTTCTAACCAGGCGGTTATCTTCATGGCGACTTCTTCTGAGAAGAAGCAATCCAGTTCATCTTCGAGCATCGTCATCGTTGAGGTTTAGTATTTTGTGATGCATGAGGTGTTTGTTATTGTGATGAGGAAGCGTCACGCCGTTGCAATCGCCCCAGAGGAAGCTGCTTCCACGCGCAGTTGTTGCTTCACTTGTGCTTGCCTCAACGACTGCAGCCTTACTTGGCAGGAAGCACTGAGGCTTGAATGTGCGCGCAAGTCTTACCGCGAACCATCACAACATCTTTGTATGTGAGCAGTCCAAGATTGATCGCGACTATTGACTCGACTGCAGCCACTCACATGGGATTATCGCCAATCGGGATGCTGTCTGTACTCTGATGCACTGCACTCATCCAGAATGTGCTTTCGTGTCACTGTTCCTCTCGTCAATTGAACTCTGGACAACCAACATCAGCTTAGTACAAATTGCTTACCAGGAAAAAGCCTTGCCAGTTGGCATGGCCAACTCAGCCCGTAGCCTGGTGCTCTTACGGTATCCCCGTCAACGCATGAATTGAATCGTGGCAGCACCCAGGCCACCATCACTCCTTTGCTGTAGCCGTTCAGTTCTCCAGCGAGTACTCCTCAAAGAGAGCAGACAGATCACACTCTTCCGAACGATCGAAGACAGAAATCTTGTCCAGGCCCTTCCGGTTCTCCTTGACCGCGAGCTTCTTTTGCGCCACCAGCTCTCTCCTTTCGTATTTTCTCCTCGCCGTATCGATCCGAGCTTTGTTCTCATCGTCAGTCACGTTGGTGACGTCTAGCAAGGAGAAGTGTACACATGGGCGTGACGATGTATGAGTCTCGGCGTTCCTGGAATTTGCGAGATCTACGAGGTCTTGAAATGTCACGCCAGTCGCAGAGTGAAACACTTCATTCGGCGGTGAAGGGGAGAGGGTCCAGCAACGAAGGCGCTTGCACGGCGGCTGACATATCAGGGCTTTGTGCAGGTTGTTTTCAGACACCCATGCGCGAAGTGATGACAGCGGTTGAACGTGGATTTGGCAAGACAGGTCCCATCCAAGCGGACCTATATGCGGGGCAAACTGACGCTGTGTGGTCTTTGTTAGCGTTTGATCCCAATGAGTTACAATACGTCGCGCTTGTTGGTGCGGAAAATCCGCTATGGTAGTGTAGAAGCGTGCGAGGGAAAGAGAGTAGGACTCACTGGTGCTCGAGCCACCGCTTTGTAAAACGCTGGGTGGAGTTCTGATGGCACCCAACACTCTGTGTCTTGCCCGGGCACCCATTTTGACATTCTGATACCGGATCTGAAGCGTGGGCGCCGTATTACCTGCTCCCGAGGCTCAATTGGCTCGAGAAAACGGACTTTTCGCAGCGTTCTGGAATCCTCAATCACGATGTTCCACATCTTACATACGCGTCTTGCTCGGGTAAGGTGCTCGATATCCAGGTGGACTAGCACTTGTTCGAGAAGCTCCACTATGCTGAATGTCTTAGGGACTGCAGAGGGCCGATCGGGATCCGATTCGACGAGAGCTTCATCAGAAGGTCTGGGATCTGACAGCGTATTCTCGCTGGAGACTGAATAACGTAAGCAGTAGTTAGACGTTTATCTGAGTCACGGCTTGCCTTCTGTGATATTCCCAGGCTCGCCGCTTGTGCGCATGAAAGGATCCGTAGGTGGAATCTGCGTCGAGTGCATCTCGTCTGGGGTTATCTAGTAGTAGCAGAACATGCAAGGATCTTCAATGTCCCGTGCTGGATGTGTCAGGTATGTGCGAAGGCTTTCGAGGAAGCTTCGAGTGACTAATAGAGGCGCACAGACCAGTCTTTCACTTTCACATGCGTCAATGGGTGTGACTCGGCCAACAATTTGCGGTACAGAGATTCAAATCCGTTACTGCTGCCTCTGTGCTTGCACCTCATCAATAACATGAGTACCAATGCTGCACCGGTCAATCCTACTGTTGGCAAATTCATCATCTCTTCAAGACATGTATCTCCATATCAGGAGTACATCGTTCTCTTGAAGTCCTCGTGGTGCTGGGCCCGCCACTTGCCGCATATTGCCTGAGGTTGCATACTTCGGCTCAAACTCTTGTGCCATCCCCCTCCTGATCCAAGATAAATTCTATTCTGCTTGTCGCTTCGACTGGAACTCCGCCCATACTTCCATGATTGTGCAAAGTAGGTGGCATGCGAAATGGTTGTCTGTCAATAATGAATCGTGGCCGAGCTGTACCCCTGGTCGAGAACTCCTGAAACATTTTCGCAAAATTATCGCTGGTAGCCATGGGCTGATTGAGCAAACTCCAGAGTTCGACGCGGGACCTGAAATCGGTGGGCACAAAGTGAGAACGTGTGCTGATTCCGGTTGGAAAGCCATCCACGTCCTCAGTATGCGGTCGTAAACTCCAACTGCAGAATCCCGGCTTCGTGAGTGAATGAGCAAGCATATCCGGGGAGTTCTCGGGAATTGGGTCTTGTGTCGGGATATTGCCAGCTTTGGTGTGAATCCAGATATTGACCACCCGAACCGAGAGCGCCTATTTTCATTTCCTTTCCTCCTGTCTCAAGCACTTCTCCGTGGAGTAGTGATCAATGTCGAAACCGTTATTTCTCTCATCTCCTCAAATTCGTTTTCAAGTCACCACAGTAGCCCCTTGTCGTACTTTATGTCCATCGTGTTGCAGTGAACTCCGTCGATGCCACATTCTGTGAATGAAGCTCTTCATCTCCTGTACTGAAGTCTTGCGCGAGAGGCCCTTGTGCGCAATAGTGCTCGGCACGCTTTCATCTTTGGCGAAACTTGTGTGCGGACACCGGTGTAAAGACAGATCGGGCTCTTCGTCCCAGATGCCTCGTTCATGGAGGATTGCTGTAATCTTCGGGTCCGATTGTTTGCCCATGTTGTATGTTTTTTCTGCTTGAAATTGCGATTCTGCAAAGATGTCAGCATTGAAGGCAGGAGCACTCGTGGCCTTTTATGCATTCTGATGTTGCTTATCCCTGTCATAAGGGGAACGCGGAGGTTGTCTCACTTGTGGGGTGACGCTCGGAGCTTGTTGACGCTAGGCGATGACAGGGATCGCTGTGTCACGGCATGCGCCATTTCACTTTTTGATTTTCTTGTTGGTCTTTATACCGCTCACGAGACGCTGCATATTTCACGAATTGTAAGCATGGCTCTCTCGTCACTCGCTCCATCTCTCGACACGTCTCCAACCGCAAACTCGTCCACGCATCGCGAGGAGTCTTAAGTTCGCCGGAAGCACTCGCTTCTGGGATCAGGCTTTGCTGTCGCTGACCGGGCTCAAACATGCATAAACGGCCGCGAAGAGCACCGTCGTCAGCAACATGGCAGCACTGCATTGGCCCAGACGGGCATTCTTTCGGACTGTTGAGTGCTAGCAGTGGTCGCGTGAATGCATCTCCAGATGGCGCCCTATTCCCCAGACTATCAAATGCCGAACACAACCGCTATTGGTCATGTCGCAGGCGCAAGCAGCTTTAAACGGAAAGCGAGGAGCATCGGCGTCTGCTGGAAGTTGTGATATGACTGCGCTTGAGCCAATACCGGGTCACCTTGGAACGCTGGCTCTCGCATTGCGTCGAGTACAAGGCCTTGGTCGAAGAAGGGCTGCATAAGCGCCCAAAATGGTCGGTGAAACACCCACTGCAGAATGTGAGTATGAGGCCGGCTGATAGAAGAGCGAATCACTCACCAATGGCTCTGGTTGCCCTCGCACTGCCTCACTCTTCGAGGGCGGTATATTGAGATACCGTGGCACTTTGATATATGTGCTGAGCTGCTGCTTACCGGTCTTGGGATCTTCGAAGATCTCCATCCCGCGATGACCTGCGGGTTTTGAGAAAGCTGGATGTAGATCGACTATCACTACCCGACCAGTTGGTTTCAACATCAAAGGTAAGGCTTTTGCTAGAGGTTGTAGATCTGGCAATGACTTGAGAGTTGTGCTGATAGTAATCACATCAAATCGGCTGCGGTGGTTTATCAGCTTAGACTACCGACTTCATAGATTGATCAGACGCACTCCTTATCGGCCATGTACTTGGCCATACCATCATAATCCATGAGATCAATGAAGTCGTAGGTGATGCTCCCAACGACGTGCTCACTCTTACTTCGCGCCCTGCCCTTCTCGAGCATGGCTTCTGAAAAGTCCAGTCCGGTGACATTGGCGCCGTGCTTGGCGAATCGACGAGCAATGATGCCGCTGCCAGCTCCGAGATCCAATACGGTTTGACCGAACTTCCACTCGGCCAGCTCATCGACTACGGGCAGCAGACACTGCGTGAACATATCGTTGCCATCGTCGGCCTTGCCATTTACCTCGGGCGACTGGTTGACCTCCCAATCGCCTGCGATTGCGTTCCAGGCGTTCAGATTATCTTGCGTATATTGGTCAAAACTGCCACTTGCTGGATCCTTCACCAGACCGCCGGCATCAATGACATTTCCAGGAGCATGTTTTGCCATTGTTGGGCCGGGGTGATCAGCCAGGTCGGAGTGGGCAGAATCTCGTCGTGGGAGGAGCTGCATTTGGCGTCAGCGGCTTCAATTTCAACCCCGCGCGTCGCAAATTGCTCCAAAGCAGTTCTTTCTTGGTTGCGGCAACTTACGACTTGGTTCCTCTTTGTTTCCCAGGACTCCAGCACTTATCATTGTGATGAGCTGCGATCAGGCTGTAGGCTGTGTAAATGAGTCCGAAGCGCTTCGAGGCCTGTTTGCCGCGCTCAGCCTCGTCGAGATGGCGCTAACTAATGCACACCTCACAGCCCATGTGGGCTGCTCACTCGGGCGACGAAAATCATTGGCCTGAGGCACCCGCTCCTGCAGCTTCATCCTTCGCTGGCAACACGACGGGCGGCTTAGAGGCCGCACGACGGACGCAGGCGCAGTAGTATTAAGGCTGACCGTCTGCTGGTCAAGTTATGGTATACTATGCTCGATAGTTCATAGTGTCCTCGCCCATACACTCCTCTCGGGAAACTAGACAGGCACAGCAACCATGTTCTCGAATCTGTTTCGTACGGCATCCAATGCTAAAGCACCTCAGGCTGAGCACTTCGAATTACCTCTCCACAAGCCGCGACAAGGCCAGCCCGTGGACCTATCAATACCACCCGAGATAGAGGCCCAGCTCAAGAAGTTTCCGGCCGACAAACAGGCCACGATCAGAGAGAAGATCAGGAAGTTCAAAGATGCCATTCAGCCGCACACAGACGAGGGTGGAGACGCCCACTATATTGGTGATGCTTACGCACATGTGAACCCTGACTGTGTGCGCGAATGGTCTAAGGATCAAAAGTATGTCTCCATTGATGAAGTCTCGAATGACCCTGCTGACGAATGGCGCCAGGCCGGGGCCATATCTGCAGTACGTGGAGGCTATCTCCAAGAAGCTAAAACATCTGGAATACTTGTCCTTATGGATGCTCGTAGGATGCGCTCCTCCAAAATGGCGCTTCATTAGGAACGAAGAGGAGAGCCGTAAGGAGCGCATCTGCCGAACCAACGTCTGTGTCATTGATTACAGGGACTCATCCGACACGATTACGAAGCCGTTCACTAGCACTCCGGATCTCAAGGCATTTCTCAACAATGCAAACCCCCCAAATGGACAGCCTGCGGTCCGACTGGTCATTGCAGAAGACCTGTCGCGTGACCTGGTCGACATGCTGGGTGAGCACTACGACATCGACCCACTGTTCTTCCTGTCACACATCGGCGACTACCTGTTCCACAATACGAGAGATCGATGGTGCGAGCTACCAGATCTGGATGTAGATACCAGGAACAGGTCTCACTCCACCATCACGTATCTGCGGGCTCGGTACTTCCAAACGGAAAAAGACTTCATCGAGGCAGAAAGGCAAAGCGGAGGTTTCAATGTTTTACGCCGGCTCGACGGCGATCGTAGTCGCAAAAGCCTGCAACGCAGCCTCCTCGATGACCCCGAAGCTAGCGTGACTTTGACACGAGCAAAGTCTTCCTTGTGGATCAAGCCCCGGGTCGCAGGCGAGCCTGTCGTCGCCGTACTCCTGGTCGATCCCACTGTGAAAACGGGGCACTCCATCTGGGGCGGCTATAGGCCCTTTGAGGCCACGCCCACAATGAAGCAATGGACGCAAAAAGCAGATACCGAGCCAGAAGCTCCGCCCCGCACAAGCTTGTTCGACGACGTAGTATACTGGAGTTGCAGACTCACACCAGGAGACCTGCAACTCGTGAAGGAGGACCCCAAGTACATCGCCCTGCCCATGTACAAGCTCGTCATCGCCGACTGGCTCGTAGTGCTCAAATACATGACCACAATGTTCGGCCTCATCGAATGGACCTTCTCCAAACCCCACTGGGGTGAATCACCTGGCGACATCGATGAACTGCTCACGAGAATCGCTCCCTGGCGGCGAAATGTCCCTTACTACCAGGCCATGGTCGACGATAGCATCGCACGGCTCTTCCCCGCCATCGCCGTAGCCTATCCTACAACCCCAGCAAATCTCGTCGTCCCCGCCCCAGACATCTCCAAAGGAATCTACTCCCTCTGGTCTGACTTCAAAAACATCAAACACCAGTTGGACGAGCATAAACGCCGCATCCAATCGATCCAAACCATGGCCACCAACGCCATCAACAACGAAGAAGCCCGCCGAGCTGTGAAACAAAACACAAACCTGGCTCGCCTGTCCTTCCTCGCGACGTTCTTCATCCCGCTAAATTTCACATCTTCCTTCCTCAGCATGTCCCCTGACTTCCCCACAGCGAGCAACTATACCACAATCTGGCTATTCTTCGTCCTCGGCATCCCAATCACAATCCTCGCCTTCATCATTGTGGACTTTACTAAACCTGATAAGAAAGGAATCACGCGACAAGCCTGGCTCAAGATCCATCCGGAGAAACCCAAAGCCGCCGAGGCCATGGGAACACAGGCTTCTGAGCCTGGAGACAAGCCGAAGACGAGGAGCACTATGGGTTGGCTAACTAACAGAGCCGAAACATTCCGCCGGCCGTAATCTGAGGCAACTTTCTATTTTGTTTCTGTTCTTTTTTCGTTCAGCGGCATCGAAGCAATTTTGACGAGATACGATCCTGATGATGATATGATGGAAATTTATAGAAAACGCATTTTGTGATGGATTTATGATGACGAGAAGTTTCGAGAGTTGTATGTACACGACAGAGACTGCACAACATAGGCATATAGAAGAGGGAATGGCATAGAGGTACTTGGCGATAGCAACATCTTTCACTTCCCGCAGGCCGACCAATCAGTCATTTCATCGTCGACCGAGAGGCGGAGGCCTCGATTCGTACAAGGTACGCCGCCATGCCCTAGCGCAGGATCCTCCATTGAATCATGCGAGCAGGACCGCTCGTGTTCGGGCCCGTATTGTGCCTCCATTGAGACACCCGCTCTTGCGCCTGAAGCTAGTTGTAAGACACTGACCGGTCTGGCGGGGCATGAGTATTGTAGACTTTCTCGTATACATAAAGCACTGCCTCGTGAAACGGCTAAACGCGGCAGGCTCAATGCGGTCGCGATTGGGGCCGGTCAGCGGCCCAGCTTACAACCCGTGGTCACACTAATCCCTTCCCTTTGGCCTGTTGCACAGCCCACGGGACTTGTAGTCGCATTCCAGGATGGGTTGTCTCAGATGGCTCCTGTGAAATGCGTGATGTGAAGTGGCATCACCAATCCAGGCCCTGGAAGGAATCCTTCTGTCCCTGCGAGATTGAACCACCAATCATGTCCTGCTACTCGGCATCGATGGGCCATTTCCGCCAGTCCAGGACCAGCACATCTTGTGAAAATGCAGTGCTAAGATCGCCATCTCAACAAAAAACTCAACGATGGCAGTTGACAGCGAATCGCAAAAGCGCGGCATCATGCACTGCTCGAGTGCTCTCAGCAGCGGGTCCGGTGAGCCCCTGTGAGCGCGGCAGGCTGAGTTTGCACCTTGAGAATGCGCGAATTTTGAGGAGAATGGCGGGGATGCCGTTTGTGAGGCCGTGGCGGCCCTGTCGGTGAAGATGGAGGACGTAGGGCATGGGACTGTTGTCGTTCGCCTGCCCACGAGGTGGAAGCATCCTCATGGGTCGTCATAACGCTGGCGTGGAGCTCTTTTCCTGCCCACTCCCTTCTTGTTGGACTGCCCGCTGTGCTCCGCCTCTCCTAACATGCGTAGTTTGAACATCTTCAAGCGCACAGCTGTGGGGGTTCTGCCCAAACGCTCCGCGATGTTGCGTGTCCTCGTCCCTTGCTCATACAGTCGTTTCAGTTGTGCAGTATCTTCATCTGTCCATTGATGCGTTTTGGAAGGACATGGCGATGTCTCTGACATTTGATGCCAAAACGCGTGCTTGTGGCAGATTGTTTGCCAGCGGAGGTACAAGGAATTGCGTGATCTGTGTGGAAGTCTCGCGCGAATCGCATCCCAGCCCTGACCATTTTGCAACAGGCCCACAATCATTGCATCCTCTTCTGCCGTATATCGGCTGAGACCTGTACCACGTTTGTTGGGAGCCAAAAGATAGTTCACCCTGGCAATGGTCATGCCTAGTTTCGCTGCGATGTTTCTCCTGCTGTAATTCTGATCCCGCAACTTCTCCACCTGCACCCTCTCTTCCTCCGCGACCGAAGTCGGTGGCTTGCGTTGCTGGAGGAGTTCTTGTGCCCTTTCTGCCAGGCTTTTATCGACTCCGTTGCCCGTGCTGATCAACCAGAAACGCCTGCGGACTGAGGTGGTTGCCCTCCTCAGCTCTCGTCCGATCTCCCTCGAAATCAGTCCGGATGCTCGGAGCTCCAGTAGCTTGCGCTCCTCCTCTGCTGTCCAGACTTTGTAATTTCGCAGGTCGTCGACCGCCTCTCCTTCGCTGCGGAGGTCATCGCTGGCGGTCGCATTCCAACGTCGGGCGACGACTGCGCGGAGATCGGTGGAGAGGATCTGGCATGAGACGCGGATGCCTCTGCGCAAGAGTAGCATGCTTCCAAAGGGACATGTCGTGGAGAAATGTGGTGCAAGGGAGACGCGTCTGTTGACACGTGAGCGCGCGATCGGATCGAGCTCGTGGCTGCCACACTTTCGCCCAGTGACGTCACGTCCGCGTAACGTTTCGCCAGGCGCTCTTCGTCAAAGGAAGGAGCGCATATTGTGTGGCAGATCAAGATTCATTAACGACATGGATTCTGCTCCATAATAATTGACCCACCTCCGCCTCTCCTACTTCATATATCTCCATCCTACCGCCTTCACCATGGCGAGCGAACCGGGACTGACCGATTTCCTCCCCATCCCGCACAATACGGATCCCGACAAGGAGGAAGTGGCGCGATCATTAGCAGACAAACCAACAGCTAGTCACGCTCTGGCCATGGCAGCCCACGACGAGCCGCACGACGAGAAGGGCGCCGCCCAGATCTCGCACGACGACGAAGTCAAAGATCTTGGCTGGCAAGACCATGTCGATAAGATCCCCAACCCCCTCGTGGGCGGCATGCTCAACGAAGAGTTATGGGTCCTCGTCAGACGGTTCAACAAGCAAATGTACCACGTGAAAGAATATCCTTACGCCGTGCCAGGCAATCTGGATCTGAACATTGCTGATGAAGAAGAATTCTCGCCCGACAAATTACGAGCCAACATCGAACGATTATACATGACCGTGGGCATTGGCCTTATGACCTTCGGAAAGCACATTGCACGTATCAGATCCTGGCGAGAAACACGAAGAACTACCTACTTTGCTGCGGCCTACTTCATCGCCTGGGCTTTCGATCTGCTCATACCTCTAATCCTGGGATTCATTGTGGTCCTGATCGCCTACCAGCCAAGTCGTTCCATAGTATTCCCACCAGCTCCTTTGGCCATAGTGGATGCATCTACTGGTGGCGTTCAAAAGCCAAAAGCAGGTGTTCTCGGATCGACGGACTCCGCAACTGGAGCACCTGAGAAGCACAAGGGAGAAGCCGTGGAAGCTGAAGCTAGTAGCTTCGTCAACGGCATCGCTTCCGTTGCGCTCTCGAGTGTTGCTGGCAAGCATCCGCAGAATGACCCGCCCTCAGTCTCGGAAGGCATTGATAAGACTAATGATAGCATACCTGATCCAACTGCCATGGCCGTCAGTGCCAGCAATGCTCGTGATCAAACAAGCGGCAAAGGCGATGTCACTGCCAAAAACAAGGCAAAGGTGCCGGTCGAGACGGCGATCTGGAACAAGATGCGCCCTGTCATGCACGGCATCGCTGATGTCTCTGACACCTGGGAGCGATTCGGCAATGCCTTGGATCCCACCAAGCCATTTCCACAAGAGATGTACCGCCTTCGCATCGCTGCAATTGTCATTCCGCTCTTTGCTGCTTCATTCTTCATTTCTGCGTACATGGTCGTGAAAGGCTTGACCTTTGGCATTGGCTTCGGCTTCTTCGGAGATCCCGTCATTCAACGAGGGTTGGCATGGCTTAACAGCCACTTTCCTAAGTGGCAGAAGCTACTTGAGTTACGCAACACTCTTCTGAAGGGTGTTCCTACCAATGCTCAATTGACGATCACTCTGCTGCGCGTTGGTGAGGCGAACAAAGCACCTTTGCCACCTCCACCACACTCTGGAGACATACCTCACGACGAGCCTGTAGACCTGACCGAAGACGACCTTCGTGCGGCTGGTGCGGACTGGCCCCTCAATGCTACGGATGAGGAGATTGCTGCTGCTGTTGCGCACGATCCAAATACAGCACACGAGACCGCTGGAGGCGACGTTGATACCGCGAAGGAGAAGAAGCATGGCAAAAAAGGATCGAAAGTTCTCAACTTCTTCAAGACTAGCATCAAAGGCGGCGTTGACACTGCTCTGGGCGTCGACCATATCAAAGCCAAGGCGGGCAGTGAGCCTTCGAAACAGAGACTCGGAGTCATACCGGGCAAGAACGAATCCCACGTTTCCGGACCTATCGAATTCAAATGCAGATATCACGGCAAGCGTGGCCATGCATATATTGCGACGAAAGCGACAATTCCTTGCGTCGGTTTCAGTTTGGACAAGTCGATCACGGGTGCTGATGGAGCACTTATCGAAGATCTACATCCTGTCTGGACAGTAGCAATCGCGGATATCAAGGAGCTGAAGAAAATCGGTGGGCTGGGATGGAAGTCGAAACTGGTCGTTGGTTGGGCATTAAACTCGGAGGTTGCCGACGGTTTGGAGATTGTGGATAAATTGGGTAACAGCTGGATCATCACGGCCATGCTATTGAGAGACGAGCTCTTCAATCGTCTCATCAGCATGGGTGGGCAAAAATGGGAGGCTTGGTGATCAGTTCATACTTGGGATGCATATCGACAGAAGGGCGTTTGGGTTGAATACAGGATACTGGAGCCGCAGCTGGCTTAGCGGAACACACTGAACGATGCGATACAACGATACCCATGAGGGATGAGCATATGCTTTTGGTATACATTAATTTGATCTTTGACGCTTCTCACAATGCGAGACTTCAAGTTGACACTACACAGTAAATTCTTCGAAAAGTCCATTGGAGACAACTGCGACTTTTCCATGTCGAGGGAACAGCACATCACCGGCAGGCGTGATAGAGGCCATTTCTAGCAATTCTGCATTCTGCCAATCCCTCGGGAGAAAAAAGTGCTTGCGGATTACCGCGTCGGGTCCTTGCGTTTCCGCGAAGGTGAGGTTGACAGAGCAGACCCAGAAGTCCCTATCTACGAAGATGAACGTGCTGTATATGAGCTGCTCTGTGAAGGAGTCCCGGCGGGGTGAGGAATTGATCAATTCCGCATCGACGAAGCCCAACGGCATGTAGAGCACTTCAATGAGTCTGGATGGGACCAATCGGACAGGTATTGATTGTGGGAGTGCTTCGATTTCGAAGTGCTTCATCTCTAGCAGCAAGCACGCCGTGCGACGATTTGAGTGTATCATCGCATTATAGATATCGATTATGGCCAAAGTGTTGTCAGGCGAGATATACACCTTGTGGACCGTGTGATTGATGTCGCTTGGACTGAAGGGATATGCTTGAGAAGGCCGGTCTGCACTAAACAGCTGCGCTATACTGAATTGATCTCCATCGGCGCGGAATGCCTTATATGGCAAGCAAGTCGACTCCAAGGGGCTCTCCAGAGACATTACGGTGACGTGATCAGCGCTGAATCCTAAAGCAAGGGATTTGTCTCTTGGGTGAATGATCCACTTGCTCGGCCGTGCAGCAGGCACAATAATTGGTGCAAGGTCTTCAAAGACGAGGTGAAGTTTCGTGGCAGAAGGCGTCACCACCAATAATGTATCGCCATCGGTATCCAGCAGGATCTGTAGAACCTCTTCCGACTCTGAAAAAGTCCTGACTGTTTCGATGTTTTTCGTCTGGTATAATCCGTCGTGCAGGTTGTCGATCTTCCTGATTGTGATGTCGTGTCCCAGGTCGACACTTGCCAGCAAGCAAGCCCGCTTGCACCATGATAGGTGCTCAATGCTCATGAAGCCGCCTGGTACTTCCGCTACGACTTTTCCGTCGAAGTTCGCAATTGTGATTTTACCACCCTCGTCTCCAAAGGCATATAAACTCTCGCCTCTAAATGTCAACAAAGCTGTTATTGACTCAAATTCCTCTTGCTCGCGACGCGATTCTGCGACCACGGATTGGTCGTCTTTTTCACAGCCAAAGTAGTTATCACTTGCTGTTTCATCGCCCTCCTCCAATGCGCGAAGAAGACCGCTCGGCTCCCAGATGTTGCAAAATTGCTCCCGAAGATCGTACACTCTAGCTTCATTTATGTCGAGATCTCGAATTAAAGACGGATACTGTATCTGCGCAATCGGTATGAAATGCTCAAAATTCCAGATTCGTATGGTGCCATTCTTTCCTCCAGTGACGAAGATTCTGCCATCAGCTGAGCACTTTATCGCGTTGCCTCGAAACTTGTGGACATCGAGGTCACGGTGCTGTGGATGCCATCTGAAGACTCCGCCATCAAAGTACGTGCCAAGAAGGTGACCCGTCAGAGGATTCCAAGCAAACGCACCAGCATGCGAAGCTCTAGTATGCTGATGTCGAGAAATAGCAGTTCTGGGACTGCTACTCCCGTGCCGATCCAGGTACGCCACGAAGCACGGCTCAATCCCTCCAAGAAACCATACAGCTGGATTCGCGCCGCGGTACGAAATCGCAATGTACAGCCCATCTGGACTGAACTGAGCGTTGTGAGGTGCATTTACTTGGTACGGCTGCGTCGAATCCGAGTCTAGACTTCCCCCGAAACATCTCCACTGAAAGCGCATAGCTGACAGAGAGCATATGCGTAAAACGCGATCGTCGGAGAATGTCAGGAGCGTCTCTCCCAGCTGCTTGCTCTGTTGGAAGCAGATCGTCAAAGCTCTCGCGTATTTTGGATTCTCCATGCTACAGATGAGTTCTCCACTCTCAATGTTCCAGATCGTGGTCTTTCTGAGTCCGTAGGTTGCAATTCTTGAGCTAGAGCTATCAGCAGAAAATGTCAAAACTCTGTCCCCATGCGAGAGTCGCTGAGTAAGCTCGCAAGTATTTGCATTGTAGATATGCACTGTGCCATCTCCTTTCGTCAAGATCGCAAAGTAATGACCGAGACTGAGGATTGAAGTTGGTGTAGAGTCGCTTGCGACCGCGAAATTGGCAAAGCAATCATCCCATAATGGGTTGAGGTCACCACGAATCTTGAGTCGCGGCTGCTCTACCGGCAACGAATTCTGGCAAGCTGTGCCGAACTGTTGATAGAGTATAGACTCCTTCGGACAGAAGGCAGGCATCAGATTATACACAGACATCGGTGACCGGATGATCTGCGACCCGAATGTGCCTACAACATGAACCAGGTCTTGGGTCCATTGCAGCAGGAAGTTTTGATCGTGTCGAATGAGCCACGACGAGTCAACTTCTGGAGACGCTTCATTTAGAGCCACCAGAAACTCTTCCAGCGCTTTGCTTGCTTGGATAATTGCACGCAATTGTCCAGCCTCTGCTAGTAATTTTATCCAGTCCAAAGCTGCCCGACTACGTAACAGTGCCATCACAGAATCGAGCGAGCTGTAGTCATCGAATCCTAAGCTCAGCTTAAGATGGAACGGCCAGGAGGATGCAGCATATGCATCGAATGCTAGGGCGCGGTTTCCCCGTGCACTATCATCCTTCCGGCCAGGAGTCAGCCGTCTTATGCACCTAGTGAACAGGGTGTGATGAGATTTGTGTACATCGACATGAAAATTAAGAGCTGAGTTTGACATCAGGACTTCCCTGACCGAGGCATGCGCCATCGTCACACACCCATTCTTGTCGATGTTCACGAAGTCGCCGCAACACTCCCGTATGGTTCGGCCAATGTCCGTGATCTCAGGATAATTGTCGTCAAGTGCAGTCCTGAGTTCATCGAGATGTAGTGGCCGGCGGGCGCATGATGCCCAAATGATTATGATACGACCCAGCTCCCGTGTCTCGGGGCGGTAACGAAATGTTTCTGCCAGGTGTTCGTCCATACGTTCATATAGTGGCGCAAGACCTTCAGGTACCCGCTGCAATACCTCTTCCGCTTCAAAGTCGGTGCGACACTCAACAAGCTCTTGAACAACAAGGTGTGCCCATAAAAAGGTCCCGTCGGCTTTTTCTAAGACTTCGTTCACTATCCGTTCTTTGAAGCCACTGTCACCCGGCATGAACTCCAGCTGATCTCGAACATACATCTCTATATCCTCAGTGTTATTCTCAAGGGAAAGTGACAGCACGTCCATGTATGCTTTCAATCGCTCGATCGAGGTCTCAATCTCGAGCGTGCGGCGGCTGATCATGAGCAGGCGTACAGGGATGTTGGCGTTCGCAAGTTCTACCAGTAGTCGCTGTAGAAGCTCCTCAGTTTGTCGGAACTCATCTAGACCGTCGACTACAACGTAGAATGGCTCCATTATATTGCATCGCAGCAATGAAGACATAAAGAGCTTCTTCCATAACAACTTGTACCCAGCTTTGCTGACCTCGAATGATTCTCGAGCAAGCGAAGCAAGTTCAGCTTGATACTCTGGTATAAAGCGAGATAGCTGCCATGCAATAGAAGCCAAGAAATGGCTCAAATTGTTCTTCTCTTGATGATTGGATCGGAAGTAGTAATAGGCGCAACTTTTCGAATTTTCCAAGAGGCTCTCAATTATGTACGTTACGGTGAAAGACTTGCCGCTGCCAGGGCCGGCAAAACACCACAAGAGCTGGGGCTGAGAGGCAGTGTCGTTGAGGAAACATTTCATGTTCGCCTGATCGAGAACCCATTGACATGATCCTACAGTCCGCTCAACAGAAAGTTCCAATAATGTGTCTTGAGGTGCATCGTATCCGTGAAAAAGTCTTTCAACGTCTTCAGCCTGACTGACAAGGCCTTCATGGGAGAGAGATCGTGTTCTCTCTCTGGGCTTGACGGCATTGTGCACCAAGACCAGCTCCGTGAACGGCCTGTCATTTGGCTTGTACAGTGCAATGAGCTCGGCGGCCTTCCTGTAGCCTTCATCTGCGTGATAGCATCTCTTTACGGGTGTTTTTGCAAACAAGCTCGGCTGTGGAGAATGTCCATTACGAGCGTCGGCGGCACCTGCGCGACTGTCATGTTCGTGATATGTGGACGTTGGGCAGAGCGTTCGTTCTTCGAGGTCCGGGTCGGCCGAACAAGCTCCTGGCTGTCCATCGAACGAATAGCATTGTAGAGTTTCAGGCTCAAGACGAAGTGAGCGAGATGGACGGCTTTCTGGCTGAGGGAATTGTTTCCTCGTGTCAGCGTGATCGCGTTGTTCACGTTCACGTCGCGGTTCGCGGTCCGAGGCCGGCCCGATGCCGAACTCAAGTGTCGACATGGAGTTCCAGTCGTACAATGGCTTCAGTCTTTCACCACAAGTACAACAATCATCGACTTACATCTAAACAGGACCAACCTCAATAAGAAGACTATCCCAGAATACCGCCCCATACTTCCTGCTCCTTGTGCGGCGTCAAATATGGACCTACGGCGCTTGCTAGTACGCTGAGCTGCAGCCAATGCACGAGTTGGGCGCTTCGCACTAAGCGAGTATCGGATCCGTCGATGTCTGGCGATATGGGTGTCATCAGTTGAAGCTTCGCGATGCGGCAAGCTTGAGGCGCAAGGCGTCTGAGAAGCGTCAGAATAGCGCTACGAGTGGACCTCAATACTGGCATTCAGTTTCTGCTGGCAACTAGCCTAGGTAGGCCTCACGTTTGTCCCGCCGAGCATCCGACTGTGCCACTCCTCGACAGCGGATGGCCATTGGATCTTGCAGCCGCCCATGTACGCCGCCCATGCACAGCTCAGAGTCGATGATGTGTGCACCACAACAATGAACGAACAGGCATCTGCACCCAATTCCAAAATGTAAGATTGGTGACAAGCAGACTCTGCATCATGACTTCTCTCCCAGTGTATTCTTTGCCTCCAGTCCGAAAAAACATCCACCTTTGAAATGGACACGCACCAAGCCTATAGAACTCTCGATCCACTGAAGAAAGAGATCCGACTTCTGCGAATTGAAGCGACTTCGAAGCCAGCTGCTGTGCAAGACCTTGATAATGTTATAACATGCTCGCTGGAAACAGTAGCTCTTCGCGATGCCAACCCGTTCTATGCTCTCTCCTACACATGGGGAGAGCCTGAGACTACTGCGCGCATCGTTCTACAGGGGCAGGTGATGTTGATTAGAATCAACCTCTGGAATTTCCTATCGGCACTCCGGACACGCTTCTGTGCACACCCCTCAGATACAATCAGGGTATGGGCCGACTATGTCTGTATCAAACAGGGGGACGGAGAAGAGAAGAAGTCTCAGATTAGCATCATGGGCGACATATACAAAGCAGCGGACGCCGTCTATGCATGGCTTGGCGATCTTGATTGCCATGGACACAGCGACGTAGAATGTGGTCGAGCTGCAAGCCAGACTCAGGAATTGAATCACAGATGGTGCACAATGGCTCCTGCGGACGGGTACGAGCTCCAGAAAATGGCGGAAAGCAAGTATTGGACGCGACTGTGGATCAAACAAGAAGTCATATTGGCAAAGGACATTTGGTTCCTCTACGGCAACTGCGTAGCACATTGGAAAGAATTGCGACTCGCCAAAATTTCAAGGCGAGATAGACTTCGACAGTCACGCGGGCTCTCAACAAATGCTGATACCGAACGACCCACCTCCGAGCTCATGACATCTCTGCTGAACTCGCGGGCTTTAAAAAGTCGGCACGATGGGCTTCCGGAGCTTGTCAGAAGATTCAGGGATGCTGAATGCTATGACCCAAGAGATCGGATATATGCCTTGCTATCTCTCGTAGATCCGTCGATCCGGCATCATATCGCTGCTGACTATACGAAAACATTCCTACAGGTACTCCTCGATAGTTATCCTTATTGGTCGGGTCAGCCCGTGACGTGGCTGCATCCAACCAACCCAGCACGCAAAACACCGATCTTTCAATACCAGTCCTTCGTGGCCCAGATGTTGATGATACTGGGCCCGAACAAATTGCATTTGATATCCGGCGAGAAGGAGTTGGCTGGTGACACTACCGTCCAAGCCATCTTCACCACATCTGGCTTGTTAGAAGTTTCCGGCGTCAAGGTCGTCGCCTCGATCAGACATAGTACTCCTACACCTGAATCTGAAGCTCAGCAATCAGCATGGCAGGGATCCGCTTTCGTCCTGAAAGTCGTTGTTGCAACTCCGCTACCAGATGAACCTTATCATCGACGAGCATATATGGTATATGCGAACGCGCAACTTGCAGAAGGTGACTTGGTGGGCAGAATTGGAAATCAGATGTTCTTTCTCCGTCATCAAGGCAACAAAGCTGGCACTTTAGGAGGCCAGGAGTTTATCCTCCAAGCCGTGGGGACTGAAGCTCTGCCTTTGAAGTCTAGCAACCATCGCAACGTTCAATCGAGTATCGCGTTATTCCATCACCACTGTCGTTGGTATAGGTCTCGGCCCGCGACGGCACTTTTCCAGCTGGTTGACACTAGCTGCCACGAGGAAGGGCAATGTCAGACACCTTTGGCGGCCAGAGGTGGTGTCTCGATATTGTATAATGCTTCCGCTCTGGTCACTCTGCTAGTTGCTTCGAATATGTTCCAAATCGACGGGCCGCAGCGAGACTGGGAAGAGGAGGATGATCTGCCCGACATGTGGGCTTCTTGGATGATTGAAGAAGACAGCCGCGTTTTAGGTTCGTGCGGTACGTGCAGGGTGACCAGGCGGCCCTCGATTGAAGGACAACGCGGAGATCTTGTTGAAGGATTCAAGAATGAGTGCAACTGCAAGCGGATGGCGCAACAGTCCCGATATGAACTTTAGACCTTTTGAGCATTCCGATGAAGCGGGTTCCAACCTAAACCTGCTGCTCTGCCTGGACTCTGGATCTGTCCTCGCTGAGGCTTCCTCTGATGGCAATTAATCTCACTCGAAATTTGCTTCGCCTCAGGTGACGACATTCGATTGAGCGTGCGAGTGAGGTCAATATGCCGGAGTTCTAAACACATGGTTTTGACTTGGAATAGTGAGCCAGCAGAGCTGGAGAAGCTATGCAACGTTGGGATAGCTCGTATAACTTGTGTCGAAGTCATACTATACCGACTGGCAGATCTGCCTGCCGAGTTCGGCCACGCATGAGTGGCGGATGACGAGCAAAGTCCTCCGCGCCAGACTCCACATCGATTGTGACCGCCCGCGAGATAGTTGGACTGCGATCATCAGGCGTTCGAAAAGTCACATGAGCAGTTTCTGCTGCTCCTTGTGACTGGTCTGGTCCAACTGCAGTGCATTGCACCACATCGCAGATCGGCCGGCCATCTGACCCGTTTGCGCTCCAGCCTCCCTCGTCCTTGTCTTCTTGCTTCTGAGGCCAGAGGATGTCTTTATTGATGACAGCTCTGATCATCATGACGAAAACAACAATCCAGGCAATAATGACTAAAATAGCCATCGCGCAGCCTAGGATTCGGATAGGTCGATTGTCGAGTGCTAGCGCGATGTAGAAAGTCGCCGTTGTGAGCGCGGTTTGCGGGAAGACATACGAATAGAATGTCATAGCAAATGTCATTCGGCCGCGTTGAATGCAATTCCAATGTGCTCCGACAGAGACGATGAAGAACCAAAATGCTAGGCCCCAGAGCCAGAGACCGAACCAGACTGAGGCGATCTTGCTGACTTGGCCTGCGAGCTCGCCATGACCGGGTAGCAGGAAATCTTGGTCGACCACCCTGGGTAGGATATCGCCCATACCGACGACGCCACTAATGGTGAAGCCGCTGGGTCCTACACTGACAAACATGCCAGGTCGAAGATTCTCTGCAGGCAGCTTTTGCGTCATGAGTCGATAGATAAAGGCAGCGTAGATCATGAGACTGAGGAGAAACCCAATACCTTGAAAGACGAAGCCACCAACGATTACGTTCACTGCCCATTCTGGTCGGGACATCTCAGACAAATGCTCGGCCAGCCCTGCGGCGTGAGGCCCAATGACCAGCAATGGGTAGCAGGGGAAGATCCAGACAGGCGTCATTTGTGCTACTGTGAATGTCTGAGTAGACCATCTGTATTGCATGATCAGTACGATCATCAAGGTCAGAAGTGAACGAGAAGTGAACTTTCGCTCAAGAACACGTACAGGATCAAATAAATCCCACAGCTTCCGCAAACGGCCAATCCGCAATAGATCCAGAAGAAAACATACATGGTCGACAGCAGCCAGAGTCCTGAGACTTTCTCTTGCGTCAGGCCATATTGCGAGACATTCATCAGTATTGTGCCGATACTGATGATGCTCGCTGGTATGAACAGACTTTCGGTCGGATGTAAAATGGAATGCTTGAATGTGTCCCGATGATAGTAGAATCTCAGCGAGATCATGGTGACATTGAACAGGAAGAGGACAATGTTCAATATGAAGAAGATGCAGCCAATGGCATAAAGGCCGGCAAAGCGGTAGGGAACACGGTAGAGGACGTTGGCTATGCCGCCGGTGGCCATCTGAGGTACTTACTTAGCATATTGACTCCGGAGAAGAAGTCACATTCTTGGCAAGAGCGGGTGGTGTTTCCTTACTGTCATCGTGAACCATCCCCACGTGAAATGTCTGATCCTCTGCTTGAAGTGCAAATCGTGCACATGTTCGATGACCTCGGATCGAAGCCGACTGACACTGTGATTGCTCCAGTGGCGAAAATGATGTGGTCTTCGCGGCGTGCCCGGTGGTCGAAGGTGGTCATCTTGTGTGTGTCGCCGTCCTGCAAACGGATCCAAATGGTTGTGAGGTGCTAATCCTGTCGTGGGCGTCGTGGTCGCAGATTGTTTTGTTCTTCCTCTCTCGGGTGAAGTGTCGGGTGACTTTGACTTCTCCGTCACGGCGTTGTCGTCAGAGCTGGTGGAGAAATGCATGACTGCTTCTTCTGCCAAGCAAGAGTTTTCTTCCTGCGTCGAAGCGGCCAATTTCCAGCTCGCGTCGATCTAAGCCGGCGGCCGGCCGACATTGAAGCTCACACGACAGAAAAACTAAAGACGAAGTGAGGCAGGCGGAACGAGAAGTCGAAGTCGGGCTAGCCTTGGCGGAGTAGACTAAGACATTCTTCGTCGGATCAATTGTGCCGGATAAGGTTCAAGACTTCTGGAGCTGTTGGCAGCTGGAAACCCTGTAGTTAGACGTACGTGGCTACAGATTTGCCAGCGTGTCGGTAGACTAAAGCTCAATAGGATATCGCAACATTGATGCCAACGCCTTCTCCCACGCCCACTGTTTCGGTTGAGTAGAAAATTCGATGTGAAACAAACCAGCATCGGCTGATGCACAAGCTCACTTTGTCCCGCCTTCGAACAGGCAAGCAGTTGACGAAGTACCTTACATCCTGGCGAAACCCGTCCGATTGGGGACAGCATGAGCGGTACACATACAGACCAACGATCATGTCCGAGACGCCATCAATTTTCACCCCCATTGGCTACCCATACCCTGTACCACGCTGTCCGCACGCGGAGTGTCCCTCCCCTTCTGCACCTCGCGAAGCATATTCCAGACATCGAGCTTTCTAGCCCACATCTGGTCCTCTGCCACGAGGACTGTTCCATTCGGGGAGATTTGTCTGACTTCAAATTCAGCCGCTGTACCCCAGATAACGCCACCATTCCTTTCTCCTTTCAAGAACTTTGAGAACGCCCGGGTGAAGATCAAGACATCTTGTTTATCCTTCTTGCTGAAGCCGATCCTCCATCCAGAGTAGAACCAAATGGGAATGTCCATGACGTGTGAGATGCCCAGTCCGGGACTGATCCATTCATCCAAAGCTTTTGGTCGCCATGCGATGTGGTATCGCATGACATCCTGCGTGGACATGCCTCCGTAGAACAGACACTGCGCAAAGCCTCGTACTGGCGCGTGACACTGCACATCTGCCATGATATCGCAATAGACAGAATTCCAGTCTGTGATATCTCTCGCATACTTCTTGATCAGCTCGTCACAAATGTCGCGTGGGTAATGAGTTTTGAGTTTTGACATGAGCGCTTCTCGTGACGAAATGCCTCTTGAAGGCCTGCTTGTGGCTATTCCGGCTCTTCCAGCATGCTCGTAGTATGAACGCTCACTGCAAGTGTCGCCAATGACCACTTGAGCGTTCCGCTGCTTCAGCCTCCTGCCAAGCTCGCCGTTCCAGATTGACTGCATGAGCCATGCGGGGACGAAGCCGTCTTTGCCGTCTGTCACTGGTAGGAAATCTAGCTCGAGTGTGCGTACGACAGTAAGTAGCCTCTCGGCTGACACTTCACGAAGTATCCTGACCTTCTCCTTGCTGGGTAGATTTGTATCAATCATGAGCTGGTGACAAATCTCATCGAATTGTCGTGTAGGTCTGTAGGAGTTCGCAGGATCGGGCTGGATGCTGATGGCGCTGCTGTATAGGAATGCACGCTTGATGATGCGGTTCTCGGGAGACTGAAAGGCATCGTAATGCAGTTGTAGGGCCGTGATCAAGCCTGAACCTCCAGCAGTAATGTTGTTCGGGTTGCCCCCGAACAAATGAATATGATCATATGTCCACTGTAGAGCTGTCCGGAGGTCCCACAGTCCATAATTGCCAGCTGATTCACTGACACGCGTTCGTAGGTCCATTCCATCTTTCATGAGGTCTTCGCTGGAGAGGTATCCAAGCACGCCAACGCGCGAATTGGCTGACACGAGAACTCTGGGATCTTCTCGGTGTTCTCGGAATATGTCGATCGGATCGAAATAATTTTGTTGCATGCCGTCGCCGCACTGTGTCCCGGAGACGGCTAGAGCGGAATTCGTTAGCAGATATTTTTGCAGCGGCTGAGGCTATCTTACGAAAGTTGAACTGCACTGGCCAGCCTTCAGATGGCCTCGGCACTCCTGCAGGCACCCATATATTCAAGTATAGGCAGTCCTCATGCATGAGATTCTCGACCACTTCTTCCCACTCCGATGTGTCTACCGCAGCATATTCACCCTGCAATTGAGGGCAGATATTCCCGAACGTACGATAGTCCCTAGGTTGACTGTTTGCATCCGAGAAGACCCAGTCAGGAGGTAGAGGCTCTGGTTTTCGCCATCGTCGCTCTCCTGTCGGCGGAAGCGCATATCGTATTCGTGCGTAGAGTCGGTATATTGGAAGGTAGTTTTTCGTATCACAGACTTCTGTTCCGATCAGAGCGCCTCTGCTTGTCTCAAGAATGGTATCTTTCTTCGTAGACTTTGTTGCGCCGATCTTTTTCTTCTTGTTCGAGCCAATATGTGTGAACGACTTCACGGTGCGCAGCATGATGGTTGCTGTGATGCGCGGAACTGTATGTTAGTGGCAGTACGCGCATATTTTGAGGTTATGAAGTCGACATGGGACGTGTTACTGTTCCAACAGTGCGACGCAGGATACATCATTGTTGGCTTCGAATTTGTAGCCTGGGCGCGTTTCGCGATCGCAAGTCCAGGGTATTGTGCGTGAACATGGTGATGCTTGAAACTTTATCGTTGCGAGACCTAAAAATTGGACCCGATTACATCCATGATCCCTAAGCAGGTTCGTGCGAGCGCCAACATTAGATCCGGGACAACACTTCTCTGCTTCCTGTGGTCGAGTTCCTTCGCTCTTGAAGCCGACATGTGGTCCGGTCACGAACAACAAGGTGTTCTTTGAGAGGGATGTGTTGCATTGCGCCTTCCAAGCGCCGAGCAGCCAGCGTGTCCTAGGAGCAAGGAACCCGACCAGCTTGAAGTGCCTGCTTTGTTGTTCGGGAGTTGCTGTTGGCCGAACAAAAGCGAACAGATCTGCTCTCCCAGAATGGCCGAATTGATACATCGCATGTTGAAGCCATGCTCTCCTCGCAGCTGAATGGGACAGGTACCGAACACCAATCGCGCCTCAAAGATCATTAATGACTTTATCGACAACGGAAGAGTAGTAAGGATACCTTTCAATCGCTTTGACGATTAGTGCCGCCGACGGACTGCTAATGTAGCAAGGAGAACGTGGCAATATGTGGTTCGTGGACTGCTGTAGCCACTCAGAATGCTGTGCGATTCCGTCGAATCCAACCATTCGCCCGTCACGCGTGACATCTTCTGTCCGATGAGCCAGTCAACCGAATTGACCCCCTAAACAGTCTAGACGCCTGAATTCAGTTGTCCTGATGAGACGCAAGTCCAGCATGCTGGCGAGCTCGGCGGCCTTGCTGAATGTTGCGAATGAAACAGCGTAGTACCGGCAAGGCTGTGAGGAAAACCAGCACATCTTCCGAAGTAGAGGCCAATTCGAGAGCGGACATCTTGCGTGGTGGCACTATAAGAGAGTTTCAGGTCAACCAGGGATGAGCTCGATCGGCTCCGCGCCGCGACGCTGTCACTGCCGCACCGCCGCACTGTCATCACTGCCACTTCACGTTGCGTCTTGGGCTCGGAAAGATCACCGCGAATCGTTATTGGCCAACAGCACTTCACTTCGCTTGCTGCCATCCGGTCGTCAGAATGTTGCTGCCGACAGCCATTTCGTCAATCATGATGCAGGCCAGAAAGACTCTCGTACTGCTCTCCTGGCGTCCAGCAGTCTCGATCTTGCTCGATAATTCTCCACCCGGCCACCAAGCACGTTCACCGGTCATACCCAGCATTGTGAGAGGCTCTGATGGGACAAGAGATGGATGCCATGTGCACTGAAAGAAGTCAATACGCAGCAAGTGGACGCTGGTGATGCAGCAAGAAAGAGCAAGAGCTCTGCCCCGTTTCTTGGCAGCTCTTCCTCGGAAGACGCGCGGGCGCACCACGCGCAGAATCGGCGACAACAAGATCGTGCTGCGACGCGGAACAAGATGTGTCCATCAGACAGCTGGTCAGTCTGGACTGCATCCTCGACTTGTCCTTCACGAGCGTGAATGCCGAGATTCCACGGCAGTAACGAAGGCCAAGGTATGACTTCGACGGAAGGCGCGCACCCGACCAGGAGTCCAGCACACTGTTGTCGATCAGTTCTTCAGGCTTGATGCAGGCTAAGATCTTGTCGAGATCGTTGGACGCTGCCACTGGGACCTCACGGCATGATGACAGACAGCGCTACACGCTGGGTGAGACTGAGTTGACGCGGTCATTGTGACTTGACTGCGCTTGACTGCAAATGCCCCCGCATCTCTCACCATACATCACTCTTGGCCGCAAGCCCTCACTCTGCCAATGTCATCCCTGGTACTGACATACTCACTAAAAGAGGGCTGAGAGAATGAGTCCCTCAAACGCAAAAAATCCGTTCTGTCTGACCTCAATACCACAATCGCGAAGGTAGGTTTCACGACATGCGAGACGTGACATGCCGGCGAATCCTGCCTAGCTCAGACAAGCCTCTCATTCACCTCTCAGCACAAGCTCGAATTTGAGCTTCTCAGATGTCGCCGCGCTGGATACCCGTGTGAGTCTCGATCCAGGCCAGGAGATACCTACTACCTTGAGCCGCCGAGAGGACTAGTCGGCGGCTTTTGATGATTGCATACGGGCATCCGGCACCGTCGCTCGCTTCCGATAGAACGCCACAATCCGGGGCGAAAGCACAGCAGAGTTTCCACGCTGGCAGTGCTCCGTGTGCCCGTGTGCCAGCTCACCACGCTCGCCTCCGCTTTGGGGTTACACTGCTGTTTGTTGCGTCGCAAAAACGACCTGGCTGAATCAAGCAATGCAGCCGCGTGGTTGCTGATCACAGCCGGTCGTCGGCATGCCAATATCGAGGGCCCCAGAGCCGTCAAGCACCTCCTCCGCGATTTGTTCCGCTTTCTGTGCTCTGGGACCGAACTTTCTGCCAAGCAGTGCACACTGAGTGATCAGTGATGACTCTGGCACTTATCCAATTCGTCGCCCCAGTACAAACTTCTGGCTAAGGGCAATGGCGGAGCTTTCGAGCATGGTTGTCCAACCTGCGGTGGAAGGACGGCGGTGGGCTGGACTAAGTACAAGCGCGCAGAGCTTCTCCCGCATATCTGCGCTTGTCTTCTCACCATCTTCATCGCGTTCGACTCTTCTGGACTCAACGCCGTCGACTTCCACCTACGAACAAAATTGGCTGTGTCGCAGAAGAGCCTCACAGGGAGACCTCTTGCCCGAGCGCGTCGCGAGATTAGGAAGGAGGGCACAGCCGGCCATCTTTACATCGGGCCTCACTCGATCGAAGCCGGCCTCATTTCCCCCCACATTTTCGGCGCCGTAATCATGTGCGACCGTGGCCCTCATCAGCCTTTCACTGCCGAACGATGCGATGCCGCAAGCGAAGAAACTGAGCATCCCGAGATAAACGCAAAGCTCACCGAGAAGTGTCTCGTATTGACACCAGTGTCGAGATCAGAACGCAGAAGCACGTTGGGAAGCATTGGGTCTATCGACGACGAAGAAGATGTTCGCTTAAGTCGCGACGATCGTACCGACAGTGGTATCGATGTCTCGTATACACAACCACGACTTTCGCGGCTTTGCGAGAAGCATGGTTGCGCCACTTTGCTACAACTCTCGACCAATGGCTCTCATGATAGGGGAAACATGAACTCACTTTCGGAGAAGCTGGCGGAGGATTGGTTTTCTCCTCTGCTGCTGCCTTTTGAGAAGTTGAACCTTTCCTGGCCAGTGGCCCAGTGTCTCAGACCGCAATCCACCTCGGCATCATGCATCAAACCGCCCGGAGACCCCAATCGACAACTTCCTTGCCAACATCAGGATCGCATCACTGTCAACGTAGGTAACAGTCACGGGCCTGGGGGTTCAAGTGGTCCGTATCGGAACTCATCTGATTGTGGTCGCGGCTTGCCTCATGCTCCGCCAGAGGACAACAGTGGCCGAGAGCACGAGCCGGACGCCGATCCGAATCCGTCTGCTTCCAATGAGGACGACATGGGTGGTTTCCCTTGCATTTTCCATAAGATTGGCACCAACGGCCTTGATGACCCAACACCTAAATGCAAATGGCGTCGCTTGTACACTTCTCAGTTGCGGTAAGTATCGAATATTCTATCGATTTTCCGTTAAGAGACTAAACTCTGCACAGTGGTCACCACTTTCACAGCAGTCACCCGAATGGGCCTTTTGGTTGCTGTTCGAGGTGCTTTGAAACTGGACGCTGGGTTTCGGCACACGGCGGGCTGGAGGAATGGCGTCGCTTCATTAACAAACCTGAGGTCGTCGAACACGAGAAGAAGTGCATCAGGGACATATGCATTGACGAGACGTGTCACAACTTCAAACAGGGTCTGCCTGCTTTTTCTCCGTGCTTACACGGCGCGAAACATACTCAACAACAAATCTGGAAAATGTGGTATCGCCGTGCACATTCTCTGACTCGCAATGAAGGCGTGCCGAACTTAACGAACCCTTCGTCCCAACAGCTGCACCTGCCACCGGCTGTGCTCGAAAGATCGCAATCGTCGCCTGGATACACCAGAGCACAAGCCGTCTCCACCGGGACACCAGCCTCAAGGACGAATGCCATTGTCCCTCCGCTGATCGCAGATTCGCCATCCTCGCATCCTCCCACGGCCGGTAGTGCAACAAATCGTGCACTTTCGGCAGCAAATGCGACTCGCGAGATGCTTAAACGGCTCGCGAGGGGCCTGATAGAAAGGATGCAAGTGGATCCAAGTGAGCCAGGAGAGGCCCTCCGCCGGTCATGTGAACAGAAGCTCAACTCTTCAGAAAGATTACAATATGACCTCTCGGCTACCAGTCCAGATGATGCCGACGCAATAGAGCTTCTACGCAGTCTGGTGCAAGAATGCTTGCGACTCTTGACAACGCCCATGACGCGGACACCTGCTGCCTGGGTCGAGCTGTCCCTGACTGCGCTTCTTGTCGGCATTGAAATACCACTGCAGCCGCCTGCAAGTTGGAGCCATCCACGACCGGACTTCCCAGAGTCTTCGACGTTGTCGTCTCTTGATTACGTGGGCATCGCTACTAGCTCTGGGTTGGACTCCGACCCCCAGCAACAGCAACAACAACACTCCTTTCCGCACCGATATCAACAACAGCATCCAGCTTTCGACATGCTGGGCAATCCCGCGATGAACGCTCCGCCTCCGGCGATGACCTTCTCAGGCCCGGCCGCTGTCACAGAAATGGGCGGTGCCTTCACATCTCAAGCTGCGAACTTATCAAGTATTGGTATCGACGATCATACTGCCCAGCGCATCAGGAATTTGCCTGATCAGCCTTACCACCCCCATCAAAGGCTCCAATCGAGCATCGAACACCAAACCTCGATGCACGCTCTACCACAAAATGCCCAACCTCCGCCTTCGATGGATCCAGACCACCTTCCACTCTCCACCGAACATGCTTATCTTCGTTCAAGGCAAGGCCTTGCGCCTCTAAGGCTGATGCCACCGGCGTCGGATGCCCTGAGCGCGAGCGGTTCGACTCACGACGATTCCGGTTGTTTTTCGACCACGCAATCAACTGATTTCGACATGGGCGGCGTGGACAATGACAAAGGCAAAGGGCCTGCGACTGAAAGACCGCCGGGGCCTATGGGCTTCTGGAGTGGGATTTGAGTCTGATGCCAAAGGCCTTTTTCCTGTAATGACTAACGACAATATGCGATTCCGCATGGCGTCAAGAATTTTGCACAGCGTATTTCCGCATATGAGCGTTGGGCCTGCGCACTTGAGACAATATATTCGAAGCAGACTCTGAGCTCCATCACACCGATGCGTATGTGCCTCAAATGAAGAAGCACCATGTTCCGGTCTCCTCAAGACGTTGGCAACGAGGCGACATATCCAGTCTCGACTATCTGCCTATCCTTCCTCATCCTCTTCTTCGTCACTCCCTTGCCCTTCTCCATCTTCATCATCCTCCATCTCATCTTCACTCCCGCCAGGTCCGAGATACTGATCATCTGCATCATCATCCCATTCGTCGTCATCCATCTCTTCATCCTCATCACTCTCCTCAACCTCCTCTCCTCTCGCTTTCCTCGCAGCCTTCTCAGCCTTCTTCTTCTCCACATTAGCCTTCTGCTCCGCTTTTCTCCTCTCCTTCTCCTCTCTCTTTACCTGGTGTCTCTTCTCCATCTCTTTGACTTCCGCTTCCGATTTGTGAATGTACTCATGCCACATGACTTTCCCTCCGCAAAGCCCTTCTTCAACCTTCGTCAGGCGAATTTTCATGCGAGGTCCCAGCTCGTAGAGCTTGATGCCCTTCTTTTCGACGTTCTCTTTCAATTGCGAAGCTGCTGATCCTGCTTGTTGTGTCCCGTTTGCGCCTGTCGCTTTCTTTGCATGTTTGGAAATTTTGCGTTGCTTCGTTGTGGTGATCTCAACTTCTGCGTCTGTTTCTGCCTCGCTTTCGCTGCCGCTCGTGAAGCCGTCTGCTGCATTTGGGTCGAGGAGGTAGTCTGCTACATCGTTGAGTTTGCCCAGGTTCGGTAGCGCTCGCTTGCGTTTTTGGCCGTGAGACAGTTTCTCGGCGGCGTCTAATCGGCGGAGCGGCTTTGGGACAGACTTTGCAGTGCGAGTCTCGATAGCGTAGTGTCGGACGTTGAGAACGTATGGGGGTGAATCGTCGTCGGCAGAGGAGCTTTTGGGCACGCGGTCGAGTAAGAGGACGCGCTTGATGCCGTTGAGAGGTGTCCGCGTAGGGTTGACTGGAGGGAAGAGGCCTTGGAACATCTGTTGTACTAGATCCTCCAATTGTTTCGTCTTTGCTTTCTCCTTCTCATTCACGCCTTGCAGGTCCTTGGTGATGAAATTGTTCATAACAAGCAGAGGTGCTGTCAAGTACTCTTGACCTCCACTCCTCGGTCTCTTCATGCTCTGATAGATATCCTTGCACAAGCTGTACTTCTCCACGCGGAAGTGTAATGTCGGTCCTCGAGGAGTATATGCCAATCGCAAATTCGTGTTCCCGCTGTCGCTTTTGCTAAAAAGCATGAGGTTGGTGACGCCTAGCGGTCCTGCCATCGCTGTGTAATCGCGCAGCTTGTTTGATCTCCGCTCTTTCAACCTCGATGCCGTATCCGGTCCCATCATATTTCGCACATCTTTCACCAACTGGCCGACGCTGTGCCCGACCTCACTTGCGCCGACCCGGATCACCATTGACTTGGGCGTTCGACTGGTGGGCTTCGCGACACCCTGCGGCCCCTTCGCCCCAGGAAGGCCACCCTTCGCCGCTCCGACATGGGTGTATTTTTTGGTTCTTCGTTTGGCCATGATGTGAGAGGATGATTTCTGTCGAGAACGAAGAGCATTTGTCGCATCTTGAATTTCTCAATAAGGTTGACGCTAGTGAAGCTTGGACCACACGATAGTCGGACTTAGAACTTGTCTCCGACAAAAAGTTCTCGACGACGTCCACCACCCGCACTACCAACCGCAACGCCGCAACCATGGCCGAGAAACGAATCAAGCGGAGAAAGCTCAGTCATGAGGGAGATGTGAAGCCGCAAAAGCCAAAGCAGGACATCGCGAGCTCACCCGAGCCGGAAGAGCAAGAAGAGGCGAATGGCGACAGCGAGAACGTCTCGAAGAAATTCTCTGAACTTGGCATTCGCGAGGAGCTCTGCGACGCTTGCGAGTCGCTCGGGTTCAAGGAAGCAACAGCGATCCAGAGAGAGGCTATACCGATAGCACTTGAAGGGAAAGATGTGATTGGACTCGCAGAGACAGGATCGGGAAAGACAGCCGCCTTTGCGCTGCCCATACTGCAAGCACTGCTCGAAAAGCAGGACCACTACTTCGGGCTTGTTCTAGCCCCGACACGCGAACTCGCATACCAAATATCGCAGCAGTTCGAGGCATTGGGCAGTCTGATTAACGTAAAATGCGCGGTAATAGTGGGAGGCATGGACATGGTTCCTCAGCAGATCGCGTTAGCAAAGAAGCCTCATATTATTGTCGCAACGCCAGGAAGATTGATGGATCACCTGGAGAACACAAAAGGCTTTTCGTTGAAGAAGCTGAAGTACCTCGTCATGGACGAGGCTGATCGATTATTGGATCTGGACTTTGGCCCTATACTGGATAAGATTTTGCAGGTGCTGCCTCGAGAACGACGAACCATGCTGTTTTCCGCGACAATGTCAACGAAACTGGACAACCTCACTCGAGCGGCACTCCAGTCGCCAGTCCGAGTATCGATATCGAGCTCCTCGTACCAGACTGTGAAGAATTTGAAACAGAACTACATCTTCATTCCCCACAAGTTCAAGGACATCTACTTGGTGTATTTGCTCCACAATTTCGCAGGCCAGACCTGCATCATTTTCACGCGAACGATCAACGAGACGCAACGCATCGCTTTCCTGCTTCGAGCACTCGGGCGGAGCGCCATCCCTCTACACGGACAAATGAATCAGTCAGCTCGTCTGGGAGCGCTGAACAAATTCCGCGGCGGATCGCGAGACATCCTGGTAGCCACAGATGTCGCAGCTCGTGGTCTGGATATTCCCTCTGTGGATCTCGTCGTCAACTATGATCTCCCGCCGGACAGCAAAACTTACGTGCATCGTGTCGGTCGCACAGCTCGAGCAGGTAAAGCCGGTGTCGCAATCTCCATTGTCACGCAATATGATGTAGAAGTGTATCAACGGATTGAAAAGGCTCTTGCTAAGAAACTGGAGGAGTATCCGACAGAGAAGGATGAAGTCATGCTCTTCGCGCCTAGAGTGACGGAAGCTCAAAGAGTGGCAATAACAGAAATGAAGAATGAGCATGAGAAGCGTGGCAACAAGAAGGGTCAAGGTATCGCAGGCAGAGGGAAAGGTGGAAAGAGAGATCGAGATAACATGGATGCCGATGAGGGGTGAGTCGTTCTCACGAGCATTGACGAGACTGCATATATCAAGAAAGAAACCACATTTTCTGAGACTCCATTCATGCGTAATGCCGTTCAAATCTCCGTGTACAAAATGCTATATGCAGACGTTGAATGTCCCACCTCTGTCGCTTCTCTACAGCGAATACTTGAACAACGGGCTCTTATTACCCATAAGCTCCAACTCTTCCTCTCCATACTTCGCAATCGCCTCCTGCTCCGTGATATGCTCATTTCGCTTGTTATGGCTCAAATACAAGAACTCCAACAGAAATGCTGCCAGAATACCAGCGCTCGCAAATCCTAGCGAGCTTCCAAAACCAGTCGGATATTCCGGCTTCTCACGTTCCAAGAAAATGAACGAACCAGCGAAACCACCTGAGTTACCGATCATGATCATGAATGCAATTCCAGCAGCACGTTTCTCCGCGCCAGCGAGATTATTGATCGTCCAGGAATTGTTTCCGGGGATGATAGGATAGAGACCGATGCAAGCGAGACAGACCATGACATAACAGAGTGGAATATTGTCTTGGATCTCTGCTGCGTAGGCGAAGAGGACGGAGAAAGAAATGACGAGGAGACTTTGATGGCCAACGACGAATGGCATTCGCCAGGCGAGTCTGTCGGCAACGAGAGCAGAAGTGACGGCTGCTACGGCACCGCAGATATACGGTGGTGCCGTGAGAAGTTGGGCAGTTGTGCTTGTGAAACCCATCGATTGGACGATAGAGGGCATGGTGAATTTCAAGCCGTAGTTGGGGACCGTATTGGACCAGAATACGATGCCTTGGAGGTAGAGTTGCCAGTCTGTGACGACTTGCTTAATGACACGCCAATTGATTTTGTTCTTGCGGCTCGGGTCGGTGGATTTTTGAGATGTCTTGACTCCGCGATAGGCGATGTGGCTGAGTTCGAGGAATTTGGTTTCGTCGGGATTCAGCCACTTGGATTTGGTGGGTGAGTCAGGAAGAAGGAAGAAGCACGAGATGCCCAGAACAACGGAAAGTAGCCCTTCGAGGATGAAGATCCATCGCCAGCCGTTGTAGCCACCGCTATATTCGAGATTAGTGTGAATTCAATACCCGGCCCTCGAGGCTAAGTCGCAAGGCCGATAGGGGGCAAGAAGCTGAGACTTACAGTCCTCGCATCTGCGCGATCCCTGCTGCAAGGAGGCCACTAAATGCGCCAGAGGCAGCGCTAGACATGTAGAACATGGCCATGCGTGTTTGCGTCTTGTGTGGTGGGTACCATTCACTGACTAGCCACATCGCTCCTGGAAAGAAGCCAGCTTCAAAAACTCCGATGAGGAAGCGGGTCACCAGAAGACCAGCGAATGATGCTGTCACGCCTGACAGAGTCATAATCTTTGCTCGTCAGCGGGAACTCGAACTGCTGCGTAACCCTGTTGATACTTACAGCACCCCAGCATGTGACGAGAATGCCAATGTAAACACTAGGCTTCTTGAACTTGGACAGAATCATGTTGCTGGGTACTTCGCACAGCACGTATGGGATGAAGAAGATTACGAGTGCGATGTTGTAGTCGTTGCCGGACATGCCCAAGTCAGCTTCCAGGCCTCTGTTCGTAAAGTCAGTCCCGTCTTGTATGCCGCAATGTCTTATCCTCCTTACTCGATTTTGGCATTGCCGATGTTTGCTATTGAAGGTTAGTATTGGCCACGTCGCGAATTACCGACTGGGACCCACCCCTGTCAAGATGTGCTATAAGATAGAGTGCTGCCAGCATCGGCACTAGTCTCCTGTCCACTTTGTGATAAATGCGGTTGGCTTCCTTGGGATCGATATTACTGAGCCACAGTCGTTCCTCATCGGTGAGGCCCTTGGTCTTTGGCGGAGGGCCATTCTCGAGGTGTGTGACAGCGTCGATTTCTTTCTCTTTCACTTCGACATCAGAGTCGCTTCTACTTGGACTGTGCGCCATATTGCTGTCAATATGGGAATGGATCAATCAGCAGGATAGTCATCGACAAGTGAATAGGTAGGAGAGGCTAAAGGACACGGCTCCGCGTATATTTAAGAGCCATCTCAGCCGCCACTGATGCATTGCTTTTACCCTAGGTACTCCTCACACGACGTTCATGCTTCAGCACGCGACGTGCCGTTTGTCCACACATAGATTGCAAGGTTAGCTGGAGATCGCTACTGAAGACCCAGCCCGCAGACTCGCGAGAACATCGAGACGAGCAGCCTCCAAGCGAACGGGAATGCCGCATTGGCTGACGAAGGATAGTCATGAATGATGTTGCATACTCCAGACACGCTGTCAGTATTGGAGGCTCAAAATTGTGGCGTCTAATTGTGACGTCCACATGCTCGGTCACGTGTCTTGGGTGCGGAGAGGTGGTCTTGGAAGTTCTTGGGACTCACGATCACACGTTGCTGGTGCATGTTGTGGACCCTGACAAACCCCAGAACGCGAATCAAGCTCGAGATGAAGACTTGCAGAAGGCTGCTTTTTCGGAGTCAAGGTGTTGTGCTGAGTCTTGGTCGACCATTTTGAAGTCATGATTCTGAGGTGGACGTCGCGGACAGTGGTCAGCCAGGGATATTGTTACAGGATACAAGAGCTTGTGTCAATCTTCGGCCATTCTGGAGTTGCTCAATAGGTGAGGTACTTGGCCGTGGATTGCGTGGAAACAGCATTTCTTTTGGGCGTGTCTCTGGCATTTCGATCAGGTCCGGAAGGAAGGGGTCCAGCCAAGTTCACATCGCGATGTCAAGCGCATCTAGTCTCAAGCAGAATCAGCAGTGACAAATGCACAGCGCAGTACCAGAGTGGATGACTGCAAGCTCACGAGATCAGTTCCGTGGTGAAAGGGCAGCATTCGGTGGAGGAACAGGACTACTCCTAGCTGATGGTCGATCTCCTCTGGCCAGCATCCACAGTAGGCAGTTCCTCACCATGTTTGGTGTGTATGTAGCTTCCATGGGACAACAGCGCATGCAGCTCTACGTATTCGATGTGGAATGCGATGGTGATGCTGTGATGTATCGCAGAGTCGTTGAGGAGTGACGGAAGCAAGTCCGGAAGTCACGGGAAGTCGCAACCCGCCAAGAAACTCAACTGGCGCGTCTGCTATGACACCTGAACCTTGCCCAACGATCACTCTTCTGTTACAGTTCCTACTCGGCCACCAACAGTTACATTTCTGCATAGCCACGCCTCCAGGCTCATTACAGATGAAGCGTCAGGCTGGCAGTGCTCAATGGATGTGCTTCGAGGCACTTCCCGAGCACATAGCAGGTTTCTGCCAAACTCTATCAGAATGACGTGTGTCCGAGACGAGTCCACAGTAAATATGTTGTTGTAGACTATCGATCAGGTAAGAATGCTGTCTAATAATTACACCAGCAATCATGGCAGATCAGAAGCAAGACCCGAAGCCACAGGAAGGGGCCCAAAATGGCCCTTCCGAGGCAGAAATCCGCCAGGAGTCTGCGAAAGCTGCTGAGAAAGCACTTGAGGCACAGAAAAAGGCAGAGGAACTCAAACAAGCGGCCCAAGGAGCTGCAGATGCCGATGAACGCCAGAAGCTGATGGAGGAAGCCATTGATAAACAGATCGAGGCCGAGTCCTTCGGGAAGACTGCAAAATACATGCGAGGCGGCGCCTTTCAAGGCATGTGCGTCGGCGCTGGCTTAGGCACGGCTCCCGGTCTCACATTAGGAGCATTAACTGGCACCTTGGTTGGCGGGCTTACATCAACGATCCTCGGAGGGCTGGGTGCCGGTCTGGGCAGTATTGTCGGCTGGGCTCATGGGCCCTTCTGGAACATGGGACAGGTCATTGGCAAAGGTGTGAGGAAGGTCACTGGTGATCTACCCAGCTGGGAGGCCACGGATGAGCAGAAGAAGAAACTGGAGGAGATGATTTCACAAGCAAACCAAGAAGAGATGCCTGGCGCAAAGGAGCTGCGAGGTATGGCGAACGATGGCTGGGACGGTGCCAAGCATCAAGGAAAGGCCTGGTACAAGACGGGAGCTTCTTATATGCCAGGAAGCAGGCCATATGCTACAGGAAAGGCATCTGACGGAGCATGGCAGTCCAAGATACAGGCCAAGCAAGACGACGACCCAGTGCGAGCGAGCCCGGACACTGTGAAATCTGTGAAACAGGCCAGTAGAAGATCGCAGGCCCAGTCAGAGCAGCAGTCTACAAACCCGACTTCTGCACAGCGAGGATCAAGCACTATGAAGAGGGCTTCAGGACCGACACCCACTACCGAAGCAAGAAAGCAGCCACGAAAATTGGAACGAAGATCAAATGGACCTGGTCAAGATGCAGATGTCACTCAAGCGAAGCGCGGCAAACCTCGCAAGCTGGAAGTTCGCTCGTAGCAAGGTGCCCTTGGCTTGCAAATGGTACAGAACTTTTGCAACATGTGTAAGGGTTTCGTCTCAACTGGTCGTAACGCGGAGGCGTCTTGGCGTCCGTCATCCCGCCGCAGCTCCAGATGCTGTTTCCAGACACCGCACTTGACAACCTCAGCGGACCTTCTGACTCAACCCTCAATGTGGAAGGCACTGTGATACTAGCCGTGCACGCGGGCCGACTGTTCGGGCCCGTTGACAATTATAACAGTATTCTGGCATGCGCTTCCAATGCCTGGTCAACTCCTCCTCGTCCATCACCCCTCTTGTGTGAAAACAATCGCCTAGTTCATCACGATGCCCGCGCGAAGATCCAAGGAGCAAAAGGCTGCCGAGCTTACAGCTGGCGGGGGCTCTGCATTGACCGTAACGGCGCAGCAGAGTCGCTTCCACACAGAGATGGATGAAGACAACAACCGCAAGGAGGTCTGTCGGCTACAGTACACATGATATGGTGATTCCGTTGACGGGTATCGAAGATCGTAGTGAAAGACCTAAGCATGTCGCTTGGGAATCGTGAGCTGTTGTCTCACGCCGATTTACAATTGCAGCGAGGTCGACATTACATCCTTCATGGCAGGAACGGGATTGGGAAATCAACGCTACTCAAAGCCATCGCGGACGATCAAATTCCAAACATACCGAGAAGTGTCAAAGCGCTTCTCCTCGGACAGACCCAGTCGAATGTTGAGGACGAGTTGGAGAAGCTGGACCTCTCCAACACAAGCGTCCTAGAATACGTCGTCCGCAGTGACCAACAGCGTGAAACATACATGCACGAAGCCAAAGTGCTATCAGCAGCATTAGAATCAACTGTGGACCCCAATGCAGCTGTCAAAGCCTATCGTCAGATACAGCATGAAAGACTGGAGCGCAGAGTGCACGTCATTCGGCAGCTTGCATTACGCAGAAGTGGCCCAAAAGGCAGAAGAACGCGTGATGAGCAGATCAAGCTTGAAGAGGAGTTAGAAATATCGGAAGCCAGGCTGAATGACGAAGTAACTGTGGACGAGCTCAGCGAGAAAAGCCACAAGGCGGCGGAAACGCTTACAGATGTGCAGACTGCGCTCGAACTTATGGACGCTGATGGAGCAGAAGCCAAAGCACGTTCAGTACTTCTCGGTTTAGGGTTCAGCGCAGAGAGCATCGACCAGCCGCGATCCAATCTGTCAGGAGGTTGGCAAACACGGTGCAGTCTCGCCTGTGCTCTGTGTCAGTCAGTAGATCTGCTGCTGCTAGACGAGCCTACTAATTTCCTGGACCTTCCCTCGATCATCTGGCTCGAAAGATACCTCGCCGAGATAGCCGATGATACGACAGTAATGGTCGTCACTCACGATCGAGCTTTTGGTGATGAAGTTGCTGAGGAGCTTCTTGTCCTCCGGCATCGGCAATTGGAACGCTTCAAAGGAAACCTCTCTAACTACGAGATGCAACGTCTGAAGACGTATAAGTACATGACGAGAATGAAAGAAGCGCAGGACAAGCAAAAGAAGCACATAGAGGGTACCATCCAGAACAACATCCAAGCTGCCAAGCGGGCCGGAGACGACAAGAAGCTCAAGCAAGCTGCCTCTCGCAAGAAGAAGTTGGACGAGAGAATGGGCCTGGAAGTCTCAGCAAAAGGTACTCGGTTCAAGATCAACAGAGATCTGGGTGGTTACTATTTGACAAACCGAGCCGGAATTGAGATCCCTACATTCGATCCCCCAGCCGAGCTGAAAATCCCAGCGCAGCCCGCCGACCTACGCCACCCGGGTAGTCTCGTCAGTCTCGAAAAGGTCAACTTCTCGTACACTGTGGCAAAGAAGAAAGTCCCAATCCTAACCGACATCGATCTCACAATACATCTTGGCGATAGAATCGGCATCGCAGGCCTCAACGGCAGCGGTAAATCGACGCTCGTCTCTCTTATCATGGGCCATACCTCCGCCGAACCTTCTAAACCCATGTTACCAAGCTCGGGCACAATCACCAAACACACTCGCGCCCAATTTGGCCTCTATTCCCAACAAGCCGCTGAAGAGCTCGAAGCCATATCTGCTGCCAACCCGCAAGCTACGGCTCTTTCTCATCTCATGGAACACATTGGCGCCTCATTCTCCGAGCAAGAAGCCCGTGGTATACTCTCCGGCGTTGGACTCTCCGGAAAAGTCGCTTCTGACGTTCCCATCTCGCTCCTTTCAGGTGGTCAACGAGTTCGACTTGCTCTCGCAAAACTCTTACACCACCCTCCACATCTTCTCATTTTGGACGAAGTCACGACACATCTGGACACAGACACGATTCAGGCATTGATTGGAGCGTTGAAGACTTATGAAGGAGCAATACTGGTTGTGACGCACGATCGGTTCTTCATGAAGACAGTGGTGGAGAATTGCTCGATTCGCTCTCTTGCCGGGCCAACTAGGCCAGAAGATGAGGAGGATGAAGAGAGCGAGGATAGCGAGGAGGATGAGGAAGATCAGGTGAAGCGGACAAGAGTTGTCTTTAGGCTTTCGAAGGGGAAGCTGAGCAAGCTCCAACGAGGGATGGAGCAATATGAGGAGATTGCTGCGAGAAGCGCGACGAAGTTGGGTAAGACATGAGCGCCAGCTGTATGAGTAGGCAAGTGAGAGCATCTTACCCTGCGTACAGCTAAAGAGGCAGCAAGCGTTGATTACTACATCCTCCACATATCTCACACCTAGATCGAAACCCCTCCATTTCCTCAATATTTCTTTCGCAGAAGAAATACCAAATCTCCTATTCTTCCCCGACGACCCCAACCAGGCTCCTCGATCTCCCAATCCTCAGTCTTGTCGGTCACTTTCAACTCATTATCTCCATCCTATGGCAGAAAGTACTCAATCTTGACAACTTTTCGCCATTCCGACCAGATTTCCACAAAGCCTTTGACTTCCGAAAATAGAGCACCTCTGTTCGTTGTGTGGCCAAAGGAGATTCTGCCCCCAGGTTCGATAGTCTGTCTAGCCATTTCGTCGTGAGAAATTTCCGGACGGTCCATGAGATTATCTGCTTGGAAGAGATAGCCTGGCCAGCCAGTGTGAGGGAACCGGAGCTGGAAGGTGGATTGGGGTTTAGCATCGGAGGTGAAAGGGGTCCGGCTTTCGTTGACGAAGGTGAAACGGACGTATTGATCTGAGGCCATATTTTGTATGTTTAGTCGGCAATATGTGATGCAATTGGGACTTGTAGTCTCTCCAAGGCCTCTATGGCAGCAGCTGTTGGTGCTTCTTGGCACCGATTCGCAGGCTAAGTATGACAGATGTGACGTCTGCGTGGGAATTAACGCTTCTTCGCAGTCCCTACGAGCAATATTTGTTTCTTAACTTGTCTCGACATTGAAGCTACGTCAAATACACGTGGCTACATCGTCCACTCTGAGTTTTTACGTCGTCACCGAATGTGGCTGTGGTCTCGACTCGGCTGTAGCTGTGAAACGCGATGGAGCTCTTCATCTTGGCAAGAATTGGGGCTTGATGGCTTGATGGTCTGATGGACACAGCTTCTCCTCTTTCGGCCAATGTGCTTCCAACGCGTCCCGAAAGCTGTGCTTCGTGAAGACATTAGGTGACGCTTGAGAAGCTCTGCTTGCAGTTCGACGACCAAGCCCCGTGACGCGACGACCAGGGGCGGTTAACGTAGAAATGGTGGCAGGTATTGCTGCCATGATCGGCTTGCATGAAATGTTTCATTCCAATCGTAAAATCATATATCCTAGGTATCGCTCCTCAAGCAGCTCATCTTCATTCACTGCTATCTTAGGTCAGCAAACTCCTCTCACTCCACCAACGATGCATGTCTGGTCCTCACACCTTTCACATCTACACTTTCTGCACGTCAACTCCTCTTTCCACCCCTCAACTCCTCAGCGCCCTCAACCTCTCCCCCAACTTATCCTCCCTCTCCTCCTCATGCTGCGCCGGAGCCTGTATCCCCTTCGCAGGCGTAGCCCCAGCCATCTCCTGACTCAACTCCACACCCGCCTCATCCGCAACCTGATTCATCAGACGATCGACATCCTCCTGCGGAGTCCCCGTCGCAGTGGCCGAACTCGTCGCGTTCTCATAGTATCCCGTCGCGACATCGAGGTCTTCGAATTGTGTTTCGAATTTGTCCATCACGGCGGAGATCTGTTACCACACCCATGCGATTAGTACCAACAAATTGCCTTTTGAAGGTATTTGTGGGAGTTCAGGACGCACCTTCTCCAAATCCATACTCTTCATCGCCTGATCCATCCCCTTGACCACATTCGCCATACTCCCCGTGACTTGGCGCATCGTCACGGCGGTCTGCACTCTCGAACTCACGGCATCGATTCGGCTTGCCAGAGTCAGGAGTTGTAGGTTCTCATTCTTCTTTCGGATCGCATTTCCGGCGTAGATTTTTGCTATGTCGTTGTGGCCTTGCGAGATTGCCTAAACCGTGCACATCCGACTAATTAGAAGGCGGTTGATATGGCGAGGACGGAGCTTTGGTCAAGTACCTTTTTCAGTTTCGCTTTCTCGGTCTGCTCATCTTTGCTGGCTTTGGCTGCCTGGCGGTTAAGTTGCTTTGCTGTGAACTGCGGAAGTTAGTATCGGCGCGGGGTCGTGAAAGGTAGGCAACGTGCGGTTGCAGCGAGGGAGTCGGTGGTGGGTAACGGACCTTCAGATTGAAAAGCGCCTTCTCGAGTCCAGACATGGCGACGGTGTGCAACTGGATGTGCTGATGAGTGGAGAGCTAAGTAAGTAAGTGAGCGAGTAGCTGCGGCAGAGAGTTGAAGTGGGCTGGAATGCGCTCGTGCATGACGTCGGCTTCACATGCCGACACTCGCCGTCGCGAGCCACGTGCTGGAGAAAGTCACTTTCTAGACAAACAATTTGAATGGCTATGCGTCTTTCATGTCTATCATATGCTACAGAGAAAAAGTTCATGAAAAACGCGATCTAACACGGAGTGGCCAGAGCACTTCGGCCAAACTTTTGATGCTGGTACAAGGAAGGCTGTCATAGCCGCCTGCTTTCTCGTTGCACTCGCCTCGCTATGCCACGGCTATAGGGATGCCCCAGCGCTTGTCTAAAATCATACTCGTACTCATCTTCCTCCATGCTAGTCCTCTAGACTCCCGAATATGGTCGTGTGTTACCGAAACCGTCATCATCTTCGTCAACTCGTCCAGTATTAGGGTTGAGCTGTCCTTGTCCGGGCTGCTGTTGCCTGTAAGGATTGCTCGTGCTGCGCTGTGGGAGCTGGCTCATTTCTACCGGAGAGCCGAAACCCGTTGGCAGGGTGCTCTGCGAAGGCTGGTACTGCGGTGGTTGGGTAGCGACGTTGGGCCTGTACGGCGCAGGGTAGCCTGTGGTGGACTGCCCGACTTGTGGTTCTTGAATGGAGGGCACACTAGGTCCGCCACCTCTGACGCTTGGCTTCCTCCTACCACGCGTGTTCGCACGCTCGAGAAGGCCACGCACATCGTTCAGATCTTGCTGGTCGTAGCTTGGCCGCTCTCCGAGCGTGCTGGTGCTGTCATCGCGGCCCGTTGCCCACGCGGTGTCTCGGGCATCGTCTCTCGCTGGATCACGAGCGTTCAATCCACCGATTGCCGGGTCCTGAAAGCTAACGCCAGGAGCACTTCTTGCTGCGTTTTCGCTCACAGCTGCGCCAGATGCCTTGGCCTCTTCGATCTTCTTCGTTGGCACCAGACGTGCTTTCTCCCTCTCATCGGCCGTGTGCTGTGCATTCTCCTTAGCTTCCGAGTCGGAGATCGTGACAGCATAGTTCGGGTTGGCCGCGCTGCCAGCTGCATCAACACCTCCACCCGGTCCATAGATTGGCACAACTCGAAGTGCTGCAACCAGAGCGCACATAAACTTGCTGCGTCTTGCCGCACGAAGCGTCTCGTTCGACCAGTTGCTCTTGTGTCGAATTTCAACCTTGAGCTGTAGCTTAGACATGTCTGAAGTACCAAGCACTTCGACCTCCACATCTGGCTGAAAGTCGCGGTTGTTCTCCTTGTCCGTGACAAACTTGTGAAGCTCGTTCTTGAGGATCTGTATATCGTCGAAGCTCGTCTCGAATGCAATGTCCAGGGTAATATGTTCGGTCTGTGCAGTACTGCGGCTAACGTTGTCCAGTGACAAGCTGTTCAAGACCACATTTGGGTATTGGCAAAGCTGGCCAGTCTTGGTTCCGTATGCTCGCTTGAAGACAGTGTAGAGCAAGCTGATGTGCTCAACGACGAAAGCCTCGTCCTTGATGTCAATGCGATCACCGACATCAAAGGGATGCTTGACGAAAAGGAAAATGCAAGATCCGAGAATCTCCTGTGCGGTGACGGAGAAGACGAAAGACAGCGAAAGAAGCGCTGTACCGGTAGTGGCCAGGGTGGTAACGAAGTTGGTGTTGAGGAACGCAATAAAGATGAAGACGACCGCGACCAGCACGACCGTACACAACATGCGATCAAGGACACTGATAGCTTGCGCAACGTCAGCCATAGAGTTGGCAATCGCCTTACGCTCGCGGCCCCATTCGACGACAGTCTGAATCATCTCATCAAGCGAAATGTCTCCGTTTCCATCGCGGTCTAGGTTGTAATATGCCTCTTCTGCTTCATGTCGACGATCTGGCCCAAGCACTTCGATGATGTCTTCCTCGGAGAGGGACTCGCTGCCTTCGACGACCAGACTCATCCAGATGCGGCGCGCCAAAGCCTCAGATGTGCGCTTCTTCTCAAGTGCTTCCACGACAATTGAGTGAGAGCTGTTCGGGTTGAAAACCTCTTTGCCAGTGATCTCAGATGCGACATTGCCGAACGCAGAAGTAACCTTGTCGCCGACGCGTCCAACAGTCTGCAACATCTTCATAGGAGTGGCAGACCCAGAACGGCGGTGATTGTGTGCCTTCTTCTTTCCCCCGAAAACAGCCAAATTGATCTGATCCGCGATAGCATAGTCTTCCTCTGCGAACTCCCGGCAGTATTGCGGGAAGATAGCCTTCGAGGCATCGTACAGCAATCCAAGGATGTAAATTCGTCGCTTAGAGTCCTTGATCCTGCCATTGAACTGCTTCGCGTGGTAATTGATGCTGATGAGCTGGATGATCGTCTTTTCACCCAAGAACACCAGCGTACACACCACACTCGCAGCCAAAACCTTTTGCACAATGTCCACCCACGTGCCAGCACCGGTGTTGAGAGCGAATCGAGCCTGACTGTTGTACGGGTTCCTCGTCATCAACGGCTTGAACGTCGCCAAACTCGTGACAGCCCATCCGACCAGCGAAAGTGGGATCTCGAGTTTGCGGATGACGCTCGCGTATTTCCTGACGCCCGAGCTCACCACTCCGACCAGCATCTGAAATACAAACGGCAAGAAGTGGGCGAGCAGCTTGCTGACCCATAAGCTCAACCAGACCACTTCGACCCATGTGAAGAACCAGACCATGCGCACGCCAGCAATCTTGGGCGAGCGCTCGTCGCTGTAGAAGCTGCCCACGATGATTGGAATGGCAATCAGAAGACCCAGAGGCAGCACGTAGACAAAGTACCGCGTCACGATGGAGAAGTTCAAAATCTTGTTGTAGATCTTGCCCATCGTCGTCAATGTGTCGGCTTCTTCTTCATAGCCCTTCCGCGCATCATTCTGCGTCTTCTTCCTTCGACCTCGGAAGAAGCCTCCTGTGCTCTGCTTCTCGTTGATCGGGTTTGTGGGTTGCAGATTCTCGACCGTGGCACTCGCATTGCGAAGTCCGCCGCCACTGCTCGCATGAGTCTGCACTTGCTCGAGTGGAATGTCGATGGTCGCGTCATTGCCGCCGTAGGCCATGTTGTTGCTGTAACCCATATTGTCGCCGTGGGTTGCAGGAATGGGCTGGAAGCCTTCGCGAGAAAAGCGTTTTGTTTGCGAAGGGCGGGCGTGAAGGTGGGATGACATGCTCAAGGATGAGCTGCCGCCTCAGGTGAAACTGCCTGGAAGTGGAAATGAAGGTTCGCGCGAGCGAGTGAATGCGCGTATGGTATGCAGCAGATCCGCGGCCGTTGGTGAATCTTTGAGCTGGTCTAGAAACAGCTCGTGAAGCTAGCCAGCTGCAGTCGTTCACCGGGATCGATAGTGCGCCTGGCACCCCGGGGATTAGAGAGTAGTGGCTTGTAGTGAGATGATGTGATTCGGGGGAGCGAGCGAGAGACTGAGACTGAAACGCGCGGGTGCAGTCCGCCGCAGGCGAAAGCAGTTTTGTATAGATGACGTCCTGAGGGTTTAGTCAATGGCGGGAGCTGGAATCCCTGTAGCGAGTGAGCGGGTGTAGGAGGAGGGAGACGATAGGAGAGGAGGATGCGCAAGGAGAAAGAAGAGCTTTCCGGTGGTCAGGAATGCGTCGTGGACATGTCGTCGAGGCAGCCCGAGTTTCATCGATGGCGTACGGTGCGCCATAGAAGGGCCATCATGCCCGTTGGCTGCGCGTTCCTGCACCGCGGCCACTACGGATGTGGCGTTCTCGCTTCTGCAGGAGAAAACTTCCATCAGCTCCAAGGCTCATGCCGGCTCAACTCTCACGATCAGGTATAGAAGCTGCAAAACGACGTGGCAGACATCCAGAACTGTGCACCAGGTCAGAATCTTCACTATCACGCACGAAGCACTGTTCAGCTCACCCTCTCCACTTCACCACGTCCAAGTTCCAGCAAATTGGTCAGAGAAATGCTTCTTTCACTGGCGCACAACTACCCGGCTGCTCTTGCCATGGCTCGCCAAGCACTTTTCTCGCTTTTCCCAGTCGGGAAGTCCGATCCTGATCGAGGACCCTGACTTCTGTCAAAATAGCACGGCGATACGCGCCATTGCGTGTCTTCCTCAACATTCAACATCAACATCATCGTGCTCACGCGGCTGTAACGTCGACGGCGATCATCTGAATATAGCGTATTCCCCTAGCCACTTGCTGGTGGCAGTGCAGTAGCATCGGGACCACCAAGACACTTCAACGGAAAGCAACAGGAACACGAGATGGCAGTTGTGTATTTGTTCATTGATCAGCGACAGTGCCATTATAGAGTCAACTATTGCTTCACTTCATGTTGCAACCTGGTGCACTACTACACAGTCGGTACAAGCCTCGTGTTATGATAGCGATGCTGAGAAACCACACATAGTATCACGCCAGCTGTGGCATCATGACAAGCATCTGTACCGCCTCATGCTTCTTTACGAATGCCCTCACAAGAACGAACACCACCCTATGCAAAAGTCAGCCAAGTGCCACACCACCGAAAAAAATTGCACATTAGACTCACCGATATACATGCTCGCCAGCCGGAAATGGCTCGTAGCTTGTCGAATCAAAGCATCAACGTACCCCTCCACGCTCAGCGGCACGGTCTCCCCAATAAGAAGGCCCTTTAGCTTCGTAGAAACGCTCTCCAGGATTTCAGCCGGAGTTTCCGGCACTCCAGGCGTAGTTCTCTTCTTCTTGCCCACGAAGTCTGCAGTGGGATCGTACAAGAAAGTCTCTAGAACAGTCATCAGCGTATCTCGTTCCTGGCGGAGCAGTCCCAGTGTCAACTCAGAAGACTTGCGGAAAGGCCCCTCATAGCCATAAGGACCCATCGCATCGACCATGTTGTGTGTCAGGCGGAAGGGCACGAGTTCTGGCTTTTCGAACGTCAAGCCTTTGTCGAACAGGCAGTTGAAGTCCACATGGAAGACGCCCCCAGTGCCTTCCATGAGCAGAATGTTCTCACCGTGACGATCTCCGAGTCCAAGGATGTGCCCGACTATGGACATAACAGCTGCTGAGCGGGCGTAGCGTAATCGAGCATTGAACCAGATTTCTGGCTCGGAATATGTCTCGGTAAACCACTCGTGAAGGACTGGCTCGAACTGTGTGAGGACCTTATCCGCAAAGATGTGAGCATCCTCCTCCGAAGCAGACGCCAAGTCAAGATCCTTCTTGATCTGATTGTAATTCGGTCGAATGCCTTTTCGCTGGTATGTGTTGAGAAGTATATCGCGCATCGGCTTGATACCTTCTACCCACTCAATGGATCCAGACTCTTCACTGAGTGGAGTGACAGCATACGTCTTGATGTACAAACGACGTTTACTGCTTTCAGTGTTGCGTTTCAGAGCGCGGTTGATGATGCCGTTGAACTCCATGAGTCGTTGATCCTTGCGCAGATCATCTTTCGGCTTACACAGCAGCCCATACAGCTTGCCATCGGAGCCACGAACAGTAATCTTCCGAGGACGTTGCAGCGAACTAAGAACAAACACCTCGTCATGGAATGCCTGGATCGTGATCTTGTCCTGCGTGAAGGCCTTGTGGCGTCTGATCGACTCGCTATTAGCAGCAGGAGGTGCAGAAGCAGTCAATGTCGATTCGACAGGCACGACCAAATCGCTTGGGGCTAGATTGAGCTTGAACGCAAGATCGTTGGACAGACTGACGTGCACAACGCGATCTTTGACTGGGCGCTCGCAAGCGAGAAGCAGTCCATCGCAGAGCCGCTGGCTGTGCACGATGAGCGACTTCAGGTCGATGTTCGATGAGTCGCCCTTGGGCTGATTCTTTGGGTCCCTCAGTCGATTGAGCACTTCCTTCCCTCGTTCTACTCGCAGTTTGTCTGTCGCTTTCGGCACAGCAAGCAGACTCCATAACGTCTGGCTTGGGTGAGTGGATGCGATACGGACCAGGATGTTGCACAATTGCTTCCAGACTTCTGGGTGAGGATGTGTGATGCGAGATATCAGCTGTGGAAGCGCGTGATAGAAGACGTATGGGGGAACACGCTCGAAGTACTTCTGCAGCTGTCTGTTGCAAGCCTGCAGCGACTTTTTGCGCTTCTCAAAAGTCACTTCATCCTCTCCGCGCGTTCTCGTCAGACAGTCCATTCCAAGTTGCAGCCACAATGTTATAACACGAGGAATGGTCTCATGCCAGTACTTGTTGCCAAACGGAACTGATCGTAACGAGTTGTCGATAACCAGCTTGGTAAGCTCGCCAGTGAGGTAAGACTGCGTTTGCTTCTCTCTGGGCAAGGCCTTCTGCGCGTCCAAAAGCTTCGTGTAATGCTTGCCCAGGTAGTAATGACCTTTCTCCCATCGCTGATGACGGCGTGCTGCCATTTGGTAACGATCAGTCATGTCCTTGGTTTGACTCTGCCCTGATGCGTCCAGCCACTTGGCAAGTAGAAGAAGTGCTTTGCCCAAAAGTGGATTCTGTTTCCATCCATTGATCTCACTCAGCGTACTAGAAGCAGCACTGACGTTTGGCATGCTGGAGTTAGGGTCGTCGGCCTCCAGTATTCCAGACTCGATCGCGGCTTCCAAGGCCTGAATGGCTTGTCTTTGATGGCCCTCAGTCCAGAGCAGCCTTGCCTCTTCAACTTTCGAGCCGCGCTCTTCGGACTCGTACGCTTTGAGCACAGCATTGTATGCACTAGGGATGTTTTTCGTCTGACGGGCTAATCGAGCTGTGGTGAGCCAAGATGCGCCTGTGTGCGTCGGCTTGAAAGCATTCGGCTGTATTCGCATCACAGCCCGGCGTATTCCAAGTATGAACTGCTTGTCCTGTACATATGCCCCGATAGCGTTCAGACGCTTCTCGAACGCCCTCTGCAGACGAGACGCATCAGCTGGCTGAACAGTCGACAAAGCTTCGACTTCGTAAAGGACATGCAATTTCATCAGCTCCGCATGACAAGTCTGCAGCGAGTCCGTGCTAGCCATCGACAAGCCTTCCGTAATCAACTTGCGCATGCTGCTAATCTGCTTAGGGAGCGAGCCTTCGCCACCTGCACAGAGTAGCAGCTTTCCAACACCGATGTTGAAATCGGTCTCCAGCTCTTCTGGACGCATGAGCAGTCTTCGCCTGAGGCCGTCGAAGTCATTAACCATCCAACAAGCTTCAGCTGCGAGCGGGAGATGAGTCTTGATGGCTGCCGCTACATTGTCGCCTCTGCTATCGTCAGGGTTGAGGAAACTATTTGCATAGCGTAGGAGTGTTGCATATTGCCCAGTCTCCTTCTGACATTGAAGTATTTCGTGCTGAATGTCGGTATTGGTCGGCTGCTCCGTGAGCTGAAGTTCGTACCACGCCTGTGCAGCAGTCCATCGCCCTGCTTTTGCGTGATTGATAGTCTGTTGTTGCTCGGACACCAAAGGCAAGTGCGCTGCAATACCTTCTAGTCCATCGGGCTCTTCGATCTGTGTGTAGATCTCCTGCAACCTCTCGTACATCGACGATTCATGCTCGCTCGTCAGCTTCCCAGATGGAATGAGATCTCGTTCTTGCCGGATATATTGTTCCCAGTGGAACAATGCGCGAGCGTAAGACCTGCAATCAATGGCCTGGTTCGCGATGATCTCGGCCGGAATTGATGCTAGAAAGTTCTCGACTGTTTCGATCTGGCCAATATCACGGGCTTCGTCGAACTCGTTGGGTGAGATACCAGTCTTGTATGCAGCGGCTCGGGTTTCGCTGAGCTCTTTACGCTTCTCGCGCAGCCAAGTCGACATATAGTCAAGGACAGCAAAAACGCTCTCGCTGCAGAGCCTGATGATTTCTTGCTGGGTTGCTGTTTCCGGGCTTGATTGCAGCACTGCCATGAATTCTTCGACAAGATCCTGCACCTCGGCGGCGGTGCCACCGATGACCACATTGAGAACGGCATAGGGGAAGAGAAAACGAGCAATGGCCAGATCTTGGCCACGAATGATTCGAGCCAGCAAAGTGAAGATTGCTTGGGCATTCTCTCCTTTGCCCCGAAACATAAGATCGTAAGTGATGGACCTGAGCCAGGAACTGTGGGAAGCGTCAGGAGAGAACCCCGGGTAAGTCCTCTCTGGCGGAAGTACAGCACTGTTGCTCGTCACAACATATCTGGAAGTGAGCAGCGGCGTCAGAGCCGTGCGGATGTGCTCAGGCATCTGATACCATTTCGCTGCAGCTTCGGGCGCTTGAGATGCGCGAGGTCGCAATGCTGCAACTTGACTGAAATTGCAGAATCCAAGCAATTCTTGCATGGTATATGCCAGGAACCCCTGTGATTTGGCATTTGTGACAGACTTGAAGGCCTTGACTAGGACATCTTGAAGAAGCGCAATGACCCAATCGATGACCTCGCCTGCCCTGTCGAAATTGGAAAGCACCATTATGTGACCCTTTCTTCGTGTTGCTTCGACGCGGTTGGGATCCAGGCATCCGATGATCCCAAGTGCCTTGCCGCATAGCTCTGCGGCTTCTGCATTGGTGCTAGAGTACTTGACAGTCACGTCAAGCAAAGCACATAGCAGTTCGGATAGTGCAGGCGAGGGATGCTCGCTGGCCGCGGTATCGTGTATGAAATCTTGAACGGAATTCAGATATGGTACGAGCTCTTTAATTGACTGGAGAACGACTGTGTCGCCATCGTCGCGCAGCCTGTTCGTGAAAGCCTTGCAGTAAGATTCGACACTCTCTTGCGATCGAAGTCTCTCGAACTCGGATGCGAATTTTGAAAGCAAAGGGATACCTTCAAGTGAGGGAAGTGTCATGATGTTCTCCTGCAATAGCACGTTGTGAGTTTTCACGAGTTGGCTCAGCATCTCGTGTGTCTTCTGCTGCAGGTCTAATGACAGAGCTGTCCAGTGGCGAGTGATGAGCACGAATGTCTCGTCCACGATGAGCGCAACATCGTCTGCCTCGAGAAGTGGTATCAGCGAGAGCCAGGCGTCGAATGCGACCTCGCAGAGTTCCGGTTGTTCAAGTCCGGATTGCAAGCATCCTCGGATCTGCGGCAATGCAAACGATAGCTTGCCTTTAGCAATGACAAACATGTCTGCCATGCCCTTCAGACAGCGGATCTTCTCCAAGGTCGACTCTGCTCCGGGACCGGTCTCCAGCATAGTAGAGAACAGAGTCAAGATACCAAGCACTTTGTCATCTAGAAACTGGCTTACTGCTTTCGAGGACTTCGAATGGGCCTTTCGCTGTCCGGGTGCCCTCTCAGCGATATTCGCAAACGTCTGAAAGGCCTGGTATGCACGCGATTTCCTGTCAGGAGCTTGTTCACCGCTCAGCTTGAGCATTTCACAAGCGATCAGGACCGGGTCCACCTTGACCAAGCTTGACATATCCGTCTTTCGTAAATCTGGCGCAACTTCCGTCAGGCACGAGAAGGCAAGTTCTTCCGCTTCGTGCGAAGATTGTGATAGTAGCAGCGCCAAGATCGCAGCCAGATTTGTTCGTGGTTGCATGCAGACATCTTCAACAGTGGTCCCATTGCCACGTGCATTTGCGATGCGCTGGAGAAGGTCCTTCTTCTTCGTCAATACTAGGAAAGGAAGTGTCTCGCGCTGTGTCAGGACAAGGAAATTGTTAATGTCCATGCTCAACAAGTCGCAAAGTTGTTGTGCCTTCTGTGGTCGGCTGTGAAGCTCCTGCACAACAGCGACCGCAATTGAACGCCAAAAGGGCTGGAACAACTCTTTCGGCGACATTTTCTTGAAAGCAGCGATGGCTTCCAGCTCAGCGAATGCCATGGCGCAGACGAACGCGTTGCCGTGACCAAGATAATCGACCAGCTGCAGTAAGGCCAGATTGAGCTCCCTTTCACCGCATGACATAGCAACTTGTCCCCAAGCTGTGACCAGTGTCTCTTGCTCATTTGGCACATCACGAGTCGAGGCGCCACGAAGGTGTTCTAACACAGTCTGTCTGTTCTGAACTCTGATGCTCTCTGGGAGATCAGGTCGGAGGAAGACCGATATTGCGTGTGCGGCAGCCGTTCGCAATTCCCGGATCGAGCTGCGTAGTGAATTGAGAATGTGCCGAGCGAAGTGGCTTGATATGTCCACGTATACTGGATCACTCGTTCGTTGCAGACATGCTCGCACCGCCAGCAGAGCTAGTATTCGGACCTGCCTGTCGTCGCGAGGCTCGCCTGCTTGCAAAAGTCGCGCGATCGTTCGCAGTGCCGTGTCAAGATCATAAATCGTGAGTTCAGACAAATTTTGCCATGCACAGCATTGATCTTCGGGCCGCAATGTGGCATAGACAGATACTGCCACATCAGGCAACGCAGCCAAGTCTTCAGTATCGACCCCCGCAAGCAGTTGCGAAGTCTTGCGAACGACCCTGGCCCGTCTCACCTCAGGCACTTCCGCAGACAGCTTCCGACGTTTGCGAAGCCGCGAATGCCTAGTGTGACACGGCTTCGCCACGCTGAGATGTCGAAAACTGACCTGCAATTCACTGTCGGTCATCGCATCATCTGCTCGGAGTGTCTCAAGTAAAGTCGTGACGTTCTCGGTAGCACTCTCGTTCAGTTCCAATCGAGTGACCCAGGTAGCGATGGCGATTTTGAGGTCCTCATGGAGAGCTTGCCATGTCTCATCTGTGGTGGCCTTGGACAGCACAGGTACGATCGCGTCTCTTGCGGTGTCAAGCCGTGCATTGAGAAGAGTGATCAGAGCTGCAGCCAGCAGCTTCTGCACAGCAGTGGAAGGCATTGCTGTCGGAATATCACCTATAAGGGCCGCCACAAGAAGCCAGTCGTAGGGCAGCTGCAGCAACTGCTCAACGGCATAGTCCCAGCGCGAACTCTTCCCTAGCTGTGGTCGAAGGGACAATGCCAATCGTTGTAGTCGGAGACACGCATCTTGCTTCCAGAAGGCATCGAGGGCCGGTATGCGTGAGAGCTCTAATGCGACGAGGAAAGCTCGGCTCGTTTCTCCAACAGTGGTGGTTGTGCCTTGCGGCAGAGCAATACTGCCTTCTGACTGAGGCCAAAACTTGACCACGCCTCGAGCAGGAGGTAGACTAAGGTTCAGCGTAGTGATTTTTGACGAAGATGTTTCGAGGACAGAAAGAGCGTCTAGAAGATGATAAGCCAAGATCCACTTACCTGTAGTTGGAATCACGTACCATCCACGCAGTATTGTATCACCCCTGACAAAGTGCGAGCCTGTCGCCAAAGCTCCGGCGACTTCTCAAGAGCTTTCATTGACGACACGAGCAAGCCGTTGACAGCTATTTGCTCGCACTTTTGTCGACCGCATATTGCGATGAGCGTGGCGAGAATGCTCAAAATGAGCTGGGGTCCATCTGGAGTAAGGCGGTGTAGCAGTACCTCAGGCTGGCGTCTGATCGTAGACTCGATGACCGCAATACTGTCCATACCTTGCGGCACGAGTACATCCCAGTCTGCGAACGGGTTCTCGAGTGTCAGTGGCACGAGGCCAGCCTGTACCACGACATTGATGAGCTGTGCATTGACATCAACATCCGTCTCAGGCGCTGCAGCATTGCTGTGCAATATCTCGTGGAGAAGGTCTCGAAAGCTGGCGGTCTCGTCCTGCGCCTGATTTGTTGCCTTTCGAGTCTGATTCTGTACGATCTGGGCAGCCAGTGTGGAAGGTGGGGGAGCATCACCATTGAGGTGAGTCCCGTTGATAGCTGCATGCTGTCGACGAGCCATCTTGAGGCTCTCCAGAACCTCGTCAGCTCATTTTCTTTTGGCCGGGGTCGTCTGCAGTCTCCGCTTCTCGATGAAGCCTAATAGCCTTGAGCGGAAGTACAAACAGAACTGCGAACAGATGTGAAGGCCAGTCCTCGATCATAGAAGATGCCGGCGCAGTGTTGATTAACTTGAATTACAATCTCGATCGCCGTCACTGGTGGTTGTTGGCAGAAAGACCGTGATCCTCGAAAGATGAACGCCCCCCAGTGTTGCCTCCGACGCGTACACGAGAAGAAGTCGCGGTCGCGATCCACTTTAACTTCGCCAAGACTTCGACCAACCCTGCTGCACGAGCGCGGGCACTCCGCCAGACCTCACAGCAACACAGCATCACTCCCCCATCCAACTCAACCCTCCATCGCATTCAAAATGGCCGTCTTTCCCTCCCGCAAATTCCGTTCAACAAACGACTCCTCTCTCGCAGCGCGCTACCGCCTCCTCCTCGCCAAACATCCCTTCGCCCTCTTCGGCCTACCCTTCATAGCCACAATGCTTCTCGGGTCATTCTTTCTCACGCCTGCGACAGCCCTACGCTACGAACGACATGATCGGAAAGTGCGACAAATGACCAAAGACGAAGAGTTGGGTATTGGGCAAAATAAGCGGAAAATAGATTTGAGGGAGGAGTATTATGTGAGTACACCTGCAATCGTACCTGTGCGCTATGGTGGATCGCAAGATGTGCTATTAGTGTCAGCGGAAAAGTGGTTGGGGCTGACTATTTTGGGCTTGCGCAGAAACTTGCTGCCAAAGATTTGGATGATTGGGAGCAAAAACGGGTCAAGAGGTTGCCCGGTGAGCATGACGGAGTGTTTTGACTTTACTACGATTGTGCAGGCATGTCGATGATGATGGGATTAGCGAAGGAGTTCAGGCGCATTCACGAAAGACTAGAACATCTTTGCACTGTTTGAGAGATCGCTGATGGAATATACAATCGTCACTTTTCTCATTCAAGGTCATAACATGGGAGAGGAAATAACATCTAAAGCTCAAGAGGCACTGGGCCTGGGTCACTCGCTCGCTGGAGGATGCCACTCAACAACGCCAAAACTCTCACGCTCAGAAGCCGTCCGCAATCAGAGAACTTATTTGGCCGCGCCATTTTCCTGGCCCTGTGCGGCAGGGCTGCTAGGCATCGTCGAGCGCTTTGCCTTAGGACGACCAGAAAGAGTGTCAACCACGCCAGTCAAGCCCATCCAGAACTCATCCTTTGGTCGACGATCCTTCCAATCAGTCTCCTCGCGCTCGATCTTCTCCATGGCGCTGAACTTGACTCGTGCACCTCGGATTCCAATGACCGTCGCGGACATTGGGTCATCTGCAATTTCTTGCTTTGACTTGCCGGCGAAAGATTCGAGGTATTGCAAGGACTTGACACCGAAACGTACAGCACGCACACGATCCATTGGCGACGGAATATCACCTTGCTGGAAGTGACCTGGCACAGCGTATCTTGAGTCGAACCTTCCATTGGACTCTTCCTTAATAGCGTCGGCAATGAACTGTGTCGTGTAGACTTTGCTGGCCTTCTCATTTCGAAGGATGATCTTGCCAGATCTGGTGTGGCCTGCGTCTTTGGCGAACTGGTCCTTGAGGAACTTGATATCTTCGACAAGCATGTTGAGGTGAATGCCTTCTTCTGGCGTATAGACGGCGACCGCTCCGATCGAAAGGCCTGCGAGTGTGGCAATGTATCCGGAAGCACCACCTTGGGTCTCGACCACAAAGACTCGGCGACGAGATGCAGATGCAGACTGCTTGATGGCGTCGCAATAGCTAATCAGGGCGTTCAAGCAAGTATCGGAGCCGATCGAGAATTCAGTGCCAGGAACGTTGTTGGACACAGTCGCAGGCAGAATCGTCATCGGGATCTTGAATGCGTCGTACTCTGCACGAGCCTTGCGGAGCTCCGAGACGGCCGTGAAGGCCTCGAAGCCACCGACGACGAATAGAGCATCAATCTTGTACTTCTCGAAGCAGAAAGCCGCCGTCTTGAAATCCTCAGAAGGCAGACTGCGGTTCGTGCCAATCTCGGAGCCACCCTTCGAGCCCCAGTTCTCAGCTTCCAGCCAGCTGACTTCACGCACCGAGCCAAGTGGCTTGTCATCGTGATGGCGGCACAGACCAGGGAAGCCGTTGTGCAAAGCCACTGGCGTGTGGCCTTTGGTCAGGCAGTATGCCACAGCAGCGCGAGTCGCGGCGTTCATACCACCGGCGGGCGCGCCCACATGTATTATACCAACCCTCATACGCTTCTCCGGAGGGAGCAGCATGTCTGTTTTGTCTGTTGCTGTCGTGATATTGAACGCTTGCTGAAATTCCGCGAACTCCGCATCTCGTCCTCTCATCGCGGCATCGAAGTCCTTCTTTGCGATGTCTTCAGCAACCTTCTTGGTCAGTCGGATAGCTTCCATCAAGTCCTTCCGTACGATCTTGTTCTCTACGATACAGATAACAGGCGACGGAGTTTCCGGAGTAGCTTCGAGTACGGCCTTGACAGCCTCAACACCTTGCAGGGTTGCAAGCATGCGGTCGTATGCGCAAGGAGGACCACCACGCTGAACGTGGCCCAGAGTAGTCACTCTGGTATCGAGACCGACGCTGTTTGACAGCAGATCCTTGACCATGACAGGCGTAATGTGGTTCAGATTCCTATCGTGAGCACCCTCCGCAACAATCACAATAGTCTTTCTCTTGCCCATTTGGCGGTGCTTTTTCACGATTGAGCACATCTCCGCCTCCCAGTTCTCCGAAGGTGGGTTCTCTGGACAGAAGACGAAGTCGGCTCCGCAAGCCACTCCTGCCATGAGTGCTAACCATCCGCAGTGTCGGCCCATGACTTCGATGACGAAGGCACGCTGATGCGAGAGCGCAGTAGCATCGATGTAGTCGATCGATTGGCAAATTCGTTCGAGTGAGCTGTAGCAGCCGATTGTCGCGTCTGTGCTGCTCAAGTCGTTGTCGATCGAGCCCACCAGTCCAACGATGTTGAGATGTCTGTATGGCTTCACGTCGTCTTCCTTGCGCTTGCCGGTGGACACGAGCTCGTCCATGAGACTCGGCCATTCTGCTCGGAACTTGTCTGCTCCTGTCAATGATCCGTCACCACCGCAGATGACCAGAGCGTCGATGCCCTTCTCGATCATGTTGTTCGCAGCAGTGAGCCGCCCTGCACGCTCCATGAATGCTTTGCATCGTGCTGTGCCAATGAGTGTGCCGCCTTCTGAGATCCATCCTCGCACGTCTTCCCACTTCATCTCTCGGATCATGTCCCCGCCATCGACCAGACCTTGGTAGCCCTCGTAAACAGCGTATGCGGTGCAGCCAGCGGCCAGCGACTGACGCACAACAGCTCGCACAGCTGCACTCATGCCCGGGGAGTCACCTCCCGAGGTCATGACAGCTATGCGCTTCTTTCCCCATGGCATTGAAGGCGGACTCAACGTGATTTGAGCCATGCTGGGTAGGAGATGCTTGGAAAAGTGGTGTTTTGGTTGAGCTCGTTGCTCAGAAACGTGAAGCGGGGTTGAATGTGTTCGTGTCGCGGGCAAGAGGTGAATGAATGTGTCGCAAGAGGTCGAGGCAAGTGAGGATGGTTGCTCAGACAGCACCTTTCCCGTGTCTCGTTTTCTTTCAGCAACGTGCCTGGCTGCCCCACGCTGAAGTCAGAGTGGGCTATCGGTCCTTCCGATAAGCGGTTACACTTCGGGTTTAGTAGTGTGATTTCAGAGTGAGGTGTCGCTGTCCTGGATCGCGACTGGCGGACTTGCTCGCCCACGCTGTTCACAAGGAAGAAGTGCGCGGGAGGAGAGGCTTTAAGTGAATAAATCGCGATACCCCAGTCGCCAGCTCACAGGCACACTTCACCGACCCGCGTTCCGGCCTAGCATCGCCATGCATACCGATAGCAGGGGTCGAAGCTTCCCGGAAACCTTATTCGATGACGCACTAGCGCCGACAGAGGACATGCAGAGTGAAGGCCTCCAACTTCTTCACTGCCACAACAACCATGAACATGAAATGGTCTTGCTACGAGGCTACGCTGCTGACATGACGTGAACTAGAGTTGACTGGACCCGTCTCGCTGTGCTTCTTCCCGACTTTCCGCGGCACACGCCTCCTCCGTGGCATCCGGTGGCACACAGCGCTGCCGGCTCCCTCGTCCGACGCCTCCGTGTCCAGCGCATAACTATTGGCATGGCGGCGACGGACATGGACCTGGCCTCTCACTCATCAACGATTAGTCTGCATCCTGCGCTCCTCACGAAAGACGATCCGGTCGAGCCTACTGACGAGCATGACATTGTCACATCCCAGCCAGAGAAAACAGAAAGGCATGAGCCTCCCGCCAGCCAGAGAGAGGAGGAAAGCTGCAAATCTAGAAAACACCGGCGTTGTTCATCATCTGGTCGGCCGAGGTATATTAAGCATTATGTTAGGACATGAGCCCTGCGCATCTACAAATTCCAGATGCTGACCATCCTCTACCATTACGCCGCGTTCTCACAGATGGCCCGCAGCATCATTCATATCGCGACTTCAGACATAGGTCGCGCACGACAAGCCAGCACCTAGGTCCATGACATCTCTGATCGTCGCATTCGGCACAATCCCCGCTACCCACAGCACATGGTTCAGCGTCGTTTCTGGTCCATTATCACCACTTGTCGAGGTCCATTCCGGCCCTGGCGGCGCCCAGTTATTTGCCCCGTTGAAATCAGCACTGGGCGTGTTTGGTCGTCCCATCTCTGTCAGCCGACCGGGAAGACCTGCGGCCTGCCATAGCGACCACATTCGATCAATATTGGCATGGTGCAAGAAGAAGATCGGGTCTCCAGGCGCTGTCAGCGCATTCGCCATGACTTCTCCAACGCCCTCGTGCCCAGCTATATGCACCCAATTTTCGTAACAAACACTCGCACCGGCCCAATCCGGATACCTGAAGCAGTTGTCGACTTCGCTTTGAGCGGCACGCGAGAACATGTCCGGGTTCAAGCGTCGACGCAGGCACACTGGCTGTTGAGCGACTCCATCGCTGTCGAAGACTAGAGTCAGGTTCGCGAAAGGGCCTGTCGTCACGCAATTGTCTCCCGAGCTGCCGTCGCCACCAAAGCCAGACTGAGGATCAAAGACTGCGGCGCCGAATAGGTTCCCGACATCCAAGGCTTCCTCCCAGTATCTTGATCAAGTCAGTGGGTATTTCACAGTACTGTTCTCACAAGACCACTTACGGTGTGCCGAGTTGATAGCCGCAGTGCTCTGATAACATCTGCTCGTGTGCTCTCAGGTAGTATCGATGCCACGGCAAAAAGGCTCCAACACCATGGATCCAATTTTTGCTGCGAATGTGTGCCCACTGCAATTCTTCCCACACACTCCTGGCTCCTGGAATGCCATAAGCTGGTGGCGTTCGTTGCAAGCACAACTCAGCATCCAAGTATGCTCTTTTTTCGTCGTTGCTTAATCTTGTCCTGTCGAGATCTGTTAATCTTGGAACAATCGTACAGCTTGCACATCTGAGAATGCTTACCATGACCTTCGCTGCCTCGGCGCCTGACAACCACCAGCCTGTCGCTTCTCACTCGCCGGCAAAGCATACCCGCAGACCAGATTCACCGAAAGGAAAAGATACAAAAATCCCAATACGCGCTGCATCGCGTCCAATGGCCCTTCCGCGAGCTGCCGAATAGAAACGAGTGAGTGGGCAAATGAATGCGAAAACAGCTTTGCAGCCAAAGGTAAACAGAAAAGCAAAGCTGCAAGATCCGAGTATATCCAGCAAACACAGAAATTCAAAGCTCCTCCAACCAGCTCCCGTTCGTTGCCGCGAGCACAAAAGCTGAAGCGGTACGACTTAGTTCCTGCACGCTAATCCCGCATGACGCACAAAGAACCAATTCCGTGGCGAGTGTCTCGTGCAACAACCAGAGAGAAATCAGCAAAGCGGTTGGTTTGTTTGGTTGAGAGCTTTCTGGGGCGGAGCGGAGGTATGCGGAATTTCCTTCTTGGATATGTAGAAACGAGTGTCGGGGCCTTGCGAAAGAAGCCAGAGAATGGTTGCAAGAGCTCAACAAGCTCAGCACATGTGAAAAGAAGCAGAGCGCGCGAGCAGCTTCGCGTCTTAGGAGATCTTGTCTTAGGTCTGCTTTTGCTGACGGTTGGTAAAGATGATGCACTGCAGATCTGGGCTGAGACAAGAAACGGCCGCTTGCGTACTACGATCTTGATCTTCCTCGTGTTGTAGGGTTAGGATGTGCAGTAACGTTAGGTCTTTTGGTGATGTATTCGTTGGTTTGAAAGTATGAGCCGTTGAAGCGACGAACGTTGCGATATTTTGTGGTAGAAGATTCGCGTGTGAGCCGCAAGTCGTTGAAGTTTATGCAAATCGTGTAGCTGATCTCGTGAGGTGAGTGGCTGTGAGTGGTAGAGATGTTTGGTCGCAGTCGTTCGTGCTCCAATCTGCCAAGGGAAGCTACCGTTTTTCGTCTAAAGGGCAGTTGCACTTCACACGGTTCAAGACTCGATCAATCTTACCTCCAATAGCTCTTGCCGATGTCACAAGGTAGATGTGCTCACTTGTAAAGACCGAAGGATGAGCGCGGAACATTGTGTATAATCATGGAGAAAGTATTGATACAATGGCTACATCTGACTGGACCAGATTTCCCAAATACTGTCGTCAATCATAGCAGACTGTTCCTGCTCAGGGTAAAAATGAACCGTGAAACTAATATTACAAGTTGAGGTCATTACAATTTTCCGTTTACCATAGAGAGCTTTCTCATCAATCACTGTTCGACGAGCCATCAGAAGTCTGGCGGTGCTGGCGTCGTGGTCGATATTTCTGCGGGCTTCGCACCGCGTCCCGCACCTCAAGTCAATCTTCATCCGGGTAGGCGAGCTGAGAAACAGTGCGCGAAGGGGGTTGAGGACGGCGAAGCTTCTCCGTTACCTCGTCGGGCTTTGTCTCGCCAACCACAGCGACCTGAGGGGATTCCGATGCGAAGAGGTCCTTCAAACCCGCGGACATTGGAGACGTGGCGGCCTCTTCGTCAGGCGGAGTCGAGGGCAACTCGCTCGAATCGAAATCATTGCTGTTGGTGCGGGCGGACGCGTCGGTATCCATACTGCCAACGGACGGCATAGAGGTATCAGAGAGAATAGACGCGCGCTTAGATTCCTGAGAGTCGGACTGTGACACGTCAGGTGAACTTCCGGCAGACGACAAAACTTCAACATTTGCGACTTTTGGTGTCGGTGGCTTGGTGTCCTGCTTCTTCTCGGCAGTCACAGCGCTGATGCTTGGCAGATTGAGTTGAGATGCAGATGGCAGAGGGGAGTCGCTTTGTGGACTCAGAGCACCAGAGGATGCTGACTGGCGGCGCGTCGACTCGCTTGCAAGGATAGGCGAAGCCTTTGGCTGGCCGACCAAACTGCCAAGGGTCTTTTCGTCGACCTGCTTAACATCGGTCTTCTCCTCATTCTTCTCGGCCTCCTCATCAGAAGAGTACTTGAATGGATCGTACTCTGCATTTGGGCTGATGTTCTTTGCCAGTTGCTCGGGTGGCACCGAGACAGGCGCACTGACGAAGCCGGCAGTGTCCTGATCCTCGATCTGCTCTCCCGCTGGCACCAAGGAAAGGAGAGCTTCGGCGATGAGATCGGAAGATTTAGAAGATGAATCCTTCTTGATCTTTCCTTCAGACTGCTCACTCGCGGCTGCTGACATTCTTGGGTTCTCCAGCATAGGGCTTGTGGCCATCTCGACCGTGGTCGGCTTCTCCTCAACCTCTTCCTCGTTGTCGGTCTCGGCTTGCGACATGAGAGCGTCAGCAACCGGATCAGCAGTCGGAGCCTCTGACTGAGATTGTAAAGTCTCGAAGGATGGGCCATCAGTGATAGAAGTGCGCTTCTTATCCTCGACGGTTGGCCCCTCAGACTGGGTGAAGGAGTCCACGTAGGAATCGGCAGCGACAGTTTCGTCAGCTGGTGGCTCTGCCTGCTCCTGTGCCTTGGCTGGCGAGGACAAGGAGACGGCAGGCGACTCGTCTTTGGAATCGGGGCTTAGCAAGGCAGACGAAGGTGGTTGCGGACGAGGCATTACTGTCGGGTTGTACCAGGATTCGGTATTGGCTTCTCGGTCGGGCACTGCATCTTGGTTGGCCTTGTCCTCGAAGGACGGGGCGCGGGAGCTATCACGAGACATTGGCGCGCGGCTAGCAGATTGTCTGGACTCGGCTCGCATCCACAGAGATCTGACAATGGCTTGGTTCTCGCCCGGAGTTGACTCTGTAGGCACGAGACGTGAGCTGCGAGGTCGTGATCCATCCCTCTCGAAACTGCGACGTGGGATTTCTGGGCTTGAAATTGCGACTGCAGAGCTTGGATCCGAGGAGCCACGCTGGGAGAAGATCGCAGAGCTGTGGTCTGCGGACTCACGGCGAGAAAAGCTGACTCTTGAGGTTGGGTCAGACGATCCGCGATTAGAAACGCTGACTCCAGAGTCACGCTCCATCTCCTGGTTGGGTCCAGCGGAGAGCATGGGGCTGTCTGAGGTCATGTCTGAGAGAGTTGGCAGATCAAGCTGAGATACTGGCCGGCTAGGCAAGAAGTCAGAGCCTGGAGTACGGTTCTCAGCTGGGCGACCATTGTCAAAGGAATCAGTCCTCGAGAGCCTGACACCAGCTGGGGACATAGGCGGAGACATCGATGGGCTTCTAAGTGGAGCCTCGTCACCGCCCGGGGTCGTAGGCGTGCTATCGTTATTGTCATCCAAGCCAGGACTCACCACCGGCAGCGGTGGAGACAACGTTCCTTCATCCCATACTCTGTCTGCGGAAGGGCCATTATATTGAGGGCTCATTGACTGCCATTGACGTTCTTGGATGCGAGCAGACGCGCTGGGGGATAGAGACACCGCTGCAGAACGAGAGATCGAGCGCGAAATTGACCGTGAGACAGAAACCGAGTTGGGATCCATGTGTGCCAGCTGTGCTGTCCATGGATCCGGCGACTGGCTAGTACTAGGAAGATCTTGAGCGCCAACATCTGGGCTTGCTTGCTCTAGCGCCTCGCGCAGACGAGCAGAAGAAGGTTCTGGAGGACTTGGGGCATCAAGAGCTGCAATTTGTGCATCGTAGGGTCTCGGAGGGTCAGTATCGGGCATATCAGTTCCATCATCAGTCATGATCATTGGTGCACGCTTGTTGAGCTCCTGCCGCAGTATCTCCGGATGGATCGGATCTGGGTTGGCTACATCAGGACTGCGCATACCTGTAGCATTTCCAGCAGGTGATTGCAGTCGGGAGTCATCGTAGTTGAAGGACATGCGGGCCGAGCGATTGGCTTGACGAGCAACCGCGGACGGAACAGGCAGGGCTGGCGATGCATTGTTCTCAAAGACATCTGTGGCCGCGGCTTGACCCATCCGATTCAGTTCGCGACGAGTTGGTGATGGAGAGCGAGTGTGCTCTCTTCGTCCTCTGTCGGCAGCTCTGGCAGCGGCACGCACCAGATCGTCACCATCAGGAGATGCTGATCGTGATCGCGAGCGCGATGGGGAGCGAGAGGGTGTTCGGCTGTCGAAGATCTCTGGATCCGCGGCGCCGAGGAGTTGAGCCAAAAGCGGTGACGGAATATGAGGAATCTCATATCCAGGTTGGCGTGGCCATTCTTCCTCTTCGTCATCATCATCGATGCCACGGACTGGAGAGTAGTCCCGATCGTTGGTGTCGAACTCGTCTGGGAACATTGGAACCCCATCGGGGAAGAAATCGTTGCTGTTCGCGCGCTCGTTGAATCGCTCACGCTCGCCGTAGTGCTGCTGCCAGCGTTCCTCAAAATTCATAGCATTCATCTCCTCAGACTCCATCCTTGGTCCATGGTATTGTGGGCTCATGATCGCACCGTAAGTCATGGGGGGACCAGGTAGTCCACGTCCACGATCCTCAGGAATGATTGCAGAGTGTATCACAGAAGGCATGTTGTAAGGAGATTGAGCACCATCGTCACCCTCGTCGACTCTGTCCAAATCGGGAGTGCGATTGTTATCTGGTGTCCAAGTGCCCTCGATGTCCGAAGCACCCTTAGGTAGTGCAACCTGAGAGGGATTTCTGCGAGGTGGCTGCGGGATTTCTCTACGTCCTGCAGCATTGGCGAAAGGCAGCTGGGTGTGCGCAGGAGTGTTCTCGTCGGATGATGCTTGGGATTGTCGGGACAGGCGACGCATGGGCTGAATTGGTGACAAAGCTGGACGACGGGTGAGGTCGCCACTAAGCCGTTTGCCTTGGTTATACTGAGGCGAAGGAGCTTCGTCGTCACCCCAATCAGACATTGGGGAAGTGCCGCGGTCCGCAGAAGTTGAGCGCTGCTGCTCAATATCTCGCACTGGTAGTGGGCCGTCATCGTCCTTGGAGCCAACAGTGGTAGCAGAGGCAGAGCGCGAGGCAAGTCCAGGCAGAGGAGATCTTGGGCTGTCAGTGTGCATTGGGGATGTGCCGCGGTCAGCTGACAGTGAGCGAGGAGCCACGATATCTGGCGATGGAGCACCGGGAGACTCGGCAGGTGATGAGTCCGACTTCCAATCTGACATGGGAGATGTACCACGGTCGGCGGAGTTCGATCGCTGCTGCTCAATGTCCCGAGTTGGCAGGGCACTGGCTGTAGCGACATCTGGCTCGCTGTCCTCGTCCTTGAAATCTGACATCGGGGAGGTGCCGGCGTCTGCTGAGTGTGTACCAGGGTTGTCAATATCTCGCGGCGACGCAATGCCGATCCCTAAGATCTCGTCTTCGCTTCCATTCGACATCGGAGAAGTCCCAGCGTCCGCAGACTCGTAGCGAGGCGATGTAACGTCTCTTGGGCTGAACATTGGCGCAGCACTGCGAGGTGGAGAGGGACTGCGGACGGGAGACTTCATAGAGCCACGACGGCTTTCGTGGTAGTCATCGGGCACGATGCCCGCCATCATTGCAGTTGGTGATGGAGCGCGTGGCACATATTGGTCAGATCCTGCTTTGGACAATGGCGGGCGGATGTCGTCCGTGAAGTCCTGCGGCGGAGATTGAATGCCTGCCATCTTCGCAGTAGGCGAAGGAGAGCGACTTTCCGAAGGTCGTTGCGAGGCCATGGGAACCGCTTGCGAAGATGCCGTGCGGGGTGACTGAGCTGCGTCAATGTCGACCGCTGGTAGAGGCATTGTCATTGCCGGCGGCCGACTGTTCAAGTACGGGGATCCAGCCTGTGCGCCCATATCTGCTGATGGTTCTGGATACTCTTCATTTCTGTTGGCGAGCTCCGTGTCGATAGCCATATTTGGCGATTGAGATCTGAATCGTGAGCCAGGCCTGGAGTTGTCGAAGATGTAAGTGCTTGCTGGCAGCATGTCTCCAGACATGGTGCGATCGTTACCAAGCGGCAAGAAATCCAGGGGCGGAGACCTTGACATCATCCTTGATTCGGCATTGAAGGAATCATGAGGTATGTCAAGTTGTGATGCCGTGCGCGAGAGGTGCCAATCTTCCGCACCACGTGGCACGGAAGGTGTGCGCGGATTGTCGGTTTCCTCCTCTGGGTCAGTTTCAGTGCCCATATCGCGGGTGGGCAATGGTGGAGAGTGCAGTGCTTCGGAAGACTGTGATCGAGGCGCATCAAATTTTTGGGACTGTGGTCGTGGAGGCGATCGACCACGCGGCAAGAAAGTGACTTCATTGCTTGGAGGATTGCTTGAGCTGGGATTTGATGTTGCCGGCAGAGGGGGAGACATTTCAGGTTGCCTCGATACTGATCTGGTATGAGCAGTGACAGGCTCGTCGGCATACTGATCTGGTGGTCCTCGAGGTGGAGACATAATCCTTGCTGGCGAATTGCCATCGAACTCGTACGGATCAACCATTGGCGATCCAGCTTGGAGCGAGGAGTCGCGGTAACCTGTATGTTGAGCCGGTGGCGGTGATCGGGACTGAGAGTAGCTACGATCCACTGCGACCTGTGGTAAGTTGGACTGCAAAACAGGTGGAGATTGTGCCCTTGGCGGCGATGGTGCGCTCATAAATGGCTCGGGCGACATCGATGGCTCTTGAGATGGGCCACGTCGATTCATATGCGAAGGAGACCTGGAGTTCGATGATGCGAAATGTGAACCTCCAGCCATAGAAGCACGAGGAGGCGGTGATAGAGAAGCCTCGTCAACCTGGGTCGACTTCGATGGAGACCGAAGTTGGCGACCTCCAGGTGTCATAGCCCTTGGAGTGTAGACCACTTCCTGTCGCTTGATTGGAAGCCCAGCTGATTGAGGTGGCTCATCGAGTGAAGTATCGTCGGTCTGGGTCGTGATAGATTGTGTAGACTGCGAAGTCGGCGGCGATGGCGTCTTTGCAGCGACATCGATCGCCTCCAGAGTACCGCTGGCCAAAGAGATGGATCGTGTCGCCGACTGTCTTGTTGGGACCGCAAACTGCGAATTGCGCTTCGAATTCGAGCCTGCAACTCCAACAAAGCTGCCATTGAGAGACTGGTAGCCAAGCTGAGACACAGGAGGCGACTGCGAGCGGGAAGCTGGCGGCGAGTATGATTTTGGCAGGGCAACGCCTTGACCTTGCGGGTCAGAGTCACGAAGAGATTCGGACATTGATTGATCGCCGTCGCTGAGATGAGCGTTCACGGGAGCCTTTGAAAGCGGCTGAATTTCATCGCTATTCTCCGCTTCTGCGAGCGCACCGAGGCCGGCGGGTCTCGCTTTGCCGTTGGTGTGCATTGGGAAGCGGCCGTGGGGAATGTCGGTGATCGTGACTTCGTGGTACACATCGTGCTCGTCGCGATATGCCAGACGCGCCTCAGCAGGCTTGGTGGGCGGCTCGTGGATGATTTCCACTTTGCTATTACCCGGCTGTGGTCGAAATACGAGTGCAGTAGATTCAGCAGTTTCCTTCTCTGGAAACAAAGCTGCTGTTTTCTTGCTACTCCCGAGCCTGCGCCTCTCCATGTCCGAAGTGCTGCTGGATCCGATAGACTTCATGTCCAAATCGCCAATCTTGCTGGTGCCAGACTGTCCATCGAATTGCCCTTTTCGAAGCACACTCTCCATGTCTGCGGGTTCATCTTGCTGTGTCATCTCGGTCGCAATTATTCCAGGTGTGTCGACATCTGAATCATCATCACGTCGTCGTCCGAAAAGGCGCTGCGTTGCGACAGAGCCATTGGCATAGCCGCTGTTCGCATCTCCGAGCCTGCCGCTGAACCAGCGCTGCATCAGGCCAGCGATGGGCGGTGCGCAGATGCAGATGACCGACAAGTTGGCCTCGATGATGGCCCACAAGCCAGTATACTGGTACTCCCAGGTAAGGTTCATCGCACCAAACAAGCGCACAACGTATTGCAAGCGTATGATCGCTGCAATTGTGACCACAAATCCGATGGCAAAGAGAGTGGCAACGCCAACCTTCTTGTGAAGCGCGATACTGAGCCTCAGAACACTGAAGATCGGAAGTAGGTACACGACAACATCGTAGATGATGTTCAGCGCTCCAAAGATATAGAGAAGTGGCGCGACTTCGATGCAAGAGCCAGTTCGTCCGGTAACGCGGTTCCAGACGTAGCTAATAGGTGAGCATTGGAAGATAATTGCGAAGTCGAACGCAAGTGCAGTCATGGCAAAGATACCAATGCTGATCCAACAGGATAATCTGAAAGCTTTCGTGATGGAGTCCGCGGTCCAGATTCGCAAGTACAATAAGACGGCAGCGATTTTCGTAGTCATGACGACGGTGATGTACAGGATCTCCCCGATGTAGAGCCATCGCAGAATCTCTTCGATGCTGCCGACCGTGTTGGTGTAGAGGTCCGTGGCGAGTCCCAACTTCGTCTCTTGATTTAAGCTGACGTCCAGTACAACGACGAGCGCGAGGGATGCCAAAACGACCCAATCATCCCAACTGATGCCGCTTCCGTTGAGACCCCTCCATCTCGACAACAGCCTTAGCGCCACGAAGATAATTGCCACAGAGAGAAAGGCCCAGGTCACACCATACAAGGTGTTTGCGTTGTTGCGAACCGGTCGATTGCAGGTTGTGGCTTGGTATTGTAGGCCATCTGGCACTCTGTTAGCAATATTCACAGAAGACTGTGACAAGTTACGTACCAAGTTGATCCTGCATTGAGGAAGAACATTGTGATGCCAGGCACGACTCATATGCAGTTCTTACGGTTGCAGTACAGAAGCAGACATCGTCGGCTTGACAGTTATTCGGAAGTTGTGTAATACATGTTTGTGCACATGCTGGAAGTGTGCTCTGTTCTGCTTGCCGTGCGGAAATAGTCGTAGCATATGAGTCTGAGCCTACGGTCAAAGCCAGCAAAGGCAAGACCAGTATGCCCGGCACCCACAACATCGCGTTTGGTGACGGCCGAGGAGTCGAAGGCCGGATGCGGTTGACGAGAACATCAGAAGCGAGTGCTAGGCCGGAGGCGCGCTATATTTGTTGCTGCACAAAGCCCATCGAGATGGCGCACGTCTTGCGACTCATGGTCTACAAGCACCGCACCCTTTGGCACGAGGCTGGAGACAAGCGCGGACATGCCCAAGGCGTTCTCCACCAAAGCCTGCGGCCACTAGGCCAAGTTATCGGCGTCTGTGTGCGGCTGTCCGATCTGGTCATGGTGCTGTGCTGAGCTGAGATCGCCTGCACCAGCTTGCAGCCTCAATGTGGTTGGACTCGCTGATCTCCTTGTGGCTCTGACTCGTGGGAGCTGTGCCACTGCATCACTCTGCATTGGCAAGCACAATGTGAGAAGCAACACGATTCAGCGGCAGCGTCGACGCGTTGCGACCATTGGACTTCTCATCATGTTGACAAATCTCTGCCGTTTTCCAAGCTGCGATGATGTCCTCCTGCTTGAGTCACTCGTTCGTCCTATCGTAATGCATCGAGCCAAGGACGTCATTGCTCACGATTGAGTGCGACTGCTATGCCAGATCGTCACTTTCCATCACAACGATGCGACTCAACTCCAATTGGATCTTGCAATGTAGGCTTGCACAATGCTCAATGGTATGCTCCATGTCCAGACGAGGTGAGGTCGGAGTAATTGTCCAACATCGGGTCGCGGACAAGGACTTCCCTCCAACGATTCCGCAAGACAGCAGAACCAACCGCGCTGTGGGGTATCCGTCTCGTTCCTGAACGATCGCCTGAACTTTGACTGCTGCTCGTGCGGGCCGGCAAAGCGTTCCGACAGCCACAAGTCCAACCACAGAGCCGCGTGCATGGACGCCCAACAGAGACGCGTCGATGGCATCGCGAATCTCGATCGCAAAGGACCTCTGCTTTGTATACACAGAACCTATTCCCTCAATGGAAGACTGTGTTGTTCGCCTGCGTGTGTCACTCGACCGTGTATCTTGAAGCACGCACTCTGCTTCTAATACATTTGAGATCTAGCACGTAGTCTGTATTTTCGTGAAATTTGCGTCTCATGAGATTGGAGACGTAGGACATTGTGCTCGAAGTGCTTGCCATCACATGTCACAAACGAAAGTCGAGTCCGAATTGTACGATTCGGATTTGTGCCTGACACGGTAGCAATTTCGCAATGCGCTCAAAGCGCCGAAGGGCCAGCTTCTCGCACATGGATGTTGGTGATGAGGTCGTCCAAGCGCTGTTGGGAGCCGTGCGAGCAATAGCAGAGCTGACATATAGTTCGCTCTCACAGTTGCGCACACGGAACACCCCAGGCTTGTTGACACATTGTCAGATCGGGACAGTCATCGTATGTGGAATGTTCCGAGATAAACGAGCTGAAGCTGATGAACAGCCAAGTCACGCTTGACATGGTTGAGAGTACCGTCGTACCGCTGCCCGACGTCTCTGAATCTGGCATCCAGCTGTCTGAGAGCAACAGCTTGCGGCGCGATGGATGTGCCCAGGTTTTCAGCTTTGTTCGCAGCAAGATCATCCGGGCAATGTGTGATACCTCGAAGCTCCTCGGTAGTGCATCAAGCTGACTGCTTCCAGATAACTCGCAAGTCACTTCTACCCAGCGATGGCGGACTTCACGCATCTCAGTGCAGAAGAAGGCGCAGCGATGGTGGTGCGACAGCGACAGCTGCACATCACTGAGTTTTGGAAATGGTAGTTCATGCGGAAGAAAGTACCTCTTGCAAAGCTGCTGAGGACCTGTTGTGTCGAACTTTCATCGCGTGACTGGTAGCAGTGCCTTTGGCCGTGTGGTCCTCACGTCTGAGTGGCTAGTATGGGCAGCTTTAGAGCAACAATCACGCCGTTGGATATTCTTCAAAGTGAGAAATGTTGTGCCAAGTTGAAGCATTTCAAGTGGGCAGGAAGCAGCGTCCGGCGCCCGGCAGCAGCCCTAGTGAGCTGACTAAGCCGTGACGGAGCACCACTGGGCAGGTGTCAACGAACACTTTCCCAACGACGTCGCAAACTCTATGTCTAGGACGGAGATGCTGTGGTACCGAGATTGTTCAGTAATGCTTCGTATGGCTTTGATGCCGTGGCTAATGTCATTCTAGGCTAGGAGATTCATGAACTATGCCCCAGATCTCGATTCGTTGCCTCATATTTCAAACATAGCAGTCATCAATACCACACTTCACTTCCTCTCAACATCCTCAAGCTTGATATCCGTAGTGGGCTTCTCAACACTGTCCCCTCGCTCGGCATCAACATCTTTCTCAACATTCGCAACCGTCTGGCCACCAATAACAGCATTTTCGAACTTGCTTCCACGCTTCTCAGGACCAATGGCAGCAGTGAAAGCGATTCCGAGAGCGATAATTGCAGTTGCAACGCCCATAGTTGGTCCATAGGATGGTACGCGCTCTCCACGAGCCGAAATGAGGTTAGATTCGGCGATGGCGTTGACGATTTGCGCACTGGGGCTAGAAATCATATTTCCGAGTTGGTACTTTGCGATTGTCAGCAGTGCTCAGGGAGTGTTCGCGTATATTTCTCATAGACTTACAGTGATACCGGGGAAGGATGAACGGAAGGCAGGAGGCGAGAGCTCGTTCAGGTGGATAGGAATCACACCCCAGGCTCCTTGAACGAAGAACTGAATCATGAAGCCAGACGCCGAAAGACCTCCAAGAGAAGTTGGCAAGATCCACGCGGGGATTATGCAGGCGCTGATCAGTGCTGAGACAACCATGGCACGACGACGGCCGGCCCATTGGCTGAGGTATCCAATGACAGTGCCACCGACACAAGCACCAGTCTTCATCAGGATACTGGCAATCGAGGCATCGTGGTTGTCCATGCCCTTCTGAGTTCGCATGAAAGTCGTGTATGAGTCTTGACTGTTGTGACAGAGACCCGTTAGCAAATGCTCGCATGAAAATCATGCGCAAAACGACAGCAACTTACGAAGTGTGAGAGTAGAAGTTGAACCAGGTCATGAGAATGATGCAGTAGATGCACATCTTCCACTCCTTGGCCAACATGGTCTTCGTCTCAGCCCAGAACACACCGGCAGAAGCGCCCTTGTGGCCCGCAGCTTTGCGCTCACGGAACTGCTTGCTCTCGGGAAAAGCGACGCGGATCAGGCCGACACCGATACTGAGTCCTGCTGCGATCCAAAAGACGGTCTTCCAGGATTCGACCGAGCCGCCGACACCAAGATTGGCACAAGCTGCACAGACATAACCGAACGAGTAACCTTGCTGCAGGATACCGGACATGAGACCACGGGCTTGGACAGGGCAGTTCTCGAGAGCCTAAGAAAATATGTTAGACAAGTGAGAACAAATCCCGTCGCTCGGAAGAATAGTTACCATTGCGACGGCGTTTCCGTATACGCCACCCATGAAAAGACCAAACAACGATCGCACAGCAAGGAATTGTCCAAACGTAGTGCTGTAAATCGTCGCGATCTGCAGGATACCAAGGATTATCATGTTGGCCACCATGGGCCACTTGCGACCGAATTGATCCTGCCAGGCGTACTGTCAGTAGTTGTCCTCGCAGCTTATGTCTTCCACATGAACTCACACCAAGAAGTCCAAAGATCGCGGCACCGATGGAGCGCAGAAGAAGAGTGAGGGTGATCGCAGTCGTGATGTTCGTGTTGGAAGTGTCATAGTAAGACGCAAGCTTGGTGGTTTGGATACTCAGAGCGTGAAAATCGAATGCATCGGCCTTTTGATCGCAAGTCAGCATTTGCTACGCATTGTACAATGTCAACATATGCCTTACCGACCAAGAGGCAAAGCCGACAATGAAGAAAAGCCATGCAGTCGGTGAGAGCTGTGCCAACAGAGAGATCGGGTTCTTCAGAGGAGCTGGCCTCTGCCATTCCGTGCGCGATTCTCCAAATTCATTTGTGATCTCAACTCGCTGCTCCCATCGAAACAGATCCCCGAAGCTTTGCTTCGCAGTTGCGAAGATGCCAGTCGCAACGGGTTCTGCTGATTTGCCTGTGGACTCCATGTTTGATGCACAAGAAAGACGGGGAGCGGAAATCTGTTTTGGAGCCGGCGACACAGTACCACAACCACTACATACTTAACAGCGCACACGCAACCTTCTTGCACTTCCGTGTAATGTCATCATTGCAGTTGTCCGATGATACCTTGCCTGCGCCCAGACCTGGCCAAGCAGCGGGAAGGCTCCTTCGCATGATGGTCTGCTGTGGCTTTTCACACCGCGCGACCGCGCGACCAGCGGTTGAGACTCCATTAAGTCTTGACCAAACTTGGCGCGTTCCCGATTTCCAAGACTTCAAAGGCCGAAGAGTCCTCGTGCATCCACTGCGAATTTCGCTGTTCCGACCGCACACGAAAGGTAATCATTGGTGCACGGCCATACTATGAACAGTCTAACGGTGCCGCTCCGATACTTTTTCTGAGCTCGTGGAGATGGTGGGTGACAAGATGCATAAGCGGTCTTGGAATTAAATGAAGATCCAGCTTGTCCAGGCTGGTCATTGGCTTGAGAGGCTTCAGCTCGTCGCCAAGGACGCCGCAAGTCTTAGCTTTGGGGAAGCAATGCCAGTGATCGCGTGGCGGTTATCATGCTGATGTTTCCTTGGCTCCACTTCGAACTGTCGTGTGTCGGGGTCCCCTTGGGGTCTGGAGGCCCCAACGCCTGGAGGCAATCCACTTCCCATGCAACAGTCACGAGAGATGGGATCTAAGCGACGTCTTGGCGCAAAATTCCAACCTTCGGGATGCTCTTTTCGGCCTGGTCAAAGTCGGCCAGACTCGGACCGGCATTCAATACTGCAACACGGCCAATGCTCTTCGTAGAGGAGACTGCGCTTTGGTGAGCTATCATCGGCTGTTGCACTTGGTCGGGTTTCGCTCAGAAATTATCGCTTCGCACGTGGTCCGTTGCGGCGACTTGGCGTAAAGCAACGACTGCGACATCTTCCGCTGCCCAGTGTTGGCCAGGGCTCCGTGGACCTGCTCAGTAGAAATGTCGAATATGGCAGCGGCCCCTGAATCCGACCTCTGGCTCTTTGTTCAATGATTTCATCGTCTTGCAATATTCTCACTTGTCACTTTCCGATACAGCGTTCGGCAAGCGGTCGCGCTCCTTCCTGGCAATTGTGCTGAGACGTCCTTCCATTCTAGTCCTTTCGAACGTAATTGGCGGAGCAGTGCGATCTCTTCTTCGCCCCAGCGTCCGGGAGTTGATCTCTTATTAATATGGGTACGCAATTCGCTGATTCTTCTCTTGATGGAAGTCGATGTCCTATGCGGTATCGCCTTCTGAATCTCTTGAAAGCTGTGCCCATCTTTGCGTAATGTACGTAACTGCTCGTCTTCAACAGGAGTCCAGGGGCCTACAGCAAATGGAATATCCTGATTGCTTCGTCGGCGCTGGAACTGATTTCGTACGCCTTCAAGCGAGCGGTGAAGCCGGTTCGCGATCTCTCGCAAAGACATACCAGATTCACGCATCTCAAGAGCTTTGAGATATTCTGCTTCGGTCCATCGTTGCCTTGGAACGGACTCGGGCTTTTCTTCCACTTCAAATTCGCCTGATTCTAGTCGCCGGACGTCCTTGTTCTGTCGAAATTTCCCCACATCGTCAGGGCGTTCCGGAGTCCACCAGCCATTCTTCCGTGCGTCGAACTTGGACACTTGCAGGACAGCATATCTGGATCGCTTCAATACTGCTGCAGCATCACACAGCCTCTTTCCATCAGCCAGAAGCGCTCTCAGCTGATTGAGTTCATCTTGCGTCCAGTCCCCGTTCTGCCGCTGGCCGGAGGAATCTGAGAGCCATCTTGAATGAGTCGGGCTGCAGCGTCTCGCCGTTGGTTGGATGGTGTTAGTATGAGTGAGGCCCGCGATCAGCCGGGCCGTAGGCAACTGCAACCCATGCAGAAGTCTCATACGTAACCAGTAGAAAGGGATCGAGATGCACTGATGATGCCTTTTGATGTCTTCACCGAAGACAGACGTTTTTATTGTGTATGCGTTGCATCCTCCTGAGAAAGGAAATTACAGGGTTCGGAACGGCTCCACTAAATTCCGTGCCTGCTTGACTTGTAACGGAACTGCCGCGCAACTGCATTACTCTTCTTGCGAACAGAACGATTTGGCGAGAAGAAGTGTATCCATATTAACGGAATTCAGAGGCATCGAAGAATGAATTTTATGGTCAAGAAGTATGACAACGAATCATCATACATAAACAGCCGCGCAAAAGAGGTATCTGGAATAGCAATCGAACGCCGAACCATCCTGTCGTTTCATCGTGATTGTTGGGAAAACCGCAGATCCCGCATGCTTGGACCGGTGAATGCCACTTACTCCTCCATCTCATCGTCGACCCCTAATGTAATGGTATCCTCTCCCTTGGCATTCAAGACGCCCTCCATCTCTTCATACTCTCTCTCCACCTCTTCAGCGACAAACTCCTCATAACTCTCCAAACTCGTCTGAATGTGGATCTTGAAGTCCACCACTGTTTTCAGAATCCTCTCTAGTTCTGTGTGCAATTCTTCTCGCAATTCTGCAGCCCGGAACGTTAATTGCTCATACTCCAAATTCACGCCCATTTCTCTCTGCTCCATAAGTTGCACGCTTTCGCCCAGCCCAACTCGGACTTTGTTGAGTTCTTTCTCCATCTTCTCGATTTGAGCTTCGGAGTGCATGGCAGCAGCTGAGGAGATTTCGCGCATCTTTTCGAATTCTTCCTGCGCGCCACTAACGCGGTGTTTGAGCGTTTCGAGTTCGGAATGCTTGTCTTCAAGAGCTTCGCGAGTCTTATCTAGAATGTCGATCTTGGCCATGTCTTCTTCCAGACTGGCATTCCGACGTTCGGAAATAGTTTTGCGGAGTTGCTGGAGAGACAATTTGATCTGTTTTAGGTCCGGAGTAGGAAGCAGAAGATGGGGAGCGTATCCGTTGTTGGGGTCTTGCAATAGTCGATCGTTCGCTGCATCAGCGCTGGTGGATGAGGAGAAGTCTGGTCCAGAGTTGACGCGCAGGCGCAGTTCGTAGTCGATCCCATTGGCGTTGTGTGCTGTGGAGGGAATGATCCCGATCTGATAGCCCAGAGAGTTGTACTTTTGCACTGCGCTCTCTAGATCATCCAGCTTTGACCCTGTCTCAACTTCCTTCTTGCCGGTCCGTTCCTTTGCCTCTTCCAAACGCGTTTGTGTGGCCTCGACGCCCTTTATCAGTCGTTCTCGTTCGGTATTCATGCGATCAATGTCCTGTACAGTGAGTCCTTGATCGTCAACCTTCTGTTGCAGATCTGCGCGCTCAGCTTCTGCCTCTGCCATTTCTGCTTCACACCTCTCGATTTCCTGCTGTAATAGATCTGCGCGATGCGAGTATTTTTCCACCTTCGCGTCCATGCTTGCATTGTACTGTTCGAACTTCTGCTTGTCTTCTTCCAGGATCTTGATCGTCTCATCCAGTTTGGCCAGCCGAGGGGCGGACTTGCTCAGCTCGTCGATCTGCTCTTGCAGTCTCTTAGACTCTGCCTCCAGCTCTTTTACTTGCTCCAAGTTCGCTGCATTCGCTTGTTCAAATTTCATGGCCATGGCTTCGATGTGTGGCTGAATTCTCCTCTTCGCCTCTTCTTCCTCATCATCGTCGTCTTCGATCGACAGCCATTCTCGATACGCGTTAGACAGAAAGTCGAATGTGATGCGGTCCGCGGACACGTCGAAGCCAGCCTCGATACACGCGTCATCCCACATGCCCATGCTATATTGCTCCATCATCTTCGCAAGCAACATCATCCAGTGCAGCAGTCCCAGGAACGTGCTCCAATTGTTACCTCCCACCGCAGCAAGCTGGCTTTTGCTGATGTTTTTCTCGAACGGATAGCGCATTTGCTTGAGCAAAGGAGGCACTTCGGCATCTATGTTCTTTTGGAAGCGGTATGCCGGGTCGATCTGATGGTACAAGAACTGGAACATCAGATTGAAGTCTTTCTGTGTCGGTGAAGTCATGGTCTTGTGGGTAAGGTTGTGCTTCATCTCCAGCTCAAAGTTGCGCTGGGTGAGGAATTCCATAAGCTCCTGGCCCATCGCTTGCCTCGTCTGTGAATCGCGCAATCGTCGTGGGTCGGTGGGAATGCCATTCGTCGGAGGAGCAGTCGCGAAGAACGACTGATGCCCTTGAGGTCCAAATCCAGCTGAGGGTCGCGCGCTGTATACAGAACTTCTCCGTTGGGTGCTCGCCTCGAATTGGATGGGGTTTGCAGGTGTCGAAGTGACGGGCGCAAAGCTCTTCCTCCCACCCGTGCTCGCAAAGAAGTTCTGTGTGCTCGGTCGCTGGACGGTGCTGAAGCCGCCCATTCCTGCCAGATTGTCGCCTGATGAAGAGCGCTGGAACATGGGTTGCGCCGGCCGGCCAGGCGCAAGGGACATTCTACTTCCCGACGTTGACCGGTGATGTGTCGCCGTCGCGGGCGCATTGTGGTAGTTGGACTGGCTGTTGGATCGCTTCATCGCTGAGGCGAGCATCGGTATGGCGGATACATTGTGTGAGACGGGCGCGAGACTCTGTGACATGTCATCAACGACTGTTTATGCGCCGGCACGTGTTGTTATTGCTGTCGCAACTCACCTCTCGTGGTCGGCGCACAGAAAAGACGCCTGGTTCCTGCGACATGGTCGTTCGTCGTGTCGAGTCCATCTTGTCGCGTGTGACACGTGCGTGTGCGATTGTTGCGATGTGTGAGCTTGGTGCTTCCTGCCCCAAGTTTGCAAGTGTAAACAAAGCGGCGGAAGGAGCAACCCGCGCCGTGCAGGGATCACCGGGAAGCTCGCCGATCAAGCCGAGGCATCACGAGCGAGTGCCGTCTCGTCTGGTGCAGACTAGTTGACACCTCCACTGCTTGCACATTGATGCGCTGTGTCATTGGAAAGACAGTCTTGCAGAACATACAGTAACTGCATTCTGCTCGCAGCGCCGCCACGATGGTCCGCGAGGACCTGGTTGAAGGAGCCATTTCCTGTACGCAGCCAAACGCTCTCCGCCCGCCCGGTGCGACTCGCACTTCCCTACTGACACTATGTGAACATAGTCCTCCAAGACCCCTCCGTCGCTTCGGCTCCTCTGGAACAACGCGTCGCTTTTCTACGCTCCAAGAACTTGACACAAGAAGAGATCGATACTTCACTCGCGCGCGTCGGTCAATCGCCCCCGCCTGGCACGGCCTCGCAGCCTCCCGCCCAGTACCGCCAACCACAATATAACAACTACAATGGTGGCTATGCACAACAACCATATGGAGGCTGGCAACAACCTCCTCCCGAGCCTCCGAGGCGAGATTGGAGGGACTACTTTATTGCTGCTACTGTTGCTTCTGGCATAGGGTACGGATTGTACTGGACGGCAAAGCGATATGTTTATCCACTTATCGCGCCCCCAACGCCGCCTCAACTTGAGCAGGACAAGAAGAGCGTGGATGAGGCGTTCGAGAAGACCTTCCAACTTCTGGAGCAACTGTCTGCCGATACGGAAGAGCTGAAGAACGCCGAGGCGCAGCGGAAGGAGAGATTGGATGCTGCCCTGTCCGAAGTGGAGAGCGTGATTTCTCGAATGAAGCTGGCGAATGACGAACGGGAACAAGAAGCAAAGAGGAATGCACGAGAGTTGAACGAGTTGCGAGATTTGATACCACGGGCCATTGAGAAAGAGAGGCAGGCGCAGGAAGAGAGGCTAAAAGAGCTCGGCACAGAAATGAAGAGTCTGAAGACATTGGTGCAGAATCGCATGCGTGATGGTGGAGCTGCACCAAGCAGGACGACACCCAGCTTTCCCGGCTCTCAGGGACACAGCGGACAAGTTCTGGGCTCCGGCACGCAAGTGAACGGCACTTCTTCCGCTCCTGCCGTACAAGAACCTGCGACAAATGGCACAAACGGCGTTTCTTCACCTGCAATGGAGACAAAGTCGTCGTCTCCATATACTAGCGCAGCCACACCATCGACAAGCTCGAACCCTTACCAGTCACGCTTGCTTGGAAATAGTGGTGGCAAGGCTGCCATTCCCGCATGGCAACTAGCTGCAAAGAAGAAGTCGGAAGATGCAAAAGCGGCGGCCGCCGAGGGAGCGTCCAGTACTCCTAACGTTCAGGAGAGTGGCACTGTGCAGGATGCGGTTGACGGATCATCGTAATAATTGCATTGGCGGGTGGGCGTCATTCTCTACTGTTCTGGATATGTGTTGTGTATGGAAAGCTTTTATGACCCGAACATACGTGCTCGTTATTGTTGTGAGGAAGACGACTTTCCTGTGCTTGATGTCCAACATGCATGGTTGCTGATTTCAGAGCCGCTGTTTGAAAGCATGCAAAGCTTGAACTCTAGCCGCATCTACAGGAAGAGGGTCAGCACAAGTAGAAGATGTCGACTGGCAGTGAAGCCATGGAGGCCAGGGGCGTGGAAGGGATTCGAGGGCGTCAAAAGGCGAATCAAATTTTGATAACGTTCCGATTGAGCGCGGACTCCCGAGCATCGTCCGCGCCTTCACATGCGCCGCGATCTCTGGTCTACAAAGCATCTTCGCGTGGGCATAGTAATGCGCCTTCGGTGATCGCAACTTCTACGTCGCCATCATGGCCTCCAAAGTGCTCTCCCACGTCGATATCGCCACGAATCGCTTCGCTGTCCTCGCCACATACCGCCATCTCCTCCGCGCAACGGGGATAGCATTCAACGGTACATCGCAGACGACTTGGTATACCTACCCATCAACTATACTGACCCTCCGCTTCTAGGCGACGCTCACATGCTCCGCTCTTCCCGTGCTTTTGCTCGAAGTGAGTTCCGCAACGGCGCAAAACTTCCTGCCGACAGTGTCGAGGCAGCACAAGGCGTAGAACATGCACAGGGTGTCACGCAAATCCTGAGGGAAAATGTTGTGCAAGGGAGACGAGTGGGAGATGTTGGCGAGAAATACAAGTTGAATATCCATGAGCATACGCAGAGGCTGGATAATGATACTGCTGGAAAGTTGAAGGGTACTACTAAGAGCTTCAAGGAGGTGAAAAACGCAAGTTTGCTATGAGGAGGCTTGGGCATGGCACTCAAAATGGACAAACGAACACTGTTGATAAGTCCGAGGTGATGCAAGAGGCAATGACCGCGGGGTCGTTAGCACCACTCCGTGGCGTGAAGCCAGTCCCAACCTCCGTCGTCTGGACAAGGCCATAGAAGACTTCGCCCACTACAGCACCTGCTGCTGAATATGGCAGGACGATGCGGGCGCGCCCACAAGTGCCTGTAGGGTCTCATCGGAAAAGCGTAGACGGAAGGACAACTACGTCGAGATTCAACCCGGTCCAAAACCTCATCCATCACACGAGCACCTAGGGCAACGATGCCGAGGAGATATCTTCGCAGCTTGGCTCCCGGACCGTACCCGGTAGCATCGATTGACAGCGGGACACAACGAAAGACGAACAGCCGAGCTTGGGAAGCTGGAAATGGAGAGAGCGTGACTACATTGTCGGCGGTGCCAATCGAAGACGAAACTTGAACGCTGGAAGCAACCGGCAGCTCTCTTTGTACAGTTTATCCGTAACTTTGAAGGCGGGTCCAGATCACGACCTTTGCGCTCAGCAGTCAGTTGGTTCCAGTGCCAGGCATATCCTTGTGCGAATTAAGCGAAGGCACGCTCTGCCTGCCTAGCATTTATTAGGAAACGAACTGGCTACGTGACCTGCGATGCGAATAATACATACAGTACACGGGAATCTCATTGATCGCAACGTGCATCTATGGCACATAACGAATGCCCATTCACGCGAAGCACATTTCAGTCTACCCAGGTGTCGACCTGCATGACTTCTTCGCATTTCAAAGCGTGAGATTGGTTCATTAATCAGTAATGATCCTGGGCACTGGATATAGGGTTGCTTGTGTTGTTTTGCCGCCTTGGCCGCATCAGACCTGGGTTGTGCTCGACGGAGCACCTAGGTCCTGAGTGGATCGATATCCATGTAGACACAAAGCTTGAAGGAAAGCTGGTGACCAAAATATGCCTACGTTGCGAGGTCTCGCTGTGCAACTGCCGACCATAATGGTGTGGGTCTGCCTAGCCTAGACATACGGACCATCATTAGCCGTCCTCCAAACCGACATACAACTGCAGAACCTCAGAACGGCTTCAGTGCAGCGTTTCAACAGCATGAACAACCGATACGCTGCATTGGCGGCGATCTTGTTGCCATTGGCACGATGCATCACGCCCGAGTCAGTATAACGATTAGTCAAACCATCGCAGCTCACTGAAGGCGACAGGCAAATGATATCAGCACCACGGTACAGTCCTGCGATTCCTAACCCAAGCGGAGAATGGGCATTCTACACAAGCAAAAACTATTCGTTCGAAAAGCACGAAGCGTCAACGACATGGAAGCTTTTGCATCTTCCGACTGGGGACATTACTGATCTGCCATGGAACGCCAATGTCTCCGAAGCCGTCTGGGTAGGGCCGACCAATACTTCAGTCCTGTATGTCAACACAACCAATCCAGACACTCCGGGAGGGGTGACTCTATACACTCTAGATCTCGTCGATGCCAAAGCTGAGCCCCACCTGGTGGCTTCTTTGCCAGCACCATACGCGGGACTCAAAGCTGCGACCACCTCTTCGGACGATATCAATTTCGTGATCAACTGTTTGGCGTATGCGAACAATGGGTCCGCGTACAACGAAGAATTGGCAACGAAGCCTGCTCACAAAGGCATGCTATACGAAGCGTTTCCAGTAACCTACCTCGATAGCTACATCCCTCAGGAGCGGTACGCAATTTTCTCTGGCGTGCTCAAGAAGAGCAGCAACCCTTCCGGCTATACTTTTGATGGAACGACAAAGAATCTGCTACGAAACCTCAATTATAATGTCACAAGACCGGAGAGTCCTCAGGTTGGAAATGACCGTGACCCCGGCGACTACGATCTGAGCCCAGACGGGTCACTGGTGGCATTTCTGACACTCGCTCCAGATCGGCCCAAAGGAATTCACACTGTCAACTACATATATCTCGTTCCTCACGACGGTTCTTCCGCTCCAGAGCAGCTGAATGGTCCAGGCAGCAAAGCGCCAGTTAATTCTCGGGGCTTCACCTATGGTCCCAAATTCTCACCAGACGGCAGGAAAGTCGCATACAGTCAGCAGGATGACCCTGCATATGGTTGGGATCGCTTTAGGTTGTATGTGGCGGATGTGGGTAGCAAGGAAGTTCACGCAGTAGCAGAAGATTGGGGTTACTCCGTGGATGGCTACAAATGGACGCCCGGAAGTAAGGAGCTCTATGCTAAAGTCGACTACTATGCAGCAACACGACTTTTCCCGATACCAGCAGATGCGCCTGCGAACTACAAGCCTACAAATGTCACAGGCGCTACGAAAGTCAGAGACTTCTTCTTCCTTCCGGATGGCAAGGCGCTAGTCTCAGCAGACGCTGCTTGGGCCTCGTTCTTGCTCTATACGGTAGCTCCAGATGGGGATACGCATTACTACTACAAATCCAATGAGCGGGATTCAGAGCTCGTTGGTCTTGGCCCGCACGACATCGACTCCTACTGGTACGAGGGAACCTTAGGAGATCAACAGCAGGCTTTCATGGTCTTTCCAACAAACTTTGACCCGAAGAAAGTTTACAGCATGGCTTTCATTGTCCATGGAGGTCCGCAGTCCTTTGCAGGAAGCCTATGGAGTACCAGGTGGAATTTCAAGACCTGGGCTGACCAAGGATACATTGTGGTGCTCCCAAACCCCACTGGCAGTACATCATACGGCCAGGCTCTGACTGATCGCATACAAGGCGAATGGGGCGGCCTGACGTACGATGATCTCGTGAACGCTCACAAGTATGCCTGCGATAATTTTCAATACATCAATTGCAGCAACTCCATTGGAGCCGGAGCATCATTCGGCGGGTACATGATGAACTGGATCCAGGGACGAAATCTCGGGCGTCAATTTAAAGCTCTCGTCAATCACGACGGCGTCACGAGCACATACAGCCTGTGGGCACAAGACGGCATCGATTTCGCTGTCAATCAATTCAATGGCACGCTATTCGAACAGCCGGGTCGGTCAGTGTACGATCGCTGGGACCCTTTGCAATATGCGAGCAATTGGTCTACTCCCATGTTTGTCATTCATAGCGAGAAGGACTACCGAATCCCGATCAGTGAAGGTTTTACCGTCTTCACTGTGCTGCAGTACCTCGGTGTTCCTTCGAGGTTTTTGAAGTTTTCTGACGAGGGACACTACATCACTCATCCAGAAAACAGTTTATTCTGGCATCAGGAGATTTTCAATTGGATCAACTATTGGACGGGAAAAATCGATAAGCTGAGTGATAATGCGATCACGCAGTGAAGAGGCGGTATCGCAGTTGGATTTCAAATGAGTGGAATACTTTTGACGAATAACTGACGAAAGTATGAGACTTAGGATTGCGTCCGTGGGGTTTGAACGAGGTGCTTCCGCAGAGAGAAGGTCTGAGCTGGGGTTGACTCAGAGCGAAGATGTCTATGACCATCCCGGTCGGCTTGCAGCGCAACGGCAGCGCAAGATCAATACTAGACGAGATACGCACGATGCAATGTCTGGTTGGCGAGTTGTTGACGGCGGGGGTGAATGTATCTCTGTTCGTGAATTCAACGGTTGTTAGGGGCAGTTGCTTGATTGAGCGTCTCGGTAAAGTAACTTGATTACAGAAATCACATCCTTAACCGCACTGCCATCGGTGTAGGGAGTACCAATCCCCATTCATCTGAAGTTTAGTAAAGTCGCACGCCTTCCTTATCCTTCTCAAATCCAGCTACCTGCTTGGTGCCTTGCCATCTTCCAGGGCAGGCACTGCATAAATATTGAGCCGATCCGGCACATCTTCCGAGCCTGAAGATCAGGCAGCCTACCGCCGGAAAGCAAAACAGAACTTAGGATTGAGACTCCGTGCTCCTCTGTCCGTGAACTCGAGTGCCCTTTCGATCGTCGTATCTCCGCCTCGTGCGGCGTAGCTAAGGCGCCTAGTCTCGATAAGCAAAGCAGCCGTGGAGTCCAGTCCGCGAGAGATTGCAAAGTGAACGTCATTCCCAAGATCCGTCTTGCCGTCCACAACTAAGGCAGCTTCAAAGATGACCATGCGGGCCCGAGAATCATCCGACAGCCCTGCGTAAGAATAAGTTATTGCGGACAGTGACGAGGAAGCTTCTGAGATCGACCTTGAAATACTGAATATTAATACTGCGGACGATGTCGAAGCCGAGGATTAGGGGCTTTCTAGATCGACATCGAGGAAGCGCAAGGTAATAGAAGTCGCAGACAGTAAAGATAACCCTTGCGAGTTCGAGATTAAGCTACTAACCGTTAAGACCGTAAACAAAGTTAAGCCTAAGGATTAAGTGCTTTCCCTAACAACATCCTAGAAGCGCAAAGCAGTCGACGAAGAGCTTCCTTCTAATATTGCTACTATACTAGCTACTGCTCGCGCCGGCTAGGGCGAAAATGCCTGCAAGAAGCCGCTATCTATAGAAGCATCGACACTACGTCCTCGCAAGAAGCATATAGATAAACCGCTTAATACGAATATTGCAGCTATACTCGTAGCTATACGAGCCGGACAAGGCGAAAAGGCTTTCCTAAAGCGTTAACGACTTGCGCTACTGAATGCGAACATTTTTTTTTTACGCATTACTAACTATCATGGTAAGACAGCGTAGACTAAGGGCATGCTTCACTATCTTAGAACTGTTTTTCGAGTTTTTTCTGCGCGTAACGGCAGGTTTTCATATCTTGGAACTGTTACTGAAAGTTCGCAATCGCGCAAAAGCATGTAATATGGCTAGAAGAGAATAGGTCCTAGAGAACGATAATGTCTAATATATACCAAATATCCATGTATACCAGAACACCCTTGCATACGAGAACAAAGGCGTCTGCTGCCGGAAAGCAAAACAGAAACCAGGACTGAAGCTCCATACTCCTCTGACCGAAGAACTGAAGTGCCTTTTTGATCCTCGTAGCTCCGCGTTGTGCAGCATAGCTAAGGCACTCTGCCTCGACAAGCGAGGCAGCCGCAGATTCAAGCTCGTGTGAGAGAGATCGCAAAGCAAGCGTATTGCCCAGTTTCCGTTTTGCTGTCCACAACTAGGGCGTCTCATGACCGCAACTTTCTGTAACGGTTTGCAACTCTGCTCAAAACCTTTGAAACAGCTTGATAGCCCTTGTTTTTGCGCGATTTTGTTGACAATGCATCTTTGCGATCCATCGCTTCGAGAAGAGGAGCGGGAGAATCCGGAACCGCGTCCTTCTTTGCTGGATGGTGAAGAACCTCTGGTATTGGATCATGGCGAGGCAGCGCTGATGGTGGCGGTTTCCGAATGGCTCCCTCGTCCGCCTTCGTTTCCACCCGCGGAGCAAGAACAATACGCCGCGTGGCCTGTGCAGTCTCTGGGACTTCAATCTCTCCTATATGAGATGATATCGACGATCCACACGAGGAGCTGGAATCGGAAATGCTCCGACAGCTACTGACTGAACTGATCGACCAAAGAGAGGCTAGTCGGTCAAGGTGCACTCTGTCTTCTGCGCGAAACTGCATGTATGCTGCTCCTGTTGTTGGGGAATCGTATCGACTGACGGCGGTGAGCGGACCAAGACTGGCCCTGTATCGACGCCGGCGTTCCACTGCAGGATCGTGCATCGAGGTTGAGCTCATAGAGTGATTTGACCCCTTCGAGCCGAATGGATCAGATTGTCGCCTTTGTAACAGCTGCTTCGCTATGCCGTCGGACGCTGTTCCAGAGAGCAGACGTTGACTAAGACGTTCCATACTTTGCAGCGTGTTGCTTCTCATGATCATTACAGTGCTCTGCAAGCTCGTGAAGTCAAGAGTATCGCCTCCGGAACATCTCGCAGTTTGCAAAGCATTGATGACTTGTACTTGCAAGTGGACCATTATTGCGCTGAGCTCTGACATGGCATTAGAATCTCCAATGGCGAAACGTTTCTGCAGTTGACGTTGTCGCTCGTTCATTTTGGACTGGCAAACGTTCGCGGCATCGAACAAGGCATTCTGTAGCGTCTTCTCTCTCACCGGGAGCTCGTACTCAGTCTCTGCGAGTCGCCTGCTCCCGAATCTCTGCTCCCACGTCGCTTCCAGAAGCTCGGCCCCACCACGAAAAGCTGAGACAATGGCGACAATGCATTGCTCGACTCCTGCCATGGGTGGCATGTTGGAATCCCAATTATGAGTGGCAGTTCTTGGTTCGGAAATGTGCTGGCGATCGGGTCGTGATGTTGAGCAACAGGTCTTGCATGCAGATCAAGGAGCGGATGTTCTGCGATCGTATAAATGTACGGTCAGTATCACCTACCTGCGAACCCCTGCGAACCAGTATGCACTCTACCCAAAGTAGTGGCTACATTTGCAGCCTCGTGCTGAATATGGCCAAGCTCTGTGGGACAAGCACAATTGCTCTGCGGCTCAACCTCGAACAAGTGAGCACATGACTCTGCGTCGTTGAACAGTGGTACTCGTCACCAAAAGTTGCATCTGACGTGTCTTGAGATGCCGCCCATGTCTCCGCTATCCACATGCTGTCTCGATGTAACATGGGATGCGGCCATGTCCGAACAGGTCGCACACGGCATCGTGAAGCTGCACTTCCACATGCGCCGATTGTATTGTCGTGTGTCTACCTCACGGTCCGATCAGCACCCATTCTGGTCGTGTAGGCTGAGGAGGTTCGTCAGTTGCAGGGCAAGCAGGCTTCCACCAGAAAGCAAAACAGGAACTAGAATGAACATTGCGTACTATCAGCCATCTTCGCTCGCAACCGCAACATCGACCACAACAGCGACGGCGACAACGACGCCGAGATTGCGCGCTATCGCCTGCGCCCTTCTGTCACCATCGCATCGCCGTCACTGCTGCCGCTGTCATCCGCGCCGCCGTCGCCGTTCCTCCACCGCCGCGCACGACCGTATCTCAGTTACCCAATCAGCGTCCTCGGACAAACAGACCAATCAGACAACTGAGTAACACAATGGGCGACTCTCGGCTCCTTTCGCTTCCAGAAGAGCTGGTCGCGTCTATCGCCGAACTCGTCCCAGTGGACAGCATCTTGAACCTCGCCCTCTCATGCTCAGCAACCTTTCGCCACGTCGAGCAGCGGCTCGAACAAAATCAGAGACTCCATGCAGAGTTCAAAATCCAGCACGACAGACTACCGTTGACGTCGGCAACTCTCCTACGTCGGGCTATCAGTGATCCAGATGCCATTTGGCATCTACGAGCCTTTGAATCATGGGGTATCAGACCAGGCTTCGAGAAGTGGAAGTCATGGTCATACACATGGGAGGACCTTTACAACAAAGCCGATGGAACGATTGAGTGCTATGAAGATCATTCTACCCTGGACGCGAAGTTCTACCAGCCAGTTGAATTGGTAGACTACAGGATGATCATGATGGACAAGCTCCATATGTCTCCAGAAGAAACCTACAAGTGGACAGAGAGGATTCGAGATGGTTGGGACGAGCCCATCAAGGGCATGTTGTTCGCGCTTGCACCCAGACTTGATCGCCTCAATTTTCTCAAGTACGTCCCGATGCGACATGAAGCATCTTTCTATTTACTGATCATAGACACAGATACGATGACGAAAGCATCGAGTTTGGCGAAGAGGATCCCCTCATCTTCCTCTGCACAGCAGTTCGATCTGTATATGACTCCTTGACAATTGGTGCCGTTTGGCCCCCTGGATTTACCTCACTGCGCATGGTCTCGATCTGCAGCTACACGGAGTGGAGACACAACCAAGATGCTTTCTATGCCAGTCCGTCAAGCGTTGCTTGCCTATTTCTGCTACCGAACATCAAGGTCCTGAATCTTTCACACGTGGGACAGGGGCGTGACGAAGACTCAGACTATGTCTTGCTACCAGGCAGTTCTTCTGTCGAGGCGCTCGGCTTCTGTTTCGTGGGCATGACGCTACAAGCACGCATTATGTTTATTCAAGCGTGCAGGCGATTGTTGTCCTTCAAGTCTGTCGACTCGGATATGAGCAACTGGAACGAGAGGTCGGAGCTCTGGCGTGCACTGTCAAAGCAGCACGGTCCATGGCTCGAGAGCTTGTCTCTGGAAGACATTGGTGGACTTCTACCTGAGATCTCAACTAGCTTCCCTAAGCTCAAACAACTTGACTGCCTCCGAGCAGCGGATTGGGACCGTGACTACAAGACCTTTATTTGGACTAATCCACCTCCACTCCCCAAGATACAAGCGACGCTGGAGGCTGAGAGCGAGGAGCATGACGAAACGACAGCCCCACTCGATCTCAGGACAGCGCTTCCGTTTACAATCGAGCGTCTGGCTATTTCCTCGGACCCAGGAAGCATGGTGACCACAGTGGTGAGCAAAAAAGCCATGCGCGCATTAGCAGAGCTCGCAGAAGACGAGCGCTTCCAAAGCCTGAAAGAAATATGCTTGTACAGTGTGGGGCATGGAGCCATGGGCTGTGATCCTGTGCAACCATATGATGATTCTTTCGCTCGTTTGCGCGCACGGAACATCGATATTCACCGTGATTGCGACTACAAGGAGCACGACAAGATCCACAACGATGGAGATCCTCTCTTCTTCACGAACGAGACAGAACCAACTGATTGTCCCCCGGACGAATAATGAAGTGTGACAGTGGCTGGAAGCTATGGCTCGGGCGTTGAATGATGCTAGATACATGCAACAAGTACTCTAAGTCGCCACCACAAGACAAATTTCGTCCCGATTCGTCTTCTGCCAAATGCTCAAACAACTCATCAGTGCCATAATGCTCCATCCGGCTCCAAGCTCACCAGTCGCACCAGCTCCCTTCAACTGCAACTCTCCGACCCCATGTATCGTCTTCCAGCACTTGGCCCGGGTCCAAAGCGCAACGACCTCTGGTGACGATGATTCCTCCGCATGCGAATCACTAACCGAAGAAACACCACCATCGCTCACATCATCCGCTTCCTTGCCTCCTCCCACTTCCTCGCTTTGCAGCGACGACAGACGCACGAGATACCAAGTCGTAGATCGAATCGCAAGATCCTTCGCCAATTCCCCTTTCGATCGCCGCCATTCGAAGTATTCCGTCTGTCCATTATCGACTTTCATCGCAAACCGCCATTTCTTGTTCGAACGGGTCGTGCGTCGGAAGACTTCTGTTCTAGATTCGAGGCCTGGCTCTGACAAGGTGATGTGGTATTCGGTCTTGCGATGTCGTTCTTTAGACGATGTTGCTAAATGGTTGCCTTCGCTATCTGATAGGATCAGATCGCCGTAGTAGCACTTGGGAAGGGTGATTGTGTATTGTGGTGATTCTGATGATGAACCGGGCTCGTTTATTGCGAGAGCTGTTTGCACGCCCATGGCGAGGAGGTTCGATTTCCAGGCATCGAGGTGGGTGATTTGTAATGTCGGAGGGAGAGGTGTGCTGGTCATTGTGTTTGAGGGGTTTTGAATTCTCCGATTCTGATGATTCTTCGAAGGGCGTGTATATATGTACGTCTATGAACTTCGAAGTGAATTGATCAGAGTTCAATGCATCTATATATCCACTCCGTGTTGCCGCAGCTGAATGATCTCGAAAGGCCTGCGCCACTGACTGCATATCCAGACTGTCCGCCTTCGCATGGCTCATACCACAAAACACCGCATCGTAACAAATCAGCAACAAACTCAAAGCGAATAGACAATGATACAGTCCCTCCTCGAAATCCTACACAGCCACAAGACACCGCGATATTTCCTAATCCGGCACTAGCGTCAAATCCTCTGGGTGAATACGAGAACGAAAACCTACGTCACTGAACCTACAATGCTTGGGAGGCTTGGGAAAGGATCGAAGGATCGATTCTCGCAGACAGGACCACGTGCAATCTTCACTGCCTTCTGCATTCGACGCACATCATTGGTAGCGTATTCGCATTCTGTCCAAGGTTGGATTGCATAGCCTGCTAGAATCATTTCTGGCGATGCCGCCAAGGTTTAGGCTTCGAGTTCGCTAGCTACGCGACTGACTATGAGGCATCCTGCTGTAGGAGTGTATAAGACTGGCGTTTCCAGTGCTCGTGATGTGTGAAGAAATCAGATCAACAGCTTCAAGGCAGTGGACGATAAAATGCAGAAGTCTACCTTGACAGCGTCTCTCTTTTCATGTCTGTTGCCGTGGGCACTCGCAGACTTTATTGATATACCTACCTATCCCACTCCAAGGAAGCTCTCGAGCGAAGACAGCCTTGAACCTGGAGCGTGGAAGAACTTCTCATCGATCCTGGACGCACACCTGCAACAGAATACATCAAACGGTGACGCAACGGATTACCTGGCAGGCCTCGAGAACGTGACGTTCTCAGTGGGACTTTTCTCGCTCCACGATCCAGAAGCGACTACGCATCAATACCACTACACCTCTCCTCAAATCGCCGAGTCAGAATTCGGAACCAAGCAGGTCGACGCAGATAGTATATATCGTGTCGCAAGCGTGTCCAAGCTTATAACTGTGTACACTGGACTGCTTGAACTAAGCGAAGAAGACTGGGACAGACCACTTACTGAATACTTCCCTAGCTTGAAGAATGTCACTGCTAAGACGCGACTCCAGAGCGCGCCTGGATGGAACATCATCACTCCCCGAGCCCTGTCAAGCCACATGAGCGGCATTTCAGCAACTGGCATAATTGCGGACTCGTTACTCTCATTGATCGGCGTGGCCGTGGCTCAAAACGCTTCCCTCAGTGGTTCAGATCTGCAAGCGGCTGTTGATGCTCTCGCAATCGCGTCCGGTCTTCCACCGCTTCCGATCGAGTCGCTCGGATCATGCGCATTGCTAGGATGCAACAACTCGCTGGATGAGTTCGTAGATTCTTTCAAGCCCTATCCTCCGGTATTTCAGCCTTGGACGACTCCTGCGTACTCCAACCTGGGCATGTTCATTCTGGGCCAGGTCATCCTCAACGTCACTGGCAGGAGCTACACAGACTACGAAAGCCTGTACGGGGAGGCAGTCTTCGACCATTTGAACATGTCATCGACCTTTGTCAATGCGCCAGCAGCCAGTGATGCTTCTTTCAACAGATCTGTGATCGCTGGCCCTGTGCCGAACAATTGGGAGTTTCCATTGAACGGTCCAACCATTCCTTCCGGTGGCATACTCTCAACATTGAATGATCTGAACAAGCTTGGGGTCGGCATTCTCAATCATACACTACTGTCTGCCGAAGCCACTAGGGCATGGATGAAGCCAGTCACGCACTCTGCCAGCTTGTCGTACTCGATTGGCGCGCCTTGGGAAATCGTCCGCTATTTGAGCCCTTCGAGTGGGAAAGTCATCGACATCTATACCAAACTTGGCGACTCCGGATCATATTCCGCCATGCTGGCTTTCATTCCCGAATACAATGTAGGATTCTCTTACCTGAGCGGATACTTTGTTGCGCCTGGCACGGATGGGCGATTGCGGGACAAGACTGCATTTGGTATCATCAATACGCTCGTGGAGACTCTGATGCCAGCTCTCGAAGCCCAGGCCGCAAGTGAGGCCGAAGCGAACTTTGTCGGCACATACAGTGCTGGGGAAAGCGATAATTCAACTCTTGTCATCGCACAGCGCACGGAGACCAATGTGACGTCCGGAGAAGGCGCTGGCCTGTACATCGAGCACTGGACCTCAAATGGAGTGGACGCGCTCCCCATATTCGCTGGTCAGGTTCCACGTCTGCTACCAGCGATGCAACAAGCCGGCGCTTCTCCAGACGAAGTGACATTCCAGGTTTCCCTATCCCCGCAATGGAGCACGTACGCAGCCGCTGGCCTGGGTCCGTTCACTGGCTTCTATGACAGTAACTTTGCTTGGCTCTTGTTCGATAGCGCCGACGCTGGTGGGCGATATGGAGGGCAGGGTATTGGGACGTTCGTGTTTGAGCTGGACGAGCGGGGACGGGCAGTTGCGGTGACCAACGCGGCCACAGGCGCGAGGATGGAACGAGCAGCGTGATTGTAGGCCGTGCTTGTCAGCATATCTGCGACAGCGACATGGGCGCGCGTGAAGGATGTAGGGCCAGTGTCGAGGATATAGACCTTCGTGGCTGGTGTGTCGCGACCAGTCTGACTAAGCATTTGTTGTTGCCTGAAAGCTGAACATTTCGTTTCTTGCTTTCCACGCCGTCGCGACGGTGGTGCTTGCAGCGTGATTGGTGAGGCATCGTACCTTATACATGGCCAGCTGGTTGGTGTTTGCAGGCCGAGCAGTGGCACTGTTGGCAAGTGTGGAAGGTCGTGTTTGGGCTGTTTCAGGGCGATCGGAGAGATCCCGACTGCCGGAGCGTGTCCGTGTGGGATGCGCTCGCGCTCGCTCGCAGAACAAGAACAAGGTTGCGGTCCAGCCCTGGGCAGCGCCTCGTTATCTCAAACAACGACCTCTTGTGCTCCTCACTGGGCCTGCGCAGATTTGCTCCAATTCTCTCGCTCTTCCGACGCAGCAATATCAGCCTGCGCCCGTGGCCCGCCAGCGTGCAGCAGACCCTCATCTCAATCCAATCACATCCTGCGCGCGCCAATCTACGATGATACAGCTCGGCAGCAGAAAAGGCATCGCGACCAGCATCACCCTCGTGCGCGGAACGCCGCTGTGTGACAGCCTTATGCAGCCTCCGGCGACATGGATGGCTGACGGCGCTGTCCACCCAGCTGCGCTGCCGTGCGCGGGAGTCGACATGCGAGTAGGGTCCTTTGATTCATTTCCTGCACACACGCCTCGTGTTGTCCTGCCCGCAGAGCGCGTCTGGAGCGAAATGCTGCGACCAAGCGATATCCACTGAAGCGCCTAGCCATGCTGCTGTCCGTCCAAGATTCGCACTCTTGTCTGTCTGACTCCCCGTCCCACCGCGCTCTCTCGCACCTCTCTCATGTCAACCGATTTTTTCCTTATTCGCTTCTCTTTCGCTCATTAATTCGTTCCTTTCTGCTATTGCCTGAGCCGCACTTCTGCATATGAGCTAAACCGCACAGCTTTTGATGAGATTCGTCACAGGTGGACGGGCGGACTAGAAAGTGGCAAACTTGAGCTACAAACTCTAAGAACAACCTGATCGGGAATCCGCAACTGCTGATTTGGAGGTCCTACTCGGTCCCGTAACGCGTGTCGCAGGTCTCGTTTGAGGTCTTAAGTCGATATGCCATTCCTACAGCGCTCCAGCTCAAAGCGCGCAAATCGTCGCGGGAGCTTGGACGACCGCGCGAAGACGGAGAAGAAGGCCAGTGAATCGGCCACTGCCAACCCACCTGGATTCAACGATTCAATGAATGATGCGATGCACGCATGCCAATGCAGCACCATGGACCGGCCCAAGTCCGCAAGTGCTGAGAGGCGACGGCTGCAGCGCAGTCGTCCACCGATGCATTCCCATACCAGGACATCCAACGATTCAAGTCCGCTGCCTAAATGCAGCAGGGACTTGGAACAGCAAGTGAGGACCATTGACTACACTGCTGGACCGGACATATTTTCCTTCCCGACACCCTCACCTCGCATGCCGCCCCACAGCGCAACGATCAATCGACGCCACTATATGACAGGCTTGCATCCAATGTCGCCTGGTATCGACTCGCCTCAAGTCCAGTCACCGGCTGAGACACCTCACATCGGAATCGCACTTGGATCTCCGTCGGAAGCGCCCCCAACGTGGGGCAGATCACATACTCACGACGCGGTCCCGTCTAGAAGGACTGCTGGGCTACCACCTTCTCGATCGCCGCCACCCATACCACAGCCGCTGAGAACAGATACTATGATTTCTCTGCCGAAACAGAAGAAGATCTCGAGTTGGAAAACATTCAGCAGCCTCTTTCGCAGCAAGACTACCTCTGAGCCTTCTCATAAATTCAGGACTCAGCCTCCAGCAGATGCTGAGCCAGCCAACCGTGATGTGCCACTGGCAGAGCTGGAAGCAGATCCCGGGCCAACAGCCAGATCACAGACACCTCTGTCTTGCTTGTTTGCGCCGAGTCCTGGTATGCCAAAGCGTCGGGACTCACTCGACGAGGCACAAAGCAGAGCTCCTAGACACGAGCAAATGTTTGATGCTGGCCATCGCACTTCGGCTGTACCGAGGGGCCTTGCTCTGCGAGCCAAGGGAAGCACTCCAAACGCATCTCCGAAAGTGAGATCGCACGGAGTGTGGCGCGTATCTCAAGATGCGTTCGGCCGTGCTGAGCGATGCGATGACGAGCCTATGCTTAACGACGAGGCCCGCGACCAAGTTTCGGAGCCGGCACTACCGACCCCTCGACTTGACCTTGACTTGCCTGGAGTGGAGTTTCCGCGATTTAGTATCATGTTTGAGAAACAGCTGTCTCTCAACTCGAGGCCCTCGATCTTGGAGAGGAGACAAAGCAGACTGCAAAGATCCCAATCGCAAAAAGGAGGAGAATGCGAAGAGGGTCTTCAGGTTCATACTCATGGCGGCGGAATCTTGCGCAGCATGACTTCCCCATCTTTCAAGCGTCCGCTTTCAATTCTCGTGAAAGCAGAGCAAGCAGCGAGAGACGAGCCAGCGACAGCACTACAAAGGATGCGGTTGCCTATGCGTTCAGTGACGGCGCCAGTGGGAACCACCTCGCCTATCGCGGCTGCATTCATGCAACCACGCCAAGGTACGCACTTGAGCAGCTCACCCGAGTCTCAAGGCTCTGCATTCTACAGCGAAAATTCCCTTCCACCGACGCCTACAACGGCCACGACTTGCACAGACACTGAATCTGCTCGACGCATGCTCGTCGATGCCGAACCATTCTGGAAGCCTCCAGCTGTGATGCGAAGCTTTTCTCACCCTGCCCATGCGAACATCGATCATGCCTTCGCCAACGAGGATGAGCAAGCAATGAGCTACCGCGATGATGAGTCATATCCTCGTGTCAAGTCACCGGAAGATCTCGAGCGACAGATGGTGCAGGTGAGCGTCGCGCGGCAGGTCAGTGTCAGTCGCGCCAGGACCCGGGTGATGAAAGCTATGGAAGGCAGCGCAAGACCAGCCGCAGTTCCTTTACGGCCACGAATTATCGAATTCTCCAAGAATCGCAAGTCCGCTGCAGGAGTACTTGAGGATGCTTCAGCGGATTGCGAAGATGTCATGCCCGAAAATGCTGCTGCGCATTCGCGAGCGGCAAGCTTGGCATTCGAGGAAGCGAAACGAAGAAGCGTTGTGAGCACAAAAAGTGCTAAGAGCATTATGGAGCAGGATGTGCCTGAAGTTCCCAGTCTCAAGCAAGACACAGACAACAAGAACCCGGTCATTATGACAGCGGATGAGGCCTACTAGTCAGGGAATTCAGAGTCTAGAGGCCGAATTCCGACTGTGCGATGAGTCATGATTATATTCTTGCTGCAAGACAGCCGTGTTGAATACCGTACTGCTGAGCAGAGTGGCTGCTCTCTATTTGATCGCCATTGGAAAGAGCACTTGTCCAGATTAGAACTGGGGAAATAGAGAATAGCTCACGTTTCTTTCATATATATAGAATGTTTACCTGAACGATGTTTGTGCATGAAGCACTTGATCTAAACGCACAGATGCAGTGGAACGTTCCACATCGCAGGTACACGTTGTGCTCCTGTGAGCTGGCACAAGAAACGCACTTTTTCGAATGCAGCTAACCCACGGACATCGGCCCGAGATGTGCCGAGTCGATCGGCATTGGCGCAGCAGGAGCGCAAGCTCGCGAAGCTCACCCGCAGCTCGACCTCAGGTCACGAACAACCACGTCTTACAGCCAAGCTTCTAGCGACCTAGTCTTCCATTGTGTTCACTCAATTCTGGTGGAAAGCGCGTAATAAGGATGGACGAGCCCATGCCGGACGCAGACGCAGCTCTGCCTACAGAACAAGCCGGAGCAGTTCCAGAGGATCGCAGTCAAGAGCAAGCAACTCGAGATATCGATGCCCAACAATCGGACTCTACAGCGCTCTCTTCGGTGCCGCCGACTGATTCGGAACATAAGGAGTCTGATAACATCGTCGTCGCATCCAGGAAGTCGTCATCAGGCGCGAATGGCGCGAATGCAGAGCAACAGCCAACCGAGCTAGCTACGGAAGCCAGTGAGGAAACCTCTCGCCCGGCTGACGCGGGAAGCTTGGAATCGACAGCAACAGCTACAGCTCAGGACCCTTCTCTGAGCGCGACGACAACAGATGGGTTCGTAGTCCCTGCTGTGCCAACTAACGGAAGTGCAAGCAGCACGCCAAGAGGTCGAGGACGGGGTCGCGGCGGTCGACCTCGAGGTAGCCGCGCTTCAAATGTAGCCACTCCACACAGTGCATCCGGAGACTCCATACTCGTCAATCCAGATGGCACTCCCGTCTCTGGGCGAGCTCGCGGCCGCGGTAGAGGTGGTGGTCGACCTAGAGGCAGCCGGGCAAGAGGAGGCGGGAGAGGTGGCAAGCGGAAGAGAGACGGAGACGAAGATGAGGATGACGAAGCATCTGACTCCAGTGTTGAGATCACGCCTGTAGCTACAGAGACACGGTCCGGGCGTTCGATACAGAAGCCGACGAGCTTTGTGCCGCCACCTCCTTCACCCACCACGAACAAACGAAAACGCCCATACAACTATCGCAACCCTCAAGCCGCAGTTTGCAAAGTATGTTTGCGTGGTACTAGTCCTGCCAGTAATCCTGTTGTTTTCTGCGATGGGTGCAATGCGCCTTACCATAGGTGGTGCCATAAGCCACCGATCGAGCAGGCTGTCATCGACAAGGAGGATGCAGAGTGGTACTGTCAATCGTGCGCAGCAGCAAGAGTGGTGCCAGTCTCTATCACTGAGGTGTCGAGCTTCGTCAGCGTCACTGGAGCGAGCGAGGATCAGCGAAGGAAGTATTTTGCTGCTTTGCCGCCAGGGTTTCTGGTGACGTTACTTGTGAAAGCTACGACCTTCAGACCTGATCTCCCAGTCTTCCATCCGAAGTTCAAGGAACTCGTGGCGGCCTCACAGCAGAATGGCCATCTTGAAGCAAATCCTGCTGCACCATCATTGAATGGTAAGGAGGCCGTTCGCCAGAGCGCAGAAGCTGCTGTGGCCACTCCCACGACTACTGCTGCAACGAGCAATGCCATCACGACATCCAATTCAACAGTCGGCGCGACACGATCCACTAGTACCACACAACCCCGTATACCCGCAAGCAATGGGCCATCGCCCGATGATGCGGCGTACACAGACGATGTACACCCTGAGAATTACCCTCGTCCTGGCCAAGGACTGATGAGTACTTTGCCTCCAGAGACCGAAGATCTTGAGTGGCTCGTCGATGATGACGACAGGAATGGTGTGTTCACTCACCTGTACCACGAACCGACAAAGGCGCCTCCTCCGGTTGCTGCTGCACCAACTGGTAATGATGGGTTGGTCTGAACTCGTGTGGATTGGCGTTAGCGGAAAAATCATGACAACTTGTAACATTATGAGGGCTTCAACGCGGTATGATTGGCTTCCAAACAGACGAGACTTCGTCTCGTTCGAATATACTGTATGATTATAAGACATTCTGATACAATTCCTCTGCCATCATGCTCGCGCCTCCGTGACTGTCCGCTCAACCGTCATGCTTGGACTGTGCAAGGCGCAGTAAGATGCTCATATATCTCTCTCACTGTCACAGGCCCCCCTACAAGACCCCTCAACTCTTCTTCGCGATCCTTCGTGATGACGAGCTCCAACTCACTCGACTCAAGTCCAGCCAACCCAGCAGCCATCATCATACACTGCGTTTTGACACCAAAGTCCCCGCCAAAAGCCCCGCAACCCCAAGGCACAATCTGGATTTTCATCGCCGCTCGACCACCAATAGCTTTCGTTCCAGCGAACGCAGCATACAATTTTCGTACTTCTCGTTCAATGTTTTCTGGTTTAAGATCCGGAAGGACGCCGTCGGCGCTGTCTTGCATATCGAGTTCTAATGCGTCCGCGAAGATGTAGTGATTTCGAGGTCGTCCGTCAGAGGGGAAGAGTTTGGTCATTTTGGCTTCACGGCCATGACCTGACCAGGAACTGTGGGCCCAGAGATTTGATGTGATGACTACTTCGTCTGGTCCTAAGATGGGCTTTAGTAGTGACATTAATGCCAGAGCCGGTGATTGGCCGATAAGTCGTTCTTCTTGCGTGCCCTTTGGTCCTGGTCCTGGTTGTGAATGAGCGGCGACTAGGATGTAGTGATTTGGAGAATAATCTGGCGGGGAGTTTTCTGAGGGTTTGTCGACGATTCGTATTGGCAGACGTGGAGCTGGGAGATGTGAAGTTATGAGATCGGGCATGTTTGTCGAGTTGTGGAGATGGAATGTCGCTGAGCCCGTGGGGTCTGTCTTTGTGTATCCTCCTTCCGCGAAATGTTCGAAGAGTGTTTGGAGGTATGCTTGTGCTGTCTCCCCAACGTTGGAAAATAGTTCCGCGAAGCCTGGGCGGCCCCATTCATTGCCTGGAGGCTTCGAGAGTGTTCCGAGAAGCATGTGGGCTAGTAGCATATCGACTTGCTTTGAGTCCAGTCTAATGAAAGTTACATCTGCGCATAGTTGTTGTAGTTTGCCGTCTGCAAAGGAACTTTCTGGTGCTCCAATGGCAAGGGCATTACTGCATACTGCTTTGCCGAACTTGGAGAGGTTAGTCACAGTCATCTTGCTGGAAGCGATCAAAGCCTCGGCGCCGGTCGTGTCCAATGAGCCATCTTCATGCAGACTGTAGGCGATGTCCTTCAGCAAGTTGGCATAAAGTCGACAGAATGCTGATCGGTATGCCTGTTCGCTGTGGGGCTCGATTTGCCCTTTCGACGGATTTAACTCGTCGAATGCAGACTCTGCGGTGCACAAAAGCTTCTCCAGAATTCTGAACTGGTTCACAACGTCCTCGCCATCGTCGCAAATTCCGAGAGGATCGAGACTTGTGCGTGAGGCGTGGTCAGGTAGGAGGTAATGTGACATTTCGGCTTCCATTGGTAGTCATCAACCCATCATAAAATTCGACGCCAATGAAGTGCGCGCACAGGGCTCTCATGATAAGCAATTCCTGGAGCTTGACTCACACGGAGCATCCTCATGCCTCGACTTCATGTGGTGGCGGTGTTGACGAGCACAGCCTCATTCTTGTCCTCTGACATTGGCATAGCTCGGATCCGTGAGCAAAGCATACTCAGTTGCCCGGCGGACTAAATGACCGGTGATGCGAACGGCGCGGGATCTGGATTGACGCGGGCAGCGGACGGCAAGACGAATGCTACCGTAGACATGTTGATGGGAAGTATGCATTGGAGCATCACCCAATAAGATTTAAGCGGCCCGTTGCGGACACTAACGGCTGGCCTTGGAGGTGCGTGTTGCTTGCGGTTTACTATTTAGCCATTGAGTTGGCTTGGCGACCAAGACAGTCCGACAAAGCATCAACATGCATTGGTCGTAGGTCGTTATCCATTTTGGAGCCGGTCTCCTCGGGCTATCTACAAAATATCGTTAGAAGTTGAGGTCTGGACCATCTGTATGAAAAGGGAACAGAACGTCAATCACTGGACCCGTAGCACGCATGCTGAGGAAGGGCGAGAACTGCGGAGCGCGGAAGGAGGAGATTGATCGTGGAAGCGATTGAAGACGTGGTTTGCATGCGACTGTGCTATGCTGGTATCATGCCATGACACTTTTGCCTGCGCCAGACGTTCCGTGATATCGTACTTGTCATCATCCCTCCCAACGCCAAACTTGAATCGCATCACTTCCATTTTTCGAGTGCAGGCGACATCTATTTCTTCTTTGCCTCCTCCTCGTCGGCCTTGGCCTTCGCACGCTTCTCGCGCTTGCCCTGGAGACGGGCGTCGGAGCGAGCAGTACGAAGCACACGGTAGGCGTTCTCGGTCTGTGGGTAGTCGGAGATCTTGCCCTCCTTGATGACAACTTTGTTGTCGATTGGGAAGGCCTGCTTGGTGTGCTTGACCTTGCCGTCGTGGGCGGTCTCGCCGATCTGCTTGGCAGCATCGACCTCGTCCTTGGCGGCATCGCCCTTCTTTGGTGCCTTGAGCTTGCGTGGGAAGAGGACAAGGCGCTGCTTGTACTCCTTCAGGCGAGCGACGTTGGCGGCCAGAGACTCGTCGGAAAGGTTCTGACGGCGTGGGTCGACGGCGATACCGATGGTAGGCGCCAGCTTGCGTGGAATGCCAGCCTCCTGTGCACGCGATCAATATCCATTCATTCCCTAGCTATTTTGTTCTCCATCTCGTACCTTCAGCTCAGCGAGCGAGAAACCACGACCAGCACGAACGCGGCGGTTGTACTTGATGGTTGGGCAGCGGACGACAGGCCTCAGGCGGTCCACTGGGCGTGGAGCGACCTTAGCGGCCTTCTCCTGGCGAGCATTGCGTCTGCGCTGCTTGCGGCCGGGCTATATCGAAAATTCGAGGTCAGAACTCTAGGTTCATGCAGTGCACTGCAGGCGCGCCAGCATTCATGATGAATGGGGAATTACCTGGTCGAAGTGCACGCGGACACGGCGTTGCCAGTCCTTGCGGAAGTCTGCGACAAGTCAGTTGCTGCTTTTGCAAATGCGCAAAAATGTGATGTCTCGGCCTTACGGTTGTACTGGATCTGCTGGTTGTGCTTGATCGCCTGGGAGAGAGTCAGCTATCGATCTGATCATGACTTCAATGTGTCTGCGCATACCATTTTGTCGGTGTTGGGCGAAGTCCAGTATGTGCAGTCGACGTGACCTGTCTCTCGTCAAGAAGAAGTTCGAGCTGCAGAAATCCAGGTGTTCGTGCGCTTGGCATTTACAGTCACATGACCGAGTCGGCCAAAACGAGCCGAGCCGAGAGCCCCGAGCCCAGTGACGCGCTAAGTCGCGTTTCGTGGAGAGCAAAGCGCGACTGAGTGGTCGTGTCCCGCTCGCCGTTCCCTTTCCACGCAAACACCACTCTCACACCACCCATTGACCCTCACCACAGGACTTCGCTCGGCACGCATACGCAGAGGACGTTCTTTGACAATGGCACCCTCTAGAGCAGATCGTCTTGCACAGCTGCGTGCCCTGCGAGCGGCGGGCAAGACCGCGTTCGACGACTATGAAGTGCAGGAAGCCGAGTCCATATACGAAACCGTCGACGACGAGGGATACAAAAAGGTCGTGCGAAGTCGATTGGATCAAGACGATTTCGTGGTAGACGACAATGGCGAAGGTTATGCGGACGATGGACGCGAAGACTGGCAAGATGAAAGACAGCCTATGTACGACAGCGAGAGTGAGGAAGATCTGCCTAAAAACAGCAAAGCCGGTACGTTATGCTCGACACATGCTAGGAGGAAATCACTGACGCGCGTTATCAGCCAAGCGGAAGCGAGAGGAGGATGTAGAGCGACAAGAGAAGCTCAGCAAAGGCATCAGCAAATACTTCAACCAAAAACCGACTGCTGCAGCACCAAAGCCGAAACCCGTTCGAACGGCCGAGGATGACGACTTTATGGCTGGTCTACTGGGTGAAGTTGACACAAATGTCCAGCGGCCAGCTCCATCTTATGGAAAGGCCATCAAGAGCAATGATCGCCGGAAAACTCGAGTCCTGTCACCTCCCCTGGAAGACAGACAGACAGCGCGTCCCAAACGACCAGCGGCAGATCAACATCTGCAGTCGTCCCCTCCCACAGCTCATGTTGCCGACGACGATTTTCCGATGCAGAACGACGACGATGTGCCCATGATGAGCGACCCACTGCCTTCATCGCCCGTTGCAAAGGTAGTGGAGCGAAAAACTGCGATCAAAGTGGAAGAGCCTGAGGAAGAGGATTTGATGGAGATCGCAGAAGTCAAAGGCGGTTCCAACCTGAAGAGTGCAAATGTAAACATCCGTGGCAGTCGCCCCGCGCCGAAGCTTGCAAAGGCATCATATCCTACGCCCGCTAGCTCATCACCCACCAGGCCTGCGGCTGATGAGGTCGACATGACAGCAATCAACAATGTGGCGGCCAAGCTAAACATCATGAGCAGTCCTGCGCACGAACCTGTCATGGCTGGCAAGCTCGATTCCAAGGATGCTCTAGAAGCAGATGGCTCACTGAACTTTTTCTGGCTCGATTACACTGAGGTCAATGGTAGCCTATGTCTGTTTGGCAAAGTGAAAAATCGTCAAACGGGCAACTACGTCTCCTGCTTTGTCAAAGTTGACAATATTCTTCGGAAGCTATACTTCCTGCCACGCGAGCACCGCCACAAACATGGCCGTGACACCGATGAGGAAGTTGACTTCAAGGATGTCTATGAAGAGGTTGACGGCATCATGTCGAGACACAAGGTGACAATGCACAAGATCAAGCAATGCACACGCAAGTATGCATTTGAACTGCCAGGAATACCAAAAGAAGCAGACTATTTGAAACTCCTCTATCCCTACGACAAGCCAGCATTGCCAATGGACTTCAAGGGCGAGACATTTTCACACATTTTCGGCACCAACACAGCACTGTTTGAGCAGTTCGTGATGTGGAAGAATATCATGGGACCCTGCTGGCTCAAGATCGAAGGTGCCGACTTCAATGCCGTCAACAATGCCTCTTGGTGTAAACTCGAGCTCCAAGTCACGAAACCCAACGGTATCACAACCTTGGGCGAGTCAGACAATCTCGAGGCTCCTCCACTGACCATGATGTCCATGGCGCTGCGAACTGTATTCAACCAGAAGGAAAACAAGAACGAAATCTTAGTTGCGAGTGTTCGAATCTTTGAGAACATTTCTCTGACGGACACGAAGCCAGCGGAACAGATGCCACAGCGCGTCATAACAGTAATGCGTCCGCATGGAGACGCTTATCCAATGGGCTTCAAGCCTCTTGCCGAGAAGGAGAAGCACAAAATCCTTATGGAAAGGAACGAGATTGGTCTTCTGAGCAAGCTGCTTGCCATCTTTCAAATGCACGATCCGGACTGCATCATCGGACACAAACTGGATGATGTCGACTTTGGTGTACTGCTCGCACGCATGAGAGAGCGAAAGACTCCTGGCTGGCATCGAATCGGGCGACTAAAACGTGGCGACTGGCCCAAGAATGTCGGTAAGGGAGGCGGTAGCTACTTCGCGGAGCGACACCTCGCTGCCGGAAGACTTCTCGGAGACCTCGCCAATGACATGGGCAAAAGTATCATGACTGGCTGTCAGTCTTGGAGTCTTGACGAAATGGTCTCGTTACATCTCAGCGGACACTCGCGCAAGGAGATGGACGCCGAGAAAGCTCTCGCAATGGCACAGTCGGGCATCGGACTGATGAATTACGTCAAGATGTGCGAAGTAGACACTTTCTACACTGCTGCTCTGGCCATCAAACGACAGCTTCTGCCGCTTACGAAGGTGCTTACTAACTTGGCTGGTAACTCATGGGCCAGGACACTCAGCGGAACCCGTTCGGAGCGGAACGAGTACATTTTACTGCACGAGTTTTATCGCAACAAATACATTTGCCCCGACAAAATCTTCGGCAAAGGGCCTTCGAACAAGAAGATCGAAGAGGGAGAAGAAGGAGAGGATGGCGCCGACACCAAGAAGAAGGACAAGTACAAAGGTGGTCTGGTCTTTGAGCCTGAAAAGGGGCTCTACGACAAATTTATTCTGGTTATGGACTTCAACTCCCTTTACCCAAGTATCATCCAGGAGTATAACATCTGCTTCACGACAGTCGACCGGAGCGACATCTCTGAGCAGGACGAGAAGGTTCCTGAGGTCCCCGAAGACACCTCTAACAAGGGCATCTTACCGAGACTGATTCGAACCCTTGTGAGCAGACGACGAGAGGTGAAAAAGCTTATGAAGGACAAGTCTGCTACAGAGGACCAGCTTGCAACATGGGACGTGAAGCAAATGGCATTGAAGCTGACAGCCAACTCCATGTACGGTTGTTTGGGATACACCAAGTCCCGATTCTATGCTCGGCCACTTGCTGCTCTTACAACTTCCAAAGGACGTGAGATCTTGCAATCGACCAAGGATCTGGCAGAGTCACAGCATGCTCTCCGCGTCATCTACGGAGATACTGATTCTGTCATGATCAACACCAATGTTGACAACATTCTCGATGCGCTGAAGATGGGAAAGGACTTCCAAAAGAGTGTCAACGAGCAATACGAGCTGCTGGAGATTGAGATTGATCATATCTTTCGACGACTCCTGCTCCACGCGAAAAAGAAGTATGCGGCTATTCAAATGGTCGATACCGGCGACAACACCTGGAAAGAGAAGCTTGATGTTAAAGGTCTCGATATGAGGCGACGAGAGTACTGCCAGCTCTCCAAGGATACCTCGACGTAAGTGCGGCGCGCCTCGAACTGCTCGTAATATACTAATGATGTTGCAGACAACTCCTCAATTATCTCCTGTCCGGGGAAGATCCGGAGAAGGTTGTTTCTCAGATTCATGATCACCTGCGAGAACTCAGTGAGAAAATGCGCAACAACGAAATTCCCGCTCACAAGTACACGATATACACGCAACTGGGCAAAGATCCGAAGGAGTATCCCGGCGGCAAGTCTATGCCCGCAGTACAAGTGGCTCTCAAGCGTCTAGCCAAGGGAAAACAGGTGAAGGCCAAGGACGTCATGGCCTTTGTGATCTGTGGCGACAGCGAAGGAAATCAAGAGAAAGCCGCGCAGAATGCCCACGAGTTGGACGAAATCCTGGCCAAGGATAGCGGGCTCACGCCAGACGTGCAATACTACTTGCACAAGCAGATCCTGCCGCCAGTGGAACGTCTCTGTGCTCCTATCAGCGGCACCGATATTACAAGACTGGCAGAGTGTCTCGGCCTAGACACATCCAAGTACCGCATCAGTGGTGCTAGCAGGTCTGCTGAGCAGAGCAACGAGATCACAACCTTGGAGAGCCAGATCCCCGATCACGTTCGATTCAAGGATTGCGAGCCTCTCAGTTTGCTGTGTCTCGGCTGCAAGAATCATTTCGAGTATCGCGGACTGAACTACACTGCCCCGGATAATGAGCAACCGCTCGTGCCCCTCGGTGTCTTGACCAACGGTGGCCTCGCGTGCCCCCGTGCGGAGTGCAAGAAGCGTATCTCAACTCTGACGCTGACAGCGCAATTGGAAAACCAAATCCGACGACACACTTCTCGCTACTACTCGGCCTGGCTGAAATGTGATGACCAAGCCTGCGGAAACCGAACACGACAGATCTCAGTCTACGGACATCGGTGTCTCGGCCCCAATGGCCTTGCCTACGGCTGCACAGGACGCATGTCCTTCGAGTATAGCGAGAAGGCACTGTACAACCAGCTTCTCTACTTGCAAGGCTTGTTCGATGTGGACAAGTCCTTGGAGAAGATGGGTGCTGCAGGACTTGTCAAAGTCGAGGGCGAATCGAAAGAGAAAGCGAAAATTCTCGCTGGGATGAATCGGGATCGGTTCGCGGTTTGTTGGGATGTGGTGAAAGCGTACTTGGATAAGAGTGGATGGGGTTGGGTTAGTATGGATTCGCTCTTCGGCTTTGCGATGAAGTGAGCGGAAATTGCACTACTCGTAACTGAACGACTGGATGTGGATATTGAGGGCGGCTACTGTTGAATACTGCGTGATGAACGGCGCTCAGAGATATATTACGGCTTTATGGAAACTGCTTCTTCACTGTCAGTTCTGTTTCATTTGGGTGTCATTTGGGTGAGAGCGCGGAAATGTGTTCATTGTATCCTCCGTACCTCATTGCACATATCTTGGTCACATTCTTCCATGCTCGTCGTACATCACAAAGTAAATCTCTCGATCCTTCACCGCGCCCGCCTCGAAGGTCCAACTCCTAGTACACTTTCGTCACCCAAAAAATTCGGCACAAGTCCAGGGTCATCCAGGTTCTGCCGAGCAGACTGTCGTGCTCTACGTCTTCGTCCCGATTCTCGATCGCCCCTCCTGCCCATCGCCGCATCACCAAAAGTGCTCATAACCACATTGGCAGCATTTGCGACGAAATTATCGTTCATAAAATGTCCTTGGTCATTGTTGTTGAGGCCCCAGGCAGCTTCATGTGCCGCTCGATGCCGGCTTCGACGCGGTTCTTCATCTTCTAGCTCAACTTCGACTTCCAGCAGAAGACCAAGCTGCATTCTTCGGGCAAGTTCTGCATCAAGACGTTCCTGACGTCGCCGGTGTTCCATTTCTTCGTTGTATGTTCGCTGTCGTCGGTATTCGGCTACGTAGCCTCCTGCAGGTTGCTGTGGGTCTCCTGGAACAGGGATTCCGGCTGCGTTCATGACTCTTCTGTAGACTACTTGAATCTCTTCGGGTACTCGCATGTCGTTTAGTCTGTCGGCGCTTGGAAGATCGCGAGCGTTGAACCAGGGACATTCACACGTTTTCCATTTGGATCCGCAGATCATGCCTGTGGAATGTTAGCAGATGCCTTGAATTATTGGGCACGTCCTGGAGTGGTGAGACTGACAGAACTCAGCTGTGCAACGACAGGTCATGTGGTTGCAGCCTTCCTTTAGCTCGATCATTGCATGGCAGTTGTAGCAAGACTGCCAACCTTCTTCCTTTCCTTGTTTGACGAGCTGTGCGATCTCCGGATCCTTGGGACAATCTGCAGATTTGTGCATTTTTGCACTGCATGATGTGCAGACCTTGGTATTGCACCTGGGACACAGTCCATATTTGCGGCCTTTTGTGACATGGAAGTGAGATGGCTTGATCCATTCCCCACATTTTGGTGTCGGGCAATAGACTCTGTTCCTGGTGTGGTATTCCTCATACTTCTTATTCCATAGTACTTTGAACTTTAGATCAAATAGCTTGTCGACATGCTTGAGAGGGATGTGCTCTTTGGTACAGCATCTGGGAGGCATATGTTGAGGATCTTTGACGGACATTTCGAACACTCGCTTTAGACATTCGTGACACATTCGATGGCCACAGCTCAATTTGGCAGTCTTCGTTGACGGCACATCGTCTGAACCACATGTCAAGCACTCCACTAAGCGCGGAGAGGCTCGCGGTGGTTTCGTGGAATTGCGCTGTAATAAGGATCCCAGTAGGGAGGGCTGTCGTCGATCTCGCCTTTGCGTCGGTCTCGCAGAAGTAGAAGGCTTCTCGTGATCCTCCGGTATTGCTTCCAGCCTGTCCACACTAGTGATACCGCAAGGAATCGAAGATGATGCGCTCGATGCTCTCGCTGGGCGCGAAGGGGGATTCAGCCCTACTTGCGATATGCTGTCCTCCGGTGTAACTTCCTCGTCTGAGATGCCTCTGCCTACAACAGACCTCGCTCTTCGCATCGCGGTCGTACGCTCAATCGGCGCGTAGACATTATCGGCAGCAACGCGAGCTCGCTTGCTAGTTTTGGCTGTCGTCCGTGTGGGGTTCCTTCTCTTTCTTCGCGCAACGGCCACAGCCCGGGGCATGGACGCGGTTGAAGAGGCCGTGGACTTTGCTGACAATTTCGTCGACGACCTTGTCGACGGCTTGGTCCCGAATATCGACGACACTCGACGTCGCTCATCTGAAGGTTTGCTGTAGTACTCGGCTCGTTTGCGTCGCAGCTCGTCGATATCAGGCTGCGCCGCCACAGCTTCATCGTCGGCCGTCTGCTTGTCCTTCGTCCATGTCGACGATTTCGGCCTGCTCACCCGGTCGGACTTGCTGCCGCGGCCGTTGCGCCCCAAAACGCTCGCCAGCGCCATGACGCTGCCGCCGTGAGCATTTTCTGGTTCAGTCGCTGCACGCTGATGGTGTGACCAGAAAGGCAGTGAGCTGGCAGCTGCATGTCTCTCAGTGGCTGGAGACGACGCCCAGCCGACCAGCCGCTAAGTCAGGCGCAGGGTCCGAAGCTTGGGAGAATTTTGGTCAATGCGTGGGACAATGCCATCACATTGGCTGTGCGATATCGCTCTTCACACTGACGCATCGCTCCCCACGGACCTTTCTCTGCACGCATTTGAATCCAGCGAATACACTGAGACAGCCGGAAGAAGCATTGGCATCAACGCAGCTGCTCGGCTGGGCATCAAGAACTTCCGCCTAGCCATCGTCGAATGAGTCAGCTGGCAACGACGCATTCGAACAGCCGGTCCTGATCTTCACCATCGATACTGCCAAATATGGCTCTCGATCCAAAGGACGTTCGTCCGGATCCGACTTCAGATCTTCACTGGTCTGACTACCGGGGAGCTATCCACGAGATATTCGCAGCCAATGCCAAGAAGCATCCAGACCGATCATGTGTCGTTGAAACGGAATCGTCAACATCGCCGAAGCGGGACTTCAGCTACAAGACCATTAATGAAGCGTCCAACGTTGTTGCGCATCACCTTGTTAGCAATGGCGTTCAGCGTGGCGAGGTGGTCATGGTCTACGCCTATCGTGGCGTGGACTTGGTCGTGGCAGTCATGGGTGTGCTCAAAGCTGGCGCAACCTTCAGTGTCATCGATCCGGCATATCCACCAGATAGGCAGATCATCTATCTGGAAGTTGCACAACCTCGTGCTCTGGTGTGTATCGAGAAGGCGAAGAAGGAAGCTGGCGAGCTCGCTCCAATCGTAAGGAGCTATATTTCCGAGAAATTGAACCTCAGAACCGAAGTACCTGGACTGATGTTGAACGATGATGGCACTGTGACTGGAGGCTCTCTGGAAGGCAGCGCAGACTGCTTGCAGGCACAGCAGCCCAAGAAGGAAGATCTGCCTGGTGTTCTCGTCGGACCAGACAGCACTCCAACCCTCTCCTTCACATCTGGCTCCGAAGGACGACCCAAGGGGGTCAAGGGTCGACACTTTTCGCTCGCGTACTACTTTCCCTGGATGTCGAAGCGCTTCAACCTGACAGAGAAGGAACGCTTCTCTATGCTCAGTGGTATTGCGCACGACCCGATCCAGCGTGACATTTTCACGCCACTGTTCCTCGGAGCCAGTCTTATAGTACCTCCAGCTGAGGACATTACATTTGACCGTTTGGCAAACTGGGCAAGTACCAATGAGATCTCGATTATGCATCTCACACCTGCTATGGGTCAAATCCTGCTGGGAAGTCTGGAACCCAAGATCACCAGCCTTCATGGCGCATTCTTCGTAGGTGATATATTGCTCAAGCGCGATTGCCGAAGACTGCAACAGCTTGCACCCAACTGCAGGATCAAGAACATGTACGGCACCACGGAAACACAGCGAGCAGTAAGCTTTTACGAGATTCCGTCGGCGAACGAGGACCCAACCTATCTCGACAAGATGGGCGATGTCATCCCTGCTGGTACTGGCATGCTGGACGTGCAGCTACTTGTCGTGGACCGCGAGAAGAAGGAGCGGCAGTGCGAGGTTGGCGAAATTGGTGAGATCTACGTACGAGCTGGTGGTCTGGCTGAAGAGTATCTCGGCGATCCGGAAAAGAACGCCCAGAAGTTCGTCTCAAACTGGTTCGTTGATCAGCAAAAGTGGATTGACGAGGACAAAAAGCGCATCGAGGCTGCTGGCCAGTCCGAGCCGTGGAGAGAGCAATACAAAGGCCCTCGAGACCGCATGTATCGCTCTGGAGATCTCGGTCGGTATATGCCTGATGGCAATGTTGAATGTGTGGGACGTGCAGACGATCAGGTTAAGATTCGCGGCTTCAGAATTGAGCTGGGAGAAATCGACACGCATCTCAGTCAGCATCCATTGATCCGCGAAAATGTGACTTTGGTCAGGCGTGATCATCAAGAAGAGCAAATCCTCGTCTCCTACTATGTACCTGACATGGCAAAGTGGAGAGAGTGGTACGCTCAGCAGGAAGAAGCCGCCAGCAAGCAACCTGTGGCCACTGGCGGTATCAGACCACGGCGGAGAGAGTCCGCCAAGGAGAGTCACGGCATTGCTCAGCGCATGAAGATCTTTGATCTGCTGACACAAGATGCCCGATCCAGGCTCAAGCAGAAGTTGCCCACTTATGCTGTGCCCACCTTGTTCATTCCCATGCTGAGGCTGCCCCTCAACCCCAACGGCAAAGTAGACAAGAGAGCACTGCCTTTCCCGGAGCAGGCCGACCTGCTCGGCTCACTGCCTGAAGCTACAGACTTGGACAAGCGGACGAACACTGAGAATGAGCTGGCCAAGATTTGGGCCGAGCATCTCAAGTCTCGCAACCACACCCCGGAAACACTTCCTCGAGACACCAGCTTCTACGACCTGGGTGGCGACAGTATCATGACAGTACAGATTGTGCCAAAGATCAATCGCAAGTGGCAGGGTGTCCACGTGCCCATGTCCGTAATGGCAGCTGGACAGCCAACATTGGAGAAAGTCGCCAAGTTCATCGATCGCTCGCTGGATCCCGTTGGATTGCGTCTTGACGCTGCTGAGGATGATGAAGATGTAGAGCAAAGCGTCCAATATGCCAACGACCTGCCAAGCCAAATTGCGCTTCTTCCTCAGACCATTGCTGGAGGCCAGATCCGAAGTGCGGCGAACGGCCTCAACATTCTTCTCACTGGTGCCACCGGATTTCTGGGCGCCTATGTTTTGCATGATGCTTTCATGCGCAAGAGTCCGAACCACGTCTATGCTCACGTGCGAGCGTCAAGTCATGCAGATGGACTCGATCGCATCCGAAGAACATGTACAGCCTACGGGCTCTGGCAGGAGTGGTGGGCCACTGAAGGTGTGCTGGAAGTCGTCATTGGAGATCTAGAGAAACCAAATCTTGGACTCAGTGATGCTGACTACAAAAAAGTCGCTGATGATGCTGATCTCATCATTCACAATGGTGCTCGTGTCCACTGGCTGATGCCGTACGAGAATTTGAAGGCAGCAAACGTGACGAGCACGATTGAGGCCATCAAGCTTTGTGCAACAGGCAAGAACAAGCGCCTGACATTTATCAGCTCAACTAGTGCCGTGGACACTGAGCACTACGTTCAGCAGTCAGATGCTGGACAGCCAATTCTGGAGAGCGATCCTCTCGAAGGCAGTCGGCAAGGCCTTGGTACAGGATACGGCCAGTCTAAATGGGTGTCAGAGCAAATCATCCGCGAAGCTGGTACGCGTGGTCTGAACGCCGTCATCGTGCGATCAGGTTACGTGATGGGTGATCCAAAGACTGGTGTGAGCAACTTGGATGACTTTCTGGTGCGTATGCTCAAAGGTTGCGTTCAAGTCGAAGCGAGACCAGACATGGACAACACGATTAACATGGTTCCCGTCACTCGAGTCGCCCGCCTTATCAATGCGGTGTCATTCCATAGTGAGGCTGGGACGGTGGCATTCGTTGATGCTCACCCTCGCCCAACGTTTAATCAATACCTCGGCGCATTGGAGTCATATGGCTACAGCACGCCTGTCGAGCCCTACGAGAGCTGGAAACACAAGGTGGAGAAGTACGTCGAGGAAGGGCATTCCGGCAAAGACGAGTTGGCGCTACTTGGTCTATACCACATGGTCACTGGTGACCTACCTGCTGCCACCAAGGCACCTAGTGTGGATGACCGTAATGCTCAGGCTGCACTGAAAGCTGATGCCGCTCTCCACGCGAATGAAACTCCTGACACTGTCACCGCAGAAGCTACTGGAGCGTATCTGGCTTTCCTCGTTGCGAGAGACTTCATGTCTGCGCCGCAGAAAGAAGCAACTCCTCTGCCGAAGATCGAGCTCAGCAAGGAGCAAATTGAGGCATTGAACAAGGTCGGTGGTCGTGGTGGGTCGTAGGAAATGGTTGTATGAAATAAAGCATGTAGATTCGACTATCGAGCGAAAAAGAGCCTTCAACATCGCCGTCTTTCGTTACTCATCAAGCTCAGTGAGACTTCTTGCGCCTCAGCAACTCTTCCCATCTAGGTCGTGTCTTTCGTTCGTGTAGTCTTGTACTCTTCATTCGCCCACCTAATACTTCACATCCGGACACTGAAACCCTCCCTCAACCATCGGATACATTTCTCCCAGCGCCTATTCAACCCACATTAGCTTCCACTCTCTCCTCAAGCACCACAGCTTCCAACAACAAAATAACAGAAAAACCAAACCCATAAAAAAGTAAAACCCGAAAACTCACCGCCTCAACCCTCCCCCCCTCCCCCAAACTAACATCAAACTCCAAAACCGTCCCTTCCTCCTCCACTCCTTCGGCCGTACACTTGAAATTACAAACTGGTCTTCCACCTCGGACCCCGACGGAATTGAGACCACACATGGGTTGGGGAGCGGAGCCTAGAGCTGAAGTGAGATGGTTTTGGATTCCACCGCAGCCGGTTCCGGAGGCGAAGGGGACGCCGATGTGGAGGGTGTAGTGCGCCCAGGAGGATTCGGAGCGAGGGGTGGCGGTGCAGAGGGCGGTGTTGGGTGGGGGGAGGTTGATGTGGGCGCGAGGGAGGAGGGTGGTGGTGGTTGTTGGGTGGGAGGTTGTGAGGAGAGGCAGAAGGGTGATGGGGATGAGGAGGGAAAGCATTTTTGGGGTCTTGCTTGAGAGGGTTGGGTGGAGTTAGATTCGTCTGTTGACGGTTTGCAAAAGATGGGTATCTGAGGGATTCGTTGCTGGGAGTATGGGATGAGATTGATATACTCGGTCTTTCTGGGGTTCTTGGTCCTTTGTGCTGTCTACATTCCTTCACTTGCAAACTCGTTCAGCAGAGGCCGCATTCGTCGCCATAGTCAACTGTGACAAGATGCGTTGGAGTTGCTGTGCCATGTTCCGATTGCCTTGGTAAGTTCTTTCTTCCTTGTTGTTAGAAGTACGAGACATGTTTGCTGCAGTGCGAGTGTGTGAACTGATGTGCAGCAGAACACGTGAGAATGCGACAAATTTGTCACCGTGCGGGCCCAGAGAGACACAACGAGGCTACAGGTGTTCGTGCAACGTCAACACGTGTTGTTTGCCATTCAAGGTACAGACTGCTCGGCTGAAAAGTTATTGGCTCTGAGCCACTCCAGCATTGCCTCTGCGACCTGATCAGGTACCTCATACGGAGACCAGTGAGCAGCATGCAGCTCCCGTAGCGTCAGCTTATCCTCCGGAACGAGACCTAGTTGCTTGCCTCGTTCAATGTTGTCTGTCCTGCAGACGGCATCACCGTCACAACCGATGAAAAGGTAGGGCGTGTGAACCTTGCCGTCCAACGCCTTCTCTGTTTCCAGATTGTAGTTCTCGTTGTATGCTCGATACCATGCACATTGACTGGTCATGCCTGTGGCTTTCTTGTTCGCGATCCACTCATCGTGCAGTTTCTGGTCCTTCGCATATGGCTTGAGCGGGACATCTGTCCTGCCTTCTTCGATGAACTTTTTGATAGCGCCATGAGAACAGAAGAGCTTCTTCATCCACTCGTCTTGATCTCCATGGATCGCATGCCATAGGCTTTCGAGCTTGTCGTCCATTACCTCTCCGACTTTGGGGTCCGCGAAAAGCTCCCAATACGCATATACAGGATAGCCGACCATGTTGGTCGTAAGTTCATTGAAGGCATCAAGGTCAAAGGGCTGAGCGAACGGTGGCATCCAAGCTACATTTAATGTGATAACGCCGACACTGCGGTCGCCATTCAGCATGTAAACGCGTTGCGCGAAATATGAGCCCCAGTCATGGCCTGGTTAATGTCAGCATGTGCTCCTCTTTTCTGGGCACAAGTAACGCGGGAGGGCCACCCACCGACAGGAATTATCTTTCCGGTAACATTTTCTGCTTTGAGAATTTCATTCACGTCCTGCACCATGGCTTTGATCTCGAAAGCAGCTGGATCGGTGGGCTGGGAAGTGCCTCCAGCGCCAAGGAGATCGGGAGCGATGATTCTGTTCTTGGTCTTGAGCAGGCGAGGGATGATGTATTGCCACAGCTCAGCACTGTCGGGCCAGCCGTGACAGAGAAGCAGAGTTGGTTTGGAGGTATCTGCATCTTGAACTGAGGAGACGTAGTATCTATAGCGAAAGCCGCGCGAGGTGTCGAGCTCCTTCTTCTGTAAGAGATCCATGTTGTCTGTTCAAAGTGCTTTCAGTCTCGAGTCTGTGGAAGGTGACGCACAAGAACAGATGGTCCTGCTTATGAAGTCAAGCAGTGCATTGCAGCTGACAGGCCCACCAACTGTCATATGTTCGGAGAAGCTGGATGCGGTAATCAGCCGAGGCGATCAAGTGGGGTGGTGGATGCTGAATGCCAGCAACTTGAGCCCTGCTCGATGCTCGTCTACTTTGTACAACAGCCCTACAAGGCCAACGCATTGTGCAACACTCGCTCGACCTCTCCCTCTCTCCGGAGCCAATATGTCTTCCTTCAATGCTGCATGTCAGCTCCGCTCCGTCTCCAATTCAGCCTGCTCGGCTCCATATCGCCGCCCGCATCTCCAGGCAGCAAACTTGCCGCGAGTGCTCTGCGCTGCAATTGCTAGTTGATAGAAAGTCGCAGGGATGGTGAGCGAGGTGGAAGACATCTTAAGCCCGTGTCCTGTCGCCTGTCGCCCGGGTGAAGGCGAAGGCCTTTACGGCCGGGAAAAGTGACGATTCTGGCAGTGCTCACGGCTGGAGCCACCACGTCCGACGGACGGACGGCGGCATAGTATTATACCTGCAGAGAGAGAAGCAGCCGCTGTCAACAGCTGTCTGTTCTGGCACCAGTCCTGTATCGCGGCGTGTGCATGTGATGCCAAGGCCAGTGCGAGTTGCAGGCTGAAGTCACAGTGCACCGTTGGATGCATGTCGTCAGCGGTCGCGAAAGCGATGACAGATGGCGCGGAACGGCGAGTCGCGACCAACGACCATCGTGCTGTCCGCTTGCGTCGTGCCCTCGCGGCTGGAGAAATTCCTGGCCGCTCGTTGGACGGGGCGCGCAAAATGCTGCGCGAGACCACGAGTCGGCTCCTGAAGAATGCGTCAGAAGCCGCTGCACCAGCGATGCATCACAGCTGGAACGGAGAATTGTGATTTGCCGAGCGAGCTCCGCCGCTGCAGGAACGAGGTGGGGAAGCGACGGCCCAGCGAGACCATCCAAAGCTACACCTCGTTGCTGCGATTCGACAAACGGATCAACCACACCGCGCTGCATCGCCAGCGCCGCCTCGAGCACCGCTCAACCAGTGTCCGGTGAGTACTGCGCTGCGCTGCTGCAGCTGCCGCGAAGAGCCGCCATCCACAGGTTGGTCGGCGCACGCTCATTTTCGCACTTGTTGGTCCTCCAAGTCCTGCTCCAGCACCACGAGAGAGACTTTTTCCTTGCTTCTCGTCCTAGCCCCCTTGGGGTGCAGACTGACACACCGACGCGTTGCTTCAAGAGCTGGTCTCGCCCGTCCTGCGCTACTCCTGCCCGTCTCGTCACACGCTGCGCTGCGGGAACGGCGACAAGACCACTGGGCGACGACCGAGGGGTTGGGCATCTGCTTGGCCGGTGCCTATCAGGGACCCGACAGCATCAATGGCGTCCATACCCGAGCCCGACCGCACGGAGAGCTACGTCCTTCCCATTGACCTGCCTCCCATCAAGACCACCACCACTCCAGCTACTCCTGACTCGACTGCCTCCTCGCCACCTCTAGATCTACGCAAAAAGCAGAGCAGGCCTCGCCTATCACGACCGCCCACTGAGGGAGGCGGCCCGTTGTCCTCGCACCCAACGTTTGAATACCAACCCAGTGCCTGGCCACCGACCCCGGATCCTGACATGCACAACAAAACATCCACCGACACCAGCGGCAACACCAGATCCAGAAACGACAGCTTCACTTCACCCGCCTCTCCAGCCGCCACTAACACTCACATGTATTCCACACACGAACAACCGCAGCAGCGTCCAGGCACCGTGCGCCGCATGTTCAGCCTGAGCAGCTTGCGCCAGTCCTTCTCGAGCTCTCGCACATCATTCAGCCAGCGACCCGATACTTCGCACGGCAGCTACCACGCACCTTACTTAACTCGCGCCGAATCACCCAACGACGCCGTGTCGACCACGGCATCAACTGCACCTCCAGCTTCAATGCGTTTGTCCAACGAACGACGACCTGCGACATCCTCGCGCAACAAGAAGAGGTCCAGCAGCTGGTTCAAACGCAAGAGCCACCTTTTCGGCATGAACGACGACGGCACTCTGGATGTTCTCGACGAGGATGGACCCGAGCACAAGAGGTTCAAAGACAACCAACTGCCTACGCTGCCCGAAATTGGCGCCCTTAGCGGTGGAAAGCTCGACGGCAGCGGGAGCATTGGCTGGGACGAAATTTTCAAAAGTAACTGAAAGAGTTCAGAAAGCGAAGAAAGCTCAGAGTGCTCGCAAATGGGATCACAGCACCAACGAACCGCCCTGGAAGGCTGATGTATGATGAGAAACATGGCAACGATATGAGGCCAGATTGATGTACAGAGGTGTGCGAGAGCGAGCACAGAACGCGAGCTGCGAGCTGGGCTTGATCCCAGCATTACCGGAAACTGCGGTTCTTGTTTGTATGTGCCATGTACAGTGTACAGCAATGAGATACCCGACTGCATAGAAATGCTTGTGCGAATATGACGAATTGTAAAGCTCATCCCCCTTCGTGGGACCAATTTCTTTTTGATTCTTCGAAATGTTATGCTCCTTCTACTAATTGCTGGCTGTATCCTCGGAAGACAATGACTGATCTCGGAATGGCCCGCCAGGTCATTGCCTCTGCCACTCCGATGTACTGGTTAACCAAGCAACTACACAGATGAATGCACTGCTACAGGTCAGATGAATCTGGAATGAGTGCCTGCCTGGCGATAAAAGCTGACGTGGCCCAATGCAGGAAGGTGTGATGTGGACGTCGGACATGTTCCTTCCACAAATAGAAGGAAGTGGCACGCCGCGACTGCATCTGACAACTTCAACAATATCGAACGTCCCATTTCATGCGTACACAGCATGTGCAATGCATGCACAACACGCGCGGTCGACAATGCCGCTCGTTACCAGACGAATCTCCAGCTGGCTACAGCAACCCTCGCGGCTATGGCATCGAGGTGGCAAGTGTCAGGTAATGCGGCGGCCACGCGCGACACTCCTGCAAGACGCATCCAAATTACAAGTTCCGTCGAATGCAGTCTAACGTGTACTGTGGATGCGACCTCTGCGGATTTTGTAACAGCTGTGGCTCCAGGTTTCAGGACCCGGGCAAGTTCGCTTCTCGGGCACGTTGGAAGTACATCTCATGCCTTCTCAATTCGCGAACCCAGATCAGGACTTGACTGGTAATCATGCTCAGCCGACCACGGGCATCTCGCTGGAAGCTGGGTCGACGGAGGTGGTTCTCGTGGAGTTGCTGCTTTACCGGACTCGGCGTTTGAATGTCAGCTGTTCTGCTCTGTCTGGTCTTTGTTAGACTTAACATCCACTGATGCTTCAGAGTTACTGGACCTCACGGAGCGGCGACCGAGTTGAATTGCAGGTCTCATTGGCACTTCATCAAGAGGAATGCACTGAAGATGGGATTTACTCGCATACGGCCACCGAAAGGACGTTCAGAAATTCGGCTCTTGGCCTCCACACTCACTTGTATCTTTGACCTTCAGGCGTTGACTCCGAAGCAAGGCTTACACATTCTGATCATCCTTTGCAACCCGAAGAGGCAGACTCTGAGGTCTCGGCACGGAGCGCGCCCGACCTGGTCTGGCAGGCTCCCATTTGGTCCGAGTCTTTGCAGAGCACCTTGCCACGGGATGACTCGGAGTGGTCACTTTGGGCTCGATCGACAGCACTCACTGCAGCAATTGCTGTAATCGGATAGCTCTCGCTGCCAAATGTAGTCGAGCATTCCCCACGCCAGCTCCTCAACAGCTGCGACTAAGACAAACATGACAAAGTGCTACCATCTGCTAGTCGCGAACGGGATGAGCTGTACTCGATCGGGCCTGGGTTGAATGAAGAGGTGACTGCGCATAGCTTTATCGAGTAATTTTGGGTTCAGATACCAACATCTGGCGTCCAGGATGAAGCTTTTTCCCAGGCACAAACCCCACAAATTTCACTGCAGCCATCGTTCGGACTCAGAATCCTTGAAGAAGCCCTGGGATCAGCTGGCCAACTCCCAACGCATAAGCGCTCAAGCTTTCTTTTTGGCAGCCATGGCACACTGTTGTCAACACGATGCGTCGTTCTCACCAGTCTCTATGCAGTCTGTTCAGAATGTTCGCCACCCAGTTCGCGGGTTTGCTTGCTCAGCATCGATCCATACTGAACTCCTCTGAGCTGGTCCTGGGATCCCTTGAAGGACCATCCCAATCCATATGGCAGAACACGCAATCTGGGATGCACGGCACCTCAATCTTCTTCTAACTCGGGACTTCCAGTTCCGCGCGAGAGAAGTGACAGCGGTATGCTGAACGGTGATCCCAGTGCCGATAACCCAATTCCACCTTTCTGGAGTCCAACCCATGACCGCGGACCTGTGCTGGGGCGTGACACAGGCATCGGTCGCACACACGATTGAGCGACTCCTCCGCCTCCTGACAATGCAACGCTCATTCTCGTCTTATTCCACGTGGCGAGCTCAAGCATCTGCATATCATGGCCCAATCCGAGCCGAACATAACAATGAGCAACAGGTTGGGAAAGGTGTCTTCCACGGTTTTGCCTGCTGCCTCCATCTGAAGCAGGGACCGTGGCCCAAAGACGCGGTGAAGGGGCTACGGTCCCGGAGCCCTCAAAGAAGCGTCATCTGGCCTGTCTGTCGCCAGGAGCACTATTAGTGAACACCACTGAATGGGACTCTAGCGGTCTCGAACAAGCTACTGGCGACCACCGGTATTCTTCAAGGCCGTATACTGGTGTCAGCACCTTCCTCCCACAACAGCAGAGCCCGAGTTTCAACAACTATGAAAGCCCAAGGTCACGCACCGAAATCAGTATTCGTGACCGTTGTTGTCGTTGGGAGCGTCCTCACCTGGATCTGCACCATATTGCGATTATGGACGCGATGCAAAATCCACCGCCAGGCCGGGGTCGATGATGTTTTTATCACTATCTCATTGGGCTTTGTGAGTCTCACGATATCAATTAGGTCGATAATTGCGGTCGCTAACATGTTTGATAGAACATAGTGATGTGTATAGCAATGGTCATGGCAGGTAAGGCAAGCCAAGTTCCACGATGGGTCACGTTGCGCATGTTCTGACACTTCGCAGATCATAGTGGCCAGGGCACGCATATCTGGACAATGACACCGGAAGGTATCAAACAATTTTTGTTCTACCTCTGGCTACTGATCTGGTACGGAGCCAATTTGAAACTCGAAGCTTCAAATCCGCTAACGCGACGCCAACAGGAACTATTACGGAGCTCAGGGCTTCGCCAAGTTGGCCATTCTCTACCAGTATCTGCGAATATTTGGGCCTGTTGTCAGTTTCCGTCGCGCTTGCTACGTCGCCATCGCCTTGTCTGGATTCTACACTCTGTGGGGCATCGTCACTTCAATGCTGATCTGCTACCCGGCCGCTGGCTTCTGGCATTTGGACTGGCAGCACGATGGCAGAGCGCATTGTATGCCGATGTGGAAGGTCAAGGTTCCTATCTGGTGCGTATGTTTTCCTAACCACGCGATGCCACAGTGTTTACGAGCCAGTACACGAGAAGCTACCCAGTCTAACGTGCGAATTTGTGCAGGTTCTTCAACGCAGCTCTCAACATGACGACCGATCTGTTGATATCAATCATACCGCTCCCAGTAATTTCACAGTTGAATCTTCCTCGAAAACAACGCTACATGCTTATGGGCGTTTTTTGCCTCGGAGGCCTCGTCTGCGTCATCTCCATTGTTCGCCTCTCGGGTCTCTATGCCATCGCCACGTCCGACGACCCCACCTATGACAATGGCATGGCAGCCATGTGGTCATCTATGGAAGCCAATCTCACAGCAATCGCGTCCTGCCTTCCGGTGCTTAAGGGACTTTTTAGTAAATGGTTTCCAAAATTATTCAAAGGCACATCGAATGGAACCGCAGACCGCTATGCTTCGGATTTCAGTGGCCCGAATCATTCGCATCTGCGGGACACGGAGACTATCGGGAGTTCGGGACGAGGTGTATGGGGAAAGAAGAGCACGACCATTCATGTTAGCACGGAGGAGTCGGCTATGGAGGAGGGTAGTCCAGGGGCGAAGAAGTCGGAGGCTTGGGGATGGTCTGAGCCAGAGGCGAAAGGAGGGGCGATTCAAATGCATACCATTGTTGAAAGATCGGGGTCGAAGCGGAAAGGGGCTGGTCCCACGGCGAGGGCGTCGGATGAGAGTGGGGAGGCCTTGGTTCCGCCACCGATAGACGAAAAATGAAAGGAGCCTGGATTCTGAAGAGGAAGCGGTACGAAGCCTGTTCGGAAAGGTTGGGGCCTTGCGATTTCTCCGCCGAACGGAAATCCATTCTCAGACAGCTCCGCACGACACATTTCTGGCCATAGCAATTCACAAGAGCTGAGAACTTTCTACTGATTCGGAGAAAGCTTGATTTCATACTTTTCATGCCGCATCTACCTCGCGTACTTCCTTCATTGAAGTCTACACGCAGAACTCCAATCTTGGCAGCTATTGGGGATAGCTCCTATTCACGCTGTTAACGCCGATAGTGCTTATTTGTTGAGGAATAGCTATACATTGCCACCAACTCTCATTATGCGCGGTCTCTCACAAGACGCTTCTGCAGTTGCATGTCCTTCTGCGTGATGGTGGTGCGTTTTGCGTGGAGTGCTACTCAACGTCAGCCATGTGGTCCTATTGCAGATTACGAATTCTGATGCGTACCGAGTATGTTCGTGTCTTTTAGGACAGAGACCAGGTAGGCTTCTGCAGCTTCTTGCAGCGCAATAACAGCTGACTTTTGCCAGCGCCAGGCCCCTCGCTCACCTGATGGAATGAGCTCATTTGCGATTTCGCGGACCAGACGTTGAAATGGCAAAGAAAGGATAAGCAAATGTGTCGATTCTTGATACTTTTTGATCTTTTGGAGAGTAACTACATATATGATATCAGTTCTTTTGTTCACGCTATTAACCCCGATGTTGCTTACTCGTGCTAGGCGCAGGGCGGCGCTTCTTTTTCTCCTCCTTCGCTGCGGCAGCAGCAGGCTGTGGGCGTGTGCTAGGGGATGTAGATTTGCCGCCTCTGCCTGCTCCTGCGCTGCGTCCGCCGCGTGTAGCACCACCACGATGGACGCGATAGGCGATGGTGCCTCCTGACTGAGATGGTAGTTGACTGAGCTTGATCTTCTTCTTGCGAGCCATGGTTGCGGGGGTAAGTTGTTGTGGTTCAGAAAAGTTGAGACTTACTCTCAGATGATATATGGTGTGGTAACAATATGGCCTAGGTACAATAGAGGACTTGCTCGAACGACAATAGATGGTGGGGACAGTAGCAAGATTGCTCGAACGACAATAGATCTAGGGATTAGATCACACAGCCTCTCGCACGACAATACGACACGCCTAGGGACAACCGAGCGGCGAGAACTGTTGATCGTGATACTCGACGAACATCCATTTCAGCCAGAACATGGTGCGTTTTGCTGGAAGACCCACGCCTGATATCTCCAACTCTTGTGAATAGCGACGGCCAGAAATTCATCGTATGGAACTGTCTGAGACGAAACTGCCTTTCGGCAGAGTAATCGCGAGGCAGCAGCTCCCTCTCCGAGAAGTACAGCAGTTCCCTGCTCCTTGGCCTCGAGAAGAGCTGCTACAGTGCCACAACGAGCTCTTTGAGGCACGACTACATGTACACGTGAAGACTTGCGTATGGCAATGCAAGAGAATGGCAGTAGGAAACACGCACACTGTTGAACCAGACTCTGATTTCGCATTACGAGCGCTAAAAGTGACACGCCCACAGCTATGCGCTTCACCTCGCCCAATGTTCGCAAAAGCAGAGCCCCTCTCTCCTTCCAAGTTGCAACCTCGTCGATGGTCATCTCAGCTTCGCCCTCTGATTCCATAATAAGCATGTTGGAGCTCAAAATCTGAAACGCTTCTTCCCTCCCATAGGATATCATCTTTCGCAACCCGCCGTTGTTCTTTGAAGCACGAAGCCAAGTAAACCCGTCGAACGATCGCAAAGCATTAAACCCTCATCAAACGCCATTGCCGGATGCAGTTCAAAACACTCTCTTGCTTGCTTGCTGTGAAGACTCCGCCCTGGACGACGGATGAAAGAAGACCAAAACGTGCCAGGCCAGACTCGCTTGTGTTATTACCGCGTCGGAAGCATGTAGTGATCATGCGTGCTGATAAATCTTGTGATACGAGTAGGACTCAAAGTTTCTGTACAAATATACAGCAATAGACGATCTCGCTCCTAGTTGTCACCTCAGGGTATCGAATGTGGTATTGTGTGAGGCTCTTCTCTTGTTGAACTCAATTCGCTTGCAACGCCATGCATCTCGCCGCTGCGCCTGGGCAGCACTTGCTTTTTGACGCCGTTCGAATGCACTTCATAATCTCGTCTCTTCATACTGCGCTTGAATTACTCAAATGTCGTCGAGCATGCCGTGGTTGAAGTCAGCATCGGCATTCTCTGTCTTCGCACTCGTGGGCTCGAGGCCGCTCATCCTATCACCGGCGCGGTTGCTGAAAGTGCGACTCAGGTTGTTATCGGCGCCCTCCACATCACGGTCGGCATATTGCTGTTCCAGGGTGCTCTCATCCACAAAGGTGAAGCCCTTGAACTGATTCTGCATTGTTGGGCTGAGTGGGGTGCTCTCATCGCCGATACCGCTGGCAAGGGCTGCAGCTCTGGCGTTCAGTGAATTCTGGTCGCCTGAAGTCAAAGCATTCGTGAACTCTGGGTCGAAATTGCTGGTGTCCAGCTCACCCTTCAGCTTGGGCTTGAACGGAGGTGCGATCGACTTCTTCCCAAGCGCAACCCAGTCAATGTCGTTGAAGAAGGGGTGTGCCATGAGCTCCTCGGCATCGCCCTTTGCACCCAAGCGATGTGCCGGATTTCGATTCAGCAACCCCTTGACGAAGCTGCGCCCTTCCGCGGAGAGCGCGTCTCGCGGGAAGCGGACCTTGCCGAACGCAATGTTCTTGTACATCTGTTGCGTATCCTCGGCGTAGAATGGTGACCAGCCACAGCACATCTCGAACACCAAAACACCAAGGGACCAGAAATCGACCATTTTGGTATATCCTTGCTCGTCAAGTAGAACTTCTGGTGCCAGGTATTCTGTAGTACCACAGAAGGTGTTGGTAGTATCGTTCTTCGCAAGGTTGGCCTTGGAGAGACCGAAGTCGCACAGTGCGATATGCCCATTTGCATCGAGCAAGATGTTCTCCGGCTTCAGGTCACGATACACAATATCGTGTTGATGCAAGTGTCGAAGTGCAAGAATAAGCTCTGCAATATAAAACTTGGCTCGCTCTTCCACGAAGCGTCCCTCCTTTTGCAAGTGCCAGAACAGCTCACCACCTGACATGTAGTCGGTGACAAGGTATAGATCTGCCGCAGTCTGAAACGAGAATTTGAGCCCGACGATAAACGGCGATTCTGTTGTTGCAGTTCGCACCAGAATGTTGCGCTCGCCGATCGTGTGCTGAATTTCCTTCTTCTGCACAATAACCTTCTTCGAGAGCACCTTCATTGCGTAGATGCGCTTTGTATCTCGCTTTCGCACTTGGAAGACTTGGCCAAATGTGCCCTTGCCGATCAGCTTCAGGATCTCAAAGTCATCGGGCCCGAATGTCTTCTTGCCCGCGGCATGGAAGGCGATCTTGATGTGGAGCTCTCCAGATACCGCTTCTGTCAGACCCTCCCTCGGCTGCAGCTTGAACCAGTCCTCGTGCTGATGCTCGTAGTCGTTCAGGTCTAGCGGCAACCGCACATGTCCAATGAACGACTCGTTGTTCGCTCGATCGTACACCGAGATGTCGATCTCGTTGTTGTCGCCCACGACATCGAATGTAGCTTTATGCCTCCACACTGGATCTGTCGTCTCTTGGTGCTTGTTATGCGAACCTCGTCGCAGATCTGCAATGTTGGTCTGACTTGTCTGTCTGCTCTTCAAGCCAGGGATTGCCATTGGTGCGCCTTGTCCGCTGCCCATTCTCTTCATTGCAACGCCTTTTGCGAGGTTCTCGTCCTGTGGCTTCTCATCATCCACCGCCATCTCATCCTCTTTCGGACCACCCGAGATGTCCTCATTGAGCTGGAAGATGCAAACCACATAAGGGTCTGTTGATGGCCGCAATCCTCTGCCCTCTTCGATGCAGACCTCCAATTGACCTCGAAGCGAACCGATGACTGCACCCTGAGAATTGCTGGAACTCGATCGGCTCGATTTGGCGGCTTTCGACGCAATCGCTACATCATCTTTGTTCGACCTGCTGGCGAGTGAACCCGATCGTGGAGTCTGAGGTGGAGTATTCTGATGTTCGCCCTGCGTTAGCACCTGCTTTCCCTTTTCTTGCACTTTAGGCGATTGAGGTGGAGTGGTGGAACGCGTATCAGATAACGTGTCTGGAGCAGCCGCTGCATCAGACGTGGGGTTGGAGATATGTGCAGCAGGAGTGTCTGTCAAAGTGACAATGCTGTTGAGGGCAGTGGACAGCGTGCTGCGGCGCAATCGTGACGGCAATCCGCTCAGACTTCTCTTCTGCTCGCCCCGTGAGGCTTGCCGGTCGAGAGGAGTCAAGGGATCTACGCCGCCCGAGCTGGCCAGCACGTCGGCCATTTGCAGCACCGACGATGAGTTGGAGAGGGGTGGTGTAGGAAGTGAGGAATGTTTCTCCTCTATAGGGTGGCCGTGCTTCTTCTCATGTGGCAACAGAGGCGGCGACTCCCACTGCGAGCTGTTGCCGCTGCGTGGCGAGCTGGGCGCAGTGGGGAGCTGTGTCTGAGCCGCGTTGGGAGGAGCTTGGGTGCCACCGGCGAGCGCGTGGTTCAGAGCGGCGACAGCAGCACTCTGCTCCTGTTGCTCTTGCTGGGCTAGCTGCTTTTGGTCCATCGATTGTGCCTTCTCACTTTCTACCTCTTGTGCAAGTGATGGGGCTTCGGAGGAAGGTTTTGGGCGTGTAAGAGAATCACGAACCTGAGCGAAGTAACTGTTGACTAGTTGCGGGAATCGCTTATCCTGGTGCGCATCAGGGCGCGGCGTCGCTGTGCCGTTGGGCGGTGTCGAGGCGCCGCTGCCTATCTGGTCGTGATGATCGTCTTCGGCCATGTTCGTTTTGCTGCGTGGATGGAGTAGGTCAGCACTCGCCATCTCGTGATATGTCTCGCGGTGTGGTGGCACAAGCGGCGATCGACATGTAAGGCTGAAGGAAGTTCAGACAAGTGCAATCTGCGCTGCGCCCCACGACTCGAGGGGAGGATCCGGGCGGCAGTGGTTGCGGTGCGTGGTGAGGGCGGTTTTGAGTAAAACCGATTGCCAAGCCGAGGAAGTGGCGTCAGAGCGAATCTGGTGCGGTTGCAATCCGAATGCAACCGTCGGTGCAGGGCACCCCACCTGTCTTGCCTGGTTTGAGGCTCCGGCAGCTAGTCCCTGAGATTGAAAATTCCGCCGTGCTTCGGCTGTTGAGTGCGAGATGAGAGGGCGGCGGTTCGGCGTGAGTGCGGTTGGGGTGCTGGGTGCTGGACGCGGACGGGCTAGCCTCGCGCTGTGCCTGTGCAGGTTTCCAGAAAATTGCGCGGCCTCTTGCTCTCAGGGACTCGCGGTGGCGGTGCGCGTGTTCCAGTGACCAGGCGGACGGCAGGCGCAGCGCAGCGCGCGAAGCAGCTCTCCAGCTTTGTTGCTGACGAGCGCCAAGCGGGCCATTCGATGACGACAATGTGTCAGAGAGGGAAAGGAAACGGCGAAATTACTCACCCATGCATAAGGGACTGGCGCAGCAGATCCGCTGCAGTGTGCTGGCCAAAGGCGTCGTGGGACATGCTGCTGGCCGGGCGCAGGCCGAGCAGCGACGTCGGGGATGCGGCGGTCGATGATGTTGATTGCGCCTTGGTGGGGCTTCGGGTGGGCGCGATGGTCAGCGTCGACAGCGTGGGCACCGCGCTCGAGCTCTTGGTCGCGACGTGTCCGGGGCGGCGAGGAGCGGCGGGGCGGGGGCGAGGAGCTGGAGAGGTCTCTGTCGACCTTGACGCCGCTTTAGAAGAGCGCGGAGGCTCGCGGGGACTTCTTACCTCCTCCACGGCGCTGGCTCTGGTGCACGGCTGAGGGAGCTTCACATGCGGAAGCACCAGCCGGTTCTTCGTCGGATTGGGCTCGTCGTTCGTGATATGACGGAAGTGGCCGCGCTGCTCCGATGTAGCGCAGCGATTGTGTTGCAGCGAGGAGATTGCAAAGTGGATAGAGGAGTGGGAGAAGTAGGAAGAGTAGTCGTCCTGGGTCCCGTAGCGTGCAGCGGATCGCGTGTGCGTCAGAGCCAGATGGGCGCGAGATTCAGATGGCAATGCGCCTGAGTCGGTCGGCAATAATCGCTACACGTGGATGGGCCAGCAGAATGGCTCGCAACAGAGTTTCCCGCCGGTTGGGCGCGTGCTGGGCAACGAGTAAGATGCCTCCAGATTCCCAGATTTGCGGCAGGCGGGCGTCGCAGCTGCAATGTGCAAATGTTGGTCCACTGGTGGGAGTGTCGTTCAGAGGACGAGGAGAAGGTAGAGAATAGCAATGCCTTCGTGTACACGGGATCGAGAACACATCTATCCGGACACGCGATACCGATAAGCCGGGAATGAGGCAGTCTGTCCAGATCCTGGCCCTGGATTGCCCTCAATCAGTCCTCTCCCGCAGGGTGCCTTGCTCAACAACCACGCTTCGAGACAGAACGCCGAACCAATGCGTGCAGCGCCCGCAGCAAACGGCACGCCGCCTATAACACAGTCGCGTGCGGAGGCGGAGTGCGGGCTGTGAAGGGCAGCGTGCAGCACGAGGTGCCCGATCACGGCCTGGCAATGATCGAGACCGCTCACGGACGCGCCGCCGTGGACAAAGAAAGGACTCCCCGGGTCGCACAATGCCCAACACGAGCTGACCGAAATTGAAAGACAGCCGCGCAAGAGGACCTGAGGTCTGACCTGACGGACTGACATGCGGTCTGCACATCGAGGACTGACCGCTCCTTCCTTCCTCTTCCGACTCCTGCTCCTGCCTGACCGATGCGGCGAACGATAGAATGGAAGGCATTGCAGAGCTGACATCTGACCGGAGAGGTGCGATCTCGAAAGAGACTGGACGAAATCCTGGGCCTTTCTTCACCACATCTCATCAATCCAAGGCAACGCCTCACGTTATTGTGCCGATTCGCCTCATGCTCTACCCAATGATTCTCCAGACCCTCCCCTTCTACGCGGCTTCGGTGCTACAACGTTCAGCAGACCTGCTGTAGCACGCCAGTGCACCGGTCTGGTTCCCACAGGGATATACGGATTCCGGCGTCTACACAATCTACACTCCTAGCAGAGGCCATCTCATTGGCCTTGCACATTAAGTGTGACCTTAGGGCTCGTTGTGCAACAGACAAGTCGCCACACGGAACTTTCTCACATGCGCTTCATCCCCATCTGTACATTGCGAACTCGCATGTACATGCACACATGCAGCTCTCCTCACGCATGACATGCTAGGAGCCGCAACCGCTTGCAGACTTGCAGACGCATGCCGCCCTGGAATGCGGAGGCACGGCCAGCCTCGATCAGCTGCAAGTCGAAGCAACCGAAAAGATGAAAACGGTAAGTCGTTGCTGGTACACAAAACAATACACGCGAGGACCGAGGTTGTCGTTGTGCAGAACCATTGAGCTGAACAGCAGAATGCCATGGTTGCATACAGCAAAACGGGAGCCTGAAAATATGCACACTTTGCGATATCTCTCGTGGATTCTGTTACGCAGCTGCCTCGCCTCACGAGACAGAGCGCCTTTGCCACGCTGCACATGGCGGAGATTCGGGGATCGAAAGAGCACTCGCCGTTCTCTTGCTTGCCGGTGGTAGCCTCTTTCGCTCCTCGTATCTCTGCCTCATACAGCGTATTCAAGGCACTCCATGTCGCGAAGCCGGATAGGCGCAAAATCGACGTCGCGGCGAGAGAGCAAAAACTGTCGTCTTTTGCGAATTCCTTATTCGTGAACACATAATCTACAACTTGCTTCCTCCACTCTTTGGCTTCATCAATGCCCGTCCATTGCTCAGACACACCTTTCCAGTCTCCTTGACCTTGACCTGGAATCTGATCTCCTCCCATCCCTCGGAGTCCTTGGTGCCAGTCCTCCAGATCTCAGTAACAGTAGTATCACCAGGCTTAACAGGCGAAGCGAATCTCGCACCATACTCCTTGATACTATTCGGGTCTCCACCACCAATCAACTTGACAAGAGCATGTGCGCTCACATTCCAAGAGTAGAGTCCATGAATGATAACACCCCCGAAACCCATCTTCTTTCCCGGAGTAGGATCAATGTGCAATGGGTTATAATCTGTTCACATAGCACGTCAGTCCACATCCCGATTCCCAGAAACCCTTCTCCCAGAGAAAAGCACAAGAAAAAACTCACCTCCATTCAACCTATACAACGCCGCCGTCTCCTCATTCGTCGGATTCTCAAAAACCGCATCGGGGCTCTTATCCTTCGGCACAGGATAAGACTTCGCCGAAGCACCCTTCGGCCCTCCCCATCCACCCTGTCCAACAAAAAACGCACTCCCAATAACCCTCGTATAAACCTCCCCACTCTCCTTATCCACAATATCGACCTGAGTTTCCATCACCGTCCCCGGTTTACCCTTATCATACACACCCAGCACCTTATTCCTCGCTTCGAATTTCCGGCCTTCGGACGTAGGTGGCAGAGGCTTGTAAAAGATCATTTTCCGCTCGCCATCGAGGACACGGGTGCTGTCGAGTTTGGGCACGCCGGGGATGTCGGGGCGGGAAGCGAGTTGGGCGGCGTAGAAGTCTACGACTTCTTGGCTGGTGTGTTTGAAGGGGAGGATGATGGGGTAGGTTGGGAAGACGGCGAAGTTGGGGTGGAGTTCCTACATTATGCAAAATCGCAACAGTTAGATAGAGGTCTCCAAGGTATGTAAGAGCTTTGTACATACGTAGAGATACTGAAGTTCATCGGCTTTGGCTCCAATGCTTGCTGCGAAGAGCAGCACGTCACGCTTCAGCCATGCTACTGGTACTGGGTCACTTTCGTGGCCTGCTCCTGGGTTTGACTCGCCCATGTTTCGATATTCTGAGGTTGCAATAGATAAGATTGAGACTAAACGTTCAGAGAAGATAGGAAGAGAGAAGCAAAATCGTGAACTTCGTATGCTACTCGAGCTATCTTAGTTAGCCGTGGTGTTGCGCGATTGATCAGACCTCGGCTGCTGACAGCGGGCCAGGGTTCTCGGCCTAAGAGACGGCTCCAGAGCTCGTCAATTCCAGTCATAACCCGAGACCACTTTGACACGGCAGATACTGGTCATATATACACACACGTCGCTCTCTGAATGCAGTGTGACAATACATGCAAGATGCCTCTTCATGCTATACACGAATGTCTACGACATAGCAGGCTTCGCAATGCAGACAATGCAACCGTATCGCTCGAGCAATCCCCAACCGGCAAATGCAATGCATCTCACTATCTGTTCTCTCGATGACTGTCGCTTGAACTGGAACTGCTGCTACTGCTGCTGCTTCCGGGTTTGCCATCTTGTTCAAAGTCGATCAGAGCCTGTTCCTCTTTGACACTCTCCAATTTAGCTTCCACTTCCTTGACGTTTCTGTTGCTTTGCTTCGACCACAAAGCGACGTATTTCCCCTTGTTTTCAAAAAGCTCCTCATGCGTTCCTGATTCCACAATCTGCCCATCTTGAATGACCAGGATCAAGTCCGCATGCTGAATTGTCGATAATCGATGCGCGACGATGAAAGTAGTGCGACCAGCTGTGAGACGCTTGAAAGCGGTTTGAATCACGGCCTCGGTCTCTGCATCGATCATGCTTGTAGCCTCATCTAGCAGCACGATCTTGGGCTGGCGAAGAATAGCACGAGCAATTGCCACCCGCTGGAGTTCGCCGCCGGAGAGCTTGACGCCTCGTTCTCCTACCATAGCCTTATAGCCATCGGGGAAGCTCTCAATCTTGTCATGTATCGCAGCAGCTCTGCATGCTTCTTTCACTTCCTCGTCAGTAGCGTCAAGTCGAGCGTATCGGATATTGTCCATGATGGAAACATTGAAAAGTGAAGGGTCCTGTGGCACCATGCCGAATGCATCTCGCAAGCTGTCGAGCGTCACATCCCGGATGTCTTGCCCGTCGATCAGGATAGCGCCTTCGTTGACATCGTAATATCGATAGAGAAGCTTCAAGATAGTGGACTTGCCGCCCCCAGTCTCACCAACGAATGCAATCGTCTGGCCAGGCTTGACCTCGAAGTTGATATCTTTCAAAGTCTGCTTCCTCTTGTCGTAAAAGAAGTCCACATGATCGAAGCGAACTCCGCCGGCAGTGACCACAATCTCTTTCGCGCTCGGCTTGTCTTCAACGGAGGGCTTGGTCAGCAGAAGTTGCAAGAGGCGCTCCGAGTCGATGATCATTGACGACACCTTGCGGATGGAATAGGACATGTTCGCCAGCGGCCATTCGATCGATTTCCAGTAAGTCACCAGCGTGATGAAATTACCGATCGGCGCAGATCCCTGTGCTACTCGATATGCAGCAAGTGCTACAGCACTCAAGCGACCTGTAAGTAGGATAGCCGACTGCGCAGCGGCTCCGCAATGATACGCAAGCCAATATCGCCACATGGCCAGGTTGTACTTCTCAACGGTATCGCTGTATCGTTCCGACTCGTAGTTACTCCTGTTGAAATGGGACACAGTCTGCCAATTGTTAATGGCCTCGTTCTGGACTTTGCTCTCGGTTCGCCACGCTGTGTTGTAGTCTCGTCTGCGCTGTATACTCCAGCTTGTGACCTTCGCTCCTACCCAGATGTACACGAATCCGATCGTCATGATGATCAAGCCCATGTAGATGTCGAAGAGACGGCTTACGAACCAGAAGGCCAAGATAAGGTCGAAGAACATGGGAACTACGTCGAACGCGAAGAAATCGATCAGATCCTGAAGGTTTGTACCTTGCTCAATGGCACGAATGAGTTCTCCAGAGTTCTTCTCGTTGTGAAAGTCCATCGATAGGTGCATGATGTGTCGAAAAGCAGTTGTCGAGAGCGCCTTGAAGGCATATTGTTGCACTGGTATTTGCACGATTGATTTGATCAACGGCAGGCCCGCGGCAGATTGCAGAGCAGCCAGTACCATCCACGTGCCGATTGTCTTCCACGGGACGATGCCAGTGCCCGCACCTGCTGCCAGCTCTTCCACAACGTAACCCAGGTATAGTGGGACCAGTATCACGATCGCTCGCTCTGCTAGTAAGATTAAAGACATAATGACATAGCAAGCCTGGACAATTCGGTCGTGGCGCGGGAGGAGAATCCAGAAGAAGATTTTGAAATCGCTCAAGTAACGAAGCCAGCTGCCCGACTCTCTGAGTCGCTTTTGCTGTTGCTCCTTGATTTCTTTATCTGCCTGTGGATCCTCAGAGTCGGAGTCGAATGCGGCATCGTCGTTGATCTCCTCATCTTCATCCTCGCCATCGGACGTAGTGGATGGTCTATCCGAGTTGCGCGCCTTCGCTTTCACACCGTTGCCATTGATGGCACCATTTGCGCCGTTTACATGCGCACCACTGGCAGCTTCCTGCTCAGCAAGAAGCGCTTCGCTCTCGTTGTCCAAACGTATGCCTTGTCTGCGGTCCTGTAGCGCGAACCATGCCGCGCCAAGCGAGAGTGCAAGAAGCACAGAGCCTCGAATGATACGCAGGACTGTGCGCAACTGATCGTAGCCGTTTGACGATCGATCACCAGTCACTTGTAGAACGAAAATCGGTACTTCGAAGATGAAGGCCACGATCCAGGAACCAAGATAAGGATGCCACAGTGGTGTCGAGTTCTCGGCAAGGCCCACCGTTAACGATCCATGCAGTGCGAATAGCAATGCCAGATAGACAATGTAATCTTGCGAAGCTGCCCAGCCTGGTACTTTGGCAGCGTGAAAGCCGGTTGATATGGCTTCTGCCACTATTGTGGTGACAATGGTCGATTGCAGAACGATCGCAGGCCATCGTCGGAATTTCGTTCCTGCGCGCTTCGATGGTTCTTGGAGGAGACATGTCGCAACCGTCTTTGCCGAGAGAAAGTATGCAGTCGTTGCTATGGGCGCGAGGTAATGCAACGCCGCAATGGCAGTCCGTGTGTTCGCCATAGTGCCTCCAGCACTGGGGTAATCGTTGTGAACGATGAAGTTGGAGTCTAGTCGGCAGCTTCAGCGTCGATGATTTTGAGTCCCGAAGAGGACTAGGCAGCGATAGTGAGGTCAGCACACACCACCACGAGCAATACCTCACTCCTTACACATCTGACCCAGGACTAGGGAAGTCAATTGTCACCGCGCACCAGATCAAGGCAAACTCCAGTCGCGTACAGTAGCTTGATCGCGCCGGCTGTGTCTCTGAGTCATCAAAGCTTCGTTCAGTAGTTTCGTAGGTCCCAGCAAGTGGCAAGTGCGAGTGAGAGATGGCAGTGCGACTCGTTCAGTCGGCGTTCACGATAGTAGTCGGATCCATGGCGCGAATGGGACATGGCAAACCCCAACCCCGAACCTTTTCAGCAGGCAGAGCGGAGGCAAACGAAGTCTTGCATGCGAAGTTTCCCCGCCAGCCAATGCCATTCGCGCAAAGTGCATGCAGTAGATCGCGTTGCAGCTCCCGTGGCGGCGGCATCGTCGTGCTCGACAGAGCTGAAGGATGCCTGTCAAGCGCAGTCAATATCGGCGCTGTTCAGCTGTCTGACGACGCCGTGAGCCGGCATGCCGCGTCGCCGTGGCAGCTGTATAGAGCGGCGGTAACGCTGGGTGCCACTGGCAGGAGCAGCTGCTGTGTCGCTCGCCTCGCATGGCAACGCACTGCACTGTACTGTACATGACAAACGTGTGGGAGTGCAAACGCCCTTGCCGAACACGGGGCGGTGAAGAAGAAGCCTCGCTTAACGCAGGCGAGCACTGGCGGCAAGTTCGGATGTGGCTGCTGTGGCCGTGCATCTGTGGCTATGCAAATACGCTTCACTACATCGCGGCGAGACGCGTCTTCGACTTCATCCCATCACCAGGATGTCTTCTCACGACTTGGGACCAGACATTATCAGGAAATCATTGGAAAGAGATCATGTTTTCATTTGCAGACCTCTTTGGTCTAGCTAAACGGTACTTTTTGGTCCTAGGGCCCCAGGCCCAGAACCATCCCAAAAGCAATCGTGCCTCATGCTGAGGTCTTTGCGTTCGCGTTCGCGCAACCATGACTCGTGAGAGCCGGACGAGGGACCTCGCCTGCTTGGCAAGGTCCATATCGTCTATGCATATCTAGTAAGCGCACCTGTATGCAAGAATCTATGCTGAAGTCGCAATTTCCACCGGAACACCACGCAGAAATCTCGCAATACTAGTACAATCCGTAAGAAGGAATCGTTCCAAACGCCACCAGAGAGAGATTGAACTCAAGCAAGGAGATCGGCCACGTTGCCTGGACCCATGTCGGCCTCGTCGGCGCCCACCAATGCGTCGCCAGCTGTATCGATTCCCTGTGTGGTGCAGTTTGGAGTTTCGACAGAGTCGTGGTAGAGATTGTCGACGATCTTGTCCTCTTCAGTTGCGTGTGCCTGGAAGTAGTCGGAACCGACGACGATGTGACCCGGAGTAGGCTCGTGATAACCATCAACAAAGTCCTGCAACAAACTATTAGTCAATTGAACACTTTGGTTTCTTGGTCAGCCATACCCTTGCGTTGCGAACCAAGTCTGGGATCTGGTCAGGCCGAACTCGAGGCTTCTCTTCTTCGGACAACTGTTTGTTGCCCCAATGTGTTGTTGTCATTGTGCACAAAGCCTTGACATTGAGGTACCCGTGGTAATACGAGAACAACATCAGTACCGGAATGTACACCATGTCCTGCGGGTACCGGCAGAAGTGAGGAAGCATCTTGAGGTTCTTCGCAAAGAAGATCCAGCAACCGAGGGCGATCCAGAAAAGCGGGGCGACTGATGGGCTACCGACTGCGCCGTACAGGAGACCTGCGAGGAGGCCTTCGCACAGAATGTTCGGTGTCTGCCACATGCTCACGTAGATTGCGTACAGGCCCCACCACATTCTCAGCGAGCGCCAGTACGTCTCGTTTTCCATTACGGTGAAGTTGCCACGCCAGTGAGCACGAGCCCATCGCAGACACTGCTGCTGGTATCCTGGGAAATCAGCCTCGACGGTGGTTTCCAGAACGGACCGATTGTCTGGCTGAATGACGATCTTCCAACCGCTGCCATAGGTGAATCTCGTAATGAACTTGTCATCGTCCGAGTTCAGTGGACGTCCTCGCCAAGTGTCGTTGAGGAACTTGTAGCGGAAGGAGTCGCTCTGGAGAATGCAAGAACGATATGCGGCCGTACGACCGGACAAAGTCGAGATCGATCCATCGATGGCGTTGGTGGTGCAGTTGTTCCAGACACGACGCTCCAGGTATGAAATCCCGAGCATGTTGACCCAATCGGTGCGGAGGTTGCGGTGTACCCGCTGACGAGTGCCGCCGCCGCCGACTTTGTCGTCTTCGAAGACGGCAAGCAGATAGTCGAGGTAGTTCTCGTCGGGCCAGAAGACGTCGTCGTCGGCGAGCACAGTGATTTCGGTTTCGACAAGGGGAATAGCACGGAGAAGCTGCTTGCGCTTGTTGAGGTGCTCAATACCCAAGACAACCACATCGTGCTGGCCAAAGTTGTGGAGAATGCACATGTCCTTGACCAAGTGCACATTGTCGTCCGAAGTGATCACGAAGACCTTGGCCGGGTTGCAGGCGAGGATACGCTTGATACAAGCCATCAGCTCTGCCGGAGTCTTGAAAGTCGTTGGAATCAGGACCGTAACATCCTGGGAAGTGTACTTCGGCTTCTCGGCCACGGGAATGGCGGACCAAGAAAACCAAGTGAAGATCGAGACCACCGTGCGGAGATATCGAAAGACGAAGAAGAAGATGAACAGAGTCATCAAGGTGTAGTTGAACTGTTCAGCTGGGGTGATCAGCACCGTGGTAATCGGAGCCCCGTTCGTCATGTTGACATTGGAGAGCGGGTCGAGGTGGAGGGGTGGAGTTGGCAGCACCTGGCTGGCCATGGTTGGTGCGAGTTGTGTCAAGAAGGAAGAGATGCTTCCCACAAGACTGTCGATCATTTGGGTATGCTTGTTGGTATCGAGGGAAAGCATCTGTTGGGTCTGGTCTGAAGGATCAACAAGTGCTGAGAGAAGCGACGTGCTTCTTGTATCTCGAAGTTCTGGACTGAGGGCGGCCGCGAGCGAGAAAGAGCTTATGGCCCTTCGATGTGCTGTAAGCCTTGCACAAGGACGGTTCAAGCGAGCGCGACGAACGCCGCGAGAAGAGTCTTGTGCGCTCGAACAAGCGGGTTGTCGACTCGATGCCGCCGATGAACAGCGGCGACAATGCTTTTGAAAGCGTGTAAGGCGCCTCGTTGGCTTGGGTGAAAGAATGGACTTGAAGTCGAATCTGTTGTCGACTCTCAACGGCGGATGTCGCGCGAGGCGGACAAAGAGAGAGGCTGCTTTGGGTAGCTGCGAGGGCGACTTTGTTGTTGGAGGTTGTGATCAAAGGACAGTTGTTGCAGACAATGTCCTTGTTGCGGATGTCACAGCGAATGGAGACTGGTGGGAGCGAGCGAAGAAAATGTCCTTTTTGTTTGCTCTGTGGGTCCAGAAGCTGAAGTGAATGACTGGGGTCAGCAGCTGATTGTGCACAAGTGTTGTTAGAACAGCAGCAGTGAAGACGGGCTCAATGCATGTGAAAGTGTCCGCAGAGGATGGAGGGCCAAAGAGGAAATGCCATTGAAGCCTAATGTTGCGCAACGATCGCGGTTGCCCATTGAACGCATTGCGGCGGGCAGGAGCGCAGGTGCGACGGCATCCACCACCCGTCGCTCGCAACTACCACTTTACCAACGCGCCAGAAGCCCATTAACTACATGGATAACAGCTCCCCGTTGCAATGCTTTGAGTTCGGAGCGAGCCAACTGAGGTCGCATGTTCCTCAGCCGGGAGAACTGAAGCTGGGAGGTGCTTTCAACCACACTGACCTGCACCACGCGCATCAGTGGAAGCTTCCGCTACTCCACTCAGCATTCTCGCACAGCAATCTGCCCTCGATCGAACAACGGCGCGGAGCGTGAATCAGAGCGGCACAGTCGGGCCCACAGCCAACTCTAGTACGGCACGCAATTGTCAGGAGAGAAGAAATGGACATTATCCCCAGCCATCTTGTTGAGGCTCGCTGCAAGAACATCTTTTTTGGAGGTGCATATTCTCGAGCACAACGGCATCGCGAATCCTGCGCGCGTGCGGTGCCTTTAGGAAACAACGGCTACCTTGGATTCCATACTTGACATTGAGGATATCACATACTGTGAAGCTTTCGTATCCATTCTGATCTGGTGTCAAACTAGTTGTCTCAACATCCTTCCGTCTATGACATCTATCGTACAACATGTGCTCCTGAGACCGAATCCTCATATTCCGCTTAAGCTGGCGTTGGAGCTGCACGCACGACTCTGGTGCGCGTGATAAAAGCGGTTGGCTCTGCGCGCTTGCGGCGAACAGATGTGGTCGTCCGCCTAGAAGTTGTCGTGGAGCGACGGCTCTATTCCGGAGTCAGCATGTGCTCAAGCACAGGCACGGGCAAAACTTACAGTCGTTGTTGTGCGAACGGACGTCGTGGTCACGCGCGGCGTAGTGGTTGTAGTGCGTGCAGCAGTGGTCGTCGTACGAGTCGTGGTCGTGGTTGGGCATGTTACCACAGCTGGTCGACCGGCTGCCTGGCCATTGAGGATGTCCTTTGCCCATCTGAGCTGATCCTTGTTGCAGACCGGGTTCGTGACGGCGAAGGTACTTTCCCAGAGCACTGTTGAATTAATCCCTAGTTAGTGAATGCTTTGAGGATGCCTTCCAGTAGTAGACTTACTCAGGCCCGCGAAACGGCTATTGCTGTAGAACCTTGCCACGGTACGCTGCACTTCCGCAGGAGTCAAATAGTACGAGTCGCCTGCGGCAGCCTTGGGTGCTGCGGGTAGACCGATATAGTACTTGATGTCCTTGTTCCAGGACTCGGCTTGCGTCCAGTTCGTGAATGTGATATCCAAGTTCTTGTTCGAGCCATTCTGGTTGTTGATGCCAGCGCGGGCGCTGCATTGAGGAGTGTTGTAACTGTAAGCCAGTGTGTCAGTGAAAGCAAAGGCTACAATGATCAGCCCTCCAGCTTTTTCGCTTACAATTGAATCCACAAGAAGTCAAACCAGGCACGTCTAACGACCGAGGTGAAGTGCGCATCCGGCAGAACGCATTGTGGTGCACCAGAGATATAGTAGCTCTTCGAGGTATCTTGCGGATAGAGGATGTTCTTCAGGCGGTTGATGCAAGCAGTGTAACCAGCAGTCAGGCGGTTGGCTGGGGAAACCACGCTCTCAATGTCAAAGTCGAAGCCGTCGACGACTGCATTGCCCCATGGTCTTGGGCCAGTCCAGCTTGAGTTCACCGGACCCCAGGCACCCCAGATGAAGTCGGCAAAGGCTCGGGCGTTAGCATCGCTGCTGAAGAAGTAGTCCGCAGGATAGCCGCCGCCGATGGACAAGAAGATCTTCTTTCCGTAGGTCTTCTGGCATTCGATCACGTCTGGACCAATGAATGGGCAGGTCTTGTGTCTTGTTAGCTCTCCAGATTCTCTCGTCCCACTCTCATATCCGCCGACACACCTTAAGCAGGGTAGTATCCTGGCCAGTCGAGTTCTGGTAGACATCTCCCCAGCACGCGTTGCCAAAGTTGGTCTCCGGATATCCAGTGCCTGTTTGATCTGGGAATCTAGTGACGAATCCAATGTTGATCACATCGACGGCTATTGCCCCAGGTCAGGACTTTGTCCAAGTTCTCTGCGCCAGCCTTCTCACCTGAGTTCTTGCAAGTCTCCACCAGTCTCGCTTGATTTGGTCCTTGACCCCAATAGGTCACAACATTGGTTTTGCCAGTTGGGTTGAATTGCGCAGAAGCAGAAGAAATGATAGTAGCCGCAAGGGCGGAAGTGAGAAAGAACGAAGGCATGCTGGGAATGAGTGGATAGAGCTGATGCTCTGAAAATGAATGGACGCGACGAGCCAACGGGCTAGAAGCCAAAGAACGCAGTGCAAGAAGGTTGATCGCAGAAACTCGAAAGAGAGAGGTGGCGACGCACGCCCGTGCGGCCAGTAGGTATGTACTTACGACAGACTGCTTCCCGCGTGCCTACTGCCCAGCACGGAGCTGGATCCTTCATCCACAGCGCTCATTTCCACATGCCACCTTCGGTTCGCCGTTACCGAAACTGTCGTAGACGGTTAGGGAGCGTCCGTTGACACTCCGTTCTGTGAAGAGTTTCGAAGGATGGAGATGGCGTCCACAAGGCAGTAGCGGACCATCCAGAACGCGTGCTCATGGCAGCCATGCTGAATCCAGCACATGCACGCCGCGCTTCTGCAGGTCAAGACGTCTGTTCCCGCCTCTAGACCCCGATCTGAGCATCGCCTCGATTTTGTGGCGTTCTGTTCCAACCGTCCGATTCCTAAAAGGGGAGGATCCTTATAGGCGCGTAGACAGGATTCTCTCATTTCAAAGTTCTGAGCGGATTCAATCTCTTCGAAAACCATCTGAGGTAAAGTCGGGTGGCAGATGTATTATCACCGTGTCTATGCGGTATTTTTGAGTTGTGCAACGAGGGCGATGAAGTGCGGTGGACGAGTGCGACATGAAAGTCAAGCTTGAGGCTAAAATTGCAGGGGTCCGCCCTCCTGCTTATTTAGCCTCGGCCTTTCCTGGACGTTGCTACAGAGAGCTGACAAGACTTTCCATTCCTCTGCACTTGCAATATAATTACACCAACTCCGCCATTCAACGTGTCAGAATCATGCGATATGTGCTCAGCACAGCAGACTATCCTGCCTTCTAGTCCTCCCCCTCAGAGCGCGTCGCCAATGCCACGATCGAGAACTCCAGATTGCCCTCCGCCAGATCCACGTACTTCTTCACGCCCAGTTCGATTGCTCGCTCGCTGAGCATATCCTCCGACTCCTTGAGCTCACCACGATCGATCGGATTCCAGCCACCCTCGAGCTGCGCAAGAGTGAGTACAAGCTAAGGATTTGGATTATATGCCGAAGCAGCTGCGTACCTCGTAAAGATGACCATCCTTTCCCTTGGTGAAAGTGATGAAATGGTGGCCAAGAGGCTCTGCAGCGAGGGGAGCTCTCGAATCTCCTTGGACAGCTGAAGCCATGTGCGCCTCCTCAAGCTCTCTGGAGTTGTAGAGTACGTTGGCACGATCGACACGCTTGAGAGGGACTGCCTCCTTCAGCAGCCTGTCAATGAGCGAGTCTTTCGTGATGAAACCCTTGGACGAGCCATTGCCGACAGCGTGAATGAGGGAATACAGCCCGCACGCGTTGCCTGTAGGGACCTGCGATCAGCACGCTGTAGGTAGTGGGTACGCGAGGTGTTTACCAATGGTCTGCCTGAACCACATCACGGGCTCGTCTTCGCCAGAAGCGTCATACGTGAGGGTCCTCGTTTGACCATCGTAGCCATCGTGAACCTTTCTGACGCTCCAATAGACATTGCCCGGGGATATGAAGATCAGTGCGTGGACGGGTCTAGGCACCATGCTCAGCAGACCTGGGTCGTCGATGCTGTAGACATCGTAGAACCCGATATCAGAAGAAACACCCAATCTCTTGATCAAGTCGGTGAAGACTTCCGGGTTGTTCTCGAGTGGAACAAAGGTCTTCTTGCCTTCAGCGTTGATGAAGACGCCGGGAGTGGTCGGGGTCGCCATGTTTGCAAGGTATTTGAGCGAGAAATGGGGCTGTCAAGATGGATGTTTGTGATTGTAGCAGTTGCGTTTGTGCACACGCGTTCCGCGGCTGCCTTGATTGTGACCGATTTGGCCATACCTGCACATGCACGCCCTACTGGCAACCAGGAACCTTAGCACCACTTCACTTCCATAACACTCTGCGCGTGCTAGTCTCGGTACTAGCGGCATTGCTTCAAAATTCGTGCATAGCGATCTTACAATCGTTTCTAGCCATGGCACTACCGTCCACTTTAGTGCACATCAGTAAGCCGAGGTCTTGGACCCCACCCTCTCGTGTCCCGCGACTCACTACAAATGTACCCTTGTTTCTGAAGCTCATAGACCTGAATATCAATATCGAACTACTGGCAAAATGGCATCACCAGTGTATACGCTTACAGAGGCAACCGCCAAACCACCACAAAACAGCACAATTCTCATCACAGGCGCCGCAAGGTACGCGTTCCCGAGATCTTGCCGAAACCCCAGCTGATATACGATGCAGTGGCATTGGGCTTGCAACAGCCGTCTATCTTCATAAACCAGAATACAAGAACAACATCATCGCACTCGACAAATCTCCTAAGCCACCTGCAATCTCAGAACTCACAAGCTCTTCCCGCTTTCTGTACATTTCTTGCGACGTTCTTTCCTGGACTTCCCAACGCGACGCCTTCGCATCCGGAGCCAAGAAATTCGGCGGCATCGACCATGTGTTCGTCAATGCTGGTGTTGCTGAGTACGGCGAGCAAATCTGGACTGATCACTATGACGAAAAGGGCGAGCTAGCAGAACCGAATCGGATATGTATCGATGTTGATATCCGTGCTGTGGGCGATACGCTCAAATTGGCAATGTACCACCTCCGCAACGATTCAGAACCTGGAAAGCAAAAAGGCTCTGGTAATGGGCGAGGAGGGACGATTGTGATGACGGCCTCATTGGCTGGGTACCTTGCTTCTGCGGGAGCACCGCTATACTCGGCTGCCAAGCATGGAGTGGTCGGTTATTTGCGCGCTTTGAAGGGAGACTGTGCCAAAACCGGTATTGCGATCTCTGTGATAGCCCCAGGCATAACTACAACCCCTATCCTAAGCGGCGTAAAACCTGGTCAGACTTTGGAAGATTGGAGCGAGAAGATGTCTGCCCGTGGAGTGCCGATCAACACACCGCATTCGATCGGGCTGACCGTAGCCAACCTGATGGGCCAAGGGCAGAAGAGCAATGGGCAAGGTGTTTTGATCCAAGGGAACAAGATGCAGGAGCTAGAAGGTGGTATTGCGAAGAACAGAGTCATATGGATGGGCAAGGAGATGTTGGAGCTCTTCCGAGGAGGCAGAAATGCGCCGCTGTTCCCTAACAAGCTGTAGGTCCTGTCTAGCTCATGATCATATCTGAGACACCTTCTTCCTGTCCGGAATCGTACGAGTCGACGGCGTGGGTTTGTCTCGGGTCGTTCCACCATATCAAATTGTCGTCATGGTGCCAATGCACGCCGGAGTGTCGCTCGGTGTCACCGCAAGAGCAACGCCTGTATATCAAGAAGTTGATAGCACGACTGAGCCATAAATGCAGGAACTCTGTCCAGCCCGGTGGTGTTGGCACTGTCGCCGCCTGTGGCAGATTGCAGTCCTTCCTCAGTCCATCCAGACACACCTTTTCCAAGCCCGCTTTTAGCGTTCCAGGCACAATCGCAATCATGTCCTCCTGCTTCGCCAGCCAAGCGCAAATGATCTCCAGAGCTGTGAAAGTCTCTTCGCAATGAGCATGCTGCATGATGGTCGGAACAATAACCTCTGAAAGTTCAAAGCTTCGAGATGTGGCAATCAGGATCCCGAGTAGCGCTCGTGTGCTCACAGTTGCGGCCTCGAACTGCTCGACTTCTCCGTCGAGGCTCTCCCAAGCAGCCTGGTCGTCTGAGCAAGAATGGTGATCAGTTTGAATTGCAGGTCAGAAGTAAGAAACCAGAATCAGCTCACCACAATCTGCACACCGCAAGCGTGTTCGACAGTCATCCTGCAGAGTCTGTAATTCGTCCGCAGTGGTACGAACAGAATGACCACATGCCAGATTGAGCACATATCCACTTTCATCGTCCTGATGCACGTGGATCTCACGGTCTCTCATCATCAATCGAATACTGGCAGTGTCTTTCCTCCCAGAGCCCCATCGATGTCGCCATCGATTCGCATCGTGTGTGTACAACCGAACATCTTGAGCCAGCATACTGATCTCCGCTGCAATATATGATTGTGCGCTAGCTCGATAAATGATGTCTCCAAGAAGCTCAATCCAAGGTCGCCGAGCAGATAGCAGAACTGCGAATTCTTCTTCGTCGAATCCCTCGTCGTAACAGTTTTGTTTGCCATTAAGATTGCATTGCAGGCGCACCACATATTGCAGTTTCCCGTTTTGTGAGTACGTCGCAATGGAAAGAGTCGAGTGGCCTTCGTATGCTGTTAAAGCGTCTAATACCGCGAGGAATGCGGCAGCACGGTCGCTGGTTCCCGCAGCCGAGAGATCATCTTGTACTGCATTTGGATCCATCGCAAGGCAATACTGTGAAGGGAATTGGTTCAGGTGGTGCTTCGACGTATCTGGTTGGGTTCGGAAGTCGATATTTGCAGGCTCTGGGAGAAGGGCTTGGCTGGCGGCATCTTGGAGGAGGTCGAGAGCTGGAAAGTCATATGTTATTTCGTGATGCGGATGTCGTCTCGGATATGTTGCGAATGGCTGTGTATGGTCGCCGTCTGTTGCAGCGCCATTGAAGGACTGCTGTGCTGAGAGTCCAAGGCTTCCAAAGCCGCGAATCAGGTCATCCGTGTTCACCATTGCTCTGCTAAAAGATTCTGCGATCTGTAAGTGTGGTGAGTGTGTTGTTTGTTGGTCATTCAGACGTCGCAAACACAAGAAGCGCGTCGTCTAAAATGATGCTTGTACACATCGAGGGTCAGACATTGCCCCAGACAGCCTCACGGCTGGCGTTATTCTGCAACAAATCAGCAATCCGCTCGTTTGCTGCCTAGCAAGCTTGATGTCGTGAATATTGCAAGGTCTTTGTTGCCCGTCGCGACAGTCTTGCAAGGCGGTGTCAACAGGAACCTGCAGGGATCCATCGTCGACGCGAGGATCAGCCAGCATATCCTTGTAGCGATCACTACTGTAGGATATGGTACAACAGTCAAGGGAGGAAAGACATGCTACCAAAAGGTCAAGCGTGTCACGTTATCCTACCAAAGAGCCCGTCCAGTGCCGCATGCTCTTGCGCCGATGCTGTTCGCAGACAGGGCGGCACTGCCATTTTCTCTCAAGCATCAGGGACATGAGACCAGAGACTCGTTGCAGAAGAGTAGTTGCTGCTCTTTGTTCGCCATCAGCTTCAAAGAGACGCTGCACGGTAGCCCTGGCCCTGAACGTATTGCCGCTCTCGTCCATCCCCGCCTATGGTGTTTCTTTGTTTGTCGCTGGCCAGCAACTTGTCCCGTCCCTACCATAGTTGCCGCACAGCCTGAGCTGCCAGACACAGCCTTCCCCGAGTCTCCAGATCCTGCATGCCAGTGTTTCCGCCTCGAGCTTTGAAAACTATGGTCGACCGCCATCCCTTCGTTGTGAAGGCGGAATCTCATCGTTGGTCACTCTACTGTAATTGTTGACAGGAAGTCGATCGTTGCGCGTGGCGTTGCCTTCGAAAGCGAATAGGCCGTGAAATCGCGTTGGCATTGAGAGAAGGAGTGATGGTCAAAAGCGTCGATACTGAGGATGAAGCGATCGGAGTCGGTGTCAGTCGTTGGGTTTCTGATGTCCGCCCGCATGGGCTCGAAGGAGAGGCACGCATGTTGCTGAAGGCATCGTCAGCATGGCGCATACTGGTTGTTCCTCTTGGAAGGATACCAGACAAGGCGTGCTGTCCAATGAGTGCGCCAACGGTTCACTCGCTCATTGTATAATGCTACACGCTTGGTCAGATCGATGAAGTGAAAGCTGCACGTCAGTTGAGGAGAAGGCCGCATCGCGGGCTGACCCTGAGCTCTTCTGTTTGTGTCCAGGTGAAGTCAGCAGCCGCACAGTCAATTTCTCGCTCCCCTCGACTTGCTCAACACATCCATTGCCACCTTTCGCTGCGCAAATCACCTCCAGCATCGATTGTTCACCCTCATCAGGCACGTCTTATCTTCTTATTGCAGTTCCTTACCGTCTACTTGGTTCCCGCACGCTCGACATATTGCGCTTCCCCCGCAGAAGCACCCTACAGCTCTCGCACCGCCCTGCCACGACCGCAAAGTTCTCAGTATGTCGCCATCAGAGATACTTCAAGTGTCTGAGGGAGGTCCAGCGCATCAGTCAGGAGAACGCATTGGAGCAACGCACCAGTCAGGAGAACGCGTTGGAGCAGCAGACCAGTCGGAAGAATGCATTGGAGCACCACATCAGCCTGAAACGGAGATCAAGGCGAGCAACGAGCACGACCTACACAACGGAAAGGTTTCACATCAGCAAGCGCGGCCAGTCGAGGAGGCAGATACAGACCCAGCCATCGATCACTTCTCAGAACTTCCAGCGGAGCTCATATGGGCGGTCGCCAGCCATCTCAATCTTTCAGACAAAATCCAGCTTCGCGCTGTCCTCAGTAAGGACCATCAGACTTTCGTCGATGACATCCTGAAGAGCGATATGAAACGCGTCTACGTCTCGCCAACAACACGCTCACTCCGCACGTTCAGAAAAATTTGCAAGAGCGCGTACTTCCAGCAGTTCATCCAGGAGGTCTTCTTCGTTGCCCAGGCATGGGGAGATGTTGACAATAGAATTGACTTGGACGCTGTCAAGACAGGCTGCGACGCTTTGCGGAAAGAGGACGCCAGTGTTGAGAGAAACATAGATTTCTACTCGCGGCACGAAGGTCCAGTGGAGCCAGAGATAGTAACAACTATTGAGGAGCTTCGACCGCAGGTGTACATCGGAGGACCTCATGACATGCAGTGGATTGACCCGGAAACACATCAGCAAGCTGTGGAAGAGCTGCGTCAGGGGATGTCGCGCTTGACGAGGTTGGAAAGTGTCGTGATGGGACAGGAGATATCGGGACCTGGACTGAACGACTGCTGGCTCTCTCACGGAAGACAATGGTTCAAATCTCACTGGCATCGCCGACCAATTTTCAGCGACAAAAACTCGCAGCTGTTCTACGACTGCTTCGCACAGAGAATTTGCTCATCCACTATAGAAGGCACATCGGCATTTCTTGAAGCTGTGGCGGGCCTGGACAAAAAGCCATCGTCGATTGGTATTGGCACATCTGAGCATAATGATTCTTTGCCATTCTTCTTGCATCCGAAGCTCGAGGCACCAGTGGAGGCTCTAGATGTGATCGGTCCAAATCTGGTTCGTCTCAGTCTCCACATCTCTACGGATACGCTCAATGAAGATGACGGGACAGGCTTCCATATCTGGCAAACCCGTGAGTATTCAACGATATGAAGACCGTAGACAGAGGCTGACCAAATATTCATAGTGAGCGAGAGGGCCAAAAACCTTGAAGTGCTCAGCATCTCGAACATTTTCTGGCCGCTCAAAGAAAGCTATGCCCATCAAAGTGGCGATGCGTGCAAGCGTGCAGTCGACATCATCCTGGAGCACGGCAATTTCCCCAAGCTGCGCGAGCTCACCCTGACGGGCAAGGTGGGCCCGCTGTCCGATTTCCTCGACGCCGAAAAGCTCCTGCCGTTTCTCCGGAGACACCGGAGCACACTGCAAAGCGTGTCTCTGGACCGCCTCTGCTTGCTGGCGCGATCAAAGCTGCCAGAGATCGCGCCCGTGATGGAGTCCTCGCTGCGGACGATCAGAGCAGAGATGGGACAACAGCTGGTGAAATTCCAGCTCAATATCGTTAGCCGAACCCACAATGGCAAGGGAAGGTGTCTGGGGTCGGAAATCGGTGAGGACGGCGTACGGCAGTGTCATCGGACCTGCCAGGAGTACGATTTCGAGTGCTTCTGGGTGGATCGTGCCGTGTTCGAGGCACTGGCAGGTCAGATGGGCGCCGTCCTCACCGAAGATGGGGATGGAGAAGAGGTTTGGCAATTCGGTGAGTACGTTTTGCGGCGTTAGTGTCTCACTTCCGATAGACACGAATTTGCAAATTGTTAGGTTTGTCTCTATTTTCCTGTTGGGTACGCTGCCGTCCCGTGTCAATCGTCTGAGCTTGCAGCCAGGATCGGATGGCAGAGTGATTCAGGTGCTGCCATGCTGACTCCACAAGCTTGATCGATGCTGAGCCATCGCGAATGCCTTTCCAGGACATCTTGAATCGCAGTCGGAGCAGAAATTGGATCGCGATATCGAGTGTCTCCGTTACCGGTCCGTTCTGGAAGGCAGCAGGTGCGGAAATGGGCCAGATTGCAGAGCTGCTGTTTCACGGAGAGGTCGGTTGGCGTCACTCCGTCAATGAACAATAGCTCCATGCCATCGCTAGTCCAAATCGTCGGATTCGCGCTTGATCAAATTTCCTGAGAAAGCTGACTGCGTCTCGTGTCTCTGATTTCAGTTCGGTCAAAATCAGTCGGTCGATCTATAGCAGGTCGCGCCGTCTCAGCTTGGCTCCCAGAGACAGCTTCGTGTCGAATGTGAATGGTTGACACTACGGTGTTCCGGGTGCTCTCACTCAACTCCTCTTTCTGAACTTCTACCAGAAAATTACCTCTTTCTCCGGAACAGTAGACGGTTCCCAGCTCCTGAACTTGGTCCGGCCAGGATCCTGCAATGCACACTCGTCCGAGAGACAACTAGTACCCGTCCTCGGTCGCAAGGAATCAACTCATTTCTCCGGTATAACAGACGGTTCTCAGCTTCTCAAACTGGACCCGGCCAAGATCTTGGATTGCACATCCATCCGAGAGACGACTGGTCCTAGCTGAAAATAGCAAGAAAGCACCCTTTTCCTAAAACGATAGCCGGCTCCCAGCTCCTCAACATGGCCCTGGCCTGGATCTTGCAGCGGATGCTCGACCGAGAACGTCGATGATACCAGAAAAGCACCTCTTTCTCCGAAGAAGCAGGGTGTTCTATGCCGCTCAGCATGAAGATTTTGCACCAGATCGCTCAAGCAAATTTCAGAGAGATAGACTTCCTCGTGACAATTTTGTTGCCATCTCTGCAAGGACAGATGTTTGTCTGCTCCTGAGCTGAGCAAAGCTGCGCGAACTCATTATGGCAAGCTCTCAGAGATATCGGAATCTAGCGGCATTTCCGTTGTTCTCTCTGTGCAAACACATCTTTGTCTGCTGTCCAGCTTGACTAAGCTGCACAGATGTGCTGTATCAGCCTGTCGGAGGTAATCCAAGCATCGTGAAGTTGCATCGCCGCACTTCAGCGAAAAGATGAGTCCAGAGTCATTTGGAAAGCGTTGCTTGATTTGTGTATACTAAAGTTCTGCGGATATGAACCTCTCTGCTCGCAGTGATCCGGGTTCGGGTCGAAGATAGGCTCTCTCTGAATTTCTGGTGTCGTCCACGCATCCTTTTGCCACGACTGTCCTGGGAGGCGTCCGTCCGACAGCCAGAGTTTGCGGGGAGATCATCTCGACCAACAAGCAAACATAACATTTTGTATCTTCCCAGCGGGCAATTCACGAAGAATCGTGCAGTCCACGACCTGTTATGAAACGGAGGAAGATGCAAGTGCAGTGTGCACTGCAAAGAAAGGAGCAAGCAAGAGCCAAGACGGGCCGACTCCCGCAACTCCCAAACCTTCCTCCATTCAGAACACCAAACGCTCGCCCAAATCCTGCCGTGGAGCCGACCGCGAACAAGCAATGCCTGGCCCTCCGCGTACCACAAGAATCCTTCCATGCACGAACACACAACGTGACACAGCATGTACACGACATGTCGTCCAACCGCTCGGCAGACCGCCCGCGTGGCCATCTTCACTTCTCCGCACTAGTGCCTTCCCACACGGGCTAGAAGGCACTGATCATCGCCACACTAAGTGGGACGATTGGTGGAAGAAGACGCTTGCCCCCAAGCTCCCTGCATGGCCTTTGACGTACATCATTACAGCGAGAGTGCCGTGAGGCTAAACTCGTGAGAGGGGAGGCACAGTTGTACGGATGATATATACGATCCATGCGCGTCCATGATGGAGTCTGAGCTGCAGTCGAGTAGTCCTGCGGCGGACGAAAGCAGAGAGCAAAGAAGCCGTTTGCGAAGGCTGATCGACAAGATGGCTTTCAAGACGAATCTTTACAATGTGCTTCTGGCTATGTTTGCCGCGACTGGGTATGGTTACACTGAGGTGTACTGACATGCTGTACACAGAGAGACTGACAATAGCCAGGTCGTTTCTGTTCGGTTACGACAGCGGTGTTATGACCGATGTCATTGCCTCGCCACACTTCCTGAACTACTTCAATACCGTAAAGACTAGTCCCATCATTGGCGCCATCAACAGTACCTTCTCCGGTGGAGCAGTCTTCGGCGCGCTGATGGGAGGCCTTACCATGGACCGCTACGGAAGAAAGAAGACTGTACAAATCGGAGCTCTGATCGCAGCTGTCGGCGCTATCTTGCAATGTGCAGCAGTCAACCTGGCCATGATCTTGATCGGTCGAATCATCGCAGGCTGGGCTGTTGGGCTGATGTCTATGTCGATTCCTGTCTATCAAGCTGAATGCGCTCACCCCAAAATGCGTGGTCTGATCGTCGGTCTCACACAACAGATGATCGGAATTGGTTTCATCGTGTCGACTTGGATCGGCTATGGATGCCACCACGCACCAGATGACAACTCTGTTCAGTGGCGTTTCCCGCTAGCCTTCCAAATCCTGCCTGCACTCATGCTGCTAGTTGGTTTCGTCTGGCTGCCTGAGAGCCCTCGCTGGCTCATCGAGAATGACCGATCAGAGGATGGATTCAAGATTCTGAAACGACTCCATTACGACGGGACAAACAACGACTGGCTGCAGCAAGAATACAATGAAATCGTTGCGACCATTTCTGCGGAGAAGGCTATTACTGTCCCTGGATGGCGCATTATGTTCACGGTCCCGCAGTGGCGAACAAGACTGATTCACGGTACTCTTGTTCAGGTCTTTACTCAATTCTCCGGTAAGTGCACAAGATGAGGGCGCCAACTTTATCGCACCTTTGCTGACTATCCTTCCAGGAATCAACGCAATCGGCTACTACCAGACCATCATGTACGAATCCCTCGGCATCACCGGCTCCCGCGCTATCCTCGTCGCAGGAATCTACAACTGCGTCGGTCCCATCGCCAATGCCATTTTCATCTTCTTCATCCTCGATCGTGTGGGACGTAAGCGACCGCTCATCATGGGTGCCATCGGAATCACCCTCGCACTGATCTGCGAAGCTGTGATCAATTCTCAGAACCCCAACGGCGACAGACACGGCCTATCCATCGCTGGTGTTTTCTTCCTCTTCCTCGTCTCTGTCATCTTCAGTTGCTCATTTGGACCGATCTCTTGGGTCTACATGTCTGAGATCATGCCCATGCAAATTCGTGGACGAGGAAATGCTTTTGCGACTGGAATTGGGAATTGGCTGTGCGCGACATTCATCTCGCAAATCTCGCCGACGGCTTTGGGAGAGATTGGTTGGAAGTACTATTTTATCTTTGTCGCGTTCAATATTGTGATCACGATCCCGGTGATTTGGATCTTCTTCAAGGAGACCAATGGGCTGAGTTTGGAGGGGATCGATCTGCTATTTGGTGAGGGAAGGGCGATGGGTACATTGCCAACCGTCATTGGCGAGGAGGATATGAAGGACGCTGTTAGACGAGCGAGCGTTGCCGCGGGCGGTGAGAAGGGCGGAATGCAATTCGACGAGGGTGAGAGGGATGAAAGGGAGAGTGGTGAGGAAAGAGTGCGAACTGGAAAGTGAACAGTAGCGGCGAGTAACAGCAGCTGCATTGTGATGAATGATGAATGGGAAGTGCTACGACTGATACAACGCAACGCGCAACATACTATGACCAACCGTCAATATCAAACTCAAATCTCACATCTCCTTTCCCTTCCGGTATGGGCGTTCCATGCTGGTCATACAATGTTCTTTCCACGTACGTGACTTTGCCCTGCTTGTTGACCAGAATCACAGTCTGCTTCGAAGTCCCATACGACGTCTCCGCAACACTTCCGCTCGCAGTCTGTGCCGTAGAGCTCTCCGGTTCCGGTTCTGGAGGTTTCGCCGTCCCCGCGCTCGCTTTCAAACTCGTCGAAGCAGGAATGTACCCCGCCATTTGCTTCGCCAGCTCACCTTTCGCCGGCGGAATCATGATTGAATCACGCATATGTCGGACATACTCATCCCAATTTTCCGTTTCCTTTCGATTGGGTAATGTGTCGACGCAGAGGATATCGAAAAGACCTTCGATGAACTTCGCTTCGTCACCGCCGCGAAGAACGTCCATTTTGATGGTTTGTTGGAGACGGAGTTCGCCGTGGACGACTTTGGGCCAAGTCACGTCGCCGAAGTGGCTGTTGCTCAAGCCATGGGTTTCGCCAATGTGGGTTGCGATGCATTTGAGTGAGGAGGCTGTTTCTGTGCGATTGCTGATCACGGCGAGGCCTGAGGCGGCGGAGCCGCAGAGAGAGGGGCTTGCTGGGTTCTTCTTGGGGGTTGTTCTTGAAGGGGAAGAGGGATTGGTATTGGGGGACTGATGATCGCGCAACATGTTCAGTCTTGATACGGCAGGAGATTCAGCACGCAGAGTACCTACTTCGCTTTCGGGACTTGTTGTTTGATTTGGTCTTCGCAGTTTCCCGAATATCAAGGTGAAGCCGCCGACGTCGTGGATCCCGACATCGTTGAGCAATCGTCGGACGTATTCTTCGTCTGTCTCTGTGCTATCTGGATCGACGCAGAGATATGAGTTGGTTATCGCGCCTCGAGACTTGTCTTTGTTTACTTCGACGCCTTCTTCACGGAAGTTGGTCAGAATGGCAATACGGCCTTGTTTAGTAATGCCTAGCCATGTCCCCCGTTCCTTGCGCTGGGTATCTCGACCACCCAGGATATGTTCATAGGGCTCATCCCACCAGTCGGCCACCAGCGTAGGACGATTGATGTATTCGTCGCGGTTGCTGATGAGAACGAACGGGTACTCGGGATGGGAGGTGGAGAGGACCGATATACACATCTTGACTCGGGCTATCTGGGTCTTGGTAGTTGGGTCGTGTCAAGAAGGGTCGTCCCAGAATGTCCGATGACACTAGGTTCTGGCGATCTGGAGGATCGTGGTGTGGGAGGGGGGAGACCTAGCGCATCGCGGTGCTGGCCTTGCCATGCAGGTGCAATTGAGCACATACAGTAGTGATTCGGAGACGGACAGCTGCAAACTCGCAGCGACGGCGACTCCACCGACGACACAGCTCGCTCGCGCACCGTCGGTCGACTTGTTGGGCGCCGACAGAGTTTCCGTGCTGCCGGAGCACGGGCCGTTTGCCGGGACTTAGTCAGCCTGGCGGGGCTGTGGCCGGTGACGCTGGTCGCATGTCCGTTGCTCTGGCGGGAGCTGGAGGCAGAGCTGTACGACTGCGTCTCCATCGTCGTCCGTTTGGCAGCATCGCGGCCTCGTATAGTCGCTGCCTGGCCCTCGACCCTCCAGCTGGTCTGACCCACTACGAAAACTTGTCAACACGCTTAGAACCTACCTATATCAAGGTTGTTGTTCTTCTTTACGGCCCCTCGCTCGTTGCAACGCCCATCGCCTCATTCTCCACCACACGAACCGGCCGCCTATATCAGACCGACCTCCTTTTCTCGCCATGTTCGGCTTCATAGCCGACATCTTGACGTATGGCAATCGTCTCTACAATATTCTTCTTGTTCGCTAATGTTCCAGCACAGCTCCTTGTTCTCCATCGCCCTCCCCATCTTCTTCTCCTACAAAGCCCTGCGCACTTCCGACCCCGGCGTTCTCTCGCCATGGCTCATGTACTGGACGACGCTGAGCATCTTTCTCCTCGTTGAGAACCAATTCTACTTCATCCTCTACTGGGTTCCATTCTACAGCTGGCTCCGCTTGGGACTGCATCTCTACCTTGTCGCCCCTGGTCAGCAGGGTTGCGTCTGGATCTATCAAACCTACATCCACCCTTTCTTGGAAGAGCATGAGCGACAAATTGATCGCATGATCAGCGATGGACATGAAAAGGCACGATCGGCAGGTCTGGACGCAGTCAAGAGGGTCATAGAATATATCAGAGTGCAGTTTCTCGGACAAGAGCCCAAACGCCCAACACCGCCAGTCAGTCGCAATGTCAGCTACACCACACAGCTCTTCAACCGTTTTGCTTTGCCATCGGCACGAGCGGGTCCGTCAGGCTCGGGGACTTCAGAGCTTCTCGGCTTGCTAGGCAGCGCACTTCAACAAGCTTACGGAGACTCCACTTCTCAAGGCGGACAGGCTCGCGACCTCACTGCATCTGGCAACCTCATTCCAACACATCTGGCAGGTGCCGAGCGTGAAGATTATGTTAGAGAGCAACGCGAGCGACTTAGCACTCTGCTTCGTGCATTCGATGCTGAAGCCGATGGCATGCCTGGAGCGTGGGCATCGGGTTCGCGAACAGCATCTGGAGCGCCCCGCACTCCTACCGGACGCAAGCCATACCTCTCACCGGGAGATGATGCCATGCACCGATCTCGCTCAGAGTCTGAGTTCGAGGAAATTGGCTACGAAGCCATGCCAGACCCAGACCACTTCCGCGCGCGACCAGAAGGTGCGCCACACGATCGGCCAGCCAAGGGTACGCCAGGCTGGAGCAATTGGATCTGGGGCAACTATGGTGAGAAGGACAGCGTGCCTGCTCACGACAAACCAGAATGAGCATCTGGTGTTTTGCGGTTTGCATTAGCTGGGCAGGATTAGCGTCCTTGCCTCCAGAATTCATGACTTTACGATGGGAAAATGGGACTGGCGTTCACCAGAAGGTGCCCAAGACGCACGGATGTAACAGAATTGGGTTTGGAATTTCGTGCTGCGAGATGCGCACAGCTAGAGAGGCACTGCTTACGCTTGTGATATAGACATACCAGAGCATGCGGCTTGATGCAAGAGCTGCTCCTCCACCACGAGGTTCAGTAAGCGTATTTGCTCGTCCACGGCCATTGAGCTTGTCTGCACATTATTGGCCCCGATCGTTGTCCAAATTCTTGTGTCCGCCCTTTGTTTTGCACAATGACTTTGTTAGCGATTCACTTTCTGGGATACCAGCTTTCTTCCTCACCCGACAGATTTAAGGACCCTCCAGGACGCATTTTCCACCCGATAGACTCACACGGCAACATGAACTCAAATATCACAACGGCTCTACAACCAATCGCACGATCAACACCTTCCGCCGATACATCGGCACACCGAACACCCACAATGACGGATCAAGTACGGGTTGCCCAGAGGCGACGGACCATGAACAACGTTTTCACTGTCACAGTGGGTACAGGCGACGATGCCGAGGTCTTCTTGGTGCACGACTTTCTGCTGAAGCAAAGCTCGAAATTTTTCCAGACTGCACTAAAGGAAGAGTGGAGAGAGGGCCAGGAGAAGAAGGTCGACTTACCGGAAGACAAACCCGAAGCTTTCGGTGTCTATACCGAGTGGCTTTTGCAGGGCAAAATCACTTCTGGCACAGGCAAGCCAACAGAAGAGCTTACATCGTACGACGTTACCCTAGAGCATCTACTTCTGGCCGACCTTTACGTGGCTGGTCGACGAGTGCTGGGCACACGGCAGGAAGAATTGGTTTGAGCAGCCGCGCTCGGCCGAATATTGTGCTGAGTTTCTGCTTGAGCTGGTTAAGAGGAAGATGCGGCGCTAACACTGAGCAGACTTTACAGCCCGGTCAGCGACATGGTGAGGAGACCGCGAGTAGCAAACTGAAGCTGGGCGTAGCATGAACATGAGAGCACGAACACGGCACAGGTATTCGGCCGGCATAACAGCGAGGAAGGCCATTCGATCAGTGGGTGAGGTGAGCACACCTCGCGATATTGCAAGAACTTTGTCAAGGGATCCCTTTGTTTATGCAAGTTGTTGTCGCAGCAGCTGATCACAGCGCTCACTTCTGACAAGAGAATAGGCATTTCCATCCGCAGGAGTATCACATAGTGTACAGTACCTTCACAATGTAAAGACTGCGCATCGATGCAATGTAACCTATTGTAAGCTCAAATGTTCTCAATCTCTCATGTACCTTTTGATAGAAGCCTGTTCAAGGAGCACACCAGCTCACTTTTCTCACAGGACATTCACTCATTGCACGGGCCGTTCACTTCGGCTGCCCGGAATCTGCACGTGATCGTAGTTGCATGTGGACGTTCACTCGGCCAAGCGAACTTCACTCGCTGGATCTTTGAACTTGCATCCATCTTGCATACAAGTTTCGTATCATCCATCACCTCTACCGCATGATACACCTACATCGGAGTCTTTACAACACATACACAAGCCGCAAGTCATCTTCCACCCCCATCGGGACACATCATCAGCTTGAACCCACCTCGCGGCCAACAGCGCAGTACTCGAACTCTCCCATCGCAATTCGCTGCGGCGACCGACAGACAACAATCATGGGTGACGAAATGCGCGCCGCTAAGAAGCGCAGGTAAGTCTACGAGCTCTCCTATATCTGCCTATTGCTAAATAATGACACAGAATCATGAACAACATCATCACCATCACCGTCGGCGGAGATAATGGGGAGGAGTTTATGATCCATGACTTCCTCCTCAAGGAGAACTCCAAGTTCTTTGAGGCAGCTCTGGATCGTCAGTGGAAAGAAGGCCAAGAGAAGAAGATTGCTCTTCCTGACGATGACCCGGAAGTCTTTGCAGTCTATGCAGGCTGGCTCTTTACTGGCAAGATAGCCTCAAAGGATGAGAAGCCTCTAGACGAGTTCACTCGGGCTGACGTGGAGCACGAACATCCTCTTCAGGCTAAGCTCTATGTGCTTGGCGAAAAGCTGATTGACGACAAATTCTGCGACTGTGCCTTGAAAGCCTGGGCAGAGCTATGTAAGACGAAACTTGCAGATGGTTACTGCTACATGCCGTCTCCTCGTTCCGTGAGCACGGCGTATGCCGGTACGACAGATACGTCGCCGATTCGAAAATTTCTAGCCGACTACTTCTGCAGCCACGGAAAGAAGGAAGTTTTCTCCGACGCGAAAGAGAAGTATTTCCCACGCGAATTCCTCGTCGACCTTATCCGAGTCCAGTTTTCGATGCGTACTGCCTGCTCTACAGTATTACCCGAGAACGCCGTCGAGAGCTATTTCAAATGCAAGTGAGACATTACGCTTCTGGACATGATTGAAAGCTTGTCATGAAGAGCTCTGCCTACCAGCAGTCACAGGCCAGCGGCTAGTCAGCAGCAGATGGCATGTGGCTGGATACAGAGAGATTGGCGCGCATGAGAACAAGGATGGGTGCTCCTTGAAGCACTCAAGTGAAGGTCTGCAGATCATGCTGGCGAACGCAAGTTTGGCGTCGATGCAGCCCATTCGGCTTCGCAGGTCGCTGCATAATGACAGATCTGTAGGAATGAAATTGAAAGCTACCAGAATTCAGCCTACCGTGTAAATATGTACAGCTAAACTGTTAACCACAAGTGTTACATCTAATTTGTGGTGTCTGCGCCAAGCTCAACCACAAGTTCACTCAAAAAATCTCCATAGCGTGCACTAGCGCCAATCTAAAGTCGATGCCACCTCCCGCAAAGTATGGGTAGGAAAGCCGCTAGTGACTGGCACTGTCAGAAATCATACTTGCACACTGCACTCAGCTTTCCAAATCTCAAATCTCATAGTCTTTCGATTTCGACTGCCTCTCGGAGACAGTACTATTCGATCAGAATACCGTAGCGGAAGCCTCTCCGTTGCAAAGATCATGGCTGACGAACCACCAAGGAAGAAGCGCAGGTATCTGATATTTGATCTTAGGTTGGCAATTGAAATGCTCATTTTGTGTTATAGTGATGAGCGACATCGTCGCCCTCAATATCGGTGAGGACAACGACATGGATAATACTATTCGTGTTCACAAATCGTGCCTGGAAGATCGAGGCGGGTTCTTCACTGCCGCGCTCAAGAGAGGCTGGAAAGTAAGTATTGCCCCCTGCTTTTGACCTGGCATACAACCAGGCAATCAAGCCCACTACTAGCCCCACGATGGCATTCCATCACGGAGCTGACATCCTGAAGGAAGGCCAGGAGAACAATTTCCCCCTGCCCGAGGATGAAACCGACATCGTGGCTACATACGTGGAATGGCTCTCTGTCTCCTTCTCAGACCGGCATGCGTCGCGTTTGTCTCGTAAGTCGTGGCTGGGTATTCGACGTTCTGGGGTGACGACGCCTGTCGGAAAAGGTGTGCGGGGGTAGTAAGGAAGGAAGGTGGAAGGTCGAAGGTGGGTTGGCACGTACCTTCTCCGAAAGGCCTGAGAAGGAGGCAGATGGCTCTATAGCGGCAAAATCTTCACAATGCACCCAGATCCCAGCCACAAATCAATCGAATACGCCACTCAAGAGGAATATTGGCTCATCGCGAAGCTGTACCTCTTCGCAGAGAAGTATCTTGACGATGCTTTCGCCAACGCTATGATAGATACTTTCACTGAAGCTTTGGATTCGCCTAATCCTGACGCTGGCTTCTATTATGCACCTTCGGGACTGGTCATCGCTGCTGTTTATGCAAGGACTATGCCTACTTCTCCGCTTCGACGGCTCATGGCTCAGACGTATGTTAATGCGAATAAGAACGAGTGGTTGGATGAAGAGCAGAGGAAGGGCTTCGCGAAGTGTCTGGAGTTTTTGATGGATGTGTTGGCGGGTGATCCGGATGATTCGCTTGTTCAGGGGAGGTTGTATGAGAGGCGGGAGGAGTTTTATAGAGGGGTTCGCAAGGATGGGGAAAGTGCTAATGGGGATGAAAAGTGTGTTCAAGGCAAAAAGAAGGATGAGTTTTCTCCAGAGCAATGATGACATTCCTGCCACTTCGCTCGGCTTAGTACACAAGACCGTTGAGTCAAACTTGCCTGAGACACGCATGTCGGCTGGCGCTTTCGATGGAAGCAGAGCAGCAAGTGCAGCGTGTCACTTAAATAGCGACGACGTCTTGAACTTTTGTCTTTCCGCTGTAGCTTCATTTACCCTTTCCACTCTGATTAGTTTCAAAATTTACTCACTTCAGATTTCACCTCGCGCGTTTTCCCACTTCACTTTCGAACCTTGGCGTTTGCTCCACTGTATTCAACCTACTTCTCTTCCGAGAACAGAATCGGACGCCAGATTCATTCTGACTCCTTCAAGCTTGGAAACTTCAGCACACTGCCAACAACGCATATCGCCGCGATACATGGGCACAAATATGAGCGAGCCTCCCGCGAAGAAGGCCCGTCGGTCAGTGGTTCTGAACGAGCACAACCGCAATCAGCTTGACTGACGCTCGAGCAGATTCGGCAATGACACTGTCACCATTAAAGTAGGCACGGGCGACCATGTCGAAACCTTCACCATACACGAGGCACTCTTGAAGGAACGTGGCGGCTTCTTTGCGGCCGCCATGGACAAGCAATGGAAGGTGCGCCACACGTTGTCCTTCATCCTCAAGACCAACACTTGCAGCGAAGCAGGAAGTTGAACTACTGACGCAGTGAAGGAAGGACAAGAGCGCAAGATCGGCCTGCCAGAGGATGACCCCAACACCGTCGGCATATACATCGAATGGCTCTACACCAAACGACTCGGCGCATATACGGATAAAGATCACAAGCAGTGGAATAGCAAGGACGTTGAGGAGCAATACGACCAGCTCGTGCATTTGTACATCTTCGGCGAGAAAATTCAAGATGACGAAATCTGTAATCGTTGCATCGACAAGATCGTAGAACTCTCGGATCTCAAAGTCACCGATGCGGACGACGGCACTGTTGATGCCTACTGCCTCGATCGTAGCGCAGTGAAGACCATATTCCAGGGCACTCACACAGCTTCGCCTCTGAGACGACTCTGTGTGGACACCTACTTCTTGTACTCGAAAAAGTCTTGGTTCGACACCAGTGGCGAAGGACGACATGCCGAAAGGCACCTGCTCGAGTGCCAGGGATTCCTTCTCGAAGTTCTCCAAAAGTTTGCGACCAATCGCGAGAGTCCCCCGGCCACGGACGCCACGATCAAACCAGAGCAGTACTACAAGTGAAACCGCGAAGGGATGACGTGGAAGCCGCGATCAGGGACCGGAGCAGATGGCGGATGAGCTACAAATCAGGTTAATACAAAAAGATAGAATGCAGTGCTTCGAAGGTAGAGCCGTATAGTCGGAGGCCAAATATCTCAGGACGATATCTGGCTTGTACTCAATGACAAAAGTTTTTAACACCGTTGAAGTCGATAGTGCACAGGCTACATGAGGATCGCATCGGATGTATTGCATTACACATTAGTCCCTATGGATTTTATCGACAGCCATTGTACCTGTGCACTCACTACAGCTCAGCAAATACCCACGTCAGCCCAACCAAAGCCACCGCAGCAGCCATTAGGCTCGACTTCAGGCCATCTGCTGATCCGTCGCTTGGCGTTGTCGTTGCGTTCCCTGCTGACGATGTCGCGCTGCTGGGAACAGTTGTTGAAGCCGCCGTCGATGAGGCATTGGCAGTCGTCGTGATCAGTGGGCTTCCATCAGTCGTGATGACCCCAGTTGTACTTGTCATGGCAGCGGCGGTAGTAGCAGACGAAGCAGCACTTGTTACGCTCTCTGCCACAGAAGAGGATGACTCTGGGCTAGGAGTGGTCGAACCGCAGAGGTCCGCGATGAACCCAGTGACATCGTCCGCGGTGAGTGTCCCTGGGCAAGCTGCTACGACATTTGTAGTGATCGTGGGGATGATATCCTTCTGGGCGCAAATGCATGCGATGTCGGTCTGGTCGCAAGATGTGCCCGAGAGGGCAGTGAGGAGCGGTGGAAAGGCGCAAGGAGGGACTGCAGAGAGAGTCAGCGGCTACCTCGCCAAGTTCTTAAAAGTACTCACTGTCGTCCAAAGACTGCTGTGGCAAAGCGAATGCGAGTGCGGGAAGCAATGCAGCTACGTATCGCATAGCCATCTTGACGTAAAGAGCGTAAGTACCTTGCGATATTGATGATAAGCTCGCTGTCAGTATTCCTCTTCACAGTAAAGGCAACAGTGGCAGTGTGAGATGCAGAGAATCGGATCTTGGATCATATCATGAGCGCTGTCGTACTTAACCTTCCGATCTCGTATTGAGATCGCGGCGAACACTGCGTGCACACATTCCAGTAGCAAGTGACGCAAGAGATCTCTGGTAACAGAGATGCTGTCTTCACTGTCAAGCGCCGACGCCATACTGCTGGGTAGCACAACACATGTTTGCAGCGAGCGCTCGAGCACAGCAGTGATGGAACCAGCGGGAGTGCCCGTGGAATGGAGTCTTGGACGAAATGGGCCAGGAATGCGGCAAGGCCCTCTCCTAATCTTGTCTTGGCATCGCGCAGTGTTGGCCATTGTGACTTCGCTGTCTTTGTTCATCATGGACACCCGTTTGCGGGGGCGGGCAGACCTCACGTCGTCACTCTGAAGCCCGATACAGTGGCACGGCTAGCCCACACAAAGCTTTTGCCACAGTCGTGGATGGTTTGACGTACCATAGGCTGGCATACTGACGTCGTGAACCTTGATGCGTGCCCTCCATGTTCGCCGCTGAGGCGTGTATGCGCAGTGAAATCCCAGTGCTGGTGCTGATTTGTGTTGATTTGGGCATCGCCGGCGCTCAGTTCGCTCAAGCTTGAACCCGCTTCGTGCACAACCTACAACAACCTCGCAGAAGAGCAACGCACCCAGTACCTATGGCATACGAGCAGATCCCCCGGAAATCGGTCCCAGTCTCCAGCATGGTCTTCGAATTCAGCAATAACGTACCGGTTCGAGCACAGGCGCCAGTTGAGCAGACCCGACAAGGCGTTGACGAGTATCGTCGGATCATGCATGCCTACATGCAATCGCAGCTGAATCGCGGGACTATACCAGGATATCAGCGAATAATGCATGCCCACACTCTGGTGCAGCTCGAGTCGATGAAGACTGCCAGAAGCGAAGCCGGCAGTCCTGTGCTGGCACAGGCCGGTGCGGTCTTGCCTTCACCTATCAAGGCACATCGTAGCCAGACGACAATTGACAATGCTCCAATCCCACCCAACAACTCGCCAGCTCCGGGGTCACAAAGTGCCTTCAGAACACCAAATGGCATGCGCGCAAGACAAAGAAGCTTGACTGATCCTATACCGAGAGACTTTGCAGCACTGCGGGCTAGTGTCGCATGCGGGTGAAGGGCCTGGGCGTATTCGATGGGGCAGCGACAGGACAAGAGATGTGACGCGGCACAAATCTGGCATCTGCTTCATCAACCACAAGCTGGTATAGTGTGTCCATTCCTCAGTGTACCCTAGACGATCCGGTTCTGGTCAAGATCGGACCATGGCTCCTCGATGTATATAGCGACGGTAGCGCCATTCTTTTGCCTTCGGTGCCACTCGTTCCACCCCATGTCATCGAGTCGATACTAAGTATGCCATCCTCAAATCCTGTGCATTCATCTCCAGATCTCCAGATGCTCTGCTGTGTCTGTTGTTCATGGCCAAAGATGCAGAAGTGAAGATGTTCATCTTGCAGGTGTCGTCACAAGAAGATGCTTGTTCACTTGCCGCTCGGATGAGTCTCGGAATGACGTGCTTGGCGCAAAGCTAAGGCGTTATTTTCTCACTGTGCACTGCTGACCTGGCTGCCTCTTCCCAAGCTTCGTGGCGACGAAGCTTCGCCTCTTATTATGCACGCACACCCTGTCACAAATCTGACATCCGAGCTGTATACCACTCACTTGTACCCAGGACGCGATAGTGAACTCACGCATCCGTGGAGCACCTTACCAGCAGATCGGGTGCTCTTTCCCTCTCTCAGTCGACGTGTCGATGCACGAGATGGCAATCGTCGCTCGATGCGTACGAGGAGAGAAGGCCACTCCGGTGCTGTTGGAGAGGAGACACTGACGCACTTCTTACTTGTGGTTGGCAAGATCAGCACAAGCTGGCAGGACCGGGCGAGTGTACGCCTACCAACGCAGAATGTTGTTCCAATCGGGCAGGTGAGCATGATCCGGTCAGACTTGCACTTGCGGTGAAGTCGCAAGCTGTTTCCAACTGTGCTACTTTCCAACTCTCCCTCGACGTTCTTCTGGTTTGTTGTTGTACAGTTCATCAATCACGACCATCTCATCATTGTTTCTGGAAACAATTGCCATCAAGATCTTCATTAAACAGCACTCAGCATGGCACCTGTTATCTGGGGCCTCGATCACAAAGAAGTCCAATGGAGCAAATTCAAATGTTCCAACATGTGGAACAACGAGTACCACCATCGCCGGAGAAAGTTCATCGGATATCAGTGCGCTATGATCCTCTGCACAGTCTCAGAATCACTCGGAACAGCCGCCCTTTCAGGTATGATACCTCGCTCCTCCAACACATCTAGTAATCCCTAGCTAACGTATCTTTCAGACTACGTTAACAGCCAGAAACTCGTCGCAAGACTGGATCCGCAAGTTTACATCTTCAACAATGACTACATTGGAGCCGCATCCTTCAATGTCTTCTCCGGAATCTTGGTCGCGGTGATTTTCGGCGCGGCCTTCTTCTTAGACCTTTTCTGGCCCGAGCGCAAAGAGTCCCGAGCAGTGCTCCTTAGCTGGCGGATCTGTTCAACCCTAGCATTAGCGTTTTCCAGTGCAACCACTGCCACGCTTTCAATGATCACATTAGACCATTGCGGATACTTCAGAGGTCCAGCGGGCGTGAATCTCGGGTACGGACAGCAGTTGCTGGCCCAGTATAGAAAGGATGGAGGGACGCCACTTTGTTATCGGGAGAATTCGCGATGTGTTGCGGCGGTAGTGTTCGCTTGGCTGGGGTGGGCTGCGGTAGGGTTCAGCTACGCCGTGATGCAAGATTCGATCGATCATACCAAGAAGGGGCTGGGACCGAAGTCGACACATGCGCGATCGCAAGACGATGAGATGGGTTCGATAGAGTTGGCTTCGAAGGCAGGTGAACCTGGGGGGCTGGAAGGAAGACAATAGTGCTCCACTGCATTCTGAGGGGCGAGTGAGTGTCTTTCACGACGGACAACGCGATAAAGTCTTGCAAATACCTGTGAATCCCTTCGACAGCGAGTCGGCGACGCCAGTTCTTTACAACCGAGATCTTTTAAACTTTTCGGAATGACAGTTGCCATTGCTCGTCAAGGAATGATATTGATGCTAAAGTTATGCTTAGAAGGCTGCACCGGACACCCAGCCGGGCCGGAATTGACTAGGTCTCTACGCCAGACGCCTCGCTCGGATTAATCGTGAAAATTGGAAGATTGAAGCAGTCGGATCATTCGCCAGCAAGCGCGGCATATTCCACATCGCCTTGCCCCGGTGGTGGAGCGACAGCTGCGAGGCTGTCGAGATCATCGCCTGCTTGTGCATTCGCAGCAGAACCTGCAATAGTCCTCTGACCAGGTGGGCCAGCAATCGCCTTAGCTCCAGCATCTGTTCGCCTACCAGCCCTAGCATTCTCCATCCTCTGATCGCGATCCATGTTGTCCAGCGGCTTCGGCTTGCCCCATTGCACTCGCAGCGGGACGCCTTTGACAACCGCTCTCCCTTGAAATGCCATGGCAGCCCTCTCCGCTCCTTCACGATCCATGTAATTCACAAAAGCGCAATGTGAGCGATGACTGCAGACCAGGGATCGGAGCGCGCCGTGTTGTGAGAAGTGTTCCCGAATGGCATGCTCGGGCAGATCGTCCTCAACTCCAGTGACAAACAGACTTGTGATATTCTTGTCCGCTGGAGGCGCAATGTCCTGCGGCTTGATCGGCAGAGCAGCTCCGGAGGGAAATCCTTTCCCGCCGCGTGCACCACCTCTCCCACCTCGTGACGCGCTTCCACCTCGGGAGGCTGGTGGTCCGTACGCTGAGCCATATGCAGATTTGCCCTTTGGATCTTGCGTCCTGATCGGACCAGCTTTGTGCCCTTCGCTCCCTTCCAGCAACTTCTGTCCTCCTTCCTCTTGCTCCTCCGCTTCCAGCCTTCGCTGCTTTTTGTAATACGGCTCACTGTTGGCCAGTCGTCGCAACAGTTCGCGGCCCTTCTCCTCCGTCTTGCTATATCCCTCCAACCCTCTACCTTCTTCAATCTCCTTTTCGTGATTTTGCGCAAAATATTCGCGGTTGATCTCGGACTGTGGTCCAGGCGCCACCATTTTCAATGCGGCATCTCGAATCGTGATGGGGAGTCCGAAGCTCAAATCCAGCATACAACACTGACAGCAGTTCTTCAGTCGCGCACATGTGAGACAGATGCCTGTTCGTTTTTGGCGAGCGGTACGGTCGGCCTTCCAGCGGAAAACGGTGAAGGGTCGCGTGCAGAGTTTGCACGCCTCGCCATAGTCCTCTTTAAGCATCTGCACGTAAGGATTGTCGGAAAGGCATTTCTCGCAGACGGAGGGCAAATCGGTGGTCTCCCATCCGGACCGGTTGAGATCTTGCTTGATCTGTGCAATATTAGTATGCGTGCTGCAGGAAAGGTGGGCGACTGGACTGACCTGAGGCGGCATGTTGGCAGTCACTGCCTCGTACTATGCGGTGGTTCGCAATTGAGTTGAGAAGTTGTTCGTGCAAATTCAAAAGTTATGCAGAGGCTTGAGGCAACGGGCAGTGCAGTGCGGTGGAGGTGATAGCGGTGGTGAGTGACGGTGCTGTCAACTGTGCTCGCAAATCCGAAATCAAGTCGCGTTCCTTATCTCTGCTATCGCCACGTGATGCTTCGTCGTACCTGACCGAGATCCGATCTACCGCGCTTGCCTGTTCCTGGCAACCTGGTAGGAGGCAAGCGCGCCTGCTGGACCCCTGGAGTAAATGGTTCGACATTTTTGTTGAGCGACGGCACATCGTAAGATTTGGCCATTGGCAGTCCACGTATTACTGTTCACTCTCCGCGCCTCTGTCTGTCCCTCCTTACCCACTTCTACTCTTCGATCAATTGTACGTTCAACAACAAACACAATGGCCGGACCAACACAACTCGAGAAGGAGGACAAGGAGCGTGATGCCCAGTTCAAGCAGGCACTGCATGGCAAGACTGGCGAGGGTCGAGGTGGCCTGATCGCAGCCATGGGCAAGAACAAGGACGCTCAGAAGGCTGCTGTCGACGAGTACTTCAAGCATTGGGACAACAAGGCCTCTGCTGAAGAAACGGAGGAGATTCGCAAAGCCCGCCGAGACGAATATGCCACCTTGACCCGTCACTACTACAACCTCGCAACCGATCTCTACGAATATGGCTGGTCGCAGTCATTCCACTTCTGCCGCTTCTCCAAAGGCGAGCCCTTCAGACAGGCCATCGCTCGCCATGAGCACTACCTCGCCCTCAAGATGGGTCTCCAGGAGAACCAGAAGGTCTTGGATGTGGGCTGTGGTGTCGGTGGACCTGCCCGTGAGATCTGCAAGTTCTCCGGTGCAAACATCACAGGGTTGAACAACAATGACTACCAGATTGAGCGAGCAACGCAGTACGCGAAGAAGGAGGGTTTGGATCACAAGTTGAACTACGTCAAGGGCGACTTCATGCAAATGTCCTTCGAGGACAACACATTCGACGCTGTCTACGCCATTGAGGCTACCGTGCACGCTCCTTCACTGGAGGGCATTTACAGCGAGATTTTCCGCGTCCTGAAGCCAGGTGGTGTGTTTGGTGTATACGAATGGTTGATGACCGATGCATACGACAACGATAACCCACGTCACCGTGAGATTCGACTAGGAATTGAGCAAGGAGATGGTATCTCAAATATGGAGAAGATTGAGGTTGCCCTCAAGGCTATGAAGGCAGCCGGATTCGAGTTGGAGTTGAACGAGGATCTGGCAGACAGACCGGACGAGTTCCCATGGTACTGGCCACTTTCGGGTGAGCTCAAGTACATGCAGAGCATCTGGGATTTTCCAACTCTCGTGCGAATGACACACCTTGGACGTGGCATCGTGCACAGATTTGTGGGTGCCTTGGAGATGGTTGGCATGGCCCCTCGTGGCACGCAGAAGACTGCTGACTCGCTCGCGTTGGCTGCTGATTGCCTGGTCGCTGGTGGCCGTGAAAAGCTGTTTACGCCCATGTACCTCATGGTCGGACGTAAACCTGCGAAGAACTAGAGCGACAGAACTGATGGCATGGAGTAGGGTGGTATTTCGAAAGCTTCTCGGGCACGCGGGGATACCGCATTATGCATTGGACAGGAAGGCGTTCACCTATAGCGTGAAAGTGTGATCATATTAATGTACAATTACAGTTGACCTGATATCGCCAGCAGCGGTTTCCAACACTCATTCGCGCAAAAGCTTCAGCACGTATTCGTCGGGCAGGTATCGAGGTGCTGTATAATCGTTGGCTGGATGGTGTCACAGGAACAAGAGTCGATATTGATACAAGCTATCTGGCGCACCGATGCTTGAAGCAGACGCTGCATGCAACAGGCAATCGGCAGCGACTTTCCGAAGCCGAGCATTTGTCCATCAAGTTTACCGGCTATCAGCCACTTGATCGATGTGCACACCGGCATGACACCCTTGCATGTCCCCGGAGGCTGGAGGGACTGGCATAACCAGAATTCCGGGCCGCCCAAGGAGCGGGCACTGCAAAGAAACGACATTCGGGTCCATCGGCTGGCTATGGCTGGCGGAGCAAGATTCACCTATAACGGGCTTGGCAACGTCAAAGGGATGGATTCCGCCTTCTGCCTCATAGCCGCCTAAACGTACGTGTAGTGTTACCCACACAAGTTGATACGCTCGAATACAGGCACCGAGTTGCTAGGTATATTTGTCGTCACCCCGATAAATTGGTAAACTGTTCAAATTCCTCGCCGCCGTTGTCAACGCCCACCCAACCGCCGATCCGTCTATACCAACGATCGCGCACAACAGTACTGGCCGAGAACATCATTTCCAGCCCCTCCACATGGTCATAGTCAGCTGTGCTCAACACGCATTGCAGTCTTCCAGCCTCCTCACTGCATCCCAAGGCATCATTTCGCATCCCCGAGACACCACCAGCCTCCACAAGCCAGGCAGTAGATATGCTGCACTTCCCAGACACTCCATCCACTTCTCTCTTCCCTCCTCTACTCAGCGCGCCACCTCGAGCCAAATCGTCCTTCCCGTTCGCCGTAGCTTCAACGCTCGTTCCTTCAGGGAACTCACAGTTCGTTCCTCCTCGCAACTCACCTTCATCGTCGTCGAGTCAAGTCTGCACTACGCCGAGAAAGGCAAGACGAACGATCGAGAGGAGCTATTTCAAGGCTGTACTGCTACTCGACGGACACGGACGTGAGACCGAAATCAGAGAGAAAAAGTCATCGAGCAAAGATGCGTTGTTCATCTCTAACCATGCTCGCTTTTGGAGCACTCGCTAGCGCGATGCCCTATCCCCATCGCGAATCTACGGGATCTATCAAGAGTCCTTCATCAGACTCAACAACAGAGAACTTTCGCTCAGCAAAATCCAGAAGGCAGTTCGAATTCGGCTCTTTAATCGACTACTGGAACCAGAAAGCCCAAGCCGCAGCCCACGAAAAAGACCCTCCATCAACCCTCTCCAAACGATCGCAAGAGGAAGACATGCTAGAACTCTCCTGGGCTCCCATCCAGGCCCGGCACCTCCGCAAACGCGACCTCTACTCCTCGGCCTCCACCTCTGCAGCAGGCTCAATGATGCTGATCCCAGCCGTGACACTCTCCGATCCTCACGGGCACACTACATCTTCCCTCCTCAAAGCCCGCACCCTAACACACCCTCCTCCACCATCCAATCCTTTCCCGTCATCCAGCGACAAGGAACGAAAACAGCATCCGGAGTTGACTTGGGCACCGATTCAAGCCAAACGAGATCTCGTGAAGCGAAGCAACCCTGCTGCGGCCTACGCACATGGACTCGAATACGCCACTTCGATGCGCCCAACTTCTAGCAGCTCACAGCATGTCGCACCCGCAAAACCCCGTCACCGTAGAACTCAAGCCGTAGACTTCGGTTCTCCGACTCGAGTACGACGGGATGAAGTCATGGAGACTTCCGATGCGGATGCATTAGTGCAAGAACTGCTTGAGCAAGCTGCAGCTCTGACACCGACGAAAGTCAAGAAGACGAAGAAGAGAGATGCGGAATTGTCGAATGCCCGCTGGGAGGAGATTGGAGATGTCATGAAGCAGAGACGTAGGGATTGGAGGGCGAGTCAGGTCCGAAGCAGTGCATCCAGCAGAGTGGTTGAAGTCTAGATTGGACGGAGATGAGGAGGTAATCGTAATGCAATATGAGTGAGTGAGGGGTGTTGAGAAGAAGGCAGGGACTGCAGACTGGAGAGTGTAGAGTGCAGAGAAGGGCAGACTGCGGAGGAAGGCGTTTGCGAGGTGTTTTGATCGTCAAGCGATTGTGGAGCGATGTAATCTGGCTCGTGTTTTTGAGCGACAAATGGGGTCTCTACAGACTAGACTGGACCAACTTGGTCAACAGATGAATAGCAAGCGAGTAGACATGTACACTAATACAAAGTATCTACGCACTGCCCTTGTGCTTCGTCATCGGACCCCAATTCTCCCGTGGGTTCTGCTGATATCGCACAAGGCGTTTGGTCTGCCTGTCCTTGCCGAGAGCTTCATCGAAGACGACCTTGGGTCTATCGTTACTCCCATTTGCCAACGCAGGCTTCGAGGGCGCCTGGACACCTTCCGTGGTAATGCCCGGCGTGCTGTCCTTCGAAGTCCCATTCTCCGCAGGAGTCTCTCCTTCCTTGACGCTCTTCTCCTTCTCCTCCCCAGCGGCCCACAGCTCTTTAGCTTTTTTCATAATGGCAAATCCGGCGGACCCTTCTTTCAACGCGCTATCCTTGACAGGATGTTTCTGTCTCGTCCACTCAGTCATGATGTTCCATATCGCGCTCCATGGGGCATTGGTCTTGATGCTGCCAGGCTGGCAATGCGAGCGAGTGGCTCTGTAACCCATATGACGCAGCGCACCTCGTATTGAAGCATCATTAGGTGCAATACAGTGGATGACTTTGCTCACAGCCGAAGGGCTGAAGAAGAAGGGGAAGTGATCGATGGTCTCCGGTGGCACTTTTGGGATAATTTCATCGCTTTCTGATCGCTCCGCTGCTGGTTTGTAGCTGACGACGTCGTCGTTCACTTGTGTCTCCTCAAGAGCCGTCGACAGCATACCTTCAATACGAGCCTTGGTCTTGTAAACTTCTGGATCAGCACTCTCCAGATCCTCCAGTAATTTCTCGACGAAGGCTGCGTTGTGGATGGGTCCTGCCCACATTGGTCCCGCAAGATGTCTTTTCGAGCCGCAATGTTCGCAAAGCTGATCGACTGCAGGTCCTTGGCCGATCGTGTGTTTCCACCATATGTTTTCATTCTTGCCCACTTGCCTCGTGTTTCGACCTCTCATGTTGACAGTCCATGCGCCACAGCCATGATCACACCCAAGCACATCCATCGTCTTCCCGAAAAGGAACTTGACGTCGGCTGGCGATTTTCTCACCCGGATAAAGGTTCTCACGTAGAAATCAATGCTGAGCGACAGTAGAGGCTCAATCGCCAGTCCTTGCTTTGCAGCCGCAGTAGCCACCGAGTTGATGATGAGACGAAGCCCTCCTTCGTGCATATGAGGACCTTTAATTGGCGCCCCTCCGTACAGCGACCACGTCTTCTCACAATAGCCAGTTGAAGCAAAAACACCAGAGTCTGTGCAGGTCACACAAAGCAATCCGCCCTCGTTGAGTGCTTGAAGTGCCGCATCGATGAATGGCGCCGCTGTGCCATATGGGTCCAAATCGACCACATCGTACTTCTGATTGACATGTTGTGGGCCGTGTGTGCCAGGCTCTGCAAAAGCTACACGATACATGTGTCCAATGGCATTGTCCAAATTCGGCGTGATCTTTGACTCCAAGCCGTTGTGCTCCACATTGAGCTTCATGCTCTGAATTGCGCTTGGGTTCATATCATTCGCAACTACTGCGGAGACGTACGGGATCTCGTGTGCATAGCGCAGTGCGCGGAGACCGGTAGCTGATAGGGCATCAAGAATCCTGAATCTTGGCCCAGAAGGACCTTTGGTAGGTTGCTGGTCCTGCGCTGAATTCGCGTCCTCGCCAACCTGATCATTTGTCTGTGCCAATTCTCCCTCACTGGCTGCCGCAGCCGCGTTCGCAGGAGCAGGCTGTGCGTTATTCTCCTGTTGCTTCCCGGTCGACTCGTCACCATTCTCTACTTGCACGGGTCCGTCATCAGTCTTGCGCAGTTTGACTCCACCATCGTTCCGCTCACCAGGCAACTTTCGCTTCTTTTTGTTCTCGTGCTTCACTCTGTTCTTATCGTTTCTCTGCCTCTTCCGATGTAGAAAATCGTCGCCAAACGCCTTGATCGCCAATACACTCAGATCGCGATTGAATTGTTGGATAGGGTTGTAGAACACGCTCTGCGCCTTCACTTCTTCATCCGGTTTGCCCTTGGCTTTGGCGTGTTGTGGTGGAGTGACATGTTGCTGCGTGTTCGGCGGAATCAAGATGTAGGCTTTGCCCTCCTGGATAGTCTCATATTTCTTTCCGTCGTGCTCGACGAGCTGCCCTGCTGCAGGCTTTGCGCTCAAGGGCACAGCTGTTGTGGTCATGATGGTGCGAAAGGTAGTGTGAGAAACGGGAAGGGGGAGGTGCCGCAGACTCCTACCTGTCGCGAGTGCAAAGCATACAGATCGAAGAGGAGTCTGCAGCATTCGCTCCTAATGTCATCAATTGTGCAAAGATGGAAGTGTTGTGCTGCAGTAAAGACGTGATGCATGTGAAAATGGAGCGCGGGAAAGTCCGCGAACTTTTTTGAATTTGAGACCCGTGAGCGACATTTCCCTCGAACAAAATATCACCATCTACACCACACACAAGATGGCTGCTATCACGATCAAGGCCACGCTGCCTGCGCTACCAGAAGGATGGGCCGCCGACAAGGACTTCAAGGCCGTCGGACAACTGTCTGAGCCAGTCCAACGAGCGCTCGAGCCAGTTGGCCCTCACTATCTTGCCCACGCTCGCAGAAAGCGACACAGGCGCACCTTCTCCGAGGTATTTGCGATTCATTGGTGCACTATCGTATATTAGAGCTGACATTGGCATAGGATGAGAAATTGCAGGCCGAGCAGAACGTTAAGAAGGTGGAGAGAGTGGTCGACGATGACATCGAAGAGGTGACGGACCCGATGCTCCTTCAGCGCGAGGCCAAGGACTGGAAGTCGCAAGATCACTACGCTGTGCTTGGCCTCGCCAAATACAGATACAAGGCTACGGAGGATCAGATCAAGCGTGCTCACCGCAAGGCTGTGTTGTTGCATCACCCAGACAAGAAGGCTGCTTCTGGACAATCGGAGAACGACCAATTCTTCAAGTGCATTCAGCGTGCCACAGACATCCTTCTCGACCCCGTTAAGCGCCGCCAATTCGACTCAGTCGACGAGGAGGCTGACAAGGAGCCACCGAGCAAGAAGGACGTGCAGAAGAAGCCAGGTAACTTCTACAAGTTGTGGGCGCCTGTCTTTGAGGCAGAGTCTCGCTTCAGCAAGATTCAGCCCGTGCCAAAGCTCGGCGATGACAACAGCACAAAGGAGGAGGTCGAGCAGTTCTACAACTTCTGGTACAGCTTCGACTCGTGGCGATCGTTTGAGTATCTGGATGAAGACGTGCCTGATGACAACGAAAGCCGTGACCAGAAGCGTCACGTGGAGCGCAAGAACAACAATGCTCGCAAGAAGAGAAAGAACGAGGATGTGCAGCGACTGCGTGAGCTCGTGGATGCTTGCTTAGCAATGGATGAGCGGCCCAAGAAGTTCCGACAAGAGAAGAACAAGGATAAGAATGCGAAGAAGGCGGCTGCTGAGGCTGCTGAGAAGGCTGCTAAGGAGGAGGCAGCACGCAAGAAGGAGGAAGAGGCCAAGGCTGCTGCTGAGAAGGCGGCAGCTGAGAAGGCCGCGAGGGAGGATGCCAAGAAGGGTAAGGAGGCGGCGAAGAACGCAGCGAAGAAGAACAAGCGTGTCATTCGACAGGCACCCAAGGATGTCGGCTACTTTGCTGATGGCGAGCCTTCGGCTGCTCAGATCGATGGCGTGTTGAACGAGGTCGACTCGCTGATCTTGAAGCTCGACAACGAGGAGATCGCGGAAGTTGCTGCACAGTTGAACGGCAAGACCGACAAGTCTGCCGTGAAGAGTGTCTTCTCGGCACGAGTGCAGAAGCTTGTTGAGGCTGGCAAGGCGAAGGATGGTGACTACAAGAACTTGGTTTAGGGATCCAGCTTTCGGTCTGGATAACGAAGGCATGTGTAAGGGCGTTTCGATAGAAGGCATGGTTCGCAACAGTAGCTAGTCTGTACGATCACAGAGCGGTTCGGAGCGAGCAAAAGTAACATGAACGTATTACGTCTTTCAGAGTTCTGACAGGCACATGGCACTCCTGGTACTGGTCCCTCTTTTCTGCACGTGGGAAGTGGTGCTCTCCAATGCCGTTTGTTTGCGTTGCGTGTGGAAGTGATTGGGAAACTCGTCGTGCAGGGTGGTTGTATGGCCCTTTCACATGCATGCAGACCCACCGCAGGTGAAGAATGGAGCGGGTCGGCATTGCAGTGCGATGTCTCGGGCTCTGCAGCGTGCGACAGCGGGCACACCATGTCATCCCGCATCCGACTCTTGCTCATGACCCTCTCCCACTCCCCTCCACAAACCCACCAGCACACGAGTCACGACCACTCCGCTCTACTCCACCCTTCACATCCTCCCCCGGACCAACGCCAGCGACAATACACTTCTACCGCCACGACGATTACCAGCACCCAACTCTCAATCCTTCACACGACAGCGCTGCTCCCATTCCGCCGGCATTGGCATCTTGCGCGTGTCCTGCGTGAGCCAAGCCGACCACATGCAATGACAACTGCCATATACCTTCCCGCGGCGTGATATCTGCACGCTGCTCCCGCCATGTCAAACAATCCGTCGCCGCGCTCCGGCACGCCTGTCAACTATAGCCCCCGCAGTCAACCCGCATCCACCGCCAGTGTACTGCCCACACGATCTATACCAAACGCCCCACTGGACCATCCTGCTGCCAATGGCTCCTCTACCAGCCTCTCCAATACGTCTTCGTCGACCATCAAGCCGAACTCCTTCGTGCCCGCTTGGCGAAGGCCCACGATCAATGTCGACGGCAGCCACGATCCGGCGAGGCGACCCAGCGTGCAGTTCGTGCCTCACGCAGCCACTGCGGGATCGCGATCCAGCAGCGCAAACCCTCCCTCCATTCGCAGAAGCATAGTTGGCAGTATCAATGGCAAAGCTCCGTCGACCCAGTCTCGCCGATTGAGTAGTCCGCCCCCTCCGGCGCAATTCAGGCCGTCTGTCAGCTTCGACACTTTCGCGAACCCTGCTGCGAGCGATTTCAGTTTGACATTGAATCGCAAGCATCGCGACTATGAATATACAAAGCGATCGCGAACATTTCTCTGCGGGACGGACACGAATGAGTACTCGGACACAGCATTGGAGTGGCTGATTGACGAATTGGTTGACGATGGCGACGAAGTGGTCTGCCTGCGTGTCGTGGAGAAGGACAGCAAAGAAGCCTCGATCTGGTCACGCGGGCAGGGCAGCGTGGGCTACCGAAAAGAAGCAGAGCGGTTTCTGGAAGAAATCGAAAAGAAAAATACAGACGACAGAGCGATTAGCCTGATTCTCGAATTTAGCATTGGCGACATACAGGACACGATACAGAAAATGATTAGGATCTACGAGCCGGCCATGCTGGTCGTTGGAACGAAAGGTCGAAGCTTGACCGGGTACCAAGGTCTGCTCAGCAGCGGCAGTGTTTCCAAATACTGTCTGCAATACAGCCCCGTGCCAGTCATTGTGGTCCGACCGAGCAGTAAACGCGAAGCGAAGAAACGGAAAAGACTGCAAGATCCAAGCCGATCTGGCTATCGCGACATTCTGGACAAATCGGACGACGCGCCACGTGGACGAGGCACACATCTGCTGGATGAAAAGCATCGACTCTCAGTCATGGGCTCTGAGCTTGGCGCTCTCGGCAAGCTAGATGCTCATGACGACGAAGCCAGACATGTCGCAGAAGCGATTGGCTACAAGCATGTCGGCAGCACATCTCAGACCGAACTGCCACGAGGAAACTCCCTTTCTCGCATGTCTTCTGTCTCCGAAGGCCCTACTTCTCCGCCAGGCAGAATGATGAAGTCCCCGGAAATGGGAGCTGTAGACTCTGGGAGCGAAGATGACGAAGACTTCGACGAAGAAGCGGAAGAGACCCTCAGTCCGGAAGCGGAGGCTCTGCAGATCGCCCGCGAACGGGCATTACAGGTACTACAGGACGTGAAGGAGGATGAAGAGGACCGAAAGCGAAGGGCTTCTAGTAGAGGTAGAAGTCAGAATCGCAACCGAAATGGCGGTGATGATGATGAGGGCGGTGGCGGAGGCGCTGCAGTGCTGGATATTTTTGAGAAACTGAACAGGGGCTTGAAATAAGGTTGGAGAATGTAGAGTTGGGGACATACATGTATAGATGGTAGAGGAGGAGAGCTTGGTGGGCTGGAGAGACGAGTCTCGGCTTCTTGAAGATATTATCAAAGCATGCATCTTATGGAGCGATATCATGGCAGCTATCGCGATCTATACTCTGCCTCAGTGACAATTCGTCGTAGACCAGAAAGACGATGTTGTCTCGAGAACAGAGGGCTTCGTGATCCGTGATCGTCATGATAAACGTTAGCCACGGCTGTAGCAGCTATAGCCGAGAATGCCCACTTCACTCTTGCAACTCTACAAGCATAACGTTGACAAAAATTCTACCGCAGTACTACATCGTACAATTTGTATCACTCCATTTAGATCCTCCTTGCAGCAACCTCTGGAACGAACTTCTCTAATTCTCCAAGTCTGCGCCACAAAGACCTGTTGTAACCTCGGCAGAACAGAGCAGCATCTACACCACATTGAAGACAGAGACAATCGAGCATACACAAGCGGACTACACGTCCATGCACGTCCGTCATTGATGCTATCACGCCTCTTTCGCCCACTAGAATTATCAATCACAAGAATCTCCTCTTCCTTCGCAACCAGGACGAACCCAATCTCCAGTCTTCACATCCGGCCCCTCGCCACAATGCCATCAACACCACCCAACCTCAACACCATCTCCATCTCCCTCGACACCCGAGACCCATCCATCTGCATCCTCAAATTCAACCGTCCCAAAAACGCCAATGCTCTCAACGTCCCCATCGTTCAAGACTACCTCCGCGCCCTCCAATGGACGTCCACCGACCCCAGCATCCGCATAATCGTCACAACCGGCACCGGTAAATTCTTCACAGCAGGTCTCGACCTTTTGGATCCGAGTGTAAAAGAAACGCCCAATGCGACGATTTCCGACGCATTTATTGAAGCCCTCTCAAAGACTCACGAGCATTTAATCAAGACCGAAAAACTACTTGTTAGTGCTGTGAACGGTCCTGCACCAGGCTGGGGAACGACACATATCGCGCTTTCGGATCTGGTGTATGCTTCTCCGACTGCGATTTTTTTCACGCCGTTTGTGCAGTGGGGATTATGTGCTGAAGGTTGCTCATCGTATACTTTCCCGCGGATTATGGGGAGGCAGAAAGCTAGTGCGCTGATTCTCGCGGGTCAGAGATTTGGAGCTGAGGAGATGGAAAGGGCGGGATTGGTTACTAAAGTTCTGGAACATAAGGATCAAGAGGAGTTTTTGGAGAAGGTTTTGGGGATTGTGAGGGGCGTGGCGAAGTTACCGAAGGAGAGCTTGAAGTTTAATAAGCAGGTGCTGTTTGGGGAGAAGGAGAGGGAGGAGTTGTTGCAGGTTAATGAGTTGGAGATGAGGTTGCTGGGGGAGAGGGTGAGGAAGCAGGAGAGTTTGGATGCGATTGCTGGGTTTGCGGAGGAGACGGAGAGGAAAAAGAAGGAGAAGAAGGCGAAGTTGTGAGGTGTTTCGTTGAATCTTTTCAGGCTCTTGCTGCAGGAGCGATCTTGGAAAGCACCTGCGTTTCCTTTTGCTCTTCTGTTTCGTTGAATATTTTCCAGGCTGTTTCCGCGGCAGCGACTTTGGATACCATGTGCGTTTCCTTTGCTCATCACTCCAGGCCATACCGGTCCCGATCGCTTCTCAGCACAGTCTCTGGATCTATGCGCGCTGTCCGTCGTTTCGTGCAGGCCATGTTAGGCGACTGGCCTCCAGTATCCGACTGCTTGTTCTGTTGGCGTACTCCTCAAGTTGTTCGCACCAGCTCGGCCAAGTCGTCCTGTCTGTCATTCGCGCTCACTGCTGGCCACCAAAAATCTTGCAAAGCCCCTTATGCATGTTCCAATCCTCCGATTGACACACCTTGTCTGCACACAGTCAGCCGGACCACTTCTGAAAGGCGCGTCTTTCACTAAACGGCGAAACTCACTGCAGTACTTGGCCACCTTGCAACCACCGCAGGACTGAAGCGCCCACTCGTCGCGCTCCACCTTCTGGCATTTGAAGCAACGCAGGGCTTCAGCAGGGCATTCAATTTCTGCCCACCTCGGAGTCTCGACTGCTTGCTCGGCACGGTACTTCTTGAAGAAAGCGGCGAAGTTCTCTGGCGTGGCTTTGGCCGCAGCTGCTGCAGCTTCTGCGCGAGTGACGGTTCTGGTCGCAGGCTTTGCTTCTGCAGCCTTGTCGCCATCTGCGGACGTGCTGTTACCGGCCAGGTCGTTGCTGGTCGAGGTGTTGGACGCGGCTTGTTGATCGGCGTACTACACCATCAGTCGGCTGTCAAAATGTCTCATAAATGACCTCGCGCGGCTCAACTTACAGCAATGAGATCCTCCAGCTCCGACTCGATGAACGCCATGATCGCCTCCACATGCTTGGGAACCAAGTCCCTACCATCCTCGCGTAACAATGTCACGTCGAATTTCGTCGATACCAATTTCCGACCGAACGTGCTCGACGTGGGATACGCATCGATAGAGAAGATTTCCAAAGTCTTGTTGACCGACTTACGCTCAACTTTCTTACCGGTCATTGTGCTCTCCGTATCTATGTACCGCAAAGGGATGCGGAGACGGTTACACAGCTTCAAGTCCTTCCAGTTGGACGCGCGGTGGCCAGACCACGGAAGAGGTGTGTGCATCATGAAAGGGAGCTTCATACCTGTGATTTCTGCGACGCGCTCGTCCCATGAGATCGACACGCCCTGTGGTCCGTGAACGGAGAGCATGGTGGCGGTTGAAGTGGTGCTTGAGGTTGGTTTTGGGTGTTGGTCGAGATTGTAAGGGACGACGTTGTGGAAGTGCCTAAACAAACCGCGTCAGTAATGTTTGCTGCAGTGTCAAAACTTAGTGCGGACTTACCGATTGTCTGCAACCACCGGCTCATACTCCTCGAAACTCGACATTCTGTGAACTCGCGCGCTCACGCAAAATGAAGTGTTGTACGGTAAAGCCAGGCTTGGCTGCTGATTTGAAGTACGGCTCACGCATTCGAACTCAACTGGAGTGAACGAGCAGAGCACAACAGTGCTCCCGCTGCACTTCTCCGCCCGTTCAATTGCTTTCTTCAATTTCTGAAGGGCCTCAAGTGCGGTTGTGCATGTACCGCGATGATCAATCGCCAGCAGGACTCCAGCCTTCTTCTTCGCGAGGCACCAAGATGAGGATTCCTGAGATCACAGAGCTCGCCATCGACATTGCGGCTGGCGCCCGCGAGCTTTGTCAAAGGTGTGTATATAACGAAAAATTCCTTTAGAGGGCCGGCTCCAGTTGGCCATCATAACGATCTCTTAACCGATTCTCGTCGCATCAAGTTTGTTTCCTCAACAAAGAATGCCTGTAGTTGCTAGTGGCTAGCACCTTCACGCTTCATATTCCACTCCAGTCATCTTCCTCAAGAGCGATCGCTCGCTACCGGCAAGGCGCTCTGTGTTCAAGTCGGTCATGACAATATTCGAATCCAGGCAGCGCAAAATTGCATGCTTTAGAGAGTGCCCATGCAACAAGAACGATGGGTGATGGCATCGCCCTCCCATCATATTCGCACCTGAGCAAACGGTCTCCTGACCCCGACATCCAGAGTCCGCCAGAAACTTAGATTGTAGAGAACAGCCAGAACGTGAAGTCGGAAGTGAAACGTACCGCAGTCGGCCCAGGACCACTCGTCCCGCAAAGCAAGAACCACCACCCATCCAGCGCCTATCGCGCTTGCCCCATCACATCCATCAAACTTTCCGGGCCCGAAGCATAACCCAATGGCAATCACTTTCCAAACGGCGCATCAATGGCGAAGAAGAGCCCAAAAGATCAACCATCGAGTGTCGTATTTCATCTAAAAAGTGTATATCTTTCGCGCCAAAAATCCAGCTCAAGTCCAACCAGCAGACTCATCACGACAATACAGACATCACAACCACCACCATTTCCCTGTTTTACCCCGCTCACTCCATCGGCAGCCGTTACAATAGTCGTAGCATAATAATACAAAAAAGTTGCGTGCCTTGGTTGCTAGTTTGGTCCCGAAACGCTCCTCTGTCTCTTCATCCAAGACCTTAAAAAGAAGCTCGGTGCCTCGTGCAACCCCCGATCTGAACCTAGAGCTTGCGCTCCTACAAGTCCCAACTCAATTCTATTCTGACAATATCCCTGCCCTGGTATTCAAGTCCTTGGAAAAATGATGATGACAAGGTAATAGTACAGCAGAGTGTTGGTGTACCCAAATGGACAAGCTCCAAGGCGTATAGGTGTGGTCCGACATTCAATATGCGTCCAACATGTCGTCCAGTTCCGAGAGCTCCACATCTTCGGGGCTCTGTAAGCTGTCCCAACCAAAGGCTGTCTCGGCCAGGATGCTGTGGTGCTCCTTGCCGCTGAGTTCCAGTCTCATGACCTCGTCGTGACGTCCCATGGGGTGGTCATTTTGTGCGCCGAGCACAGGGCTGCTCAACTCCATACGGTGCTGTGAAGGGAGAGAGGCACCAAACAGTTCATTCGCGACCGCTGAATTCTTCAATGCTGCGCTCTCCTCGGTCTCGTCCTCGACGGACATGGTAATGCTATCGAATTCCTCGGCTCCTGGGGACGCATCTTTGGATTCCATGTTTACATCTTGCTGGCTGTGTTGGCTGTTCCGCCGTTTTTGCGCCTCTTCGTACAATGCGCTTGCGGTTTGCTTGAAGTCTCGTTCCTCGGTCTCTAGAGGTGGGCTTGCGTTGCGTCTGGTAGCGAAGCTTGCCCGCTCCCGTGACAGTGAGCTTCTGGCCGAGTACGATGTACCGGGGGCTCGCGGATCAGACTCAGCGTCTTCGTCGAGTTCCGGCGACGATAGATCAACTTCCGGTGATAGTGATTGACGGACTCTCGAGTAGCAGTCCTCAACGTCGACTGCGGACGCGGATGAGATCGAAGGCGAGATAGTGCGCATTGGCTTAGGTATTTGCTCCACGGTGTCTGGAATGGGTTGGTGTGGAGTCGTCGTCAAGTAGAAATACAGACGGCGAGGGTGCACGGGCGAAAGGTCCTTTGCGAGGGGGCACGGGCTCACTGCGGGCCATGTTCGATGGAGATAGGCGGTCAGACGGGATGAGATGAGAGCAGAAGGGTTCGCGGACCTGGTCAAACGTCAGTACAGGAGCTTCGATAGATGCAGCGGGTATGATCACATACCTATCCACGCAGTGTAGCTTCGTCGCAAGCACAGCGGCCAATTCCTTTACCAAATGCGGTCTGTTCCCGGTCTTTTCGATCTGTTGTATTGTCGCCACAACGATGTCATCGTTGATTCCTTCCGTATCGATTTTACCACTCGTGCCCTCGGCGACAGGTGAGGGTGGAGGTGACAATTCGTTGGCTCGCTGCGGTCGCTCCTCTTTGAACCGAATCGTGGTCGTTCGTGGTGGGCTCATAAGGCCCGGGGGCGGTGAGGTGGATGTATGCGACCGCTTCGATTTCTTGGGAAGTGGCTCTGCGTCGTGAATGACGCTCTCGGGCGGCGAAGGCGCGCATCGCTTGGAGCTGATGATGCCCAGGTCGCCCAGGTTCAGCGACACCCTGCGGGTCTGCATGTCGGGAGAGCGGCGATAATATTATAGCAATGCGTGCGACAGCGACGGAGATTAATGTTGTAGCAGACGCAGGCAATCGCGACGCGGCCGTCAGCTCGAGGCCAAAAATTGGGAGCTTGATCGCGATAGCAGCGAAGGCGAGACAGCTAGGCGGTGGCAGCAGCTCGCGATTCGTCGGGCGGCGCAGGCTGACTCAAGACGGTCCTTGCATATGCAGCTGCAGTTCGAGGCACGAACTGGCCAGTCGAGGGCCAACGGCGGTGATGATGATGGTGAGGGTCAGCGCGTGTACTGTGCGTGCGTTGTCCGGTCGGTGGTGATGTTGCTCGCTGGGGGCGGAGATGCTGGGCTGGGCTGGCTCGTGGTTGCCGTGGAGCTGTTCTCCTGACTGTGTGAGGAAACGCTGGTCGCAAGAAGGATCGACCCGGCCAATCCTCGCAAGCTCTGCCTGGAGACGGGCAGCCGTGAGGATGAGCCGCCGCCGACGATGAAGCGCTGGTGCTGTTGTGTGAAGAGTCGCGCAAGTGTTGTGCAAAGCTCCTGTCGGCCACGCGGTCGCTGTCGTGGTCGTGGGGCGAGTTGCGAGGCGTGTTCCGGCAAAAGAGGATGGATGGGCGCGAGAACTCTTCGTTCTTCGTCACTGCAACTCTTCCCGCCGCTAGCGTGATAGTGCCACCAGAATATCGCAAACAATGCCTCGTGGCAATTCGTTCGCGCGCAATGCCTCTGCTCTCGCGATTCAACAGTATATGCGGAGGCGGCGGCGACAGGACTCGAGTCTGCTATCGCGGGGGTGCTCTGTTTGTTGCAGCACGGGAGGTCGCACAGGCAAACGCGATGGCATTCCTGTCGTCAGTCGCCGACCGCACGCCTGGTAAGGTACCTTGCTCAGTGCCCCCCGTCCCGCTTGCGCAGTAGTGCCACCGCCGGCTGCAGCGAATGGGAACCCGCCCAGCGTCACCGGACTCGCAAGGTTTCGAACTTCGGGCACAGGTTTTTTGGGACGTCATCATGGTCTGGGCCTGTTGACCGCTTCAAGCAGGGTGCGAAGTTAAAGCCATTCATCGACATCCCCGCGAACAACCACATGCGCCTCGACGGACGAACCCCCAAGGCTTGCGCCATTGCGATGCGCGCGGTGCTGCTCAGGAAAAGTCCATGGTCTCACATGCACAGCTCCAATAAATTTGTGGTTGCGCTAACGGGGAGCTCTCTGCTGCAACACTAGCACGCCCACATGCAGTTTCGGCTCGTGTGATGATCTCAGGATCAACAGATCCTCAGGCACAAAAGGTCGGTCCAGCTGTGGCTTCATGTCGGCTGTCAGCCATATCGCGTGTCACTCACTTGCCAATGCCTCGATGAACGTCGAAAGAGCTCACGATCGAAGAGCTGGCTACCGCTAACCTCGCCGGGCCATGACATTGGAATCCGGCTTTATTGGAAGCGAAGATAAGACCATCCGTCAACATGGCAGCTGCAGTAAACAGACTCGCCTCGACGGCAGACGCGTGGTAGGACTACGCGACCTCTTGGCGAAGCATCGGAACAATGTTGGATGAGCTCAGAGCTATGGTGTCACAGGAGCTCACAGCAACCGTCGATTCCCGCGAGGCTCTGCGTTCCATTCGCAATGCCAAAGGACACTGATTCTTGACATCACCCTATCTTTACCTTCGTGGCGTACTGGACAAGCAAAGCTGAAAGAAGCTACGCCATTATGTCTACAAGTCACTGGCCATTGTAGGACTGCTATACTAGCCAGCATTCCCCACATCCCCGACCATGGTGCGCTGACAACGAAGATCATCGATCAATCCACTCGTTACGCAGACTATTGCGGCTTCGGCCACCGTAGCTGGCAAACGACAAGGGTCCCAAATACGTACGGCCAAACTCGCCGACCGTCACAGTCATTGACTGCATGATCAGATGCAAGAGTCCAAGCCGATCATGCTTCCAGGCGAACGATGTATCGTTTCTTGCTCGCAGCGTAGGTGAGCATGGTAGGAGCGCATGTCTCTCACACTAGTACCAATGGCTAGGAGATGACGCCGGCTACTCCGACAACATAATCGTCCCTTCATTCACTTGAACAGTCTAGGTCATATGTCCATGCACATGGTGGCAGACGATCCGAACATGGTAACTCTTCACACCGTGAAGTCAAATGAGGCAAATTGATATGGACCGGATCTGAATGTTGAAGAAACTATATCTGCAGGCCGGGGAGCACAACTCCCTGACTCAAGACGGCTCGACAAATGGATGACGTGAGAGGAGCTACATGCTCGTCAAGGGAACGGTTCTCAAAATGCGCGCTTCGATGCTATCAAACATGCACCCAAAACAACGATATTCCTGCCATACTGGATACAGTGGCCAGACCTGACGCCTGGACCACGCACTTCATATTCCAGTATCAAAGGTCGTAATCCTCCAATGCGACGAAACGAAGGGAGTCAGTACGAGCACCATAGACATGACTGAGCTTCAGCCCAGGATGCATTGGACCGACCCGACGTACGAAACAGACGCACACAGCTACGCGCACGCAAGTATCGTCCAGAGCATACCTCCTGTCTGCCTCTGGAGTGATACATAATATGCTACAGTGCCAGTCACTTTGACTTCACTTTCGCCTTGCAGACCTCTCAGAGCAATGCAGATACCGCTCGTAACAAGGAAACCACAGTATAAGTTGATCCGGAGAATTGAAAGCCATTTGATAGGGTGAGTTTGACGAACTCAGCCTCACCTGGAAGGATTGCATCATCAAAATGCGCTTGCAATCTCAAGATTGTGCCTCATGTTCCCAAAGTTGTGGCTTATGCGAACACTCCTATCATGGGAAGCTGGCCTGGAGGAGCGTCAAGAAGCCCAGGACGCTGGATATACTGAAGCTCATAGTTACTTTGACGTACATAGTAGTCGTTGAAATCAATGCGAGTTCTGTATCATTAGGCTAACAGTTGTGAAATTCACTTCTTGTGCTCCGAACCAGATTCGCAGGTGGGTAAGGCAGTCCGGAATAGCTGTGTCCGAGACTCTTGCAGAAGTTGGTCAGGATTGCTGCTTCCATTCGTTGCGCTTTGCGACAAGCGCGACAATCACATCTTCCGCATGTGCGCATACACTCCGATGACCGATGAACAGTAACAAGTGAATATATCAAACTGAGAAGAAAGAGAAGCAGCATCTTCACCTCCGAACTCAAAAATAGGTGTCGGCAGGACCCCATGGTCCGTGCACACTTGGAACGGACATTGTAGGAAGTTGCGGCCCGAATAAGGTCCTCAGAAAACTAGGCGTTGAGCTCTCAGCAACCCGTCTGTCTGTCCACCACCACGACCAGAAGCAACATCCCTCCTTCTCCATCTCTCTGTACATCTTGTCCTCCTCTCTGCTCCGCATTCCTCAGCCAGCGGTCGCTGCAAGAAAGAGCACAATGGTCTCCGCACGACTCGTCCGCCCAGCGGCGCAACTTCTCCGAAGCTCTGCAATCCCCCGATCGAGCTTCCAGCGATTGTCGAACCCCGCGGTGGTGTCGAGGACGTTCTCTTCAGGGCAGAAATGGAGGGCGCAGAAGGAGATGACGGTGCGAGAGGCGCTGAATGAGGCGCTCGTGGAGGAATTGTCTGCGAATGAGAAGGTGTTTGTGTTGGGTGAGGAGGTTGCACAGTACAATGGCGCGTAAGTCATACTTTTACCTTTGGGATTGAAAAAGAGGGGGATGAGGTGAAAGAAGAGGAGAATGTTCTTGCGCTTAGGCGAGGGAGGACAGAGGAGGATAGAGCTTGTGCCCGATAGCCATTGGCACCAAAGCCGGATACCTATCTCGCCCAGAGGCTATGGCATCCATTGAGGTGCTGCTTCAAGACTTTTCAGGCGCCATCCTGAAAAGCGGAAGAGCGCTAGGCAGGCTGGGGACATGGTTGAACAGCAGGGCGGAGGACATAAACAGGACACATGGCTAACGAACATGGCAGATACAAGGTCACGAAAGGACTATTGGACAAGTTCGGCGACAAGCGTGTCATCGATTCTCCCATCACCGAATCCGGATTCTGTGGTCTCACCGTTGGTGCCGCGCTCGCTGGTCTGCACCCAGTTTGCGAGTTCATGACCTTCAACTTCGCCATGCAAGCCATTGACCAGATTATCAACTCCGCCGCAAAGACCCACTACATGTCCGGTGGTATCCAGCCCTGCAACATCACTTTCCGTGGCCCCAACGGTTTCGCCAAGGGTGTCGCTGCCCAGCACTCCCAGGATTACACTGCGTGGTACGGCTCTATTCCTGGCCTGAAGGTTGTGGCTCCTTACTCAGCTGAGGACGCCAAGGGACTGCTGAAGGCCGCCATTCGCGATCCAAACCCAGTTTGCGTGCTCGAGAACGAGCTCCTCTACGGCGAGACCTTCCAGGTTAGCGAGGAAGTCCAGAAGGATGACTTTGTCATTCCTGTAAGCATTCATTGGTCACGAACTGCACGCTGGTAATCTTACTAACACATTCACAGCTCGGCAAGGCCAAGATCGAGCGCGTTGGCAAGGACCTCACCATTGTCACCCTCTCCCACTGCGTCGGCATGGCGCTCAAGGCTGCCGAGGAGCTCAAGAGCAAGTACGGCATCGAGGCAGAAGTCATCAACCTCCGCAGCATTAAGCCTCTCGACCTCGAAGCGATCATCAAATCAGTAAAGAAGACCGGACACATGATGGCTCTAGAGTCCGGATTCCCAAGCTTCGGCGTTGGCTCAGAACTCATCGCTCTGACTGCCGAATACGCCTTTGATTACCTGGAGGCTCCTCCCGTCCGTGTGACCGGAGCTGAGGTGCCAACTCCTTACGCGGAAGGTCTGGAGAAATTGAGCTTCCCAACCCCCGAGTTGGTGACCTCGTACGCCGCGAAGCTGTTGAAGGCGTAAGGTGGATTGAGCATAGAAGGGGCGAACGAACGACGGAGCGATGATTTAGCACGGGTGGCGTAGGATGGCGCAGTTCGGGACACACCACAAACAACTGAGCAGGAAAGCCAGAAACGGCACAATGCGACGCCAGCTCGCGTGGAGAGATGACAGGTTACTACTGTACTTATACCACCACACGGTTTCTGATTGAACATAGCGATGGCGAGTATGGAATGAATATTGACTGTTGTTCAATTACAAGGTCTCGGGTGCTCTATTCTTCGGTGATCGATTGGTTGAATTTCAGCCAATGCGCCGGACTTCCACTGCTTTGTTCTGTGAGAGGGCTGCATGGATGGCTCGTGTCACTCCAATTGGGCTTCACGCACGTGCTTGTCAGTCTCGAAAGCACCGAAGGAATGAAGCATGGCGCCGCAAAGTTGACCTTTGCATCACCTGGTACAAGAACTTGGACCGTCGGACATGGCTGCCACGCGTGTTTGATGTGGCTCAAGAGCGCCCGATCGTCACTGTCGAGTCCGTGTCGCTAGAGTTACGGGACGTTTGCTGTGCATGCCGCGCAAGCGCATTCGCGATGGCGTTCTCTCAATGTATCTGCAGTCGCCTTGGTATGGATCCCGAGGCTTGTCATTAGTCTGCTTGCGATCCAGGTTGTTATCTCTGTGGCGCTCCATTGCTGCTCGTACAGTACGAGGCGCATTCGCTGCAATAATAGAGATGGCGTGAGCAAGTTTCTCGTCTCACGTCGGCAGGCCTGTCAGAGTTGGGCACATTCGTGTCTCGTCGCTCTGGTCTGTAGAGCACAAAGAGTCTGCTTCAAAGTCTCTTGGCTGGCCAGCGTTCGAGCCTGTCTTTGGAACTTCGTTGTGTTGCTCATTGCTGCCCATGTGAAACACAAGTGTTTGCTTCGGCGTTCGTGATGGCGTTCACAGCCCTCCACCACGCCTGCGCAACAGCTCGGCTAAACTGAGAGGCCGTGAAGATACAAGCCAAGAGGTCATGGCGGGCCTGGATCGGGACGTGAAGTGCAAATTGTCGTTGAGAGCCCGTCTCATACCTTTGTAGTACAGCAGCAGAACTGATTGTGGCTGCCACGCGATTTCCCTCGTGCCATGGGGACAAGGAAGGAGACCACATGTCACGACAATCATGGCGGCTGAATACAGCCTGAAGAATGATGGTCGCTCTGCTAACCGACTACTGTGCGACAGGATTATGTATGTCTTGGAGCTATTTCGCGCCGAATTCTTTGTTAGGGTTGTCGATCGCTCATTTCGGCGTGAAGCTTGCTTGATTTCCACGTGGATTGGAACGCGCGTGGAAGCTTCTCTGCAGCTGCACTTCGCTACACCTTGCTGTTGCGGCGTCTTTACGGCTAGCTGCTTTGCGGGCGTCGACAAAGGCGTTCTCGCCGGTGGCGATTGCCTGTTCTACTTGGAATGGCTCAGTGGGGAGCCTGGCGTGCTTGATGTTTGATTGGGAAGTCCATGGCGGTTGCATGTGCTTGCAAGAGTGGTTCATTGTCTCCATCTTGATGTATTCATGTCGATCCGGCGAGAGCGGCGAAATGGCGGCGTGAAAGCCGTTAGGGCTTTGTGTAGCAGAAGACAAGAGATGAAGTCGAGAACGCGTCGAAGTGTGGCAGGTGGCGCTGCTGTGGCTCGACGCGTCGATCGACATGGAAGGAAGGAAGGTCGAAAGCTTGGCCTGGCTCATCTCCAACCGAACATCCACTTGTCGATATGCGTTTCTCTCCGGACATGTTCGGTTCCGCTCTCGCGTACACTTTCAAGCACGAGCGGACTCACGCGAAGTCTGACATCGTCGTCCACTGGCTGTGAAAAACGTGTCAATCCCCAGGACTCTCCGCAAAGGCCGCTTTTTGGACGTCACAAAGAGGGCATCTTCGGTGTTCCACAATCCGCCCGGATGGGAATGTCTCACAGGCCCAATGCATGTGAGGCGGCCACGCGGTTATCCCAGTTGGTGAGGCTGCAGTTGTGATCGACTGACGTCCTGCAAGTCGTCTCCGGCCCTGTCATACCGATCCCTGACCGACTGCACGCGTTGTCGCCGCTTCGGGAGAGCTGGTCAGTGACCACTCCGAATGTGCATCTTGCGGTGCAGCACGTTGGCAGTGCCGCCGAGCGTCTCATGTCTCGTGTTGAGACGATGTACTTTGTCACAAGGTCGTCGGAGAGGCTCGGTCGACGTGATATGCTACCGGTACGACCCAAGCACAAGCCAGTGCTAGTGTTGTGGGAAATTGGGACCATGTCTGTGCCTAGCATGCCACGCGATGCATACACCTTTCCTCGTGGCAGCCTCTGAACGTCCTCGGCGTCGGACTTGCGAGTTTTCTCGCGATTCGCTGGGATCTGTAAGCACTGTGGCCGCAAAACAGCCACTTGATGACCACGATGCATGTCCAGCTCCGTGTTTATCCTTTCCTGGCATCCGCATGGCGTTTATCAGAGCTTTGCCCACTGACGTCGTCCTACTCGAGTCGGTCGCTTCTGGTGGGTCGCATTTGGGGATTCGTTGTTTATTGGTTTCAGCCTGTTGGAGCTAATATGTAGGATAGCTTTGAGCGATACTGACGCTAGCTCATCATCTCCTGGTTCGGAAGATTGCCGAATGCAAAGATCGCCCAAGATTGTGGTCCGAGAGATGCGAGTCAATTTGCAGTGGAGTATGAGGTAACCACTGCAGCAGCAAAGCTATATGAGTAGGGATGCCCGGTCTATCAAAACGAATCCTGCTGCAGGCAAGGACCTAGTGTCTTTATCGACTTGCATGCTCCACCGCACTGCGGACTCCACCAAAGCGAACACATGCAGACAACAGTTGAACATTCAGTGCCTTGATCATGCCACTGGGCCACGAAGCGATTTCTCCAGCCCAAGTGCAATCACCAAACATCGAACGTACGCAGTCAGCAATAGTCCATCCTGCAGAGGAATCCGACCAACCTGTCACATCAGCAGGTAGAAAAACCAACTTGCTTGATCTGCCCGCCGAGCTTCGCATCAGGATCTGGACTGAAACCTTACGTGCAAGTGCAGACACTAGCCTTCTTCACACTTGTCGGACACTCTACATGGAGAGCTCATCAATTTTATACCAACGGCCAGTCCATTTCGCATCTCAGAAAAAGCTCTTCGCATGGATTGATCGTAGCGAGTCTTCCGAACTCACACGTGTGCGATTCCTCACCCTCAGACTAACGGATGTCGACCTCTCATCATTGTTCAACACGAGTCCAAATTCCAACGGTCAACGTATATCAGCATGGGATCTCTACCAACGAGAGCTGATCCGCCTGGATGAAGCATTGGAAGCTTTGCCCAGTCTTAGCCAACTTATTCTGGTTCCACCCGACAAACACAAGTCCGTGTTTTTGAAGAGCATGTATATGTGCTTCTTGAGGCGGATACCGGTCCGCTGTCACAAATTGGAACGCCTTATTGTGCACGACGACAATTCGGTCTTGCAAAAAGTGCCGGAGCTTCGCAGGCTCGCGAAGGTTGTCTGCGACAACTCGACATCGTCGCAAAGCCCGAGTACGCTTGATAGCATGCATGAGTCGCAGTCAAAAATGAAACGGGAGGACAGAATTGTGATTAAAGAGGAGTCTGCAAGCGATGAGAGCTAACATGCGGAGATTAGGTAGCATCTCCTAAATTGCACATTGAGTATTCAATATAGTGGGGAGATCTAGAGACAATTCTTAGCTTGGAATGAATGGGAGACGGTGAGAAGCGTCTCGAATTATGACGATATAATACCTCATGCTTTTCTCATAGCTGTGATTGGAATGGTGCATTCGACGTGGTTCATTCGTGTTTCTGTACGCTACTGCACATCTTTGTGATTCTCTCCGGATCTCACCACTTATGGCAATATCATTGTAGAGTTTTGGACTCTGCTACCACCCGCTTTATAGCGCGGTCGGAACAAAATGTCTTCACGGGTCATGAGGCGTCGATTGAGCACACGCAGGCAGCAGAGATAAATCATAAGCACAGACGCCACAATCCCGTCTACAACGCCCAATATAATGGTCGCCGCGCGCTTCTGTGTCTGACTTTTTGTTTCATCTTTCAGAACCATCGAGTATATGGTCATAGTGACAACGGGAATGGTTACAATGCAGGAGAAGATAATGACCCAAGGATGGAGCCAGAACAGGTTCAGTTTACGGTAGTCCAACCAAGGCATTGATCTGCCGGCCAATATGTGGAACTCGAGGAGCCAGAAGTCTTGTGAGAGCAATTTGACGGTGCACACATCCGCTACCAGGAAACTGCGTTCTTGCAGAGGGAGACTACAGGATTTACCCCAAGTTTGATCTCGACTGCCAGTATGTTTACTCTGCCTGATGAACACGGATGAATTTTTGGTGAATCCACATGAGCCTTCCGGCCCACTTCGGGGGATGATCCTGATGTCGACCTCGATTACCGTCGAGTGGGTACCAGTTAATTCGATGGATAAGTGACCGTCGTAATATATTCGCGCATTCTCAGGAGTCGTGTACTGGTTTTCGGGGAGTAGACCTGGAATCGTCAAAGGTAGTCGAAACATTTTTGAGGCGTTGTCCCAACTGCTTTCATCAATCATCGGTCGATGGGGTAGATTTGTTCTCAATTCCGAATCCACCACGATGCGACCATGTCCGCGTTTTACCAACATACCTGGTCTCCGCATGTTCTTGTTGTTGGCACAGCGGACCCAGAGGTTTTCAACGCGGTCAACAGACTGTCGCGCTTGGTCACCGCGCCTCGGACCTGCTTCGCGTATTACGGTGATGTAATGGCTGCTGCAGTGAGCTCTAACCTCATAAGCGTCAAAACTGTCCACAGAGCTACAAGTGAATTCTCCGGAGTTCTCGCAAATCAAATGAAGAACGACAAATCGGATGCGGGTATCCTCGAAGCAACAACTGAGCACTGCTGTGTAGCTCCCGCCTGGCTCGAAAATATCTTTTTTGGACAATTCCAGGACAGGGAGGTGAAACCGGACCGACCTGCCAAGAATCTCGTACTGCTTCTGATTGTTGCTGCTCAAAGCAACTGTCATCTTGGAGCACGCTGGATCCCTAAAAGCATCAGGGGACGGAGCAAGCAGATTACTCCGAGCATTCCCGGCCATCCGAGTGTTACGGGAGGGCGAGGTCCTATAGCCCCAGGCGAAAATAGTGTGGTCGTTATACACCCGGAGGAGCTCTTCTTGGAGTCTTTGAAATGCACGCTCACCCTCCCCGTAGATGATTGGGAGGCTGACATCAAAGATGCCAAGCATGGAGTATGCACGGTCTTCAATTCGCGTAGTCTTCCTGTCTGCAGCCCACGCCATGCGTTGCGCAATGCTAAACGACGAGAGCGGACGTCCACGGACAAGTATGTCGCGGTGAACGCCAGTTATGCCTAAGACTTGATCCACAAGACCTGCGAGAGGCCCAACGAACTTTCCTGAAGCGTCAAAGAACACAACGTGTGGGGCAGCAATCATTTCCTGCAGAGTCCAGCCACGCTTGAGCCACCTGCATTCCTGGAAGAAAGCAGTGATGCCGCATATAGGCGCTGCTTCGATCCCCGGAGCGTTCGTATTGCTCACGCTCGCGAGACAATGTAACTCGCTGCCATCGTCCAACTTGGACCCAGTCTCTGTCCTGCGAGGGTTTGCAGGACTCTGCGGTTGTTCTGGTCCATTGATGTCAGCGCCAGCTTCTGAAACGCGCTCCTCGTGCTGTGACGATGTCGATGTATGGACTAAAGGCGGTGCAGACGCCGAGACTACATTGGCGACGCTGGTAGCCGTCATCCTCTGTGCTTCATCGTGCATCTCTGACATATGGCAATCCAGGTAGATGTAACAAAACTTGGAATTCTGGTAGATGCGGAACATAGAATTGATCGCTTCTGCCATTTCTGCAGAGCTCTCCTTGTTGATACAGCACGTGTCGACCCAGACGTTTTGCAGCCCATCGCTCGCAGCTTGTTTCATTGCGAACTCCAGTTTGCGCCAACCGGCTTTTTGCTTTGCCACGGCGAGGTCAGCCATGTCTGCGAAGGACACTTCTTCTCCCTCTCCCGCCGATCGGCGTAGCCATGTATGCGAAAGGATGCCATATTGGAGGTTTTCGTCGCGCTCATTCCATTCCTCGAGCTTCTCGGACTGGTTGTTTAGCAACCACATAGTGTTCGCCAGTGGATCTGGTGTCCAGTGGTCTGCCACTCAACGAAATCATTAGCAGGACGGCCGAGCAGTGTAATGAAGTGCGCAGCTGTGTGCAGCCTTGTCTGTCCCTCAATCATGCAGGCTGTGTGGCGCTTGGTGGCAAGGCGCAGGCGCAGTCAGCCCTCGAGCAACAGTCGTGAGAAGCTTCCTTCTCGCTTCCCCGCGCGGGAGCAAACTTCTGCAGCCATGTGAGGTGAGGTGGGCGAAATGTTGAATTAGGAAGCATGCTTCCTTCTCACAGGCAACTACAGACACCAAAGTCACTTCGGTACATCGTCACGCACCGCTGTGAATTCCACTTAGTCGCGCAATTATCCTAGGGCTTTCCCTCTCGGCATCGGGACGGTCTCGAAGGTACAGCCAGCCAGGTGCGAGAGAGAGAGACGCTCTCACGCTGCCATAATGTACAACGCCCCGCGAAGACCGCAGGTCTATTGGGAGATAGTATCGATGTACAGTTCCTTGCAACGCAGCGCGGCCTCGGACGTGGAGCTCATGCATACTTGCCTGATATTCGGGGAGGGCAGACTCTCCAAAACCCATGCCTTCAGAAGCTCCTATTGTCACCCGGTATCTTGCAGGAGTTGAGCTGAAGAGATGCGCCATGCACCTAGGTCCGGAGCGCGCCGTACGACTGCGTACTACGACTACAGGCTTTACGAAAGGGATAAAGTGCCGTACTACTGACCCGTGACCTGTGGTAAAGGCTTGGGATCAGTATTGACCTTGAGAACGCTTGTCGCTGCGCAATTTCGGATGAAATTCGGAAGTCCTATTGTATCGTTCAGCGAGCCATGAGAGTGCCACAACTTAAGTGAACTGAGACAAATTGCTGTATTGGCCTGGGATAGGAGAATCCATTACTAGATTTTTCGCCGGGGCGCTTGTTGAACTCGTCGAGGTCTTATTCATAGTTTCTTGGAAGGCGTACAGCAGTCTCCGGCTGCCACTTTCCCATCAGCCCCTAACCTGCACTCATCTGCTGGCACATCTAGCTCGTTGAATTCCTTTGCCGCTTGGTCGCAGAACTCGGCCATGGATGTGTCCTTGCTCGAGAGGCCTTCCGGATTATGCGTCGTCCATCGAATATGCGTCTTGTTGTAGACATTACTCCATTCCGGATGATGCTTCTGCTTTTTGCACTCTTCGGCCACCGTATTCATGAAGGACTGTGCCCGATCGTAAGCATAAACCGGATAGACGCCAGACCGAAGACAGTGCTCACCCAAGTGGATTTGAACGTTTTGAATTTGAAACCGCGCTCGAGACCTTTGCCATCATTGCACAGCTGCCATTTGCCCTGGTCTACCAGCTCCGTGGTCTTTGCCGCGAGGGCTCCGGGAGCCTCTCCTGCGGAAGGTGACAGATCTTGCGTGCGCACCATGTGTACACGTGTTGAAGAGTAGAGCCGCGCGAGCGCTTTGCTAGGCAGTCTGAGCGAAGCTGATGTGAGGCACAGCATCTTGCATGGGGCTAGCATTGAGTTTTGCGGTTTCTCCGATTCTTCTTCTCGTTTCTATTCGTGGCTGTTGTTTTCGCACCACCGATACATGTGTACATGCGTACTCATAACGATAGCGATGGTGATGAAATATGCATTATCGGTGTTTTGCAGAGACAGCTTCGGGCATGTCGTGCTCGCAGCACTGTGACAGAAGCACTCGGAGGGAGAGGAGGAGCGTCAGGACGCCAAGCCTTGCATTTGGACCTGCTGCGCTCATCCTCCTTCCGCCATCGCCGTCTCACTTCACACAGTTCATGAATTTGACCATTTCACATTCTGGCATTCGCCGGCCTGTTTGCATCATCGCATACATGTTAAACACCGACACGACGCATAGAACGAGACGCCGCGGATCGCCGCCCGCCCCGCGTTCAGTGATCATGCCTGCCAATCGTCCGCGCCAGCGACCAGCCATGTCATGCTTGGCTCCAAGGCGATTTGGTGCTAAAAGTGCACCAAAACGCGCTCGATATAGCGGTCGACGCTTTCAGAGCTGAGGACACCGCTTGTGCAGCTACGTACGGGCTGTGCTCGTTGGGGCACTGTGCTCGGGCCTCCTGATGATGGGATTCCTAGTCGGCTTCACGAAACATTGTCCATGAACATCATCCGCACTCAACCGCGAAGGAAAGCACTCCGAAGTGCTGTATGACTATGACTCGCACTTTCGAGATCATCAACCCAGGAACGCGCATCGCAGCGCCACGATCCTCGAGCACCTTAGTATTGTCTTGGGCTCGCTTGTTGACGCTACAGTCATCATCACAGTGCGCGGAATTGCACGGTAGGACGTCCACGGTCTCGACTCAAAACTGACAAAGCCAGGTCCGAGGCGTCGGAGGCGCAGCGGACAACGAGTCCCCAGACGCGCTTGGCGCTTGGAGACCTCTCTCATCGTTGCTCAAGGCACGAATCTGCCCTTTTCTCGTGATTACCGCCTGCCCCGGCCCCGGTGCTCTGGGGATGGTGAAACGCGGCTACACGTGGAGCAGAGAGCTGTTGTTCTTGGGTGCCCTGCCACAGCTGTGTGCGAACACTCTCCAACCCCATGCTGACTAGAGCGTCCCAGCAAACTCAAGGCGACCCAATTGGAAGTCGAGCAATGTAATCGTCAGACAACAGCAAGACGAGGTTTTGTTGGAAGAAGCACAACTCAGCCTACGCAGCTCGTCGACTTGGCAGTCACATCAGATTTTGGCTTCTGCTAGATAACAGCATTGCCGAACGTTTATTGGACCAGATATTGCCGGGCTTGGTGCCGTCGTCAGATCGACACGTTCACAATGGTGCCATCGTCGCAAATGCGGACAAGAAAAGTATTGCGCGGTGTGGCATTCTTCATGTCAGAGGAATGCGATCGCATGCGCCTTGTCAGGACCCCGATGTAAACCCAAGATTCGTGGCCGCCGAGGTCTCAACCGAGACAACACGAGCCAAGCCTCAGACTGACCAGGGCAGCAAGACCGCGTTATGGGCATGGCACTACAGGGTCCAGGTATGCATTGAGGCTTGAGCAGTTTTGGCAGTCAGCCTGTCACATTCGCCCTAAACGTCAGAACCTCCTCCCAGGTATAAGCGAAGTACATCTCTCTCCCATTTGACGCAACTCTCTTCTCTCTGGCCCGTCACTTTCCACTTGGCGATCCGTTACCATCATGAAGAACTCGGTAGCAAAGACGGCCGCGCTGGCCCTTTTGCAAGGTGTGTGTCCTCTCTACCGTGTGAAGCAACATCACACTGACATCCACTAGGGTCAATGGCATATGCACAGGTTGCTCGAACCTGCCCGACCTCCGACTCTGGCGTTTGCTATTCACTCAACGTCCCAGAAGTCACGGCGAGCTCGAACACCGGCGATATTTTCTTCCGCATCGAAGCGCCTGCAACATCCTACGAATATGTCGCGCTTGGGCAAGGAAACCAGATGGCTGGTGCCCACATCTTCGTTCTGTACCAGAATGCGGCTGGTACCAACGTCACCATCTCACCACGACTTGGAACAGGTCACGTCGAGCCACAATTCAACGCTGTTGATATGGAGCTTCTGGAAGGCTCCGGCGTCGTGGATGGCGTTATGACTGCGAACGTGAGGTGCGGTGGCTGCAACACCTGGGACGGCGGCAGTATGGACTTCACGCAGAGCAGCACGACATGGATTTATGCTGTCAAGGCTGGCAGCCCGATCCAGGACGATTCGCAATCGGCAGACATCTCGTTCCACGATGGACATGGCGCATTCAACTGGGACATTACATCAGCAAAGGGCGGCAGCTCAGTCAATCCATTCACCGCGCAAGCTGTCGATGCAACGACATCGACGAGCTCGAGCAGCGTGGCGACCGGCCCATCTGATTCTTACCTCATCGCTCACGCTGTTTTCGCGTGCCTGTCAGTCGCTTTCGTCCTTCCAATCGGTGGTATCATCATCCGAATTGGTGGCTTCTCGCAGGCCGTTCTCGTCCACCAGCTCATTCAGTGGTTCGGCTTGATCATGTTCATCATTGCCTTTGGCCTAGGCGCGTACTATGCCACAGAGGACAACTACTGGAGCGAGGCCCACCCGATCATCGGAACTGTGGTCTTTGGCTTGATGCTTTCGCAGCCCATTTTCGGTATCATTCACCACCAAATGTTCAAGAAGGTCGGAGGACGAACTGCTGCATCGTGGTTCCACTTGTCTGTTGGCCGTATTGTCATCATCCTCGGCATTATCAATGGCGGTCTCGGGTTGAAGCTCACGAACCAATCCAGAGCGGCGAAGATCGGATACGGTGTCGGCGCCGGTATCATGGGTCTGGCATACCTACTCGCGATGGTGTATGGAGAGCTCAAGCGCTCGAAGAACAACAGCAGGAAGGGCAGCTCGGATCAGTCAAGCGTCTCACGCGATCAGTCTGCTGAGTTGGAAAAGTAGTTCTGGGCTAGGATGATGTGAAATGCGGGATGGAGGCGTTGCTTTGCTCTGTTCTGATGATAGATTGCTCTTTCCGATACCCAAATGCATCTCTTTAATCGCTTGTCGGTGACAGGTCTCCGAAGTCGTTCCAGCTCCATTTCCCCACAAGATCCCCGCTACCATAGATGGTAGGCTGCACAGCTGGATGTTCTAGACGACAGCGACATGGCTGGAGGCTGAACGAAGGCGAAAACGATGGGGTGACGCCGCGCCACTGGGACGCCAGCCGCGGTCTGTCGGCAAGTGCCTGCAGCAAGTTTGGTTCCGCGCGCATGCGCATGCCTTCGCGAACGCGGGAACGTTTGGCTGTGGATTTTCATGAAACGCGCGTTGCCTCCCCATCCACTTCCTGCCTCCAGTGTTCGTCCATGACAACGACAATCACCTCTCCCGCTGGACGCCCATGACGGACACGCATATCCAACACGACCGCGTCCCATAGCTTCACTACCAACATCGAGCTACTGCTTCCGCACGCGCCATGTTACCCTCGGCCGATGCCGACTGCGACAGCTGCAAACCGTCCTATCTTCGGCAGCGCAGCCTAGATTCCGTCCCACCCTCGACTATCGTATTCTCGTCCATACCCTTCATCCTGACGTGGCTCGCTGCAGCGTACGTCGCGCAGTATAAGCTGTTTCCACTCCTTGCGAGCAATAATTCGAATAGCCACGATGGCCTGCCGCAATTCAGCAAGGACACTGCTCCCAAGCCCGCGACTGCGACTTGGAAAGAGAAGCTGCGGAGCCCTTCGAGAGAGAGACTGGCCTCGTGGGTCTTCTCTGCTAGTATCGGACTTTCCGCAGTCTTGATCGAACTGCTGCTTTTCGAGATCTCGGATACCTTGAACCCAGCAGCGCGAGGTCTGGCACTGAAAGTCACATTGACCTCTCTGCTTGTTCTGATTCTGGTCGTGACGCCAGCGTTGGAGATTCACGGATTTGTCAAAGGCCTCTTTGGTTCCTCATCAGATACCACCTCCACGCGAAAGAAACGACCATGGCTACAGCATTTCTTGCGATCGGCCATTTTCAAGCTCTGGTTGTTGGCATTTTGGTACATTCCTCAAGCGTCAATTCTGCGGGATACCCTACATCACCCGGAGACGGGACACAGTGAGATTGACCACGGATTCTCGGAAGCTTGCTTGGAAAGAGTTGGAATTATTGGTATCTCGCTCATGGCTTCATTGGCTGGCTTCGCGGCTGTGTCATCCCTGTGGCAGACGTTTGGCGTAAGGCACACACCGGTAAAAGAGACGGACATCTCGAGGAAAGCGTCAGGATTGGCAGCTACAGAGGACATGCTGGCAGCAAAACAGAGCAGGGTGCGAGCGCTGGAGAGGAAGATGACAACTGATGCCTCACAATCGGAGCAGAAGAGCGGATTCGTGGGGAGGGTGATGGGATCTTTCCGCGGGTCGAACGAAGCGTCGGAACTGAAGGCATTGCGCATGGAGGTCTCTGGTCTGGAGACAATGCGGTATACACTTTCCAATTCTCTGGCCAATTTGCGAGCTCGACACGCGGATCAGGAGCGCTCCAAGACACAGGCTGGCAAGGCTCTCAACATTCTAAACATTGGCTTCGCCATCTACTGTGCTTATCGCATCTTTGCGACCTCGTTATCCTCGCTTCGAAAATGGTGGCAGCCAAACCACTCTTTCGCCACCAGCGACCCCATCAACAAAGCTCTAGCGTTGGTGACAGCTCACTGGGATAGCGAGCTCGACCGCGACGCCTGGGCGCGCCAGATCAGCTTCTTCCTCTCCGGTATCATGCTTCTAGCATCCTTCAACGCTGTTTTGCAGACTTTCCGGCTCTTCTCCCGCTTCGCGCCTAGCTTACTGCAGAAGTCACAAACGAGCCTACCTCTGATCATCTCTCAAATCGCAGGCACTTATGTGATCAGTTCGGCGCTGTTGCTGAGAAGTAACTTGCCTGCCGAAGTCAGCAGTGTCATCTCGGAAGCACTGGGTGCGCCTTTGGAAGGTCGATTCGTCGAAGGCTGGTTCGAGAGCTGGTTTCTGGTCGCTGTGGGATTGACCGCTACTGGTATCCTCGTTGGACGGAAAGTCGGCGGTGGTGCTGACTGGGACGATGAAGAAGCCTACGAAATGGGAAAACGGAGCTGAGGTCTGAAGCCGCGCGCGAGAGGATTTCCATCTCTCTCGCGCTCAACACTGCCTATTCGTTCCGCTATCCATGATGCGTCTTCAAGCAGACGTGTCCGCGGACGACGAAACCACTGCCAAGCGATGGCCTCCGCGGTCCTCCGCTGCGCAACGCATCACAGTTTTCCCTGAGGCTGTGCTTGTTTGCTTGGGACCTTTGACAGCTCGTCTTTGCATCTCGCTTAGGCGCATACGGGAAAACCTGTGATGCAAGCCACGACATGCATTTCTGGGTCCTGCTGGGCAGTGCTGGGAAAATGTCGCAACTGACAAGCGAGCCTGCCGAGGCCCTAACTTCGATGTTTCTCCTCTCCCCTGGAGCTCGAGGTCCAGAATGAGCCTGTTGCCCGGTACAGCCCAACTCATTTGCTGCATGCAAAGGAGGGAAGTTGGCTTTGCAATCTCCTCATGAATCTTGTAGTCAGTGAGAGACGGAAGAAACGGCGCCTTTCAACTTGCGTGCACGATGCGAGATGCACGATGCGCTCCCTTGGCGACCGCAACGCACCGGATCAACGATGTCCTTGCTCAAGTGAGCAAGATACTTCCTTTATTGGAAAACGGTACAATTTGTCAGAGGGCTCGCGATCAGGAATAGAGTGGGGATGAAGTCTCAGATCGTATCCGCCGCACGATACGAGCGATGGCTCTTCTGGGCAAATGCGCAGCGAGCAACTGAGGCCAAGAAAGAGTACGATGGTACCTACAGGCTGTCGCCATGCATGCTTGGCAGAACAGGACAACATGTCAGGATGTGTCGACAGCGATGCCTTGTATGTGATTTATGCATACGTTGCGGTATCTACCACGGGTATCTCAGTCTATCGAACCTTGTGCTACAACAATGCACGGCGAACATCAGACGCAAATGAAGAACAGAACATATAAAACCTAATAATACAATAATACAAACGCGACACCAAAGCTTTGAAGCTGTCGCAGCAACCAATGGATCAGTCTACGCTCGGTTTCCTATCCCTCTCGTTCTCCAACGTCTGTCCACTGCTGCTACCTTTGCCATCCGCAGCGGCTTCGCCTTTCGGCGTGGCCACAGGAGAAAAAGTGATCTGTTCTTCGACGCTCTTTCCCAGCCCCACATTGCCGTACGCAGCAGTCGTAGGACTTGTCGGACTAATCGGCGTAGGCTCTTCGACCATGGCTCGATTCGAGAAAACCGTCGGCGTCTCTAGGTCCGCAGTATTGAACGTAGGTTTCGCAGTTGCGTTCTTAGGACTAGCAGATTTCACTTCCGACGCAGATTGGAATCTTGGACTCGTCGGCGAGCTTGGCGAGTACGGTGCTAGACCTCGGTGGCCATCTGTGTATGTCTGGATCGGTTCTGGTGGAGGAGATCGTGTTGACTGCTTTGGTGTCTGTGAAGAAGAGGAAGAGCCATGATGTGCGGGTGCGGGCTTTTTGGGCACGTAGTTGGGGTTGAGAATTTTGGCTACGAGGTTGCGTTCGTCGACTGCGTCGCTGTCTTCGCCGTCGGAGGTCTCGAAGAGGGCATCGTCCCAGACGGCGCTTTCTCTTCGACCGGAGGAACCGTCGCTGCCAACGGAAGAGTAGGAAGCGGACTTGCGCTTCGCGGAGTTCGATCTATCGACGCCCGTCTGCGGAACGGCCAGAGCGGCGAGCTCATCGCGGGCTTCTCGTGTTTCGCTCTTCGTGCGTGGTCTTACTTCGTCCGGCTTGCTGGTCTGTTCCATGACCTGCTCGCCGTGTTCACTGCTGATTGGCGCATTGGCGGGTTTGGCACGTTCGCGGGCAGGCTCGTCTTCGTCGCGAGTTCGGGCAGCGTATGTATCAGCGAAGTGAGTGTCACACAAGTGCTTGACTACAGGCCAGCCGTAAGCATTCGCGAACATCCGGCGCACGATTATGTTGTTGTGCGCGTCTGGCTCGAGACGGACGAGCACTTTGCGCCACGAAAGATCGCGATGATAAGCGCGGGCAATCTTCTCCTCAACCTTCATGCCAGAGGTGTCGGTGCTTCCATTTGTAAGGGTAGTAGTAGAAGCATTGGACTGAGTGGTCGTGGTAGTATCATTCGATGTCATGGAAAGGGTTGAAGAACTGAGTGTGCCGTCCCGAGCACTCACACTGGACTGACGACTGTGCGTTCTGCTCGTCTTCTTCGTTGGAGGCGGCGGGATGTCCTCTGGGTGGTACACTCGATCGTGGAAGATTGTGCGAGCCCGGACGCTGGGGTCACAGATCCACTGTCTGGTCGGCAGAGGTGGGCTCAGGATGTCGCCCGCGGATTCGAAGATGGATGTCTTGGGCGGCGCCACAACTTCGCCTGTTTCTGGATTCGTTATGCTGTCCCCTCTGGTGGCGACAGGTCGCTTCTGATGTGACGACGTGCTGTGCAGATGTGGGCGTATAGTTGGGTTCGTGGTCGTTGCTGCCGGCTCCTGTGATACGTCTTCGCTGCTGGGGTCCGCAGACAAGTTCATCGTCTGGCCTCTTCGCAAGATCTTGCTGGTCTTTTTGGTCTGGGGTGGCGGTTTTGGTGATGTAGTATTCGCACCAAACCAGCTCATCATGGTTGATAGCACGCCTTTGTTTTCTGATGCAGCAGGAGGGGTGACTGACTGCCCAGCTTTTGAAGTCTTTTTATTGCCGTCTTCTTCGTTGAAGCTGAGGCGATTTGTCAATGTTTTGCTGTCCTCCGTGGTCTCGTTTTCAGCAGGCTGCGGAACGGCATCTCCTTGGCCAGCCCTTACTGGCGAGCTGTCGTCTTCCGACTCCCAGGACCTCTCAGCTTGCCCATTCGGTACGAGTGCCGTGGAGTTGGCTCCAGTCAATTCAGCCCAGCCCCATTCTGCCACTGTGCCGATCAGGCCGTTCTCGCGACGTGCCTTCTCGACCTTGCCCAAGCCTCTCCAATCGAGAAACAACAAGCAGCTGGTGCGCAACGGAACAATGCCATCGTTGACGACGTTCGAGTAGACTGTTCGATTGCGGAACATTTTCAACACTTGGTGCGCCGGGCCAGTGGGCAATACTCTCAGCAAAGGTTTCGCGGCGGCATCAGCTTGTGCATCCTCCTTGCCCTTTTGCGTGTTATTGTTCATGAAAATGCTACCCATGGCATTCCAGCCTTTGTTCGCTATTGTAGGAGCTCGCCAGGTCAACCCAAGATCCTGTCCTGTGCGCCCTACCAAGCCAAAGTCCAGCGCAAACTTGACATACATTGGGTTCTCGTTGCTCAAACCCAGCATTGGAGAAGCAAGGCAAACAAAATTGACCGGCTTGATCTGTTGGAAGAAGGTCGGACTGTGCTTGTGAATGTATGCAACTGCATAGGTCTGGATGAGGCCGCCAAGGCTGTGGCCGATGAACGATATGCTGGTGAACGTGTAAGGCAGATCCTCTGCTCTCTTCGCATCTCTCGGTGTGGCAACGCTGCTGCCTTGATGCGCTGGCTTTCCATCTCGTTTCGCTCTTTCTGCTTCACTTGTGAAAGTGTCTGTGAACTTGCGAGTTAAATTTCTGTGAATCGGCAGGAATGGCTGATCGGGATAGGTGAAGCGCAGAATGTACTTGGCCAACCGCTTGCCCAAGTACTGTATTCCATTCTCTGTGCGGACGGCATTGCCGTTGAAGCCTCTCACGATTGTCTCTTCTTCATCGTCGTCATCCTCTAAGTCTTCTGGTGCATTGTTAAATTCGTCCTGGCCGCCAGTCAAGGGTGCTGTTGCTGTATCATCGCCGTCCTGTTGCGACTTGACTTTATCTGCTCCTGAAGTATCTGTCTTCTTGCGCTGTTCTTCTTTCCGCTTCTTCGCGTCTGCTCGCGCCTGGGCAACAGTGGCATCGATGCTCTCCTTCATGAACAACATATCCGCGCCAAGATTGCTGTGCAGACCATGTGTGAGAATGACCAAATGCACTTTCCGTCTCTTCTTGGGCTTGTCATCCTTTGCCTCCTTGATACCCACATCCTCACTCTTGCGCCTTATGTTGAGCGACTTGCGCTTCTTCTTCTCCTTATCGTCGTCGTTATCCCATGATGGCAACTGCGGCTTATCCCAGAGCGTCTCCGTGTCTTCCACGACCAATCTCACAGCCTTGGAGTAGACGCCTTCGTACTGCACGTTGTTTCTTCGTCGAGCCTCCTTCCTCTCCTTCTCGCCTTGCAACTCTTTGATATTTGCGGGTGCTCCGTGGCCAGCTGCTGCTACCGCGGCGAAGCCCAACTCCAGGCTTCTTTCGTCCCGCCCGACCAGTACTTCGAAGCCTACCGAAGCAGAGTTCGAGAACAATATTTGGGAAGCAATCTCGATGATCCATGTCACCTTGCCCTTCTCCTTGTCACTGTACTCTTGCCCTTGCTGGTAGCTTCTCCTTCTCCCTAAATCGGCACCGGTCTCTCGGATCTCATCTGGCACGACTAACTTCGTCGACCAACTTCCTCCTGCTTTCACCATCGGCTCGTACTCGGGCACGCCATCCTTCTTGGGATTCTCGACCTTGCAGTGCGGGTTGAACGTGGCAGGATATGCCGAGACATGCAGAGCATACGGGCCATGGACCCACGCGGCGCGTAAGGGGATGGCAGACGTGTTCTTGACCTTGAGGTGCAGATGCTTCGGCGTGGGGAGGATGCGATCGTTGCCGGGGGTGTAAGTGAGTGTGTACCGCACCACCTCGCCAATCTTGACGCTGCCGGCCTGGTGGACGAGCAGCATCTCGTTCTGTAGTCGGCGCAAGCGCTACGACGGCATGGACGTGTCGAGGAATCCGCTCATTCGTGCTATTGCCCCGGCATGTCTCATTCAAGCGGCCGCGTAGTGGAGGCGTTCGATGCTCGTTCTCATAGTGGGCGATGGTCTAGGGAGCGTCGTCGGCTAGAGTCTAGTAGCGTTCTCCTCGCTGCCGGCCCCTCCGTGCTCACTACATATACCTGCGCTGGACAACACAATTCGGCACGGGCTGGATGCAGGTTTGTGATCACCGCTAAAGATTAAGCGTTGTTATCTCGCGTGATCACCAGGACTGACTCCGATCTGCCGATGGAAATGACGGAACTCTGCAGCTGCTGCCACGTGCCGATACCATCCACATCCTTAGCATTCTTGTTTTGCACCGCATCTCTCACACTTTCGAGACAAGAACGTCCGGAAACACTACATCCAAATGACCCATTTCTCAGATACTAGACAAGTACAGCATTGACTGGTCCGGCTTCATCACGAAGGATGAGGGTGCATCCGGATCATTCGCCACAGTTGGCTGACTCTCTGCAATGTCAGGCCGGTCCCGATGGGACTAGAAGGTAAGCTGGATGGCGCAGCGCAGGGAACGACCTATAGATTCTGTGGAATACATTCACGAACCATATCCGGCTCCGTATAGGAACCACCGTGACAGCAGCTCTGCGTATTGGTGGGCAGAGTCGAAAATTATATGGATCCAGCTCATAAAGATAGACCACGCACACGGGCCAGAAGCAGTTATTGCAGCCTGATCAGAAAAGTGGGTGTGAAGTCAAAGAGCTAGCCTGCGCAACAGGCGTAGCAAATCATGCTTCGAGCAGGAGCTACGGCCTCTCTGCTCAGGATAGCTGATCTTCTGACCTTAGGACGGCAACACTGAGACCAGAAGACCAAGCTAAATCAGAGTATTTGAGATTTCATCGCCAGCAACTGCACTGAGCCTTGTATATTCCAGAGCCGCGAACACTTACCTCAAAAACATTGCGTCTACTGGATGATGATCGTTCTCCTCTTCGGGGCTACACAGCTCTGAACAACACAGGCGCAAATCATTACACCAAGTTCACTTCATTTCGGAGCCGGTGTTGTGGAGTCCACATTGTCTCAATCCTCATTCTGGAAGAGAGGCGAAGTAGATACGGCAGAACCGGATCTCATAGGGAATGGAATCTTGGAGCCGCAGGCCCAAGCGTTCTTGAACGTCCCGACGCGCAGATTTGCCGCGCTCGCTCTCAGACGTCACACAAATCCCTCTTTCTCGACAAACGCTCTTCACGAACAGTAGAATGAGCCGCACGAGGCTCTGACGTTCATGTCCCGAATTCTACAAACACCTTACAGTTCCCTGATCTCGAAGAAATAAGATGATCTAAGGAGCCGAAGTTCACGCTGGACGCCCGGTACGGTTCAGACCCTCTTTCGGAATTTTGTCGAGATGGACCGTCTATTTACGAATTTGGGACGGCTTATGTGGACACGAAGTCTTCCATCAATGTCTTCTCATTTCAAGCCCTCGGCGAAATGCTATAGTATCTAGGGCAAGAAAGATCATCTACAGTAGGCCCATACGGTACCATCTGTTGGCCACGTTTCTCCGGATACTGCCAAGCGATACATTTCTCACTGTCAGAAATGTCGTTAGAACGTCACGCGGGTCGATTTTGTAGACCTACAGCGATTGTCATTGGTAGTCTTTCCGCAATACGCAGAGGCTGACCTGCATCATGGCTGTCGCCAAGCTGACATACATCATTCAGAGACTTAGGTCAATACTCGGAAGATCTATTGCAAGCCTTGGCAAGAGTGGCTGAGGCCATAGGTGAGAGATGCGTATTGAAAACGAGTAGCGCACAGGTCGGCGAAAGTGTCTCTCATGTGGAGCCCAACCCTAAGGCACTATGGCTGGCTACCAAGATCGTGGAGAATGCCAAGTCAATTGTCCTACCTCTGTCGTCTCACGATCAATCGACCGAGTGAGTAAACATCTTTCGGGGTGCTTAGTCGGCCGGCAAAAGCGGCTTGTGTCTTCAAGAGCATCATGCAGAAAAGCATATAAGCAACAGTGGCAGCGGGCTGCTGTTGTTCAGAATCAGCAAGTCTTTCAAATTTTCAGTTCCTGGTGTTTCATTTCTTTTACACGATACAGCGCTGGCCGCTTCATAACGACATTTCAAAATGCATTTCAACTCCGCACTCACTGCTACGCTTGTCCTCGCTGGCACAGCGTTCGCTCAACCAGCAGCGAACGTAAGTTCATGACAGGCCCGGGTGCATTACTCAAGACATTTGCTGACTTCTCGCAAAAGATCGAGGACGGCTCCATCTTGGCTCGTCAATCTGATGACCTTCCCGATGTCGGTATTGAAATTCCAAGTGCTAAGGACCGATTCAACTTTTCACCTGGATCAATTCGGCCCGCTGTTTGCGGTATCGGTGCGTGGAGCGGTTGCAAACGTGAAGCCGATCCAGAGGTGATGAGCCCTGAATGCTGCATACAACGACATTTGCTAACTTCCCACGAAAGGCCAAGGATGGCACCATCTTGGCTCGTCGGTCCAACGAGGTTCCTGACAGTGGTATCGGAATCCCAGAGGAAGTGAAGTTCGCACCTGGAACGATACGACCTGATGTCTGCGGCTTTGGCTACGGCAACTGCAAGCGTGAAGCTAACCCAGAGGTGATGAATCTCCAACGCTGCATACAACGACGTTTGCTGACTTCCCACGATAGGCTGAGGATGGCTCCATCATGGCTCGTCAATCGGACCAGAACACTGGTTCCAGCCGAGGCTCGCTCGATGAGATTATCCAACGCTTCCGTGATCAAGAAACAAAGGGAGGCAATGTTGGCGGTGGTATCAGGCCTGCTGCCTGCGGATACGGCTGGAGTGGCTGCAAGCGCGACGCCCAGCAGGAGCAGGACAACTCTCAGCCGGAGCCAAAATCCGAGACCCAGGTTGAGCGTCCGTTCGGTCTCAGACAGCGATCTGGTGTAGGAGGTAACATGGTTGCGTTCCCGGCCGTCTGTGGAAGGTGGTACAGCAGCTGCAAGCGTAGCCCAAAGCCGGTGGCCGAAGCTGGGCCAGAGCCTGAGGCTGAGGCCGAGGCTGAGGCTTTGGAGATTCCAGAAGGACGTTTCAAGGTCGATGAGTCGAAGTTCCCACCTGGCACTGCAAGACTCGCTGTCTGCGGTATTGGAGCGTGGAGTGGCTGCAAGCGTGAAGCAGAGCCACAGCAGGAGGCACAGCAAGAACCAGAAACGCTTCCTCTTAGACCGTGGCTTCCATCGCCACCTGAGGGTGTCCAACGCCGTCCTGGTGGTATCTTTCCAGCTGTCTGCGGTCGCTGGTACAGCAGCTGCTAAAGAAGTCCTGCTCCGGTGGCCAAAGCCAAGCTGGAGTCTGAGCCTCAAGAGGGCGCTCGACACGCTGGAATATGATGCAACGACCAAGGCCAGGAACCCATGGCCCCGACAAGAATCGGGTGTCCGACTCTGGCAAGAGAAGAGCTGTGACGTTGTGTACTTTAGATGCATGAAATGGCGTTGTGGTGTGTATAGAGTTGAAAACAAACCTTTTCGCTGACGAATTTGTATCCACATCACGACTTGTCGCGAAAACTTCACGAGAATACTGACTGACTCAAGGCCACTTGGGACAGAATTCGATCAGGAAGTCCCGAATTCTGTCTTCCTCGTGTGCTGCTGTGCCAAAGGATAAGTTCCTTTGCTCCGAAGGCCGCTCTGAAGCTTGAATGTGTACGAGACCGGGGTTGAAGAGCATATCGCACCGGGCCATCTAAGCGCATCTTGTCGGCTCGAAATGTCTGATATGCTGTAGCACACTCTTGATGAATGCTCAGAAGTCTGCAACAACACGGCAAGTGAGGAAGCGACGTGGATGCCGAAGTCCGTGCTTGGCTTGGCAGTTTCCTCTACCACACCTGCCTTCGCTCTTCCTTGTCCTTTACTGTCTTCAACTTCAGATACCATTGCTCGCCGTTTCAGTTGGAAATTTGGGTTGCGTAAGACGCATGCCAGATGATTTGACAGCCTGTATTTCAGCCCGCGATTGCCGCGTAGAATTCTTATGACGTACTTATCTGCAGACGAAGTTTTTGTTAAGAGCGTTGAGATCGTTCGGAGACGGTTGATTTCGAGTTCGGCTCAAGGAAATAGTTCCAATCTCTTCTGACTTCACGAAGTCTCCGGTTTTCAAGATGAGTCAAGACACGCAGAGCTCACCAGCTCAGACATTAGTTATTGAAGCAGCCGAAATATTGTTACCTTCCAAGCACATCTCTCAGGATGTCGAGTTCTGGACTGGCGATCCTCTAAAGTTCCGAATGGATCAGATTGTAGGTTGAATCAAATCATAAAGGCTGCGTCAGAAAAATTCACATAAAGCATGTATGACTGATCTTTCATGTAGTATCCCGCAGATGATCCTCGAGTTGCTATACTCAGTGGCCATGGGCTCCGATTACGGCTGGACAGAGCAGCTTCTTCACAACCGCCGACTATACGTCTGCTCTGCCACAATGTACCAGAAGTCCCTATGCGTGTATCACCTTCTGGAGCTCATGTCGAATTTATCTCTGCAGACGAACAATTTCCACGACCTGCCACTCAGCACGCATTCATTTGCCGTCGACTGAAGGACAATGCTCCTTGGATCATAGGTAGAGCAGGCATGCACTACCGCGATCTTATACCATCTCGTCTAGGGGGCGCGATCATTGCATCTCATATTCGAATTCCGGACGCTGGACCAGTTCCCGACCAAGTTCACTATCATACAATAGGATTCCAGCTCATTTACTGCTACAAAGGATGGGTACGCTTGGTCTACGAAGACCAGGGTCCACCCTTCATTCTCCGAGCAGGCGATTGTGTCACCCAGCCTCCGAAGATTCGGCATCGCGTACTGGAATCTTCAGAGAACTTGCAAGTTATTGAGATTGGTGTCCCGGCTGAGCATATGACGACGGTAGATCATGATATGGAGCTTCCAACGACAGCGCATCGACCGGAACGGGAGTGGGAAGCACAGCGGTTCGTGCATAGCCTTGCGGAGAAGGGGGTCTGGCAGCCATGGCGGATACCTGGATTTGAGAGCTGTGACACTGGTGTGGCAGATGGTACTAGGGGAGTTGCAACTGTGAGTGTCGTTCGACTTCTTCCGGGTATTTCTGCTGGTGAAGTGGTTACGAGTCATGACTCCGATATCCTCCTGACCTGTAAGTATGCTTAAGAATATCCGTATTGGAGGTCTTTCCATTTAACAAACTCTGTAGTTGTCATCTCAGGATCCTGTAAGCTGCACGGCGAAGATCAAGATGCTCAGTCGTTAACAGAAGGTGATGCTTTCACTATACCGCCCGGATATAAGACCAGATTATCTGAGTTGTCTTCCGATCTCGGTCTACTTGAGGTGTCGCTGCCTGCAAAGTTCAGCACCACGATACACCCAAACAAGACTGTAAATGAACCTGACAATATCTTGAGCTCTTGAATCTGGAGAAAAAGAGCGCAGCAGCGAGGAGTGTACAAAGGAGGCTAAGATTGATACAAGCTAGTGCTCTGTTAAGCAATCAACGACACTGCTTGAGAGTATGGCTGTACATGCGTGCGCGAGCTCAGCCTATCATCTCCGCTTCATCAGTAGCTTCGACTGACTGCCTTCAACATGTCCTCGTTGCAAGATTTCTTTGGGACACTTCTCCTTGTTGGCCCTCTTCCATACTTTGCGACCTCGAGACATGCACCAGATCTTACATGCTCATTTGTGCCAACATTGTCAGAGTTCGCAGTAGCTCTCATCAGCAGCTCATCGCGGAGTCGGGAGGTAGAGTCCGCGGCCGACGGGCCAGGAACTGCGAAAGGTGTCAGAGAACATCCTGCAAGTACTCCTATCACAAACCGCTTACCTTGATGTCTTTGCTTGGTTACGGCCCGCTGAATCAAGTTCCGCCTTTATCCTCATGGCCGCGCTTGAGTCCGAGAAACTTGTTCGCAAGCTTGTGCCGCATCTGCAGCCTCTGCTGCCATCTTGGGGGTCCACCCAACATACGGTGGCTGGTTTCGCTCTTTGATCCCAACAGCAGCTCGCGAGAGTGGTGAGGCTCAGTGCCATTGAGTGCGTGCTGACAGAGATGCAGGCGACTGGTTGTACTTGGCTCCGGGAATACATGGTCTTGCTTCTTGACTGCGCGCCGGTCTGTCGGGAGCAGAAACCTTGGGGACTGCTGGTTTGATAGCTTGAGGGTGAGTTGCGGACAACTTGCGGTACGATGGAAGTGACGAGAATCAATATGGACAAATCTTGCGCGCTCCGAGGATGTGGAAAGCTCGCCGTCGATGTCGGCGACATTGCGCTTCCAGCAGAATGGCAGCGTCATCTCTGCAGTGGTGAAGTTGACGCCTGTGGTGAGTCTATTTGTTTCTGTAGAAGTGAAGCGCGGAAGAAACTAGCGAGTGCGGCTGCACGCCATCATCTGCAGGTCAGACGTTTGCTGGCAACGGTTTTCGCTACTTGAGTTACAAAGGGCAGACTTCGTCTTCAAATGCGCCGATCTGCGAGAGAGTCTTACTATACTTGTCCCTTCAAGTTTTCCAGAATACTCTGCTCGAACGGCTTGTAGCCATCTTGCCCATAATATTTCTTGAGCAGCTCCGCGCCAAGTTCATTTGGCACCTTGCTCAAGTCTCTGCCCTCATTTTCTGGTGCCTTCGCGAGGCCCTCCGCATCTGGGTAGTGCTTCTTGATGGCATTGATGATGTCAGTCCAATTGAAGTTGACGTTGAACGCAAAGATGCGCTCATTCTGAAGACTGGAATCAAGTGCTGCTGCAATTACGTGAATGCGAGCATCGTCGACGACATCAATCATATATTCTTCAAGAAGTCAGCTCATGTTCCGCTCGCCAAAATAGTAGGTTCACGGCACTTACGAGGGCCAATGGGTGGAATCTTGCCCTTGAAAAGACTCGGAATAGCCAGGCCAGTCGCACCGCCATTTCCGTGCGGCAAGATTGTTCCCATGTTGAAGTTGGGCAAGACGGCGTTTGTGACAAAGTGAGGCTTCTGCTCTTTCACAAACTGCCACAAAGCCTTTTCTCCTTCGGTCTTGGATGCGGCGTAGACTGGGTAGGCCCGCTCCTGGGTATATGGAGGTGGAGCCCACGCGAGATTAAGAGCCTCTTGGTTCCAGTCGTCCTTGCTGACTGTGAATTCCTTGTTCAGCTTTGGAAGAAGCACGGCAGCCGAGGAGGAAGTCAGAACAAAACGCTTGACCGAAGACTCCTTGGCCGCAGATTTGAGGATTGATAGTACACCAGCTTTGGTAGATGGGATAACATCGTTCGGATCGTAACCAAAGCTCGTGTCCGAAGCAACGTGGATGACAGCATTGACGCCTTTCACGGCCTCGTCGAAGGTACCATCGTGCTGGAAGTCCTCGACGATGGTGGTAGAATAATCTGGGTTGTTGTTGAAGATCTTCTTGGTGTTCTCGGCTTTCTCTTGACTGCGAGCGGTTCCTCTCACTTTGTAACCTGCGGCGAGTGCCTCATTAACAACGTGACTGCCAATGTATCCACTGGCACCCGTCACCAGGATGAGTGAGCCTTTCGGAAGGGCGCGGTCTTGGTCCTTGATGTTCTGCGCCATGATTCGAACGTTTCTCTGGTCTTTGCGAGATTTGAGAGGTGCTTGATGCTGTGAAGTGAGGTTGGAAGGGGAGGATGGTTCAATGGAAAGCAGCTTCACGAAGGTGGGATGTGTTGATCAGAGTTTCGGCAGCTTGCTAGCACTCATGACGAAGTGCGGCAGAGAACGATGATATACGGAACTTCCTTACCCTGAACACTAGCATGAGCTTACAAATTCTTGGACAGACTGTCCGTTTCGTGCGAGGAGAAGTGGTGTTGCCTCTTTGCAGCTGCCCCGGTTGATGAGGTGATCATCGAGGCCGGAAACCTGAGGCATAAAACACGTCATGGACTTTGATCGAAAACTCCACCTCCATTTCCACATCTCTCTCTCTCTCACCTTCCCGTTCTTGTCAACACATGCGCGATGGCTATGCTTCGTATACTGCCGACCAAGTGAGCATACTCTGGTGCATTCAGAATGTGCCGATGACAAAAACCGCCGCATCAATGCACTTTGGCTCCGAATTCCATGCGAGAGTAGCAGCGCCACAGCGGACGGCATGAGAAACAGAAACCATCATCATGGCCTGGACGCCTAACTTCGTATTTACCAAACCTAGGTTGACAACGGAGGTACTGGACATTTTTCTCCTCTTGAGGCCGTCAGGATTCTGCGATCGTGCAGATCAACAATCCTGTTCAGAACCCTATCTATAATTGAGCCCACAAGCCACATACCACATGCCGATCACTGCTGTTACAATTTAGGGCTTCCCTGGCGGTTTTGTGATATCAGTGGTATATATGAAGCGAACAAGTCCTCACTGACAGCAACCAGCAATCCTCGTTTAACTCACAGTGCCACATACCACGATGGCAGCCTTTCGGCTTTTGGAAATCCTGCTTGCTACCACTTCAATATGCTCCGCAGCAACGATCAATCTACCCAGGAGCATCAACCATGGCGTGCACCTGCGCATCATGCCTCAAGGCGCTTCGGCATCTCGCGGGCAGAGATCAACAGATGAAGCTGGTTACCGCCCTCATCTCCGCGAATTGTTGAACGCCAACGGCAACAATGTCACCTTTGTGGGCTCCGTCTCTTGGGGCGATATGTCAAACAACCTCTGCGAAGCCCATCCTGGCTATACTATAAAGGGAGTCGATGATGTCGCGCTCAAGGATGGTGCCTACGAATATCTCCCGAACGTCATCCTGCTCAACGCGGGCACGAACGACTGCAATATTGCCGGCAACCACCCCGAGACTGCTCCGCAACGATATGCAACTCTTCTGAACAATATCAGGACCAACAACCCTAATGCACTCGTGATCGCCTCGTCACTTCTGCCGAATCTGAAGGATTCAGTCGATGAGTGTGTCAAGAAGCTCAACGTTGGCATCAAGCAAGCTGTCGACAATGCCACTGCTGATGGGATGAAGACTGCATGGGTCGATGTCTACAATGCGGTACCAAAAACGGAGATCCATACCGATGACAGCACCCATCCCACTGATGATGGGTACAAGCTTTTCGCCAAAGCATGGTTCGAAGGCATCCAGAAAGCGGGTTATCTGATCAGCAAGCCTGATCCGAATGGGAAAGAAGTACCTGAAACCACTGCGTGTGGTGGCAAGAGCGGCGTCAAGTGTGGTCAGTAGCGATGTGCATCATCCCTCAGCACTGGTCACGAACTGGATCGGCATTGGCTCTCTGCTCAATCGTTCAAGGGCTGTTTTTAGGAACCATCTGAAGGCTCTCACTTACTTTACAACCTCAGGAGGCACTAAAGACTTCTCTTGACAAAGATGGTGATTAATGATCAAGATTCAAAGTAGCAATGATCAAGTGACTGGTACTAAATTTTACAGTTCTGTATCTTCAAGCTGGCAAGAGTAGCCTCTACATCTAAAGCATTGGTATCTATCATACAATATGTCGTTTCATCATCACAAGCTCTCAGCTTCCAAGCTCTAATAGCGACCAGTAGGTCCAGCAGTGTCGGTGCTACCTGGAACGGTCGGTCCTGCACCTAGCGCGCCGCCAGTGGTAACACCGGAGTTAACAGTCTGCATTCTGTTTCCAGTGGTCCCAGTAGTGCCCGCTTCTGGCACATTGGAGATACCGCCTGACTTCTTCCCGCTGGTGTCATGGACAGCATCTGGAACGGCCTTCTCCACACCGGTTGGCAAAGTCTGCGCAACTCCTTGAGGCACATGTGTATGACCTTGGTCGTGCGATTCTTTGCCTGGGTTACCTGTGTCGTGGACCTTGTTGGGTAGCTTGTCTTCTACTGATGCTGGAGCTTTCTGCTGGACTCCAGGTGGGACTTGAGATGAAGCTGCATGGCTGCCTGCTGGTGGGCCGCCGGATTTCTTGCCAGAGGTGTCGTGGATGCTGTCCGGCACCTTTTGCTCGATCTTGGTTGGGAGGGCTTGTGCGATTTTGTTTGGGACGTAGGAGTGGCCTTGCGAGTGGTTGACTTTATCGCTGTTGCCTGTTGGGTGGACGCTCTCTGGAAGGCGGTCTTCTGCGCCAGCGGGAGCTTTTTGCTGAGCTTTCGGAGGGACTTCCGACGCGGCTGGGTTGGTGGCGTGGGTTTGATGAGTGGTTTGAGGCATGTTTGTTTCTTCTATGCGAATTGGATCTGGAGTAAGAGTTGATTGCTTTCGTGTGTTGGAAGCTGATCTGAATGTGGTCTTTTGGATGTGAAGATGAGAATAATGGTACAGTGGAACTTGCTTGTATTTGTATCATCTATGGACATCATGGAACAACCTGAGCGTCATGGCATGTTGGCAAACAATGATATCACTCACAACCTGATTGTGTCGATGACATTCAGGATGTGACGTTCTCTTTACGTTGACGGGTTGGGCCAAGAGCGAGTGGGTCTTGACATCCATGTCGTCTGGTATGGGGCACTCTGAGGCGGAGCATCACAATCAACAGGGTCCATCCTGCTTTGATGGCAACTGTAACTGCGCGCGTCGTCAGGTATTGCCACCTTGATGATCAATGCCTCTTGCTGCTCGATGCTCGGTAGTGTTCTCAGCCTGTCCGTGTAAGGTTGTGAGAGCTCAATGTGCATCTCTGAGGGCTTCTGGACCTGAATTTGGTGAGGGGGATCGATGACTAGAAAATCAAACTCATTGTATTCGTGATTGATAAGAGCTCTTTGAGCGTAATTGATTAAAGAAATCTAGATCTGGGTGCCGTTATATACACTCTGCCATTTCCCATCAACGACCGACTCAGAAGTCCTCTTCATACGAAATGTCCCATCTCTACGTCTAATAGCAGATTGGATTCGCCTCGTCAGTAAGATCGAAGACGACAGCGCTGTGTGGCTTAGCTCCACCGCGATTGTAGAACTCGCGAGGGAAGTCGATAGACCTGTTGAAGTTCAAGGCACCATTGTCCTCGATGTCGATGTACAATGCCTTGTAGTCGCCAGGAGTGTTGAGAATGCCGATGTCGCCAGTCTCAACGAAGTAGTCGGTCACAACGAGGTGCTTCTGATCTGGGGTGAGCTTGAGGTAGTGAGGTCCGAGAGTTGGTTGGTCCTCATCTGGGTCGTCGAGGCGCTTGACGTTGTTCAGGTCGGAGATATCGAGGGCGGCGATGTGGTTTGCGGTGGTGAGGGTGACTGTAAGGTGTCAAACGGGCTGCTAGCGAATGTAATGGGGAAGAAAGTTACTTACAGTATGCATACTTACCGTCCTTGGTGATGTCGGAGTAGATGGCCGTGGTGTCGCGTGCCTTCGGGCCGAGATCGTACAAGAGCTCGACACGACCTGGCTTTCCATTCTCGTCTTCTTGGAATGGATAGATGATCCAGACTTGACCAAGGTGCACGGCCGTGGCGATGGCTGCGGAGTCTGGGTTGCCTGGGATGAACTTAACATCCTGAATACCTCCTCCGTCAGGAATGGTGATAGTGTTGGTAATCTTTCGGTTGGCGAGGTCCCACAGGCGGAGGGTGTTTGCTCGTTGGATATCGAGGGATGGCTTCAGCACAGTGATTGGGACCACAAAGTCCGAAGTGAGCATGACATTGCGTTCGAAGTCAATGGACAAGCCGTGGGGAGAGAATTGCTCGCCAAGGATGTTCAAAGTCTGGAAGGGTCAGTATATTGCGCAGGCAGTGGGGGTGTGATTGGTATACTTACTCCCTCGACATCTTCAGGCCACTGGTGGATGATGTTGTACTCCGCATCGGTCTCGATGAGACGACCTGGGGAGGTACCCACTATTCCAAATCGTTAGCATAGTGCGTGCCGCAGAAGGGACCACTGCGAATGCCGCTGCGTCAGCTTACCGGCAGAGCCCATGTAGGTAATGAAGAAGCCACCGTCTGGCTTCGCCACGATCTCATCGGCAATGGAAGCCAAGAGTGCGCGATCACTCTTCTGGTACTTTGGCTCGTACGGGTTCGAGACATCAAAGTAGTATCCAGTGTCTTGAGTCTTGAGCAAGGACAAGAGACCACCACCCCAGATCGTCTGTCCGTCCTTGGAAACACCAAGGTGATGTGGCGAGTTGCCAGATGTGGGCACATCGACTACTCGGAGCAGAGTGCCAAAGGTGTCATCGTCAAGAGAGTACGATGCAAGGAAATCGGCGTGCTTGTTGTCACCGGCACCAGTCCAGAAGTAGCCAATCTTCTTTGGCTTGATGTTGCTTCCCTCCCATGGCGGTGATGGTAGAGGTGGCGTAGGAAGCTGCAGAATTGGGCGAGGAGGGGCGTTCTCAGAGATTGGCTCTGTCACGCCAGGAATGGCAGGAATAAGAGGTGGCAAGGAGATTTGGCGCTTGGATGGAACGCCAAAAGGGATGGCAGCGGAAGCCAATCCCACAAAAGCGGCGATCGAGAGCTTGGAAGAAGGCATTTTGAAAGATGCTTGTGGGTCCAAGCTTGATCTGATTGAGAGTGATTGAGATGGAATGAGCAGGTTTCCAGTCGAGACCAAGACTACTTATACCATGCTCAAAGTCGCATCAGCACACTCCGTTCTCTGAGATTTGAGTACCGCCATACCAGTCTCGACGAGTTGTGCAATCAGATCTCTTCTTGATGTCGCCTTTGCCGATCACGACCACCTACGTTGTCGTTTGCTATGGCACAATCCAGGACAAGACTTCCAAGAAAGCCAACGCATGAACGATATGTTCAGTCCGTTTTCCACAAAGGGCCAAAAAGGCTGCTACAGTGCAAGCGTAGTGAAGATCTGCGCAGCGGCGCATGTGTCACAATCCTTACTTCGAAGACGTTCTTGGCAGCGTTGAGCTGCACGAAGATCAGCTGGTCTCTGAACGATGAGATCTTGGAAGCCCTCAGATGCCACGGATCGCCATCAACAAGATGCGTGGGAGGACAGTTGAACCTGTCTTAACAACGGCGTGCCGTCGAAAGTTTGGGTTCACGGTGCAGCAGCCAAGTCCAATAGCGCCGGCGAGGTTCTTGGACAAGGCAGCGACTGTTGCATGGGAACTCATTACTCGAGCTGGGGTCCAAGCCATCAGGTATCGATATGTCTCAGAGGGCCGTCTTCGGACGTGAAGGGAACTCGAGCGTGCCATCAAGGGACACTCTAGGGTCTGGAACAGGAGACGAAGCCTCGAGATTTTCTCCAGCACACTCATGGCTGGCACGAGCATGGAAGGACAGGCTGAAAGCTCGCGCTTCGAATATCGATTCTCTGGGTGAAGATCTTCCCAGTCTCAAGCGAAGCCGCCGATGTAATCTTGGATGCAAATTTTCACTCAGACCTTGACCAGGCTTGGCCGCCGAGGGAGGACCTCTAGGGATCTTCTGAGGATACTAGTCTACCCGTCGCCAATGAGGAGACACTATGGGTTGACCCACAGCGAACATGGCGTGCTCCAGCGCCGGTACTGGACTGCACTCTCAGTTCGAAATGGCGAACAGTCAGCCACCGAGCAATTTCGCTTCAGCGATGCGACTGCTGCTGAAGGACTGAACGATGCTCCATATGACTTGTCACAAGTCCGGGATGGAAGTGGGCCCCTTGGCGAGAGCTGATCACTCCCGACCTGGTCAATGGATCTCATGCAATGCAGAAGATGCTTTGAGACATCCCACCGTTTCTCTCCACGCTAAGGCGGAGATTTTTTGAGAGCTCTAGTCCGCATGAACATGCCCTGCGCCGGCTCTTCGACGATCATGTCTGCTCACTGCTCGGACGCAACGGCTTCCGGAACCTTGGGTTGGCATACTGCTAGCTCGAGGAGCAAACGAATCATCTTCTGAGGCAGCATCAGATAACCCGATACCATCTCCGTGCAATACCCGACTCAGTCGATTGTGTCTCAACGCAGGAGCCACGCCAAGTATCGTGCTCTGCACTTTGGACACGGCTGAAAGTAGAGATCGACCACGACAAAGCAATGCAGATCTAGCATGACTGAGTGTGCTCCACGCCTCGCAGGGCTAGGGGACACTCGTCACGCACAAAGCTCGGAGCCGACCGTTTTCGTTACCAGGCCACGATGGCCTAGGAGAAGACGGCGGGCTCATTGCGATTACGACAATGTCTTCTGCCCGCTCTGATGCAATTCAGTATTCGATGGTGCTTGGGTCGAATCTCGGTTCACTCGAACTTGTCGGGGTCTGACGAGGTTCCATGTTCCATGTTGCCAAGGCGAGAAGTCAGCTGTTAAGATTGCGCCCTAAACGGAGTGCATCGCGCAGCAGGTGTTGTCACATGCGTGCAGCGTTCTCACCGCAGAGCCATAGACGTAAGAAGTTCAAAACTTCCCTTTTGGGACTCTAGCGCGAACTTTGGGCGGATGGCGACATCCACGGAGACGATGAGCTTTGCATGATTTCAAGGCTGCCAAGCCTCCATCGTCTGTCTCCACAACTCTTATAGGGTGCTTCAAGAATGATTGGCGTTTGCTCGTCTGGTTTATGGTATAAGGGCGACGTTGCCCAGCCTCATCAAGATTGAGATGCCAAGGATATCATGCCTGTTGCCATTCTGCGAATGCAAGTCGCCATCCAAGCTAGTCGCGTCGTTGCTTGTTGTTCCGGGGTGATCACGTCCGCATCAAGTTCAAGACGTCCTGTATCTGGTAGGATCTGCAGATGCACTGGCATGTTCGACGAATCCGTCGCTCAATTGAACCCACGAGGATGGAGATAGCGGCTCAAGGGTTGTGATTGTGATGGGACGTCTGCGAGGATCCGGGAGAACGCACTGTCTCTTGATGAGGACGCCGTCATGTGGTGATGTGTAGTTGCAGCCGCTGCAAGCGACCTCGAGAGCAAGGCCGCTTCGCAATTTAGGAGAAGCGTTCGTGCTCGCTGACGTCTTTTGCGTAACATCCCTCTTCAAGAGCAATCGATATCTCTGAACTTCTTCGTTTGTTCCATGTTTTCAAGGCAGGCGTAACTTTTGAAGTCAAAGAGCTGCACAAGACAATATGCGCCTAAGCCAGGTTTACGTCGGAGCAGTCCTGCTTGGTGCTGTCACTGCTACTCCAGTAATTGCTAGAGACGAGCCGCAGGTAGAGGCGCCTAAGGAAGCTTTCAAGTTCAAACGTGGACTGCCATCGACCACAGATTCGAAGCATCTGCGTCTAAACCTTGAAGTTCGTCAAGAGCAACCCATCAACACCGAGCCGGATACCAATGCTGCCGGATATTCTTCTGGCTCTTTCGCTCAAGGTCAGCCAGTCAACGATGCCAACGGAAGAGGCGCACCCATACTAGGTAAGCATCTCGATGCTTGGAGTTACTTCATCGCTGATCCGTGTAGGTGGTACGAACCGTGGCGTCGACATCCAGAACCCGAGTAATCTTGGTCAAGAATCTACCGATGCTGGTATCGTTCCGAACCTGAAATGGCGCTTCTCAGACAGCAAGACGCGGCTGCTGAAGGGCGGCTGGGTGCGTGAGCAAGTCGTTCAAGACCTGCCGCAGAGTCGAGACATTGCTGGCGCTCAGCAGCATCTCAAGAAGGGTGCTGTACGTGAGTTGCACTGGCACAAAGTGGTAAGTGAAGAAATTCCTCAGCAGTCCAGCAGAATCGCAATCGACTGACATGAATAGGCTGAATGGGGCTTTGTGTATTCGGGACGTATTGGAGTCTCTGCTGTCGATGAAGATGGCCGCAATTCCTATGACGTCCTTGGCGTAGGCGACGTTTGGTACTTTCCAAAGGGTGCCGCCCATACCGTGCATGGTCTCTCCGATGAGGCCGAATACTTGCTCGTCTTTGATGAAGGAGATTTCGATGCTTTTGGGACCACCTTCAACGTGGATGACTGGATCTCACACACTCCAAAAGACGTACTGGCGAAGAACTTCGGTAAGCCAAGACTATACACGCTACCGATTCCGTGCTAATGGTATTAGGTGTAAACGCATCACTCTTCGACACTGTGCCTTCTCCAAACCCTTACATCCAGGCCGGCAACCAGGGCCTTGCTGCTGAGACCGAAGGCGTCGAATATCCAGTGGGAGATCTCAGCGCAAATGTCAGCAGCACCTACGTTCGTTTTGCGAAAGACGTCCCAGTCATCCAAGCTCCAGGCGGTGGTGGTACAATCCAGATCTTTGACAGCCGCAACTTCCCCATTTCGACAACAATTGCATCTTCGATCGTCACGATCAAGCCTGGTGGTCTTCGCGAACTGCACTGGCATCCAACAGCCGAAGAGTGGGTGTACTTCGCTCAGGGTCAAGCTCGGGCCACTGTCTTCATGGGCAGCGGTGCGGCGAGGACTTTCGACTTCTTTGCTGGCGATACTGCAGTCTTTCCCGACAATAGCGGTAGGGAACCTTTTCAGATGTATGCTATTGCGCTGGCTGACTTTCACAGGACATTATGTCGAGAATACCTCCGAGACAGAAGACCTCATCTGGATCGAGATCTTCAAGGCAGATCGCGTTGCGGACATCTCTCTGACGCAATGGCTTGCTCTTACTCCAGCTCCGCTGGTCGCTCAAGTCTTGAATATCTCCATCGATGCCGTGAAGGGGCTGAAGAAGGAGAAGCAGCTCATCATTGCTTAGCTAGCTGCAGTTCCTACAGAGTGACAGCCCTGTACTGTGAAACGCCTTAGCATCATAATCTTAGTGTTATAACATATAATCATGGCGAGTCTGTATTCAGAGCCGCCCCCAGCAAGAAATCTTCGCTATAGTGCTTGAACACTTCATCTCTCATCAGCTTTCGTGGAGCTCGTCGACCTGTAAATAATTCGAATTGCGCAAAGGCCTGCTCTGGCAACATGTCGAGCCCGTCCATAAGAATCCAGCCCTTGCTCTGTATCTGTTGTACTTGGACGACCAGTGGTGTTACGATGGGCATATATGCCAGCTGTCATGTACATTAGCGATCGTCAAACTAACGGGCTCAGCGCTTCTTACCTCGACTACGACTCCACCAGTACGGCTGCCCAGCCACTCTTTAGGCAGTGTGAAATTCGTAGGCATGCCATCGAGTGTCTGTGTTGGAATCGTGCTGACTACCATTGTCGGATGGCGCATATTTTTAGGCCACTCTGCTTGAAACGAGTCCAATGCTGTCACTGTGGTGTTGGCAGCATTACTCGGACTGAGCTCAGCAATCCCATTTGCTCGAATCAGCCGGTTGTAGTGCTCTGCAAGCTCCTCTGCATTTCCCTTCGTCCTGTTGCAGACGAAGATATTCTGTACCCCCAGTGAAATCATGGCATAAATGGCTGCTCGCGCCATGCCTCCAGCTCCACATACGAGTCCTGTAGACTGTGGTCGTACAGTGTTTGCAGGCGATAGTCCGCGACGAATACAAGCCCGAATGCCGATCCAGTCCGTGTTATCGCCGTAGAGTGCTTTCACCGGTCCTGTTCGATTGCGTTCTCGGAAAATGCCAACATCACTAGAGATAGATGCGATGACACCCTCGTCTCGCAGCGGAATAACTGTATTTAGAGCTCCGATTGCTTTGGCATGAGGGCTCAGTAGGTCCATCATTGGTAAGGTCCTTGTTTTGAAAGGCTGCACAATGGCTGCCCCACCAAAGTCGTGCTCCCGAACCAACGTCACGAAGTCCTCCAATGTCGATGCTGAGTGCGTTCGATATGAGTGGGGCATCCCCATAGCTTCATACGCAGCATTGTGCATCGCGGGCGACAAAGAGAAGCTGACATTGGCCCCATAGATGAGAAAATGCATGGGCTCATGGACGAAGCTTGCAAATAATGCCTGACTCCGTTCTTTCGCAGTCACGAGCGGCAGTTGTTCTAAGCTCTGACCACTGGCGGGAGTCATTGGCTCCGGAACTGCGACAGGCGGAGCCACTGGAGTCAGTATGTTGTTGAAGCACATTGATGTTCTTCCTTGTCTTCCGGTGCAATAGGCTATAAGTCGCGGACCTTTGCCATCGTTCAGTGTCTGCACGCGCTGCTGGAAAGCCTGGATCGCGAAGTTGTCTGTGAGATTACCGTCTGGCATTGTAATCTTCACTAGCTCACAGCCAAGACCGGAGGCCTTTTCGTAGACGTCCATGCAGGCCTGGCCCGACCAGCCATCGCTGATGCGTTGGTCGGCGATGTATTGTCCGATGACCTGTTGATAGTCAGCAAGTATTCGTGCAACTCACAAGCCACTGCCATGTTTCTCTTTGCCCGTATCATTGGGGAAATGGGCAACACTTTGTGAGAGACATTACTCACCCTCGTTCGTCCTTTGCCTCCGAGTAAATGCGTCAGCTGTGCCTCGTCCAGCGTCAAGTCGAGTGTGCAATACTCTGGCCCAAGCCGGAAACAGTATTCGAGTAGCTCTGCGCGCGATAGTTGTTTTTGCCTGGCATCTCGTGCATCGTGGGCGATGTCGATGACTATTGGCAAAATTGTTGACCTTCTCAAAAGGGCAAATGCTTCTCCGATAAGATTGAAACAGCTATGTTTACCCAAGCGCCAAGTGTCCCCTTGCGCTGGATTTATGTTGACTTCGAGCTGTATTGCATCAACGCCAATTTGAGCCTCGTCCAGATCAATGCGACGCGATACCACATCTTCGGCCGAGAGTGTGACTGCCGATGTGAATTCGAGTTTGTCGACACTCATTTGCGAGAGTGGGTAAGCAGATTGATGAGAGCGGCCACGATCATGGTCTCCGATTATATTTCGCAGCAGTTTTAGAAAGTCGTGCTCCGTCCTCTTGAGCGTCAAGAAGGGCCCATTTGAGGCTCGACTTGAGGGATGACGAGGGCCTTCATTTGGAGACAAGCTGTCAATGGTCTCGGAAACATTGTAGAAGTCGTAATTGGAGCAGTCCTGCAAAAGACCTTCGGATGCCCGGATAACATCTTGTATGCGTTCCTCGGACCAAATTCGTATGTAATCATGGATGCCGGCGACATCTCGTCTCACATAGATCACAGGGTGTGATTGCGCCCAGTCTCGAATAAGCTTGGCTCCTTCGCCTTCGAGATCTGCAAAGCTACAAACAATGACCGAATTCTTGCTGTTGGTTTCCAGGAGACGTTTGAGCACTTCATAGTGCGTGTGCTGATATTCTGCTGGGCCGTGTAGTTTTCGATACGCAGTTCTGCTCGATCCAGTTGCTTCTGAGAACGCTCTATCTGATTCGACGAGTCGGCGACTGTAAGCAGACGCTGCCAGAAATCCTAGAGAACTTTTCCCGACACCACGAACACCAATAATCAGGATGGTAGCATCAAAATTGAACATGACTTTGCGTGGTCGGGGCTCCAGCCTATTGGCAGCTCCATTTGGCGGAGTAGGCGTGGCGCTCGTTTCTCGTGATATTGGTCTTTGCTGCAGAACCTCTTTCGTGTTCGATCGTGGAGACATCATCGAGTCGGCGCCTCGCATGTCCCTGTAGGACCGTTTCATTCCGGCGTGAACAGCAGTCATTGTGTTCATACCGGACGGCGTACAGTTGACTGCTCACTTCGTTTTGAATAATTAGACTTAGACTGGCCTTAGAGTCTTGCCACGCCGTGGCACAGATACATGTGCCTGTATTCGAGTGACCGGAATATCAATCCGGCAGGCCAATTAATGCAGGCCAGTCACCCAGTATCTGCGTGCAGTATCTCCAGATCCGTAACCTCGGGAGATCGTTTTGATTCTTGTAAAGCTGCTTTACGGCGTAGATCCAGATCGTGGTTATTTGTGGTCAGGCGTGCAGAATGAGTGAAGTTCCAGTCGCGTTTGCCGCACCTTTGCTATCGCCATTGATCTGCCCATGAGCAGGTGAGAAGTCAGGTCAGGTGAATGTGTTGCATAGATGCAGAGTGGATCTGCCCGCACCCCAGAGTCTAGACATTTGCCCGTCGAACCTGTCCAACTTGCCAAATCGATGTTGCGCGGAGAAGGAGCAATTTCGGGCTATGACATTATCCGGGCGACGTCCGCCAGATCGCGCTAGTCAGCAGAAGCCAATGAGACAACGCGCAACGAAGGCCCTTCTCCTCACTCCGCATTGGCCCGTGCATTGTCGGCAGTGGAGCGGCCACGGAGAGACGTGTCGACGCAAGGCTTGAATGTTGACTCCCAAATACAGCCCAGAGCCAGCATGGAGGCCTGCTCTTCGGTGCCAAAGGATGAAGCGTGAGTAGACGACATTTGCGACCCTGAATTATCTACAGAACAAGCCATCGGACGAGAACAAGAAACCCACAAAACAAGCCCGATACACATCCAGACCTTCTCTAGAGCTGCTCAGAAATTGAAGCGGCGACTCAGGCTCGAGGACGACGTTCAAGCTTCCAACCCATTGAGAGGCGAGGATCTGCCCTTTGGTGGACTTCGAAGATGCGTCCGATGTAGCCAAGCCTCATCATGTTGGAAGTCAGTCGAGAATTTCCCGGAGATGGTCATGACCCTGTAGCGACCGGAAGTAAGAGACCTTCAAATGGAGATGCGGCACAGAGGGCGAAACGAGTTCGAGTGTCACGTGCATGTGACCAATGTCGAGCTGGACGAGAGAAATGTGATGGCGCCCGGCCATGGTGCCAAACATGCGAATCGCAGGGGCGGACATGCACATATAACGAGCAGCCCAAGAAGCGAGGCATACAGCCAAACTACATCAGGACTCTTGAACTCACCTTAGCTTGGGCCTTTGAGAACTTTCCGGACAGCGAGAAGCGTCTCTCACAGCTTCTTCCGAACACACAGGCACGAGCGCACCAGTTGATTGCATGGAAGGACACCATCCCAGCAGAGGGCTTGCACAATGTCTGGAGAAACAGTATAGTGTGCAAACAGATTGATCAGATGCTGTCTGGTGCTGAGATTGAGCTGCCACGAATCCCACAATCTGGACACAATCGACAAGCCTCATATACTGAGGAAAGCGACCCCCAAAGGTCGTATCAGTCACCGCCAATGTCAGCACCTTCGGACGGGAGTCTGCTTCCGCAAGGACCTATCGAAGCACCAGCCGCCACGGCGAGTGCTGTTTCGCCCAGAGAAGTGAGCTCTGCTCCTCGACCTGAAGTTACAGCACAGTCCCAGGTGGCAACGTCTCAGTGAGTCTCTCAGCTCTTCAATAGTTCCCATGAAATCGAAAACTTGTCTTAGTCTGTTTCTCTGACATCTCAACAGAAATGTAGCACCCGACGAGGACCTGCTCAAGCTCCCTAAAAGCTCGTGGTTGCTGCTAGAGCACTACTTTGCATTCACACATACATGGCTGCCAATGGTTGAGCGTCATGATGTTCTGAAACTCATGTATTCTTATCCCCATGAAGGCCTACGTCGAGAGGACACAACAGTATCCGGGCATGCTGAGCTTTGGAGCATAATGGCCATCGCATCGCTGCAGAATGGGGCCACAGCAGATTTCGAGTATTGTCGCGGTATTGCGAGATCACTGATCCCACGCGAGCACGGGTTTCAGCTCGGTCATATCAAGTGTCTGCTTATACTTGGCCTGGCAGATATCATGCAGCAAGCATGGGTCTCAGCTTGGCTGGTATTTGGCTCCGCAATTCGTCTGCTGACTCACTTCAATTTCGGCAAAGGCACAAGAACGACGCTCTTCGAAGGGCGAACAAAGCACACTCTTTTGGCGGCTTTCGTTCTCGAGCGGGCAGTCGCCTCGCAGACTGGCGCGGTCACCCATATTAGGCCTGGAGATATCCAGAACGTGGGCTTCCTGATCGAAGACGGACTAGAAGAGTGGTCACCATGGCAAGACCCACAAGCCAGCTCAAGTACAGCCAAATCGCCGGCGAGGTCGATGAGCACATTCAATGAACTGGTCCGGTTGTCATTCCAAGCCCCTGGGGATCTGGACCCGAGCTCTCCTCAATCGGCGAATGCCTTCTCGCTCCTTGGCGCGATACTTGGTCTTCTCCGCAATGCCAGTGACAGTAGCAAGCGCCTACATCCTCAGCAAGCCCTCGCAAATGCGAGGGCGACTAGTCTAGTAGACACGGTCACGCCACAGGAGCACACACGTACTGGCTCGACGTTGATAGACTTCTCTTCACCTTTCGTCGATTCAAATTATCCATTTATGAGCATACCGAACGACAGAACGCAATCGCTGGTCACTGACAACCTTTCGGGCTCGATGCAGCCCATAGCAGGACCAAGCCAATGGAACAGCAATAATAGAACTGTAAACGATCTTCAAGAGGCTGCGAGCGCTGCAGGAGACCCAGGCACGGTCAACAGTGCGCATGGAGCGGACATTTTCGAGGAATTGGCTATGCTCGATCGCACAGATTCGACAGGCAACAATGATTTCATGCAGAATCTAGGATTTGGCCCAGATCTGGATCTCGCGGAATTCTTTGGTGCTGATTATCAGCCATCGGATCCTTTACTTACATATATGCGGCCAAATACTTACAATGGCACTGGCCAGGACTTCGACGCATCTGGAGATGGCGCTGGTTGAAGACGTGAGCTAACGGAGACCCAAAACACACCCGAAATTGTCCACTACTCTAGAGTCTTTGGAGAAAGCAATTTTCTCGGGGACGATGCTTAGTCGCTGAGCGAACGAATGTGCGACTAGCCATCGAACAGTCGTTGAGGGAAATTAAAGAGCCCTCTGGCATGCGCCTGCAAATCTGAGTGCAAACGAACGAATTCGACAGCCTTCCGAGAAATGTCAGCGCATGGCGACTGCAGGCTGAGGAGAGAATATGCGGATGCAAAGCCACGTGCATGAAACAGGTCGAGTGGCATATATTGGCCAATGTGACTTCAGCGGCCGCGGAAAAATTGATAAAGCCTGCAATGTGTTACAATACTCCACGATTCGTCGACGATGGCAACATATTTGAAGGCAGGCATGGATCACGAGAAAGAGTGCTTCATGCACTACCATTACTATTCCAGATCTCTGGGTATCTAAGCTGATCTGGCTCTAATAATTCTAAGTCTATCATGACGCTTGATGGTTCGACTGAAACCCCCTCACAACAGTATCACAATTGCGCTCTCGGCGCTCCTTCCACGGCAGATTGGCTGGTGCTCACAGATCTTGTCCGCCTGTTGAGCCCAAAGTCTTCTACGATCTTCTGCCATGACACCGCTGCACGCTGGGCGTGCTCTTCCGGAACACTCGGACTTGACTCTGCGAGACTTCGATTGAACATCTCCGCGCTGATGTATCCCTCAAACCCAAGGTCGACAAGCAGTGCCTTGAGAATGGCGTAAATCGGGAGATATGCACCTCGCTCTTGTTCACCATAGAATAATCGGCAGTTCCTCGACCAGCTCATTCGTGCGCATTGCTCCGGGTTGTAGAACTCGTGGCCTTCCAATAAAGGCTTCTCCAGCTTCTCTGCATCGACCACTTGGATGTATGCGATCTTTGCGACGTCGACTGTTTGCACCATACGCTTTAACGACGCTGCCATATCCGCATCCGCATTCTGTGTCTTCCCATCAGGCGACGTAGGATCGGCATAGACTCTTCCGGCGAAGTTATATGTGTCGAAGCATATCCCAAAGTTTGGTCGGTCCACTCGCTGCACGATCTCCCATACTTGCTCCCATCTGTCGACGTGTGTCCCCCAAGCCAAGGCTTCGTATGCGAATTGTATGCCTTCGGGTGCTCCGAGATCTGCTACCTCTCGAAGGTCTGCTGTGATGAGATCCACATCTCCACTCACTTCGTCATTCGAGAGGCATGTCGAGGGAATGGCGATGAGATTCGTTCCGAGGATATGTGCCATTTCGACCCAGAGCTTCATCTCCTCGATTCGTTCCGCATGTCGTTGTCGGTCTCGTAGGCCATCATAGTGCATGAACGGTTGCAGGCACATAATAGCGATACCCCGGTCGTCACATAGTTGGCGGATATATCTGGCCGCTCGGATGTGGTTCTCTGGTGTCGCGCCTCCAGGCAGTTCCTTCGCTACGTAATAGAGGTCTTCGTAGAAGAGTTCGAGATCGAAACCGTAACGTGCAGCTTGATCCAACTTGGAGGGCATATCATGGACCCATGCTCGGCCAAGACTGTGGGAGCATATCGCTGGTCGGCAAGACATGTTGGATGGCAATTCTTGGAAGTCTTGAAGGAGTAAGAACTAGCTTGTCTTGTGGCTTAAACAGAGTTTGAAGCGATTGTAGGAAGATGTTATATTCACAAGTGAATGTTACGTTGCGAGTTTTGATGAGGCATGCGGCATAGTGAATGCCTGTGCAGGCGCGGGTATGTGTAGTACGACATCGCGTAGCATCACAGCGTGTATCAGTTCATCAACCCTGTCAACAGACCCACCTGCTTCATAGGGAGTTTTTCATATGCATCCGAATCGAGGCTGAGCTGAAGAGGTGTGTCCCGCTCAGTGGTGATGCTGCAAGTGAATGGCCGAGAGCTTGACGGGACAGCGTTCCTCCTGCGGAAGAGTGTTGTACAGCGCCAGGGATAAACGCAGAAACGAGCGAACAGGCCTCGGTGGCGTTCGGGTCTTGGCGCGAAAGTCTAAACTTAGCTCGAACAGGAGGCGTTCCTTCGGTGCGACTCCAGAATACGATGGTGTTGAGATAATATCATGCTGCATTTGGAAGATGAGTGGAGGTTGCGCCCAAACGAGCGCCCAAACGAGCGGCCTTCACATTACTGAGGACCATGCGAATGGTCGCTTCTTGGCCGGACTGGCCGCCGAGCTGTGGAAAATTGTTATCGCCAATATTCTTCCCTGACTAGCCCATAGTGCTCACGATATTTGGACATGGGTCCATTGCGAGACGGTGTCGCATCCTACCAGCCACTATCACGAATTCAAGATCTTTCCGAAAGAATGAGCGCTCCTTCCACGATCACGATAGCCATCATCGGGGCTGGCCTAATTGGGCCGAGACATGCACAGAGCGTGGTTGCCAATGAACATGCCACATTATACTGTTTCGTGGATCCTCGCCCGGAAGCCATATCAGTAGCTGAGGCATTCCATGTGCCAGTATTTCCAAGCATCAAGCACATGCTTCTCGAAAAGGGCAAGCCCGACGGAGCACTCGTATGCACGCCTAATCACACGCACATCTCGCTCAGTCAGGAGTTACTGGAGGCAGGAATTGACGTTCTCGTTGAAAAGCCCATAGCTACGGAAATCTCGAGTGGAAAGGAGCTGATAGAGACTGCTAGGCGGACCGGGGGAAACTTGCTCGCAGGTCATCATCGTCGGTTCAACTCTTATGTTGTCTCCGCGAAACGTGCGCTGGCCGAAGGCATCATTGGTAAACCTATAGCCATCTCCGGACTCTGGGTTCTGCGAAAGCCGGCCTCGTACTTCGAGCCTCCGACGGAATGGCGTAGTATTCCAGGCAAAGGTGGCCCAATTCAAATCAACTTAGTTCATGACCTTGACATTCTGCAGTACCTCCTCGGACCCATCATACGGGTTCACGCAGAAAAGAGTATATCCCAGCGGTCTTACGAAGCGGAAGAAGGAGCAGCCATTGTTCTCCGATTCGCATCAGGGGTGGTTGGAACGTTCATCCTCGCGGACAATTGTCCTTCCGCGCACAATTTTGAGAGCGGCACAGGAGAGAACCCGACGATTCCCCAGGCGCACAAAGACTTTTACCGGATATTCGGTAGTCAAGGCACGCTGAGTGTCGGCGATATGAAAATCTCGAAGCATGACGAAGGAGAGGAGAAATGCTGGGCTGATCCGGTGCGTCAAAGCGAGCTCACGGTTGAGCCTCGCGTGCCCTTTGATGAGCAAATGAAGAATTTTGTCGATGTCATAAGGGGAATAGCAGAGTCGAACTGCACTGGTGAAGACGGTCTGAAAGCTCTGATTGTTTGCGATGCGGTCAAGAGATCTATGGAAGCAGGACTGCCAGTAGACATTGCAGCTTGATTGAGATTGTGCCTACACTCTTGTAGTTGGGACAAACGCACGCCGGCCATCCGCGAACAAGTGCATTGTCATTTTCTGTCTCCAGGTCCTGATGTTCTGCGCATGCCTCTCGTTCCACCGTCTGATGCCCTTGAACACATGTGTGTCATAGGGCCAAATGCGAGCATGCATAACAAGAGCTCTGCTACCAGTGAGAGGAGGGAGGCCGTCGCAAGAAGTGGAACACACAGCATTCGTGAAATGGTTTCTCATACATTCATGCGCGAGAGCTATGCTCAATCGGCCGTCAATGATCTATGCAGAATATGCTCAAATCTCATGCTACTGAGAACATAACTTTCATATTATCCTTTAAAGCAAAGTCGTCTAAACGGTGCTGTTGCGCTCGCTGCTCGTCTCAATCATGTCCGTCTTCTCCTTCGCGGCTGTCAGGCCGGCACCGTCCACATTGTGTCTGAACTCAGCATCTCTTGATTGGTCCTCTGCAATGATGATCTTGTTCGCCTTGCGCACTGGCTTGATTTCGAAGAGGCGGTCCATGGACTCGAGTGGAATGGACTTGGTCTCTGGAAGCAGGAACCACACGAATACGATGGAGAGCAACATCATGCTGGCGAAGAAGAAGAACACTCCGCATCCGCTGTTGCCCATGTTGATGAACATTTGAGGAGTGAATCGAGAGATGATGAAGTTCTGGAAAACCTTCGTTAGCATGCTGAAGTCAGAAAAGCTGTCAATAATTGAGACTTACCCAGAACCAGTTGTTGGCAGAAGCAGAGGCTTGGCCAAGACCACGAGTATTCATGTCGAACATCTCAGAGTTGATGACCCAAGGAGTACCGTTCCACGATGGAGTGTAGAAAGCCGTCCAAAGATAGAAGAAGAACATGGCTGCAATGCCTCCGGAGCTGAGACCAGAGTTCGCGGCTTCTGCTTGAGCAGCAGCAGAAGTATCAGTTGTGCTGATGTAGCCACCAATGATCCCTGTTGTACAGTTAGCATTGCACAACGAGAATTTAGAGCATACGCTGTGCTGCACTTACACATGCAGACAGAGCCACCGGCAGCTCCGATCATGAGCAGGTTGCGTCGACCGAGGTTGTCAATGAGCCAGAACATCCAGACGAAAGTAAGCACAGTCTTGACAACACCAAAGATGCCAGTAGTCAAAAAGCCTGCGTTGACTCCAGTAACACCAATGGCCCTGAATACCGTGGGCGAATAGTAGTTGATCGCGTTGATACCGGATCCGTTCTGCCACATGAACAGCAGACCACCAAGAAGGAAGCGCCATTGCACCTTGCGACTGCGGCCGACTGCGATGAATGGCTTCCAGAATCCAAGACCGATATCAGCTGCTTGGGCTTCCAAAGCAGCATCCATCATGGCCACTTCTTCGACAATGTAAAGGTCATCGGCTGGGAGATTTCGGATCCAAGTCAAATTCTTGATCGCCTCTGCACGCCTGTTCCTGCTCAAGAGCCATCGAGGAGACTCGTGCAGCCAGAAAGCTCCGATGAGAAGGAGGCCAGCTGGAATAAGCTGGACCGCGAATGGGATGAGCCACTGCTTGCGGCTGGGTGCCATTGTTTCCTGCAAGCCATAGTTGATCCAGAAGCCAACCAGGCCACCGATCTGCCATCCCAGCTCATAAATTCCGACGATTCGGCCTCGCACTGCTGGCGGAGAAATTTCCGAAATGTAAATGGGCGTCAGCATAGATGCTGCACCGACACCAATTCCAGCCAGGACACGTCCAGCGTAGATCAAACCAAGGCCACGGTCTCCATTGGCGCCCAACATCATGCCGGCGCCGAGGATGAATACTAGCGAGAAAAGGATCAAGCTGTATTTCCGGCCAACAAAGTATGCTGAAGGGTACGCGAAGAGAGAACCGAAGAATGCGCCAGCCTGTAACAATGTTAGAGTCGAGTACCCATTCTTGCCCTTGATGGTTACTCACCTGGTAGATGGAGACAATGTTTGCCTTGACGAGAGCCAATGCTGATGTTGACAGAGATGGGAAGTCGAACTCATCGACAAAGGATGGCAAAGCCAATGTCGTGCCGATGAAGGCACTATCGTAACCAATCATGCATGATGCGAAAGAAGCAACAGCAGCGCATGCGTAGACTCTCCAGTTGTAGACCGCCTTCGGCGTCGGTCGGTCCTCGACCAATGTTAGGAATCCTCCCATGTTGGTATCTGTTCTTCTTGCTGTCGATATCGAATGGAAGAATGTCCTTGAGACTTGCTTGAATGCCCGAATGGAAGACGAGTTGTGTCCAAGGACCGGGGGAGGGCAATATGTATGTAGGTGGTATGCAGTGTTTTAGCTCTAGAATCTGGGGTCTCCGCACGTGGAGAAAGGTCGAATGGATGAATTAAAGTCAGTACATTGTCATCATTCTCCTGTCGGATATGACCCAGACCAGAGAAAAGAGATTTCCCATGTGCAGAGCACGATGGCCCAGCCTTTAGCCACGCCGGGCGAAGTTCGCTAGCACATGGCAAAAGCGGAGTCTGGTGCCGAACGTGGAGAAAAATGAGGGTCCGTCAAAGACCGCACAGCTGAAGGACCAGTGAGAGCTCGGATTTCGATGGGGATCATTTCTTTGCCCCGAGTGGAACCTGGACCATTGCCCGAATCGTCAAAGGCCACGCGAATGACCTGAGCCATGCCAGAAGTTATGCATGGTTGCATTTGCTGGCGCCGGGTGAGACGCAACCACGGCTTCGACAGAAGAAAGATCTGGTCGGCATTGAGCTGACTGCTGCATTCTCACGACTCTTCTGCTATTGTTGACACGATTGTCCGTAGGACTTGCTCATCAAGAATTTCTGTTTCTGTCAAAATCATCAAATCCTTGCCGACTCGCCAAGAAACCATCAGTAATCGAAGAAATCAGCGGACGGAGAAGCAAAATGGAGATGCAACAAGAAAGCAGTATCATCACCGCTCCAGCGCCACAGGTCGATCAATATGAGCGTCATGGCTATCTCTTCGGATACCCAATCGCACACTCATACTCGCCGCTACTACACAACACGGTGTTTCAAGAACTGGGACTGCCATGGAGTTTTCAACTACTAGAGTCGACCGATATGTCACAATTCTTGTCGCTCGTAAAGGACCGGAGACTATACGGTATGAGATTAGTTGAAGTGTGGAATGCTAAGAACTACGCTGATCATTATCAGGCTCTGCCGTGACAATGCCTCATAAGGTGGCGATAATACCACACTTGGACGAACTTACAGACGAGGGCAGAGCCGTCGGAGCCGTGAATACCATTTTCCTTCGAGACGGCAAGTATGTTGGAACAAACACCGACACCATCGGCGTTCGAGAGAGCTTCTTCCAGAATATTTCGAATCCTGAGGAGGTCTTCCTTGGGAGGCCTGGCCTCGTCGTTGGTGGCGGCGGCGCTGCACGCTCAGCAGTATATGCCCTCGTTGCGTACATGAAGTGCTCGACAGTGTACCTGGTAAACCGAGATCCAGCAGAGGTGGAAGCAGTGATGTCTTGGTGTAAGTCGGAAGGTTATGGCGACGGACTTGTCCATGTGAAGACAGTTGCCGAAGCAGAAGCATTGGAAGGTGCAGGCGCGATCGTAGCATGCGTGCCGAACTTTCCTCCGGTGACAGAGGCTGAGAAGGAAGCGAGGCGGATAACAGAAGTTTTCCTCAACAAGTCTCACAAAGGCGCTATGCTTGAGATGTGCTACCATCCATCACCCTGGACAGAGCTGGGTGGACTTGCAGAGGCAGCAGGTTGGAAAGTCATTCTTGGGACGGAGGCGATGATCTATCAGGGATTTGCGCAGCATACTCTCTGGCACGGGCGGACCATTGAGCAGCTTCCTGTTGAGGAGGTCAAAAAAGTCGTTGCGCATGCGTTATCTCAGGCGAGGTTGTAGAAAGACTGTATAAATATGAAGCGCTCCTTCGAGGTGCTAATTTGTGGCCATTACGCTGTTAGAGTTGTTGTATTTCTGTCGCAGTCGTACCTCATATACCAGGTCGGGTATAGTCCAGGCTCTCCACGCGCCGCCATACTTCTCTGACAGTTCGTTCCTGGCTTTGTCGTCCTGTCTCGGAGGCCGAATCGCCTGCAGGCCGAATGGCTAGATAAAGTCTGCTTCCCAACTTAGCTTCTGGTACTGCGGCGTTCAAGTAGTCTTCGGGCGGATTTGCAGTCGTAATTAGACCGCCTGCTTCCTTGAGTATACAGACACCAGCAGCGACGTCCCACTCCCTACCATATTGTCAGCGTTTATGAGACCACAAGTGGAAGTACCGTTGGCTGACCAGCAGCCACCTTCCCACCAGATGTCAAAGCCTCCCATGGCTACGTAGCATAAATCGAGCGTTGCAGAGCCTAAGCTTCGGACACCATGTACCATTCCTCCTTTGCCTTGCCGGCCCCCAAGCTCAGCTGCCATGTTAATGAAGCTGGAGACTTTGCGATGCATATTACCATCAGGTATATCTCTTCGGTCCTTGCCCTGTTGGGGGTCAGATTAGCAGGGCAAACCCTCTTGTCGTGATGGCATTCATACCCATTCGCAAGAGAACACGCAACCCTTTGGCGCAGTCTCAGGCATCGCCGGTATAGGATTTCTTGCCAGTGGAAGTGGTGTCTTCTCATTCAACCACGCGCCTTTGCCTCGACAAGCGGTGAATCTGCGTTATTCAGCTCCGGTGCACTGGTTTGTAGCTTGTGAGTGGCAGAGCTTACAATTGCTTCAGAAATGGCGCATTCACAGCGCCAACAACAGGCTCGCCATTCCACAGAAAAGCTATCGAAACGCAATAGAATGGCGCCAGGTGGATGAAGTTAACCGTGCCTAAGTCCTTAGCCTCTGCGGAGTCGTGCTTCTTGTGCGGAGGTCATACCGTCCAGCGGATCGATGCACCACGATGGGCCTTTCGCAGGTATCAGATATTCTTTGGATTGTCCTTTGGAATACGACTCTTCGCCAACGAAGCTTACAGGAGTCAGCTGTGCGAACAAAGCCAGATTGCACTCAGAACGACAGCTGAAAAGATGTGAACTCACGCATGAGATGGAAATTTGGCTTGTACGCTTTGACGAATGAATGCTTCCACATCTAAGAGGGAAAGAAAGAGATTCAATCAGCAGGAGCATGATGATAAGATTCAGAGTTTCTCATCACTTCGTGTCCCAGCGAAAGGGCACAAAAGCAGTCCAAGGAAAACCCCACCATGCTTCGAAGAATTGAGGCTGACACCACGACCTACCTTCATCAGTCTGCGTCACCAAATCGACTGCTGACTCCTTCTCCACGTGCCCTGCTCCTGCTGAACCTGAACGAGCCTCAACGGCATCGAGGAGCATTTGTCCCGCTTCTTTCGCCAGTTGTGTGGCGTGGGCATAAATTTCTTCGAGCTGAGCGTCGCTCAGCGTCTCGGTGGTCATATTCTTGCTTGACTTTAATTCCAGTTGTGGAGCTTTGGGATGTTGCTCGTGTCAAAGAGTGGATGTTTCGGGCAAGATAGGCGGAAGTCCGTGATGACTTCCAATGGTGGCTTGGCATTGGCAAAGAGCTGGCGAAGGAGCGAACAGGGTATCAGGATGAAGAACAGCACTACTGCATGTATTCACAATTACTCTGATTGTTGATGAAAAATATCTTTTGCTAGTCTACATCAGGTACGGGCAGTCCATTCCACAACTTCATCTTCAACCCCAACGCCTTAGTAGCCTCCAGAGCATTCTTCTCTCTCAATTGCTTCGACTCATCATCGGTGACTAACACAAAGTCATATGTAATCAGCTTCGACCCAGGCTTGACCCCATATTGCTTCACGTGCTCATCATCCACGGTCTTCAGGTCGATGATCAAAGACTCCTTCACGCCAAAGACAGCGTCACTTGTCTCGTACGGATCACCTCGAAGGTAAAGTGCCCTGCGAGTAAGTCAGCATCTGGCAAGTATGGCACTTGCAGCAGCCCCACTCACGTTATCAAATGATCGTAACCACTCTTCTCAAACATGAAATGCATGTGGCTCGGCCTATAACAATGCCTCTTCAACTGTACCAGCAGTTTGCCAACCGGGCCATCGTGCGGTATAGGATACGGCACAGGCACGATGGCCTTGAACCAGAACACACCCTCTTTATCACTATGCATCACAGCTCTTTGATCTGGACCTTCTCTTCCCGGATACTGCACATCGTAGAAGCCTTTGCTGTCCGTCTCCCAGATATCGATCTTCACGCCTTCGACCGGCTTGCCGTTCGTGTCTCTGATAGTGCATAGCACCAGGCAGGGCTCTCCGTCAGGATCATGGGCGATCTGAGAGCCATTGGGAGCCGCCTCGGCTTCGTGAGAGTGGAAAGGCCCGAGGACTGTGCCTTCCGTGGAGTGCGAAGGTTTCGGGTGATCGATGCTGTCGACGAGGAGGGAGAGGCCGAGGATATCGGAGAGAAGGATGAATTCCTGATTGAGACTCGACTTAGCATATCTGAGCATATGCGACATCATCGTGCTCGCTCACCTGTCGAACATCTGTGCAAATCTGGCCAACTGCTGTCAAGAACAGCAATCCGGTCATCCACTCCTCGTGGCTAAGACGCGTTTCGCGTGCAAAGTCATGCAGGTGCTGGACTATACGATCGAGAATGTATTTAAGCCTTGGATTTGGGCACTGCGAGTTGATGAGTTTGACATTGTCTGTGATGTTGTCAATAGTGAGATCCTTGAGCGGCGGGATGTCAACTTGTGAAGGATCCATGATGGCTGACTCTTGACATCGTTACAAGGGAATGCTCTTGTTATTTATTGGTCTACTGACAATGCCACGAGCTGGGTCAATTAGCAATGTTTACGAAAGCATGATTAACTGTTGCTCCGTCACCATGGAATTGCCCCGCGACGAATTTCAGGGCACCCCGCCAGCTGCAGCACGGCTTCGATTTCGGGAGCCATTTTGAGCCGCAAAGGGGCCAAATGACACAGGTAGGAAGCTGGCAGTGCATGCGTTTGAACTGGGGATCCAATTAAGGTGCTGGCATAGGAAATTGTCCTTTCCGAGCGGTTATGTCGGGTACTGTCGCTGTCAAGGCCGATACTTCGTCCAGAAAGCTTCCGAGCACTCCGCGATGGCGTTATTGCAGACATCATGGTATTTTGCGCTTGATGTGCGAGCATTCTACGCCGATTTCTCGAGTTGCTGAGCTACGAAATCAATCGCAGCTGTGTAGCCGAACACACCTAGTCCGCAGATGACCGCAACCGCCTTGTCCGACAGATAGCTGTGATGGCGGAAAGCTTCTCGTGCGTGCACGTTGCTGATGTGCACTTCAACAAACTTCAGATCACATCCGGCCAGGGCATCTCGCAAGCCAACGCTTGTGTGGGTGAGAGCGCCAGGGTTGATAATCACGTATCCAACCTTGCCTCGAGCTTCGTGAATGCGATCGATGATGGCACCCTCGTGATTTGATTGGAAATGTTGCACCTCTATCCCGAGTTTGCTGCCTTGAACAACTGCTGCATCCTGTACGTCCGCGAGAGTGGTGCTGCCATAGATATGAGGTTCCCGAGTTCCCAGGAGGTTGAGATTAGGCCCGTTGATGATGAGGATTGCTTTTGGCGTGTTCGACATTTTGCTTGCTGTTTGAGAAAAGATGAAATTGGTGAATCACATTACCTTGTAGACACAAGTCTGCATTTTATGTGGACGGCGTCTGAACGCGCAGGAAGAACAATTTGCCAGGTTCATTCGGCAGCCATCGCTGTGCGGGTGCGAGGTCAACGCAGCCTATTTTTCGGACAAGACTCAGACAGCTGCGCGATATCCAGATCGTGGTAGAATGCCATGATGCCGCAGATGCTGTTGGATAGAGCGCGGTTCATACTGTGTGTTGTCATGAGTTTGCGAGTCGCGAGAATGGGATCGGTCATTCGTAGCGCCGACCGGCAACTTCCGGGCGAGTCTGCAGTCGTCAGCACTTTCTGTTCCGACACGTTTTGCAATTACCATCATCAAGAAAGTCGCGGGACCACGCTCGACACACCAGGAGTATCCCCAGCTCATCCTCCGCCATGCCTGGTTCAGGCAAGCAGTCCGTCGAAGTCCAGGAGCAGATCAAGGAACTGCTCGAGGCCGGCTTCGATCCCACCACCATCCACCGCAAGCTCAAGGTCGGCAGGAGCAGCATCTATCGCATGAAGAGATGTCTGCAACAACATGGCACCAACTACATGCCGCCGGAGCTCAACAAGAAGAATGGAAGACCTAAAGTGTTGACCGCGGAACAGGAGCTGGTATGTCGGCTTCTCGCATACTCGAGTCGCATTTTCGCCGCCGCGCAATAGCAATACTGACGCATCAACAGGAAGTGCGGGAGTGGCTGCGCGATCCCAAGAACCGGACTCGATATTTGGACGATCTCGTGTGGCTCATTCACGACCGCTTCGGCATCGTCTGCAGCACAACAACGATGTCAAAGATGAAGCGAAAATGGTTGCGCGTCATCGAGTTCGAGGAGAACGGCACGCCAATCGACGACGTGACCAGATCTCAACTCATGGAGACACATCCTGATCTACCAGCACTTCACGCCACCGTCGTGCCACAAGCCGATATGTCACAAACAGACAAAATCGACGGCAACGTGCAACCTGATCTCGACGCGCAATTGAATCTGCCAGAAGGTTCATTCGGAACAGACGACCGGCATAGCGCGTATCCCGAAGTGCCTACCTCATATTCGGAAGTGCAAGATGCGTACCCGACAGAGCCCCTGCAACCCAGTCTGTCGAACCAGCTGGAACAGTTGCAGCATCAACAGCAGACCTACGACGACTTCCAGGCGAGTTTAGGAGCACAGCAAATATCGCCAACATACGCTCCAAATCAGCAGCAGACGATCAATTCTCAGCTCGCGCAGGAGCTTGGTGCGCTAGGCAACTATGGTCATCCATCGTCCTAGTAGCGGAGTCAGGGCACTGCATGTGCATAGAAGTTGATATGTCTCTTGATGAAGGCCGCGCAGCACAAGTCGTTGGGCACGACGGCCTTTTGAGAGAAAGCACTTGCGGGCTTTGGCCACTACACGGTATTGCATCAACTTGCGAATGAAGCACAGTAAGCGTACATGATGATGAATACGTTAGACTCTTGTCACGAGTCGCAAATAGATACCCTTCTCAACACTCGTGTCCGTGCTCACACACAGCTCCTTCTCTCACTCCGGTGCCTCGTTGATCAAGTACAAAATAGAGATGATATCTGACCGCCCAAGCAGATTACAGCCACGAACTTTACATACGAGACTTATCAGTTCGCGGCCCCTAAGCTTACAAACGTCAAGACTGGGATCGCAACAACTCAAGTCCGTCGTTCAACACTAGCGTATGCTGAACTTCGCGCTCGCTCTTTCGCATCGTTCCTGGCCAGCCACTCATGCTGTAGAAGTGTTTGAAGTTTCGGCGATCGATTCTGGCGCTTTCTTGGAGGACATTGTTGAGACTTCGATGTGTCCATCACCAGCGGGCGTCTCTGCATTCAAAGGATCCTTCGCGTTTGTCGCTGCTGCAATTGACGGATCTTGAGACATGGAAGCAGATTCCATCGATTGTTCTTCGACATTCTTCTCCATGTCGTTGAACTGTGCTGCTTGTGCAAACGGTCCCCCTCTATGCTCCGTGATCATCCTGTCGACATCTTGCGCCGATAAAGAATTCCCGCTGAGTATGTGCTTGGCGAGCGCTTCGAAGAGTGGATCGGTGGACATTCTGTAGGAAGCTTCTGAAGATCGTACGTGATGATGAGGGAGGCCGAAGAGCGAAGTACAGGGTTGTGAATGGCCTTGGTGCAAATGAAGATTCCAAGCTGTAGAGCCTCTGGCAGGCTTAGCAGTTGTACAAGCCCTTGAATACTCTCGCTCGGCGTCTCCAAATATATCTGTGCCAGCAAAGTTAATTGACGCTCGGTACACATTGCCATACTTCAATACGGAGAAAGCGGTGGCTTGCACTAGCTCGCACGTGGCATAGAAGCTAGTAGCTTGCGATGCCAAAGATCAAGCCTGTGTCGGATCGTCTCATCGCTTATGGCCTAGAACTCAAGAACATTACACAACCACATCATAACTGTTGACAGCAGGTGCATTCTCTTCCTTTGGAAGCCACTCCTGAATATGGTTCTTCGATTGCTCGAATACCTTCCGGTTGAATTTTCCATCGTCGAGCGCATACTCGAATGCAATGTCCGCATTCGACGCGGGTTGTGCGTTCGCGACGAAGTCGACCAAACGATCTTCTGGACGAAAGGTAACCACTCTGGTCGCTGAAACCTTGTCAATGTCATGTGGCCAATGAAAGAAAATGTACTCGGGATCTTACCTGTCTCCTCCAGGACCCATCCGGATACCCGCGTGAAAACAACGGTGATGTCCATTCCCTTTCTAGGAGAGGTGACCAGCTGCGACAAAGAGTCCAACAGTGCTGTAAGGAATGGTCCAAATCTTTCATAGAACCAACCTTCGACCCGAAGCCACTCGCTCAGCATGATATTGAGAAGTTTTCGGTAAAGCTCCGATTTGGGAACATCGAAACGTTCCGTCTCCCTCTTGGAGCCACTTTGGGGGAGTCTGTAGGGCAGTGAGTAGCGAGCTCCGGTGAAGCACAACAGAGATGCGTACCAAGGGGTATTTGATGCCGCCACTTTCACAACTTTCGCGGTGTAACCGCTTCTTCGAACCACGTCTTCGATTGCATCGGACGATGACAACTGGCCTGATTGAAGCATCTCTTCGGTCTTCGATATACCTTTACTCATGAGGAATCGGTTGGAAAGACCTGATGTTTCTTTCGTTTCGTCGAGCTGCCGCCTCGTGTCATCACCGAGGAGGTCATTCCGGTTGGGATAAACGTTGACAAAGAAAACGCTCTTGATGTTCTTGCTAGCAGCCATGAAATCGCTTGCAGAGTGATCGAAAATGGGGTGTGATCAATAACGTAGCTTCAGTTTCGAGGCACATAGCTTGACGCATGACCGCTACTTATATCCATCTGTGAACTTCTCGTAAGTGTCGCTCGGTGGGCGGGGTTATGAGCTGCTCTGTGGCGGCGCCGTCGAAGTGGCCTGATCTGAAGCTGCTTAAGACATTCAAAACTCGGCCTGCCTTGCCACATACTGAAACGGAGCTAGCGATGGCTTGCATTAGTCCGCGTGAGTGGAAGTTCTGGCAGCTGAACATTCTCGAGCTGTGATGTTGAGGTGTTGCTAGAAGCAGCCAGGTCGGGAAATATTGCAACTTGTGCCTCAGCTTTACTATGAGCGGTCAAGCCACATCGTGCGGATGCCCACTGGGAATCATGTCAAAGTATGTTAGCAGCAGACAAGGTTCTAGAGCCCATTGTCCTTATGGAGAGTACCATGCTGTCACTCCCTCGAATTCGCAGCGTCAGGACATCGAGCAAGAAGTGCATGTTCGACCAACGCGTAATGCCGGCTCTTGACGTGTGATCTGCGAGTGGAATCAGAGCCTTGCCGTTGTCAGGCGAAAGCGGCCAGAGTAGCGCGCTCGGATTGGCCATGTGGGAGCAGTAGATAGTATCTACAAACTGTACCGTAGGCATACGCTGTGGAGGAGACGATGTTTGATAGAGGGGTTGACAAACTACGGCGTGCGATAGGAAAGACGGGACGGAAAAATGACGGCAGATTGGCTTTCACATGCCTGCCGCGGACGAGCTGAGACTGGGTCACATGCCGACCACCAATCCACCATCGAGCAGTCTCGCAAGTCATTCTCGCTTTCCAGATGACTTCTCCGCGCGGACGACCACATTCACGATAGCATTCCGATCTACTGGCGGCTGGACGGGCTAGATGCGCACGCAAGATCAGGCTGTCACATTTCGCTTGTCTGTCCGGCATGACTTGACTGCCGCCTTCACTATTGCATGGCAGCATTTGGTAAGTCGTGCCTCCGTGCTTTCCCTTCCCGCCTTCTGTGGCCCGGTATATAGCTCCACAAGGAAGGAAGGCCATGTCCAAGACTTGCGTGTTCTGGGCCGGCTTCCTGTCGCGGTATGGAGCCATGAAGCTCAAGAGGAACTGGTCGGGGAGATGGAAGTGGAAATGCAAGCCGCCCTCGTCATCGACAACACTAACCCCAACTTCTTCTGTCACAGACCTTCCATTCAATCTTCCCATGAGCGAACGCGTCTCCGAAGACCGCCGCGCAAACGATGGCAGTCGACGCGATAACTCGGTGCCCGAGCCTACTATTGCTGCCTTCTCGCCGAACCAGCAGACACAGAGGAAGAGAAACCATGCCTCGGTTCTGATACATCAGAAGAGTCCGTTGCTTGCTGCCACTCCACCGCAAGTCACACGAGTGCTCGCCTATTCGCATCCATTCATCTTGCCGCTCAATCACCTTGCTGGGCTATTATCATGGACAACACCCGACCCGTGGGAGTCGTTTCTGCTTGTCGCTGGGTTCTGGTTCACAGTGCTCTACAGTGACGATGTGCTGCGATATGCGGGGCCGATCGTGGTGATCGTGGTGCTTATGGCGGGGATGTATGGACGCCGCTACAGCCCGCTTTCCAGTACAATGTGGAGTGGAGAGAAGAGGAAGCGTAATAGAGCGGATTCTGAGAGTGAGAGGAGAAAGAGCTTAGACGAGATCTTGGACACATTGGAGATCTTCACGCATCGTTGCGATGTTCTACTTGATCCATTCCTCAAGTTGACAGAGTTCCTGAGCACGCAGACTACAGCCACAAGTGCAACGACAAGACCTGCCTTGACCAGTATGTTCTTGAGGCTGCTCGCAGTCACGCCAGTCTGGGTAATTCTCACTCTGCCACCATGGAGAATCATCACACTCAAGAGAGTGCTCCTTGTACTCGGTACAATTGGCATGACCTGGCACAGCCGACCAGCGAGGGCATCAAGAAGCATCCTGTGGAGAAGTAGGACTGTCCGATATGCTGCTTCAGTCACCACTGGGCTGCGTTATCCCGAGCCTGTTCCGCAAGATAAGATACCACCTCCTCTGCCTCCGCGAGCGCCGGCTGCTCTGGCGAACGCCCTCAAACGTAAAGGAGCCAATCCTGGTGTTCGCTTCACGTTCTCAATCTTTGAGAACCAACGGCGCTGGGTCATGTTGGGTTATACCTCCAATGTCCTTCCTCATGAACGGCAGCCATGGACAGACGAGCACTTGAACCAGGTTCCAGACAAGGACAACTTCCCACTACCAGAGACCGATTTTGCTACAACGCGGTGGCGATGGGTCCCTGACAGCGAGTGGAAGATCGATATGACTTGGAGCGACGATCACACAAGTGCCAAAGGGTCTCGAGATAAGGAAGGTTGGACTTATTACGATAATGCTTGGCATGGAGGCAGTAGAATGGATGACTGGGGCAAGTGGACGCGTCGTCGAAGATGGATCCGGGACGCGGAACTCGTGGAAATCACTCCGGAAGAGCTCGCCGCGCAACAAGCAGCCGAAAGTGACACCCAGTCGATAGCCAACAGTGATTACCAAGACGGCGACTCCATCACCACGGCTGTGAAGAAGAAAGGGTGGTTCGGCAAGCGGAGACTTACGAATGAAAAGGTCCGAATGGCAGACAAAGCTGAGATCGCGTCCATGTCAGGCAGCGGCGATACCGGATCGACAACCCGCACAAGAGACGATCCTGAGGACGATGTACTTTCGCCTTACAGGTATCGTGAGACACAATGGGACCGAAGCATAGGGGATGGGCTGGCAGAGGGATTGGGTTAGGGAGGCCATCTCGTTTTCAGCTGAGGCCATGGACGAAGTGCTAGAATTGACGAGAAATGCTTCACGAGTCATGGAGACGCAAAGCAAACACGGCAGGGTCTGGGTCTGGGGAAAGGAATTGATTGTATAGCGAGGCGCTGGGGATTTCTTGAAAAGCCGTTTGAGCTCAACAAACACGACATTGCACATAGCATTTCTATTGGTCGGTCGCGTTCCCGCACCAGCCACATCTGCAGACGCGCTTGGTTGATGACGCGACGTGCTCTGGTACGCATGCACGAAGTACACCGCTGGCAGGAAGGCGTTGAGAAGTGAGTGAGGACACGTTTGCGCATGAAGTGAGCATTGTACCGTCACGCGAGCATCGTCAAAGAAAGCTGGTCTTTGTAGGCGTGCAGGTGGAGAGCGCGCATCATAATCAGACAACAATTGCCCGTGTGTGTGAAAGTGGCGTCAAGTGAAGCCGGGCGCCTGCCATTACATCACTGAGCGTCAGGCAGGAGCTTCCAAGCAAGCATTTCGTGCTCTCTCATCATCACAACAAACGCACCTCCGACTTCCACTTTTCACTCCCACCTCATCGTCAACAACACCCGCAGATTCATTGACAACCTCAATCCCATCACCACTATCACCTGAGCAACTGCAGATATGAAGTTCTCCTTGGCTGTGGCCGCCCTGGCGACCACCGTCGCCGCCGACGGATGGTTTGGCAAAGCCGGTATGTTTCACCTTTTCCATTTCTGAAGACTGATAGAGCGTCTGAAACTCGTGGCGAGACGGTAAAGCTTCTCTCGAGTTGTGGTGCACATCATGCCGAGCTCGACGAAGCTGCCGTCTCGCCATTGAGATCTATTCCCCTCTAGTGTGCTATTGGCCTGAATCCCGTCTAACTAACTCTGAGGCCGTACAGCATACAACAAGTGGCACGAGACCGAGCTCGAGAGATGGCTGTCGGATCACGACATTCCATACCCAGCAGCGTCTGACCGCAAGGACCTCGAGAACCTTGTCAAGGACAACTGGGAGAACTACGCTGTCAAGCCATACAACTCCTGGGACACCACCCAGCTGCAAAACTACATCACCTCCAAGGGTCAAGAGGTCAAGAAGGGGACTGAGAAGAACAAGGACACACTGGTCGCGCAGGTTCAAAACCTCTGGCACGAGACTGCTGAGCAGAGCAATGAGGCCTACGGCAGTGTTCAGAACTGGATCTTTGACACGTGAGTATCTGTTGCAGCATTCAGTTTCGATAACAGCTACTGACTTTGCACAGCTGGACTGAGTCTCAACTCAAATCGTGGCTCGACTACCACAAGATCCCAAACCCATCGCCTCGCACCCGCGACTCGCTCCTCCACACCGCTCGCGCCAACTACGCCAAGGCCGCCGACAAGGCAGGCGAGACTGCCGCCTACCCAGGCAACTGGCTGTACTCTCAGTGGTCTGACTCTGATCTGAAGGCATGGCTCGACGAGCGTGGAGTCCCAGTCCCACAGCCAAGCAACCGTGACAAGCTCATTGCCTCTCTTCGCCGCAACTCTAAGATCGCTGCCGACAAAGCCGCAGCGCAATACGCCTCTGCCTCCAAGTCCGCCTCCGCTGCTACCGAGTCTTTGAGCGACCAGCTTCTCGAAAGCTGGAGCGACAGCCAGATCAAGGAGTGGGCCGACCGCAACGGCATCAAGGTGCCGCAGGGCAGCAAGCGCAACGAGCTCATCGCTCTTGCACGCAAGCACTCCGCTTCGCTGACTGGCAACAATGCCAAGGACTCCGCGGCCTCCGCCTACGGTGCCGCTACCTCCAGCGCCGGCAACTACTACGCTGAGGCGACCCAAGGTGCCTATGGACAGTTCCGTTACATCTACGATGTTATTGCCAACAACCTTGGCTTCGCATCCGAGCAGGCCAAGGCCAGCTTGAGCTCCGCTTCTTCCGTCGCCAGCGCATCTGCCAGCTCCGCTTCATCTGCCGCCAGCGTTTCTGCCAGCTCGCTCTCGTCTAGCATCTCCAAGGCTGCACCAAAGTCTGCTTCCGAAGCCTCCAAGTCCGCCTCCAGCGCCAGCTCTGCCGCCAGCGTTGCCGCTTCTAAGAGCGCGTCCTCTGCTAGCGTTCAGGCCAGCAAGAGTGCTTCTAGCGCCAGCGTCGCCGCAAGCAAGAGCGCTAAGAGCGTCAAGAATGAGTTGTAAGCTACACGACTCGATTACGGCTACACATGCAGCAACGAGATCCGTCAAGAGACGCTACAACGTCAGCTTGACACGGATATCAAGCTGCTGAATGTATGGAAGGAAAAAAGAACATATGCCCACAGAATGAGAACTCCGCGCCATGGGCGAGAAGGAGATTGGCCTTTTGTTTCTGCTGGGGCGGAGACATCATGATTTACGCCTGAGTTCGACAGACACAGCGACGAACGCAAAAGAATGGATGACGAAAAGCAATGACGATGTAACACTACTAATACCCTCACGATGCGGCGCGTAGAGTAGCTGACTCAATCAATGATTCCTGATACCTTTCCACCTCTGCTTTGCCATCTTCGTACGTCAACGCTTAGCGTCACTGTCTTGTTGTATTGTTGGCGCGTGCTGCAGGATCCCTGTCATCTATAAGTGAAGGCGAGCGAGAAGCAAACAACAGCTTGCTGCCTTTCGAAATTCGACCTCCCGCGCGACTGCAACCCCCACTGCGACATCGACCTGATCACGTCACTGTCGACACGCTCATCACTTGCAGCGATGCAGTCCGGACGACCCCCAGGTATGCATTCTCCTTTTCCTTCTGTTCTTCTTGCTCTTTGCGGCGGCGGCGAGGGCAGCGGCGGCAAGGGGATGAGGCACAAGGTGCCAAAGGGCATTGGAGGTGGCGGTGGATAATCTGCGAGTACATGGATGGCCTTGGGTGGAGGTGGAGAGCGACGGCTATGGCGTGGACAAGCTGAGGCGAGGTAGATGGACATTGAGGGTGTGGAAGGTGAGTCTTCGAGTGCCTCCTTCTGCGCACGCGACCTCAATTTACTCACTTGAGATTAGGGCAATATCTGAAGACGGCATCTGAAGAACGAAAACTGACATACTAGGAGCGATCATTGGCTGCGAGTTGCCGCCCACGCTTTTAGCAGCACGAAATGCAGGAAACAAGTCATCGTAAGTACATTCTGCCTCCGGACGGCCTCCTCACTCACTGACGGGCACCTCAGATCATTCAACCCAAATGAGCTCGCACAAGATGAAGTGAAGGGAACCTGCTTCTACGACCTACCACCCGAGCTGCGAAACTACATCTACGAACTCGCCATGGTCGACAAGCTTCAAACCAACTTCATAGTGGCACCCCTCACTCCAGTACACAACCAATTCCAAGAGCCCAAACTGCTCCAAGCCAGCAAACAAGTCCGCACCGAAGCAGGAGCCATGTTCTACCGCAGCAACAAATTTTTCATCAACATCGACAGCCACGGCTATTCCATCAAGAGCTATATGGGCCATGCCCTCCGCTGGATTCGCATGATCTGTCACTTCAATGGCGAACAAGCTTTCAACGACCTCCATATGTGTTTCGCTTTCGATTGCGACAGCACCTCAGGACAAGTCGCGGAGCTAATGGGTTTGAAGTATATGACGGGCTTAAGGATCGGATTTTTGTCGCGTCTCCGGCAGAAGCAAGATGTCAAAGCGCTCAAGGATCAAGGCGGTGGAATGTTTGTCTCGTGCAATAAGTGGAGCATGAAGAAGATTTTGTTCGCGAGGCAGATGATGGAGGCTGCCGCTGAGGCTCGTCACGCGGGGTGGAGTTTGGTGGAGTTAAGTGAGGAGTATCAGAAGCATACTTCGCAGTCACATCAGCCGAAGGCTGCCCGGTTTTTCGAGGAGCCGGGAGAGGTGTACTTTCCTATTACAAGGTAGATATGCATACTGAGGCAATGAAGTGAATGGTTGTGAGGATATAAATGTGTATATGAACGCAGAGAACTTGTTGAAAATGAGTGGGTGATCACAGCCTGTGAAGTGAAATGCAAGTCTGTAATTGAGTCCAAATTTACCATGTCGCTCCGTTCTCCTGAGTGCATCGAAGCCACCCCATCTCCAAATGCTATGGATTTTACGACGCGGCGTTGCTCAGAAAGCATGATTCATGTCTCGTCGCTCTGTTCGTTGGACTCATTCGAGGGCAGTCAATCTCAAGACCTCATGGATTTGACCACACTTTATTTTCCGGAATGGAGCTTCCGCCCGGTCTCTCTGTTGTGCAGCAGTGGTGAACGCCAACCGATGTCCAGACTGGACGAGATTTTGGGCCCTTGGCTCGATCACTCGAAAGCGATGTACGGCAATCGATTTCCAGACTGTGCGGATCGATTTACCGTTTGTTTTTCAGAGAGTCGGTTTTCTGTTCTGTCGCTCCGTTCATTGAACTGATTGGGAGGCATTCAATGTCATGATCGTCTAGATCTGGTCACGCCTTGTTTCCGGAGAATTGACATTTGGTACAGTCGCTCCGTCGTGGAACAGTGATGAACGCTGAGCTATATCCAGACTGGTCGGATGAATGCAATGCAGATTTGTAGAGAGCAAGTATTCTACGTCTTGACTCTGACGCTCAGTTGTGTTGAAAGCTAAGGTATGTACAGATTACGCGGCTCGAGTGACAATCTGATTCTCGGTGAGCAGGATTTCTGCTTTATCGCTCTGTAAAATTCTGGTAGGGAATGGCAATCGACGTTAGCATCACAGGGACTGAGGAACACTCTGTCTCTCAGAGACAAGGTTATCTGCCCTGTCGCTCTGAGTTCAAATCAGCTTCGGTGCCATTCAGTCTCCAGACTACCCGGATCGAATGGCAGATTGTCTGTCGGAGAGCAGGTGTTTTGCCCCGTCGCTCTGTATTCAAGTCAGCTTCGATGCCATCCAGTGTCGACATGATATGGATCAAGAAAACACAGCTTTCCAGAGAACGACGTTTCCGCCCGTTAACTCTGTTGCTCAACGATGATCAAAGCCAACTAGTCTCCAAACTGTATGGATTCACCGACGACTATTTTCACGGAGAGTAACTCATTTCTGTACTCACTCCATCACTCGGCTTCTAGCGATGACAACCAGTATCCAAACGATAAAGATTACAAGTCACTGCTTTTCCAGAGAGCAGTTCGTGAGCCCGCTCTCTCTGTTTCCAGACAATGCTGGAAGCTATTCGGTGTTCTAACGCTCTAAATCGAACGATGGCCTGTCTCTCGGAGACAATGCCTCGTGCCTCTTCACTCAGTAAATCGTCGGTACTGCATACCACTCGGTGTCAGAACCATTCGCATTATCCAGTGATTTGATTCTCAGAAAATAGTTTATCTATTTCCTGAACCCGCCATGTAATGACAATGTATGCCACCTCAGATCTACTGTGTGCGGGTTGAATCAGTGCCATATATCTAGGGATAAGGTCCTGCGTCCCTTCACTCCGTTATTTATTACAGATGGGTGCCAATCGATCTTCAGCTCCTATGCATTGAAGGTTTCTTCATGTTTCAGAGAGCGACTGATCCGGTCCGTGGCTCCATTTTCTCGGGGCCCTCCATGCCAGTCAGCATTCAACTCGTTCGGAGTAGAATACTGATCAAAATTCAGAGAAAAGGTCATGTAATTCATCGCTCCAGTGTTGGTCGACTTACAGAGCCTTTAGGATGGCAGATGGCGTGGTTTTTTCAGTCACTTGTGCTACAGAGAACGACCTCGGATGCCTGTTTCTCTGTGCTTCGTAAGAATTGGATGTCAATAAGTCTCCAACTCCTTGCTATAATTCAATAGCTAATCCTTCAGAGAGCAGGACATCGCTCTGGATTTGAACTGGCTATCGAAGGCAATGTGGCTACGAATGGTATAGATTGTTCATACCATCGATTTTCAGAGACTTGTCTGTGAGCTTTGTCATTCCGTTCTTTCTCGTGCTTCGATGGCAGTAAGTCTCCAGCTTCTGTCCCCTGGACGATAGTTCATATGCAAGAGACTGGGTCGTCCACTGGATTACCCTGAATTCAAACAATCGAACGGTGGCAACAGAGCTGAGGATTGCGAAGGAAGGTCGTCATTCGACTTTTAGGGAGTAGCTTTCGTGTCTTGTCACTCCATTCCACGTCGTTGTCCAGCGCACGTCAATTTGCATCTGCTATTCGCTGAGTTGTGGTCGATATATCAGAGAATGGCCAGCTTGCTACCTCGCTCTGATTATACAAAAGGAGCCCATGGGAGCCAAGTTGCGAATCCTGCTGTTGAGACCGTCGTTCAATTTTCAGAGAGCGCTCGATGTGCCTGTGACTCTGATTGTCTTCAATTGACCGACGCCAACGAGGCTGGAACTCGTAATGCTGGATTGACTGGCCAATCGGTAGAGTAGCCCATATTTTCTATTGTTTCCATTCCGAACGAGAAGTCAACGCCAACAGAGGTGCGTTTCGTCCGATGTAAGTAATGTCCTTTGATCCAGGAGATGCCCTCGTGTTTTCGATCGATGAGATCCGTTGGAGGCCACGGCTATCAAGGAGTGTGGAAATGTATTCGATCCGATCCACGGAGACAAGGCTGACGAATTTGTACTGGTCGATCTTCGTCCTTATGAGCAGTCTATCACTCTGCGCTCCGTCAACGTCCAATGCAAGTCTGTCGCCAGAACGAGGATTTTGTGTTGGTGAATAACTGGAAGAGACTTTGTGTGTGTGATCGAAACAATCTTGGATTTGATTCAGATTCGTTACTATTCATACAGCTCTCTGTTAGTTGTACAGCAACGGCCCCACTTCATATAGAAATGCTTCTCGGAATCCGTAATGCTACAAACTGAGAGCGAATACTCGTCAATTCACAGATTTCCTCCTAAAGCGGGTTCTGGCAGATGAGTTGGTTGCCGAGCTAGGAATAAAGAGTCAGCATGTATTGCTACAGTCGATGTCAAGGTGGGAACATACCAATCCAAGAGCGCAACACTGAGGGGTTAAGCCTTGAGAGCTGCAAGCCTGAGCGAACTCTTGCTTATTCCTTGGGTTGCCAGGTGCTGCAGCTCAAGTCAGTATAAGTCCGTGGGTCCGGTAGATTCATGATGACTTACGGGCTTTGCAAGTCAGAGCGATGACTCCACCAACATCAGTCTGGCAGCAATTGGGGTTGGCAGAGAGGCCATAAGGGCAAAGTGGCCCAGATGATCCTCCGGAGCCACCGCCTCCATAGCCAGGTGGTCCTCCAGCGCCAGCTCCTAGTGCATCACCGACTGGGCTCGATTCCGTGCCTCCCTGGCCTGAACCACCCCCATACTGGCTACCGCCTGCGCCACCTGCTGGATTTCCACCTACAGGGCTTGACTCTGTGCCACCTTGGCCGGAACCGCCACCATATTGATTTCCAGCACCTCCGCCGGGAGCACCACCAACAGGGCTACTCTCGGTGCCTCCCTGCCCTTGTCCGGCGCCATTTCCGTGCTGGCCACCTCCAGCGCCTCCGCTGATTGGACTGCTCTCAGAGCCACCCCCGGAGCCACCATAGCCGGATGGTGAACCTGAACGAGCTGCATTAGTTTTGGTCATCCAGACATGGTCTTCCGACTTACCTTGTGGCAACGGGCCAGCCGCAGCCAGGGCAGTCATTGTAGCGACGATCGCGAAGAAACGCATGTTGATGATTGTTTGTGCGGGTGTCCAAGTAGTCGAAGGGGTCTGATTTCTCTGAAAAGTTCGAAGTCCTCAATACGCTCCAGGCGTTGTTCGTAGATCGTGATATCGGAGTTCTGATGCTATTGGTATTGCTTGATGATAGAGCACGAAGAGAATCGGTCTTACTCTGCTCTTTTGTATGTCTCTCAGCCTTTAGACCCCTGCTGCTCAAGTACCTCGAATGACGATTTTGATCATCCAGACGTGAGTAGTACGGGAACCCTCATCGTCATCGGAGCATTTGCCACGAGTCTTGGAGTTGTGCGAAACAGGACATGTGTGAGATGCTCGGCAGAGCTCGATTCAGTAATTAGTGCTGATGGGAACACCTATAGTGTGGCCAATCAGATTTGTTCGATCATTGAGGCGCTCTGTCTCAGACGTTCGCATCTGAAGTCGAGCTCTATACGAGACGGCTTCGACGTCAGGTGCGCGCGGGATCCGAAGGTGCGAACTGCTAGCATCCATGCTTTGCTGTTTTGTGTTCGCAACAAGCCATGCGGCCCTTCGTGGGCAGGATGGTTCTGTAAGACAGCACAGTTTATTCTCCGGGAGTTTGAGCGTTCTCTGAAAAGCCTATGATGGAACTCTGTCAAGTAGTGCGAAAACAGTATATTCTGCTCGTGGTCCGAAATGCGTGACGAGCGGCGGCTGCGGTTGAGATGCCTTGTTCATCTTGTTGCTATCTCGCATCGTCTCGGTCATCATCAGGCACAGCGAGGAGAATAACAGTCAGCACAATGCATTGCAATGCAGCGATCCTAGTATTGGAACTCCGGCGGCCCTGAAGTGTTAGAGCCTACCATGTGAAACAGGTCCCAAACTTTGTCGACTCGCTCTTTTCCATCGACAATGATGTCTCCGCCCGTCTTCGACGTCAGATATTGCGGATATGCGCTGGACCTGATGACAACGGGCTCCACAGCTGGTATTGAAGATTGCTCTGTCGTCATGAATTGCACGCACTTGACTTTCGCTGTCAGCACAGCAAGCAAGCCGGCTTGACGACCCAGTCTAGTGTATAACGTTGCCAACAGTCGTTCTAGGCGTTCGAGGAAAGATCGACGACATGCTGGAGGGTTGCGCACTCTGCGCATCTGGTCCTGTGGTGCTGGCCTGAGATGCTGCCGTTGCTGGCGAAGCGTGTGAAGGAGTAAAGGAGTTGAGGTTCAAGAGCTGAGGTGGCCAACACGGAAGGCCTTGCGCCAAATCGGGACATTTTCAAGGGACCTTCCGAATTCTGACCAAGACCTGCCTGTTGTATGCCCATGATCACAGACCGAGTACCACGGCTCGTTGCATCACAATCATGCCTCGGCGTTACAATGCTACTGCCTATGATACGAGCAATGCATCGAAGGCCATTGGTCCTATGCCTTGTAGAAGCTAGTTGATGGACGCGGGAAGTCGTCTTTTGCCTAGGCTAATAACTATCAGTAATCAATACGCCGCCATTCATTATATTGCTATCAAATTGTAACATCGCCAGAAGCACTACACAGATTGCGCACTTGGCCTTCTCGTGACACACAAAATATTGCTGAGTAGTCCTGGGCTCATGAGTCGTGCTGCCGCATGTTGTCGAAATCGTGTGGCACATCAGTCTTACCAGCGCGTGACTCTCTTCCGTAGGCGAAATGCCGGGTCATGCAGCTGGCGAGGGGACCTTTACCTTCCATCTCCATCATAACTCGTGTCTTTTCTAGCTTCAAGGAAAGGGCCGCAGCTGTTTCTGCGGAGGCTGTATCATCAGACCGGGTTGCTGTAGGATCACTGATGATCCTAGAGGGCCGAAGAAGTCTCTGCTGCAGAAAGAGACGTTTCTGCAGAAGCCGTCTCGAATGTAGCGCTGGCTGTATCAGATGATTGCGTTGCCACTGGATCAATGGTGGAGGACGCCAGGTCGGATGATTCAGTTGAGACAATGCTGGATGAGGCGTCGGCACTGATAGACGGTGTGCTTGTAACGGAAGCGTCAGAAGTGGACTCTACTGAGGCCGATGGCGCGGTCGTGTCTGGAGCAATTGTACTCTGATCTGGACTTGGAACAAGTGGTGTGAGGACATAGTCGCTTGGCTGAGCAGTTCCTTCACTTGTGGTAGGAAGGGCATCAGAAGCGCTGACTTCAATGGTAGAGGAAACATCGAGGTTCGCAGTCGAAGTCGTTGCAGGCGCAGAATCGGATGACGATACGAAATCCACTGAGAAGATCGCCGAGTTCACGAGCTGGGGATTGAGAGAGGCAGTGGCAGATGAAGCCTCTGTGCTTTCTGCAGTGGACGAAGCATCGAGCGACGAGAGGACTGATGTAATCTCGGATGGAGTCGCGCTCACTTCACTGGGAAAGCTGCTGGATGTAGCAGTTTCGTCAGTCGCTGTGAGGGACGCAGATTCTGCGATGCTCGACGTTGTCTCTGATGCGATGGCTTCCTCAGTCGTACTTGAGGCTGGCACCGACAGAATTTCAGTAGAAGTCAATGCCGTTGAGGTAGAATCCTTGCTAGAAGTAGCTTCAGGTACAGCCTCCTGTGTCTCGGTGGCTGGATCAATTATACTGTGTGGCTCCAAGTAGCCATAGACAACTGGCTTGATTGTCGCGAGGTTGGCTCCAATAGTCGCACCGCCTTCCGGAATGGGCTCTGGCGTCCAAAGAACCACAGGAGCCGCGGAGCTGGTTGTGGCGTTGATGAGAGGTCCTGCCACTGAACTGGTCACGAGTGGTAGCTGCGTGGAGCTTGTATCAGCATCGAGACTTGAGGCCGCGGTGGTGGTTGTCGTATTGCTCCAGATCGGTAGCTGGGTAGGGCTTGCGGTGGCATCAATGCCGGAAGCTCCTGACGTGGTAGTCGTATTGCTCCAGAGTGGTAGCTGGGTAGGGCTCGGGATAGTACTGAGACCTGAAGCCCCTGATGTAGTCGCATTGCTCCAAAGTGGTAGCTGTGCAGAGCTTGTTGCAGCATCAAGGCTGGAAATCGCCGGCGCGGTACCGAAACTCGTAGCACTAGGAGCATCGGAAGAAAGCAGCGACTCAGTCTCAGAAACAACGCTTGTGGGTTCAGTGAGCGACGGCAGCGACGTTGCATCGAGTGAAGTCAGACTGCTTTCTGACGCTGAAGCAAAATCACTGGTGCTCGAGATATCTGTGCTGCTCAAACCAACATCGGCACCGAAAGTGGTCTCTGACACCTCGGATGAAGCGCTAGTGGTGAATAAATATGTGGTGCTCGAATCTGTGGATGCGTCGGTGGATACTAAGGAGGCACTTTCCACACTCTCGACACTGGACGTTGCTTCGCTCGCACTGACTTCGGAGCTAGAGTCTTCGGTCGTTGGCAGGTCGCTTGCGAAAGTAGCAGCATCAGAAGTGACCAGAGCCTCCGCTGATGAGAGGCTGACTGTCACGCTATCAGTGGGACCAAGGGCATCAGCACCGGTGCTGCTAGAAGACTCGGTCGTAATAGAAGCGCCAGTCGTGCTAGGAGCATCAGTCGCACTGTCAGTCGTGCTTGCAGCTGATGCCGAGTCAGAGGGGGTTAGCGAGGCACTCTCCGGAGTGCTTACGCCTGGCGTTTCGATGGTGGACGGACTCAAAGTCGACAGATCGGCACCGATCGTTGCTTGTCCAGGCGTGATTGGCACCGGGGTGTAAGAGACGCTGTCTGCAGGGTCTGTTGCAGCGAGTTCTGCAGAGTCGGTGGCAGATGAAGTGGTCTCGCTGGCTTGTCTTTTCATCAAAGCGTCGATAGGGACAAACAGTGGCACAGTGTTGACAGGTACTGGCGTTACATAGACTGTCTGCGCGGGTGTCTCTGTGGCTTCGCAGACAGGTATGGTGTAGCTCGGTACTGTGACTCCAGGGCAGCTTGTGTAGCAACCAGGGCCAAAGGTGTTGCCGCAAGAGTCAGTGGAGTAATCGCATTTGTAGCCGCACGGGTTCGCTTGAGTCACGGCCAAGGCCTTGGAAAAGCTGGATTTGAAGACACCACCAGAGCAGATGCTTCCGGTGTAAGTAGGTCGAGGGTGGTTCTCACATGCTGGCCAACAGCCACCGAACCGAATGCTGCATGTGTTGATGTAGTCGTAGCAAATGACCTTATTGCAAGGTGCTCCAGTGGCTGAAGGGTCAAGAGGATATAGCAGGACTGGAGAGGTTGCTGAAGGAGCTACAGTGATGAGAGGCTGTTCAACGACTGCGCGAGCCAGGTAGTCAGCAATTGATCTGCTCAATCTTTTCGGCTAGTATCTGCTCCGCTGCAGCAGCCCGGCAGTGTTCAGACCAACCCTTGCAGGTCAGCAGGGTAGAGCAGGCCATGTGAGGGAAAAGTGCGAGCTCGGTATTTTCGACGCTGTGTGCGTACCTTGAGCAACAGCCAACGCTCCGAAGGCCAACAGTAGGGCGGCCATGATGACAATCGTTGATAGTCTGTCCCTGACAATGAGCTCGAACTCCACGCGTCGCAGCCGAAGAGACGAGATATGGCCTGGAAAGCAGGAATCGCGGAGGTCGCTGCTATACTTACGCGCTGAATCCACGTCATTGTTTCTATCTCAGCATTCCTCATCGTCGACGTGGTGGCCAAGAGACATACGCGCGAGAGTGATATGCAAGGCACATTCCATAACGGTCAATGCTCCTCAGCATGTGAAGATAGGCCACGGGACAGCATATTTGCATGATACGATACAGTGGCCATGGCAGTGTCCAAGGGACGAATCAGTGGCCCATTGCTCATGTTCTTGGTTGGTAAAGATATCGAAAGCGACGTGGAGCGCGGAGTGGCCAACACGAAGGTGAACTGCATTCTGAGTTGTTCTGGACCAGTCGTCGCGGCAAATTGTGGTGACAAGAGTCTGGAGCCGCGTTCCACGCCCATGGACGTGGCCAAAAGGAGGGCGGCAGAAGCTCCTCAACCGGGAGCGTCGACGGCTCGGAGCGGATTCATCTTGGAGCCTTTGATCTTGTTATGCAAAGTGTCATACATGGTGGCATCTATTTCTGTCTTCATAAGCTGAGCGGTCCAATGTTGTTGTCTTGGAGATCGTGTTCAGGGAAAGAAAGCAAGTTACGGCGTTGTATGCCTGATGATGCCTGATGTGAGCTGAGGCCACAACACGTCACACGTCACGCCGGCATTTATTGTTCCGATCGGCATATGTAAGCCAACTGTGTCCTATACACAACAACTCACTTTCACAAACGCAGTCGCGAAGTTCATCTCCCGAATCCACGTATCTCTTCCTGACGACTTCCGTACGATATAAGCCACGAACGCCATCTTCTCGTCCAAGGCCAGTGATGGCCACCAAAGCAGCGCATAAGCGCCTCACTCGCGAATATGCCACTCTCCAAAAGTCCCCTCCAGAGTACATCACTGCGCGACCCAGCGAATCCAACATTCTTGAGTGGCATTACATCTTGACTGGTCCTCCGAACACTCCGTACCACAACGGACAATACTGGGGCACTCTGACCTTCCCACCCGAATACCCGTTTGCGCCGCCCGCAATCCGTATGCACACTCCTTCAGGCCGCTTCAAATGTACAGAGCGCCTCTGTCTCAGCATATCCGACTTCCATCCCAAGTCATTCAATCCTGCGTGGGAGGTGAGCACCATTCTGCTCGGCGTGCTGAGTTTCATGACGAGTGAGGAGATGACAACGGGGTCAATACGAGGGACAGAAGCGGAGAGGAAGGCACTGGCGGCGCAGTCACGATGGTGGAATTCAACGTGCGGAGGCTCAACGACGAGGACATTGGACGGGAGACCAGCACATCAGAGAACAGGTTTCGGAGCGATCAAAGCGGGTGATGGAGGTCAACGGTTCAAGGAGATGTGGCCGGAAGTAGATGAGGAGAACTGGCAGTGGATGAAGAATGAAAACATCGACCCACAGACTGGGAAAAAAGTGCTTCCTCGGGGTGCGGTGGACCAAGCGGCCGAGGATAAGGCAAAGGAGGTGCATAGAAAGGGCAAGACGGAGAAGGAGGGACAGACTTGGTTTGCGCAGAACAAGTACTGGGTGGTCGGAGGAGCGCTCTTCTTGTATGTGATGGCTGCGAGGTTCCTCAAGGAACAGCAGGAGATCTAGATGGATTTTGCATGATGCGTAATTTTGTTGAAATGCTGGGTTAGCGAGGCGCTTGGGAGCAAGATTTGAGCGGCTTTGATAATGGAGCTGCTGTGAAATTGACGACTTTGTACAGTAGCATATTGAAACAGCATCAAGGGACATGAGATACCCCAGATCAATCGAGTTGCCTTCAGTAACAGCTTCCGAGCTCGTTTTACGATGATAGATGATTTGTTGCTGCGAGCGAATGCGAGCGAAGACTTGCGACATCGGATGCCCGATCGGATTCTTCATTATAGTTAATGCTACGTTCTACATACTTGTTCGCGGACGCACAATACGTCTAGCATGTGGAAGTAGACAGAGTTCCAGAATCTCAAAGACTCTTAGCTTGGGCATGTGGCGCAACGCCTCATCAACGCAGTCAAGCTTTTGCCGATGCAGTCTTGTCGCCTTGTCCTGTCCGCAGCAACAACTCTTCTTCGTTCTTGCACAAAAAGTCCAGATCTCAGCAATTCAGCATTCTTCCATCGAATTCTACATTGTACATCTCACGATAAGGCCTAACAGACCGAGAACCACATCGTCTCTCAATCGCCACGATAATGCAGGGCCACGGCCCCTCCGAAAGTTTCTGCCTCGCCTCGACGTGTAGCTCCATCGTTCTCCACGCGTGAGCGGCACATCGTCCCTCATAGCGTGCTTCTCTAGTCGCATAGTAGTCCAGGTAGGTCTCAGAGCGTCGCAAGTCTTCTGTTCCTCTCAGTCGCATCTCCAAATCCGTCCCATCCTCAATTTCAACCATATCAATTGGTACCAGGAAATTTCGCGATACATGATCCATAACAAGCACACCTTCTCTTGGAGACCTCTAGCCAGCCATGGCCTCTGCTGATCCGGGCCTCGCCCAAGCAAGCGCACCCGCAGAAGACCCCACGAAAGGCGCCATCGTCAAGGACAACGACTCACTCGTGGAAACCGAACATCCAGTAGCACCAGACCAACACGATCTCCGCTACGAGACATCAAGAAATGAAATCTGGGCATACTATTCCTACTACATCGGCAACAACGGCCTGACCTTGTTCAACTTTGCACCAACAGCAGCACAAAATTTACTGAGCCAGCACGCCGAAGCAATTGGTGGTCCTGACAATGACATCGTCTCGTTCGCCGGATCCCGAAGAACAATCAACAGCGTGATTCTCCTCTGCAATGGCATATCCTTCGCGATCCAGATCGTGATATTCCTCATTCTGGGCGCATACGCAGACTTTGGCACCTTTCGACCTAATATCTTGATCACGCTTTCAATAATCGCCTGGGGCATCGGATTCGGCTGGCTCGGCGTTCACACGGTCGAACACTGGCAGATCGGATTGGGACTGTATATCATAGGCTTGATCGCCTACCAATTGGCCCTCACCTTTTGGACTGCAGCCTTTCCTGGCCTGGCGCGAAATACCAAGGAGATCCGAGAGAAAGCGGAACAGTTCGAAAATGGAGAGATCACCAGAGAGGAGTATGATCATGCGGATAGCATGAAGAGGAATGAGTTGAGTAATACGGCTTTCTATGTGCAAAGCGTGGCCGAGGTCTTCATTCTGGCGGTTATTGTCGGTATTGGATTTGCGATGAAAGTGAACAAGAGTGTCGCGAACAATAATTATGGCCTGAGTGTGCTCATTGCATTTGCATCTGGTGTCTGGATGCTGGTGGCCATTCCTTGGTTTATTCTCGAAAAGCGAAGACCTGGTCAAGACCCGGGCATGAACATCGTGCTTGCTGGACTCTGGCAATTGTGGAACGCTATTACTCAGGTCTGGCAACTGAAGCAGTCTTTGTTCTATCTGATCGGTGAGTACTACACGACTGAGGCATGAAAAGAGGCAAGTGATCGAGATACTGATGCAAGAATCAGGCTACTTCCTTCTCGGAGACTCCTTGAACACGACCGTCACTGTGATTGCCACACTGCAGAATGAAATTGTGGCATACAATTTCCTGCAACTCACATACCTCCTTATTGTCGGAATCGTAGCTCAAGCCGTCGGAATTTTCGTCTACTGGAGGATTCAGAAACGTTACCAACTTCCCACCAAGACCATGTTCAATGCCGTCGCGGTTGGCATCATTCTGCTCGACGCATGGGGCATGATCGGAATCTGGACCCAGCGCTTTGGCTTTCACAATAAATGGGAGGTCTGGGTAAGTTACACTTCTTCCGTTCCAAGAACTCCTGCTAATCACGGCTCGTTGTGTTTGCAGCTCTATCAAGTCTTTTACGGACTTTTCGTCTGCCCTTGGTACTCTTACTCCCAAACAGTAAGTCTCAATCTCCTTCTCTCTAACCCTTCCGCACCCCACCAACTCATCTCCCCGCCACCACTTCCGAAATCACTCCGTCAACGGCGCTCATCCCCCCGCCTCATGCTACTACCCGCTGTCAACGCAACTCGCCATTTCCGCTCCGCTTCGACAAGGGTAGCTGTTTGTTCCCGATATCCCAAACCACTGGCTCGAGCTCTCTCCTCGAGGGCACTAGGATCGCACAGACGGCATTGAGCTTTCCGGTACGGCGACATGCAGACGCCAACGCATCATTTCCTGTCGACACGGACGACGCTCAAAGCGGAAACTATCCGGCCACGAGCCTGCAGCTTCCCGCTGTCACGAAACTCGTGGCGCGTTCGGCGTGGACTGAGATATCTTGCTACACCACCACACAGCATCTGGGGAATTGTGCGACTTACCTCATCCGGACCAATATTCCAGCGACTTGGAAACAACACCGTCGGACTCTGCCCATCAACCATCAAGCACACCTACCAACATCATCATCTCCATCCCGCTAACAATGCTCAAACAGATGATCTCCGAAATCACGCCCCGCGGGAAAGAATTCCTCTTCTTCTCCCTCTTCAGCATCGTTGGCAAAACCTCCAGTTTCATCGGCCCATTCATTTCCTCCGCCATAATCGACGCGACAGACGGAAACAACAGTAGTCCTTTCTATTTCCTATTCGCGTTGAGTTTAGCGAGTTTTATATTTTTGTGTTTGTTTGTGGATGTGAAGAAGAGTCGGATTGAGCAGGCGGAGTTTTTGGAACGGGAGAAGAGGTTGAAGATGGAGAGGAAGGTGAGGAAGGGGGAGGGGGCTTGATATAGGTTTTGGGGGATGAGAGTTGATAGTTTGTTGAAATGGATTGATTGATGGGTGTTGTTTCGTTTTCTTCGGCGTGAGTTGTCTTTGTCGTGATGCGTTGGTAATGATGTGTGAAAGGCTTGGCTTGGCTACCTAGCCAGGCACAGCAGATCTTCAACCGCATGGTGCACAAGTTGTGTAAGTGCTCGGTGTTCCCAGTACCAAGTCACAACCTCCTCCACTTTGTCCTACGTATCCAGATTCCCCGCAAGAAAACAATGATAGACAGCAATGGATACGAGAGAAACTTGGGTGCAACGTCGCAGTAAACATGACTGCATCTATTGTGTAACAGGAAGTCTAGTATATATGTAGAAAGTTTTTCGCAGTTGCATGGCGGCAATGCAGTACACAGCAGAATACATAAGTTGTGTCTCCTCAGTCAATTTGATAGGTACCACTCTCTGATTTTCTCATCCAGCACTTAGTTCAATCTCAGTCTCAATCAGGACTGTTCTTCGGATCCACAGTGAGCACCTAAGCCGCTGTAGCAGAGTCGACGCGCTCATGCATAGGAACAATCGGCAAATCTTTGACTTCCAATCCCGCCAATTTGCCAGCCACAGGCTGATCTGGCAATCTGTCGTGCATCGAGTCAGGGATGAGTTCAGGTGTGACAGGTCTTGTGATCCCCTGACTTGCAGGAAGAGCCAGCGCACTCGTGCTGCCAGCTCCAGGTAGTGTAAGCTCTGGCGACACTGTGAACGACTTGTCCATGGAACTTCTCGGGCTGTCGAGCTTTTCCAGCACAGAGTCGCGCTTTTTGAGCATCATATCCTCGGATGTCAAGACTTGGTCAAAACCTTGTGAAGCGGCGACTTGTTCGATAGACTTGAAGTACTTCACTGTCTTGACTTGTAGTTCGAGAGTGGCGTCTTCGTCTACGACGATCATCGCGTGTGGGTGCATTTGCAGGGATGACAGTGTCCACATGTGGTTGACGCCGCCTTCGATGCACTTTTGGAGAGCTAGAGCTTTGTGGGCGCCAGTAATAATGATGACAACTTCTCTGGCAGCGAGGACGGTTTGGATGCCAACCGTCAGGGCCATCTTGGGCACTTTGCTGACATCGTGGCCGAAGAAGCGTGAGTTGGCGAGTATGGTGTCGTAGGCGAGGCTGTATCCGGCGTTAGCAGTGACAAATATGGGGTCTGGGATTAGTGCCGTACGTCTTCACTCTGGTCTTGCTCTGCAAGCTCGAACCAGGCTCGTTGAACGCAATGTGGCCGTCTGGGCCTATGCCTCCGAGAAACAATTCGATGCCACCCGCCCGACTGATCTTCTCTTCGTAGGCAATGCATTCTTCCTCCAGGTCATCGGCATTGCCATTCAGGATGTTGATGTTCGCAGGGTCAATGTCGACGTGGCTGAAGAAGTGCTTGTACATGAAGCTATGATACGACTCCGGATGCTCGCGCGGTATCCCCACGTACTCGTCCATGTTGAAGGTGATGACATTGCGAAAGGAGATGTCGCCATTCTTGTGTGCGCGGACGAGGTTCTTGTAAACGCCCTCTGGCGACGACCCCGTTGGCAGGCCGAGAACGAACGGTTTGGTTGGCGTTGGATCGAAAGTCTTGACGCGGTCTGAGAGAGCAATTTGTGAGCAGATTGATCAGACACTCCCAGACTGAAGTATGTACCGATAATGTAGTCGGAAATGTACTTCGAGGCCGTGGCCTTGTCGTCTCGAATGATGAGTCTCCTTGGCACCTCTCAGTCTTCTGGCACTTATGCAGTCGATGAAACGTGCATACTCACATGGTATCTGCAAAGTGAGGAATAGTCTGTGTGACTCAGGCGCGGCGGTTTTCTCTGCAGGACAGCAAGGAGGCAGCAAGGCGGATTATACTTGGCCGGCGAGGCCTGATGGTGAGCTCATGGTATTCACGTTGCTACAATGATTGCACGTCACGTTACAGCTGGGCTGATCCACTCCGAAGGGATCGAGGTGATAGGCTTCGCTGGCAAGGGCCACGATGCAACGTGCGCCATCGCAGCTCCCTGATTGCACTCTCGCGCCGAGAGGAAGCTACAACTCGTTGACGTCTCGTTCGTTCTTGCAAGGCAGGTGGAAGCCCTCGCCGTCGCGCTTGCATCAGTTGCAGAAAAGGCAAGGGCGTGAGGAGTGAGGTTTCGACACCGGCTGGCGATAGTGATGGCACCCTCCCTAGCGGTATTGGCGGGCCCCCTCGTCGCGTGGTCGAGGTGGTACTGGAGTCCGATAGCAGTGTTGCAAGCAGGAGGGGTGCGAGGAGGAGCACGCGCGACGTTGGCCGGGAGGAGGATGTAACACGAAACTGATAACGGCAGCAGCTACCCCAAGGCCCAGTCCTTCCCTTCCGCGAACCCTTGCTTCCGTCATGCCCTGGTCCGTCATGCACCTTGCCGCGAAAACGCTGTGGCTGTCATCAGCGCTGCCGTGCAACACTGTGCTACCATCGAGACTTGTCGCGTTGTCTGCAATATTGCCTGAACGCCACCCGAAGAGTGAGCAATTCCGCCCAAGAAAGCCAGACAGGCCGGGAGCCGAGCCATCACGTGTGCGCGACGAAACTCTAAGATAGCTGGGCCAATGACAGCACGGCATCGCCAATCTCCAAATAGTTACAGGGCCGCCGCTCTCTCCACCTTCACTAGTTACTGCAGCATCCTTCAGCTCGGGGACGTATTTCATGCGCTGTGCGCACCACCGTTCTGCTGCTCGCGTGCCACTCTCTGAGAACCGATGAGCCTCTAGCACTCGACCAGGACTGCAATCGTCCGCCGTCGCCGACAACCACTCGCTCCTTCCGACAAGCTTAACCATCAACCTTCCGCATCCTTGCTCCACATTCCAGCGCAACCACCGCCATGTCGAGCTTCGACGAAAAGGCCACTCCCTCGCCCGAGGTCGACCAAACCGACTCGCAGACGCACTCGAGCGATCACTTCACCGAACGCGAAGCACCACAAGGATGGATGTACAGATCGCGCAAGATCGGGCCCGTCACAATCCCACACTATGCCTCGCCCAAGGCCCAGCTGCTTTTGGTAGCTTTCGTGTGTTTCCTGTGTCCCGGTAAGCAGCCATGTCAAACCGTACACAGCTCCATCGAGGCATCGACTAACTTCTTCAAGGCATGTTCAATGCCGTCAACGGACTCGGAGGTGGAGGCCAGCTTAATGCGCGTGCTAGCAACGACTCCAACACCGCCCTGTACTCCACGTTCGCCGTAGTCGGTTTCTTCGCCGGCACCGTCACCAACACCATTGGCATTCGCTGGTCAATGGCTTTCGGTGGCATCGGTTACTCCGTCTACATCGCCGCCTACTTGTGCTACAACTTCACGGAAAACCTCGCATTCATCACTTTCGCTGGCGCACTGCTCGGTGTATGTGCGGGAATCCTCTGGTCAGCACAAGGCGCAATTATGATGTCTTACCCACTCGAAGCTGAGAAGGGTCGGTTCATCTCGTGGTTCTGGATGATCTTTAATATGGGCGGTGTGATCGGCAGTCTGGTAAGTGGCAAAACAGACGACCGACACAACAGTAAACTAACCTGCAGCAGGTTCCACTGGGACAGAATATCAACGACAACCACAATGGAACAGTATCCAACGGCACGTACATTGGCTTTCTGGTGCTGACCTTCATGGGCGGGATGCTTGCGTGGGTTCTGGTGGACGCCAAGAAGGTCGTTCGCAGTGATGGATCCAGAGTCATTTTGATGAAGCACCCAACATGGAAGTCCGAGTTGATTGGTCTGTGGGAGACTCTGATCAGTGACCCCTGGGTCTTGCTGCTCTTCCCCATGTTCTTCGCCTCCAACTGGTTCTACACCTACCACTTCAACGGCGTCAACCTGGCTCGCTTCACCGTCCGCACCCGTGCGCTCAACAATACCCTCTACTGGCTCATGCAGATCGTGGGAGCCTGGGTGTTTGGCAATGCGCTCGACTTCAACAAGGTGCGACGTACCACTCGTGCCAAGGCTTGCTGGATCTCTCTCTTTGTGCTCACCATGGCCATTTGGGGTGGCGGCTACGTCTTCCAAACTGGCTACACACGCGCATCGGTCAAGGAGAACCCAGAACAGATCATTGACTGGGTCGAGGGCCGTTACATCGGACCAATGTTCCTGTACATGGTCTACGGCTTCTACGATGCTGCTTGGCAGACTGCTGTTTACTGGTTCATGGGCGCCATCACCAACAACGGCCGCAAGCTTGCCAACTACGCCGGATTCTACAAGGGCATCCAGTCAGCTGGTGGCGCAATCATGTGGCGCCTCGATGGACTTGGCGTTCCATACATGAACATGTTCGCCTCCTGCTGGGGCCTGTTGGCTGGCAGCCTGATCATTGCGCTGCCCGTCATGATTGCAAAGATTCGCGACACCGTTCCCGTCGAGGAAGATTTGCAATTCACGGACGAGACACTCGATGACGTGCAGGGCGCCAGACCCGTTGGCACGACGTCGACCGACATTGCGTCGAAGGCATAATGTACAACGTGGCACCATCTCATCTCTCAGGCAGGGATAGATTTGTGGACCGACTTTCTTTCATCGAAATCTGCATGAATGGGTGTACGAAGATTCGCATTACTGCTGTGCACAAGCTGCTGCACGCTCGTGTTGAAACGAAGGGATAATGAAATTATCAGGGAGTCATCGGGGATTCGAGCAAGGCGTTGAGGTTTCGGTCACCAGACACTGCTAGTCGCAGTAGTCTGGCAGTATTGCATGACGACAGGTCAACGCGGTTTTAGTGAAGAGAGAGAATGAGTCCAACGATTGCGAGCGTCCAATGGCAGCTTCCCGATTCAGCAGTGATTAGTATTGTAATTGTGAATGAGGTTAGCCGACCGAACAGCGTGAAGATAGTGCTTCTGCTAGTCTGTGTATATGCCCAGCAGCACCCAAGGTTGCAGTACAAGCTCCGGCAAAAGTCGTCACCAGATCTAGTTAGCCGGAGGAGAAGAAGTATGGCAGATCTCTTGCCCGGAGGCGCCCCGCGATTGTGGCTGCCACGCACGCCGAGCAAAAGAGGCTACCACACTACGTTCGTGCAGATGGCGGCGCGAGCTCTCAACAAGACGCCTCCGCGGGACGGGCGTGCTCGCGTGAGCGGTGGATAGACGCTGGTGCTGGTACTGTACCTGTACCTGTCCTCGGCGCGCATGCAGCACTCTCGCATGAAACAGCAGCAGCGTCTCGCGCGGAGGTACAAGGGGGAGTAGTGAGATAGGCGGACGTGAGGTCGTCTCTGCACGAAAGGCGGGTCGGGCGGCGTCAGCGTGCCTCGACGTTTTGGGCGAGGACGGGACTAGCCGGGCGCTCCAGGTTTTCGCATGGTGATCTGAGAGCAAGTTGCTTGGGGGTATTCTGCGCAATGTAACGCCAGATTGCAACTCGGGTGAGCGGTGGTCGAGGGGCGTTCGCTGATACGATACGCTGCTGGTGCTGGTGCTGCTGCCGTGTGGCTTTCGCTCGGCGCTGCTCTGGCCTGCATCAAGCTCCTCCGTCGTCGGTCTGCTGGGAGTTGGCGCGGCAGGTGCAGGCCCATCTCATCTCATCATGCCATGCCATGCCAGGCTGCTGATCGGCTCCCCAGCAGCACATCATCATCACACTACCTGCTCTCTGCTGCAATGCCTCGATGAAACCTTCCTGCGCCGGCCTCCACCGCGACACGACACGACATTCCTCCGACGCTGGTGCGCTCCATCCACCACGTCCACATCCTCGCCCGGCCCTCGCTCCTCTTACAGGACCCGCAGACTGCCTCCCATGTATCACCGCCATGCCCACCACCACGCGTCTGCTCTTCCCAAGGCCCACAACTGCTGATGCTCCCGACCACGCTGCCCGCAATACGACCAACTCTGCTAGCGCCTCCGTGTCACCATCACCACCCTCCGAGTACTGTCCGCGTCCCTAGTCTACCCATATACACGGCCAATCTGCTCCCCCAGGCTATTCCCTGAGCCCGCACATGAAAGCTTCGAGCCACCTCACCTCCCAACGCCCTCGCCCACATTCACGCTGACCATAGACTTTGCTTGCGAGCCACTTCGTCATTCGCTTACACATGACCTCTCTCGGCCTTACTGTTGGTCGCTCCTGCCTGTGTATCCTCTTGGACCTCCTACAATCTTTCAAGCTGGGGAAAGCAATGAGCGTAATGATCCAGTCGGTGGTTCGAGTGGTGCATCCTACCTACCGATCCAAGTCACGCGTTGGTCACCATGTAGTCGAGAAGAGCGGGGCAGAAGACAAGAGCATGGACGAGTTCCTCCAAGAGACCCGAACTTGCTTCGAGGCTCCTCTACAGACTGAGCGCTTGTTGGCCATATCTGCTCAAATCCAAGCCGAATGTCGAGAACGTTTGGCTCAGTCGGACATTTCTATGCTGCCGTCGTACACACATACTCTCCCAACGGGCCACGAGCGAGGCGACTATCTTGCCCTTGATGTGGGGGGCTCGACCTTCCGGATAGCATTGATTCGACTTACTGGCAAATCCAAACCCGGGAGCGATGGCCTACAGATTAGGAGGATACGAAGTTTTGTCATTGATGAGAAGATTCGCGGATTGAAGGGTCAAGCATTTTTCGATTGGATGGCCGAGAGAATCTCAGACATGCTGAGCGACTACAATCACGCCAATGGCACAACTGACGCGCACCTTCCCATGGGCCTGGCATGGTCCTTTCCCATCGAGCAGACATCACCTCGCAGCGGGCGACTCATGGCAATGGGTAAGGGATTCAAGGCAACACACGGCGTTGAAGGACAGGATTTGAGCGAACTCATTATGCGATCATGCAACGCAAAGGGCCTGAATGTGCAGATGCGTGCGATCATCAATGACAGTGCTGGCACTCTCATCTCACAAGCCTACCGGGACCCTTCGACACGCGTGTCATTGATTTTGGGAACCGGCACGAACGCTGCTATATTCTTACCTCGAGGAACATTGGCCAAATCAAAATTCGGATCACGTCCAGATTCATGGTACACCGAAGCTGAACGCGTATTGATCAATACCGAGCTCAGCATGGTCGGTCGACACTCATTACCCAAGACGAAGTACGACGAGCGATTGAATTCAGATCATTCGATACCTGACTTCCAGCCATTGGAGTATTTGTCGACCGGCCGCTACTTGGGCGAAATTGCAAGATTAATTATGCTGGATGCCATTGCAAATGCAAATCTCTTCAACGGACAGATCCCGCAAGGTCTTGAAGAGGCGTATACTTTTGACTCGAGAATCTTGGCCGCATTTGAGAGCGATTCGTCGCGAAAACTGGAAAAGGCACGCGCTGTGTTTTTGCAAGCGCATCCAATGCGTTCGACACCACGAACACGAGATCTGCAATTTGTTCGCGACATTGCAATGTTGATATCTCGACGAGCTTCGGCTTACATTGCCACTGCTATGCATGCTTTATGGAGAGTACGCTCGGAGTCGGAAGCTTTGGACAATGCCGATGGAGTGACAATTGCTTGCAACGGTACGATCATTGAGAAGTACCCGGGCTTCCGAGAACGATGCCAACAGTACTTGGACGATTTATGCGAGAAGTCGGGCGCGCCACGAGGGGCTGTGACGCTGAGTCTCGCGCCGGAAAGCTCAATATTTGGAGCTGCGGTGGCGGTTGCCTGTATGGATGAGGGATCATGATTGACAAATTGACACTGCGAGGACAGTGTTCAATACGGAGATGCGAAGGACTTGAATATTTGACGTGCGATTTGACATACGACTGCGACATTTGAATCGCACACTTGTTTTGGATGCATCATGAGCGACATGGCGCGCGGAGTGAGGAGTACATGGGAATCCGCGGCGAACAAGCCTGCGAGAGGAGAAATTTGGATATCTATTACACCCATTGTATGGAACGAACTGGCAATTGAGCATTCACAACATTGTCGACTACGGCGACGAACCGCTGAGGAAGACTATTTACAGTATAGATACCCAAGGCGAACGCGCAGTTGAATACAAACGCATACGTCTTTACCTTCATTCATGGCAAAGCGAAGCAGTGCCAAACGTTTCCCACGTTCTAAGATGCACAAGGTCTTCCACCCAAGCGCTACAGAAGCGCCGGTAATCACAGGACGAAAAAGATTCTGATCCATGATTGTAACACTACGCAAGCAAGTGATGATCAGTTGTCCGCACGCGCATAACTCGGTGAGCAGTGGACTGCGACTAAGCGGCTCTTTCGGCTTGGGTGCATGGAAGCCACATAATGGTCGATCATACCGTAGCATTGGGGGCTGGGCTTCCCTTTTCGTTTCGATTTTAGCCTGATGTCGAGGGTCGCTACTGGCTTGATCAGGATAATGGACGCTGAGGGCTACGGGTTTCCCCAGACGGCACGATGGTGATGAGGATGTGGGGAGCATGTCACTACACACTGCCGATCATGGGTCGAGGAGGGATTCGGCTGCGAAAATCCTGGTAGTATGCGTGCGGGCGGCATGGGGCTAGTAGACGCGACTCGAATTGCCATGGCATGGCATGGCATGCTCCGTACGCGTGCTGGTAGCGAGCGGGAAACATACATGTATCCTTGTGTGTGGAGGCCACGTGCTGTGGAGTGAGGCGGGTAGATACATGTATTCAATACTCGTTATGCCTCATCGGTGGACTAATACTTTCGAGCTTTTCGTTATTACTGATGCCTTTCGTCGCCGTCAGCTATCATTGACGGAGCAATTTAGACGCATTTGCCACTGCGTTTGTGTAGCCCTCATCAACATGTATTGCTACTTGGACAATGCAATGCAATGTCACGTAAGAACTGCCGATGACCAAGGCGCCCAGTCCACCGTGGCTCTTTGTCTTTGTCTTCATCTTTCTGCTTGTGCTGTGGTGCAACCATAAGCGGCAGGGAGCGTAAGCCTGGAAGCCGGTGATCTTCCAATGCACGCTGCAATGAAACCGTGGGAAGGTCTTGAGTTCTGCGTATTCGTATGGTACGAGTGTGACTTTGTACAGGAGGCACGTCAGAATGGAACGATTGGATTGTTCCTGCGAACGGCTGGCCGCATGGAGACATTGCATTGCGCATGGCCACTTGCTTGGGATGCGAGTGGGATGGGGCATTTTAGCTTCTGGAGAGCGTGGCCACGATCCATCGGAGCCGATAGAGTGGCAGACTTTCCTGTGTCGGCGAGGTTGCAGCAGCTACGCTGGTCTCACTCGTTGGCACAGAAGAAGCCGAGCACATACGGACCTCTCTGGACTCGCGGCATATGTGGTTGATGGCAGTTTGGAGCAGACGCGGTGAAAGGAGACAAGCTGCATCAGCATTAAGCCCAATCCTTTCGAGCATTGGCAATATTTCATTAAATTTTCGTCACATACATCGATTCCTTAATTCGGTTCGAGATCTCGCTGCTGTTCCTCCTGAGATCACATCCAGTTGCATCTTATGCCAAATCGAAGCCACTTTCCTTTCCCAAATTCTCGAGCCCATCCTGAGGCTGAGATTCCAGAAAGTAGTTGACAGAAAAAGAATCAGTCGCCTGCAGTCCTGGCCAGAACGATGTGAAAAATGGCAAGCCCGGCAATTCAAATCGCAGCTGCAACACAACACGCAAGTTGATCAAGCAGGATCGAGAGTCTGCGATGCGAGGAGGCAGGACGGAAAGTGAATTTGGACCGGAGCTCACCACAGTACACACTCTGCCCTTTCGGATCTGTTGCGCCTTGCCGGATTCGCAGATCTGCGCTGAGATACTTTCGAAATCTCCGTACCTGCGAGCATGCGGTTGGGCCTAGCTTAAGTTCTCCGGTCGCTTGGTCGTCATAAATGGGCAGGAGCTTCGATGCGCTAAAAGCAACGCCCCGGAGTAAGCAAGACTGGACTGTCTCATTGACTGGGGCAAGAAGCCGTGTCTGGCGTGCAGGCTGTTGCTGCGACAGAGCGCAATCTGAAAGAAAGAAACATCTCGCACGAGATCCCTCCAAGAAACCATCGTCAGGGTCGCCGCTCAATCGTCGTCCGGAACATACATGCGCTTGCTCTTCGATCTCGCGCTATGGGTAATCGTCGGATCTCGAGGATCCGTTCTCAGCTTGATGTGGTGGACAACATGCGGTCTGTACACTGCATCCACCGGCGGCATCCAGTCATCGAGACTCAGTGGGAAATATTCATACAAGAGATCCGCGCTTTCGTCTGGGCTGTTGATTGTGTTGATCGAGAAGGAAGGCGGTCGTGCTGGAATTTGAAGCCTCTTCGCCTTCTGCGCCGAGTCGGGTGGGGTCTGACTACTGCCTGGCTTTGGCGAATCATCTTCCACAAGAGATAAGTTGATGGGTGCAGGCGGGGGCATTGAGGACTTCTTGGGAGGTTGAAGGCCTGGTGAAGTCGATCGATACACGTTAGCAGCTTCTTGCGGAGTGCTGCGTGGAGGTGCCATTGCTGCAGAGTCGGCCGCTCCGGCGTTGGCTTGCTGCCAATGCTGAGCATCGCCTTGCGCAACGCCTTCGTGCGCATCATATGAATACATGGACATGGTAGGAGCTGGGGCTTCGGTCTTGACAGGCGCTGATGTGGGGCCGTCATTTCTCGACTTCTCTCCTCCGTGCACTGTCGCAGCTCGAGTCACGTTAGACGTCTTGCGAATGTGCCCGTTGCCACCCAGCGGCATGTCTTTGCGAGATTGAAAGTTCCTCGGGCTGCGTCCTCGCACTATAATGGCGCCAGAGCGAACAGCACAAATGGGTATCTTGCCTCCCGTAGCCAAGGTAGCCAGTACCTTGAGATGTACAACAAAGTGTTGTTGCAGCTCCTTGCGCCTTCCATTGTTGGCTGTCGCTATTCGGAACTGTAGCCGCTTCCACTGAAAGGGAAAGCTCGCAAAATCTGTATTCATCTCCTGCACATTCATAAGGTCGAGGGGTATTGACGGCGGCTCGCGCTCAGTCTTGTCCTCTGGTGCAGGTCCTGCTGGCCCCGCAGGTGTTTTCCATGGCACTGATATGATTTTCACAGGGTTTCCTTCTGTCGATTCGTTCGCACTGATTACGAGCTCTTGCCCTATGATGGGGATCTGTTCCCCTTGCTCTGTCAAAATATATCGTAACGTTCGTGGGAGAGTGATTTCTCCAGTGATTTGAAAAAGGTTCCTCCGATAGCAAGTCAGCTCCGAAGGCGGTGGATTTGCGTCTCCGGCGGAGGCCCAAGGCGACTCTGCCAGAAAGAACATGCCATGGAGCTGCGCTGCGAGAGATATCGTGGTATGGCGGTAGCCGTAGTCGAGGAGTCTGTAGTCGAAGGTGGGTAGTGAGAAGCCGAGTAGTTTGTTGTTTGAATCGGTCAAAGGAGCTTCCGGATCGTGTGGATCTTGTGTCTGCGCGTCGAAGGCGCTCACAACATCGGAGAAGGGATCCTCGTAGGCGCTGGCGAAGCGTTTGAGCTGCGACGGCTGTTGTAGACTGTGGAGGTTTAAGTCCTCGCTCCTGCAATGCGGAACATTGTTAGCATCTGCTCTGTATGAGATCGCACGAGCCCGGAGCTCTTGCGACCCGAGCTGAACTCGGAGAGCACTCTTCACACGTACCCAGCATAACCACCATATGTGGAGTGGTGCTCGTGGTACTCGGCCGGCAGCAACATCTCTTGGAAGGGATCCTGGGCTCCATGGTTTGGCTGTTGCATCTGCGTAGCCAAATAAGTCATGGTCGACGGGTCAAAGCCTGAGAGATCCATGATGGCGACGTCGCATCAGCGCCCACCTCGCGGTAGTATGGCAGACGGGGGAGCTCTGTATAGGGCTACGATCCTCAAGCGCAGCCTGTCTGTCCAAGTTCGGCGATTGTCGCTGCTCTTTGATGACCTTATACTCCCATTCATGGATTGCTCGAGAAGTGGCCGGCGGTGCAACAGCACGACTCGATGTCCGGTGTCTCAGGTATCGTGTTCCCTTCCCTCCGCCCAGCAATTCCACCCTCCACCAGTGCGAGCTGCTCCAGTAGATGGTCGGGAAGGTAACTGGTGTGCCGCCTTTGTGCTACTGCGATGTCCGGCGTTCTTGATAGCTTCGGGGCCTCTGCGAACGCATGGAGTCGCCGGGACTGATCTCTATCATCGGGCGCGCCGGAGTGCTGTCTCGGTCTTATCAATGCGACACGCTCAATCTCTGCGACACGCGCTCCATGCGCACGCCGCGGTCTCTCGTGTGGTCGAGCACGCGGAAGCACTGCCCGGAAGCAATGTCATAGCCATCCGGGATCTGCGTCTTGTGAGGCCGACGGTGATAGGCTGCACGACAGCCGCTCGAGTCGCTGGGTGGTCCAGACTCTCATCAGAGTGGAGACCTTCTACAAGCATGCACGTGTGTGCCAGCAGCACCATGACTATATCGAGGAACTCTCTCTCGGTCACGATCGAGAGATCTCAAAAGATGTGTATAGCACGTGGTAGTAATACCTGAGCCTGGTCACGCCGAAAATTGAACGATCAGTATTCAAGTACGCAATGGCGACATTCGGTAAGTCCGGATTTCGCGAAATAGATGTGAGTAGACCTGCGTGTGAGCAAGATCAGTGATCGGAGATGCGGCCATGTAAGAAAGTGTCGCATGCAATTGTTAGAGTGCACTGGTAAGCATACAAGGTTAGACATAAGGTTACCTGAGCTCAGATCCATTCCATATCGTCACATCATCGAGTGCTGTTGTCCTTTGCGTCCAACTTCAGACCGTCTAGGTCGGTACCATAGTCCAGGTTGCCGCATCACAGCTAACTTCTTCGAAGTTATGCAGCACACTAAAGCCCATGGCACTCAACCCGTCAAAGTTTCCATCGCCATCCATCTGTAGAGACGTCAGTAATGCCCAAAGATAAGGAGAGGGGAATGCTCACATAGTCCAGAACACAAACATTACATCCTTGTCCCTTCACTTGTCTCACTCCGAGTAGAATCAGGCCTTGCAATAAAGTCGAGTATTCGCCCACGCTAGGACTGATCACTGGTGAGGAGATACCGCCAGCCAGTTCTCCGAGATCTTTCATGCTCGGTACGAATTCTGCAAATTGGCTTTGCATGTTGTACAACACTACTGTGCCAACAAGCGCACCGTCCTCAGGCCTTTTGGCACGAATGATGCCGCAAGCTGATGGGTCAGCAAGTGCCATCTTGTAGACTTCTGCCAGGCCTTGTCTGTTGTTCGTTTTGATGTGGTCGAGGATTGGTGCTGCATAGTCCCATCCATACACCAGGTCGAAGTCGACACCTGCACTTTGCAGACTCTTGGCCATGCCTTCTGGCGGACTCCAAGTCGACAAGTTCCGAGCGACCATGCTGCAAACTGATCGTGAAAGTGCAGTGTTCCAGCCAAGATTTGCGAACCATGATCTGAGTCGCTTCCGCTCACCGCCATGACCTGTCGGTATGCCGAGATAAATACTGGGCAAACGAGACCCAAGCTGGAATCTCTTGACGCCTTCTCGCTGCAGAAGCGTGCGGATCGCGCGATTGTGCAGTGAGTGACCGATTGAAAGCTTTCTCCTGCTCGGATCAACGAAGATGGCACCAATCACTCCACTTCCAGCAGCAGGGAAGAAGTACGTGGCGCAAAAGCCGTAGAGAGCCTGTGTGCTGGAGTTCCTCACCACATAATGTGCTTCTTGAATGTCAGCATTCCGCAGAAGGAACGAATTCGAAGTCGCGCTCGCCAGTTCCGAATGCAGACCAGGAGTATTACCGTCCACTACGGATTTGATCAGGACATCCAAAGAGTGGGAGTCTCGCTCTTCGTTGAAGGCTTCGACAAGCCAATGCTGCTTCGACTGTGAAAGCTTCTGGCTTTGACTGATAGATCCTGGAAGAGCGCCCGCGGGTGCGAAGTCTCCATACAATACCTTCACAAGTGACATGAGAGCTGTCTCCGTAAAGTCATAAGTGCAGAGGTAGGTGCCAATGCTCTGATCCATGGCAAAGTCGTATGGTGAGCTGACAGAGATGACGATCAGTGGCTTCTCACGTCTCTCACCAGCAGATGTGTAGTGCATATTGCAGATCATCGAGACGTGCTTTGCGAAACCATGCTGATACAGGTTGCGGTTGGCGTCTGCAGTGACTATTATGACAGCACTCGCTCTGTTGATAAGATTTTCGTGTTGCGGTCGAACACCGTTCGCGGTGTAGGATGTATGTAATACACGTCCAGTTCGTTGTCGAGCCAGTGTACGACCCAGCTCTCGAAACACGCGCTCACCGCTCATGACCGAAGCACTTCGCTGCATGTGTTCGGGTTCCGGCGAACCATTTGGGACCTGCTCCGATAGTGCTCGGGCTGCAGCAGAAGCGACCAAAGGCTTGACAAGCGGCGTGAGTAGCAGGAGCTCGTCTTCGGGCTCGATGATGTTCGTCAGAGGGAGTAACCTGTTCTTGTCTCGAACCACTGTGATGGAGGAGTTGTATGCTTTGGTCGACAGCTGAGTGTGTGAAGGCTGCAGCTTCGACAGAAGCTCGATGCCCTGAGGGTGTAGAGCCTTCTCCCATGTGGTGCACTTAGCCTTGAGTTCCAGCACCCTTCGCAACGATTTCTTCAGGCGCTCCTTTGTCATCATCGCGTTCTCTAACCCGAGCTTGAGCCCATCGATAGCCTCTTGCTGATGCACAAACGACCGGCATAGTAGCACAATATCACACCCAGCGTTAATGGCCATGACTGTGCCACCACCGACACCAATGTTGTGACTCAAAGCCTCCATTTCGAGGCAGTCTGATATGACGACTCCCTCAAAGTGCAGATCGTTGCGCAGGAGGTCGTTCACCACTTGCTCGGAAAGGCAGGCGTGCATCACATTCAGACCAGCCGATGACATTGCACACCCTCCGACCATCATCGCATCTAGGCCTTCCTTGATCGCATTTCGAAATGGTACCAACGCGTTCAGGCTGAGCGACTCGAGACTCTCGGTGATGGTAGGCACATCCAACGCGGATCCGAGAAATTCCAAGCTACCATACGATGGAAAATGTTTCCCCATGGTACTCAATCCCGCGTCTTTGTAGCCCTTCATAAAGGCAATGCCGTACGAAGAGACCTCTTGGGGATCGTCACCTGTCGTCCGCACTCCAAGAGGCTGATTACGAGCGTTAGTCAAGACGTCCAGCACAGGACCCATCATCAGATTCACGCCACATGCTGAAATCTCTTCAGCAGTCGCTTTAGCTACTTCGTAGGCGATCTCTTTCGAGCCTGTGGCCGCCAATCCCATGGCTGATGGGAATTGACGAATATAGATCTCATCAAAGAGACTGTTGACGCCGCCATTTTCCTGGTCAACGCCAATGAGGAGTGGCACTGGATGGCCAGCATCATAAGCCAGTTTCTGCAATTCGAGTACCAGCTCGGTGCACTGCTCAGCATCTACCCTTTGTCAGAACCCATCGCACGTGAGATGGCCGAGAGTAATACTTTTCAAGTTCTTAGCGGACAGCAAGATGGATCCGAGATGGTCCTCCTGAATCAGTTTCTTGATCTGGGGTGTAACGCTAGTTCCCTCGAATCCCATCTACGGATCACCAACAATGAGCACTGACGCTTGATCAAGGATACGCAAGCGATGCGACGCTGCGGGGGAGAATTGACTTGCCATGAACAGCTGCCCCAGAGTTCTGCCATGACATTAGCTTCGAGGACATATTGTAACGATCTAGTCAGTGCTGCAACCTTGCAGCCAAGGCCTGTGGGTAAGCTCTTGGGTGACATACCGGTCCATGTCATCCCAAACGGGATCCAAGTGCCAGGTGCCATTGCTAGTAGCGTTGGCCATGCTGTCGACCAGCCTGAGCTCCACTGGTGCCTGGATCACGAGAGCACGACATGCAACGGATCAGCATGCGACCTTCTAATGGCGGCCGTCAGACGCGTACGCTTGCGTCCCAATGTGGGTTCTCTGGGTCACAAGTGTAGGGTAGCGATATCATCCTCCGGAGAACGGCCAGGCGCGCAACGGGCTCGGCGGGCTGCTGACAACGCGTTCGCCAGGCCGCGTAGGTTGGCGGAAAAGGGTCTCCTTCGATATGGATCTGCGTCAAGCGACCTGCGGCTCAATTCGCGGTCTTGCTGGAGTAGCGTCGCATGATAAGTGAGCGGCCAAGGTTGCTGAGCGTGGCTAGTCGCCGTTCAAGCCTCGAGGTGACATTGAACGTACGGTATGCCAGAGATAGAGTAGCGTCACAAATACTAATCTCTGAAACCTGGGGACGTCTCACCTGCTGGACAAAAGTCGGCACCAGATTAGCCGAGCTCGGCCAATGGACAGTTGACAGCAACGTCGACAACCTTCTTCCACGTTGCAACCTCACCTTACACCCGCTGCAACGTGCCCATGCCATTGGACAAGGACTATCACAAGCCATGCCGTCGTTGGTCACGATAGGGCAACGTGCTATCCACGACCATGCCGCCCACATGGAGCAGCTACGACAGAGGAAACCGCAGAGCTCTTGCTCTTCTCTGGCTGTGACGTGGTATAGGCCCACTCATGATACTCTGGCATGTGGTATGAGCCCTCGTAGCTACGCGCCTTGCCAGTAGGTGTCTGTCGTCGTTCCTACTACCATTCACGTCAAGAGTATCTTCACTGTGCGAGACTTCCACTCGGAAGCTGGCAGTATTGACCTAGGGCAACGACCACTCACAAAAGTCACCACAATGCCTATCGCCGTGTCGCCAGAGCGACCTCGAACTGGCGTTACTCGCCTCACTGGTGGACGACTCGTCAAAAACGGGCAGCTGGTGGAAGAGGACTTATGGATCTCATCAATTACTGGCAAGATCTTGCGGAGCCAAGAAGTTTTTTACGAGCATCATATCATGCCAGACGAAGTCATCGACCTCGAAGGCAAGGTCCTCTGCCCTGGTTTCATTGATGTACAGTTCAATGGCGCTTTCGGTGACGACTTCTCCACGATCCCGACGAATAGCGCTGGTCAGGAAGACATCACAGCATACGCAAAGACACTCAAGAAATTGAACAAACGACTAGTGCAGACTGGAGTGACAAGTTACTTGCCTACCCTGCCAAGCAACAACTCTGAGCTATATCACAAAGTTCTGCCATATCTGGGACCGAGCGGGGCGCGCAGAGACGCTTCTGAGGGCAGCGAAAGTCTTGGAGCACATTGCGAAGGACCATTCATCTCACCCACCAAGAACGGCATACACAGTCTCGATGTTCTGCAAGAGGCGCCTCGCGGCATTGCAGACCTTGAGGATTGTTACGGGAAAGAAAACCTCACAGCCGACGGAAATGGTCCCATTCGAATGATTACGGCGGCGCCAGAAGTGCCTGGCGTGTTGCCGCTGATCGGAGATCTCACTTTCCGAAACATCATATTCTCCATTGGACATACCGAAGCCTCCTACGAGACGACCGGTGAAGCCATTCGCAATGGCGCTAGGATGATCACGCACCTTTTCAATCAGATGCCGGCGCTGCACCATCGCAATCCTGGCCCATTTGGCGTGCTAGGCAAAGCTGAGGACACTGAACGCCCGTGCTTCGGCATCATAGCAGATGGCATCCATCTACACCCAACTACAGTGAACATTGCGTGGAATGCGCATCCTGAAGGTTTCATACTCGTGACCGATGCAATGAAAACAGTGGGACAGCCGGATGGTGTATACGAGTGGACAAACGGCGATCGATTTGTCAAAAAGGGATCCGTTCTTACTCTCGAAGGCACAGACAAGCTCGCTGGTAGCTGTGCCAGCTTGGTTGAATGTGTCAGCAACTTTTGGAATTGGAGTCAGTGTACCATACCTGAAGCGATCGCTAGCGTGACCAGCACACCGGCCAAGATGCTAGGCTTGGGTGGCTCGAAGGGATGTCTAGATTTCGATGCAGACGCAGACTTGATCTTGTTGGATACAATCGAGGAGGAGAGCGCCCGCAGGTTCGAGGTTGCTAAAGTGTGGAAATTTGGAAGCCTGGTGTTTGAGAAAGAGTAGTGAGGCGGATATCAAGTGTGCCTGGACGCTATGGCGGCAGGGAAGATACACAGAATGCTAGCAATTCTTCAGCATAATTCATTTAGAATTAATAGACATACATTGTTCATTGCTGCACTTCCACTTGTATGTATATCTTGGCTGGCGCGAAGAAGCATGGATGTTGATCTGTCGCCGACATGTCTGCTTGCATGTGAACCATGACGTAGCCACGCGAGAGAATCGGCCCTCGATGAACGCGAACTCCATCACTATTCTCTCACCACCTTCGGCGCCGGCTCTTTCAAGTTATCTCGATCGGCCATCCGTCTGTCTCTCCATCACGCCACACCATGATATACACGCTCTCCCAGCGGTGACAGCACGCGTCTCAGAATGCGCGCCACCATCTCCTTGTGTCGATCATGCGTCGGAGTCCTACACAACAGCAGTCAATCCATACGACCACAAGTCCTTCGACACGTCCAGTACAGCATCCGAGGTGGGCGTAATCGCAAGTCCTTTTCGATACTGCACCATGTCCGACATAGCTTCCGCCCGCCACCAGCACCAGTCAAAGGAGGTACCCTCCTCCTCGCGGCGCTCAGTCCTGCAGCATTTGTATCAATAGCGGAAGATGAAGAGAACGACAATGGCCTTACGCACGAGGAACATATGCTGGAGATTTCGCGGCAAGAGCTGAGAGATAGTGTACCCGACAGGCTAAAGAATAGCAAGGGTTTTCGCGTCAGGATATGGCGGTTTCTCAACGCGTGGATCTATGAGCCAATTGCCACAGGGTTACGGTTCATACATTTGGTCATCATATTTGTGCCTGTCATTGCGACAGTGCCTGTAATATGGCTCGGATCACGAGATCCTGAGCGAGACGATGAGAGAAGTGGCACAGTCTGGTGGTATGGCTTCCTGGTATCGAGCATGGAACGCGCAGGAGCGGCTTTCATCAAACTTGGACAATGGGCCGCGAGCCGGACAGACATCTTTCCGCAGCAGCTTTGCTTGATCATGTCTGCACTGCATTCGAACGCGCCGGCGCATAGCTTGAAGATTACGAAAGAGACGATAGAACGAGCATTTGGGCGGAAGTTTGAGGACATTTTTGAGGAGTTTGAGCAGACGCCATTGGGAGTTGGTGCCATTGCGCAGGTCTACAAAGCGAAGCTGAAGCCAGATCTTGCCGTGACAGACGACGAGGCAGCAGAGAAGCCGAAGAATTTGAGAGAAAGAGCATTGAAGACAGTGGATCCGCTGTTGAAGAGCACACCCCAGCGGGAGCCGAGCAAATACGTGGCTATCAAGGTGTTGCATCCCAAGATCGAAAGAATTGTTAGACGCGATTTGAAGATCATGGGCTTTTTCGCGAGCGTGATCAACGCAATCCCCACTATGGAGTGGTTCTCATTCCCAGATGAAGTGAAGCAGTTCGGAGAAATGATGCGACTGCAACTGGACCTTCGCATTGAGGCAGCGAACCTTACCATCTTCCGCAAGAACTTCCGCAACAGATCGACAGCATGGTTTCCTTACCCTTATACACAATACACGACCCGTCAAGTACTGGTAGAGGAATTCGCGACTGGCATTCCACTGGAGCACTTTCTACAAAATGGTGGCGGCGTTTTCCAAAAGGAGATTGCAGACGAAGGTCTGGATGCGTTCTTGCACATGCTGCTAATCGACAACTTCATTCATGCGGACTTGCATCCCGGAAACATCATGGTTCGTTTCTACAGGCCAGCAACAATGCACGAACGGACAGAAGTTGGCACCAAGATCCGTCAGAAACTCATAGGCGATCCAAAGCCAGACGCAAAGAATGGTGAAGACGTCACCGAAACCGTGCTATCCCGACTGAGACCTCATAGACACAACAAGGATGCATGGCTGAAGGAGCTTGCACAGATCGACAGGGAGAATTTTAGACCACAGCTTATTTTCATCGATGCGGGACTCGTCACGGAGCTCAACGAGACCAACAGGAAGAATTTCCTGGACCTGTTCAAATCTGTTGCGGAATTTGACGGATACAAATCTGGACGACTTATGGTGGAGAGATGTCGGCAGCCGGATGCCGTCATTGACAAGGAGGTTTTCGCGCTCAGGATGCAGCATCTCGTCCTTGGAGTCAAGAGCAGAACATTTGCGCTAGGCAATATCAAGATTGGTGATATCTTGAACGAAGTCTTGGATATGGTGCGATCGCATCATGTCCGATTGGAAGGAGACTTCGTCAATGTTGTCTTGTCTATATTGCTTCTGGAAGGTATTGGCAGGACTTTAGATCCGAACTTGGATCTGTTTTCTGGGTGAGTCTACAGGTGTTTGTGACGCTGTCATACTTTGCTAACATATTCGAAGCGCGCTGCCTATCCTCAGGCAACTAGGAGCCCAAAGTGGCAGCTCAATGCTCCGATCTGGCGACTTGTCGATGGTCAAGGTCTGGGCTGGCCTTGAAGCGAGAAAGTTCTTGCAAGCCAGCATTGAGAGTGTGGAGATGTGTGTCAAGTACGACCAATTGAGCCCAAATATATGAGAGGGATCGAAGGCATAGCGGTGCGTTGCATTTGCATGATGAGATACACTAAAGCCATACAGCAGAGTTTACACTTTCAAGTATCACTGGATTGATCTACGACCGTTCAATCCTATCACTCCTTAAGCACAATTTCGGTGTTCGTACCCACTGATTCCACCATGCTAGTCACAACCAATAGTATCGGGTACCATTCAGCGGCTGCCAGTGTGACATTGAGGTGAAAGTGCAACAAGACTCGGTGATCATTGAAACATTCTACGTTCGCAGCAGGCAGTATGAAATAGCAAGCAACCACAAAGACGAGATCATCTGATTTGTGCTGTAGTGATCCAAAGAAACAAGGTAGCAATGTCATTTGGAAATGGCATTACACAAAGCGCACCCCCATCTTGCGTCTCTCACATGATTACTAATTGGGTCGGCTTGAGCACATAGCATTTGCGAGTACATCCGAATGAACAGGAACTCAGTGGGCTGACGCGTGCTTCCTTCTTAGAGGTTTCATTGTCAGGACGAATCTTGTCATGAACAGAGCTTTGAGGGCAGATATAGATGTTGGATCGTGGACTCAACGCTTCAAATCTCGTTCGTGAGCAACCTCAAGTCGACCAGGATCGTTGAGCGTTTGGGTATGGAAAGAGTGGTGAGGTGAAGTGTATGGGAACGCGCACGGTGCCTGTCATCGGCTAAAGTCCTTTCCGCCAGCCCACAGCCGATGCCAGCTTCCGAAGCTCTCTCGCCCCAAGCTTCCTCTCCTCTCCGACATCGTCTGTCGTGCAGTGCTTATGGCAACGCGCTTCCGAAATAATCACCAGCATTTGGTTCCGAAAGCGTAGGTCTTTCTGCTCCTGAACATCTATTCCACTTACTCTAATCCGACCTTCGTCGTTGTACACTACACCTTTTCTCAATCTCAGGAACAAACACGCGTGAGAGCTGCAACGCATAGCTACTGAACAATCATATAAGACCGCGATATGGCGCTGCAAAAAGGTCTCAAGAATATCCTCAGCAAGAATGCCGACGACATCGTGATTCTTTCTGCTCTCCGCACACCCGTCACACGAGCGAAGAAGGGCGGCTTCAAGGACGCCCACGACCACGAGCTGCTTTCACACGTACTGAAGGCGACCCTTCAAGCACACCCAAACCTCGACCCCACGAAAATCAACGATGTTCAGATTGGCACAGTTCTCTCAGAGCTGGGTGGTAGCAAAGCAGGACGAATGGCAGCAATTCATGCTGGAGTGCCCGAGACTACAACTTTCCAGACCGTGAACCGAGCATGCTCAAGTGGGTTGGCAGCAATCACAGGCATAGCCAACTCCATCCGAGTTGGAGAAATCGATGTAGGGATTGGTGGCGGAATGGAAAGCATGACGAGGAATTATGGTTCGCGAGCTATTCCAACATCCCTCTGGAATGAGCTGAAAGAGTCGCCGAGCAAGGATGCGAGGGATTGTATCATGAGCATGGGAATCACAGCCGAGAATGTCGCGGAACGATATGGTGTGTCACGGAAAGAGCAGGACGAGTTCGCTGTTGCTTCACACGTCAAAGCTGCGAAGGCACAGAAGGAAGGGCTGTTCGACGCGGAGATTGTGCCGGTCAAGACGAGGACTGTACCTGATCCTGAGCACCCGGAAGTCAGCGAGGAAGTTACAGTGTCCAAGGACGATGGCATTCGTGCGGGCAGCACAGTGGAGAAGCTGGGAACGATGAAGCCTGCTTTCAAAGCTGATGGAGCCACAACCGCTGGAAACAGCTCACAGGTCAGCGACGGTGCGGCTGCCGTGCTCATGATGCGTCGATCCACAGCGACAGAACTTGGTCTTACATCCTCGATCATCGGCAAGTGGGCTGGCACACAAGTTGTAGGCTGTAAACCCGACGAGATGGGTATCGGGCCTGCTTTGGCGATTCCTAAGCTTTTGAGCCACACTGGTGTCTCAAAAGAGGACATTGGTATCTGGGAGATCAACGAGGCTTTTGCATCGCAAGCAGTCTACTGTGTACGGGAATTGGGCATCGACCAGGGAAAGGTCAACCCCAAGGGTGGTGCTATCGCTCTGGGACATCCTCTTGGTGCGACGGGCGCAAGACAGTTGGCTACACTATTGCCTGAGCTCGCGAGACAAGGGCAAGAATTGGGCGTTGTTAGTATGTGCATCGGAACCGGTATGGGTATGGCTAGCTTGTTTGTTAGGGAGTAGATCTAAGCGGGCCGTAAAATGTAAAGATGATAACTTCATTCGCGGGAACTATTTGAACAAGGTCAGCGTCAACAAGATTCAATTGCTTTTGAAGGACGACAGCAAGATACTACGGCAGCCGGCAAAGCCGCCAGAGCCACAAGTCCCGCTAACAGTCCTCCGATAGCCCTTCCGAGGTCGCACCCCACCTCTACAAGTAAATGTGATCTCTCTCTTTGATATACATTTTACAGCCCATGCTTCTCGAGACATCGACACACAGAAGGATTTCAACATGGCATCCGCAGTCTCCAACATCCGCGCCAACAACGGCAACGCTCGATTCAATGAAGAAGCTCTTTCCTGGGATTCACGACCTTTTGTCCACGAAGCATCCCAAGCAGCCTCGAAAGCCATATCCTCCAAGGTTTCTGATCTTCGGCTGCACAGCCAAGATTCCCAGACTCCAGGCCTTCAAGTCCTCGAGATCGGCTGCGGAACAGGAATTCTCAGCTTTCTCATGGCCAAAGGCCCCTCAATTGGTCGAATCGTTGCCGTCGATGCCGCGGAGGGAATGATCGAAGTGCTAAAGACCAAATTATCGAAAGATCCCGAAGCCGCAACAAAGATTGTCCCTTTGGCATTGATGTTGGAAGATCCCGAGGATCCCGCTCTTCCGGAAGGAGAAGATGGCAGAAGACAGAAATTCGATTTAATCACAAGTCATCTTGTCCTTCATCACATTCCCGAACTCAAAGCGGTGCTGAGAACGATGTATGGATGTTTGGCACCCGGGGGAAGGGTCATGTTGACGGACTTTGAGGATTTCGGACCAGAGGCGAAGAGGTTTCATCCGGCAGGAAAGATGGACGGAGTGGCAAGGCATGGAATTAACGCGAAGGAGATGGAGGCAATGTTGAGAGATGTGGGCTTTGAGGATGTTGAAGTGAAGGCCGAGTGGACGATGGAGCAGAAGGTAGAGAAATTCGATGGAGAGTTTGCGGAGACGAAAAGTGCGGAGTTTGCAAGAGTGGTAGAGGAGGAGCAGTCTGGTGAGATCATGGAGTTTCCATTTGTGGTTTGTTATGGGGTGAAAAGGTGAAGAAACATCAGGATGAGGGTGCGGTGACTCTTAATAACGGATCCGCTATTGTGGGAGGATCAGGTTACGGTGCTGCGCTTCAACGTTGATCTGAGATGCCATTTCTGGAGACGGACCTGATGGACTTGACGTCCGCACTACTTTGCTGGCACTCTCCGGCAGCACTGGGAATGCGCCTCCAGTTTCGAGCAACAGGTACTAGGAGAGTATCACCATGTCGAGAAAATTGGTTGGGGGTTGAGAAGTCGAGAAAGAGAGCAGAGGATGATCTACACAGCGCCTGAACCCGAGAGACTAAAAGATAGCACGCATACGATCGCCACTCCAGAATCGAACTGAGCATTGAATGTAGGAAACTGCAAAACCAGCTTGCCCATCCCTCGAACCCACCGAAAACAACGACCAGTAAAGTCCCATCACACGGAATAACCTCTTTTGTGCAACTCTCCTTCCCTTGTTCCATTCCTTAAGTCCTCACAGCAGCCTGCAAGAAGTCCACCGCCGCATTGACGTCGCTCGTATAAGTCAAATGACCTGGGGTAACGGCCAAACCACCACCGCAGACTCCATCGCTGGCATTGCAGAAAACCTTCGTCCTCGCAGCAGGATAGTTCGGAATTTGTCCGTTGTTCTGACGATTCTTGGTGTAGCCGTACAGAACGACACCCTTGACTTGTTCCTTTTGCTGAGCAGGAAGAGCAGTGACTGCGGCGGCGATGAGAGCGGCGCCTTGACTGATTCGGAGTGTTAGTAGAATAATTTTCGCTGGCCGAAGGAATGAAGGGGACGTACGAGTACCCGCCCGCGACAACTGCGGCATCTGGGCATTGACTTGCAGCAAGGGCGAACATTGTGGCCGCTTCACGTTTGGCAGCCGCTGTGGTGCCGTCCGCCTGGAGATTGCCGCCGATGGAGGCAGTATAGCCTCCTCCCACGCCTTGACAGACGGCACCGGGAAAGGCTTGCTTGATACCGCGGCAGGTTGGGGGACCGACAGTCAAGCCCTAGATTGCATTCAGTATGCTTCGCAGCCGATGGTTTGGGTGTCTGTTCTCACCATATTGCCTGTCTCAGTCGAGCCTCGTGCGAAGATGAAGACAACATCGCCGCATTTCCCGCTCTTCAGTTCGTTGGAGGTGGTCGAACCTTGACGGCGCTCAATAGGCGTACCGTAGGCGGCAGCCGCGAGCAGCCAAAGACTCATGATGGAGGACTTCATCGTGCAAGATTGTCGGAAGTGGTCTGCAAGATGTAATGTTATGTATATGCGCGATTGTATCTAACGAATGTGAGATGAACGAGTGTGTTTGACGCTGATGACCGGATAGTTTGGTCAGCTATTGAGCTCTATATACTCACGACCGGACCTGGAGCGAGGGCAACTGATGTAAAGCTGCCCGTTTAGCAAATTGCATTACCGCAGCCACTGCGTTTGGGCTGTGGGCCAGCAGCAAGTTGGCACTTGGCACTAGTTCGATGTATTTCGAATATCCCAGTGCTCTCCGTAGATCATACTCTCATGAGGAAGCGCCATGAGTGAACGAGCCTCGGCATCGTAGACGAGAGTGATCGAACAAGAGCTGTTACCTTTGGGCCAAGATCAGATCTCCAAGCTATATTGGGAACTATCGCTGCAGCAATGTCCGTATGGGGCGGCTTAGGATTGCGATTCCAACCACTGGCCCGCTTTTATCGATACTACTAGCAAGCGCGTCTTGAATTTGGGAGGATAGAGGGGATGTGCAGCATGCATGCTGAATATCGATCAGTCGCGAATCCTTCTGCACATAGCAGCACATTTGTGATGAATCTGAAACGAGAATCATTACCGATCTGGGCCATGCAGCACAAGTGCAAGATTTTGGCGTTGCGAACCGGATAAAACTGTGCTTCACGTCGATGTGAAACCCTTGGGTTCCCCATACTCTCCCATGAGGCGAAGACCTCGCTCTCCTCGAGGCTGACAAGTGCCTTTCGGCGCCATGTGCGTAGTCGAACAAAGGATACAAAAGCTTTTGGCTGAATCAAGGGCGTTTTGCCAGCCAGTCTCAGGCAAAGACATGTTCGTCGTCCCAAAGAGGAAGATGCATCTCAGCGAGAGTGCAGTGTACAATGCCTCGGACGTGGAGTACTGAAATTCGCTCGTAGAGTACGCAGGTCACCTCATGACTTTGCCTTCTTCCGCTTCTTCTTGCTGAGTAATTCGTCTAGATAGCTCGTGGCTTTCTTCTTCCGGGGGCGTGCTGGTTCTTCTTCGCCCTTGGTCTGTTGATGGAGTGCTCGACTGGTGCCTTTTTCGATAGCTTCAATGGTTGCCGCATCGTCTCGCGGGTCTGGGGGAGTGGCATCTTCTTCGATGGGCGTCGTGCCTCTTGCGCCTGTCCCTCCTGTGGCATAGGCAGGGAGATGCCGATCTCGTGTGACTTTCTTGCCCGTGAAAGTGGCCGCTCGGCCAGGCTCGTCTTCGTCATCACTGTTGTCCACTGGCTGTGCAGACCTCGTCGGTGCGCCCTTTCCGGAGGCAGATGTGCCTTTCGCGGGCAGCGGTGCAGTACGACCCAGCGCAATGCTGCTCTTGGCCTGCTTCGCGAGAGCCTGCTCTTTCTTCTTTGCTGCCGCGGCCTTTTTCCCTAGCAGCTGTTCGAGCAATCTGTCGTTGGACGACGCGTGACGCTTCTTGAGAATGCCATCCACCTCGAAATCGCTTTCCTTCGGTTTTGTGCCGAGTCCGGCGCTCTCAGTCAACCCGGTGAAATCATCCTGATCATCGTTGTCCTCGTCCTCCGCGGGAGTGCTGCTGGATGTCGCATTCTTCGGTAGCCACGACTGCAACAACCTCTGGCTTCTTGCCTGGGCGATGTTGACTCTGCTCAGCCAGACATCGGCGTCGCTGGCTTGTTCGGCCATGAACGAGTCTCGTGGTGCAGCGATCACATCCACGTTGTGAAGGCCGCCAAAATGTCTTGGGTCGGGAAATGTCGGCAAGTCGAGCCGAAAGTATGCGCGCGCAGAAGCAACGCCAGACAACAGAGCTCCAAAGCTACACACAGCAACACTTCACCTCTTGCTCCTATTCCCTTGCACATTCTCCCCTCCTCGCCGCGGGCCCAGCATGTTCAAACTCGCCCGGAGCACAAGGCAATTGGCCTCGGCCGTGCCGGTGAGCATTCTCTCCCGCTCCGCCCCGGAAAATGTACTAAACAGCAGTCTGCACACAGAAGCCGCTGCGCCAGCAAGTGCGCAACCTCTCCATCCACGAATACCGCTCCGCCCAGCTGCTCGACTCGTATGGAATCGGTGTTCCCAAGGGCAGCGTGGCCCACAATGCGAAGGAGGCCGAGGAGGTTGCAAAGACGATTGGCGGCGAGGACATGGTCATCAAGGCCCAAGTGCTCGCTGGAGGCCGTGGAAAGGGTCACTTCACAAACGGCTTCAAGGGCGGTGTGCGCATCGTCTACAGCCCGCGTGAAGCCGCTATCCTCGCAGACCAGATGATCGGCCAGAAGCTTATCACCAAGCAGACGGGCGAGAAGGGCAGAATCTGCAACAGCGTCTACATTGTCGAGCGCAAGTTCGCCCGCCGAGAGTTCTACCTGGCCATTCTCATGGATCGTGCCACTCAAGGCCCAGTCATCGTCGCATCAAGCCAAGGTGGTATGGATATCGAGACCGTTGCAAAGGAGAGCCCAGATGCCATCATCACCACACCCATCGACATTCACAAGGGTGTCACAGATGAGATCGCGAGGGATATTGCGACCAAGCTCGGCTTCAGCGAACAGTGCATTGAGGATGCCAAGGACACCATCCAGAAGCTTTACAAGGTCTTCCAGGAGCGGGATGCGACACAAATCGAGATCAACCCTCTCTCAGAAACCTCAGACCACAAGGTCCTCTGCATGGATGCCAAGCTCAACTTTGACGACAACGCCGAGTTCCGACAGAAGGAGGTCTTCGACTGGCGCGATCCGTCGCAAGAGGATGCTGATGAGGTCAAGGCCGGCGAGGCAGGCCTCAACTTCATTAAGCTCGATGGTGACATTGGCTGCCTCGTGAATGGTGCCGGTCTGGCCATGGCCACCATGGATATCATCAAGCTCAACGGTGGCTCACCCGCCAACTTCCTGGACGTTGGTGGTGGTGCCACTCCTGAGGCCATTCGCAAGGCTTTTGACCTGATCACCTCCGATCCTAAGGTCACTGCCATTTTCGTCAACATCTTCGGCGGTATCGTGCGCTGCGACGCCATTGCTAAGGGCTTGATCTCCGTCGTCGAATCCATGAACCTCCGCACACCTGTCATCGCTAGATTGCAGGGTACCAACAACGAGCAAGCTGCCAAGCTCATCAGCGAGAGCGGCTTGAAGATTTTCAGCATCGATGACCTTCAAACTGCTGCGGAAAAGAGTGTGCAATTTAGCAAAGTTGTGAAGATTGGTGAGTTGCACAGAATCACCATTGATTTATTCCCCTTGCCAGCGTCACAAATGCGAGCAGGCACTTAGAGGTTTGATATGCTAACTTTTCTGTGTGTACAGCGCGTGACATTGACGTGGGTGTCGAGTTCACCTTGGGTATCTAGATGGATGTGGACGGGTTTCAGGAGGGGCGACAATGGCCGGGTTCGCAGTAAATACCCGCTTGTTTCTTGCGTCTAGGGTCTTTCATCGCGCTGGCGTACTGTACGTTGTGTGTCAAATATCATTGCATATCTGAGATACCAGATGAGATCTTTTGAGACAAGTCTGGGAAGCAATTTTGGACTTTGCGCATATGCTGCTGATATTTGACAGATTTTTCTTGGTGGCTGGCCGCGTTGAGGCCTGCTAGCCACGCTCCGGATTCGCTCACATTACGATGGCCAATGGCTTACATGAAGACCTCCGATCGTCGCACCTCACCTCTGCCGTACGTCCCCGATAATTTTTTGACACCAAGCTTACTACCGGCGATTTGACGGTCAGGAAGATGCGCTCAAAGTCATATATGCTGCCGACATGGAAGTCACAACCAGGCCACGGTCCTCGCGATACTCATCATCAATCATGGCTGCGGTACACTCTGCACATAGCTACATACACATGACCATACATTCAGGAACCTTGATTGACATGCCAAATCTCCTGATCGAAACCTCGAGCGACCGACATAGTACCGATGGAACATGTACCAGCACGGATACTGCACAGTAACACATGGTGTCCAAAGCCTTGCCGAGGAAAGCGCTTAGGAGCGCCTGGACGACCCGCTCGCTTTGGTCCCGCTTGACATGGACCCGCCTGATTTGACTGTTCCCGATTTTGAGCTGCTCGACTTGGATCCAGCAACCTTCTGCGGTTCGACCTGTGTGTTGAACTGCGCAGCAATTCCCGCTTGGACGAGACCTTTCGCTTCCAATTTCGCCAGGACTGCCACTGTATGGGTTTGGCAGCGTTGCAATGGGACACTTTGACAAGCAGCTTTGACTTTGTTTCTGTCGGACTCTTTGATACTCCCGACTTTGATCCTTTGTTGGATGCCTCGACTGGCCAGTCTCTTGCCGTCTTCGATGTCAAGGTGGTATTGCTCTGGTGGGTCGACTTGATGTCCTCCTCGGACGTGGTACCAAGTGCATTTATCTTCTCCTGGTTTAGCCAAGATGAGAATCCAGTGTTGTGTATGGTTGGCTTCACGGCGGACACATTTGCCGACGTAGATGTCTAGGGACATGTTCTAGGAATATGTTGTGTAGATGATACGGTGGTGTCGAGAACAGTTTTTGTGATATGCGAGGACGAAAGTCGATATTGGAAAGGGATTGAGCAAGACCAGCTTGAACATGCCTCTTACCATCGGAGACTGGCACGTCTTTTATACAGCTCTAAGAACATGCTATGCCGAGCGGCGATGACTCCGAGCAGGAGCAGAAAGACCTTCATTCACGCAGCGGACAGCGCTCATTGCTAGGGAGAGACAGGCGGCTGGCGCTTCTGTCAGTGTATTCATAGACGTTTGGATGCAACAAAGCGGCGTAGACATGTACATTGATCGACTAGTCCTCACTGACGCTGAGCACGGGTCGTCACAAACAGCCGCCCTCCACGGATCATTCGGCATAGCAGGCTGTGCCGCTGACTTGCACAAAGCCAGCGCCAAACGTCTCGCCAGGAGTTCGTCTTTCATGCGGCTAAGTCAGGTCGTGTTCCGACATCTATTCATTCGTTTAGACATGTTGCAAACGCATGCGCCAATAACATTACTGGTCAAATGCAAGGACATGCTTGAGACGGCAAAGTGAAGCAACGACCTCAGCTTGGCGCCAAGCGGGCAGAGAGGTCCAAGTTGTCGTTGCTAAAAAATGCTCTGGAAGACGAAAGCGCCCAAGCAGGTTGCACGCTATGTGGCCATCAATCTTCAACTGGACCAAGACCAGGAGCAAGTGAGGTGCCCACATCGGCGGCTATTCTCAGTTCTGATTCGAAAGCCACGTTGGTGCGGCATCGTGCATTCGGGCCTTGCACAATAACCTTCCAACCTCTTGCCTCTATACACCATCGCACTGTTTTGTGGATACAGCTTTTGATCGCTATTCCACAAATCGCGAAGATGAGCGACAAGAAAAAGACACGATCATATCCAGAACCGTTTGTCGTGGATTCCCTGGCAGATCACAAGCACAGTTTCATTCTCCTCCACGGCCGTGGTAGCAATGGCGAACACTTTGGAACAGAACTACTCAACAGCCGTATGACATTGGACTCGGAATCCATCATCGAAGATGGTCAAGCAGCAAACACTCTCAGGCAGTATTTTCCGAATGCGAAATTCATCTTCCCGACTGCAAAGAAACGCCGTGCGAAATGGTACAACCGCGCCACCATAAATCAATGGTTCGACAGCGTACCTATTGACGAACAAGATCACTTGATTGCCGGAATGACCAAGGAGCAGGAAGAATGGCAACTCGAAGGGCTGAGAGAATCAAGGGCCTTCATCAAAAACATTTTGGATGCCGAAATCGAGTTGGTGGGAACCTCAAATGTAGTGATTGGCGGCTTGAGCCAAGGATGCGCCATGAGCTTACACGTGCTCTTGAGTCTCGATAGTGATGATATCGATACTTCGTCCCAGCTCGCGGGCTTTGTAGGCATGAGTGGCTGGCTGCCGTATGCAGATACTATTGCCGATGTTCTCAATCGAGGCCAGACGAGTGTAGACGAATCAGCTGCAGACCTGGACGAAGATGGCGACGACGATCCTTTCGCTACTTCTGATGACGATGCAGGATCTGAAGATGACATCTGGGGCCGCGAACATGAACGCAAGGAGCCGCAAACTTCGGTAGTTAAGGTCTGTGGTCTGATCCGCGACAATATGGATCTGCCGCAGCCTGCCCAAGGATCAAAGCTGCCTTGGACGCGGACGCCAATCTTCCTCGGGCATGGGAAATCTGATGAAAAGGTGAAGATGGCTAAAGGCGCCAAAGCTGCTGAGTGTCTCCAGTCGCTTGGGCTACAAGTAACGTGGAGAGAATACGATGAGGGCCACTGGTACAAAGTTCCCGATGAGATCGATGATATCGCACGGTTCCTGCGAGCATGCCTTGCGACACGGTAATGAGATGGGTATCGTGCTGGTCAGCTTATAGGGTCCATCATCGTGCTCAGTTCTCTGGAATGGTAGCTCGCATGTCGTTGAGACCGCGCCTTCGTTCATTCGACAGAGTCGCGAGGTAGCGTTGTGGCTGAAACGCCAGGAAGTGAGGGGCCCAAAAGGTCGCCATTACCAGACAATCCGACTGGCGTGGATATGTATCGCATGCTCTACAGGGTAACGTTCTAGAATTCGATCTGTTACACGTTCCTTGACCCAGACATCATCCCAGTTTGGAAGGTAGTTGGCCTTGACATATTCCCAGTACGCGGGATAGAAACCCGCGAGCTCCCAATCGAGAATGGCCACCACCTTATCATCTCGAACGATAATATTTCGCGGGTGAAAATCCGAATGTGTGAGTACGATATCGTGCGTTGGCAATGATTCCACAAAGCCCACTACCATTTCTACCCAGGCATTGCTCTGCACGCTTCTCATAACAGAGATCAGTGCATTGTGAAATTCTGCTTCGGTCGCGAACGGGCCAAATGTATCGTCCTGGTCTTCGAAAAATTGGTCGCGGCAGAAAGTCCTATCGACAGATCCTATAAATTCCCCTTTGACGCTGCGTAATTCTTCCAAGAATCCTCTCAGTTGGTGGACAATTTGAGTTTTGCACTCGTCGCTGGCTTCTTCCCATGCCTGCGTCAGGTTCGTGCCGTCAACATATTCCATTAGTATGCACCACTTTTGCGTGTCTTCCACAAGGTAGCAATTGTAGACTTTAGGAATGGGCATGGAAGTTCTGCTTCGAGCAAATTCCATGGCAGCAACTTCTGATTTGGCGCGGGCTTCGTCAAGTCCAGTTTTCGCGACTGTGACTTCATCGATTTTGAATACATTGGGTATTTCTTCGGGCGGCAACGTAGTCGCTGAAGCCCACTCGGCAGGAGTGAGAACGCGTGATGCCGCCGCCATCCTGGCAAGTAACACGCGCAAAACGAACGTTGTGATATTTTGAAAGTTGTTGACAGGGAGCCGCAGAGCAGAGCACGAAGCGGAGTAGAGTAGAGTAAAGGCTTGGCGTCGCTAGTAAAAAGCGCGGTCGCACGTGACATAATACATATAGGAGTCAAACCAGTGTTCTCAGTCACATAGCGTAGACTAAGGAAGTTTGTATTACTATCGCCACTTGCGAACGCCAGTCGTGCCGAAGAACCCAGCAATAGCTGCTGCTCAGCGCGATGTACAGCAGGTTGGAGTTCTCCGGGTGCAATTGGTGCATTCTCATCATGTTCGTCAAGGCATTTACGGTATCAAGATGTGTGAACACCATCATGCACATCTTGATATATTGTGTTTGGCCGCTGGAGCTGGAATCTCGAACTTCGACCCGGAAAGCTCCCGTAAAACTGTTATGGTACCGTGGGATTCTGCAGTGAGTCTCTGCTTCCCTTGCCAATCCAGTCTCCACGCAGCGCCATGCCACAACAACCTTACGACGTTTCTGCGATGAACAAGGGTACATTTGCTGTCGTGAAATGGACACCAATGGCAGGCAGGTGGTCTGCTCAATTGTCGGAAGACGTTCAACCTCCTTCGTGCATGGATGCCGGACTCCAGTACTCGACTTCGTCGGCTTGGTCATCGACCCACACGATACCATCTGCAACAAGATCGTCGATGACTGCAACAGCTCTAGCTCGCTCCCACTCCAGATTAGCTTGCAGCATGGATACAGTGATGAAGCCCATGATTTGGATGACTTCCAGGACTTTTGCCTGGTCGCGATTCAACTCCTTTGGTACACTTCGAATGTACTTGGTATTTCCAAGCGTCAAGACTTTGAATTGGCCGCCCAGCGGCTCCAGACTTTCCAAGGCTCTCTGAATATCATCGTCAGTGACGTCCATGCCGCCACCAACCAAGCCTCGGCCAGCAGCGATCCTCTTCCTTGCCTCAGCAAAGGCAATCATGCCGCCATTCTCTGCTCGGGTCTCTCGGCAGACTTCGACAAGACGAACGCCCAGTTCAAAGTAGAAATCGTTGACGCTCGTGCCCAACATCTTCGCCCATACACTCCCACCTTTTCCGCCTGCATCCTTGGCGGCTTTGATATTGCTGCCAGCTAGAGGATCCACACCAATGGCATGACACATGCGTGCGAATTCCGCACGAAAGGTTGGATTGCTGCGGATGTCTTTGGCATGCGTGAGAGAGAAGTTGTGGAGAGCCGCCTGAAAGACTGCCAACTGGTTGGCGAGAGCATCGGCGTGGGAAGACTTGAGCGATGCACCATGAGCAGCATATTTGTCTGATGAGATGGCAGCGTTGGAGAAGGCGCTGAGCCCGACGCCGCGCCTGTTGGATGCCATCCTCACATGTTGTTGCACTTGGCTGAGAAGTGGTGAGGCTTCACGCGTCGATGAGGTCAAGTACTGTCAGGCAGCAAGGCATCAACGCCAAGTGACGCTCGGACACCACACTCGCCGATCCGAAGCACCACACAAATTCGAGGTGCAGCTTCCATCCTGAATTCTGTTCTGCACCGCACAACGCCAAACGACCGCCTCTCCTTCATCACCCAGGACCGCGATCATTCACAATGGCCCCAACCAAGCAGGTCAAGACGTACGTCTACACTTGAGCCGGGAGAATTGCAGCACAGCCGGTCCGCCGCCGCTCGAAAAGATTTGCTCGCATGCCGTTGCAGAAATGCACGCACAGCAGCAACAACATACTCCAATGCCGCCTCAATCCTGCGCGTAGTCACACCGTGGCTCGTCAGAATGTGAGGTGGACGACAGCGAGGAAACTCCTGTCATTGCCGCTCGAAAGAGCCGGCGCTCTCGCCTCGCGAGGTCTTGTCAGCTGCGATTTGTCGCACTGATTAAAAACACTCTGTCCAAGAGTGCTCAGCGGAGAATGCATGAGAGCCAGCAGATCACTGTGCCGCAATTCTTCGCTCAGAGCATCACAATGCCGCGCGGCCGACTGACTTTTCTGCTACAGTTCGGTCGCTACCAAGGACCAGATCCTGGTGCCAGAGACCCTCCTCAAGAAGCGCAAGAGCCAGGAGAAGGAGCGCGCCGAGAAGGCTGAGCAGCGTGAGGCTCGCAAGAAGGTTGGTCGTCCCCGACACCCCGCCCAGTGCACAATGATGAAGGAATATCCAACCCAAGAGACTAGCTTTCGGGCGATGTTGTCTTCTTAGTTAACCATCTTTCGGGACTGATCGTGACAACAATCGCACTCACGTCGATTCAGCGGGCTTTTCGAGAACAACTCGCTGACAGTGCATCCACAGGAGAACAAGGAGAAGCGTGCCCAGATCTTCAAGCGCGCCGAGTCCTACGTCAAGGAGTACCGCGACCAAGAGCGCGAGAAGATCCGCCTCACCCGTGTCGCCAAGTCTGAGGGCTCCTACTACGTCCCAGCCGAGCCAAAGCTCGTCTTCGTCGTCCGCATCAAGGGTATCAACAAGATCGACCCAAAGAAGCGCAAGACCCTCCAGCTCCTGCGTCTCCTCCAGATCAACAATGGTGTCTTCATCCGCCTGACCAAGGCTACCTCTGAGATGCTCAAGATCGTCGAGCCATTCGTTGCCTACGGTTACCCCAACCTCAAGTCCGTCCGTGAGCTCATCTACAAGCGCGGATACGCCAAGACTTCCCAGAAGCACCGCATCCCTCTTACCGACAACTCCATCATCGAGGAGCACCTCGGCAAGTACGGCATCGTCTGCATGGAGGACCTGATCCACGAGATCTACCAGGTCGGACCAAACTTCAAGCAGGCCTCCAACTTCCTCTGGCCATTCAAGCTCTCCAACCCAACTGGTGGCTTCCACAAGCGCAAGTTCCGCCACTTCATCGAGGGTGGTGACCTTGGTAACCGCGAGGAGTACATCAACCAGCTCATCCGCCAGATGAACTAGGTTCGTGTCTTCTTGACGAGTAAAAAGTATTTGACGGCGTTACGTATGGGGCCTGACGACATGGGTCGGCATGGGGCTCGGAGCAATGCAAAGGCGAATGGCGTCGGTAGCTCGTACGAATACAAGACGTCGTGCATACCACAAATGTGATACCCAGATTTTGACTTCTTCAACTCTACTTTCACTACGTGATATCGTCTCCACGAAGTTGCCTCCATTCGATACGCATGTAGCTTTGTGCTGCTAGCACGTGAGGTTCCTGCTCCCACCACTATCGATGGATCTGGACCGCCGGTCTTCTGCAGCTGACGTTTTTGTGCAACAGAATTGCTGAAACTTTCCGAGAGTTTGTCAGTGGCACTTCTAGACACCTTCTAGTGTTCTTCCCTTCCAAGAATGGGTACCACAGCAGAGCTGAGGTAAAGGATCACCAACCCGCAATACGATGCATTTCGCCATACCAAGTCCTCGCCAAGTCCCCGTTTATCCACGCCTAGTCACTGCAAGAAGAGGCAGAACTTTTAAGCACAACAAGACAAGACTAAAAGGCGCTGCGTCCAATCCAGCACTTGACCAACGTATCGAATAGGCATTTGACGGCCGTGGCGCATCTTCGTCAGGTTGCTTTTATGGTAGATACCGCAGCTTAAAACCTCGCCTTCGCGCCGCTTGCACACTTCTCCGCAGTTCGAAAGTCTTGGAAGATGGCATGGCTTTTACAGGGATCCGAAAGATATTCGCTTTCCAAGACGCGCGAAGCCATCGCGCCATTCTCTTAGACCAATGCGCTATGGAGCTTTGCTTCTTCGTCTATGCGCCGTGCTGGTCAGAAACGTAGGAGAAGCGAGCTGGGGCCGGGTCGTACCTGTGTAGTGGCGCGCATGAAGTGCAACCACCGTTACCACCCCATGGGCACTGCGCCTTAGTCTCGCATGCCAATGCATACGGTCCAGCTTGGTTTTGCAGCCACCTCGAGAGCGGTGGTGATAGTCGCTTCGGGAGTCCTTGGCAGGTGGTATACAATAATGCGGAGAGAATGTCGCTGTTTCAGCTCTCGATAGAGCAGTCCGTTGTGCAGCTGGATCTGTCGAGAATATTCATCTCTGCCTGTTCGAAGGTCGCCAAACGCAATCATGGGTGCCTTCCACGATCACAAAGATCCTATTTCTCCTGCTGCCGATTACGTCCACCATGAGTTCGTCAAACCTGTCCCTATTGTGGAGAAGATTGATTATTCTGGTGCCCACGAGAAGACGGACCCGCGAGAAATTGCTCTGGTGAAGAAGCTTGATCGATGGATTATGGTGCGTCTTGGGAAGTACTCAAGCGTTCAGAAGTATCTTTGTTAATGTTCGGGACAGCCAATGCTTTTCTCAATGTACTTCTTGAACTATCTGGATAGAAATGGTCAGTATACCGGGCGACATGTGAATGAGGAACGACTGATCTCGAACAGCCATCGCACTTGCTCGTATCAACAAGATTGAAGAAGATCTGAATCTCAGCTCTATTCGTGGGTGTTCGCTTAAGTCGCTTCCTAGTCCTGACCTGACCGTCTTCAGAATACCAAACTTGCGTGTCGATACTTTTTGTCGGTTACATCCTCGGTGGTGTTCCCTCGAACATGTTCTTGACGCGCACGAGTCCACGCAAATATATGGCAATAATGATGGGTCGTGGATCTCCTTTACGACTCTGGAACAACTGCTGACAGTGCTTGAACAAGGTCATCTGGGCTGCCGTATCTGCTTTGACAGCAGTAGCAAGTGGATTCACAGGACTGCTCCTAACCCGGTTCTTCTTGGGGATGACCGAGGCTCCATTCTATCCTGGAGCGGTGTACATCATCGGTTGCTTCTATACTCGAAAGGAGATCGCGACCCGAATTGCCATTCTGTATACTGGCAATATTGCTGCGACAGCATTTGCGGGTCTTATCGCTGCTGGTGTATTCTACGGAATGGACGACCTGGCGGGGATTACTGGCTGGCAATGGCTCTTTGTGAGTGCTGTTCAAGGATCACATGTGGTAGTCATAAAGCTGACTTGATCAAGATCCTTCAAGGTGTCATCACTGCAGTTGTCGGTGTCGCAGCATGGTGGATTCTGCCAGACTATTCACGCAACACCAAATGGCTTACCGAAGAGGAGCGACTTCTTGCGTACAACCGCATCGAGCTCGACACCACTGAGAACCAGGGCGAAGTCAGCGTCTGGAAGGGCTTGTCTCAGGCCTGCAAAGACCCAATGGTCTGGGTGTTCGCGATCATGGCTCATATGCATCTCGCCGCGAACGGCTTCAAGAACTTGTGAGTTGGCTGTCGTGTGTGGATTGACTTTCGCTGATTTTTTTCCAGCTTCCCTACTGTCGTTGAGACTCTCGGATATGGACAGACCATCACTCTCGTTCTCGTCTGCCCACCTTATCTGATCGCCGGTTTCTCCACGCTTCTCGTTTCCTGGATGTCCGGCAGATTCAACGAACGCACGTGGCACATCACGGTATCCAAGTGCGTTGCAACGGCCGGCTTTGTTGCGGCTGTAGCAACGAACAGCGTGGCCGGGCGGTACGTTGCGATGATCATCTTCTCCATCGGTACCTATGCTGTCAATTCTTTGATCCTGGGCTGGTGTGCCTCTGTTTGTGGCCAAACCAAGGAGAAGAAGGCAGCCGCTGTCTCCATGGTGACAACTATCATGGTCAGCTCTTTCATTTGGACGCCGTACCTGTGGCCGAAGAGCAATGGTCCTCGTTACACTATTGCTCTGGGCAGCAGTGCGGGCTTCTCCATGGCTACTGCCGCTCTTGCTTGGGTTGCCAAGTTCATGATGATGAGAAGGAACAGGAAGATCAGGCAGAGCGGAAATGAGACGACGAACTTTTACGTCTACTGAATGACTGCCCGGACTCGCACTCGATGCTGGAGTTCATGTCGATTCAGCAATGGCTTGTTGCGAAGAGTTTGGAGTGAGATTGATATTCGCCATTCGCATCAGTCGAGCTCTTTGGGTAGTTCTTGCGAAATACAGCACAAGCCGTGTCTGCGCGCATACAGTAGCAGATGTTGATCTGTGTCGACCATGTCGCGGGATGGTGATATTAATAGTTGATGGTGCTGCTATTGTTGTAGAGTTCGCGCACCTTTCCAAAAGTGCGATGGCGCCATAACGGGACCTGCTCTTGATGCCTGGTTGCCTTGTCGAGTCGCAATAGCCCTCGACTCGGGGACAGAAGAGACCTGTTCTCCTGCATCTGCACCTGTCAGCGGGCTCATCACAGTCTCTTACCACTGGGTCTGGTGTGATGCGCCGACATAGGCTGCGCTGTCCCCCGCCTGCTCGCCCACAGGCAGCGGAGGCCGAAGGGCCCGTGGTTGCATCGATCATCGAGCGTGTTGAACAATCGAGCCTTCCCTGTCGATGCATGGTCGCTGCGTGTTTCACAACGAGAGCTTCGGTGGCAGCCGCAACAGCATTGTCCCTCCCCAATCCCCCGCCAGCCCTGACTTGCACTCTTGCACTCTGCCACCAGCGAGCGCATTGTGCAGCGCGGTCGAGTGTTGACCAAGTGTCCACGTTTCCCTCGAGCATGCAGCATGGTGGACTTCGACTCCGCTGCCATCAGGAATCATGGGACGTCTGACGGCCGTACGAATGGCGTGGGTCGTGGTCTTCGGAGGTTGAATGCGCTGCTCTCTCCGGTCCGTTGCAATGGAAACGAATCAGAAGCTGGGCGTTGCGCGTTGCCATTCGACCACCATCTCCGTTTCGTGGGACCCTGGGGTTGATCCATGCTTCTGCAGCGGTATAGACTTCTGCACGCCGGGATCGCACGCACTCTCACCACCGCCATGCCTGCTCAGCGCCCTTTTTGGTGCCTGTCCACAGAAGAAGTCAAATCCAAATTCAGTCGTGGGCAATCTCGGCTGCTACGGACGCCAACGACGCCCACCGCGCCAACGTGTTGGTACCACTCCTTTACTGGGTGCGTTTCACCACCGCCCTCTATAGTGTAACACCTTGCGACTCGTTCTCACGTTTCACGCGCTCCGCTTAAAGAGCTAAGCTCGTCGATCAGCTATGGAGTCCGTCGACGTCGACCGTATCACGGCGCCACCGCGCCATCCTCGGCGCCCTAATATGCAACCACGCGACGCAACTCCTACTTCTGCAAACAGCACTTCAGAACTAGCCATCTTCCTTCGTCACGGCGGACCGCTGGGCTCCAACCCAGGCTCGAGATTCCAGTGCGGACCATCTAGTGAAGGACGACCGCTGCGCAGTATGGACGACAACAGATCGGTCAGGAAGCATGGCTTTGGCATGTCCATCTCAGAGACGGAGAGATCAGAGAGTTCCGGGAGCCTTGGGAGGTCCTTGAGCCAGGAGAAGCTCAAGAATGGAATAGAAACGACAACCAAATTCGAAAACTATGGCCTACTATACAAAGACGGAGTGCTGGTCAAGCAGCCAGCACCTACGTCGGTATGCGCTCTGTCGTACAAGGTTTTGATCTACAGACTAATGATGAACAGGACCCCAAAGACCCTATGAACTTGACTCTATGGCGCAAGTTGCTCGCAGCATTCTTCCTCTGCTTCTTTGGCGCATTGGCTGCCGCTGCCGAACTGATTTTGGGCGCACTACTGCCAGTGTTCTTCTTGGAATACGCTGGGCTCGACCCGTCGCTACTGGCACCGCTGTCCAGCTCTGGAGGGGGATTGCCTCAAGGCATCGATCCCATCAAGTCCTTGGCCTCTCTCCCCGGTGCACCACCCATATGGAGAGTTCAGCTCCTCGCCTCGATGCCAGTGCTGGTCATGGGCCTCGCCAATCTCGCTCTGGTACCATTAGCAATCTCCGTGGGTCGTCGCCCCGTGCTACTCCTCAGCGGAGTGATCGCACTTGCCGGCGCCTTCTGGGCTGGCCACAGTCATTCCTTGGAGTCTCACATCGCAGCTCGGTGTGTTCAAGCGATTGGGGCTGGCACAGTCGAAAGCCTAATCCCTTTCATCCTTCAAGATATGGTGTTTGTAAGTGATGCTAGCTCGCACCCACACCTTTCTCCTGTCTCTAATGGTCGTTCTAGGTACACGAGCGCAACACCTGGATCTCTATCGTCTTTGCTGCGCAAGGCGTTATCATCATCGCCCTCGGTATTGCCACACCCTACATCGTGGTCAGCCTGACTTGGCGATGGGTCTACTTCATCACGTGCATTTTCGGCGGATTCTTCCTCGTCGGCGTTTACATCTTCCTTCCAGAGACGAAGTGGCACCGCACTCGAGCTGAGATGAGTGAGTTGCCCACATCAAATTCTAGATCAGGCTCGTTTAGCTAACGCATTACCAGATGGCGTCCCGCGCCGCGAGAGCATCATTGCGCACTCGCCTCGCACATGGAGAAGTGATCTGGCACTCTTCAATGCTCGCCCAGAGTGGAGCAAGGGCTGGCAAGCCTTCCTCGACACCATCTTCACATTCTTTTACCCGCAGATCTTCTTCGTCACTTGCTTGAACAGTGCAATGATGGCTGCGACGTTTGCTGCTGGTTACAACGTGGCCGCTCCTCTGCTCACAAATCCGTGGTCGTGAGTAACAGCTGAATCCACCGAAAAGCCCGATAAGGTTGCTAACTGCATCCAGATGGTCCTTTTACCACATTGGCCTGTGCATGGTTCCCGTGCTGATCGGTGCCATCTTCGTTGCATTCCTGACCGGATTCGGTGCAGACTGGACAGCAAACTGGGTGGCAAGAGCTCGAGGCAAACGACTACCCGAGAATCAGCTTCTCAACCTCATAATCCCAACCGTATGCACCATCGTCGGCTGCGTCGTATACGGCCTTGCAGGTTCCCACATTGGCGAATACCACTGGGCCGTCTTCCTCCTGGGTCTCGGCTTGATCGCTTTCGGATTCTTGGGCACCAACACAGTCGGAGCAGTCTACGTCCTGGAAACCTACCCGCACTTGGCTGGCCCAGCACTAGTCAACATTGCATCTTTCCGCTGCCTGATCGCCTTTATCCTGTCCTTCCGGGTAACAGAATGGGTTTCGGAGTTCGGATATTTGGACTCAATGCTCATTTACGTGGCAATCATTGGATTCTTCACCCTTTTGATTCCCGTAGTGTACAAATTCGGACCTGCGTGGAGGGCGAGATGGCCGGCTACACACAGAGGTGGAGATTGGTAAGAGCAATCACAAAGTTTCATTGCTGGCTTGAAATATATCGTGTTGTACAGTATTGAGAGCGTTAGCGAATGTAGTAAATATGTGTGCAGGCCTGGGCTGGACCTGGTCCTTAACGCGGCGATCGTTTAGGATACCCAATATATAGAAAATTATTATGACGAATTATTCTTGTTCATTGATCGATCGATACATGAGAGTCGTACTGTATGCGCCTACGGCAAGTCATCAGTTTGCTGTCCTGTCTGCCGGTCCACGACAGTACCAACATTCGGCCAATTCGACTACGCTCCACCCTCTACCTTCCCCTCCGTCATCCCTCCTTCCTTGGACTTAGTAGCAGTCATCTTTTTCACAATCTTTTTGCCGCCAAAGTAAACTGCTTGGATAGGTCCGATTCCATTATTTGACGAACCGCATCCATGACAACGATTACATCTCCCACAGACCGAGCTTCCGAAGCCATATTTGTCATTGTTGCAGCAAATTGTGCAGCCGATGCCTGTTCCGCGGTTGCCGTCTACGGGACCATTGCCTATGGGGTCGCTGCAGGCGCGTCGAGAGCGAGGTTGAGATGAAGATAAGGTGCCGCTCATTTTCGGATATATACGTCTTGATAGGTTGTATGGAGTCGCGGACAGACAATGTTGTGGAATGGGGACAGCGGTGTAGTCCAGTAAGGAATAAAGCAAATTGTGGCTTGAGATGTGAGGTCGAGACAATGGCACCGGTATCAGTATCGAAGAGCTTCTGCCTGAGCTGCTATAGGTTCACTTTCTTGGCTGGCGCTTGGAGTGACGTTGGATTCTGCCTGAAGGATTCCAACTTGCAGTGGCTGAGCCACAGCTGAACGAAAACGCATGCTGAAATTGATTGGCTTGCTGGTTCCTCGCACAGGCTTCCTCAAACAAGGCTGACGATCGCGGAATCGTACTCTACGGTCTTTACAGGTCTTCTCAGGTCGTCGTGGGTCTACTCGTTCTTCCTTGAGTCCTTTCAAGCCAAACCAAGATGATCTGACCATTCCCACAGTCTTCTTGGGATAGAAGTACACAGTAACTCTCGCTCGCTGCGCCTCGACCAGACTTGTCCGCTGACAATTGAGGCGTGATCGGCGAAGGTCTCATCCAGAATCGCTTGAGCTCTGTAATGCCTTGAAAAGGATGTCAGCGTCAGTGCATCTCGATTGGAAGGTGCATCGACAGTAGACGAGTATGGGCACAGTAGTGTCCCGTTGAGAAAGAGATTGATACTCACAATGAGCTCTTATCTCCACCGTTAGCGAGGCTGACCCAGCGCTCCATGAACTGCCAATACATGCGGCTCCAGTCTTTCTTTCCGTCCCAGAACTGTCGATCGAAATCGCCTCCGCCTACATGGCGCAGGAACCACAGATACGATTTGTATGCTCGACGAAGGTCGTTGACTGTGCAATCGGACCATCTGCACGATGATCAGCATAATTCTGCAGGCAGTAATTCTGATTATGCTGTGATCCACAAGTGAACTCAACTTACTGATTTTGTCGAATCCAGGACTTTGTGCTGTGCCAGGGATGATCAATGTGCCTCACATTGCCCAGATCACCAAGCAGCCAACGGTGCGGATGGTCGACGAAGATGTTGTCCGGCTTGACATCATCGTGGCAGTATCCCATGCCATGGAGATTTTGAAGCTGACTGAGCATAGCGTTGAATGTCGGCCGATAGAGTGCATCAATCTCATCGATCGTCCTGTTCGTTGCGTTGGTTCTTTCATCTTCAGCCAGATGCGCCAAAGTCCCTCTTGCTATGAATGGTGTCACCAGCGCCCAAAACCAGCCCGATGGAGTTTGGAGGATGAAGTAGTCCACGACAGGGACGAAATCAGAGTCGCTGCGGGTGCCCAGGAGCATACTGGCTTCGATCTCGGCAGGCCACATGGTGGTAAAATTGGCAAAAGTATCCACAATCGTTGACGGTATACGATTGCGAGATATGCTGTAGAAGATCTTGACCACGACGGTGCTGCCATCGGTTCGGTCATGGTATAGTGCTGCTTTGCCTTCCTTTCCACTTGCCAGAGCTTTGATGAAGGCATATCGTTCGTCTATACTGTTCGGGAAAGTTTGAAGATCCTCTTTGTATGATCCGGAGACGAATCGCTGGGGCCTCGCGATCCCGCCAGAGAAACGAATAGGGTGTACACTCTCAGTGAAAGCGGCCACCGAGGGCTGCAGTTTGGAATAATCTGTTGGATATTGCTTAATGGCCTGGTCATGGAGATCACGACATCCGCGCAGAAAGCCCAAAGTTGCGCAGAAGACCAGCAAGCCTGTTATCGCAAACCTCGCCCATCGTGGCAGGCTCTGGACATATCGTTGCCACGCTGGCCGGCGTTGGCGTTGGGCCCCTATGCTTTCAATGTCGAACCACAGACCAGTACTTCCTATGCGATATTCCTGCATCCGATAGCATTTGGTGTTGTTTGGATATGGCCTGGGGATAGCACGAGGAGATGACGCGCATAGCAGAAGATGTAAGTCAGTAGGCTGGCATGTGCGAGGGATGCGTTACTTTATCGATGGTGGCAGTCGCGACAGACGTCTGAACGCAGCTGAGACGACAGCGGCAATCGGCAAGAGGCAGTCCAGTTCTTGGCCAGAGAGGAAGTCACTCTGCGCGTTCAATTGGCGGTCGCGTGGCATTTGAGGATGAGCGGCGTTCCCAAGCGCTACCAGCCGTCTGGGCAAGCCATTTCGTGGCGCGTTGCCGAACAGGATTTCTTGATGATCGACGCAGCTTTTGCGGTCTGTTCAAAGCAAGGAAAGTCTTGTGGTGAGCGTGTGAGTGTATTGCCATGATATCGCTTGCCGCAATTCGCGTTTCATCGTCCTGGTACTGGCACTCGCGTGGGAAGCTCATTTCGATACAACCCGCGTGAACATCTGACCGGACAAGAGAATCAGGATGCGGCCTCACATCTTCGAGCAAAAATTGGTGTCCGCCACGAACTTCGCGTCAGTTTCATCAGCACAGCCATCCTTCGCCAGTGTTGATCATGTTTCCCGCTTCCTTGATGCAGGCATGCGCTGTCACGTACGAGGCTCGGATGGCGCAGTGTGCACCAAAGAAATAAGCCTTGTGGCGATGCCATGCAGCTCGAGTCAGTGGCGCATGCTTGGAGATGTGATCATCGTTGTAGGAGAATAGCTCGGTGAATGTTTGAAGACAAGGCCCACGTGCTCAACTTCGAGATCCCTGCAACCTCAGACTTCACCGAACATGTTCGCAAGGAGAAACACAGGGTATGAAAATTCTACTAATTACAACACCGAAATCAACCAGCAGCATCTGCCACATCACCGTCCTGTCCTCCTTCAATCTCGAACTTCAGGATCCTGTCACTCAACCGATCGATCTCATCCTGGTCATTTCCAGCCAGAATCATCCCATACGCCCACTGTTCCTTACTCCCAAGCCTCGTACTACCCATCAAAATCAACCTCCCATTCTGAAATTCCTTTTCGAACCTCTTCTCCAGCTCCTCCCTCGGGATCTTCAACATGACACACTCATAAACCAATGCCATCTCCAGACCCATATCTTTGTTCAGATGTTCCTTCAGCGTATACAACACTAAACTCAACGCCGACCTCACATTCAAATCGATAACAAACAATCGTCCCGTCTCTGGATCCTCCATCACATCGCAACCACACGGTCCTCTATATTCCTCCTCATGCAAGACCTCTCCAATCTGCTTCAACACATCCCTATACTTCTTCTCCAATTTCTCTTGCTCTTTAAATGTAATCGCCGTCGCCTGTCTTCCGCTCTCCCCCGTCGAGAGCTGATGACAAGCTCCCAAAAAGACAACCTCCCCACTGGCTTTCACGAAGAAGTTCAACGCCATCGTATCTCCAGGAATGAAATCCGATAAGATCAACGACGTAGTATTCAAATACTCATTCTCCTTCGTGATCCTCGGTAAATATTCTCTCAGATACTCTTCTGCTTTCCTAATCACCTCCTCCCTCTCTTTTGCATCTCTCACGATCAATGTTCCGACTGATGAGAGACTCTGCGTCAGTTTCAAGACATACGGAGGACGGTCATTTAAGATTTTCTTTACGCGAGAGATTTCGGCGTCGATGGCGGCGGAGCGTTCAGTTTGGCTGCTGGAGAAGAGTTTCTGAGGCGGAATGGCGCAGTCGATGATGGTGTCGTTGGCGCTGCGGAGGGGACATTCGGCTAGCCAGCGTTTGCTGTTGAGTTTGTAGATTTTGTCGGGAGAGTGGATGTATGGCATGGATTGGGCGAAGTCGAGGGCGAAGGCGAAGTGGATTGCGTGATGGTTACGCAAGACCTGGAGTAACAGTATGTGGCTGTGACGAAGTGAGGGCCTCCGGTCGTGCGGCTGCATTTGAATTCCCGTGGAGAAGCGTATGTGCCGGAGGAGGTATTCGAGCTTCACGCTGCTTATTCCTCACTAAACGTTCTGCTTGGCACTATGTGGAGTGCACCTTTGTGATGACAACTCGCGCATCGATCCACTACTAGCAAGACCGCAAAGGGCCCAACGAACGTAGATACAAGCTCGAAGATAAGCAGTCCCATACTGCGACTGCCGGGAATCACGGAGCTCCATGGATTTGACATCGCCCACGCGCGTGGAATATTGGGAAATTGGCTGAAGCGGAACCGGCTTCAGGTTTTATAGGACTGGTCTTACTGGAAGTCTGAGAACGAGCGAGCTCTCAAGAGTGTCGAGTTCTAGGACCCGAACATCGCAAGTAGGCGTCGCGTGGTGGCAGGCGTATGGCTTCTCTCGTAATGGCAACCGAATCTGAAGTAAGCGACCCCGTGTCCTATGCCATGTCAGTGTCTTTCTTCTTCGTGGTCAGTAGCAGGCAGTCAATGCTGCCTTCTGACAAGTTTCCTCTGCTTGTCGAACACGTCCACCGCTTTCAAGGGGCGACTGTGAGCTGAGAAGTCGCTCGATACCGATGAAACCTGACTAAAGTGCTGCCGTCTTTGTCCGCACGTCTATTCGACAATGCTTGCCCGCCCAGTTCCTGTGCACCACAACGCCATGCTATGCAAGTCTATGCAGATGTCCTAGCTTGCCAAATTACCCTAGCTTTTACTTCTCGTCTCTAGTGCCTCACGCGTTTTCTCCGACCGTTTGCTGTCACCTCGTCAGTGTCTGGAACGAATTATTCACAGGAAGATCTTCACCACTTACCACCAACCAATCCATACCCTCGTTCACGCCCGCTCCTGTCACCGCAGAACAAGCCATTATGCTCCAATTCCTATCTTTCAACTCTCCAAGTCGTAGCACTTCGCTGATCTCACCAGCGCCTTTGGCCCCAGGGCTGTCCTGCTTGTTCGCAAACACTAACAAACTCGCATCCCTCAGCTCCTCCTCGTCCAACATGGCCCTCAACTCCTCGCCCGCTGTACCTAATCTTTCTGTGTCACAGCTGTCGATCACAAAAACAACCGCCGCTGTGTTGCTGTAGTAACACCTCCAGTACGGCCTTATGCTCGTCTGCCCGCCCAAGTCCCAGACATTGAAGTTGAGGTTTTTGTACGTCACCGATTCGACGTTGAAACCGATGGTGGGTATCGTGGTCACTACTTCGCCGATTTTGAGTCGATATAGGAGTGTAGTTTTGCCAGCATTGTCCAGGCCGAGAATCAAGATGCGGATCTCTTTCTTAGTCCAGATGAGCTTGCTGAACATGGACAGCGCTCCGCCCATATTGAATAGAGGGTGGAGCGCTCAGGCTCCAGAGGAAAGGGGTGCTGGCTTGGTGGGAAAGATCGAAGGGCGGGTCGAACAGTTTTGATTGCAAACACCGTGACAAGTGTCTGCGATTGCACTGTAGAGTAGCGGAGTGTTGTGTTGGAGAAGTGATGTAGATCAATATGTGTTCATTTACTGCTTACAGCATCACACTGTTCACATGCCGCTACGATCTTTGTCCTTGGCCCGAATGTCCCACAGCTTTTGCCACAGCGGCCAATCGAACCACGACTTCCAAATCCAAATTTCTTTCTCTTTCCAGACTCCCTCTGCAACATCGCGTCGTATCGCATCCAAAATCGCCATCGACATGCCGGACAGCTGCGTGGGTATGCGCTCATGGCGTCTCCAGTCATACGAAGCGATTTGAGATCGCAGCCTGGCCATGAGCTTGCCTTGTTGACCTAGCTGTGAACAGCTTCCGACCAAGACGCGCTTCACGAAAAATATTGAAGCATGATGCTGAGCACCAAAGCATCTTGCGCACGCAGATGCAGAACTAATTAATAGGCTTGACTCACTGTAGTGGCTTTTATGGTACGTGTAGTCCAGCCCTTCCTCCCCAAGAATCCATCACATGATGACTTTTCTTCAAACGATAACTTCTGAGCTCGTCGATGAAGTTCAAAAAATATTCAAGCTCAACAGTCTGAACCTTTCATACATCCTCACACAATCATGTCTGCCGAGTAACTTGGACTGGATGCTGACTTTCGTGTGCAGATCACCTCTTGTAGAGAATGCGGCGTCTGCTTCGACAACCGTATCTTGTGCACGGAACTTACATGATATTGACGAAAAAAGTCGCAGAAACCGGATTGCATACCAGGCCTGATATTCGGCCTCGCATCTGCCATGGTAAGTCAAGCTCAACACGTCAAGGTACACCCACACTCCGAGATCCTATCCACACCTCCAAATGATGAAAGATCAATATCAATTACAGTTATCCCTGTCTGAAGATTACTGTTGAGAACGTATTCACACTCTGACCTACGCTTCACCTAATCAACCTGAAACGAATTGGAAAGAATGTCGAGAATAATAACTGATTCTCTGCAGTTCCACTTCCATTCGAGACAGTAGTGGACGTTCAGATACCGATTGTTTCACTCGGCGCAACCCAGACTTCCGCGATGCTAGCGCCCATTGGCCGAATTGTGTCATCCGTGCGATCCTATAGCCAGTATCAATGCAATCAGCGGCTCTTCATCGCTGTCATTTTCCTTCACTCCACCTCGGCCACGGTACTAGATGCCTGCCACCCACACGTCAGGAACATGACTCAGTCTTACCAGACGCTTGGGACCAAGCCAGTGGTCTAGCGTAGGCCGACGTTGAAATAAGCACCATGATGAGAACGGCAGGCTTATTAATGCAGCTGGATCTTGACCTAAGCCCGGCATAGATGCGGATGGTACTGGGCGCGTACGCGCCAATACTCGATCGGGATATTCGGTAGCTGCTCGGCTCTGCAGAGTCCATTAACCTTGTTGCGTGTAGCAGTCTGATAGCACACATGCAGCATACCAAGTGCCCGCCGGCGCGTGCGGAGGATGGGCGCGGCGAATGGCATTTGGACATACAGTAATCCAGTCCGTCATGTGAACCTTTGCTCACGCCATCTGGGAGTTTATGCACCGCATCCAGAGTAGCTGCGTACAGGAACGAGCATCCGGATACATCGGAGCCTAACGGAACTGCTTCAGTATTCTCTCTACAAAGTTATTTCAACCCCCCAATTCGCAGCTGTACGAGGCTGACGTCCTGGAAATAGATGGTCAGATTCACCAATTTGGTCCCTCCGTGTGCTACCTTGTTTCCTTTCCTATGCCCTGCGACAGGGGCCTAACCTAGTCATCTGTCGACTGTAAAGTCATCCGTAAGCTCTTCGGCGCGTCGCGGGAATACTAATGGCCGGATCATGCAATGCATCTGCCAGAAACTTGGGTCACTCCACCTTATCTTTTTGGCGTTGTCCATTAATCATGAGGGCTCGAATGAAGGTCACTCGTCGCTGGTAACTGACTCAAGCGCCCGACGGCAGTCCGTCTTGGGCGTGTAGGTACCAAGTGAATGACACGGACACCAAGCGAATGGCCCTGGAGCAAATCGTAGAGACCATCGCGAGGCAATTCAACCCGCATCAGGCCACCAGCAGCGTTGCAACCATTCGACCGCATGTCAGGTTCAGTTCCGAGCAAATCTTTACAAACTCGCAAAAGGTGTCTTACGGACTCAATCAGCAAAGCAGATATACCCAGTCTGGCATATTCCAAAACTCCATTGGGGAGAACGCTCACTTCAAAATCAATTGTCCCGTCCGCCCAAAGCCATTTTCATAAATAAGACTTCAACATCCTCAACCCATCCCCTTCGAAACCTTCTTCCAACCAGCTGCGGTTGCTCCCATCCACGATGATATTGTTCTGCAAATTGATCTCCTGACTCTCATGCGTCGCGGTCGTCATCGTGCTGTTCATTGACACACCTGTATTTCCCGAGCCCTGCGTCGAGTGCTCTGAATACTCTTGTCGATTTTGCTGTTTTTTCCTCTTGCCCTCATCTCGCTGCATGGAGACTGGAGGAGGTAGGCACATACTCTCGTCTCGTATCTTTACTTTCTTCGGTTTTTGAAGTCCCGTCCCATCATCCTCATCTTCTTCTTGTTGCACAAGTGTCGTGACGTCGGTGAAATTGGTGTCGACCATAGTTTTTCGTTTCGCGTGACTGAATTCAGTTCGAACTTGTTCGTATGGGCAGTCGATCTTTCGTATCGATAGTTCGACGGCACCAGAATTCTCGCCTTTGCGTTGAGGCTTGCGTCCGCCGCATGCGCCCAGATGTTTTCTGAGTCGATTGTACGGGCCACGGAAGTATCTCCTCCCAAACATGCGGAGACTGGGTGCGGAGGCGCACATAAATCCCATGCAGAGTTCCAACTGAGACCACACGAAGACGTCGAAGATGATTGAGCTCACATCGGATGAATGGCCGACCTCTGTGGTGGACGTGAGCTGAAAGATGCTATTAGACATGACCGGTTTGACTTACGATAAAGATAATATGTCCGGACAGATCCCGCTGCCACGACCAACAGACCAGCTGAAAAGACAGCATACAACCCGATTTTCTGTGCTTTGGGCAATTGTATTTTCCTATTCATCCAAAAATGATCAGTAATCGCGCAACTAATCCTCCACTCCATGCGACCACCACGACCGACAACTCACCTCATCAAGAAACATGGCAATGCAACCGCATACAAATCCGAGATGACCGCCATGATCCCCGCCAATAAATTGTTCACCGTAGTATCCACGCACGAGAACTTCTTGGTATACTTGATCGAGAACCCCATCCAGTAAGCCTCGGTCGGAGAACAATTGAAGATCAGCGCCAGAATAAACGCCAACGTCCACGCCAGCGTGAAAATGATCGCGCCAATACACGCCCAACTCCACACTCTCGAATACGTGCCCGATCCCAAGCGCCGATAGAACAATAGCACGGAGACCTTGACGCAGGCTCCACAGACCAGAAACGAGAACTCAGCGAGCCAGGTGATCTTCGCCATGGGCGAATATATCGACGGTTCGACATCCCACATGTGGCGAGACGTTTGGTATTTCTCTGCGCCGAGGATGTTGAGGGTTGTGAACCAAGTGAGAGTTCCCCAGCCGATAACGAGAATCATATCATCGAGGCCAAGGAGGGTCGTAGAGCGCGTGCCATTGTGGCGGGCTTTCTGGATACGGGAGAGGGCGCGAATGAGGACGGAGGTGGTGGCGAGGGCGTAGAGGAAGGAGGCGTAGCCGGGCATCCATTTGCGGCGGTGAGGATTGACGTAGTTTGCTTTGGGCCATTTGACAACGTCGGCGAGGGAGAGATTGATGCTGTGGGAGAGAAAACGTGTGAGAAGTTATGAATGAGGTAATGTCTTCTGGAGCTGTGGGTATGTGAATGACGATTATGTGACTTATGATCGACTTACATATTCCCTGGCATTGCTTTCGAACAGTAGCTTCCAGCACAATAGCGGCGATCGCGCGTTTTTGCCTATACTTCGTGCGTTCCCATCAGGCAGGCGCGAGAATTGACGACACTGCTATGGCGAGTAGCAAAAGTATAAATTCACATATCGCGGGTCCCGCGCAGGACAGCGTGGAGTGAGGTGACTTGTGTCGACCCATTCTTGTTTCTCCGTCGGATGGATGACACTAGAAATGACCCAACATGTGAAGTCGAAGGTTTGCTGGCCCTGATCGGTCAAGGTCTAGGCATCCCAGACAGGAGAAGCTGCCCTGCTCTTCTGCACACCAGCAATTGGGGCACATCGCGAGTCGACCAACGATCAGTGCTCACATGAACAAAGGTGACCGCTAATGTTCACTCGTATTGGAAGCCTTTGCATGCAGTCACTGCAGTAACTTGGTGACCGCGCCGGATGAGACTGGTCAGCAGTCAGCTTCCAACACCAGAGGGCTCCCGTATCGGACCCTACAGTTCCATTCTTGTCGCCAGACGTGTCCCCTCGAACAGACCGGTCTGGCCACCTGGCGTCCAATATGTACAGTACCTACCAGGCTCAGGAAATTCCAGAAGAAGTTTCTTCAAAGCCACGCGAGAGGGTGCGATTGTCATCTGGGGAGCAAAGCCGGACCTTAATTGAACCTTCCCTCCATATCCAATCGGCCACTCGCAGAATATCTTCAACGCGGCCGTGCGGCCCAAGAAGCTGGTGATAGTGATCCCCGCTTTTACCTCTTTCGAGGCATCATGTCATTTCTGCTTGATCGCAGACGGTGGAGCCGGGGCTCATGCAAGTACGATGCCGTAGGATGTCAGACTGGGTGCACGAAGCTTCAATCCTTGTTGGAGGGCAGCATGCTAGCCAACCACTTGTGAAGCATTCGACTGGCGTTCCGCGCACCATCCGGCTTCTGCTAGCATGAGCAAGCAGAAGAAAAACAAGAAACAGGTTGTAAGTTCAACATTTTTGCACTATGTCTCGGTCAGCATATTCATGGCAAAGCGAGTCCAGCGCAGCGCCTGCCGTCTCTGCCTGTGTTCAGCCTTCCCGCCTTCCCTTTGACATGATTACGGCCGTTCAATATACGTTCTCCATGACCACCATCCTTTTCCTTTCAGACCCTCGAAAACCACAAGTCTCCTGACTCCCGAACGCCTCGCTTAAAGAATATTCCAACTCAGTTGGTTCCCACTCTCATGCCGCCGCGAGTTTTTAACCGCGTTCGCATCCTCCTCACCATATCTTCGCTCTTCGCGCCAAGCCCTTGCTTCATGATCCCCTCCTGCACCAACCTCTGACGTTCTCTCCTGCGGCGGTTCACCACATCCTGACTGATGCTTGCAAAACCTCCACGCCTCCGAAAGCAGACATCGAGGAGGGAGTTGGCATCCAACATACTCCTAGGGATCGTCTGCACAACCTGGAAGATCTCCATGGGATCACTGACTTTCATGATTGCTGACTCGCCAGCCTTGAAGATTGCCAACGCTATTCGGAACAAGGTCTTGGAGCCATCGAGGAACAGACAGTCCCAGACTCTGAGAACTGATTCGATGGGAAGGGTACCCACGAAGAGTGACATGAACCACGCAGTAGTGGCCAAGCTGACCGTGGGAAGACGCAGCCCACCGATGCCGCCGGCCATGGTAGCCGCAGCGCCAATGGCATTGATCTCTTTCTGATCGTCAAGTTTGGCCCAGATGGCAGGAAGTGAGTCTCTGATACAGGACATCAGTACTCCTATGTCAATGTTGGCGCCTTCCAGAGTAATACCATGCGTGTCGGGAAGATGCTGCGTGGTAACGATGTTGAGCAGGATGAAAGCCTTCGTCTCGGCTTCTTCGAGGTCAGAGTCATCTTTGCTAAGGAAGAGTAAAAGAAGGCCGGCGATGAAGTTGAGGGATTGGCAGTACCCAACTTTGGGGTTGTGCACAGCGAAGGCTTGCAGTACTCTGCGCAGTGACTGAAGTATCGGTGTTTCTGGTTCGTCAGTGTGGCGCTTCTTCCTGGTTACACTTCTCGGAGAGCCTTGTACAGGTGTGTCGGCCGGTCCCGATGCCGACACTTCATTTCTGAGCGCACTTCCCTCCTTGACTGGGGTGCCACCACCAGCTCCAGCCTGTGCATCGTGCATCGTGGTCGGATCGGGCTTGAAACGCACGTTATCCGGAAACGTCCTGTGCAGATCTCTTTCGATGTGCTCCCGGTCGTTGTCGGTCAGCTCTCCGTCTTCCACCCTCTGCCTTAATTCAACATATATCATTGGATTTTTGGACAATTCCCGCGGCCCTCGTGCGTAATACCACCACGCTGCACCTCGGAACTCGGGTGGTATGCCCTTGCGGACGTAGCGCTTAACCTTGTCGCTCTTCTGTGGAAACCGTATCGCGGGAGACGTCTCATAGCCATATTGATGCATCATAGCATACCACTTTTTGCGTCGCCGTTCCAAATATGCAGTGTAGTCTCTGTCCCAGGCTTCATACTGCTCCAGTGTGATGTAGTGTGATGTCTTCTTAAAGCCATATCTGTCGCGAAGCCTCGCCTGGAACGCGCCTGTCGTGGGTCGAGATTCAAGGTTTTGGCCAGACATTATTTGCTCTGATGTACGCTCCGTGGGCTTTTTCTCGTCGGAAGGCACAGGTGGTGTAGCGGCCGGGCTAACACCACGAACTGATGCGCGGTTGGCATTGACACCCATGATCAGAATGCTGGCGCTCTGAGATCGACGATGTGCTGCGAAAGGTCGCTTCGGTGCCAAAGACGTAGGTCTTGGCTGGGATTGCGGGCGATCAAGCGACTTCACAGACATTGTATCCAAGCTGCGCCTCGCCGGTATCTGGGCCGATTTTATTGAGCCGGGTCTTGCCTCTAGACTGGGCCTTCGTGCACTTTGCATGCTTGGTCGCGGTGAAGGACGTACGCTTCCTGTGCCGGACTCGAAGCCATCCTCGTACATGCCGAGCACGTCGTCTACAGACATGTCCAGATCGGTGAGGCCGCCTTCTTCGTCGTAGTCGGTGGTTCTGATTTTGACAAAATCGTTGTCGGTCGTGGAGCTCAAGCTAGTATGGGTTGTCTGAGTCGTCAGAACGCTGCTCGCATGCCCGAAACTGGAATGACTCGTGAGTGCCGAACGAAATGAATCCCGCACCTCATCTACCGGCAGTGCAGGACTCGCACGAGTCGAGTGTGCGTCCGGTGTCAATCCACCGGGCGAACCGTTTGGCTGCCCAGGCCGAGCTCTGTTCGACATCCTGTTGCGGATGTTTCGCAGGCCATCGCCAACGCTCGTCGCATGCCGCAGGTTTTGAGGTGGCTTCCGCGAGTAGGCATCTTGCGATCCAAGAGTAGGAGAATCGAAGGGGCTCGAGGGCGGTCGTGGGATGCCGGGGGCGGTATAAGGTGGGAACTGAGGATGGTCGTTGGTATACTGCAGTACCTGCTGCTGGCTCTCCAGCACAGCTACGGCAGGCTTGTACGGCCGTCTCTGCTCTCGACCGGCGAAAGCGTGTTCGGAGCTGGCTTGCACGTCATTGACGTGTGGCATTGGCTGGACTGGGCTCGGCCCAAAGCCTCGTAGTTGATGATTGTGTGAGGGGAGAAAGATGGGATGCGGTATGGGTCCTTTCCTAGCTTGCATTCGGTTCGCAGCAGACGACTTCCGGAGTGGCAGATGTGGTTCTGGTGACGGCACGTCTCGTGGGCTCCGCAGCGCCATGCTGCGAGGCTGATCTGGTGCGTCATGCATGGCGGCATTGTTGTCGCCCATGGCCTCCTTCAGCGCTTCGGCAACGGCCATTGAGCGCTCGGGCTGCCATGCTCGCTGCTCCTCCACGACGTGTGCCGGCATATTGCCTCTTCTGCCTTGCCCGCCGCCGCCAGCGCGCGTCCGCCCTCTTCTCCGGTGCCCTCTCCACCCTGGCACCTGGCCGCCGCGTGTGGTGCTGTGCTCCGCCGAGCTATTGCCTGCCGTGCAACGTGAGACCAGGCAGCGTGAGATCAGTTCCACTCCCGTGTCCTCCACAGACCCGCATCTTGTCGCTGCCACTGCCACGCGTGAGGGCAGCAGAACCAGCAGCAACACGAGCGAAGTTTTCTGGCGTGGTCCGAGTGCGTTCAGCGAATGGGCCAACAACCTGTCATGTCCCCAAATCTCCCCCCAAGCAAATCCCGGTCGGTAAGATGAGCGACGTCAGGTTGAGCCGATGCACTGGGAAGCCTGGTCACTGGCGAGGTGGGTGGGTGCTGATTGCTGGGCCTCCCAAACAAACAACGCCCGCGGTTTCTGGTGAATCGTAGAAGCAAATCGTCGCTCGGATTGCTCGCCTCGTCGTCGCAGCGAGTCTTCTTGTGGTCGCTGGTGGTGCCACCCCTGCGTGTTACAGCAGCAGAACCGGCGTTTGCACTTCTTTCGGTTGTCACGAACCGAATATGATCGCCTTCGGGAGTGCCATCCGTCGATGCCGCCGAAAGCTTGGAGACCACCGATGCCCAAAGCTCGAGATCACGTCCAGCACGCCGCACAGCTGCCTTGTCTGATCTGCTTGGCCTTGAACACTCTACATGCTGTCTACATACGAACAAGAAGCTGAATTCGCGAGCTGAAGCTTTAGTTCCGACCTGCATCGTCTGTGAATTTTGAGCTTCGAGGGAAGGTTTTCCAGCGGAACATCGATGAACCGCTTGTCAGCTTGGACGAAAGTTATGGACCTCTTTGCGATGAGTGTCATGTTTCATGCAGAACGATTGATACACATATGATGATGCAAACATATATCCGGACCTCCGCCCGAGAGAAGCGAGATGAATCGAGCTCAAAGTCATTGTCATTCTCGGCAACTTCATATAACTTCATATACGGCGCTTTGCTGCACGTGCCGTTCGTGAGAGAAATCGCTCTCGCTATCAGTGCCGTCTATAGGTCACGCTTCAACGCTCAGATGCCATCTGCTGGGCGCGGCCGCACGTGTCGCAGCAGAAAGACTCCAGAAAGTGATGTGTCCACCCCTTACTTCGCGTATTTCTTCACCCAGTCCCGAGCAATTTTCTCGTACTCTTCGGGTTTCGTCTTGTAGACCTCTGCAATGCTCGTCTCCACGGCGTCGTCTGGCTGTGGCTCGCCCAGCGTATGTCTCACCAAGCCGAGTACCTCCTTGATCTTGTTCGGTGGCTTCCACTCCTCCGACTTCAGCATACCTAGGCACATGGCCCCGCGTTCATCGTTGGTGACGTTCGGGTGGTAGATCTTGGTGCGAAACGAAAGCGTCGGTGGTTTGAAGGGGTACTCTTTCGGCAGCGTGATGACGATGTGGAATTTGCCGCCCTGCAAGCTGTCAGTATGTGCATTTGCCTGCAAGAAGCCGCGAGGTCGGCAGGGCCCCTCATGGCACGATCTGGTTCGATGCCACCAACCAACTCGGCACGTCTTTCTTCAGGCCATCTCCCACTTACCGCATACACTGAGTCCGAAGGCCCCTCCATGTGCACATCCCAGACGTTCATATCGTCCTCCTGCTGAAGCGACACACTACATCCTTGCGGAGGGCTGCTCGTGATCTCCTGGAACTCCTGCGACAAAGCTCAGTGGTGCTCCAACACGAAGGCATAGCGCATGGTTACCTTCATGATCCGCTTGTTCGCCATGTTGGCCGTCTGAGTCTCTCGACCTGCCGCAGGTGTCTCTGTTTCCGTGTCTCCGATCTTGGATGTATTGGCGGGGCTCAAGCGACCGAGTGAGACGTTGCGAGTGGACGATGTTATGCGAGAAGGTCAAGAGAAGAGTGGCAAGCGGTGGTCGCAGAGGTGAATGTATCCTTACTGTTGCTCAGCCTAACTTAACCCTGCATGCACATCTGAAGGTGTTGCGCCTTGTATGCCTGACACATGACAAACAGCGCACGACAAATGGCAGGCGCGCGTCATGCCCTCACTCTGCCTCTGCCCGCCAGATGAGAATAGTTTCAGGCACAAGGCGCCAAGCCCGACGGCGGCGTACCAATCACATGGGAGCGCGTAGTTCACCGTGCTGTGTTCACAGTCGACAGCGTGGCAATGCCTGTTCACATGGATGCAGACGCATTGCCCAACGACCCGTCGCCAGGCACGACGGCGATGTGCTGGACGACAGCAGCGCTTCGCCGCCGCCCTCGCCCTCGCCGCCCTCACTTTCCGGTTTGGGCCCCGGCCGACACGTGAACAGGCGATTTAGGCGCATCTTCCACAGGGGTGATGCACGCACTAACTACCCGCCTGCCGCCTACGCGAAGCGAGTATATATGTGCCCCGCGTCGCCCTCCTCTCGCTTTCTTCGTCACCGCTGCAGACAACGACAGCAGGGCCGCGTACTTCGCTGAACGCGCCTTGTCATATGCACCGCGCGTCGATCCTTTAACCCTCTCCCTCACCCTACACGAAACGCTCATTATCCTCATCAAATCCGACATCCATCGCTCGTTTGGGGAACGCCAAGACAGAAGTGCACGCTCCGTCGACCCATCATGTTCGGCTTCAAGAGATCCTTCGTCTCGAAGGAGCAGAGAACGGGCAAGACGAGGAAGATATCCAAGCGTTCCTTCAACGACGACGTCAAGCAGAGGCTGCGCGATAAGATCAACAGCGCTGCGAGTCCCGACACATCGCCTTCGATAGGCTCGATGGCGTCGCCCAAGCTCAACTCCGCGATCATCACGATTGCCGTTGGCAAGGACCAGCGTCTGTTTGCCGCGCACGAAGATGTGCTTTCGCGCTCGCCTTGGTTCGCCGAGGCGTGTCGAGCCCAGTTCTTCGAATCCCCCGGCCAGCGACGTATCGCACTCCCAGACGAGGAGCCCGAGGTCTTTTCCGCTGTTCTCGAATACCTGTACAAGGGCGACTACTACCCTCGACTTATCCATGATCGGAAGAGGAATACATGGTCGCTCGAGGACAACGAGGACCTGCTAAATGCCACAACGTCCGTGTCTCCCCGCATGGACAATTCCGACCCAAAGAAACCCTGGAGCCTGAACGAGTGCGCCTCAATCTATCATCACGGCGTGGAGGACTACATCCTTCGGGACACAGTCGTCTACTGCACCGCGCTGAAGCTAGGTCTACCAGAACTGCAGCGCCTTGCTCTTCGCAAGCAAGGCTTGCAATCTGGTATCGACGTGGCAACGATCTTGCGCAGTGCACGCTTCGCATACGCGAACACGCCTCCCAGCGACTCGCGTCTCCGTGCTCATTATCTCGCGCTCATCATCCGCAGCCGCAAGACATTCAAGCGCAGCGGCACAATGCAGATGGAAATGGAGGCCGGCGGCAGCCAGATGTGGGTCGCGCTGTGTTCCTGACCACTTTCAAATGCGCTCTACTGACTTTCGACAGGTTCTTCGATCTGTTTGTGGCCATGGGTGAGTAACACTAGGTTCCTGACTCTGCTTAGAGGCACCTCGCTGACTTTTTTCCAGTGAACCACATCGATGACCTTGTGGACGCGGGGTTAGTATCTTCTTCTCATTGTGCAGCGTACTGACCACACTTCGTTTGTTCATAGTTGTGTTCGTGCCGGGCGAGCGTGGTTGTTGCTGTTGCGCTTTTCCTCCGCTCGCACTGGGGCTTCTGAAAGGCCACATACTGACCCAACTTGTGCTCAACAGCAACACCCGCTCTCCCGAGATCAACAAGTGATTCAAATGCATGCCACGAAGAGTTCGATGCAGCTCTGCGCACCCGAACGAACCCACTCAACTCTTAAAAACCCATAAAACAAGGAGACTGCCTGTTCGACACACCTCGCTCATTGGAACGGCGTTAGGCTAGCTTTTGAAGAGCAGGCGTCAGCTCTCACCTCACGGCGCAGAAATGGCTTCGCTTCACGAAATATGACTAATGCACATCCTTAAGGCAATGCTTCTTGCGGGCTTTTGCACGGAGTTGGACTGAACTCGTCTCTGAGGCGAGGAGATCAAGACTGGACACTCTCTGCCGCTGCGGCAGCAGGAACAGCTTTTTGCTCTTTCTTTTGTCAGTTGCACAGATCTTGGACTGCTTTTTTGGTTGTTTTGCTTGATGCATTATCACGGAAAGAAGCGGACCCAGGTCGGGCGACTGCCTTCGCCATATTTCCTTTCTGCTATTGTGCTTGGTACGAACATTTTTCGCTTCTTAATCCATAGACTGGACCAATTCCGTCGCGTGGCTTGCGAGTCGAGCTCGACGACGAAGGCGACTTCTGCTAGGCTGGTCTTTCGAGGCAGGTCAAAGCGGAGTCGCGACAAAAACAATCAATATTGGCACGACGCTGGCTTGGAGAATGTGTCTTGATGGAGGGGAATGTTGGATGATACTTGGTAGTGCGTAGGTACTGAGAATGAGAGACGTCGGCCACAAAACTTGAACTCTCACTTACAGTTGTCTTACATCTGAACCCTTCCTTGCGCTGACGAGTCTTCTCAGGATCGACGCGAGTACTTTCTGATGCATTTGCTGATGAATGCTGAACGGCACTTTGGGAGGGGAAGCCGAGGTGACACGACATGGAAGTTGACCATAGATATCTTACTTGGTACCTTTGGACCCGTACCACGACGCACCAGCGAATCTTGCAAGACTCCACTGTGCTGACACCATGGTCATCCAGTCCTTTGATCAGTTCTCAAAGACAGTTGGACAACCAGCACGTGGCTTGAAGAAAAGGGACCACGCAAAGTATAAGAATGGCAGTCTCCGAAATCCGCATCGCTTTCCACTTCCTCTGATTGACACCCACTTTGACGTCTCGACCACGCGTCAAGGGTACAAGTACACGAATCGCAGCAGCTGAACCAGTGCTGCCCATTACGATGTCGCGGCAAGAAGAGATCTATCAACTAAGGGAGAGCTTGAGAGTTCTAGAAAGGCAGCGAAGCCGACGACATACAGAGACTGAGAGAATGAAGACCAGCGACAAGACGGCACTTCCTCCAGCATCACAGCGTGGACTCTCGAAAGAGAAGAAGGTATTGGATAAGCGTGCTCAAACTGGTATGTCGTACTTTCTCATCAATCTCGGAATTTGAAGCTGACAGGAGTAGACAGTCATCCGCCTTGGAATTTGTACGCTTCGTGCAGCACGCGGATTCCGGCGCTTTGGCGATAGTGCAACATCTTGCGCGACTTGTACCGAAGATTTCCTGGCTTGAAAGAAGCGCGCAATCTGAACGATCGGATTGCACCACGACCCAGATCTCCTTCAGCCCGATCGTGAACAGCGAGCGAGCGATCGTAAAATCGGAACAGAGACAAACTGTCTGCCTCTCCGATACAACGGGATCACAGCAGCCACAGACGCATATCTCTGGATCTCTGGATCTCTAGATCTTTGTATGTATCTCTCGATCACTGGAAATGTTTGGTGATGCATCAAACTGTGTCACCTCATGTACATATATCTTAAGCCACCATGCCTAGCGACTTTGCACGCAACCATAACGACATCACCCGCAATAAACTTATACTCAATATTCAAGCACGACTGTATGTATCTGGATCGAATTACCTTGAAGACAACATCACAACCACCGCAATCGTGAGCAGAGTCATATATGAGAAAGGACAAAAGAGGAAGATCATTCTTGAGAAGATTCAATTTGTGATATTCAGCTCCAAATGAGTGAAGAAGACCGAATATATTTCTGCTCATGGTATCATACACGCAACAGGCCCTTCATGCCGTCGAGACCCTGTTCATCTCTCGCGATTGTTGCAAGACGCCAACTTCACCACTTTCATCAAAAGCACATCACCTGCTCCGGAAGAACAGAGATGGCGTGCTCTGGCGGAGGTCTTGGGTGGACCGGATCAGGACGAGGGTTGACACCAAATGCCCCGTCCAGACCTCCTTTGATTGGCTTGAGCGGAGGTGGAATTGGGGTAGGTTGTGGTCGCCACGGACGGGGTCTGCTGGTTGCAGCTTGCAGGCAGGCCAAGCGGAGCTTCTTTTTGATCGGAGTAGGACCATTTGGCCTTGGTTTGGTAGGGCGAGGCTTCGCAGCAGGAGCTTGCGAGCAGGCCACGCGGGACTTTGACTTGACCGGAGTAGGACCATTTGGCCTTGGTCGAGTTGGAGGGCGTGGCTTGCCAGAGGAGGCTTGTAGGCAGGCCACGCGGGACTTTGATTTGACCGGTGTAGGACCGTTCGGCCTTGGTCGAGTTGGTGGACGTGGCTTGCCAGAAGAAGCCTGCAGGCAAGCCAAACGAGAATTCGACTTGACCGGTGTAGGACCATTGGGCCTTGGTCGAGTTGGTGGACGTGGCTTGCCAGATGAAGCTTGCAGGAAAGCCAAACGAGACTTCGATTTGACCGGTGTAGGACCATTAGGCCTTGGTCGAGTTGGTGGACGTGGCTTGCCAGAGGAAGCTTGCAGGAATACCCTCTTTGGTTTTGGATGGCTAGGAGCGGGCTTGGGAGCATATGGAGGACGTGGGTTGTGTGGGGTTCCCAGAGATGTTGGGGTATCGAATGGCGTCGTGCTCATCTTTGGAGGCTCGATGAGTGGGAGTGGGATGATTGGGGAGAACGTCATGTCTTCGTGTTCGATGATGGAGTCACCGGTTTGGGTTGGAGAACTTTGAGTCGATGGACTTGTTGGATTGATCAAAGCTGGGGACCTTGGAGATCGATGCGGATTGTTGGTTCGAGAGAATGGATTCTGTTGTGTTGCTGATGATTGTAGAAGTGGATCGAAGAAACAGGTCGTATATATGCAAAGTACTGAACTTCTTCACGACAGAGAGAGACAGTGTTCGACGTTTGCCTCTATCCCATAGTCCACCTACCATAGTGCCACTTTGCAGGACATTGTCTCGCCACTGGCAGTCTGGAAGAGATCGATACTGGTTCAGAGTGGAAGGGCGTGCAATTGTTTGAAATGACAATAAGAATATATTTTCGCGTCGCTCGCTACTGGGGGTGTCTCTAACTTGCAAGTCTTCTACTCGCCAGAATAATCCAAAAAACCGCTATGCCCAACTGTCATCATAAAATTCATCATAAAAAATAAAAGTAATATCTATTCCGCCAAAAGGAAAGACGTCGTGGCTTAAAACAACCTATCAGGCGCTCCCATACCAGGCCGAGTGAAGGTGTTGCCCTGCGGCCAGTTGCCCAGTTCACTTGGATCGCCACCAATGCGGACCCAACTGGCTGTGCTGGGAATGTTGTCGCCATCAAGCAAGAAAATCTGGAACCAGCCTGGTGGGCAGATGTTGGCATTTGGTGGCGCGGTGACAGTACACGAGCCACCAGAGCAAGAAGTTTCGAGGAAAAAGGTTCGTTGTCCCATGCTGTTTCCGTGTGTGCTGGCGACAGCGCCCATGGCTGTTGCGCGCATGTTACCGCCCGAGCCGGAAGAAGAGACGGAAAGAGTGTGAGAGGAGCCATATGCCCAGTCTTGGTCTTGGACGGTGAAAGCTGGTCGAGGGGCTCCGCTAGTGAGGTATGGTGGGTAGTAGTATTCGATCTGGTATTCTTCGGGGAATCTGGTGTCTTGGGGATCAGAGCCAGAGACCATGACACGACCATCGTCGAGAAGAGTGGCCTCAGAGTGGTAAAGACGGGCAATAGTGGTGTTGGCCATGACTGTCATACGTTTTCCCTTGGGCTTGCTGGGGTCGTAGAGAACGGAGCTCAAGTTAGGATCGGTAGCAAGACCGAAGCCTGCGACACCTTGGTGAGCTCCACCCGTGATCCAGTATGTTCCATCAGGCAGTGCTGCCATGTAAGTCATGACTCGCTTGCTAGGCATACGCTCGATGGTCCAATTGGACGCCGGGTTATCGGGCTCGATGGTGATGCAGTTGTCGAGAGCGATTGCGACTCCAGGATTGCTACCACCGCAGATCAGGATCTCCAGAGGGTCGCTATAAGGAGCGACTTGAGGCAGAACGACAGCTGTTCCTTCGAAAGGATATGTGCGGCCCGAGTCTGGGCGGTCGACGGAGCCTGGCATGTTTGGCAGTTGTCTCACCGGTTGCAATGAACCTGGATCCAGGAGCAAGGCCTCGTTATAGTATCCGATGAAAATGTTGCCGGAAGGCAGCACGATCAAGAAGGGGTACAGGTTGTTGGGGTCTGTGCGCAAGAGGTAAGGGGCGTCGATCAAGTTGCCAGTCTGTGGCAGAAGCTCGAGGCTGGGCACGGGAGCTCCATTGGATCCCTCTTCTCCTCCTGCGATCAGAACGGATCCGTTGGCGAGAACCATGGCCGATGGGTACCATCGGCCCTCAAGGAGAGCGAGCTGCGAAACGTCTTCCTGCCAGTCGTTGGTGCTGGCGTTTCCGGGACTGCCATTGGGCGCGTAGAGTCGGACACCTTTTGTCGATGGCAGGGACCAGCCACCGACATTGAGCTGACGTCCCGCGCGGTCAGGAAGCGTGATAGACGCAGCACAGAAGACGTCGGTCTCAACGTGCAGAGTGCGGAAGTCGCCACTGAGTGGGTCGAACTCATATGCTCCGGTGCTGCCGCCCACCAGACTGGTGCCAAATTTCTCGATGAACATGACCTTGCCATTTCGTGCAGGTGCAGTGATGAGCGGAACGATTGGCAGTCGTAGGGCATTCTCGAAGCGGCCTGCTTCAGCTCCAGAGGCGAAGCTCCATTGATCGAAAGGTTCCTTCCAGGTATAGACGGACAAGGCGTTTTGGCCACCACAGATCTCGCCACCGTTCGCGCCGGCAGTGTCGTTGCTGCAGCGCATGTTACATGAGGAGTTGGCGGTGAATTGAACGCCGGCATCTAGGTAGTTCTGCGTATCTCCGCAGTAGCACTAATAGATGTTAGCCATATATTCGAATACTAGCAAGGCAGCGTTACTTACTTGTACGGCATATTCCGTGGCAGCCACAGTGAAGCCAAACTTCGCACAAGTCTCGATACATTTCCCGTTTGAGTTGTCGTTGTCGAATTCCATGAAGTATGGGATTGAACGCTGGTTGTTGACATTGTCTGCGAGGCATCCAGTATACGTCCAATTATCAGGTAACTGAGAATCCGGCAGGAAGGTAGGTGGGATGTAATCTGCGATTGTCCCATTGGTGTAGACCGAGTTGCGGCCACCGGCACCACAATCTTCGTCTTCGTTGCCAGCGCACGGCATGTTGCATTCGTCGTCATCGACAAGACTCGGGCTGTTGCGAAGGAAGTAGTCGCAGTAGCATTCACGTGCATACTGCATGCCTGCGACCGTGTAACCTTTGGTGGAGCACACGGAAATGCAAGATTCGACTGTCATTTCTGGGTCGTCAGTCTGACGATTACCCACAGACCGGCCAGTCGCATTGGTGTCAGTATAGCACCCTGCATACTTGAAAGGAAGGATGGCAGTTTCGTTGACACCACCGGTTGGCTTCGCTGAAGGTGTGGTCTCTGCCGCTGGTGTTGTCGACGTCGTCGAGCCTCCACCTGACGTTCCAGTCGCTGTTGTAGCGCTATTTGTAGTCGTTGGGACATTGGTATTGTTGAAAGCGAACATATTGAGACGGTTGGGTCCACCGCAGATCTGGTCTTGGTTTCCGTTGCAAGCCATTGTGCATTGAGCATCGCCGTCTGGAGCAGGTCCACCGCCATTGGAGATTTGATTGTCACAGAAGCACTAACGATATTAGCCACTGGTGTAAGCACCAAATTTCGGATAACTTACCTCTCCGGCGTATTCCACACCAGCGAAGTTGTATTTTAGTCTTTGGCATGTGCTGGTGCAGGCCTCAATACTCATGTTCTGACCTCCGCCAGGAACATCCTGGCCATATCGCAGAGTTCGACGTCCAGTATTGTCGGTATAGCAGCCTAGAGTAGACCATCCGTTGAATTGGAGGACAGAAAGTCCATTTGGGCCTCCGCAGATATCGCCGTTGTTCCCATTACAAGGCATGTTGCAACGGCCGTCAGTCGCAGGTTGCGCACCTGCTAGGCTGTTGCCGCAGAAGCACTGGAAGGATGTTAGCCTGTGCTCGAGAGCTCGTCAAGACAATACTCACTTCGCCAGAGTACTCAGTACCAGCAATGGTGTATCCAGCCTCCTTGCAAGCTGCAACACAATTGTTGTTGGTCATGTTCCGGGACCCTCCTGCAACCTCTGCACCGTATGGCAGAGTCCGACCTCCAACATTGTCGGTGATACAGCCACGGCTTATCCAGTTCACAGGCTTTGGAGGAACTTTTGAGACGGGCTTCGTTGAAGGTTCATTGCTACCAGCCGAGTAAAGATTGAGTCGGTTGCCTAAAGTTACGGTCTTAGTTCCTCATTCTACATCAATCGCAGAAGCTCGACTTACCTGCTCCACAGAATTCAGATGAGTTGCCATTGCACGGCATGTTGCAATCTGAGTTATCGGCTTTGACTCCAGTCTTGGCGAGGTAATTGTCACAGTAACTGTGTGAAGGTCAGCAGTGTCCCTGACATCTGTGATCAATGGAGATGATGCCGGAGCGGAGGGTTCGGCTTACCATTCACCCCCGTATTCTATGTCATAGTCAGCAGATTGGTCTCGACGAACGCTCAAATGCCTTCAACATACCGACACCAGCCAACGAGTAACCTCCATCTGTACATGCTGACGTGCACAAGGCGACAGTAGCTTCACTGGTGCCACCTGGCGTGTCTACACGGTTCTTCAACGTTCTGTCATTGCTGTCTGTCCAACAGCCGCCTGACTTCCACCCAGCAGGACCCGGGTTTATGGAAGGGCCAGCAGGAGCAGCTCTGTTGGCATAGTACACCGTCAGACGGTCGAGACCTAGTACGGTATCAGCACTATGAAGCTTGCACTGCGTGGAGGCTACAGATCGTACCTCCGCAGACCTCGGACGAGTTTCCAGCACAACTCATTGCACACTCGGTGTCGTTTCGCAGCGACGTTGAGTTGGCAAGATAATTTCCACTGTTTGCCGATCAGTAACGGATCTCCTGCACGTTCATAATGAGATCTCACCAGTAGCATTCTTCGGAATATTCTGTAGCTCCGTAAACGAACTTTAGTCTGTTGCAATATGCTGTGCACATGGCTCCAGTCATGCCAGTTGTATTTCTATAGCCATGTCCATTCAGGACTCTTGGATTGCCATCGCTTCAAGATTATCAGTAACCATCCAACAGCTCTCAATGTCGACACTACTCACCTGTAACATCCAATATAGCTCCATCCATTTGGAAGGGTGTCATTAGCAGCAGTTGAGAGTTCGTTCTGCCGACTCAGCAGAGCACTCCCTGTCACAGTGCTAGTCAAACAGGAGGCGACTGTCGCAAGGACAAAAGCCTTAGGAGACATCCTGTTGGGTGTGTGACTCGAAGCCACGTGCAACAAGATGATCTTCGCCTAGGCAAGACAGTTAGAGAAAAGTGAATTAGGGAAGTTGCAAAGAGGGCGAGTAGGGCTAGGTTCTACCAAAGGGCCAAGAGTGGCCATGTTATTATAGATACGGGCATTCGTCACGAGAAACGGTCGAGATGCTCCATGGTGAGAGCCGATAAACTTCTTGTTCTGCAGCCTTCGCCGTGTGCGCTGACGAGTATCCGACGCCAGCCTCGAGCGCCTGGCGTCTTGTGGCGTGACATCCAAGCACATTGGCCAGCTGAGAACAGCACTTTTTCAGGTATAGTCGATGCCACCGCGGCCGGTGAAGCGAAGGAGGCGCCGTGTTGAGATCTTGGGATGCCGAGATGCCACGCTCAATATGAAAGCTTGGCCCCAGCCTGATACCGCATTCGGCGGGCGATGGATGGCACTGCGGGGCTGATTCACTATTCTACGCGATTGCGTGGAAGAACAGGCTGCATGCTGCCAGCCGACACACTGAGGGTTGCGGCGACGTCTCGTAAACGCATCCATCGTTGCGGTCGAGGAATATTGTGGGGCAGCGCGACCTGTCACCGAAAGTTCCAAAACGGTCGTGCGGTCGAAGTCTATACGCTTAGCTCGTGCGTTAGCCGACATTGCTTTCGCATGGAGGCACGTGAAGTCCCTTTCGAGCGTTGGAGCTTAACAGGACTCGCCAAAAGCAGTGCTAGCTCGTCCACACCGGCATGATAGGCATCGGTGCCGCGATCGCTTGCAGTATTTCGGCCCCTACCTCCTGCGGCCAGCGAATGTGGAAAGTACTCTATTCGTGTGGCGGACGGGTGCTCGTGCAAGGCCGATCGGCGAAGGAGCTCTTGTGCCTGGTGCATAGCCCACATATGTCAGAGCCGCAGCTCAACACCGCTCCATTCGTGCATGCAGAGCGGCAGAATTCTGTTGGCTCAAAGATAATGACGCTGTGCAGACGCCTGTCTCAGACAGTAGGCTAGAGAACAATGGTCCCGACCGCGTGGAAAAACACGCCAATTCGAGACGTTCGCCATGACTCGGCCATCGGAGGATACTGGAACCACTGTTCACGCCTTGTCAGTGTGAACTTCTGAGGGGCCCGGAGGGACCATTTGTTTGGGACCGTGTCGGATAAGCGCAAGCGCCGCTGCATGTCTCGGCTCACGACGTGTAGGCGAGGTCAAGGCCGCTCGCTGGGAGTCAGTCGTGCTCTGTGACGGACGTGTCACCGCATTGTGCAGCAGTTTTGATTAAAAAATGGCGAAGTGCTTCAAGCTGAAATGCTACGCGAGAGAAGTGTAGCCCAAAGGGTGCTCCCGACCCATGCAAGTCATCGCAGATGACCAGGGCAAACAGGCTTAGCTGCCGGACAAGCTGCAGGATTCCAATATCGCTCCACTACAACGCATATCGTATTCGAACTTTCAGCGCTGCTGTAGGTTTGCGGCAGGCGGCGACTCTGTCAGTACTCTTCACGAGCAACATCGACCTTCTTCCTCGCAAAGTAGGGCCGTGTTCGCAGCCGCGTGTGTGTCGTGGCTTTCTAGCAGTAAAGTTTCACACGATCGAAAGTCAGTTTGGTCTCTGGAACTTTCACGAGCCAGCGACCGTTATAAACTCTGGTCGACACGTGGCGCACATGGAACATGGCAAGATGGCGACGACGATCCAGGGTGTCTGGTCAGGACCGTCAGGGTAGTGTCTCGGCAGCAACAATTTTGCATGAGAAGTTCTAGACAATGTTGCGAGCAGCTGGCGCAAAGTAGTCGTCTTTGCTGCTTCTCACTTCGTGGTCTTCAGATAACGGCACGACTTGACGGTCTTGCCCGTTGCTTTTGCGCCCGGCACGCTCACCCGACGACCCTCATTTCTTCTTCAGCCAGGCTGCGGCCTGCCTCCCGTTAGTCTACGCCATCTGGTGAAGTTGCACATCGCCAGTCCAGCCCGCTATCGATGTGAATAGGATTCCGACGTGAAGATGGGCGCATGCGCACTCAAGCTCTGTTCAGTCGCATGAGTCGGTGCGCGCAAGGTGGAAGCATGAATAATGAGAGCCCTCGATTCTTCAAGTCACTGGCGGTGAGCATAGAGCAGGTGATGTCGACCCGGTGGGCCGATATGCCCTGATCAACATGCAAGATCGTTGCTTGTTGCATTGCAGGCGCTTGAGCCTCATAGCTCCGAGCCGAATCATACGCAGATATCCCTGGCCTTAACTCATTGAATATCGTTCGCTGTCACCATGATTGATGGACTGACCGAAGGATATGTCGAGCCTTACGCGTGACATTCTGGAAGGTTGCACGTGGCAGTCTGGTTGCAGGCGGTCTGTGAGGGCCAGAACACGTCTTGGATGAATGTTCGGTGGCATCCCTGTAACGAGCAGCACCGACGCCTATCAGCAGTCGTGAAATGTTGAGTCTTATACGTCTGGTATCTCCTAGACCCCAGCTCTGATGTTGCGCGTATGTCTCCTCTTGGCCGCCACCAGCTCACCGCTCAGAGCTCTTCGGCATCGCCCAGGACTTTCTGGACGTTGTTGAAGTATTGTAGTAATCGGCATTGCAGAAACACTCTGAGGTAAACTCTACTTCGGAGTCATTTGACGCTCTGGAAATTCCAGGCGAGCCGCTGTCATGCAAAATGGACGCTCATTGCTCAGCGCGCAATTGCCAGGCATCGGTCTGGGAAGGTCGGACATTGACAAAGCGGTGAGTGTGCTGAACGCTCGAACGTTCACTTCAGTATGTGTGAATCATTCGCGTGAGAAGTCCTTGTATCATGCTCGTCGTTGTGGATGGTGTCAAAGTGTTTGTTCAGAGCGGAGCTTCGGGAGTGACAGTGAAGCAAACCCGCCAAGACTTTCTGAAGTGCAAGTTCAGACGTCACGGACTGAACATCTACCTTCCACCTCAAGAAATCCATCTCCACCCATCTCCATCCTCTCGTTCGCCGAATAATCACAATGCCACCAAAGGGACGAGGAACTGCCATCGGCGGTCCCCGCGCAGCCCCAAGAGGAGGCTTCGCGCGCGAAACATACAACTGGGTCACCAGCGCCGACAACAGGAGCGTGGTCACATCATTGGCGTTCTTTGCAGTAAGACTGGAGATGGAGAGCATATGATGCGCAATGTAGACTGACGGTATGAACAGGGAGGTGTTGCATTTTTGAGCAGTAGCTGGGCTGAGATTCTGCTTCCTCCGTACGGCTTTCACCGCGCAAGTATCAGATGTCTTAGTATTGGGCTAATGAAGCTGCAGGATCTAAACGTATCTACGACGACGCAGCATGCGAGATGTAAAACTACCGACTTGGGGATGGTGTACGATAGGGGTGGAGCATGAGCACGCATGGTGAAAGAGCTGAGTAGCGCGCAGGAGCTTCCGAGAGCAGATTTCTTGCCCATGGCATGGTCACAGGGGCCAGACACGGGTTTGCGCCGTACGCAACGTGCTATACTGCAGAGCAAAACATGGTCAATGCGATGCGAAGAGCGAGGAAACAATGTCGAGACGCTAGATTCGAGCAATCAACTCTTGGCCTCCTTCATCGCCTCGATACCAGCAGCCAAATTCAATAACTTGTCTTCACTCATTGGCAGTCCCAAGATCTCCAATCCCACAGGCAATTCCGGATCATCAGGATACTCATCATCCTTCGCTGTCCCCATCGGCACCGAAACAGCACTCCACAGCAATTGACTGGCTATCACTGTGTTGGTGGGATAGTTCAAGCAAGTCCACCTGCAAATCTCGTCAGCATAAGAATTCGCGATGTCTCAGATCATTCAGAAATTCACCTCAGATCCAGTAGATCCTGCGTCTTGGGCGCCAGAAGCTGGCAAGTCGGATATATTATCGCATCTAGTTTGTGCTTCGCGTACAAACTCATGACAGTACGCTGAAAGTGCTGAATCGCGCTGAGAGCTTTACTGAAATGAGGGCTTTGGAAAGGGTCTTTCGGTCCTTTTGCCAATGCACTTATCAGGTCCAGACACTGATGATAGTCTCCTTTCTCTTGCAGATCTTCGATCTTCAGATGCTGAAGGCCGTCGCGAGATGCGAGGAAGCTGTTGATGTCTGATCGAGACCGAAGGACGTAGACTGAGGTCTGCTCTTTGAGTTGTTCGAGATCTGGGATTTCGACGTCGATGAGCTCCACGCCCGATGCTTGGAGTTCCGACAAGGTCTTGTCGAGCGCGGAGTTGATGCCTTTGTGCTCTCCGAATGCTTGACGGAGTACGCCAAGACGTCTACCCGACAGTACAGGCTCCTTGATGGCGTCCACAAAAGACTGGGGCTCTGTCTCGTGCCGAAGAGCATTGATCGACGTGAAATCGTCCTTTTCGTCGAAGCCAACAAGACAATCCAAAATTCGAGCAGCATCTTCGACCGTTCGCGTCATAGGTCCAGGAGTATCTTGTGTAACCACAAGTGACGACATGCCATCTCTGCTAATTCTTCCAGGCGTGACACGTACACCAACAAGACCGCAAAAACTCGCCGGAAGTCGAATACTGCCGCCAGTGTCGCCTCCAATCGCCGCAAGAGCGAGACCTGCAGCGACAGCTGTGCCACTACCGCTCGACGAGCCACCTGGATCTCGCGAATTGTCTATGGGATGTTTCGTCGTTTCGCTCAGTGACGAGGTTGAGAACCAAGAAGCAGCCCAATCGGGCATTGTCGTCTTTGCAAGAATGACAGCACCAGCGTCTTTCAATTTGCGAACGAGAGTTGCATCTTGACTTGGGACATGGTTCTTGCAGACCTTGCTACCATATGCTGTAGCAATGCCTGCCGTCTCGATCTGATCTTTCACGACAATTGGCAGCCCGAACAACGGTCCTCGCTGTTCCTGTGCAAGTTCCTGGCGATGAAGTCAGTTCGATGTGGTAAGAATGCAAGTCTCAAATGTCTGCAAAAATAGGTGGACTGCAAAATCGGCCACGACGATCACTCACATCGAGCTGTTGAGCTTCTTCTAAAGCTTTGTGATTCACGACAGTGGTAGCATTCAAGTCTTTGCTGCTCTCAATGATGTCCAAATACTGTTCCGTGACTTCTTTCACAGTTTTGCCGCCTTGATAAGCCTGGTGTAACTCGGCCAACGTTTGATATTTTGGCCGCGATCCAGACATGGTAAATGATCGTAATTGCGATAGTGCCCAAGGTGGTTTTGCGCTTCTTCTGCAACAAGGTATTCTGAGAAGGTGAGAACAAAGGCTCTTGTACATGTTTGTGATCACAAGTCCACGTATTGGTGGAATGCCCACTCTGCGAACACTTTTAGTGGGGTGCTAAAGTTCGCTGGTCACTTTGTTCTGACAGGGAATCCTGCTGTGACGTCGGTTGTGGAGATAAGCCATGCCTTCCAAGTGCTTTTCTTTCACTTGGTTCGTAGTTGTTGCGAATCATCACGCTGTTACCGATTTTGCCTAGAGTCTTACACTGTGCGAATGCGCGACATGTCGGCCCATCATTTGCATGTCAGGCTCTCAACGCCAAGTAGGATCAGTATTGTCGTGTGTGCATCGGACAGCATTCCAGCATTGCATGTGAGCCATGATTGCCATTTTACAAATCTGGCACCACACGAGTCCTTCTACCTGTGAACGCGCACCATCCACACTTCCAATAATTAGTTTCTCTTGTTATTGTTCAAATTGACTTTGATCCATACCTTCGTTTCCGAGCAATTCTCGTCATGCAAAGCACAGTACTCTTCTCTGCATCTCTCGCAGCGGCGGATCAAAGCGCTCTTGCAATGCGCACAAGTGCGGCCGCAAACCCAACAGTCGCGGTGCACGCCTATATCACTGTGAACGACGTATGATTGCCTTGGTTGCGTTGGCGAGCTCTGAGAACGGAGTCAGTGACTTTGGCGAATGGACGCAGTTGTTCTACCCTCGGTCGGAGGCGAGACGCAGGTCATGTGCTGGGCCACAGCTAGTAGCATGTCGCAATGTCGAGGAGTGAGATGATTCCTATCCCCACATGCCATTACTGCCAGCGCCAGCCATCATTTCACCGACCAGACAGCGTTCAACGCAGAGTTTAGAAAATACCTTGACTTGATTGCCATTCGGCGCGTTATTCACAGCCGCCCACCCTTCACGTTCAAGATCCTCTTGCATCTCGAGGTGCTGCATCTCAGTCCGTAGAGAGACACGCGATGGAGGCTCTTGATAGCAGTTCTCGCACCACCATCGATTGCATTGCTCGCACCAACGGCCACGCAGACAATCTTCGCATCGGAGGATGAGTTGGGGAAATTTGCCATCTTCTTGGGGTTCAGGTCGAACGCACCCACGAACTGTCGAGGAGTGTAGTGGGATTGGCGCGAGAAGAGGTAGGGCGTCATGGGCTCTCTCTCCAAACACTGCAGGTCCTTCTGGGCTGCTGTGACAGTCCTGACAGCCCTCTGGTCCTAAAGCGATGGTGGCGATGGTGGGCTGCAGGAAGTCTTTGCTTGCGACCTTGGTGATGTCGTGCCTTGGCCCTCTGCACAATACGGCATCGAAGCTGATAAGTCCGCGGCACACTTGCAGTGTTTCGGCCCATTCTGAGTAGGGTCGCTTCATTACTCGGCCGTTACAGCCGTACCATCTACTCTCGTCATCAAAGATTTTTGGTATCAGATCATGCTGAGATCTTTGATTCCAATCTGCGCCAATCTGCGCACCAGCACTGCTCATCACCCCTAGGGCCGGCGGGTCTGGTTTGGACAGCTGTTTCGTAGCGGCAGGCGATACCAAGACGTCCCTCTGCCCAAAGAAATAGAGCGCTTTGAGGTGCGGAGTATCGTCAGGCCTTGTTGGCCGCACAATGTATCGCAGAACTTGTTGCAGTTTCGTGATGTTCAATTGCTTCGACTCGCGTAAACTGAGCACGCGCACATGATAGCGGTCCTCGGCGACAATCTCTCTCACCAGGTCGGCAGGCACAGTCAGTCCGTCGAGTATCAGAGTCTGGACGTATTTGAGGATTCTCTTTGAATGCAGGCGACCTAAGATGCCGCGCAAAGGGCCTGCATAGAACTCGTCCTCGGTGAGGCTCTCATCCATTCGTTCGGCGCGCCATGAGACGCCGCCAATGTCGATAGGCGATGTATTGATGATGGCTCGCTTCACACCGGTGATGTCGAGGTACCGCCAAGCTTCAGAGTGGTTGTAAATAATCTCTCGTATGGCCTTGCATGTCACTGCCAACCGAAGGAGTTCCCTCGCAGGGATGTGCGGCGTGACTTGACGAAGCACCACGGCGTTCGAGAGGACGTCCACCAGAGTCAGAGGCAGCTTCCCCGCGCTCTCCATTCCCGCTGCACTGTGTTCTCGCCGCTGGACAACAGCTGGAGCGGCGATATGGTAGTGGAACGACGTCGAATAATGTAGGTCGTCATGTTTGTGCAGCTACGGAGGCCGACACATGGAATGCTGACATTTTTTGGCTCCGCAAGAGCGAACGACTTCGCTTGGCATTCAGTCGGCAACAACCAATCCGCAGCTGCAGCAACTTTCCGCGCGCCGCCATTCGTTGTACGGCGCCGTACCTGCACGCTGCAGACGTGCATATCGACCTCGCGACCGCAAAGACATGATTGTGACGCTGTCTCACCACCGCAGACGCGGACCTCACGCGATGCCTGGAAGATTGGGCCATCACACTTTCAACCAGAAACCCTGACCTTCATCACGCCATGATACACTGAAGCCGCGAACACAGGATGGTACCCGCTGCCCGCTCGGAACTTTTTCGCAACGTAATTCTGCCTTAGTCTGCTGTATCCAGCTTTCTAGCCTGTTCACTATACCTCGACCCACTGCCCGCCAAACTGCCCTAAACGGGAATGATGAACTCTGATTTGCACGAGTTGGCCTCGGAACGGGTCATCACGAACCGCAAGCGTGAATGCCAGCGCAGCATTGCATGGGATGGCCTGGCTCGGCATGTGAATACAGCGTTCGCTCCAGGCAGTTCACTCCAAAATGGCGGGCATCATCCTCGATCAATTTCTCCGCACCGACCTTCTCAGCTCAGCTCTGTTCGCATTGAAAGATGGGCGCACCAAGTGATGATAGTCAAACCAATGGCGACAGCGCATATGAACAGCCCTCCCCACGTCCGGATTCAGCAATTGACGTGAACGACGACTATGTTCTGACCCGGGACGCCGCGGCTTCTGCGAGATTGAACCTGTCGCACTACATATGGCAGTCTTCGTGAGTTTGAGGAGCGAGATCCGGTCCACGCAACGCTCTGACGTCGATGTAGCTTTGGATACAACCTTCATCCGCGCATACAGGATGCCATTCGAGGCAAGGAAAACCTACGCGTGGCAGATATCGGGACAGGCACAGGGTGAGTAGCTATCCATTCCTGTTGCCAATCATCGATCGCTCACGATTCCTCCAGAATATGGCTTCTAGATCTGGCATCACATCTCCCTCCTTCCGCCCAGCTTGACGCGATCGACATATCTTTCGGGCAAATGCCGCCTCGAGAATGGTTGCCTCACAACATCAATCTTCGCCTCGTCGATGTCTTTCGTCCGCCGACTGAGGATTTGGTCGAGAAGTACGATGTCATCCATATTCGCCATTTTGTCTGCGTTGTGAAGGACAACGACCCTGCGCCACTACTCAGGAATTTGCTGCGGATGCTGAAACCTGGTGGCTGGCTACAATGGGACGAATGGGACGTTCTCAATCGACATTTCACGAAAGTGTCAGCTGCTCATGCTCAAAGCAATATCGACAAGCTTGAAGAGGAGTTCGCAAACATGAGACGCTACACCCCTAAACCCGAATGGCCCCCAAGGCTGGATGAGTACCTCTTGGTGCAAAATGTTCAACAGGTGGCGATGGAAAAGAGGCTTTCCAGTGTTGGACATTTGGCGTTTATGCACGATCTGACGCTGCTCGTGTTTCAAGAATTGATCGATGGCGCTGAGCTAAAGGGGCTCATTGATGCGGAAAAGGTGAGATACCTTCGAGGACTGCTTGGCGGAGCGACAAGAGAGAGTAGGCAAGGTGCTGCATGGAACCTCACCAGGTGTATGGCTGTTGGGCAGAAGCCGGTCTCCGAGACACAAGGAGCTTTCCTTTTCTCAGAGGTGAATCTCCGGTCGAACTTCGCCCGGCAGATTGCAGCCATGCGGACGTGAAGTCGACCACGACCCAAGAACTTGGTCAAGCTGTCGCAGGAGCGCACCCGGAGTGTAACCTTGACTGAAGCGGTTGTGACCAGACACGCACATTGGTCGGAAGTGGGAAGACACTAGCGGATGGATGTCGATCTGGCGTACAACCACAGCAATGACCAGTTGACCGACCCGGCAATTGGGAAGCGCGTGGAGGGACGGCTTGCACATCGATATCTTCCCCGCTAAGACTTCGCTGAGAGAATTTGAAGAAATGGCAGCGCATAGAAGGTATGCTGAGCGTGGCCGTTACCTGTAAATCGTGTCGTGTTCGTGTCAATTTTTTTCACATGAAAACGAGAAGTGCTCTCGTTGCAGAAGGCGACGTCATCAGCCTCGTCTCGTCTCCCGTCCAATTTCACGCCGTACACCTCTCTCAACCATCCATGAACATGTGAATGCACGACACCACGCGCAAGGTGGCATGATGGCCTCTCGAACACGCCGAAAGTACTCGGAGGATGAGTTCGACGACGATGACGAGCGACCACGGGGCCTGATCGGCGCAGTCAAAGTGCACCGCTCTCATTCACGCTGAATCTGGCTTGCACTGACGCGTGCCAGTCCGCCCTCCTACGTCCCATCCGACCCTTCGTTTCACGCACCGCTCTCCGGGCCTACCTAACCACGTTCCTTGTATTCGCGACGACCCTTGTCCTCTTCGCCCTGGCAGTCACTGCCTACGCTCTGTTCTACTGGTCCTACATCCCGCGCATCGGCTTCGAGCGTACGATCCACCTCCAGTTCGATAATGTCTACAAATCGCACGACGAATTGCACCGGAATGTCATCACGCGCACAAAAGAGCACCCTTATCCTCATGGAACTGTGAGCCTGACGCCGGACCTCATCGGTGGTCAGGGATATGATGTTGTCGTCGAGCTGGATATGCCGAGGACGATGGACAACAGAGAGGCAGGCAACTTCATGTTGGAAGTGACAATGTACTCTGCTGGAACTGTAGCCGACCAGATTGTTGATGCCGCGAGGTCAGCAGTGTCACCTGACAGCACGAAAGATGGCGCGGGCAGCGTGGTAGCTGTTTCCAGACGGCCAGCAATGGTGCCCTACAGGAGTTGGATAGTGGACGCCATCCAGACCGCGAAGAGTCTGCCGTGGTACTTCTTCAACCTCAGGGAAGAGAAGGACAAGTTGCGCGTGCCGATATTCGAGAAAGCGGTCTTTGCTAGGGGCTCGGCTGGCTTGCCTGCGACTCTACGTCTCGAGGTACAAAGCACGCACCGATTGCAGATCTACAGCGCCGTGGCACACTTTCGAGCGCGATTCACGGGCCTCAGGTGGTTCATGTACAATCATCGCATAATCTCTGCGGCGATTTTCATCACCGCCTTCTGGACCACAGAGCTGGTCTTTTTCGCATTGGCGTGGGGTGTCGTATCATTCTATATCTCTGGACAGCAAGAGCCAGGAGAGGTGAAGGCAGAGCTGCCGGACGACAAGACAACGGTCAAACGTGAGGAGGAAGACGAATCTAAGCCGGCACTATCGGACACCGAACGCACTTTCCCAACATTGGGTGGCCAAGCGCCATTGCGTTACATCCCTCCTGTGAATGGCATCAAGCAAGAAGAGGAAGACGAAGAGTCAGCTCTGCGTCCAGTGACACCCGCGGCGGAAGCTGATGACGAAGACGAAGATGTCGATTTTTTCGACTCTGGCATTGGAACATCGATGGAATCAAGCAATCCCAGCAGAAGAGATAGCATGCGAAGGAGACGGGGCAGGCTCAACGAGAGACCTGATGCGGATAAAGCGTACTAGGAGGCTTTCGAGTACATATTCAACTCTGAGGATAGCAGTCGGATGCGGCAGCACAGCACGATACAGTGAAGCACTCAAAGTGGTTTGATGTACACGGACGGCGATTGTTGGAGGTCGAATTGCACTGTCAAGGTCTGCAAATACTGTACCTGGGAAGCTCTTCCAAATGTGTTCTGCTTCGCGACAATTCTCTGCTGTACCTTCCATAAAAAGTCGCATGATCTATTGATGATGCTCGCCTGCCGCAAGGGCCTCGCTTCAAGTGCCCAAGCTCTCTCGTCGACATCTCTCCATCTCACTTTCGCACCCGCAAACCATCATCCACCCCACTTCTTTGACATATCTCCATGAATCCATGGGGGTGGCCGCCCATGTGGCAGCAACTTCGGAAGCCCAAATGCATTCAGGCATCACTTGCGACGCAGGGCCTGTCACACCGAAGTCCCATCAGATTACTGTCGGACCATAGGCCGCTGGGAGCCATGGAGACTGGCGGGCTAGGACAAGACCGTGTCCGTAGCCATAGCCCTTGACTTGCCGGCTCCGCGGATCAGATCTAGGAGGTACGTCTTCGTTTCAGTTGGGAAAGACCCTGATTCTGGCCTGATAACTACCTTGTCACTGCTGTCGAAATACTGGTGAAGAAGCACTGATCGGCGGTGGACATCTGGTTGAATTCGTCGCGGATTCAAGGTCGTTCGCGTTCACTTCCCATCAAGGCATTTGTATCGACGTTCCAAGCACTGGCTAGCGATGGACGGCGTGTTCCTTCAGCAGGGCTAATCGTGCTTCAAAGACGAGGACAGAAGTGATCGGCGTACGCGCGGAGAAGTTCGGCAGCTGTGATTGGAGCTCGTGTACCTTGCAAAGTGGATGAAGAAGACCCGAGTCCTTGGAGCACTTCATCTCGAGACTCGGCACCGAGATTCATATGCTGTGCATGCCCACTATACTGTACCGAATCGTATTCTAACGGTATGATCTTGGGGGAAGAAGCGCTGCGCACTCACGGGGAACGGCCGGTCAGGAACTGCCGGCATGGCCTAGACTCACACGCTCGGCTGAGCTGATTTCGCTATGGACGCGACACAGAAGAGAGACAACCACACCCCGTCGTGCTCGGTATGTCAGAGAAGGAAGGTCAAGTGTGATCGCGTATATCCCTGCGCTGCCTGTAAGATGACTCTCGGCGCACGCCACGCCTTAGCCACCTGAAGCCGTGTTGACCTCTATTTGATGCTCATAGGCACGAAATCTGGACTGGAATGTGTATTTCCTGAACCTGTAAGTATCTCCATGCTTCTCAGTAGACCATTGATAGAGTCACGCTGATACATGCTCTGCGGAAAGGGCACGCACGGGAAAAGAAAGCGGCGCAATACCGGACACCAGACAGCAACGCAGGATGGATCAACCAATTCTCGACCTTCTTATACCGACCGAGCAACCACAACTGCCACCATAGGGTCGTTCAGGGAGCCAGCGAATGACATTTCATCACCAGCATCGACGAGCTCGCAAGGCGCAGGCACTTCCACGGCACGTCTAGTCTCGGAAGGCGGTGGCTATCGCTATGTCAACAATCACCTATGGAATGCCATCTCCACTGATCCTCACGCTTCGAATGGCAGTCCGACTGTCAGCCCAGAGGATGCTAAACCAAGTCCTGGTGGACGATCAGGGTAAGTCGCTCTAGCTTTGCAGCGCATCCTTCAGTGGCCATTTGCAACATTACATTGTGCTGACCAGATGAAGGCATGGTATATACGAAGAGCCAACAAGGCCGGAAGATGCCAGCACCGGAAGAAACTTGATCTTCGGTGGCAGTGGTCCAGGTCACCCGGGTTCCTTTCAAGCACCTGCGAGCCAAATCGTTTTCTTGTGGCAAGCCTTCCAGGGCAATGTTGACCCAGTCATGAAGATATCTCACGCGCCAAGCGTTCAAAACATCGTACTCGGCCAGATCGGAAACCAAGTGCTACCTCCTAACGAACAAGCTCTTGTGTATGCCATCTACATGATAGCTGTTGTCTCGCTCACTAACGAGCAGTGCGGAGAATCCTTGGGCGAATCGCGGAACGGCCTCCTTCAAAAGTACAGGGCAGCTACAGAGGCTGCGTTATCAGCTGCTGGGTTCATCACAAGCACCGACATTATGGTCTTGCAAGCTTTGATCTATTACCTGAGCGCATTGCGCAGTCTCGGTGAAATTCAGCTTGTGTGGTCACTGCTTGGGATCGCCATCCGAATTGCGGGAACGCTTGGGCTGGCCCGCGATGGCACCTCTCTGGGCCTGTCACCATTCGATACGGAGATGCGCAGACGGCTCTGGTGGGGTCTCGTGTACTTCGACGGGCGTATGGCGGAACTAGTAGGCCAGGACGGAGATCTCATGGGCAGCAGCTTCGACGCTGGTGCCCCTTCGAACCTGAACGATAGCGATCTCTTTCCAACCATGACCCGCCTGCCAGAAGCTCGGCGCGGTCCATCAGATGCTTGTTATCTCCAAGCACGTGTGCTCAGCATCACTGTTGCTCGTAGTCTCCAGAGCATCACCGGCCCTTCTGGAACCTGGCATAGATTGCACGATGCTAGTATGCCCACGGCGGAGAAGCTGGAAATCATGCGACGCATCGAGCAACGCTACAGTGAGGAGATTATAGAGCCATGTGACCCAACCGTGCCGTTACAATGGCTCAGCATCAATACTGCGAAGACCTTTTCGACCAAGTTGCGATTGATCTCAAAAATCCCGATCGTAGATCTGGACAAAGACTGGGAGGACGCCGATGGCTTCTCGGAGAATGCATTCATCCTCAGCATGGATCTTCTTCAGATTCAGCTGAATCTTTGGTGTGAGCCGTCGGTCCAGCCCTGGAGGTGGCACTGGCAAGCACATTTCCAATGGTATGCTTTGGTGACTCTGCTTCGACAAACGAGGCTACGTCGCTCTGGCCGAGGGGCTTCGAGAGCGTGGACGCTGATTCGAAAGGTTTTCGACATCATAATCCCTAGTCTGGAGACTGGTCCGAAGAAGAGCCTGTTACTGGAAGGCATACACTCTTTGCTCAATGCCGCAAAGCGACAACAAGAGCTTCCTGACCAGAAACCGCTTTCATCAAACAGCGACCAGAAATTGCCCTTGATGACTGGCCAAGCCGTGCAGTCTCCAGCTCCAGCCTTCACACCAACAAATGGCCATGGCGCCCACCCACCCGCGTTCGCGCCTCAGTCGCATAGCATGCCAATGCCCGGAATGACAATGCATCAACAGATGCCTCCTCCTGGCATGTTCGGGCAGCCCTTCATCGATAATTTCGAGGATCCTGTGCTCGGTGGGCTGGATTTGACGGCCATTGACTGGGTGGAATTCGATCGGCTGGCATCAGAACTCTCGCAGCAGTGAAGAACGACAGTATCATTTGAGAACCAGACTCCTCAAAATGGGACCGACAAAGGTCACATATATCTTTCGAATCCGACTCGGTGCCGAAACACTTGGTCGTGGACGAAGTGCGCGCGCACGTGACCTGTCATCCGAACTCAGTGAAGCTCGGATGGAGGAGCCGAAAGTGAGAGGATGTCTCATCGCAAGACACGTGGTATGATATCGTACCAAATATGGCATTCGGGCCAGTCTTTGGCCTGCCGGCCGCGACATCAACCTGTGTGCCCGACAGCTTGGCATTTTGAGGCCTTGTACTGCCTCCCGAAAGACGATGTAACACCAGGTTCTGCGCGTGCTTATATCAGGCCTATAAAGAAGACACTCCCCGTTGTCAGGACCATTTAGACAACACATACACCTCTGGCCGGGATCTTGAGGGCCATTCACGCAACTGCTTCAGTGTATAACACTGTAGCAACAATGCCCCTGTTTGAAGAGAAGTTGGGCAATGGCGAAGGGTCGAACATCGACAACGCTTTCAGTCAATCCAAGAATACTCAGGATGAGGTCGAATGTGCGACACCAACTGGGATCAATGTCCTCGTCGTAGGAGCCGGAGTCGGCGGTCTTGCCACGGCGCTTGAATGCGTCCGCAAAGGACATTCTGTCCGCGTCGTGGAGCGATCCCAGTCTGCAAGTGCCGGAGGTCAGTCTGCACTTCCAGGTAGCTCTTTCCTTGCATGCTGACTCTACAAAGGCGACATGTTCACTATTGGCGCGAATGCTCTGCGACTTCTGGACAACTACCCGGCTATGAGGCGGGAATACGATGAGATCGCCATCCACAACCTGTGGCTGAGATATCGCAAATGGACTGGAGAAGATCTTGGAGATCCATTTCCTTTCGGTGGCGGAGCGAAAGGAGCAGAAGAGAACAAGCATGCGAAGAAGCCACCTATGACCACTGTCCTCAGGCCATTGTTTCATAAGATGCTGTACCATCAGCTCGAACGATTCGGGATTGATGTTCGCTTCGGTGTGAACGTCAGAGAATTTTACGAGGACGAAGATCGTGGCATTGGCGGCGTTGTCACAGAGAGTGGCGAGAGGATCGAAGCAGATATTGTTATTGCTGCTGATGGTTTGCATTCGAAATCACATTCGCTCGTATCCAAGGATGCTCCGGAGGCGAAACCAACAGGCCGCACCATCTTCAGATCTGCGTTCTCTCTCGACATTGCGGAAGCAGACCCACTTGTGGTCCAGACGTTTGGGCGACTCGACGGCAAAGATCCATTGATGCAGGTCTGGCTTGGTCCCGAGACTCATGCTGTCGTGCTGGCATATGTGGACAAGCACGGCGAAAATGGACGTCTCTGTTTTGGAGTGACTTTCCGCGAAGAAGAGAGCGAGAATCGAAAGGAGACCTGGAACGATACTGTTCCCTCTGAAGAGGTTCTGGCTGTTATGGACCGACTTCCAGGCTGGAGTGAAGCCATGAAACAGCTTCTACGCCTTACTCCTCCGAAACACATTGTAGCATGGCCGTTGAACCCTCGCAACCCCACCGCGCAGTGGTACTCACCCGGTGCTCGTGTACTGCAAGTCGGCGACTCCGCACACAGCTTCCTCCCAACATCAGGCAATGGGGCCACACAGGCTATAGAGGATGCCATAACGATCGCCGCTTGTCTTGCACACGCCGGTAAAGATCAAATCTCAACCGCAGTCAAATCATACAACCTCCTTCGTACCGATCGTGTCTCCTGTGCGCAACTACTCGGTTACGTCAATGCCGCTCGCGTGCAGAAGACGGACTTTGAGAAGGTCGGAAGAGACCCTAGCAAGGTGCAACATAAGACTCCCAAATGGCTTTGGGCACTCGATCCTGAAGCTTATGCTAATGACAATTATTCGGAAGCTGCGAAGAGCCTGGAGCTTGGAGCACCAGTATTCAAGAACACGAATATACCTGAGGGGTATACGCCGAAACCTTGGACGATTGATGAGGTTGAAGAGTCACAAAAGGCTGGGCAGCCGATTGAGCTTGAGGGTGACTGGAGTTGATCAAAGAAGCTGTCATGTTTGCAATGACAAGTTCAACTTCTGTCGATGTGTCTTTAAGCATAACATAATGGAACAGCCATCTGTGTGCACTCTGCCATCAAAATGCGAATTCGCCATGCGTCGTTTATGTACCTGTAGCGCCCATGCTAAATGCACTGCTCACGACTCGTCTTCCAACTCAAGCTCCAGATCAGAAAAGCTGACCTCGATCCCCTTCTCATCATCCTCGCCTTCTTCTGGCGTAGGCTTTGCCGCATAAACTCCGACCCAAATATCTTCTTCATCTCGACCCTCCATAAATGCCCACTTGATCTCTCTCATGGGCTACAAGAAACAAGTCAGCAAGATCAAACATCAAGAGTCTATATCCCAAGATCGAAAGCTGGAAAAGGACTCACCTTCAACTTCTCCTCCCCTTCCTGTCTCGCATACACCCACAACGTCTTCTCCTTCTTCTCAATCTTAAACCTCGCCTTCTGATGATATTCCTGACTCATCGGCGCCAAAGACCAATCACTAAACCTATCCGTCCCGACAATCCCCAACACAGAACTCAATTCGAAGAACTCAATCCCGGCTTTGACCCATTTACTCGGGCGGACAGGGTTCTGTGGCTCTTCATCTTCAGCTTTCTTGATCTCATTTTCTGTGGCTTTGGGAGTCGCAGAAGATGGAAAAGCGAGAATCAGACCGCCTTGGTCGTATTGCATGTGCCAGGGTGCATAGACTGTTACGGAGATGGATTTGAAAGTTTCGGCTGAGAGGGTTTGGTACAGAGTGGGGGCGTTGAAGACGTCGTCTGTGTCGGAGCGGCGCCAGATGTCGGTCTTTGGGGGAGCGGTTATGGTGAAAGACTCAGTTGTTGGATCTTCTTTTGGTTGTGAGGCTCCGTTTATGGCGGACCATTTGGAGGGTGGCATGATGAGTTGTTTTTGGTCTTGCTACGGTTGTGACGAAGAGTAGTTGACTCGCAAGTCGTTTCTGCGTCTCTGATGCTGGTGTCGCGAGCTGGAAATGGTTCTGCTGTGATTGCTTATTGCGCTACGACGCTCGACTTTATATGTTTCGCTCTTCATGCGGCTTTATCTATGAGATGATGTCGATCGATAGGCGTCGAACGTGGCACTAACCTGACGACATGGGCTGCATAAAGTAAAGCCGCTGCGGAGGGGGCGAATTAGGATGTGTCCGAAAAGTGGGTCCTGAGAGCGCTCCTTCCTACCTCGGCAGCGCGATCACGAGACGACATCCAAGTGAAGAGCGGCAGGTACAAATGCAGTATACTAAAGACGTGGCACGCTGTGGACAGGGTGGTAGTCTGAAACTGGATTTTCCGCAGCTACCATGCGGATTGGCATTTAAAACACCTCACACCGCTCGCGCCAAAGCCTTTTCGCATTTCATGATCCTGCACGTGCTGGGCAACGCAGATCAATCACTGACGATGAGGCGGCAGAAGATCTCTACTGGCAGCAAAGGTGCACCTCATTTCTCCGATTGCAAATGCTGTTCCCAGGACTTGAGTGCCGTCTCTATGCCCCCCGACAGTCCTTCAGCTCGAGGAACAGTGTCTTCTCGGAAGCTCAGGTGGCTAGTTCGCCATGATAACCAAGACTGAGCCTTTGCGCCCTCAGCAGCCGCAAACAGCCCGACTGAAATATCAACCATGAATTTTCTGTCGTCTGCCATATAAAAGCAAGTCGCTGCGCAAGTGTCGCAGAAATAACGATGGCAGCCCGCAGAGGAGGTGTATTTCTTGAGCTTCTCAATTCCAAACTCGAAATTGAACGGTATTTTGCCTTCCTTGTCCAAAGAGATATCCATCTTGGGCACGAAAGCCCAAAATGTGGCTTCCATGCCGGACGCAAGACGGCAGGAGTCGCACCCACATAGGCCAGCTGGGAACTTGGTGTGGTCGTCGTGGAGCCAGTACTGCTCAATGCTGTCTGGAGCATCTGATTCCGTAATATCACTCGCAGATGACTTATCCGGCCAGACTTTATTAACGATGACCGATCTGGGCGAGGGTTGACCGACACAGAAGTCCACTCCACCACACTTGCAATATGCATGTAGCTTGTCTGAGGAGGTCCTCGAGAGGCTGCTTCCAGAGCTGGACTGCCAGTACACAGGGAGCTGATCTTTGCCCTCGCCGAATCGACCTGGCCAGCGATCCAGTTTCTTGCCATGGACCTCCAGCAACATATCCGCAAAGCCGCCGTCTAGAGTATCGCTGAGGAACTCATGGCCCTGCCAATCAATGTGTTTATCGATGTCGTCAAGAGTGCCAGTGGTAGTGTCCCAAGTGACCTAGAATTGCATGAGTCAATGAATGCTTGAAGGTCGCCGAGATTGTATGTTGTTCCCCCAGCCGCGACCTTGAGATGCCCAGCTATGGGTGTGGTATCAAGGATTCGACATACCTTGCTATCGGGATCCTCCGCGTCCTCTACGCAGCGCGCCATCATTTGACAACCACATGTCGGACAATGGTATTGAATTATGCGCTTCGAGAACTGAAAGCCCTTGAGCTTATCCACGAGGGATTTCGCAGGTTCGTAATATGCTGGGAGAAAGGTCACTGTGAGGCACAAAGCTCCCGTCATATGTCGACAGGAATCGCAGTGGCACATGTAGCCTCTGAGAGGCAAATCGGCCTTGCGGATGCTGATCTCATGGGAGATGTTGCCACAAATGCAGGAAGCCTTGAAGGTATGAGTCTCGTCCGCCATGATTCCGTTGTAGAGTTGAAGGTCTTGACGTTGTCATAAAAGTCTTATGCTTCATCTGGGCAATTGCTGCGCATTCGCATTCAAGCCCCGCGCTTGGCTGTTACACAAAAGCGGCAAGTGTAAGGCGCGTGCCAGGCTGCAGCGACGATGGCTGCAACCATATTGAGACGCGTCGAAAGGTCATAACGACGCGTGCGCAAGCGAGGTGAAGTGATGTGAAGAGTGAAGGGACAGACGATGGTGGTGAACGAGACCACGATGGCCTGCCAAGACGTACCTGCCGAATTTCACCCGATGATGATGATGACAGAATCCGGCGCGACTTCTTTTCTGATTTCGCGACTTGCACATCCTTTTGCGCGCATACACTGCCGCCAACGCTTCTCGCTCTGTGAACGCATTGGAATCGCCGCTTGATTGTTTTCAGCTTCCACGGGCTCTAGCGAGCACGCGCACCGCCGCGCCTTCTGCCCTTCCGACGCAGGACTCGACCGACAGAAACAGAAACGATGGGCGATTCTTACCATCCGCCGCGCTATCGCGACAATCGATACTCAGATCGATACTCTCCGCCACCGCGTCGCGATCACTATGACAGTTATCGCGACGACCACCACCGAGACAGCGGTTACAGCTTCCGCGGCGCCAGCGAACGAACGGACAGTTACCGTCCGCCGCGCAGCGACTTCACATTTGAAGCAGCAGGACCGCCCGCACCCCGCTTCCCGCCAGCTCCGCGCGATCACAAACCGCCCTCACGACGAAGTCAGGATTTCAGAAGAGGCCGCGGAGGACGTGGAGGCGGACGTGGTGGCAGGGGAGGTCGCCCATTTGTTCCAAAGCCGGCCCACAAACGTGCAATTCTAGGCTTCACTGAAACAGATGAGGCGCCCGAAGAGATGTTCCGGACCTCAGAGCACGCCAAGTTTCGCGACACTGATTCTAGCGACGACGAAGACGAGGAAGACGATGGTGCCGACGAGGAGCATGCACGTAAGCGCGTCAAGACTACAGACGCTGCTGAGCAGCCCGCTCGTCCACAGTGGTCGAATCCCGATCCGTATTCAGTCTTGCCTCCGACCGACGTGGTGACCACTGCTAAGAAGGACATCGTGCAAACCATACGGAAGCGCAAAGCTGAGGTGGCTGCAAGCGAAGCGGCAGCAGCCAATTCGATCAAAGACAATGCAGATTTCATTTCCTTCAACTTCGATGATGATGAGCCAAAAGAAGAGTCGGAAGCCGCAAGCGATTCCTCAGAGGGCGATGACGAGGACTTTATTGGCGCCCCGCCCCCACCTCCACCACAGGACTTTGTGATGCCTACAGATGAAGAGCTTATGCAGAACTATGCGAGTGCGGGCGCCGGACGCGGTAAGAGAAAGCGAGGGCTCGAGCAAACGCTCCCATCAAGCGCCGGCACTATCGTGGACGAGTGGCTACCTGATGGCTCCGATATGACGCCGTGGTTGACATCGGATGGTGGTTTTCAGTCCAATGTTGGTTTGCAGTAAGTCATCGCGGTCGTACCACACGCCCATTTTGGCATTTGGGGCATTAGAAGCTGACTCGGTTTCAAGCAGATTGCACAAGGAAATCATTGATTTCTCCCACTACGTCGCCCCACGTCCGTACGAGCAGAAAGCACGACGCGACCTCATCGACCGCATCGAGCGTGTTGTACGCCGCGCTCCAGATGGCGCAGACGTCCAAATTCGATCATTTGGCTCATTTGCCTCAGACCTCTATTTGCCCACTGCGGACATGGATCTTGTAGCAGTATCACGGAGCTACCTGTCTGGGACGCGTCCGGTATTCTGCCAGACCAATACCAAGATGTAAGTATTTGTGTTGTTTGGGCTCCCCCCATTTCCTCAACAAAGGCTAACGCGTATAATTTTAGGTTCAAGCTGGCGGCGCTCCTGAAAAGATACAATATTCCCAAAGACGACATGGTGACTGTCATCACGAAAGCTAAGGTCCCAATTCTCAAATTTGTCGATGCCAAGACCGGCATCAAAGTCGACATCTCTTTCGAGAATGATTCCGGTCTCAAGGCTTTGCCGACCTTCCGCGCATGGAAGGAACGCTTCCGCCATATGCCCGTTCTCGTAATGATCATCAAACAGTTTCTTATCATGAGAGGCCTCAATGAAGTGTTCTTGGGCGGGATCGGTGGCTTCACCATCATCTGTCTGGTCACGAGCATGCTGCAGCATATGCCCGAGACAGATCTCGAAAGCGACGAGCTCGGCTATGGCGAGCTTCTGCAAAAGTTCTTTGATCTCTACGGCAACAAATTCGACATTGAGAACACTGGCATCATGATGGAACCCGCCAGACGTTTCAGAAAGGGTATCGACCACGTCCTCTGCAAGATCAACTACGACACCCTCACGATCGTGGACCCAAATCGCCCTGAAAATGACATCTCAGGCGGCTCCCGACACATTGACAAGGTGTTTAAGTGTTTCCGCGGCGCCTACAATGAGATCCAGAGACGCCTCAACGATGTTCGGACTGGAAAGGTCAAATCACGCAGCATCCTTGGCTGCATCCTAGGTGGCAACTACTCGTCGTTCGAAGCACAGCGTAGCCTGCTCCATGCTCTTGATTCGCAGCGATCGACTGGTGTGCCTCCAGCTCCGCCGCCACGTTCGTACCCCAGCTACCCACAATATCCGACGCAACCACTGCCAGCTCGGCCGCCACCACCAGCTCGGCCGACTTACCCGCCACCGCCACAGCTGGCATCACAATCTGGGTACGCATCTCAACCGTATGGTCCAACAGCTGCCGGGGACTGGTCCTCGGGTACACAACAGTACGAGTCAGCTCTTCCGCCTGTTGTAAACCGCTTCGGCTCTCGACGGTAGAAGACAACTTATGGAAAGGAGGCTGACTGCTGTATAGTGCGACACGCTCGAAGGGGAAAAAGCAGGCAGGAGCTACAGCAGCAGCACCGCCGGTGCCTCAAGGCAACGGCAACGCCACCGCCAAAGCTAAAAAACCAAAGTGGACCAAAGCACAGAGGAAAGCAGCAGCGGCGGCTGCGGCTGAAGCAGAGGGGGCAGGGGCAGCGAGCAGGTGAGTTGTTCGCCGGTCCCTCGTTCAGAATACGTTCAAGATCTGATATGTTTGCAGCTCGAATGCGCCCCCGACGCAAAAGGCGACTACAAACCCGACGGAGAACGCGAGCACGAAGAAACAAAAGAAAAAGGCGAAGAAGGTAATGGAGCCCAAGTTGTCCAAGAATGACAAGCCCGGTCGCAAAGCGCTTAGGGAGCGCAAAATTGCGACTCGGGCAGCCAAGAAAACTGCCAGCGGCATTGCGCCCAGCGGCTCTTGATTGTTCGTGTACGAGTGACGGGAAACGTAACGACCGGTAATGTGGCATTTTCGTAGAAGCGGCGCGCATGCTGCACAGATGATACCCCTGTACCACTACTAGTTGACTTTTGCACAGGCAGGCGGCACCGACAGTAAACAATTCGTTCGTTGAACTCGCTCGCTCGCTTCCGTGTCCCGCACGCGGGGACTTTTCTCATTGCATATTGGCTGTTAGCTGGTGTGCAGAGAGGAAGAAGAACGCACACAACGCGACGCGAGGTGTCAGCGTGGACCTTTACTGTGGCAGCAACGGGCGGTGGGCGCTCTCGTTGGCGATGCACGAGGGGAGGAAACTCCTCCTACACGTTCTTTGCTAAGAGCTTGAAGCTGGAAACCTCGGTTCGTGCGTGCCGTCTGGAGCCAGGGCTGGGAAGGGAGTAAGCACAGCCGTTGACACGCGCGTTCGGCCACAAGTGAAGTGAAGTCAGCTGGCGCGTTCTTGCGCTTGCTTCAACCTCACCCGTCCGCCAACTCTTCTTCATCGCAGGCAAACCTTACCGCAACATCTCTAGCTTCGGCACATCTGTCACTGTCGAGCGCACTCCGCCCCGGCCGCCATGGCTTCAACAGACTTGAAGGTATTCGCGGTCCCCTCTACTGATCGTGTCCGCCATCACTGACGTGTACAGCCGCCCGGCATGAGTCGAATCGAGGTTGGAAACAGCAAGGAGGAGGAGCCCACCTTCCGCCTCCTCGACCTGCCGCCTGAACTTCAGCTGCGCATCTTCGAGTATGCCGTCACGATGGACGAGCCGATCAGCATCAACCGCAGAGCTTGGCCAAGGCTTATTGGAAGGCCACTGACTATTGAAGAGAGAGATCATCTCCATCCGCTGGATCTGGCCCTTGGCTTCAATAGTGAAGAACGAGCAGCACGTGTGCAACCAGCAATCACTCGTGTCAGCAGAGCAATCCGGGCAGATGTCATCAAAATTTACTACAAGAACAATACTTTCGATGGCCGAGTACTGCACCTGGATGAGTCACAGTTTCGACACGACATTTTGGATGTGGATCCATGCTATAGGCGAGGAGAATCGACGCAGTATACGCGAGCTCATTGTTTGAGATGAATGTCCTGCAATAGGCTGGTCTGGAGCAGAGCATGACGAGGAGGAGGATCGGTGTTTGCGGGACCTCAGAATCGACATTGGAGAATTGCGAGGGACGGTAGGCAGTAGGATGACCCATCAAAAGTACCCAAGCTGTAAGATCACGTTCAAGGAGACAGATTGAGTAAGTATTGCTCCTCGACATATGCAGAACTGTCACTGATCAAGGACCAGGTTTGCTCGGCCGCAGTCGCCGTAACGACCTCGTGACTGCTCTTTACTCCCTCGGATCCCTCCCGTCCCTAGCCTCCATCTCAGCAGCATAGTGCTCATCGCTCTCCAGATCAAACGGCAGGGGCTGAGTGATGGGTAAGATTGGCGCGCCGACCTCCTCGAGTTGCTTCAACCTCATCGCAGTCAAGGGATGTGATCGATTGATGGAGTAAACCTTGATACGATGGCACGAAGACGTGACGTGGAGGTCAAAGTTCCTGTAGCATCAAGAGTCAGCTTTCGCAACACTTAGGGTCGGCGATGAATGAAGATGCAACTTACCAGGCACTCCTCACGTAGGTCGGCTGCGTATTCAAGGCGTTGTCCCATGTCCTGCAGCAGAATTCCAGCCAACCTTCCGCATCCACGGGCATCTCGATCCACCACGTCCTCATACCGTAATAGAACTTCTTACTGAGATTCTCAAACGGCACTTCATACCACACGCTGCCTCCATCGGCACTAACCTCCACTCTCTCTGGCCAATGACCCCCCGTTCCACCCGAGTACGCCCAGCCCGTCAACTTGATCTTGCCATCATGCACAATCTGATCCATATCCACAGGCGTCATAATTGCACTCGAAACCGGCATATCCTGGATCGAGAATCCATTCGAGTACAAAACATTCTGCTTGCCCAGCTGTGGCGTGTAGTAAAGATACTCTTTCTTCTGCACGGGCGCCTGACTTGGTCCCTTAATGGCCCGGATCTTATACAACCACTTACAGCTTCTCGCACCAATATATCCAAACACAACCGCCCGCAATGGATATCCGTGGATGCGAGGAAGTGGTTCTCCGTTCATTTCCCACGCCAACATGACTTCGTCGAATTTGACTTTCCGGTAAGGGACAGAGACGACATAGTTGTAGACTTTACCCTTTTTGAAATAGGTATCTGCTCCGAAGAATTCGAGGTGGATATCGTTCGCTTCGTCTTCATCGTCGTTGTTGGATTTTTTGAGGCCGCCGCAGTGGTCGATTACGTCTTTGAGGTAGACACCGCCCCAGCGGGCATTGCCGATTGCACCTTCGCCCCAGGGAGCGTTGATGAGTTCGTCGCCGTCACCCGGGTATTGGTTGATTTGTTCGATGCGGCGAGTTCCGGAGCATTGGAGCGCTACAACGTGGGATCGTTTCTTGAATAGCTTCTCGTTTTGCAGGTCGGCCAGGGTGAGGTTTTTGGGGTTGTTGACGAGGCCTTCGATTTCGAAGTCGTAGGCTGAGATGTCGATTTCGGGGATACCTCCGTGGTTTCGGACGAAGAAATCTTTGTTAGATGTGATTTCTGTTTCGACCAGGCGTTTGCGGGGCGGTTCGCCGTTGTAGGGGAAGCCTAGAATATGAAGCATATCGGCACTTTTCTCTTGTTGGACGTATTTCCAGCTGATGGCGGGGATATCTTGTAGTGTTGGGCCGCAGGCATAGTGATACTGCTTCCAGCGGACGCCCTCCAGTATGGGGTTGGTGTTGGGGAGAGGAGCGAGTTGGAATTCTGGAGGTGAGGGGAACTTGTACTGAGCCATTACGCGTTCACATTCTTTCCGTTTTTCGGGATACTTCTCCCATTCGACATAGCCCTTCCAGCCCTCACGCTCTTCGGCGAAGTGGGGAGTCTCTGTCTTGTAGAAGGGAAAGTCATCGATGGACCCAGAATTGGGTAGTACCACCTTGTTCGTCATATCGCACTTGGTACTTGGCTGGCTAGAGATCGCATCGTGTGATGAGTCCGGAAGGACCATGGTGGCTTTGATCTGCTGTCTGGCAGGAGCGGTAGACGATGAATGCTAGTGGAGGAATCTAGATTTGGCGAAGCAGGAAAGCAGTATACTAACTTACCGTCCGGACTGTACGCGGCAGCACTGGGACGCAATCAGGTCCGTCTCCGCATAGCTCCAACGCAGTGGTACATCATGATGAGCACAAGATAGCAAATGGCAGCAGAACGCATGAACTCCGGCTTGTGGTGAAGGTATAGGCTTCTGTGCCAAGTTTCGGTCAAGCAACAAAAAGCATGGATTGGAGTGACTGGCGTCCAGTGAGATTGCGTAGAGGGCCATGGGCGGGTCCTGAGTGTTTAATGTCATAGCGTTGTCATCGTCGTGCGCGTCTTCATAAGCGATTCGCAGTGGTCGGCAAGAAAGCGGAAGTGCACAGCGGCCGGCAGTCGTTCAACGGAGCACAAGTCCGTTTCGGTTTTGCAGAGACCTTGTATACTGGTAACATGGGATGGCAGTCCACCGCCCTTTCGGACTCCAGTAGAAAGTCTCGATGTCGATGTTGATGTGAGCGCTGGACAGTGCCGGGAGCGCCTGCTCTACCGGCAAAAATAAAAGTGGAGCCCATCGGACTCGGAATCAAGAACATCATCGAAGTCGCGCTCCATCCATCTTTCGCCGTTGACATCTAAATCGCTCATCATGATACTACGATCGCGAACCATAGCACCTGCTCTCCAACTCGCGACACGAAACTATGCGACGAAGCACGAACCCCGTCAAGTCCTCAACGCAGAAGTCATAGCCCGACTTCAGCAACAGGAGCAAGCTATCGCAAACCGACAACGAAACCTGCCACCGCCTGGGTCGGACAAATACTTCTACTTGACGGCGATTGGACTTATTCTAGCGACTCCGCCGATTATCTACTACTGGTGGCAGCATCGGGCAGAGCATATGGGAAAGAAGAAAGAGGATATGCTTAAGCAGATTGAGATTAAGCGCAAGGAGTTCTTGGAGAGTCAACGATGAGGAGTATGGCTTCTGCTGGAACATATGTGCAACGAGGATGGGGTCTAAAACGTCGCTGAGACGGTTATCAGGGGAGAGGTCGATGCGCAGGCGTGCGGCAAGTGGCATGGACATGATAGGAAGTCCGCTGCAAGAGCAGCATGTCTGCAACGCTCTCCAGCCACATCGCCTATGCTCGCCTGAAGAAGCGGTTAAGTGGGCTTTAGTACACCTCACAAGCCACAGACGCTGAGGGAACGAGGCGAGATGAGATGTTCCTCTACCACGAAGATGAGACGGCGGGGCGGACACGATCTCATTGCCAGGCTTCTACTGTCGGCCAGAGACTGCGACTTCGTAGATTGGCCCTTGCTGGTAGGATCCCATGCATTAGTAGTATGAGACACGGCAGAGGTGCAAGCGGGCGGTATCAACTCAAAGGCGGAGGCCAGCTCCATTCATGAGATAACCACGCCACGGAAGTGACAGGGCCATGTCCTCGGTTGTGTGGGACTTACTCGCACATTGACACCCGAAGCGAGACGCATCGGACATTGTTTCCGAGAATTTGAGCGAGTCCAAGTCAACGAATATTAAGACAGACTAGATGTACAAATGGCATTTCGTGGGAAAGATACAGTGCTCATGAATCACATTATACCTGTACGCGAGAATTATGTACTCTTGCTTCCTGTCACAGCCATTTTTTGTCTCTTGGAACCCTACTGCTGCATAAGGAGTGCACTTTGCTTCCTTTCCCCAGGAAGCTCCTATATCTCCAATGATAAGCCCACATTCCCAGCCATCCAAAGTGAAATCAACGCCAGTCGCAATGCTTTTTTATACAAGGAAGGTCCGTAGTCCTGGTCATAGCTCTCGTCTCGTGCACGATAAATTTTCTGTTTGTTCTTGCTGATACTCGCTCTGCTTGTTCGATCACCACAAACCAGCAAGACCGGTGAACCAGCCAAAGGTCACGACAGTTACGCCCACCATGCCGAGGAGGGCTATCCAGGTCTGCTTCTCGAGACTTGAGGCTCCATTGCATGTTGCGCACACGTAGTCGGCCATGGGCGTGTATGGCTGTGGGCTGTACATTCCAAAGGTGAACTGGTCGTATGTTCCCAAATAGCCAGCCTGTGCTCGATCCGTGACATCTTTGGCAGCATCGTGAATGATAAGTGTGTAGGTCTCGGTAAGCAGAGGCACGGTGGCGCTGGCTTGGAAGGCGCCGGTATCCCAAGTGAAACTTTGAGTCTCCTCCACAGTCAAGTTCATGGCCAAAGTGTACGTCTGCTGGTTCTTGCTGCATGATGCGAGGACGTCAATAGCGGAGGGAGTCACAGATAGCGAAGTATAGTTCCAGGCGAATGTGATGTAGTCCTTGATCTTGTAATATTGTGTTGTCATCGGGTTCGGCGTAATCATGGACACACCACCTGCTGGAAGACGTGCATCGAATGTCTTGGTCGATGAGCCTCCCTTCTTTGTCCCCGTGCCAGTCTCCTTGCCCGGGTTTGTGCCAGTCTCCTTCTCGTCATCATCGTTCGAGTCACCGGTTGTTTTGCTGTCTCCACCTGTAGTGGTGGCGCTTTCGTCGCCAGATCGCGTGCCTGTGGGCTCGGTGGTGGCAGTGTTGCCCTGGGTGGCGCTGAATGACAAGTCGAAGGACGTCCTGCCGCCATTGTCGTTGTTGTCGTTGTTATCGTTGTTCTCTTGTCGGGGAAAAAGCGCGTCGATGTCGTTCATGCCGTTCAGAGCCTCAATGGGCGCCCAGCCAGCCTTGCTCGCGCATGCTGTAGACACGAGCAGCAGGGATGCCAGCACCTCGGAAGGGCGCATGGTGATGATATTACAGTCGATGAATATTCAAAAGGCGACTCGCAGCTGGCCAGCCGTGCGTGCGTGGCAGGGTCGATGTTGTGGTGCGGTGAGTCTTGGTGTTTTCTGCAAGCCGCGTCTCCCCTCGTGCTCTCCCGTCTGGTAGTCGCTCAACGGTCGGCGGTGATCGGACGGTCGTGGCTGCTTCGAGAGCGCGGAGATCGACAAGCGAGTGACTGAAGCACGGGTGCGATCGAAAACGGGCGGATGAAGCGAATGACGGGTGTTGTTGATGAAGAATGTATAGCACGACGAGGTGAGCAGCGTGAGCGAGTGAGAGGGAGCAGAACGAGATCTCTCTCCTTCGCCCAAACCCAAACAAGCCAGGGAACGCCTCCCGGCAAACCATAATTAGCAACGCGCGCTAGTTAGTTAGTCTGCTCTCTGCTCTCTTCTTCGTATTCTCACTGTGGACGCCATCTTTCCACCTGCTCTGAGGAACAACTCATACCTATTTGCCTCATCTCGAGCTGACTCTTATGCCTCTTCTCTGTATACATCTCGCACCTGCCCTCTGCCCGCAGCGATGCGCAGACTCCAGGTGGGCTTGGCAACGCGAAGCCGAGAAGGGATCAGCGCTGGGGTTGCCCAAGCATCCGCATCCCGGTCTAGTTAGCACGCCCCAATGTCTTCACGCCTCTTTTCACAACACTTCTTCACTTCAGGACGTACCGTAGGCGTGCCCAGGTTCCACACGCACGAGCTTGCGGCAGCAGTCAGACTAGCTGTCACAGCGAAGGGGATGCTGCTTCAAATCAATCAACCCCACGGCGCTGAGATCGCACCGGAGACTGAAGCGGCCGCGACTCAATGGCTAACTACTCACTCGTGACCCGAGAGCAACATGCGTATGCAGCCTCAAAGGCGATCTTGCTCACCCAGCGCTGATGCGGTCTCATCCATCAAACTGACGTTTCCAATGCCTACCATTGGGCATGCATAGATTAAGCTGTGCCGCACACGAGCGTCTACCAATATTTCGCCGACTTTTATCTGGCTTCACGGAACTTGATGAGGGTTTCAATTTCAAGTTCACAACTGACCGTGCTAACTGCTCCAGCGCCAGATCTACGCAATCATCGTTGTCATGGCAGATACTATGGCGAAGCTGAGTCTTCTGCTCCTTCCCCAAGAGATCCGCGATATCATCTACGGCTTCGTGTACACCGAGGCCACCATTCATAGCAAGCGCATCTGCCCGAAATTCCATTTCACAGGCATCTACCATTGTCCGCCTCCCCGGCTGTCAGCTGTCTGTAAGCAGCTTCGAGCGGAGACAGAAGATAAAGTCTTCAAACAAAAGTATAGAGATCACGTTGCGCCAAAGCTATACCATTGCTATTTGCAACCACACCGGATCTTTTGCTCAAGCCGTCATTCGCGGGAATCTCACTATTGGAACATCATGATTGAGACACCGAGCAGTCCAGAATACTTCTGAGTGCTCCTCCAAGCCAAAGTCGACGTACGTCTGGTTCGTAACCGCGAGAGGTTGGACCCAGTAATGAACAACTTCAAGATGATCGGGGTCAGTCGGGTTCCAGAGGGTGCGCGCACAACCATCTACATGTATTCCTCGAAAATGTCGGCCAAACAAGAAACAGCTGTCACTTGGCGAAAGGCGCTGTGCGAGCTGTTGGCCAAGGTCATCGAGCAGCTTACGAGGGCGTGCCCGGAGCCGCTTCTTTCCGATCCATGTAATCCAGAGGGAGACACATGCGTAGAGCACGGAGTAGAACTCCAAATGGCGATGGTTTCGGTACTTCGAACACTCTGCGGGACAGAGCTGTCTGCAAAAGAGTTGCTGGAATCGTCAACAATGACACTAAGAGTCAAACTGTCGTGATTTATTGCACTTTGAGTCCAGGCCAGTGGACACTCCACGGCCCACGGTACTATGCGAATGGTACGCTATCTTCGGGAATTGTTACAACACTACTTCAGGAGAACCAGCTCATTGCTTCCGGCCTCCTATCAACCAAAAGAGACTTCTCAGTATTCTCACCACCAACCAGAGAAAGATGCCCTTTGCATGGAAAATGCGGAGCACGACGTGCGAAATTCTCCAGGCCTTTGTGCATCGGGGCACGCTCTCCTTGTCAAACTCCTTCACAGCTTCGGCAATGGATGTAGCGTTGCAGAGCGCGCTGCTCAATGAGTAGCCGTCCATGATAGCCATATTCATACCGTTGCCTGCAAAAGGGCTCACGGCATGTGATGCATCTCCGATATACACGACTGGCTCTGATTCGATATCCGTGTGAGAGATTGGCCGCTTGTCCTGGGCATTGAAGATCTTCAGCGAGCTCATTTCGGTAGCTTGCAGCAGTAATTCGAGTCTCTCTCCAAAGACCGCCCCTCTCGACCTCACTTCTGCCATAATCTCATCCTTCATCGCCAGAGCTTTCTCACCCGAGATTGATGTTCTTGGTTCCTTCGACCGATGCGTAATGAACCATACACAACTCCGGTCGTCAATGGGGAACACCACCAAACCTGTCCCTTGGCCTCCAATGACCGGACCGAACGAGTCCTCCACGTACGGCGGAACTTTCCCAGGCTCGAAGAAAGCGTTGCCGGTTATCAAAGAAGCTCCGATGAACTTCAACCCATCGTCTGGCCTCAACGCCCTCCGCATCTTACTACTCGCCCCATCGGCAACAACCAACAAGTCGCAATGCACCTCTTTCTCGTCATCTCCACTCAATTTGACATCCATTCCACCCTTCTCCGACTTCGACGCCGAAACACACTGCACATCAAAATTCTTCTCCACAGCTTCCGGCAAAGCTCTAATCATCGTCTCTCGCACACTATTCCTCGTAATCCTCACATTCGCAACTGGTAACCCATCAGGCGGTGTGTCTGGATTTCTGAGATGTATCATATCCTCCCAATTATGGTCGCGAATCGACCCGTTCTTATCAGAATTCGGCACGCATGCTGCGAGGACTTGGTCGAGAAGATTGAGTTTCTTGAGGGCTTGAAGACCGCCGGAGAGCTTGTCGCTGCGGAGACCGATGGAGTAGTTTCCGCGTGAGGCGGGGAGATCTCGAGGGTCGCGCTCGTAGAGTTTGATTTTTGGAGGTGGGAGAGATGAGGGCCAGAATTCTAGGATGCCTTTCGCGAAGGAGAGACCTGCAGTTCCGGCGCCGGAGACGATGATTGTTTTGCCTGACAGTGGATGTTTCTGGTCGTTTGGGAGCAGTCGACTTGTTTCGGTGGACGACATCGTGGATGTTGTGTACTTGTAACTTGATTGTTGAGTTGTTGGATATCTCGAAAAGACTCGATGCAGTGCTGTTGTTCCTGATGCCAGTATTGTTGGCGCCCTACCAGATACCATATGAGAAGTGGTGTACCAAGTCGATGCAGGAGCGAAGCTGGGCTGGCCGCCGAACAGTGATAAACGCGAAGTCAACTTCGATCTTGCAAAACTGGCTCTCATGCCGTTCACCACTCAACTCTTTATAATTTCCACTTTTGCAGTCCCTGCCTTCAATTTTCACTTTTGTATACAAATTAGAAAACCAATGCTGTCATAATCTGTCAAACAACATTGGAAGGATTTCTTTCGGGTCCTCGTCACCTTCGCAGGACCCGAGCACAGCTCGGGTCGCCCGAAAGCCTGCTGGCGTTTGCACGACAAAGGCTACAGCTTAGGTACCAAAAGCGGACTAGCCTACAGAGCATGACCAGTCGAGCGGGTATTACTGAAAGTCCTAGAGTCCGAAGGATTTCTTGAATAAACAAAGAAAAAGAAATGGAGAGATTGTGGTTTGCGGACTTGTTTCGCGTGGTCTGGTTGGTTTGCTTGATTGCGTTGCTTGGACGGATGCCTCAGGTTTTCACGGACCCGAAGGCTGTTAACTTAGCCCGTTAGACTATCGCACCTCTTATCGTAGTCTACGATGGTGATAGCTAGTCTACTCGTACTTTGCATCTGACACGCGTATGAAGTAGGAACGGTATACACAAGAGATCGGTGCCGAAGATTCGCCGCAAGATCTGGAGATCTATATTGTTGACCTCGTACTGGTTACCAGAGCTTACCGGCCTGCTTGTCGTGCTTGTGTGCTTGCACCGGGATCATGATCCATCGCAGATATGGTCGCACAGCATGATCATGCGCATGCTTGCGCCAGCCCCCCAGAAGCCCAGACACAACATCGCGGAAGCTACATACTTGCATCGCGGTTTCCTACTTTCACTGTGCCGGCCCGGAAAGGGAGCGACTGATTCTGAAGAGGCAAGTGGAGTATGCAGCAGCAGCAAATAGAAGGATTCCGGTTCCAAAGATCTCATACATATTGAAGCCTTCTCGGGCAGCTTTGCACTTGCTCAATTCGTAAACATATCGTACAGTTGCATATGCATGCCACATTGCTTGCTACTTCTGGACCCATTTTGCACTGATAATATTGCATGCAAGCCCAAAACTTGCCCCGCGAGCAGGCATGCGGCCGGCTGACTCGTGACACCAACACAGCACACAGCACAGAAAACCCCCTTCACCGCACATTCGGAGCATCTTGCAGCCACCGCAGAATCTCTTCAAGCTCAAGGTCATTGCCCATTGCGGTACGCATAGTCTTGCCCGTGCCATCGCGGACTTGTCGATGGCTTATGGTTGAAGGAGTGCGATGTCCGCGGCGTGAAAGCTTTCGGAATGGTACAGTCAAGACCTTTCGCCCCGCTTCTTGCTCCAAGACCTGCAGGTTTGGACGCTGCATATGATGCTTCATAACCACATTCTTCAGTACCGCGCCCAATCTTCCTCCATGCATCTCAATCTGGTCGTGAAAAATCGGAAGCAACCACCCGAACCGGAGAGCTGCGTTGATTCTAAGAGGTTGGTCTCGTGGTCATTCGAGTCGGGCTGGCTGTTCTGTCGTCAGCTTTCATCTGCGTGTAGGCAGGCTTCTGCGGCACGTGTGCTGTCGTACTGCTGTCTCGTCGCTCTTTGGCGCTGTACTGACTTGCTACGCTGCCACTGCGGATACTCGTGGTGTCGTGTGCCAGTAGATCAAGCGAAAGTTTGCGATTCTGTGCAATGCAGTGCGGGCATGGAACGTCGTTATTGCTCTTGCTTTCCGTTCGATGCTTCGTGGCATGGAAGCAAGTGAAAGATGTCATCCCCGGCGTAGTCATGGCGGTCATGCATTGATCGGTCGAAGTGCAGCTTTCGTGACCGCAAGGCCAGGAGCGGATGATCAGGATACACATGATATGTCGTTCTGGTATAAAAGTGTTCAGGAAAGTTGACTGTGTGTGTCTTGTGTTGTTTGTCTGGAATGCTTGGAGTTCGGTTTGTCTTGAGAAGTGGTCTGATAAGTAGGCTGATGTCGGAGTGGCTGCTATTTGTTACAAGTCCGAAGCTGAGAATGGTAAACGTAATGATAAGAAAGGAAGAAGCTTTGGTGCGCCTCTTATGACTTGCCCCGCCGTGGCTGGTTACATTATACTATTGTGGTGTGTGAGACAGTCCTTCGACAGTTGACGTGGCGACTGTGCCACATGGTTCAGATAGCGTATCTTACAGGCAGCATTATCGGTGTCGACGGCTGCCCACCCGGGGGCATCGTGTGGTGGATGGCTTTCTCGGTCTCCGTCATCAAGCGTGGCACGTGGTGGACTCCCTCATCTAACTTGGTAGCAAGGCTCAGCGCCTGCAGGTCTGACATGCAACTCAGCCTTCGGACGGCGCTTTGGTGTGCCAAGTGACGCGGGGAAATCCCGCGGGCTGGGTCGTCCAAGTTGGCAGGTCTTGGAAACAACGTTCTGTTGATCTGCTGTGCTTTGCTGTACTGCGGCGGCTGGCTCGGGCATATGTGCCAGTGTCCATGCAGATGGCTGCGGTGGGACACGACATCCCTCTCACACCTCTTGCGGAACGACTCTCACCGTCCGCTTAATGCCGTTCTCCTCGCCCTTGACTTTAATCTCGATGGTAAAGTCTCCGACTTCTTTGATCCTCTTGTCTGTCCTGGCTGGCTCGTTCAGGAATTCGATATCTTGTTCTGTAACAATGACACGGGATGCCTCGTCGTTGGTAGCAATGCTCGCTCTGACAGCAACGAGTATGTCGTGTTGCGATACCGAACCATAGATGGCTCCCGTGAGCTTCGGCTGAGGCTTGTTCAATGGTTTCTGTGTCCGCGCAGCCAACAGGTCTGCGGCAGCGTTGGACGCACTCCTCTGTTTATTGTCCTCCTTTGGTGGTGCTTCCTCCACTTTTTCCGCCTTGGGCTCTTCAACAATCGGTTGTCTGTAGAAGTCCATCCTGTGAGGCACAAATACCTCTAGAAGTTCCAGGCTGCGTTCACTCGTTAATTTCTCGACCTCGGGGGCTCTGCGGACTGGCGCTGGCGTGGGGTCATCGCGGAGCGGCATCAACAGCGGACCATCGGCGGCAGAGAAGGGGGCTTCCTTCTTGCCAAAGGTGTAATCGCGTTCGATGGGCACGTTCTGAGCGCGTAGTGTGCGGAGCTCGGGCATGGTAACATATTCGGCGATCCGTTTGGGGTAGTAGTTGTTTCGCAATTGACCTCTCGCCATGGGAACAATGGCTCCTACACGCTCCCGTCAGCATGGCCCGACTGCAGCAGATGGTCAATACACACCCTTTCTGCCAAAGCCTGGCAAGTCCTTCAACAGGCGGGCGGGAATGTTGCCTGTCGGCTTGGCCTGCTTCTTCTTGCCGCGGACATGCTGTCGCGAGCCCAGAGAGAACGCAGGAGCAGCAGTGTCCAACACGCCGCCCCAGGCAGAGCTGCGCAGACACGCCGAGCACTGCGGGAGAGTGCGAGATGTGAATGAGAGAGCCATGGTTTGCGAGGTGTGTACAGCAAACTGATGGGCGTCACGCAATGGGCACAATGTCAAAGGGAAAGACGGGCTGCAGCAGCTGCGGCGGCTTGTTCCTCTCATTCGTCAATCACCACGCAACCCAGCATACCGATACCCACCTCGCTTTGACCCCGAACAGGCAGACGCCTGGAGACACGACACCGCGCTACTCACCGTGGACGCCCTCTCCGCCTGGTTCCGCTATGGAGGAGCCGCCATCACCGCCGCCCTCCCGATCCCGCTCACATACGCCCTAACCTCCACTCCGCCGGCCGACAACACGCTGCCGGACTACTCGCAGCGTGAGAAGACTCTCGTGGCCTTTGCCGGCACAGGCGCGTTGGCGAGAAGGAGAATGCCCGACAAACCGCTTACAATCGCGACCTATGCTGCTGGCGCTTCCCTTGCCGCGATCACTCTGGTTTACGTCTTCGGCCCGACCTTCTTTCTGGACAGTGACGATGCACACAGCACCAAGAGCAGTCGTAAGAAGGGCGTCGTGGGACTGGTGAACCCCGCAAACGACTGCTTCATCAACTCGGTCTTGCAAGCTCTCGCAGGCTTACCGGATTTGCGAGCGTTTCTGATCCGCGAAGTTCATCGGCGCAAGCTTGATGGGCCTGCCGTGTATGCGGATCTTACTGCAGCGTTGGAGGAGCAGGCAAGGAAGGGCGAAGGTGCGAAGAAAACGCCCGAGTGGATGATCGCGGGCCTACAGCAGGGAATGGTCACTGCGGGTCTGAAAGAAGTGCTGGATGCGCTAAACGAGCGGCCAATATACCGGAAAACGATCAGTGCACAAGGCTTCATTCATTGCGTCGAGGCCAGTTTCAAGACTAGAATCAACAGGAGCCAGCAGGACGCACAAGAATTCCTGCAAGTCATCGTAGAAAGAATAGCCGAGGAATACCATGCAGGGAGGAGGGTGAGGACAAGGCTACGCCAGAGTGGCACACAATCACGGGCGTCGCTCGAACCCTCTGCAGAAGTCCACGCAACTCAGGCACATGCAGAGGGGCCGAGAGACAGCAAGTTTTTGGCAACGAACAACGACCAAGCGCACACCGATGCTCCGCAGGGTAACGACGAACCGGAGCAGGAGAACGTGTTTCCGCTCGAAGGCCAATTGGAGTCGCAAGTGGAATGCTCGCATTGCAAGTTCAAACCAAAACCGTCCTTGTCAAACTTCTTGACCTTGACTCTAAACGTGCCACACCAACAAACATCCACCACACTCAACGAATGTTTTGACGGCATCTTTAAAGTTGAGCACATCGATGACTTCAAATGCGAGTACTGCCGCCTCACCCACGCCATTTCCATTAACGACAGAATTCTTGCAAAGTCGAACCTGTCTGCCGAGGACCGAGCCAAAGTCGAGAACGACAATACTAAACTCCAGCAAGCGCTCGATGAGGACCCAGAAAAGCCTCCTAAAGATGTCAAATTGCCAGATGTGTCAACAGCTCCGAAGCGTAAAATCGCGCGACACACGCGCGTATCAAAGTTTCCGAAGATCCTGTCGATTCACTTGTCACGCTCAGTATGGGACCCGTCAGCCGCTAGCTCAAAGAACTTGGCAAAGGTGTCGTTTCCGGAAAGCCTTGCTTTAGGTGGTCTCCTAGATCGTAAGCAGTATCGCCTGCTAGGAGTCGTCACGCATAAAGGTGGTCATAACAGTGGCCACTACGAATCTTTCCGTCGACAAGTCCTGCCGCAGCCCTTCTCCACGCCCACAACGCTAGGCCGACAAGGCCCCTATAGCATAGCTGGATCTCCCTCTCCAAGCGCTGTGAACAGTCCGCGGCTCAGTGCGAGTACTGCGAGAGATGCGCGCGATGGGACCGGCAGCAGTAATGATTCGCAGCTTCTGTCAACTCCCACCAGCGCAGCGCCCTCCACGTCCTCCGCATCATCAGTCTCGAATATCCCATCTGCTTCGACGCCTTCAGCTGAGAAGCGATTTTCGGCTCACCAGGTTCCGTTCGATTCCATTCCAGCACCTGGCCTTCCTGCTCCGCCAACTGCCACCGCTTCTTCACCTTTGCAGCAAGCGACGACTGTCAACGACCCTTTGAAATCGGAGGAGCCTGAGACATCGCGACCTTCTTCAAGCAGTCTGCGTAATTTGAAGGGCGTTGTGTCTAAGAAAGCAAAGAAGAACACGGGCAGCGAGCGGTGGTGGAGGATCAGTGATGAGAAGATAAAAGAGTCCAAGACAAGTGATGTGCTGGGGATGCAAAGAGAGGTCTATCTATTGTTCTACGAGATGGTTGCCGAGGCATAGGGGTGGCAGGTCATGACGTTCTTGGTGGGTTTAATTGATTATCTTCAGCGAGGTGTTGCGGCGTCGGTAATTGGGTTATTCGTGTTATTCTTTTGATTCTGTACAAAGGCAGTATTGGATCGGGCTAGATTGGGCTATGACGGGGAACTCTTTCTTCAGGACGGGCTGATATTCTTGGCTAGTGTAGATATTGCACTGTTCCTGTCTTACTCTTCAATCGAATGTACATATCTTGAGAAAGGGCAGGATGTCCGCATTTGCTAAGATAAACTGACGAAAATGTAGGTGAAGTCGCTCCTTCCTCCTTACATAGAAATGGCGTGGAAGCTTCCCTCTTCGAAGGATCGCTGAATGCCAGTCATCGCGCAGCAGCAGCTGCTGCACAGCCGGCATGGCATGTTGTGCGACATTGGCAAATCCTCGATGACCCTTTCGGAGGCGAACTCATTGAAGCTATTCTTGTAGCTCTTTGCAGATCTTCACTCAAGACTTACTTGCGAAACACCGGTCAACAATCTGTACTGCATCTCCGCAGTCAGGAAGCTTTCCATGAGATACACCAACTTCTCGGTCCGGCATATGATCAGCTTCGCCACTGGCCTGTAGCCAAAACATTGCTAGCTTGCTCGATCCGAGATATCCTGAGGCTGTGGTTTGGACGTCAGAGTGCACGATATTCTCCATTCTGGCGACAGCCATTGGCAAAGCAGAGCTTTCCCTCCAGTAGCAGTCACGCTGTACAACCCTTTGAGCCGTCACTCATGGTTGAGGCTGAGAAGGCTGGGTATCGTTACACTAGACCGCAGCATGCGGTTCAAGACTGCAATAATAGACTGGTCTGGTATATCAGTCCTCTGATGTCTGGCTTAGTTCACCAGCATTGACTTGCTAATGCTCGAACATCCAGCTGATTCTTTGCATCATGATTGGGTTGATCTACCTCATTGCCTACGCAGCACTGGCCGTGGCTGCGCTCCAACACAGACAAGCCGATGGCGGTGATACCAACGCGGGCGAAAAAGCGACCATAATTGATGAGCCGGAATGCTGCTGGTTTGTTGCAATGCAGATACCTCAGGCACAGATTGGTGTTATGCACAACTTTGTGAGTGCGAGCGGGCGAGCAACACACGTGAATGAGGTTCCTGTTCGAGACAATTCTAACCTTTGATGGCGGCATTCAGTGGTACGAGTCAACAGCTACGCAGACGGTAGCGACTGTCGTCTCAGACATATACGACTACGGCGACAGCACAGTGACTGGCGAAACCCGCACGACTCACATGCCGGCTTCAGAAATATATACAGATTTTGGTCGCTATATGATGTTCACGGCAAACCCGCCGACGGCTATTCTCAATGATCAGCTTGGGATCCCTCGCGATATGCTTCCTACTGGGAGTTATGCCGCAACAATCGTACACCAGGCGAACACAACGACGTACCATGGGATGTGAGTTACACATAGTCTTCCACACCGCGCCGACTGTCTGACCAGCTTGCAGCACAGCACCGACAGCCTTCAACGAATACGCAAGCATTGGAGTGTGGACACCACCGACAGGTTCTGCCTTCGGAACTGAATCAGGTCGATGCGGAGGCCCCATAACAACCCGGACTGTCGCCATCGTTCAGGAGGGTTCGTGGGCTGCCTCGACTGTGACATACTCGAATCCCCAAGGCAAGTTTGGCTGGTATACCAACAATGCAATCGACACCAAATATTTCACCGATTCACCGGGAGAGCTGCCGACATACGCACAAGTCGTCGGACTGTCTCGGACAAACGGGGGCAATTTCGCAATACCAACAGAGGCTGTCGCTTTGCTCACCAAGAACCCAGCCGTCCTCAGCGCTTATCCGTGGATCACTAAATGTGGCACACTGGATGCCTATGGAGAGCCGACTGTGCATATTGCTGTTGATCAGCTCACTGTGATGGGTCAGAATATCATTACAATGCAGTTGGGAGCTCGTCAAGAGGCCCCATCGCCTACAACATCTTCTGCTTCGCTGGAGACGACAACGATGGTGTCTCAGATATCAGGAAGCCCGGTGCCTGCGAGTACCGCTGCTTCTCCAGCTATGGAGACTGCCTCTGGGGTAAGGACCTACGCTATTTCAGAGACAGCCAATGCTTCAGCTTCGATCAGCAGGGACGCTTCGTTGGCCACAGCAGCATCATTCGAAGGTGAAACCAGCGACCAGGCGGCAGAGACGCTTACATCATCGAATCCTCGCAACACTGCTCCTGCATCGGGGTCCGCATTGTCCACTGCTGCGATGAACTCGTCTGCGAGTCATGCTGCTCAGAGCGGTCTGAATTCGACCTCTGCTATAGGATCGACAACTCACACCGCATCGCTGTACACGGGATCGGCATCTAAATGTGTTCGAGCAATTGATTGGCAGTGGTATGTTGTTCTGGGCATGGTGTTGATGAAAGTGTATTGAGCCGGCTGCCGAAATCAATCCTTCTGTGCATCATCTTGATGTGCATTCCTTTAGTGCTTGTCTTTTTTCGGAGTCTCTTCTGATAATCTTCGCGGCTCCAGTTATGCACAGTGATCGTCACGATTGAAACTTAGCTGATATGTAGCTGAAGCCAAGGAGGAAGGACAGTGCGAATACGGACAGTACGCTTTCCTCGGCGAAAAGTATGTCGCGATTTTCTTTTAGGCGGAATTATTGTCGCGGTTTCGCATGTACCACTGGCATGTTGTGAATCATGCCGAACAAGTCCGCCACGAGGCTCTGGTTGTTCGGGTGCTGGGACCTTCGCCAAGCCGTCATTTCTTCGGCACCTTGTGTTACTTTTGACGTCAACTTGTGCTGCTTCAGCTCCCGCCAGCTTGGTATGTGTATCACACATTGTCCGCCCACGTGCGACGGATGCTTTGTCCGAATTTCCTTTCAAATCTCGTCGACTTCAGCTGCTGGCGTTCCGGATCAAGCCCTGAGATGAAGCCGAATGGACGGAGACTGATCAGATTCGGAACCAGCGTTATTTTCGGATCTGTCGCGCCAGAAGCGTCCAGATGATGGAGCAACTCCTTTACACTGCGGTGCCGCCTACCTAGAGCTCAATTGGGCAAGTGGACGGCGTGGTTTGTCAAGTCCTGGGCCAAGGCGTAGCTTTCGAACGGCCGACGGCACCAGGGTTTGACTTCAGCTTGTCTCGGTCCCTCAGCAGCCTCAACCAGCTGCCGCATGCGATGCATCGAATGCTATACTTCTCCCGCTCGCGTAGAAATACAAACGTAATTGTTGGCACGCGATCAACTTATGGCAGGGAACAACGATGGAGGGTGATGTAGCTCATGCAATACTGATCCTCCTGCTGACGACTGAGCAGCATGAGTCTGCATGACAGCGCAGAACGCCTCGACCCGATGGCTTCCAAATTGGGACCGTCGCGTGGCAATCCGCCCCAAACAAGAATTTGGATCAGGGCGCTACTGCAGATCCGCCACGAATATCCGAGAAGCAGACCTCACTAGCGCTTTACACACTCAAGCTGCGAAGCTGATTGCTCGAAAGGATCAAGCTATTCCTAGGTGCGGGATGTACGTTGTCGACGACTATGATCGATCTCACAACATCAGGAACCTATCCACACTATCGACAGACCCCAGGCTGCCGACGCGCATGCAATGACGGGCGATTCTTAACATTCTCGTCGGCAAGAAATTTCTCCTTCCTATGTCTCGACTCGAGCAAACTCTCGCGTGGCGTTCACTAGTCAATCACCCGCGAAGCTTCAATCCAATGCTCACGCCATGCAGGTCTGGATTGTGGTAGCCATGCTCGTAACGACATGCCATGATTCGTGAAAAGAGCTTCCGGCCTGCAGCTACGGCGAGGTCTCACGCGATGCGTTCGCCGCTATGGCTTCGTTATACTTCCGACCGACAGAATTTACGAGGTGCGAGAATAGGTGACGAAAAAGCCATGCTGGCTTTAGACTCTATTAAAGGTCGCATGCAGTCCATGTGCCGAGAAAGCATCTTCTTCGCATCTCAAAGCCATTGTTTCTCTTCCCGCCTACCAGAGATCATTGCTTCATACTTGCCAAGATGAAGTTCTCTGCGGCTTTCACACTCGCTCAGCTGGGCTTCGCCAGCGCTTACCTACCGATTGCGAGACGAGATGTCTCCCAGTCTGGCAATGCCAGTCCCCCTGCACGAAAGGACATCACGACGATGAGCTTCGATGAGTTCAGTCTCTTCGTTCTTGCTATGCAGCAGTGGCAGAGTTCGTCGACCAGCACCGTCGGAGGCTTCTATCAGGTCGCTGGAATTCATGGTGCTCCGCACACCTACTGGGACGGCAGTGCCTATCAAAATACCAATCAGGGTAACAAGAATGGAGGATACTGCTTTCACGGCACAAAAGATTTCTACTTGTAAGTGTAACCTTTCTTTCAAAGGGCTAGACTCGGCCACGAGTGTCCGGAGTGTTGATCAATGCTAACCTTCGCGGCATCAGATGGCACCGACCTTACCTTGCGCTCTTTGAGCAACAGATGCAAGCTACGGCAGTCAACATTTCGAACAATTGGGCCTCGTCAGGCAGAACAAAATTTCAAGGCATTGCGAATACACTGAAGTTTCCTTACTGGGATTGGGCACGAAACGGCGGGACAATCCCCAGCCGCATCTCCAGTTCATCGGTCTTGATCACGAACGCTGCTGGACAGAATGTGACAGTCGCTAACCCGCTGTTTTCACACACTCTTGTCAGCGGCGCGAACCTTGGCACGAATGTCTGCCCCGGTACCTCAGGATCTCGAACATGCCGCTCAAGCAACGCTCAGAGGGATATGCAGAATTCTGGTGCATCTCTTCAGAGACAAACTGCCTTGTTGCTCAATACTGCGAACGTCTGCTGGAACGTTTTCGCTACATACGACTCGAATGAGCGCAGAGCTTCTGGCTGCTCTTCATCATCAGTGAACAGCTTGGAAGGAATCCACAACACAATCCACAACAACATCTGCGGTACGATGTGCAATCTCGACACGGCAGCTTACGATCCCATCTTCTGGTTGCACCATGCCAACGTCGACCGCATCGGTGCTCTTTGGAACTACCTCAACCCCAACGTGAAGGTCACCAGCACACGTTCCAGCAGCGGCAATTTCGTGTTCAGCTCTGGCGTCAACAGAGATGCTAGCTTCACTTACATGCCCTTCCGAGCTTCTCAAGGCAACACTGACTGGTGGCTGCCCAGCCAGCTCTACGACGTTCGCACTTCAGGCTACACCTACCCAGAGATTGCAGACCGCCCCAGCGTTGCAACTCTTCAATCTCGCGTCAACAACCTTTACGGCAATGGTCGCACACAGCAGTCCGCCAGCACAAGCGGAAAGAGACACCGCATCCGGGCAAGCCTCGAAGAGCGTCAAGCCAGCGCACGACTCATCGATCCACCATCTCCTGCAGCCATCGCTCCTTTCCGATCAACTCTCATTTCTGCCAACGGCTCTTACTCTGAATACACCGCCGAGATCGACATTCGCAGATCCGTCGCCCCTGGTACTTCCTTCAACCTTCACCTTTTCTTCGGCGATATCGCCACTGGCCTCTCCAACTCCGACTACCTCGCTGCAGCAAACCGCGTAGGCGGCTTGTCTATCTCCCAAGCTGCATCGACCAACGGCGCGAACAGCGCAACAGGCATTGTCCCTCTCACCGACGCTCTCCTCAATACCCTCATTGCAGGCGGCATCAGAGATTTCCGACCCGGTACCGTTCGCAAATTCGTGCGAGCGAGAATGGTCTGGAGACTCGTCACATCCGATGGCCAGAACATCGGCGGTAGCGGCGCCAGAAGCAACGGACTGCAAATCCGAGTCCGACGATCGGTCGTCACGCCTGACAACGGTGCCCCTCGTGCGGTGCCTGTCGTCGAAGCTCCTGAGGCGATCACTGAAGAGCCAGTCGACAACACTCAAGCGCAGGCTCTGCCGGCTGGAGTTGCGGCGACATCTGCTCCTGCGGCGCCGGCAGAACCAGCAAGCACTGGTAGTGCGTAGTTTTGTAGCCAATGATTGGGCTCTTCTGTGGTCAGGCGTTCTCAAAAAAGCATGAATATCACGGCCTATAGCATTGTAATTCCAGTAGTTTACAGAATGGAATATTGTAATGGTTCTTGAACATCGTCAAAGTGTGCGCGCAGTGTCATGTTGCACGGCTATTGAACCGTTTGATTGTTCGAACTTATGTCGGAGACGGAAGACAACCATTGAATATAATGCACAACAGCTCAAGGTCTTCAATCATCGATTTTCATCATTGAAAGATGCTATACACTTCCACCATCTCATCTATCCATCATTACAGCTTCCGATCATATCTAGCCTCTCATTCATGCCTTCATATGTACAAAAAGTACAGGATATCTATACAAAATGTGCAGAAAATCGCACAACTCTCTTAACCAGCCTGGTAAAGACCAAGAGCGACGACATGTGGGTTAATCATCGACAAGTTGAATGGCGTAAGGTAAAGGTCGCTGTCGGTAAGAGCGATGAACATAGTGTCGTTGACAACACCCTGACCACCCTCGTAGACGGTGCCAGCTGGCTGGTAAGTGAAACCCTCGTTTGGTCCAGTGACGGTGATAGGAGTGTAAGTCAAGTTCAGCTGGTTGACCCAGGCGACGAATTGAGGTTCGCCGGCGGTGGTGTCGGTGACGTAGCTGTTGTTTGGTCCCACTGGCTGGCCTGGAGCATCCCACAAGAGGCGGACCTGCTTGCCTGGGAAGGAGAGAGGCTCGGAGCGGTTATGGGCGACTGCTGGGCCGCAGCCGTAGCCTGGGAACTCGGTGGAGTTGACGTGGATGCACGAATCCTTTTGGGCTGGGATAGTGGCGGGGCTAGAGGTGCGGTTGTCGACGCGCTCCCAGTCGGCGGTGTCGTTTGGTGAGACACGGTTGATGTTGGCCTGGTTCACGACGTGAAGGGCTGGGAAGTTTTGCCATGCGAGACGAGTGGTTCCCTCTGGGCAGCTGCTGATGTATGGAGCCAGGAAGGTCCATGCCCAAGATTGTGGAATACCGGTCTCGAACCAGACTGGCATTGGGTGCAGGCCGCTCATTTGGCGGAAGATCATCTGTTGGCGGGCCTCGGTGGCGATCGATTGAGCAAGCAGTTGGCCGACCTCGCGCGAGTCCAAGTGGTTGATGAAGCCCCAAACGCCGGATTCACCCCAGCGAGTAAGCTGCTGGTTGAAGTCCACAAACTCGCGAACGTTGGTGTAAGGGTAGTTGTAAGTGCATTGAGGTGCGGCAGTCTCTCCAAGCATGTTGCTAAGAAGAGTCGCGTGTCCCTGCTCTTGCTGGGCCATGAACTGCACCATAGAGATGTCCTCTGGGCCAAGGCCAGCAGCGGCCCAATCCTCCTCGGAGAAAGTGGCAACAGCGTTGTTGAAAGTGTCCAACTCGATCCACTCCTGGTACAAGCCCAGCATGATCGACTCGTAATCGAAGTCGCTCTCGACCATGTAGCGTGGTAGAGTGCCGTTGGTGCCGAGACCGCCAGCTGGAACGTAAGGAGCTGGCTGCGCCTCCTGCAGTTGGCCGTTCGTGTTGTAGTAGGTTGCGGTCGGATTTGGTGGGAGGGTACCGACGCTTGGAGAGAGCACGGTGTTGGTGACAGCTCCAGTTGTGGTGGCCTCGCCTTCGTATGGACCGTGGGTGGTGGTGCCAGTCACCCAGCGCGATCGCTGAGGACCACCCGCCAATGGACCATCTGTTGGAACAGCAGTCTCAACAGCAGGAATTTGCGAGTCTGGGCCGAACGATGTTGGGATGACAGTGATTGGAGTCACTTCATCGCTCACGTATGGAGCATCGGCATTGAGGTAGCCATCGACGTTTCCGTCTTGCTCGTCAGCAACGACATCTCCAGATGCGGCTGGGGCAGTTGCAGTCGCAGTCGCGGCGGAGGAGGCAGGATAGCCGCTGGCTTGAATATTTGTTAGCACGAGCGATTTCTCGACGCTGATAGTGTCTGCTTACCAGTCTGATCCTGTCCAAGGCCAATGCTGAGGTCCAGCAGCTGTGGAGCAGGAATGGCCGCAGCCACACCTGCAAGAGTGACGAGAGACCGGAGCATGTTGTCTTGGCCGATACTCAGCTGTATGTGAGAATGAGGAACCGATAAAGGAAGAGAGGCCTGCCTGATGTATTATACTCTACACGCGAGATTCATGCTTGGCCGCCGCGTACGGCAGATTCGCGTCATGCAAGAGAAATTATCGAACGATGCATATAAGTGAGATCATTGCGAGACCGGAGATTCAAAGATGATAGCGATCGAGTGAGATGCTGCATGCACGCCCGTGTGGCCATCGGGTCGGAAGGGTTTCCAGAGGCTCGCCTGCCGCTTGCCGTGATGATCGTGCCATGCCAGCCCGGTCATGTTGTCACAGTGAGGTGTTCGCGTCGACATATTGCGTGGAGTTGCCTCCGTGGCGTTGAGATCTATTGGATCACTCGAGATCATGCAGACTTGGGGTTTCTTCGGACTTGTCGTTGGCACATGCCGATTCGATATCATTATGCTCACGACTCTTCTTCCTCCAGTACCTGAATGGACTGCGATTTTGCCGCTGGGCATTCAAATGTTCGGATTTCGAGGATGTGTTGCGTGGTGATGCGATCATGACCTGCAGACCACTTAGCCGTCGAAGCAGGATTCTCTAGCGTGCATATGCTGTGGGCCCTCGGCGGTAGTTCCGTGCAACAGCGAGTACACTTCCGGAACAGGCAATCTGCGCCATGAACGGCAGTGTGCATTCATCAATCTCGCTGCGATCTTGCTCCAATCGCTCAGGCACGTCCCTTTGGAGCAATATGGTTGAGGTTTTCAGGTCGCTGTCGCCAACACAAGTGAAATGCTCCCAAGGTTTTAAGCCTGTATCATTACTCTTGCCGAATTGAAAGTCTTGTAAACATATGATGTCTAAATGACGCATCGAGCGAAGTCAGTCCTTACAACACAAATACTATGCGTTGCCGATGTAGACGTCTTGCGCGCGCAGAGAGGCGCCAGTGCTGATGGTGCACCATTCAACGATCTAAAGAGAAGACGGAAGTGATCACTGGTTATTTCCTGCAGCCCACTCACTCCATGGATGTGGTCCCCAGCCGATATGCATACGCCCTGTAAAAGCATCTCCACTGGGACCCAGCTGGAGCTGTCCGCCTCCGGAGGAAGAGAGGATTCCAGAGAAGCTCTGAGCTGTTGCTCGGAAATTCGTCCGGTATCAATATCATCATGTAGATGAGACAGAGGAACGTGAGAGGGCCAATTCTCGTCACCAGATGTTAGCCAATTGAAATGAGGCGACTAGGCCCATGTCTTGTGATTTGTGAGTGCGCGGCTTTGCAGTCTTGCGCCGAACTCTTCATCTTGCTGCTGCTCGCCTGCAGGCGACTCCTAACAGATGAAGTAGCAATTTTGGTTGCTTGTCGTCGCATTCATAGCCATAGCTTTGTGTGAATTTCTTGCTCCTGTTGTTGCGTTTGTTGTGAGTTGTGGAGTTGTAGGAGCAGCGTGGGCAAGGGGAAGTAACGAATGCGGAGTTGTCCAAGCGCCACCCGAAACTCAACACCTTCAAGCTTCACATGAAGTGAACACCACCACTACCATCTCATATCACGGCCTTAATCTTCACCATGGCCCGCCAAATGCGTCCCCTAAGCCGACGCCTTCAATTCATCCAGGCACGAGCGACCCAGCGCCTGCCAGACCGCACCTTCACCACCACTCCACCCCACCTCCAAGAAGACTCCAACGAACCCTCCACCTCTCTCGAATCCCTCAAAGAAATCGACACAATCGCCCTCTCCACCACAAAAAGCCACATAACCCACATCCTCTCCACAACCCAATCCCTCCAACACCTAACCTCCCAAATCCTCCCCCAGGCGCGCAGCATCCAACTCAACCCCCAAATCCCTCCTTACACCCCCTCCCTCTGGACCCTCCAACACCAAACCGCGCCACCCCGCCTGGCCCTCCTCCACGAACACGCCACACGCCTCCACCAAAACCTCACAGACCTCCAAACAACCCCCCACGCCATCGAATCCAACACAACCTCCCTCCAAAAATTCAAATCCGACCTCAACTCCCAAACCAAAGAAGATAAATGGAACGAATACATTAACCTCAAATACCTCGAAAAAGCTTCTTTACATCGTCAACAAACCAGAATCGACACTTTACAAGCCGAAGTGGATACCATGAGAGAGGAGAATTTGGGATTGGCGGCGAGGAGGGCGGCGAAAGCTGGTGCGAAAGGGAAAAAGGATATCGCACCGGTGAAGGCTTTTAAGCCGGCGTTTAGGAGGGCTTTGGCGGGGAGTGTGATGGAGAGGGATGACGGTGGTGGAGGTGGGATGAAGAGGCGGAAACAGAGTTTGGCGGAGACCGTGAAGAGTAATAGGGAACGAGGGAGAAGGGGACCACAGCAGGGGTGGGGAGCGACGGCGACGGAGAAGGCGGAGGTGGGAGCTATGGCTACTTCTGGGGCGAGGAAACCGAGTCCGTTTCAGAATCAAAAGGTTTTGAGGCCTGCTACTGCTAATGCGAAGGAGGTGGATGGGATCGAAGGAAAAACGAACGAGAACGATTCCAAGGCACCCAAACAGATTGACGACCTGCGAGCTTCGCTTGAAGCGAATTTGAAGCCTTGATGGAACTCCTGTATCTAACGCCAGTAACCAGTCTGATGAACCCAGACATCTGCACCACCTATCATTCGCTCATGTGCCAGCAACCCATCCGCTCAGGACCATCCTCAGTCTGCATTGCCCAGACTCTCCTAGACTGCACCTCCACCGATCGTACTCTGACTCGCCGTGCTAGGGTAAAAGAACGCAGCGAGAGCAATGATCACATATGCCGCGATCAACAAACTACCCTCGAGGTAATTACTCCTTCCGTCCAGCACCAGGAAATTGACCACGAATGCTGTGACAAAGAGACTGATAGTCTCAAAGAGGTTGAAGTAAAGACTCATACTGGTGTTGAGGATCCAGCCGAGCAGGACGACGATGGGAGTGACGAAGAGGGCGATCTGAATCGAAGATCCAACAGCAATACCGATTGCCAGGTCCATCTTGTTCTTGGCTGCGACAGTGACAGCTGTAACGTGCTCGGCTGCGTTTCCGACTATTGGGAGGATGATGAGACCAATGAAGGCCTCGCTCACAGGGCTGTCGTCGATCATGTGTGGAATGGCGTCGACCATGAATTCGGCGCAGGCTGCGACCAGTGCGATAGTGAAGAGGAGGAGGACAACAGCAGCAGTAGTGGACATGTTCTCCTCCCCTCCCTCTTCAGTAGAGTCGGTCGCGGAAGGCACGCCAGCGCCCGCAGCGCGATGCTGATATGGTGGCAGTGGGCCACTGAGGCTGACGGGTCGAGAGTTGGAGCCAGAATGGCCAAGTCGATCTGGGAGAGAGCTGGTACGGCGCAGAGTGCCTGAGCCGCTGGTCGACAGTCGCTTTGGGTTCGGACGCGGCGAATAGCTGCGAGCTGGGTTCGTTTGCTGACTGGAGAAGACGGTGTTGGACAGATAGCTGGTCAGACCCGGTCGGAGAGCAGGTGCACGCATATTAAACGGCAGCTTGCTGGGAGTAGAGTTCTGGGCCTCGACTTCATGCGTCTGCACATTCTCGGCGAATGCGACCTTGGGTTGAGAAGTAGTCTCCGGAACAAAAGCGCTGTTTGACTCCGCTGCAGCCTGGTTAGCGGCATCTTCTTGCTTTTGGCGGCGGCGCCTCTCCTTCTCCCTCTTACGGGATTTCTTCGTCTTGCGAGATTTGGTTGCTTCTGCCGACTTGGAGGAGCTCTCATTGCTATTGTGACGCTCGGCCCAGTCGAAAGTTCGCGGGTGTCCGTCCTCGTTGTCGCCTTCATCGCCACTAGCAATCGCAGCAAGCGTAGGACGGCGCGGCTCAGGGTCTCTGACATGCTCTACTGCCGGCAGCCTCTCCTGTGAAGGCGAGCTGATGACTGAAGGCAAGTTGGAATTGGTTGCAGTCGTGCTGGTACTGGCACTTGACTTTCTGCGCTTGCGATTCTTAAACATGCGCTTCACACGTCTCGAAGTCGTAACCACAGATCCAGAATCGTCGGTGTCAGAATCTGAAGAGCTCGACGAACTTGAGCTGCTCGATGAAGATGAGGAGTTCATGAGGTCGTGTAGCACACCAGGATGCGACTCTTCGTCGACAATGTGCTGTGGAGTGCTCTCATACATGTAGGCATGAGACTTGAGCTGGAACAGCAAGTACAGGACGTAGATCAGGAGCAGAATCACACTTGTGCCACGGCTGACTTTGAGAACACTGCGATCTGCTTCGTCCTTGGCCTCATCTCTGAAAGATGCGTGGAATGCGGTCTGCAATGTATTAGCGTGTGCGGGATGTAGAAAATCGACTGGCTTACGGGTAGCAAAAGACTCATAACGCTCAAACTCAACAGGCAAGCGCTCATTTGCGTAACAGTGCTGTTATAGACCTGCTCTTGGTATCGAAGACCACCAAATAAGAAAGCCATGCCGAGAATGAGAAGCAAATTGGCCAGGATGGAGCCCAGTAGGGAAGCCTGCACGATTCGTATCTCATCCTTGACCAGAGCAATGATGAAAATGATCAGTTCGACAGCGTTGCCGAAGGATACGTTGAGCAATGCTCCCAGTGTGTCGCCCAATCGAGTGGCCACACTCTCGGTGGCAAGAGCAAGCATGCCCGCAAGTGGTACGATGGCGACGGCATTGATGGCGAAGATGACTGTAGCATTCAGACCGGCTGCCTCGGCGGCGATACCTGCTGGTACTGCGAAGAGCAAGACGTTGATCCAGCTGTGGCAGATAGCATTCTTGAAATGCATGACAAAGCGCCGGGAGCCAGCTTTCATGCGGGCAATAGTCATGGGTTGTCGCTTCTTCTTCTCATTTTGATCATCTGTTATGGTGGTATTTCCATCGCGCGGAGCCTCGGACTTGAGTGCTGCTGGAGGAGGAGCGGTTCGGGAGATCGAGTCGGTCGCTGCGTCGTTGTGCGCGGCCTTCTCAGCGTGACTGCTACTTCCTCCCACTCTTCCTCCGCCTCCATCGTCCTTGGCTCCGTCGACATTATGTTGCCCAAAGTAGTCATCATTTTCATGTATGGCAGGAGGATTTGACGAGGCTCCTCCGCCAGGCGTCGAATTGCTTAGCCCGCCAGCTTCGAAGGTCTTGGTGCCCTTGGCTGGATTGGCGTTGTTGACAGTGGGTCCAAGGCTGGTGTTGCTGTCGATGCGCGAGAGGGTTCGTTCCGAGGCGGTTCTGAGTGCCTGGACTCGGTATCGATCTTTGATAAGAGTGAGCAGCGGGTTTCCCATTCGCGTGTGCAGCCTCAGTCCAGGAACTGAAGGAGTGTTGAAGGAAGGAAGACGGGAATGGTGGGCAGGGGGAGTTGGGTGTATTTGAGAGCCGCGCACAGCCACAGCCGCGATTGCGTGGGACGGGGATTAGATAGGGCGAGTCGGGAACACACGTACACATTGGAGAATCTTCGGTTCCTTTCCACTGGATCCGCGACGCGACGAGAGGGAGAGTTGTGGAGCGTGGGTGAATTCGACGGCGCTCAGGCGAGCGTGTGCCCGGCCGAGTGCGAATGGGCGAGGAGTTATTGTAGCAGAAATGCAATATCCAGCGCGTCCAGCAACGCCGACGATCTTCAACGCCACACCGATGCGACGTCTGCCTCCAGGGTCGGGCTCCACTCCCGCGACGGCCGATCAGGCTTCCAAGGCAGCCTCCGGTACGCAATTGCACAGCACACGGCCACGATGACCCTGCTGTACCTGCTGCTGTCCTGCCAGCCCGCGATCATCACTTCGCGCCTCTGCCACTCAAGCAAATGACAAGCCGACACTTGGCTCGAGGTTAAGCACCATGATTGCACCCAACGTCATGCCGAACACATCACCGACATCCGGCGGCCATCTTGCAGGCACTAGCTGCTGATCACGCAGCCTCACTCCGCACCTTCAGCACTGAAACTCCGCCTCTGGGATGGAGGTAAAGAGCGGAACCTCAGCAGCCGAACGAGAAGCTTCCAAATTCAGCTGTATGGATGTGGTTGTGGCTGTTCACCGTCCTCCGCTTTGGTAACTTCGCTCTACGACTGCAATACCATGGGAATGTCAACTGTGTCAACAAGTGTCAAGAAGTTGTCCGTGCGCTTCCTGCCCTTTTCGCTCAAGAATTTCTAGAATTCTTCCATATATGGCAGAATCTGAGCTGAAGAGCCTAATAGAGCGCAATAGTCTATGGATCACTAGTCTAAAATTGGACCTTCCCATCGTTGAGAAACTCTCCCCGCATATGCGACGGCGCATGGAGGCACAGCAGCACCTCCAGCCATGTACAGCCATACTCCGGACGAAAGCATCTGCTAGCCTTTCTCCGAGGAACTTCAAGACATTGACCGGGTGTGTACCCCTCCATTGCAACATAAAGCAGAGACTACTATCCCCCGTGATCCAACGATCAATTTCACCACCAATATACCCAACTCCCGTTCAAGCAGGCGTCGGCCTCGCTGTAGCCGTGGCCGGCACATATGCCACATACGACGTACTCCAGTAATTATTGTTCTGGTTATAATACTCCGAGTTGAAAGAGTACGTATACATGAGTGTGCCATAACCCCTACTGCAATAACTCGCAGTCATCGTGGAAGTAGAGGAGCTGTAACTCGACGTGTACCAGTTGGCGTATAAGCACGGCCACGTAGAACCCGCAGTAGTGATGGGAGTGCATTGTCGATAGCACGCTGATGCGTCTGTCGCAGGCGTGACGGCTGGAGTCCCGATACCGACAAGGTACGTGGATGTAGCCCCGTTGGCCAGGTTGGTCGAAGTGGAAGTTGTGCGAATGTAGGCGTAGAAGATTCTGTTGCAAAGAGGCTGGTAGCTGCTGGTGGTTCCTGGCGCGACAATGGCGGTGACCAGCGGTGTCGGACAAATAGATTCGTAGCCATGATCCACGTATTCGGTCGTTGTGGATGTGATGGTAGAGGCGGGCAAGGTCGTAGTTCGCACTGCAGTCGAAGTTGGCGGTTGCGCGCAAGTTCCGTCTGCTTCATACCAAAAGTACTGAGAGCAAATGGCATAGTTGGAATCGCTTGGGTATGTAGGAATACGAGCTTGCGAGACAGGTACGCTGAACCGATAGCAATCATATACCCCTTGTCTCTGGCTTCCGTATTGGAATGACACACATCCTGTGGTGGAAGCACAACTTGCCTGGCACTGTTCGCGCGTGATGCCAGAAAGTCCAGCGAATGTCGACTGGCGACCACATCCAGCTAGTGGACATGTCGTAGGCAGCAGAGATGGCGCACTTTGAGTCGTGGTCACTGCAGGAAGTGTTGTGGTGTCTCTGGGCAGAGTCGAGGTTACCGTTTCCGTGACAGCTGGTGGCGTCACGACTCGCGTTGCCGTGACAGTTGATGGCTCAAGGGTCATCGTCAAGAGACTCGTCTCTGCGAACGGCGTATATGTCTCTCGTGGCAGTGTCAAAGGATACGTCTCGGTCGCCGTAAGCTGAAGCGTGGCAATCTCGGTTGTTGTATGGGTGCTTGCCAATGGGAACGAGAGCGAAGTCTCTGTTACTATAGCAGTCGTAGTGGCAGTGACTGTCTCGATGACGATTGATGGCGCTTGACTTAGTGTGGTAGTCTGTTGAACAGTGGTGACCTCCGTGGTCGTCGAAGTGCTTGCGTTCAGACTGACTATCGAAAGACTGAAGGCTGTTTCCGTCACGAGTGCCAGCGAAGTAGCAGTCACCGTCTCATACACCACACTTTGAGGCTGGCTTAATGTCGTAGTCTCTCGCACAGTGGTGTATTCTGTTGTCGTTGATGTGCTAGCTTTTTGAACTGAAAGGGACAGAGTGTAAGCAGTGACCGTATCTCGAGCTGTCGTAATAGCGGTCACTGTCTCGTAGACCAGAGACGAACCATCTTGAGTCTCCGTCACTGCATCTCTGGTCTGTGTGACATATTGCGTTACAGTCTGGGTCGCAGGCGCAGGCTGCGAACTAGTGGCGACAGAAATGTCGTCCAGAGCGATGTATGCTGGTCCTGAACACTGGACACTGAACGTCGCTAGAGCATTCGCGTTCGCGCCAGGTGCCGTCCACTGGTAAGAGTACAAGGCGTAGCTTGAGGTCAAATCGAAGGCTTGACTGCAGGTGCTTCCGGCACAGATGGAGAGGAAACACTCTGGTGCCGCATCTCCGTTCTGCGCTTCCGAAGCATATGCGTTGAGTGTGTAGGTCTTGCCCGCTACAGCAGAGAACAGCTGCGTGACATTGTAGGCTTGTGGCTGACTAGTTTGTCGCTTGACAGCAGTTGCTCCGGTGGAGCCAAAAGTGATGAGACTGAGAGAAGTTAGTGCTGTTTTTCTTCGATCTCCTTCTGTATTGTTGGCACTTACAGGTAGTTGTCTCCCCTGTATGGCTGCAATGGCCCAGCTGTAACAACCTCTGCAGAAACTTGAGGCCCAGACGCTGAAGTCTGATAGGCTGCAGAATCAGCATCGAAGTTGATAGTCTGATTCGCAGGCAACTGTGGGCTGTCTGTAGGCTGTTGAATGATGGTGATTGTCGACGCCGGCAGCGCTGTAGTGATTGTTTGATCACTGCCATTCAGCGTAACTGTCGATATCGAGACAGATCCGTAGACGGTAGAAGTCGTAGTTGTAGCATTGCTGCAGAACGAAGGCGTGGCTGCCAGGCTCGTCGACCCCAGATTCGTGACCACGTATGTCGACGACGCGCTAGTATAGACGAACACACTTCGTCTTAGACATGAGTTGGAAGCATCTGCGCTAATGCCGTATGCGGGAACGAGCGATTGCGCCTGAGCGCCGCTTAGCAGCGCAGCAAGCACAAAGTGCAGCATCTTGTTGGAGATCAGAGGGCAGCCGTATGCCTCAAGTTCCACGAGCGACCGGACATTTTGTCTCTTCGACGCGTGAAATACCACACAGATCAAGGCATTCGGCAATGAATCCTTTGCATCGGCCCGTAGCCCGGCATGTCTCACATATTGAGCATTGTGCTGTCAGGATGCCTCTTTCGGCAATCAGCGCGAGAAATGGGGACATACTTGCAGCATTGGAATCTGCCAAGGATGATCGAAGAATGTTTGGCGCATCGCGTGCGATGCACATGTGCTTCGAGAATGAATAATTCGAGCGTGTTATTTCGCAGTATCATTGGCACTGCCAATGATCCTGGATCCACTCAGAAATCACATCTGTAAGGGTCTTGCCATCAACAGCACGACTCGAATCTTTCGGTTCGCGCTTTTCGCCCAGGTATCTCAAAGCAAGCAGTACAAAGTTCTCAATGAATTCGTTGTACAGCAAGTCCACAGTGTCAGGATCAGTAGTGGTAGCCGGAAAGCTGACGTTCGAGCCGATCACATTGGGCACATTGTAGAAGTTGATGCGCTGATGAATCGTATCGTCGCCATCCGTTCCTGCGTCGTCTTTGGTCGTATATCCTGGCACCTGGGGCGCGTCGCCGTCGCCACTGCCGAAAGGCGTCTGACTTTGAGCGCCCAACAAAGGCTGAAGTCTTGACGGCGACTCATCAGCAGATAACAAGCTATCAGCTCGGACTGGGTGATGTGGAACCAGCTCCTTCAACGTGCTCTTGTCCTCTCCTGCCATGGCAATCATGTCTGCGTGGAGGATTGGCCCCTGGTCGTTCAGAGTTTGCAAGACTTTGTTGGCGGCTTTAAAAGGGACGTCCTTTAGCACTCTGAATCCACTGGTGAAAGGCGAGACGAGGAAGGTGGAGTCGATCGTGAATGGGCCCTTGAAGATGTCAAAACGTAGAGCACCACTGTTCGTGATAGCAATAGTAGGCTGCTTGATGCTTCTGAGCGCATCTGGAAGCACCTGCGTCTCCAACAATGTCAAAAGACTGTTGTTCGATGGATATGGCACTCGACTGAGCCAGTAATCTTGTGGTGCACAACCAAAAGTGTGATCGAGCTTGAGTTCTTTCCTAGCTTCTGTGATGGCTTTCGACACGTTCCTGCCGAGTTCTGTGCCAAAGGTGGTCTCGTTTGTGCCCGAATGATGATGCATCGAGAACAAGTTGTTGTCAATGTATAATCTCCTGTACTCCACCGATTTACTGGCAGTCGGGACATCCCTCTTGCCGGTGCTCAGACCATCGATGGAAAGGAAGCCCAGAGTCTCCATGTAGCGACCGCTTTCCAACCCCCACGCCTTCTTCTCAAATTTGCGGTAGTCACGGATATGCGTGTGTCCGCCGAAAAACACGATCGGAGTGTCCCAATTCTCCTGTCGGATCGCTTTGTACACAGCCTCAAATTCGGGAGTATCTCTGACAGGCACATGTCCGATCACCAGAAATAAGTCCACCTCTTTGTCGGCGATGGCGTCCTTGAACCACTGTTCCTTGATCGTGTCCTGAACCGGCTTCACAATTGTATTGTTCGCATTACCCTTGAAATTGAAGAGATAGCCGAATGCCACTATCCGAATACCCTGGTTCTTGGTGACGAACTTCTTGAACCTCCTCGCGAGAGGTACTTGCTCCCCAGTCTTCGGGCTGATAATGTCGAGATTGCTCGCTAGATACGCATCGTTGAATGCTGGTACGACATTGTTGAATTCGTTGATGCTGGTGTTCTGCTTGTACAGCTCGTGGTTGCCCACGCTCATAACGTCTATGCTCTGGTGCTTGATCACGTCTAATGTGTACTTGCCCTTGGGGTCGCTGGCATCGTACAGCCCGTTGCCCTCTACTCGATCGCCCGTATCGATGAGGAGCAGATCGCTGCCATCGTCATCAGCTCTCTTGCGCAGGTGGTGGGCGAAAGAGATATAGTCGCCCCAGTCTGCCGAGTACTGCGCTTCCTGCAGATGCCCGCCGTGCCAGCCGTGGGTGTCGGTGGTGTGCAGGAAGTTGAGCTGGCCCCACGGGAGCTCTCGGAGGGGTGCGGCGATGGGAGCTGGGGCGGAGGGCTGTTCACCAGCAGCGAGATGAAGAACAGTCAGCAGCAAAGGTATACGTGAGAAAGCCATCTTGACGAGGCGTATCTAGATGGAAGCTGCAAGAGTTGTGCGACGAGGAGCACGTCGAGAGCTCTCCCGTCAACGCGTGCCCGCTCGAGCATCACGCGTCATGCTGTTTCAGCTCTGCTTGCCGTGAGCTGCGCCTTGCACATCCATCACACTCATCAGTTTGATAAGCATACAATCGCGGTTCAGCTGTATGAGCATTCTTTGATGAGATGGCTCCGATAGACGAGGCACAGCACTGTGTTGCGCGATCACACGATGGACGACATCGGCCAAACAGCCCACCAGCCCACTTGATACGATTCCTTCCATGACTACTAATAAAATCTGCTCATAGTCCACAGCTTAGTTCTCCTTCATAGCAACACACGCATACAGCATCATGTCCAAAGTTATCCTCCTCACAGGCGCCTCTCGAGGCATTGGCCTCTCCATCGCCCACTTCCTCCTCCAGCAGTCCCACAAGCTCACGCTTGTTGCCCGCTCCGAACCCGCCCTCCGTGAGCTCGAGAAGCAGTACCCAAACCAAACTGCCATCCTGCCAGGCGACTTCTCCGACCTCTCACTGGGACAAAAAGCTGTAGACCTCACGATCAAGCAATTCGGAAAGCTCGATGGCGTGATTGTCAACCATGGAGTCCTTGATCCCGTTGCGAAGGTTGCCGACGCCAAGGCAGAAGAATGGAGGGACGGTTTCACCATCAACTTCTTCTCAGCTGTTGCCATTGCGAAAGCTGCCATTCCGCATCTGAGAGAAAGCAAGGGAACGATAGTCTTCACCAGCTCTGGAGCTGCGACGACTAGCTACCAGACTTGGGGAGCTTACGGATCTAGCAAGGCCGCGATGAACCATCTCGCGGCCTCTATTGCGAACGAAGAGGAGGATATCACATCGATCTCTGTAAGACCTGGCGTGGTGGATACAGAGATGCAGAGAGATATCAGAGAAAAGCATAACACGGTCATGACTGCCACAGACCGTGCCATGTTCAAGGGCTTCAAAGAGGAGGGCAAGCTGTTGAAGCCCGAGCAACCTGGCAATGTTATTGCAAGGCTGGTCTTGGATGCACCAAAGGATTTGACCGGAAAGTTCGTGACTTGGAATGGACCAGAGCTCAAAGCGTTTCAGGACTAGACAGCATGCTTGATATACGATGCTACGATAGACTAGATATGAGGCACAGTGGGCAGCGACTTGACTGTCCCGCAGCCGAGTTCGACGCAAGTGCAAGTCCGCTCAATTGGTTCGCAACGCGGGCATTACTTTCGAATACAAATTACTGAACTTCGTTCAGGTCAGCAAGATGGTCTTGTAATAATGTCATGCATTGCCAGTAAGATATGGTAGCTCATTCGAAAGATGAAAAGTAATACATTTTGATCAACATGAGGCCGAAGCCGTCAGGTTTAGCATGGAATGTTTGGTGTAATCATTGCAAAGCAGCAATAGAAGAGTGTACTCACCAGTGCAGCGAATGTATTTCGGCACGGAGCCCTACTCTACGTGATTGAACACCTACCTTCAGAACTGTCAGCATTCTGTTCACCTCTGGATTGAACAATGGTGAAGGTGAAGTTGGAGTATCAGGTAATCGAACCATGTTTATTCCGTCATGATAGATCGGTATTTGATAGTACATATGTTGCTCATCATGGTAGTTGTGCTGATTGTTCAGGGACTTTTGCTCACCTATGTCAAAGAAGCTGGCGGTCGGGTGTGTTGCTCAACATGCTCTTCCTCGTACCCGCCAGCTCATTCTAACCTCGAGGTCGCGATACCGGTACCATCGTCGACGATGGAGACTACAAGACACATGTCAGCAGAAGCTCGGGAAGCTTTGTAGATATGCAAATGTGAAATGGTTTTTTCTTCAGCCAGAGCTTTGGCGGCTCGGTCAATCACCACAGAAACTCTCAATAGGAGCTCGTTGGTATGATAGGGGCGACAACTGCTCATCATCGAAAAGAGAAGCTGGAACTAGGGGTGTGACTGACCTGTGGTGGTGCGCGCGACTGGCGACAATAATGAAGCTCGAGGTGGATGTGGTGAAGAAGTGCAGGTCAAGAAAGTTTCCGGCGAAAGAAAGAGCGACGCGCCAAGCAAATGCACGAGCTTCCGCCCGCAAGCGGGACCGATGTGCTGGTTGCGCCAACTTGGATCACGTCTCGAGTATAAAGCGAGCTGCGACAGTCGCAAGTCATCCCACAACGCGACAGTCAACTCGAGAATGGTTTAAGGCTCGTCGCGAACACATCAGGATCACCACAAACCACCTGAAACCATGTCAGACAAGGAGTTCGGAGGTGCATCTCATAATCACAACACACATCCACATCCCTTGCTAACACTCGCTGCAGGCAACGATGACCTCTCCCTCCCCAAGGCCACAGTCCAAAAGATCATCAACGAGGTCCTGGCGACCAACCCTTCCCTGAACGATGGCACTGGCAGCATGTCATTCGCCAAAGAAACGCGCGACGTACTGATCGAGTGCTGTGTCGAATTCATCACCATGCTGTCATCCGAAGCCAACGAGATTGCCGAAAAGGACGCGAAAAAGACTATCGCTGGCGAACACATCTTCAAAGCCCTCGAGGAGCTGGATTTTGGCGACTATGTGCCCGAGCTCAGCCGCGTGGCTGAAGGGTTCAAGGCTGAGAGCGCGCGGCGCGAGAGGAAGCAGACCAAGATCGAGCAGAGCGGCATGAGCCCCGAAGAGTTGATGCGAATGCAGGAAGAGTTGTTCAAGAGCGCCGGGGACAAGTATACTGGTGCGCCTGAGGGCTAGAAGGCCGCAGTGTGAACAGCACCACAAATTACACAACATGCTGGTTGGGGATGCTGAAAGGTTCAATAAAATGCCATGATCCCATAGGCTGAACCGTTGCAAGAGACGCGCGCAGAACATGAATAGCAGGATTTGCAAACCGCTGTGCATTCAGTATTGTCTGGAGAAGGATTGCGCCTGGAGCGAGCCATGGCTCACTACCGAGTTGCCTGGTACTTCTCGACCGGACTCGACTGCGTGTTATTCACACCGTTTCGATCTGAATGCCAGCAAGGCCCGTCATCGGCACTCAGTCAGGACACGAAGCATATGTTTACCAAAAGAGGCGCAGATCCAGCAGCTGCGCAGGGAAGAAATGACGGATGCATTTCGGAGCGAGCACAAGTCCACATTTTATAAAGGCGCTGGAAGCTCAGTCATGCATTCGGAAACAGTCTAGCATGAGGGAAGAGGTATGTTGCTGTAGGACAGCGAAATGCCACGAGTCTGCGGCTACACGAATGGTGGGGCAATAGCTGAGCAGAATGCATTTCGTTGCCGCGCCAATAGTCTGCGGACGGGAGATCATCTTTCGCGATTTTCGAGCTTTCGCATTGCTTCTGAACCCACAGAATCTACAAGGCGTGCTGCTCGACGAATTTGCAGATATATCCTTCCAGCAAGAACAGCTTTGAGGCACGTCCTATCTCAATGGTCATGACCCTCCCAAAGACGGTTTCATTTTTCACCCACTCTAAGCAGAGGCAGATTCTCCGCGATTATGGACACGGACGGCATTGACGATATGGCCATGCCTTCGAGAGTTCGTCACTGTGTCAGGTGTCCCGAGGGACTAGCGGGGAGCCCATGTTCCAACGCGGAGCGTAACTGTCGATCTTTGTGGAGAGCTTCACAAGTCCACTAGTTAATCTTCCGCCAATGGAAGTTGCAACCTCATTTCGAATGACCTATCCTCCACTGTTTTGTAGCCGTATCGAGCCCGCAAGCTTCGGAGTATTCCAGACTTGCACGGCTTGTGGAGCGCTCACGATGCTATTAACCGGACACGATCTCCTTGGCAAGGACCATAAAAGGTGGTAAGCTGGGATGTTGGTCTCAAGGTACAGAGTCTGCATATCGATCAAAAGTAGCGAGGCAAGATGTTCTCGAACGCTTTCGCAACGGCTGCTTTGCTTGCGGCTCCGGCCACTCTAGTCCATGCATTGGACAATGGCTTCGGCAGGACGCCTGTCATGGGGTTCAATACCTATAATGACGTCGGATGTTCGCCGAATCAAACCTATGTTGATGCAACAATCCGCGCTTTTGCACAGAAGGGTTTCAAGGATGCGGGATACAAGTACTTCCAGGTCGATTGTGGCTGGCAGGGCTTCCAGCGAGCATCGAACGGCTCTCTCACATACGATGCGTCAACTTTCCCCAACGGTAAATACCTCTTTTGAACATGAATTTCGTCTGGCGTCTTGCTCATACGCGTTGTAGGCATTGCACCTTTGAGTAAGCTTGCAAGGGATTCGGGCTTCCAATGGAGTATGTACACCGACCAGGGCAAATTTTCCTGTGATACAAGGACTGCAGCGCAAGGATTGAGGCCAGGCAGTCTTGGGTTCGAGAACCAAGATGCTCTGCAATTTGCAGGATGGAACACGGCATACGTGAAGGTGAGATTTCGGCTCTGTATCTTGGATATTCAAAAGCATGCTGATCGCGCATTTTGCAGGTCGACAATTGTTACATCGACAGTGCGGACAACAATGCTCCTAAAGATCCCCGCACAGACTTTCCAGATCGATTCGGAAAAATGTCGACAGCATTGCAGAACGTTGGCATCAAAGGCATGCTTGTGTGTCAATGGGGCACGCCATACGCAAGCTCGACCGGTCTGCAAGGCCCTGCTGAATGGACACCACCGCTCGCGAATTCGTATCGTGTATCCGACGACATTACCCAAGGCTGGGCGAGCGTACTCCGTATTCTGAACCAGGGTATCCACGTCAACCTCAGAGGTCTCAACGCTCCAGGTAAATTCAGTGATATGGATTTGCTCGAGGTCGGTAATCCCGGCATGTCTACGGACGAGCAGGCTACCCACTTTGCCGTATGGGCTTTGTTCAAGAGTGCCTTGATGGTGTCCACACCTGTTCCATCAATGTCGGATACCACAAGGAACATCTTATTGAACAAAGACTTGATCGCGATCAACCAGGATTCTGCTGGTCAACCTGTCAAGCTCATCCAGCGCTTCAGCAATGATAGGGATGTCTATGCCGGCCCTCTTGCCAACGGCGATCAGGCAGTATTGCTCGTGGACCATTCGAACACCGTCCGAACGCTTTCCATCGACTTCGCCAGCCTTGGTATCCGTTCAGCAACAGTCAAGAACCTCTGGACAGGCCGCACCACAACTGGCCAAACCTCCTATTCCGCCCAAGTCAACGCCCACGGCTCACTTCCCCTTCGTCTCAGCAACATTGTAACACAATCTGTTTCCGCACCTAGACTTACCTGGATTGAAGCCGAGTCTGGCTCCTTCGCTGGAGGTGCCAACGTCCAGTCCTGCTCTGGATGCTCTGGAGGTCAGAAAGCTGGCAACATTGGAAATGGAGGAGGGTCCTTAACGCTCAGCAATGTTCGAACCAGTCAAGCAACACAGGATTTGAGATTTGATTACATCGATTGCGAAGTCGGATATATGGGCGGCTTGAACACTCGAGGCGCAAGCATCAGCGTTAATGGAGGGCCAGGACAAAGCGTCATCTTCCCGTTGACAGGATACAATTGGGACAAGGATGTCGCGAAGAACCATCTGGTGAGGTTGAGTGGTTTCAGCACGACGGGAACGAATACCATCAAGATCAGTGGGTTGAGTGGCAATACTCAGTACGCTCCGGACTTTGACAGGATTGGAGTTGTGGCTTAAAAGATAGCGGTATTGATGATGCTCTGCTGCTAATACAAGCTGTACATGACGATGAAACTATGATGAACCTTCACAAATATCTCTTTACAACGATGTCTCCATTCGTCTTGGCAACTTCAAGTCTAGTGAAGTGCTTGAACGATCCTTCAGGATCCAGCACAGGTGCACGACTTTCAGCTGGTGCTTGGCAAGGCGCTAAGCAATCCTCTGCTCCTTGGTTAGCCAGCTCTTGATGTAGCTTTCTCTAGATCTCTCCGTCTTCCAAGTCATTCCTGTCAACATCACTTCTTGCAACCATGAGTCTCTGGGAGTTCGTTTTCGGCTTCAGTGAAGAAACAAAACGCAAGTTTCCAGAACCTTTTGTCAACGCAAACATCGACAGACACGGCCATAAACGACAGGTACGCATCTAGCTGAAGCCGTATGGCATATTCCACAGAAGCTGACCATCAACAGGTCCCCATGGAAGTCCTCTCCCTCGGAATGGGCCGAACAGGCACAGCATCAATGAAAGCAGCTCTCACTCGCCTCGGCTACCCAACCTGCCACGGCTTCGACATGCACGCCAACAAACGCGACGTCGTAATGTGGGACCAAGCCTTCGAAGCAAAATACCACAACGACAGGTCCCTCGATCTAAACAAACCTGATTTCTGGGATCAACTCCTTGGCCACGTTTCCGCCACGACCGACACCCCATGCAACGCTTTCGGCCCAGAACTCATCAACGCATATCCTGATGCAAAAGTCATCCTCGTCGAACGAGAAATCGAATCCTGGTATAAATCTTTCGAACAAGCTCTGATTCGCTCCGCGGATCATCCATACGTTATTCAGTTCTTTTGCTTGTTGGATCCTTGGGGGATGGGGTACTTCAAGAACTTGCAGAAACGAGGTTTCATGCAAGGGCAGTTTCGTGCCAATACTGCGGATGAGTGGAGAGCAAATGCTCGGCCAATCTATCGAGAACATTATGCTGAGATTCGTGAGATATTGAAAGACCAGCCTGAGAGATTGTTGAATTATCAGTTGGGTAGTGGATGGAAGCCTTTGTGCGAGTTCTTGGGAAAGCCTGTGCCGAACGAGCCGTTTCCGAGGATCAATGAGAGTGCGAGTCATGATGAGTTTCAGCTTGTGGTTGCGATGATCACAATGAGAAACGTTCTCAGGAATATCATGCTGGTGACCTCGCCGGTAGTTGTGGCGCTTTTGGCATGGCATTATTATAAGGCTTAGATGTATCCAATTGTAAGCAGGTTTGCAGAGCATGATGGAACCTGGTGTACGAATGAGAAAACTTTCGAAGGAGGTATGAGTTCTTCTACTGCTCGGTGATTCGAAGATGTGTACTCAACAGCAAAAGCTGTTCAAAAAGTCCGGCTCCCTAGATCTTTCTGCCCGCTAGATACGAAGGAGAACACAGTGCCGGCCCAGCCAACGGTCCATATTAGTACGCAAGCTGTCCTTGAAAGACTACATCCCCTTCGGCTTACGCACTGCCGAGTTTGACATGAATGTTCTCGTCTCAGAGATTGCAAGTCGTCTGCCACTAAAAGGTGTCATGGACTTTTGGAGCTTTTCCCAACTTATCGTATGCATAGGCAGAGCGGAAGTTCTGACGTCCCAACAAACTTCAGCATACTAAAGTTTAACCTCGAAGGCTCTGACATCGAACTTAGCTAGTCCGCTGCGTACCCGTACACAGATGATGTGTTACACGAATTTTTTTTTTTTTACT